CACCCACAGCAGAGACTCACATCCTCACACACACCCTTCCTAACCTTTCGGCTGACATAATCTCACTTTTTTTCCACCACTTTTATTTCCCAAAATTTCCTACCCCCAGCTCCTCTCTCACGAAAATTAAGAAAACTACTTTAATAATTCAGACAATCACTCTACAACAATTTTGTTGTCGCGCCAGGATACAGTCCCGTCCATTGACGTCACTCTCCATCACGTCTCTTGTTGCATATATCTCCTACCAGACTACTGACACTATACAAGCCACATTATAAGAGCATCCGAATTTGCATCTCCAAAAGCCTTGGCATAACTCATATCAAATTCAATTAAATCTCTTGCTACTTTTTGCCGTTCCTTATCGTAACTTTTAAGAAGAGGTTTTGGAAATCCGCGAAGTACGCATGCCAACTTCCACGCAAGATTGACGCTCTCATGCATTGAAACATTCATACCTTGTGCTGCTTTTGGTGAGCGAGTATGTGCTGCGTCACCAGCGAGAAAAGCAAAGTCCATATCTGAAAAATGTGTGGCAATTCTTTGTCCAACTTTATGCATTCCAAACCACTCCACGAATTGCCATATGATTCTGAAAGAGCTTAACACTGTTTTTGCTCTTTCTTGTGCAAGCTCTTGTGAAGCTGCGCTTCCTCCAACCTCAATATAAATTCTGGTAAGTTGTCTTTCTCGGGGATTAATCAGAATAGAATCTTTTTTAGAGTTAACAACAGTCTTAGTCCAAATATCAGGGAAGTTGAATCCCGTCAATAACAGCCCAAGCACTATCTGATGATTCACCTACCATATTACAATGCATTGCTTTCGAACGGTCGAGTGAGCTCCATCACTTCTAATTGAATATTTGGATTTGATTATGTGCAAATTCCCTCCTTTTGAATGCTCGATGCAACATTTCCAGATATCTCATAATCTTTAAACACTGATTCACATAAAACCTGACCATTTAACTCCTCAAATCTTTTTTGTTAATATAGACTCAACCATATCCTGGTTGATAAGCAAAATATATTTATTTCTAATATCGATTGGAAAGTGCACTGCCCTAGGGGAGAAGTGGAGTAAAGGGTTGACCTATCATAAGCATTCAAAGGCCATTGATTTCTCAAGCGTTGGACTAAATCCGGATTTGAGATAAAGTACCTTCCAAATGCAACTGCATCGGCCTCACCAGATCCGGCTTTTGCTTCTGCACTAGAGCCATTGAATCCTCCTGCAACAACAAGGGGAACATGGTGCTTTATCGTGTGGCTGTTGTCCGTATGGTTGACAGACCTACTTTACTGTGCTTCATGGTGTTGAAGAACTATAACGGTCACATCTCTACACTATGACGCGCTATTGCGTCTAAATAACGTGCCGCACGAACTGGTGCATTCATTTGGTAGTCCGTCCCCAAAGTGCATAAGGCAGAGGTCCATTTTAACTTTTGGGTGAATAGCACGACTTACTTCAGAGCGAATCGAGCGAATTAGATGAAGAGTGGTGAAAAGTAGGTTTTCTCCTCAAAACTGAGAGCGCTCTCAATTGGACAATTCAGCTGCGTAGTGCGTCCTCTCTGAGATTATGTCAGAATACAAGGACCCATGTATAAGCACGTCAACTCTGATCGTCACTTACGACCCAGCTTCCTAAAAAAATAAGATCCGGAAACTGATATTGGACCTCTGCAGGAAATTTACGGACTTGACCGGCAAATGTATGCTCCGATTATTTTAAAATGTGGGTTTGCTTCCTTCAAGACGACATTTGCACTGAAGACTGCAGCCGAGCACTAGCGTACGCGCTCAAGGCCATGTTTATGTATCCGATCGTTGCCAACTACTCATTCCCTTATTTTTTCTCGCTTTTACAGAGGTCTTGTTCTCACTGCTTCCCGTTACCTACTACTCTTGTCGACTCGACTGGTCCGATGTTCAATGCTTATTAATGTTCTAATTACATCTATTATAACTCTTTCATTGGGTCCGGTGGAGCAGGGAATTGTTTCATCGACTTGAGGAAGTCATCCCTCAACTTGAAAAGCGGTTGCAAAACCCAAGTGTTGTATGGAAGCACATCTGTCTCCTCTTTTGGATCACGCATAATGTTGAACAAGTATGGGGACTCCAATTTGCCTTTGCCTTCGTTCACTTCTGGCTCCCACCAGAGATGAAGTTTCCAGTCTCTCCACTTGATAGCCTTCAAGTCTTCCTTGATGTAAAACAAAAACCCTTCTCTTTTAGACTTCTGGCCGACCGGGTTGAGCAAGAATTCTATCTGGTCCACACCATCGATTGGTCTATCATCAGGCACTTTCTGTCCACCAATGCCAATAATTGTGGAGAAAAGGTCTGTCACATGTATAATTTCGTTAGTGCGGACGTTTTCTGGAATCTTTCCAGGCCACCTGAAAATGCATGGAACTCTAAGACTGCCCTCCATTGCCGTGTGGTACGTTCCGCGATAGAATCCAGCAGTACCTCTGTAAGGAGGACGAAACTCTGGGCCATTGTCCGAGGCAAATATAAGGAACGTGTTTTCACCCAAACCAGAATCGTCAATAAATTTGACCAATTGGCCAACACGGTGGTCCATCTCCACCATAGAGTCGGCAAAGTCGCCATTATTGGTGATACCAGCAAAGTCCTTGTGGGGCAGAGTAGGGAAATGCAGGTGAACAAGCGGGTGGTAGAGGAAGAAAGGCTGTTCTTGGTCTTTCATTCTAGTCATAAAATCAATACTTTTGTTGACAAGCTTCTCGTCAATCACTCTTCTCTCCTCCAGATCGTAGACACAAACCTCCTTGGACTCCTCACCAGCTCTTCCCTCCATGACATATGGCGTAGTGCACACGCTTGGATCAAACCCAACAGAGCTTGTGAACTGCGTTTCATCGGTCGTTCTTGGTATTCCATACCACTCGTCAAATCCACGATCGGATGGATATCTACCTGGCACATCACCCAAGTGCCACTTCCCGTGATGGGCAGATTTGTAGCCTCCCTGAGCGAGGATTTCTGGCAGAGTCTTTTCCCAGCGTTGGAGCCCCTGTGGGAATCCAGCTGGCACAGACTGTCTGCAACCGGTTCTGATCGGGTGTCTTCCAGACATCAGGGCAGACCTGGTCGGCACACAGTCACTTTCCACATTGAAATTCGTACACAAGAGACCCTGCGTCGCCAGATGATCAATATTTGGGGTTGGAGCACCTCTCAGCACTCCTCCTCCGTAGCATCCAAGCTCACCAAATCCAAGGTTATCCGCAAGAATAAGCACGATGTTCGGTCTTTTTGGGTCTTTGGACATGTTGAAATAAGAATAGATGATGTCTACGACTTTCCAGTCCCGAGCATACGAATCAACTAACTTTTATAATAGTTACGTAGTCGTTCATTTACTCGGCCGAGAGAATTTCTCGGCTCATGCTATATGCAGGCCATACGGAAAAAGAAATGTATTGGAGGAAGATTGAGCCATGCATAATCTCGGTCGAGATAAGCATTTTTTTTTATTTCTACCCTCACCTGCATACCCAGAATAGGTTATCGGGATCAATCTATATCGTTTAAGAAAACGACTTCAAGTCAGCATTCAATTATTTATAATTGGTAGTGCCACGTTTCGTCAGCTTTTTCCACTCCTACTTCCTCTTCAGTAGCCTCTGCATTCCCCACAACCATCTGCGATTCCTGCGCTCTCTTTCTGTCAAGCCTGACATTGGCATACCAGTAGTCCGCAGTCACGAGTATGGACCAGATTACTGCTCCGCCAGCCAATCCCGTGATCGTTCTGAACCCAGGAATGTAGTTTGGTGCATCCTTGGATTTGAACATGGCTTGACCCAAGATACCACCCAAGTTACTACCTGTGACACAGAGAGCGAGCCCGACACTTCTTTTTGTTGAAGATCTCGCATTCACAGACAACCACGCGTTATTGAACCCTTGCGATAACGAATTTCCAGAGTTAACCAATGTAATCATGGCAAAAAGAAGCCATTTATCGGTATTGCCTGATTTCTTTAACCCATATAGGACACCAGTGAATATAAGGGTGTATGCGTTCGCACCAATGCAGAATATACCACGCATTGATGTGCGGTCTGAAATGAAGGACAGAAGCAAAGAGAGAACACAGGCGCCAAAGTAACCCACAGCAGTAAGCATGTTGGCCTTCACTGTCGAGAAACCAAACGTCTTCATCAGTTTAGGGGTGAACACACCAAATCCACCTTTTGCGATAAGCTGGAAGAAGTTAAGAATAAGATGCGACCAAAGTCTGTAGTCAATAAGTGCTTCAATTAGCTCCTTTTTGCTCATGAATATCGTTTCCTTGTTGTCTGTTTCCTCGACCACTTTTCTTTGCTTCAAGATTTCGGCCTCTTCCTTGGAGAAGAAGTTGAACAGTCTATGAATAGGGCGGACGTCGTTGACGTTTGTAGGTAGGAAAATGATGAGCACTAGTGCTCCAAACATTGTGATACACCCCTCAATCATGAACAGATATCTCCAACTAGCCCAACTCTGATCCATTTCAAGAATACCAGCAGCGATCAAGTTACCGAAAGCACCAGCAAGATTGTTTCCAAAGTAAAAAATTGCAACACGCGTAGCCATCTCGTGTTTAAGGTAGAAGGTGCTCATGTAATACATAGCACCAGGAAGAAAACCAGCCTCGAACATCCCCAGAAGCCATCTGGTGGCAAAGTAGCTTGGTTTATCAGTGATGAAACTTTGGAAAATTGCAACGAGCGACCAAAGCACACATTGCAAAGAGATCCATTTAGATGGACCAACCATCTGCAGAAGCACGTTGGATGGAATTTCAGCAACGCAAATTGCTGCCACTTGAAGCTGGTTACCCTCGACAATCTGGTCTGAGTTCATATTAAGATCCTCCTCAATGGTTCCAGTCAAAGCGTTAGAAACGTTGGATCTATCCAGCTGAAGAGCGAAGAACGCGATGAAAAGCACAGACATCACAACAATATCAAACTTAATCCTTGCCCTCTTTTCTGCTTTAGCGCTCCATGTGATTTTTGACTTTGCCTCCTCGGAAAGGCCTTTATTATAGTCTCTAGTATCCACACTGAAGGTGGTAAAAAGAAGTTCCTTCTCAGCCGGTCTCTCTTCCACCGTCATTTCGTCTAAGATAACTCTAAAAGGTAAAACAGAAGGGTGTTGTTCTACAGCTGGTGTTCGCTAGGAATCTTGCTCTTAATATACTAATTCATTGCTTATTTCCTTATACTATCTCTATCAAGAGGATTTTTTTTTCTGCATTTCTCGGCCGAGAACCTATTTCGGTTAATTCAGGTGGATAAGATAAGAGACTAAGACTTCGTTTGCACCACTTGTATAACCGAGGGATTGCACCAATCGATCGTAAGACTACATCTATATTCTCTGAGCCGAAACTGTGTGCTGCAGCATACATGGAGAAAATTACCAAATCCAAGCACAAGCAAAATTCAAGGCGTTCTCCCGGTAAGAAAATCACTAGACGTCGTACTGTTAAAAGTTGCCAGTACTGTTACTATCGGAAACTCAAATGTGACCATGGTTCTCCTTGTCAAAATTGTCGGGAGTTTCCTGACAAATGCAAATATGGCTTCAAAGAGACCGGTACCTTGCGTGAAAATTCTCCTGTAGTCATGGCATCCGATGACACATCCATTTTTCACTCAAGGGCTTTCTACCCTTTTCTCGACCCCGCGATAAACACTCCCTTTTTGGTCAAACTTAACTCTACAGACAACGATACTATACATTATGGAAAGAACAAGAACTTGAAGGAAGTTGGCCACTATGATTTTTTCCGCCCCGAGACTGACTTGTCATTCTCAGAAATAATAGACGCGTTGCCTTCTCGCCCAGAGTCGGATCACCTTGTCGAAGTATTCTGGAATACAGTTGACCCTATGGTGCCGCTGCTTGATAGAACCCAAAATCTATCACAGTACAAGCTGTTTTGGGATCAGATAAGCAAAGATCCCGAATCCTTAGACTTCAACTATGCGGTTATACTGTTTGCAATATATTTCTCTTCTGTGATCTCGCTCGAAGCAACGTCTGGCGAAGAACAGCTTGCGATCCTCTACGAAGATAAGCACAAGTATTTCTCCATCTTGGAAAAAATCAAGAGCCACCTGCGATACATGGTATCTCCTAGCATGTCTTGCATCGTGGCAACAGTCATTGTATGCCAAACTGGGTCAATCAACTTCAAAGGTACCATTTTGCATGCTTCCGTAACTCTCAGGGCTGCTGAGACTATGGGGCTCCACAAAGATCTACTAAGGTACAAGGCTTTTGACCAGATGCATCATAGAGAACGCGAGCTTCAGAAAAAAAGACTTTTATGGCATTCCATCACTTACCTCGAAACCATGAGCTCTGTCTCAACTGGATTACACTCTCTGTCGCCATTTCTTGAATCTTCTGTCCCGTTTCCTTCTCACAATGACTATGATTTCGAGAAAAAGACCTATACTGGACCAACTAATCCATATCTTATGTTCGCAATTGCTAGATCTGTGATTTGCCCCGTTCTAAAACGCTTTATGATTTACTTGAATGTGGTAGAAGAAGATCGAAGCGAAGAGAGGCTAGAAGACCTTCGATGCTATGTGAAGGACATCTACGACACATTTAGCGATTTGATTGATCGGATGAACATGTGCGATCCCAGACTCTATTCTCCAGAAATTATAAGATGGATTGCAGCAAACATCATCATCTTTGGTCACAGACTCTATCTCCTGTACAAGGTTTGCGGCATGAAGACCGTTCCAAATTCTGAGTCTGTGGTGTACCAATCTTCAGCAAAATCAATGACTATACTGGATCCCGAAGGCCGACAAGACAAACAGTCGGTTTTGAAAAAGTTGTTGTCAACAAGCGTTCCACTAGATTCGGATATTGTTGAAGTTGCTGTATTGTTGCTCTATGAGACTTCTATTCGAATCACAGTCACAGATGAAATTTGCAGGTTCAAATGGTTTGTGAAAAACAGCAACCCTTTCCAATACCTTCTCATTGTGATTCGGGATATTTACAACCGACCAGATTACAGACTCACATTTGATGAACTGCCAGAATACATGCGCAAATTCGTGCCCCAGGAATTTTTAAAAGGAACGGAAGATGTACGGGTCAGTGTCTGTAGTGCTGTCATCCATTTGCTTGCTGAGTTGGAGGTTTATTGGCCAGCTGTGTCGAGAGAGATATTTCACCTCATAAGGGATATGGCGTCAGTTGCGTTTGAGGGGAAATTTGCACGAGAATTTACTCACTTCAATGTGGACAGTTTTCCTCTACCTGATTTGCTTTTCGACCCCGAAGGAACTATATTTGATATCCATTCTATCGAAAACTTCTTACCAGTATAACCTTTTACGAACTATATATGACTCATGAATATTCAAGCACCATAATGTTGTTGAGCACTTTCCAGGCTTGTATCGCTGTAGGGCATTCGTTGCTCAGATCTTGTAATATTAACTGAGCTGTCCTTATCAGACCCTGCACGGTCAATTCTAGACTTTCCTGTGTAGACCTGGATCTGACCTCAAGATGAACAAACAGGCGAGCAGCTGCAAGAATCCAGCATACCGAAAGATGTGAGTAATTGAGGAACCCTCCTTCGTGTAATTCGTAGTAAAGCTGGATTATATTTAGCGCTGCATGTTTCACAAGTTGCGGATTAAGAACTTCGTATCTAATCTCTGTTAATTCGAAAGATCCAAATAATTGAACCGACGATAACTCAGAACTAGGATTATGCAGATCGATGATCAACTGATAGTAAATTAGCTGGAGATAATTACCAAGAGGGAGAAGATTTCCGATGCTTAATTCATTGGTCGTATTTTTATGCCAATCATCAATCTGAACGCGTGTCTGTGCTCTCCAAACCTCCAAGTCATCTTGCGCAGAGCTGTCGAATAGTTTAGTCCTGATCAGAGACTGAAGGCGTCTAGCCTGAAAAAAGGCTTCAAAGATTTTCAAGTGATTTGAGTCGGAGCGTGTGGTGGCTCGAATTTGGCTGGTTATGTCACCGTCCACGAGGCTATAGGGAGTTCCTGAGTATGAGTTGATGATCCTGTCTAGAGAATAGCATGACCAGAAAAGGCGTCTTTCAAAACAATCATTTCCCTCGACTGTCTTTTCAACCTCTGCCAGATGCTCCTCCCTATGCAATCTTAGCTCAACAGCTAGACGCATAGCAGAGTTGATAGTGTACCAGATTCCAGGTGACACAGGCTTATAGAGACCAAAAGAAGATATTAATAGCAGGGACTGTAACATTAGTTTGGTATCTCGATGTTCTTTCAGATCTGGAAGGCATTTATTTAGCTTGTTCATTGCTTGGGTATAGTACTCTTCTGGTTTTGCTAATCCCTTTAGCCATTTTGAATTTTGCCCTACAACAGCGCTTCCAATAGCGAAAACCATGTGAAGTAGGTGCGACTCAAAATTAGTAAGTAAGTTTTCGTTTTCTTGCAGCTTCTGAATGAGATTATCAATACAGTCGCGGTCTTTAATTATTGGCAATTGTATCCACGCGTAGCGAAAATAGTTGTCCACCAAAATGACTGCAGAGTATTTTGAGGGCAGAAATGGTGCAGCATCATAAGAAGGCTTTCTACGGTCATAATATCCAAATAGGGTGTATCGCAGAAGTGCATTACTGACCTGGTTCTCCAAAGTGTTTGCTTGGTTCTTTTTGACACCACCTGTTGTTGGCTCATTGTAGGGTCGTTCAAGTCTTCGTATACCAAGACTCCTTTGTCGCTCCACATCCTGTTTGTAGTCCGGTTCCAAGTTGGGATCAACACCGAGTTTTTTCAAAATGATCTCGTAGCGAAGTACTTTGGTCTCTAGCTGAATCAGATAGTCACGGGGAACAAGTTTATTGAGATCGTTAGATCTCACCAAACATTCCACCCCAAGTCTCTCGCAACGACTACAGGCGGGCAACTTTGAGTCGCATTTGTGTTTTCCTAGCCGGCAGCGCTCGCAAGCAAGAGAAGACTTTTTTTGGCCCATGCTTCTTGATTCAGAGAAGACTATAATTCTCGTTTGTTTTATATACTATATTTACTAGTGCGCGACAAAATCCAATCATGACGTCTTATCTGCCGACAAATTATTTTTCATCTTTTGTTATCAAATTCATGTATGTTGCCGGATTTGGAAGATCTTGATCGCCATTCAAGATATTCCCCGACAGTCGTGACAGGATACATATATTTATTGTCGTCGCTAACGCATGATGGAAGTCCTTCCATAACATAGTTCTGGTTGAGGCCAAAGAAGAACGGCATAGAGTATCTGGCCTGACCACTTTCATTCACAACTCTGTGTACAGTGGAGCTAAGCCTATTGTTGCTGAGGCGCATGAGACAGTCGCCGACATTGACGACCAGAGAACCTGTTAGCGGCTGAGCTTTAATCCATTGGCCTTTTTTGTTCAGCACCTGAAGTCCACCTACATTCCCTTGATTGACTAAAGTAATAAAATCGAAATCTGTGTGCGCACCAAGCCCATTTTGGTCGTTGGCAGAAGCTTCTTGTTTTGGGTAGTGTGCTATCCGAAGCCCAGCCGTCGGATATCTGATAGCATCGTCAAAGTAATCAGGCGAAAGTCCTAGTGCCATGGCTATAAGCTTAACCAACCTTCTTGAAAACTTCAGGCATTCTGCATGATAGGCTTCAATATGGAGCTTAAATTCGGGAAGGTCTTCATCTGGCCAAAGATTGATGAAATTTGACTGCTTTGCATCTGGCTTCGATGGTTTATCAGGGTCATAGCGGTAGTCGTAATTGATATTGAACGCTTCCATCAAGTCCGATAATTTCTTTTGGCTCTTATTCACGCTACCGAAAGGGAAGTAGCCCTGATACTGAGAATCAGGCAAAAGCGCTGTGTCGATTTTCATCTTTTGAGCAGTTGTTAATCCGTGAAAAAACTTCTTAGACCATTCAAAAGCATTTGCTGTCACGTCTTGCGGAATTCCATGATTTACAGCATAAAAGAAGCCCACTGTGCTGCAGGCAACGTAGATTTTCTCGGCCAGTTTACGGCGAGCATTCGCGTCCTCAGATAGCAGTTCTGAAAAATCAATAATAGGTATCGAGTCAAAATCTTCTATGCTTTGGGCATGATCACTGCAGATTTCAACGTATCGTCCTGTTTCAAGGCGAAACATTTTCTTTCAGCTCTTCTAGTTACGACCCAAGAGGTTTGATTGACGCCACTTATATAGTGCCATTCTCGGTTTTTAGCTCAGGCAATTTTATGTGTTTATTCTTTGAAAAAGCTTATCTTGCTTACTTTAAGATACCAATTTCTTATTTTGGAAAATATATATGCAGGGTCGGATCATCCCGCTTTAAAGATATCCATTGATATCGGAAAACTCGCATAGGTTAGCAAATTAGGTGATAATGATAACAGATCCTGCTCAATGTCACTACAAAAGCGCGCTTCAAGTACACACTCTAATTTCAGTTTACCACATCACCAATAGAATACCTATAAGGATGAGCAATTTGTTGGTGTTTTCTATATAAAACCACTAGTTCACCACAAGCAAGGAAGAAAGACAACACAGATTTTAAAATGAAAGACATCAAAAACGCGCTTTGTAAACAGCTATTAACTAAGGAAGGACTCATTGGTGATTATAATTACAAGCACCTCTTTACTCCCAAGGTTCCGCATTTGCGTTTCTGGAAGAAAAGACCCCCACAAGACGATGCCGTTAATCAGCCGTTTTTCGCAGTGGACCAACCCATGCCTATCCTACTGGGAATGATTTTGGGTTTTCAACATGCGTTGGCAATGTTAGGTGGTGTTATGGCACCACCGTTGTCAATAGCTTCATCAGCGAACCTTTCTGATGCTGACCAACAATATCTTGTCTCTTGTGGTCTCATAGTTTCGGGAATTCTCACGGCTGTTCAAGTTGCGCGTGCAAGAATATGGAAGACAAACTATTATATTGGTAGTGGTCTTATCTCAGTGGTGGGTATCTCGTTTACAACTGTCACGATCACCTCCAATGCCTTTCCAATGATGTATAACTCTGGCTTTTGCCCTGTTGATGCTAGCGGTGCAGAACTTCCGTGTCCTGATGGTTACGGAGCCATTATTGCGACAGGATCTGTTTGTGCCCTTAGTGAAATTGCTATCTCATTTTTACCTCCAAAGGTGATCAAGAAACTATTTCCGCCCATCATCACGGGCTCAGTTGTCGTTGTTATTGGCTTATCATTGGTGAAAAGTGGATTCAAAGATTGGCTTGGTGGATCGGGTTGTATGTCGAGCGACTATTGTCCAAGTGCGAGTGCACCACATCCACTGCCCTGGGGTTCGGCTGAGTTCATTGGGCTTGGTTTCCTTGTCTATGTCAGCATCATCGCTTTTGAGAAGTGGGGAGCGCCAATCATGAAATCCTGCTCTGTCATCTTAGGACTGCTAGTTGGATGTATTGTGGCGGCTGCGTGCAATTACTTTGATAATTCATCCATTTCAAGCGCACCTGTTGCTAACTTCTTGTGGGTTAAGACTTTCAAGCTGAAAGTTTATGGCCCAGCGGTACTCCCAATGCTTGCAATGTACAGCACTTCAGCATTACAAGCCATTGGAGACATCACTGCAACTTGTGATGTTTCTCGAGTTGAAGTAGAAGGCCCGCAGTTTCAATCCCGGATCCAGGGATGCCTTCTTGCAGATGGTGTCAGTGGGGTCTTGTCTGGTCTTTTCACTCTCACTCCTGTGGGCACATTTGCTCAGAACAATGGAGTGATTTCCATTACTAAGTGCGCAAACAGAAAAGTCGGATATTGGTGCTGTTTCTACCTCATCGTAATGGGTGTCTTCTCCAAATTTGCAGCAGCATTGGTTGCAATTCCAAAAGCAGTGCTTGGTGGAATGACTACATTCCTATTTGGATCCGTGTTTGCCTCTGGGCTCAGTATCATTGGCCTTTGCAAGTTTACGAGGAGAGATAGATTTATTCTAACCGGAGCTTTAGTTCCTGGATGTGCCGCTGTTCTGATTCCGACATGGTTTGACAACGTGTTTACATATTCCGGGTCAAATGATGCTCTTACGGGGTTCCTTCAAGCAATTATTATGGTCATGGAAACTGGATATGCTTTGACTGCCGTGTTGGGGGTTATACTCAACCTTATTATTCCTTGGGCTGAAGATGACTTTGAAGCTTACGGCATCTCGGAGAACGTTGAACTCGAAAATGTGAGCAACGTAAACGTTTTGATGGGACCTAAAGAACTTGAAAGTCAGGGCTTGTAGGTTAAATTTTATAGGGGCTATATATCATTGGATTAGTTGCCGTGAACTGAAAACCGAAAGGCTCTTCCTCAATTTGGGCGCACACTGCTTGATTGTGAACTGCAATCTCAAACAAAAGCGTGGCGTCAGCAAAAGGCGCTAGTCCTTTCTTGCACATTGGGTCCACATATTAATCCTGAGTTTATAGTTTTCCTGATACAGCAACGAGCTTTTGAGGAGTCTGATTATGGCTGTGGCTATGATTGTGTCCCGGTCCATGATGGTGCAGAGAATGCTGTATGTCGTGCACAATGTTCTTAACAATCGTATTTTCTTTTTCGTTCTTTGCGCCAGAGGACTCAGAGTCGTCAATCTCTTCTGATTTTGAAGTTTCCGATGGGGCGTCATCTTCACCACTAGATTTCTCACTTTCATCTTCGAGAGCCTCCTCAGTTTTTGTGCCGATTTTGGATTCGACTACAGCCTCGTCCGCTTCTTCTTCTTCTTCCTCATTTTCTAACATTAACCATGGCTCAAATGGATCCTCAAAGGCTTTGTTGAGCTTTTTTTCAATGTCCAGCAGACCGTTAGCATTTTTGACAATGCCGTCAAATCTTTCCATTTCCTCATCAGTCAACAAAGCACTGTCAAGAGCTTTCGTAATTTGCTCTTTATCAATCGAAAGACCAATCATCACAATTTCTTGACGTCTGTCGCCGTGGGCTCCCTGGAAATCTTGCAAAATCATCTCGACGGCTTTTGGGTCCTCCGGCCAAAATTCTCTGCTGACGGCAAACCATGGCATACCTCCTTTCAAAGTGAGCATTGTACCCGCATGACTCCATTCACCTCTCACAATGTACCTGGAAGCGATCCAGAAGTCACCTTTAGAACGAAGGAGGGGACCAAACGCAGAATTCTTTTTGTTCTCGATAGTAGTCTTCTCATCCTCTTCCTCCTCATCTTCCTCATCATCGTCCTCTTCTTCGTCATCTTCATCTTCATCATCGTCCTCACTGTTCTTTGTATCATCAAGCTGTGTCTGCTCAATAACATAGAACTTATTGACGACAAGGTCATAAAGTCTTTGCGGATGGAAAGGTTTCCGAGCCGTGTACACAAAGTTGTTGATACCATACTCCTCGGTTTCAGGCTTCGGGGCCAGTCTGCTAGATTGGTTGTCTCCAAATTTTCCCTCACGGATGCTCATCTCCTTGATGCTCTGTAGCCACCCTGCAGATGTAGTTGCCTTTTCAAAATCATACAGGCCGGTATTGAGAATGTGTTTGAGGTCAATTTTGCAGTAATCGGTCTTGTATACCTTAGCCACCGGGTTCAATTGATGGACAATCTTTTCAATGTCGGCGATTTTCTTTTTTGAAATTCCACTCGTTTTGTTCAAGATAATGACATCACAGAACTCGATCTGATCGACCATCAAGTCTGTAATGGTTCTTTCTGCTTCACCTTGGCCGTTATCACCCCATCTGTCAGCAAGGAATTCGATTGTCTCAAAGTTTTCTAGAAAATTAATGGAATCAATCACTGTGACACAAGTATCAAGATATGCGAGCTTGGTCAGGCCCCCAATATCGATGATCTCTTTCAAGACCTTTTCAGTATTTTTGTCCACCATCTCTTCAGGGATGCCGGCGTCATTTTGAAGCAGAGCTTCAGTAAATTCGGTAGTGAAAGTTTCAGCTACCTGCATAGGCTCAGAGATACCGGTACTCTCAATCACAATGTAGTCGACATCCTGCGATTTTGCAAGAGACGTAAGTCCTTTCAAAAGGTCTCCCCTGAGAGTGCAGCAGATGCAACCATTCTGAAGTTGGACCAGCTTCTCTTCCGTATTATGAACCTTATGGTTTCTAATGAGCGACGCATCAATATTCAGCGAAGACATATCATTGATAATGACAGCAATTTTGTAGCCATGGGATGCAGTAAGGATGTGCTCCAGAAGGGTGGTCTTCCCTGAACCTAGGAATCCAGAAAGCAAAGTCACTGGAATAGGTCCTTTTTGTTTAGAAGTAGCTGTCTTGGCCTTTGTGGCTTTCTTGGACTTGCTAATTCTACCCATTTGACTAACAGTTCTGATATAAGGACCTCTAAGAAGTGTAAACTACGTGAACCTTAAGATTTTAGGCACAGACTTGAGACGCACTGAGGAGAATCGAGATATTTATACCCAACGGAATTTAACCCTCATGAACTCTGCATATAACCAACTCAGCATGCTATTTACATGCACGATGTTACATCCTTCATACCCAAAGATGGCTTTCAAACACTCCAGAGAGCCTCTAAACAAAGGTTTGAATCAAGTAAAATCATACCAAAAACACCTTCGTGGTACTGGGGATCCTGCAACCCCTCCTCACACCTCCATAAAACTCGACATTTTAGACATGGTGTTACTAAAGTGAGGCATCTGATTGGACGTTTCCGCAGGTGCTTATATAAACCATGCATATCCAAACGTACTAGCTCATGCACGACGACATCTAATCCATGACAATACTTCCAAAAGTTATTGGCGAAAGATATATTCCATGCCAGGTGCACGAAAATAGATATAATAACACATAGCCGTGATTTAATCTCGAAAGGTGCAAGGGGCACCTCAATTATTTTTAAAAAAAGACTTCGATAGAGGCATTTCAAGACTTTCGGCACAGTATACTTCGGCCTTTTTAGTTGACATTATGTTCGGCGACACAGCACTGCGTATGTCACGGGTTTCGAATCAACAGAACGTCACGGTCCAAGTTTAATATGGTGCCTGGTTAGAACGGTATGAAAGTATAATGTAATTACCTTGCGAAAACGCCTGAGACGGCACATCGGTGTCACAGGGTGTAAGTTACACATGTGACACAGTGTCACATGACTAGAAAAGATTGATTAGTCATATATTATATACGCACGTCACATGCTCTGGATTTTTGGTACGTCCTGTGCGGCGTTGCATGCCTACCACGGGAATGTAAAACGAACCCTTTATTTTTGTAGATATGCATGCCGTTCAATGCGGCAGGCTTACTCGATTTGACAACTGTAGAATGGCAATGCACGGTATAAATGTATACATCCTGCCTTTTGGCAGCAACGTCTGCCTATAGACTTCGCCCCAACCAGGTCAGATACGCGAAAATCAGCGCTCAGCGGGGTAAAGCGGAACATTTGATTGGGGAATCTTGTTGCGGAGTAGGTATCGCTAAAATCTTCAACCTTGTCCGTGCATCAGGTAATATGCAACTACCGAGATTTCGGGGTCGGGTGAAGGAATGCAATTGTCGCTGTGCATCGATTTAGGTAGTTGGAGATAGCGGTAGACGTATTGCTCTCAAAATGGCAATTTTAGCATATCTATAGTTCTATGGTCTGACACCGCAGCCTCGTGGTCTGGGGCTCTGGATAGAATGGCTTCAGAAGGATGACTTTGAGGTGGCAGTCCAGTTACCTCAAGTTCATTTCCTTTCTAGGCGTTTTGGATGCGTTTGGGATGCGATCACAAACAACAACATCTACAAGCCTTGAATCAGAAACAGACAAGATAGATTCGACAAGCTGATGACATCACACATCGTGTTATTAAATATGCAGACCTGCACCGCGAACTTCTTTGGGCGAAATTTCCGGGGTACGAAAGTACACGCATGCAGAATTCATGAATATGACGTAATTTATCTCGACTTCCCTCTCCTCCAAAATAGGCTGAATAGTATAGAATGCGTGACAGGCTAAACGCATGTGGGGGACGAAAGCGGAGATATAAATATGGATGGTTCCCTGATCAACTTCTCAGAGTTTGGCATTGAGCGCAAGCCTTGACGGGAAATAGAGTTACTCGAAATGGTCAAACTTCAATCGTATTACCCTCTCTTCCGCCCTGGGAAGCCAACCCAACATATATTGACGGTCACCTGCATGTTCGCATTTATCCTGTATGGGTTTGAACAGGGAGCATTAGCAAATGTGCAGAACGAGGTCGTTTTTCAAAGCCAATTTGGCCATCCCCAAGGAAATTATCTCGGAATTATAGTTGCGATCTACAACCTAGGAAGTTTTTTTGGTAGCATGGCAAACATCTGGATCGGTGATAAGTTAGGCAGAAAGCGGGCCATCTGGCTGGGATTCACCTTGGTGACCATTGGAGTCATTCTGCAATGCAGCTCGTACAGTGTGGTTCAACTCTTCATCGGAAGATTCATTTCTGGCCTCGGAACAGGATTTGAGACAAGTACAACACCGATGTATCAGTCTGAAGTATGCCACGAGAACCATAGAGGTGGCCTGGTGGCCGCAGAACCTCAAGGTGTCGCATTTGGTATCACTGTGTCGTACTGGATTGGCTACGGTTGCAGCAAAAGAACAGATCAGGTTTCATGGAGACTTCCAGTAGGTATTCAGATGCTTTTCGCGGTACTCGGGATTGTGATGTTATTCTTCTGCCCTGAATCTCCAAGGTGGTTAATGAAAGTTGGAAGAACACAAGATGCAAGGTACTCACTAGCAACGATTAATGGTGTGCCAGAGGATCATCCGCGGATTTCTGCCATCATTGACGACATTCTCTATCTTCAAAAAATCGAAGGTTCAGGCGATAAAATCACCTGGGGTGATATTCTTATGGGCAGAGATGCCATGCACGGCCGGTTTAGAATCATGCTTACTGTATTTGGTCAGTTCTGGAACCAGTTCGGAGGCATCAACTTGGTGGTTTACTATGTGCCAATGGTGTTAGAGAATAACGTTGGACTAAGTTCAAACCTCGCGACAATTCTGGGTGGTTGCATTATGCTGACCTTTTTCGCAACCGGATTTATCCCTACGCTGTTTTTGGATAAGATGGGAAGACGTTTTGCCATGGCATCCGGTTCCGCTGGACAATGTATTTCAATGCTTCTCGTCACTATCCTTTTGCGTGTTGGTACCAAAGAATCGTCAGTCGCCGCAACTGCATTCTTCTTCACGTTTATTGGGTTCTTTGGCTATGCTATGAACTGTGTTCCATGGGTTTATGCTGCTGAGGTGCTGCCATTGCAACTTCGTGCCAAAGGTAATGCAATCAGTGTCGCAACGAATTGGATTTGCAATTTTGTGATTGCGATGATCACTCCGATCATGACTCAAAATCTGGCTTGGAAGACATACATTGTCTTCACCTTGACGAACGCTGTTGCAACTATTCACTTTTTTGTCTTCTATCCTGAAACCTCCAAGAGAACCCTTGAAGACATTGAGAACATATTCCTCGATTCTCATACCATCTTCTACGGTCTCCAAGAGATTAAGAGGACTCCAACAGAACGCCTTACGGAAAAGCTCATCGATATCGAGCACGTTGAAAGTGTAGAAGAGGGCTCACCCGAGAGCGACTAAGTGTGATAAGTATGCCTAAATCGAGCAAAGATCCCGCTGATGAAATCTAGCTATTCGACCATTTGACTAAACGTCTCAGCAGAGTAGAAGCATGGTAATCAACGGCCAGGCTTGGCAGCATATGTAGAGTGAATTACTTGCATCACGTTTCGGAATCAACAAGTGAAAATATCGCTATTATTTTTTCAAAACCCAAAAAGAAAGTGAGCCTAAGGAAGGTACTTCGAGAATCAATTTAAGCTTCTTTCCGGATGGTCTCATTCAATGAAGCACCCGATGAGTCCATTCGCTCGCCACTGCTACTGCTAAACAACGTGTACTGTTATAACCGTGTCAATTGGTAGACGGCATCAACAAAGGGACTAGGGCTAAAAGACCCTGCAATAATCACGCGTTGTTTGGATTCGCTACTACTACATCTGCTTTAGGAAGTGTTTCTTCGGTAATTAAATGCCGATTTTGAGTCTCAGCTCTCGAACTCTGCCAAAAGCGGATATTCGGGCAAATTCTAGTGCTATTAATATGGTCTATAAACAGGCGGATTGTATTGATTGATGGGTCCTATTGGACGACCTGCCCGTCATAACACCAATTCAGAAACCCTAAATAGGGTTTTTTACCTAATTGAACCAAAATCAAAAACTTTTCATCGCGTACCTGCAGATATTCCTCATTTCATATAAAAACAACTACAGAAGCTACCATAGTGGTTATGTTCTGACCATTTTTCGTTTCCAAATTTGTGCCGAAGAACTGCTGTAGAGCGGATAGAATTTTTGGGCGGCCGTTCTCGGGGTTATGATCAGGGCTATATAAAAGCCCAACCTTATTGCCTTAGTTTCAATACATTTGCTTTCGAGGTAAACTACTTTGATACCATAATGAAGTTCTCCATTTCCGCCGTTGCTCTCGTTGCTGCCAAGGCTAGCGCCATCACCTTCTATGCCTCTAACTCCTCAACTGCTCTGGAGGAGTTTGCCGTCTCTGGTGTTACTGGATGGTCGAACCCTCAGTTTGCTTCCATCTACCACACCTGTAACGAGACTAATGCCAGAATGATCCGCGCTGGTCTCAAAGATTCTCTGGAGGCTGCTGCCTACGCCAGAGCCCGTCTGACCGAGTACGGAAGGACGATGAGATCTACGAGAGATGGTTCGGAGATGGAAGCATCTACGAGGTCATCGGTACCATTGACTGGCTTGTCGAGGCCTCTAAGGACAGTCTTCTCTACAGATGTGACGACATTGACGGAGAGTGTGCTGCAAACCCAACTACTTACCCAGGATACCACCGTGAGGATGCCCCAGGAGAGACCGTTATCTGCGATCTGTTCTACACCTCCAAGAAACCTCTCGCAAACATGTGCTTCGATGGCACCATCGTTAGCACTGGTCCAAAGCATTATGCTGGTATTGATCTGCTGCATCGTTACCTGCATGTTCCATACATGAGCTCTGACGGTTACATTGCCGAGTACTTTGAGGAGCTTGACGAGATCCTTGATGTTGCCCAGACTAACTCCAGTTTCGCAGTCAGAAACGTTGACAGCTTCTTGTACTACATTGCTGAGGTCTACTCTGAAGCCGTTATTCCAGGCGGATGTCTTGGTGACCTCTAATGGCCGTGTCGAGGATTTCAAAACAAAATTTTCAGTTCTTCTTCGTCTTTAGATTTTAATTAAGCTCTAGATTAATTTGACCCAAAATTTTAGTCTTGGTCAATTCATATTGTAAGAAAGTAGCATGACCTTCTTTCTTGGCCAACCATACCTCCGGAGGGCGGCAGAATCTTCCAGAAGTATTTCTAGTTTACCGATGAGGTGAAGCTCTGCAGCTGTGTCATCAGATGCACCAAAACGCATCACCTAATTTCTCCATTTTGGGAAAGACCTTCAAATTAAAGGGTCCATTTTGTACTATGCAGGGTCGAGAGTTGCATTTTGGCCCCGCAAAATTTTGTTTGAAGAGCGAACTGAACAGGCATTATGAGATGCATTTTTTTTACCACTGCGGTGCAAAAGGATTGCCTTTTGCACCTATTCTGGTAACCAAATCTGCGACTTGTCTAAAGAGGATATGTACGGTAACGAATGTGGCGCCTCGAGGTCGAGAAAGTCAAGATTTTGCAGCCGAAGACCACCATATCTCGAGGCATCTAACCACCATGGTCGTAGCTGAAGTCCGGGCATATTTCCTATAAAAGGTCGTCCAAGATACCACCTTAGCATCGCACTGAGTAGAGAGCATATACCAAACTTGATATCCAGCATGAGATTCTCTTTCACTTCTTCCGTTTTACTTGCTACGCACGCTGCTGCAGCCACCTTCTACGCGAGCAACTCCACAAATGCACTTGAAGAGTTATCACTCAGCGGTGCATACGGCTGGTCAAGCCCTCAATTTGCCCCAATCCTTCACACTTGCAATGAGACTTACACTAGAATAATCAATGCTCATCTACAAGATTCGTTGGAGGCGGCTGCCTTCGCCAGAAACCGTCTGATGGAGTACGGTAAAGATGACGAAATCTTTATGAGATGGTTCGGTGACGGAAGCATCTACGAGGTCATCGGTCTGCTCGACTATCTTGTTGAAGCAAACAAGGATCAAATCAGCTGGCGTTGCGATGACATCTCCGACAAGTGTGATCCTAACCCTACCTGGGGAGGGTACAGTTATGAAGAGTCTCAAAACGTGCTTTGCCCATACTTTTTCCAGGAAAGAGTTGCTCTCTCGAAAATGTGCTTTGATGGCACGATTGTTGAGACTACTCCAAAGCACTATGGTGGAATTGACATGCTGCACCGCTACCTCCATCTTCCTGCTATGAACACGGAGTATATCCAAGAGTACTATGAGGAGATCGACGAAATCTTAGACTTGGCGCAGAATAATGCCACCTTTGCCACCAGAAATGTTGACAGTTACCTGTACTACATTGCAGAGGTCTATGCCGAGTCTGTGGTTCCAGGCGGATGTCTTGGAGATTTGTAGTTCAGTTCTAGAACATCACTTTCTTAAAACAATTTTTCTTTAATAAAACGTTCCATCCCTGGCCAGGGTTACCTTTAGTTCCCCATGTACCTTTCCACAGCCAAAAGCAGGAGATTCGTAGGGCAGAAGCAAAATTCTCGATTCTCCACATGAGATAATTTTGATCTTTTTGATGAATCATTGACGTACCTATGACCGCAAACAACCATGTGCATATCGAAGAGGTTTGGGAATGGAACGCCAACTTTTCCAGGTCTTTTGCTGGCATCCATTCTGGGGTAAAGAAGTTTTGTGAGCAGGCAGTAGACAGCCTTCGCCATAATCCGAGCTGTGCAACAGCTATCCTCAAGTTTTCTTCGCACATGTTTCGGTTGAACAAACTTGACATCTGGTGGAAGCAAAGACACAATAAAGTATTTGGCTGCACTATGAACCTGTACAGCCAGTGCCTCATGCTGTGGATTAAATAGGTAATAGTGCCAAAGCCAACTAGCTTTTGCAACCAATTCAATTGCACACAGTGCAACACCCACCATGGGATTGTTCATCCAGGGTACGGGACACTGGTAAAGAGGGGTCTTCAGAAATGGACGAAACTCGTTGAAAATATCAAAAGGTGATCCAAGCTCTAATAGCCATTCTTTTTGACAGAGAACTAAAATGATAGAGTAGTTGAAGAGAAAACTTTCTAACAGTGTTCTATCAGTGGATCTTAATGGTACCTGTTTCTCTTCAACCACAGGATGCGATATATCATCCAAGTAGTCTAAAGGAGGCGGCTCTTTCACTCTAATGATTGCAGAAATAGCTGGCCAACTTCTTATGACTTCAAGAGCCAATTTGAGGTATGTCACTGTCCGAAACGTGTTGTTTCCGTGATATTTCTCGCGCAGACACAAGTATATCCGCTACGGCTGCAGGCTGAAGAAATTGGTTTGTCTCGCAACATTTCACTTTCCTGTTACGACCTTGATGGATTGTTAACGTCAATATTTATCAAACAATCACTGTCAGACTTACAAGACAAACAGCCGGCCGACCTCTTTCTCCTTGTTGTGCGTACAAGTTTTTGCTCTTTTTTGTCCATCGTCCGTTCATTGCAACACTTTTAGTTAAAACAGCCTACGTACTCTTATGCACTAAATATTGGATTCAAGTCTTATCAACATTTTTTTCGCCAGGAACGACAATTCTTACGCAGTAGAGATGCGTGGTCATGCGGCTGGATGGATTTCAATCTATACCTACCACCTACACCCTGTACTTTGCAACTCTCCATTCACTACACCTTCTATATCATCCATCCCCCTCGCGCTCATTGCGACGAGTTCAGCGCGCTCCTCAGCTGGCCTACCGTCCCACTGCACGCCGGCACGTGTTTCCATTTGTCCCTCGGACGGCCCACGCCCCACTGCTCATCGCTGTCACCCACCTTCCCAAACCCGCCGCCCCCAGGGGTCAGTACCTTCACGATGTCCCCCTTGCGGATCGCAATCTCAGCAAGCGACGGCAGCTGGATCCACTGGATCACACCGCCCCTATTGCGCCCAAGATAATTCTCTCCCCGCTTCCCGTTTTCGCCCCCGTAGATGCCCCACGGAGCAAAAACCCGCCGCTGGGTCACCAGCGACACGTGCACAGGCGACGAGAACTGGATCTCTCTGATCAGACCGTCTCCCCCGTTCCATTTTCCGCGACCGCCACTGTTCTTCCGAATGCAGTACTGCAGCAAAACACAGGGATACCGCTGCTCCAGAATCTCCGGGTCTGTGATCTTCGTATTCGTCATGTTGGTCTGCGTCCCCGAGAATCCGTCGAACCCTACCCTGACCCCGTCCTGTTCCACAATGCCTGCACAGTTGCCCTGCCCAATTGTCTCCGTGTATCCAAAGCCCTTGACAAGCTCTCCTTTCTCGTTCTGGCCCCCGCTCCCGAAGTTCAGTCCGTTCATGCAACCTCCCGTGGCAGAGGTTACACCAAAGGCCTTAAATAAACAGTCTGTAACCCTTTGCGAGGTCATGCCGTTACCTGCACAAACAGCAGCATATTTGCTCGGATTGATTAGCGAGTTTTCTGGAATAACCAATGTACAAGGGTCTAAGCAGCCCTGGTTGAGTGGGATATCAAGATTGACCAGACATCTGAGAACATAGATGACTGCAGAGGCTGTGACAGACTTGGGAGCATTCAAGTTGCTGTAAGACTCAAGGGATGTTCCAGTGAAATCAAAGACAGCTGACCCGTCTTGTGGGTTGATGTCAATTTTGACCTGCACTTGTGTTCCGTCGTCAAGGAAGTCAACGGCCCTCAACGGCAGTCTGTCAGCGTTTTCCCTAGCAAACTTCATCAGAAATTTCCGCACTCCCATTTCAGCAGTCTTCTTCACATTTCGCATATAGAATAAAACAGTTTCGCTTCCATACTCGTTGAACAGTTCCTTCAAAAGATTGATACCGCGCTGGTTTGCTGCAATCTGTGCTTTCAAATCTGAAATGTTATCATCAATGTTTCTTGTTCCGGAAACACCATACTTAGTTGGTGCCACGTTAAAATGATAGTCAAGCCCCTCGTAATCTAGCTTTCCCTTTTCCACAATTTTCCATGTCTCAATATTAACACCTTCCTCGTAGATTTCTCTCGCGTAGGACGACGACGACCCAGGAGACGATCCACCAATCTCCGAATGGTGTGCTCTGGCTGCGACCACAAACTGGATTTTGTTCTCGTAGAACACAGGAGAAATCACTGTAATATCCGGAAGATGAGTTCCACCGACGCTTGGAGAATTTGTGCACAAAATGTCGCCTTCGTGAAGGTCACTATTCCAATACTCAAGCTGGTACTTGATAGCGCTAGACATGGACCCAAGATGGACCGGCACATTAGGGGCATTTGCTGTCAGGTTTCCTTCATTGTCAAATAAAGCACAGGAGAAGTCTAGTCGTTCTTTGATGTTGGCACTCACAGCTATTTTTTGCAGTGTACGAGCCATGTCCTCTGCAATAGACATAAATCTATTGCTGAAAATCGAAAGCTGGATGGGATCAATATAGTCGGTGCTGACCTGACTTTTGGACTCCACATTGACGTCCAAAACCACATGTCTTGGAAGAATGGTGGCAAATGCATCGGGAGTTACCACTATGGTTTGTGTCTCATCCAAAATAAGTGCTGGACCAGCTACCACAGTTCCAGGGGCGAGCTTCTCCAAAAGATACACTTTGGAATCAAGAGCACCCTCGTCAAAAATAACAGGAGTGGTTTTTTCTTCAACTCCGGACTCAACAGGAACTTTTGCAACTGAGGCATAGTCTTTATATGGAGACCTTTCATTTGTTTCACCAAATGTATTACCAGTGCTTCTAACTCTGACATCGGTAATCAAAACAGGTTTGTCATAGTCATTGAAAGCAAACTCCCTTTGGTGGGTCTCATAAAACACCGATAGAAAATCATCATCTTCTGGTCGTGCAACCATGATTCTGGTATCCGAGCCCTTATAGCCCATATTAAGGTAAACTGTCGAGAATACAGTCTCTGAGTTAACACCTTGAGCCTTCAGCTCCATGAGAGCTTTTTCCTTCAACTTTTCCGCTTGTTTGATTAGTTCATCTCTTGCGGTCTCAGAATAAACTTTTGCACACGGAATCTGCTGTTCATTGACAACATCCGCTAAAGATATACCATACGCGGATAGGATGGACGAGTGCTTGTGAATGAGTACCTTCTTTATCTTTAAAATCTTGGCAATTGATGCGGCGTGCTGTCCTCCAGCGCCACCAAAGGAGGCCAGAGAATGAGCAGATGCGTCATGCCCTTTGGCTTCAGTCAACTCTCTAATTGGCTTTGCCATTTGGTAGTTGGCAACCTTCAAAAATCCAAGGGCGATTTCATGAGGAGTTTTGGGGAAGCCCGGATTGTCTCCGTTGATGATCTGCGCTAGTTGCTCGAACTTCTTTTTGGTGATGGCATAGTCCAAAGGTTCATTTTCGCCCGGACCAAAGATTTTGGGGAAAAACTCGGGCAAAATTCTACCTGTGAATAAATTAGCGTCCGTCACGGTCAATGGTCCGCCTTTCTTGTAGCACGCAGGTCCTGGATGAGCAGAAGCTGACTCAGGTCCGACCTTGAACACACCATTGACATATTCAAGAATGGAACCACCTCCAGCAGCGACAGTGTTGATGTCTAACTGGGGAGCAGCAATATTTATCCCAGCGGTGATTGACTCAAACGAGAATTCAAACTCACCCGCATATCTCGAGACGTCTGTTGATGTTCCTCCCATATCGAACCCAATTACAGGAATCTTGTTGTCTTCGTCGTAGCACGTTTTTGCCTCACCAACAACACCTCCAGCAGGTCCAGAAAGCAGTGAACGAAGTCCCGAAAAGTTTCTCCAGGAACACAGTCCACCATCAGATTGCATGAACTCGACTCTGGTGTGCTTCTCAAAACCCGGCTCAAACCCAGCTAAAAAATTGTCAATGTACTCCTTCACTATAGGGGTCAAATAGGCATCGACAACCGTTGACTGCCCTCTGGGAAGCGTTTTGATGACTGGTAGCAGCTCATGAGAAAGCGAAACATTTCCAAATCCAAGACTTTTAGCGATCTCTCCTGCCTGCTTTTCGTGCTCCTGGTAATTGTAACCGTGTATAAAAACAATAGCAACAGAATTTATACCTTCCTCTTTCAACTTTATTAGATCACGGGTCAATTTTTCAGTGTCCAACGGCTTGATGATCTCAAACACTTCTTTTGTTTTGCCTTCAACATACTTTTGGCCATCCAGAAGATCACGTGCATCATAGCCAGTTGGGTCAACCAAAAATGCTGGCATAGTGACGCGCTCATCTGCTTCCACCACCTTTTCGAAGAGAACACCTGGCTTCACAATGTTAAGCGCGAACAGGTCTGGCCGTGATTGATCTCCAATATGAAGCAGATCTTTGAATCCTTTGGTAGTCACCAAAGCACATCTTGACCCCTTGCGTTCCAGAAGGGCGTTGGTGGCCACTGTGGTTCCTAAACGAATTGAGGAAATGGAGGAAGTATCGAGAAGCTGGTTTCTGGGTATGGTTTTGCCAGATGTCAGTTCTAAAACTCTTCTGATACTTTCAATGTTTGCATCTTTGTAATTTGAAGGATCAACCGATAAAAGCTTGAACGTGCCTTCTTTCTTCCCGAATTTGTATATCACGTCGGTGAAGGTTCCACCACGATCAATAGCTATACTGATTCCTGTCTCATTAATAGTCATGGTGTAGATATTGAATAGACAAAAAGTGTGAAAGCAGGAGCTGGATTATTTAATATATTTAAGCTGATAAAGCTGATAGCTAGAGATAAGGGGGCAGCTCGTGACGAGGGGAAATCAATAGCGCCGCGCGGGTTAATCAGTTTTTTTTCAGAGGCAGGTCGAGACGAGCTAACGCGATCGTTGGAAATAATTTCTTTTCGTTATTCAGATGACCAACTAACATTATCGAGTCACTTATCTTGGGCTTCCCCGGACTGACAATGAGTATTTTAAGTTGACAAATTGCCCTTCATCGCTTATCACTTTTTCAAAATGACTTCGACTGATTTGCCTGAAAAAGATGCCTTTTTGGCGGTCACCACTCAAAAATCAATCGTTGATGATCCTAGTGCAGACAAAGCTCTTCGATTTCTTGCTGAACATAGCGGTAAGTTTGAAGAGCTTACTCCAGCCGAGGAAAAATGGGCCATTAGGAAGACCGACTTGATTCTACTCCCAACACTCTTCTTCACGGCTACCATGGGTGCGGTTGACAAAGTGTCTCTCAGTACGGCCGCAATCTTTGGATTCAAAACCGATAACAACCTGGTTGGACAGCAGTACTCCTGGCTGGGATCTATCGTATTCATAGGTTCTCTCGTCGGGATGTGGCCGATGTCTTATCTATTGCAGAGGTTCAGAATCGGCAAGGTTATTGCCTCCTGCTCGATAATCTGGTCTGCATCCACGCTTTTATTGTGTGCGTGCCATGAGTTTATTGGTCTTGCTACTCTTCGTTGCCTGATGGGTCTTGTTGAGTGTGCGATTGTTCCTGGTTGCTCGCTGATGATTGCTAGCTTTTATCTGAAATCTGAATCTCCTCACCGCACGGCATTCATTTTCATGTTTGCATCGTCAGTGATCAATGGAGCTCTGTCTGCTCTTGCCACAACGTTTGGCAGCGCAATACCTACTTGGAAGTATATCTACCTCCTGGTTGGTTCTATTTCTTTCGTGTGGTCCTGCATTATCTTTTGGTTCTTGCCAGACTCTCCAATCAACGCCAAATTCTTGACCGAGCGCGAGAAGGTCTTTATGGTTAAACGTGTTGCTGAAAATGCTACCGGTGTTGAGAACAGCTCATGGAAATGGGAGCAAGTCAAGGAGGCGTTTTTAGACGTGCGAGTCTACTTGATTATGCTTTTCAACTTTGGTATTAACATTCCTAATGGTGGACTGAGCACTTACAACTCTATTATCATTAACAACCTTGGTTTTACTCCTGTCAAATCTGCTCTTATGGGTATTCCTACTGGTGTCATTGCTTCTCTCGCAACTTTCTTTTTCACCTGGCTCGGAGCTCGCTGGAAGAACAGGAGATGCCTGGTTTCTGTTATTTCTCTGATTATTCCACTTATTGGGTCTATCATTCTCTACGCAGTTGACCAAAAAAAGGTTGGTCCTCAACTATTAGGTCTCTACCTGATGTACTTTTACTTTGCACCATATGTGGTGATGATGTCCTGCGTTCAAGCAAACACTTCTGGAAGCACCAAAAAATCTGTCACATATGGCTTCAACTACCTTGGTTACTGTGGGGGGGCTATTACGGGTACACAAACGTTCAGAAGCAACCAGGCACCCAAATACACTGGTGGATTCATCTCGATGATTGTCGCCTACTGCGTGTGTATCTTATTGTCTGCTCTCTACTGGGGCACGTGTGTGATCATGAACCATAACAAGAGAAAGGCTCTCGAGAAAATTCCAGAGGACACGCTGGACGTGTCTATCGAGGGGGTTGAGGATGAGAAGATGCTTGACTACACAGATAGACAGCAGCGCCACTTTTTCTATACTACTTAGTTTTATCCACAATTCCGACCAAAAAAATTGTAATCTCAGTTTATGCAGACACTTTTTTTTTATTTTTTTGTTCAATGGTAGCCATCGATCGGAAAATAAGTGCCGCTGGTGCACTCACTGTGCATCATGCGCGGAGGGCGTGCGGGCATGTGGCCGCCCGCAGCGACTCACCAGAGTTTAACACAGATATGCCGAATAGTATTTCATATCAAATATAATGTGTATCGAACGATATATAATCACGTGAGCCAGAACCAGATTCTCTCGATGATATTCCGAGGAACTGGAGGCACGTACTCTGCAGCTTCCCTCTCTGTTTCCTCGAGGCCTGTAAAACAGTCGATTTGCTCGGGAGGTGCAAAGAGACGGAAATTCCGGGACCACAGCATGTGGCTGACGTAAAGAGCAGCCACGATAGGAAGAGTGATATACGCGGCGAAAAAGTCAGACGTCTTCCAATTGAAGAACACAGCGTAACCGTTGGTCAGAGCAATGATCGTGAAAAAGACCAAACAAGCGTAAGCACCAGCTATCTGAAACTTTGGTCTGTAGGTGACACGAGAGTCCAGATTGTGGTACGTAATAGCTTTCCGGTAGCGCAGGTAGGTGATGGAGACGAAAATCCATGAAATGAAACCGGACACTGTTGAAATGTTGGAGAGCCAGTTGAAAACAACCGTAGAGGAGTTAGAAACGTTGAGGAAAGAAAGCAAAGCAATAGCAGAGCAGAAAATCACACAGTAGATCGGCACACCGTAACGAGTACATTTTGAAAAACATTTTGGGACGATTCCCGTGAGAGACATAGAATAGAGTGTTCTGGAACTTGAGTAGAGGAATGAGTTGCCTGCTGAGTAGGCAGAGGTGAGAATGGCAGCGTTGACGATGTGGTTGAGGTATTTGATGCCTGCGTTCTGAATTCCAATAACAAAAGGCGAGGCGGCGGCCCCTGTGGCACCACTATTGATGGCGTTCATGAGTCTCGGATCATTGGAACCCACAATGATGCCGATGGCCAGGACTCCTCCAATGTAGAAAATCATCAGACGGTAAATGAAGCGGCTGGTAGCCTTCGGAAGATTTTTCCTTGGGGCCTCAGCTTCTGAAGCGGCGGATGTGATAATCTCAGGCGAAAGCACAAACGCGAACGCGGACTTAATGATGGAGGTCCAGCATGCAAGGAATTTCCCTGTGTTCCCTGGAACCAGATGCTCAACAAATGCCCCCGGATGTTTCCAGTAGTGGAAGCCAAGAATACCATGTCTGTTGGGGCCTGCACCCCAGAATATGGCGAATCCGAGAATGATGAGGCCAGTGATAGTAATCAGCTTGATAGAAGCGATCCAGAACTCTGTTTCACCAAAGTACTTGACGGCCAGCAGGTTGATTGCCACGATGGAGGACCAGAGTATTGCAATCCAGATTGCCACGTTCAGATCCGACCAGTACTCGATCACAAAAGCAGCTGCCGAGATCTCTGCTGGGGTTAAAATACAGAGAGCGTAAACCATATTCAAGCCGCATGTGAAAGACATGCTTTTGTTCCCTGTGTAGCGATCACAGAGCGCGTATAGCGTAGATTTTCCTGGGGCAGGAATGTAACTCACCATTTCTCCGAGCTGGTTCATGATGGACCAGACAAAGATAGCGAGAATGAGGAAGCCGATCAGAAGACTGGCTGGACCACATGTTGCAAGTGTAGAGCCAGTACCAACAAAGATACCTGTACCAATGGCTCCTGCCAGGGCGATAAACTGGACATGACGAGACTTCAGACCACGCTGGGTTGTGTAAACTGGTTTTTCGTGCTCTGAGTTGAGTTCGTAGACATCAGATTTCACTTCGAGTTGTTTGCTGCTCTGCTGAGCAGTGGAGGACTGTTGAGTAGTGAAATCCATACTTTTCCCGAGGATATTGAACGGCATTTATATTTTTAAATCCTTTGAACAATACAGTGTTGGTTAGAGAGACTCCTAATCTTTATCTATGTGGTGAAATCTTATTCTGATAATCAAGCATGAGATCTGACCTGCTATTGGTTATGTGTGCGGCAATTCTGCGAGGCTTCCGAAGGAAAGAGATTTTTTAGCCAAACATCTCGCTTTATTTTTTTATCAGCCTTGTCCGGGTTTTAGCCGCAAAACTTTTTCTCATTAAAGCCTATCTTATGTCTTATCGGAGAACGATATTCGGAACTTGTTTTCCGGTAAACAGGCAGCGATGAGGAAAAAAATACGAGCCCCACATCCTATTTAACTACTGGCTTGCTTAATCATCAGAGCCAATGTCCGACAATAAGAGCTCCATTCGCAATTTCCAGGAGAACGCCATCAGAAGCTTCAAATCTTCTTGGAAAAGAGGTCGTGGTGGACGAGAACCATGCGGACGTTGCGTTACAGTATGCAAGAAAGCTGGACACAATTCAGGATGTTACAGACCAAGAATACAATGCTTTGAAACGGAAAATTGATTTCATGATCCTGCCACTTATTTCTCTTATCTATGGAGTCCAATACATGGACAAGAGTACAACTTCTTTTGCAGCCATCATGGGCCTACGAACCGACCTGAACATGGTGGGACAACAATACTCGTGGACCACCACGGCGTTTTACTTGGCGTTTCTTGCAGCAGTTTTTCCTTTGTCCAGGTGCTTGCAGCGTTTTCCACTTGTTAAGACTACCTCGGTTTGTATTATTCTTTGGGGAATAGTTTTAACATGTCACGCAGCATGTTCCAATTACGCTGGCTTTATTGTCTGCCGTATTCTTCTGGGATGTCTGGAATCGGCTGTGACTCCTGGTTTTGTGTTACTTTCAGCCAAATGGTATCGACAGGAGGGGTCTTTCTTGAGGACAGTGGTGTACTACTCCAATAATGGGTTCGGTACAATAATTGGGTGTGCTATTGCTTACGGTTGCTATGTCCATGCAGACTCCTACTCTATAGAAGCATGGAAAGTGCTCTTCATTGTGACTGGCGTTATGACCATCGTCCTTGGAGGCTTGTTGATGGTTCATATTCCAGACAACCCCCCAGACGCTTGGTTCTTGAACGAGAGAGAAAAGGTCTTAGTCTTCCAAAGAGTCAAGGATAGCAAGGAAGGATACGGAAACCCAGAGTGGAAATGGTATCAGTTCAAGCAATCGTTGATTGATCCTAGAACATGGCTTGGATTTTTCTATGCCTTCTCCTCGAACATCCCTAATGGTGGACTTGGCTCGTTTATGTCAATTTTGTTGTCCGACTCATTAAAATATGGCGACAAAAAGAGTTTGCTCATGAGAATGCCTGGTGGAGCTGTTGAGACTGTCGGACTAATTGCATTTGCACTATTTGTGGGAAAATTCCCATACCGAATTGGTATTTCATCATTTATCACTGTCGTTGTGATTGTTGGATCATGCATGCTGGCCTTTTCTTCGAATACTCACGCGCAACTAGCAGGATTATATCTGTATTCGCTGTCCCCTATCGGAATGATTTGTTTCCTTTCTCTCTTTGGATCGAATACCCTTGGGTACTCCAAGAAGGTTACTTCGCAAGCAATTCTTTTGATCGGCTACTGCGTTGGAAATCTCGTTGGACCACAAACATTTTTGAGCACCGAAGCGCCGGGATATCATTCAGCTAAAATTGCAATTGTCGTCTGTTACGTTTTCTCACTCTTTTGCTTATTCGCTCTGTTTGGAGTTAACTATTTTGATAACAAGCGCAGAGAAAGATTGGAAAGCGAGAATTCTCCGCCAGAAATTGAGAACTTGGAATTTTCTGATCTGACTGACTACGAAATGCCAGGGTTCAGATACCTCTACTGATTTGAGATTTAATAGCGTAAGTAATTAATTGGATTTTTTGTAATTGTTGGCCGAATATTATGACTGTTTCCTTATTAAGATTTGGGTTGTATTGATATCTTAAAAAACGAAACCTTGACCGTGTAGCTTTCTTGAAGTGTGCTAAATAGATCATGAAGCTCACCAACATTAGCCATTGATACACTTTGAATTTGAAACTTTAATAATTGATCTACATTTTCTTATGACTTGGCTAACATATTACATCTGCATAATTCAGTCGTTTCCAAATTCCAGCGGTCTCATATCTAATAGGCGATCTGTTTCAACAAGTTCATTACTGAATGCAAAAGCTAGGGTATGCTCCTCAGCCGGTCCACAAATTAGTATAGTATTTCTCCCAATCCGTATCAAGATCATACACATCATCCAGAGACGTTAGAAAACTACATAAATTCCAACATTGAAATCATGAATGGCTCAAGATGGGCAGACCCACTAACGGTTGATATTTTTATTCTGACCTCGAAAACCCTGCACAGAATCTGGGCATCCGTCACAGCTACTCAGGAAAAAAATCCAACCTCTTAGAATTGCACACTGGCCATGCACCGATTCGCGCTACATCAGTTACGGAATATATTACGGCAAATATTGGGTCATCAGCTCGGGCAGAACTTAATTGGCCATTTGACTTTCCTCGTAACCAATGGTTGCCACCCCTCTAGCGTAATTTTCTATAACCTTTACAACTTCGAATATCGCTAACTTACTGTGTGCACTGTTAATAATTGCTGAGTTTGCAAATTGTTGTCGTCTTATTTAGGTACAGCCTACCTATTAGTGAGTCAAAAAATAAGCAGTTTGGGACAATCATCAGCAAAGGAAGAGATAGACACACATTGAGTCCCGTTGGCCGCGAAAATGGCAGTTTTTCGATCTCTAGGCTGACAGTGGGGAATGCAATTGTTATACAGATAGTGTCAGCTGCTCAATTGGACTGACTTGTTACGCAGAATTTGGTGATTGGAGATTACAATGAAAGCAAAAATGGTTTTTGTTCATGATTCAACTAATGAATGGAAATTACCATCTCTTATCAAATTTAGGGTGCAGAAATTTAAATAGTAGAAATTAATAATTATCGATATTTGTTCAAATATAATGGAAGCTGAGAAGCCCAAAATTGAAGAAATCGTGGGATTCACACGATCAATTAAAGTTAGCAAGCAGTGCTTTCTCATCTCAAATGTACTCATCCAATGTAATCCCATGTAGCCTGATGAGACCTTTGATACGTTGCTTGACGTCACTTCAATGTGTTTGTGACTTGCATGTCAATGTAGCGACAGATTCATGAGATCCACGATTACAGTAATGTAGGTTGACAATAATTACTATAATGGACAGATCTAGGCTAGATATGCAGGGACGCTCAGAATAGTCCGGATTAAAAGGGGTTATCCAAATATTGCGAGCAATATCGAAAACATGCAACGATTCACAACAACATACACATGCAACACGAGTTTGTATATTTCGCGCAATGCATAGAAGGACAAATCCCCAAACACCTGCTACAACAAAGTGATTCATTTCAGAAGGCAGTGATGACACCAGTAATGATAGACTTCCACGTCACGCCAGATCGTGTTCTACCCACTTCAAATAGCCTGATGATCAAAATCCTAGTGAAGATGCTTCTCAAAGTACCAGTATAAATGTATCGGATCTCATAAGTTCGAAATCAACTGAAAGTCCTCAAATTTGGCTTGTATACTTGCAGGGAGTAATTTGGTTCTAAACTCTATAAAATCATTAATCGCCAAACAGATCCCCTTTGTGGTGTCTTTGCACGCCAGCAGAACCAATTGTCATACAACAACAAGTCCTGCTACAGAATGACGTTCTTCCTTTGATATAAAACCACCCTTCAGGGCTATATAGATGCCACATACTGCCAGAAAATGTTGATTGCCCACCTTTGATCATGATCCCAATGATGAAACAGATCTTCTGATCAATCTTAACCCAGACGTTTCTGGTTGGAATTTTATCATTCACAAAGACAGGTACTTATGCTGTAGTTACAAACTATGGGCTAAACGACTACAAGACCATGGAATACATCGAAGGTCATTCTGAAAAGCAATGGAGGTCGTATTAGGGCCCATACCTGCACTTTTTGCCAGCACGTTAGGACTGAGGCCAACGGTTTTTATTGGATGCATAGGACACACAATCTACTCCGCGTCGTTGTAGTCTAACATTAAGGCCAAAAATCAGTCCTTTATTTTTGCCGCATCTGTAGTTCTGGGAGCTTCTGGGACCGACATGGTCAATTTGTCAGTGGTGGCAGGTGTGTTTGGGCTGCTGTACTAAGCGTGACATACCAGTTATTTTAGGTTATCAGGACGACGCATACTAACCCTGAGAATATTATAGTCACAAACAAGAAACGTGGCGAAATAGATGAAACTATAGAAGAAATGGAGTTTGAAAGTAATTCAGGTGTTTGGTGGTTGCTCTTCGAAAATTAACGAGGATTGAGGCCGAGCAGCTCCGAGAAATGCAATTGTGTTCACACCCGTGCCTCAAAGCAACTCAATCCATTGGTCATTGCTGCTGATTCGGACACTTGGACGCGTAAGAAGCCTCGACACTGGATCAATACCGCTGCTAGATCGGAATTCGTTTCTACGTGACGTTTAATATTAGTAAAAGTAAGACATGGGTACGGCCCTCGGAGTAAAATTATTAATACACGTGAGTATGGCCATCGGAGCAAGGATATATTTAAACCTTTAGATTCTTCATTTTAAGTTCCAAATGACTTTACCAAAGTACCAGAAAGCAGTTGTTGTCGAGAAATACGGAGAGGACCTTGCTCTTAAAGAGCTCCCAGTGCCTGAAGTGGGCCCCGGCCAAGTGCTCGTCAAAGTGGAAGCTAGCTTGTTGGGTGGAGGGTTAAGGGAAAGAGCCAAACAGCCTAGAAACCCATTGTTTTGCCTTCCTGAACCTTTCGTCATCGGAACCTCTGCCGTGGGAAGAGTGATTGAAAGCGATACTTTCAAAAAGGGGCAGCTTGTCTATCTGGATCCTGCTGTTTGGTCGAGAGATTCTGCCGGGCACTATGTTGTGAAATCGATCGCAGACGGTCCAACACCTGAATCCAAAGCATTATCTGCACAGGAGTACAAGAGGAACGGTTACATCTCAGAGTACACCCTAGTGGACATCGAGAACTGCTATCCTATCAATGAAGAAGCCATTGGCGTGGACACGGACGTGATTACAGCTTTGTCTTTTCCCCTAGTGGCATATGGTGGATTCAGAGGAATCGATCTGAAACCAGGAGAGACTGTGGCCATTGGTCCTGCTACAGGCAAGTTTAGTAGCGCTGCTGTTGCTGTGGCTTCTTCAATGGGTGCCAAAGTCCTGGCCTTAGGAAGAGACAAAACGGCTCTTGAGAAACTTGCATCCGATTATAGAAACGTTCACCCTGTTGTCTTGACAGGCGATAAAGATGCTGATGCAGCTTCTCTTCACAAGTTCGGTTCTCTTGACGTTTTCATGGATTTTTCCCCTACCACAGCATCAAACCCAATCTTCCTGGATGCGGCCATTAATTCTATGAGTTTCGGAGGCAGGGTCATTCTTTCTGGTTTCATTTTTGGCCCTCTGGCCGTTCCATATCCACTTTTGGTCTCAAAGAACCTTACCATCAAAGGAAAAATTATGTACTCGCGGCAGGAGGCCAAAGACTTTATTAAGATGGTTGAGAACGGAATCTTCAAGGTGGATCACGTCCAGGTGAAGAAATTCGCCATCGAGAAATTCGCAGAGGCAGCTGATGAGGCTTCGACGAAAAAATTTTGGAATCACCAAGTCGTGTTGAGCACTAAGTAAGTAAGTAGTCAAGATTTTTTTGCAACTCGTAAGGCACGCATGATAATCCGGGGATATATATTGTCGAGAACAATAAATATGCTGAAAAGCCAGATCAAGACGTAAATTGAATACAATGTTAAAAAAAGCAGGTACTTGGTGGCGCTCAAAGAATTTCCCGTGCCGGAAGTGGCATTTGGCTGGGTGCTGGTAAAAGTGGAAGTTAGTGTTCTGGGAAGTGATTCATATGCAGAGTCGGGGAACCTAAGATTCCACAGTTCAGTCTTCCCGAGCCTTTCATCGCAGGAAGAGCCGGCGTGGGAAGAGTGATCGAAAGTGACCCATAAAAAAATTGCAGCTCGTTCATCTTGATTCCGAAGTTTAGTCGACAAATGCTTAAGGCCACTATCTGGTGAAGTCGGTTGCAGATGGTCCAACTCATGAATTTAAAACCTTACCGGCGCAAGAGTACAAAAGAAACGGCTACTTGTAGAAATAGACACTCGTGGACATTGAGAGCTGCTACCCCGTCAATGAAGAGGCTGTCAATTTCGATACAGACTTTATTCCTGGCTTGAGCTTCCCTCTCGTGGCGTATGGAGGATTTAAGGCCAGGAGAGATGGTGGCTATCGGCCCTTGTAACCGAAAATTTAGCAGAACTGCAGTTGCTGTGGTTTCTTCAATGGGCACCAAATTCTTTGCCTTACGAAGATAGAAAGCGGTCCATGAGACACTGACATCCAACTATAAAAATGTTCATCCTGTTGTTTTGACAGGTGATATAGATTCCGATACAGTTACTCTTCACAAATTTGGTTCCCTCGGCGCTTATATGGACTTGTATCCCATACGCATCAATTGTCGCAAATGATCTTAGTTTCAGAATTAAGTTCATTATTTGCGCCAGGAAGCCAAGGACTTCTTCAAACTGGTTGAAAATAGAATTTTAAGGCTGGATCTCGTGAGCGCAAACAAATTCCCTATCAACAAGTACTCGGAAGCTGTTGACGAAGCCCAAAAAAAGTGTATGGTATCACCAGATTGTGGCTAACACTAAGTGGTTAACACAAAGTAATTACACAAGAGCTTGGTTGTTTTCTATAAGCCCGTCCCAGTTTGTAGACCACGTTAGGTATACTTCGGCTGCAGACAGGAAGAGCTCCCCGAGTAGCAAGCCGGCCCACAAGCCAGGAACTCCAAACTCAAAGTAGAAGCCAAGCAACAACTCCAGAGGAATAGCAATCACATAGTAGGCCGTCAGATTCAACACTGAGCCGATATTTTGGCGGCCTTGGCCTCTCAAAAGGGATGAAAAAATGGCGTTTACTGCGTCCCCGAACTCATTCAAAGCCACACCACGGAGCAGGTTGGAGGTGTATTTAATAACCTCCTCGTCATCTCTAAAAATACGTGGCAGCCATCCTCGAAAGAAGAACATGATACTAAAGTTTATCAGTCCAATGACAGCAGTTGCTGCTGTGGCAACTCTCACTACTGTCACACAGTTATGAGAGCGAGCTCCAATATAATTAGCGAGCCTAACGGAAGAGCAAATGCCAAAGGAAAACGGGAATTGGAAGAGAAACATGGAGATAGTGGTGACCACAGTTTGAGATGCCAGCTCTACACTACCGAATTTGGCAGATAAAAGCGTGATAACTCTGAAGGAAAAACTCTCAGCACAAACCATAACGATTCCTGAAATGCCAATGGAGAACTGGCCCCAATCCTGTAGCAACACTGAAAGACGCAAGTCACTGTTCCAGCATTGATGGTCGTCAAAGTATATGTACGTGACTACCAACACGGAAATGGTCCAGTACGTTAGCACCAACGACAATGCCGGTCCCAAATAAAATCTCTTGAACGCCATATGGAATATCAAACTGAAAGGCAGTGCTCCAGCCAACACCATAGTCGGTGCTCGGAACTTGTTCTGGGATAGCAAGTACCGCTTAGAGCACTCAAACACGATGAGGGCGGAATAGCGAGCACCATGAGCCGCATAATCGGGACACACATATCTGCAAGCTCTGGCGAAAATACCCTAAGCATGGGGCCGGAGTTGACCCATAGTATTGCAATCGGAATGAACATCATATGCAAAATCAGCACGCATCTCTGGTAATAAAGCCCGACTTTGGTATAGCTTTTTGCCCCAAATGCAGTGGAACACAATGTATCTTCTGCGGTACAAAATCCAAAAACGAGTGCTGGCCCTGTAATATAGAATAAGGTGATGGCCATCGATGATGCGGACAACACATCCTTCCCCTGCTTTCCAGCGAAATAAATAGGAATTATTAGTAAAAGCGAACTTTGCAATAGGAACGTTAGGAAAGTGGGCAGTGAATTTCTAACAAGGTCTTCCATCTCTAGCTTGAACGAGGTTCTGGAATACACTGGTTGATCATCCTCCTCTTGAACGGTGTCATATCGTGAGCGAGAGTCAGGATCTATAATCATATTGACTCATACGAATGAAATATCTAGCCAAAAATTTTCATATCCACAGTTTAACTAAGTTAAGGCCAGGAAAAATAGTAAGTTACCCCTTTGTGCTTTGAAAAGAAGGGGAGTTGGTGATTGTAATTTTCGAAATTGATCAACGTGACCCTTAATCGTGTCATTAAAAGCAGATAAAAACACCACTGCTTTTTGGTTGCTAGTAATGACTAGATTGCTGCTCCCAGAACTAGAATCCAAGTCTCCAAATATTTAGTCATTTTATACAGCTTATTTATTTGTGCTGGAATACGGTCATGTCACCGTCTGTCCAGTAAACATCGATAACGAGGTCTGATTCTGCAAATATCATCCGTGGTGTCCTAAATCATCTCAGCTGTGTACACGCCACCGAACACTAGGAGCTCAGTCCCTTGGACCAGATTCTTGCCCCTTCCAAAATGCTGAGCATAGGTAATACCAGAGGGGGTGGTTCTCGAGCCTTCAATGTTGATACTGAAGTTTGAAACAATATGGTAAGTGTCAAGGTCAGCCACCCGGTTGTAGTAGAGATGACGGAGCTCTTATTTAAATTCACCCTTTCTCCAGGAAATTCAATCCCACCCTCTACGGTGAAGCTAGAATCAAAAAGCTTCGGATTGCGTGTCGAGGGACAAGGAGAAACGTCAGATTAGCGTCGGCAACGGCTTCTCCAGTATCACTGAAGCAGTCATGATGAGTGCCATCTGTTTGAATACTCTTGGGCTAATGGCTATACGTTGCACGAATGAAAGATTAATTTCTGGTTTTTACATATCATCGGAACTAAAACAATACAAAGAATCTTACGAATTTAAGCGAATGTTTTTCTTTCAACGGGCTAGAGAAGCTGCTCGTATTTAGAGCGAAATTTCTCTGATTTTGACCTCGGTTTTCGGGCTCTTTTCGGACTTGTCGTAATCTGGAGTGTCCATCTCCTCGGACTCCTCCCAACATATGCCGATGTTTCGGGCTTCCTGCTCCGTGAACGTTCCAAACGGATTGACAGTGTCCAATTCACCAAGTCCGGAAGGTGGCGACAGAAGGTTGAAGCAGTAGTGAAGCAAGAACGAAACAATGAAGCCATAAATGAATGCCAGTTGGTAGAGATGTTTTGCTCCGGAGGGAATCTCTATGCTGGAGTTGCAGGCGTTGACAAAGCCGGGCATCAGCGGTGCAAAACCTATAATCCAAGCTGCAAACGAACGCCAATTGAAGCCCCCGTTGAACCAGTAGATCGATCTGCTGCTTGGCTCAAACATGTCCATCAGCTTAAGCTTTCTTTTTCTAACGACCCAGTAATCACACACCATAATTCCTGTCATTGCCCCCAAAAGCACCGCATACGCAGACATAACGTTAATGAAAACACCAGCAGTCGAGAGAAGCTGCCAAGGCTGGATAAGAATGGAGATACAAAGCCCCACATATGCACCTCTTCTCAAAGTCAAGAACTTGGGGAAGAGGCCAGAAAAGTCCATTCCGGCAGAAAATGCGTTGTCGACTGTGTTGATGGCTAATTGCCCGGCTAGCAATCCAACACCACAGAAAAAGGCGCCAGCTCTGCTCTTGGCATTATAGTCGTCGTCAAGCCATCTAGCTGCCAAAAGCGGAGGGTTCCAGATGCCGCCATCGGTATCTGGATAAAGTTTGGCCGAGGCAGAAGTGGTGAGACAGCCAACGAGCGGGACAACCGAGCCATAGAATAGAATCGAAACAATCTGGCCAATTAGCGGGTCCTTCGGACTTCTTGCAAACCGGTTGTAATCCGGCTGGTTCGTCAGTCCCACGGCAATGGTTCCAATGGTAGTTTTGATTCCTGCCATAATGGCCCAGCCTTTCTCCCACGCTGTGTTTGCCAGAGCCGGCTCAGATAGGAGGGGACCAGCCCCGTGCGCAGCCTTCAGGCAGTACACCATCATGCCAAACAGAGTTGCACCGGTCATCACGTTCAGCGTCGTGAGCAGTCTGGATGATTTTTCAGGAGGAACATAAATCATTCCGCACATGAGGACGCAATAAATGACAAAGCCGACAAACTCTTTAGTCTCCATGTGCGTACTAGCAGGCATGGTGTTTTTCATGTTCTGGTAGCCTGGGGCAAGCGAAGAGAGGATTACCGAGATACAAAGACCTCCCGTCCAGGACTGCGTAGACAGCCAAACGACTCCGAGCATGATTCTCTGCACGATAGCAATATACGAGCCTCTCATGCCCCACACGCAACGACTGAACACGGGATAGCCAATGTGGTATTCCGCTCCGACTTGTCCATTCAAAATAGCCATCAGACATATAATTATTCTTCCGATAACGTTGGCCACCATAGCCATCCAAACAGAATTTCCGATCGAGATCAGCGTCGAGCCAACTTGGTAATTCGAGATACAGAGGTTGTTGATAGCCCAAAATCCCATAAACGTCCACATATCCCAAGTGCGGCGATGTGGAGGCAGTGGAACTATATCATTATTGATCCACGGCGTAGCTGGTGTGTTCCCCAGTTTTGAGCTCTTGAGCTCGAGGGCCTTCCTCAGTCTGACAAAGCTCACCATCACAGTTCAAAATCAAACACTACGGTCAAATCACGGTATGTATATAAAAAGCGCTTTTCTCGATCAGTCTAAGCCCTCCACCAATGTTCGCTCTCCACCAAAACGGGAAATAAATTGGCTTAGTTTCTTATCTCGCAGATCGCGATAAGAAAAATCGTCTGAGAAAAAATGTTTTTTAGATATTCCCGACGATTAGCGCAAGATAAGGAGCTAAAACTTTACGGGGCTTTCAGCAGCGCTGTTTCCGTCGGAATGTGCGACTGTGCGTCTGGGCCAATCCTCAAATACAGCTCTCGAGGATAGTTTGCAAAGAGTAAAAATTTGCTAGTAAACATTAGCTAGCCATGGTGAACCAAAAATTGCTTATAGGAGTTGATGTTGGTGGTACCAACACCGACTCGGTTCTGATAAATCCTCTTGCACTAGACACACCGAACCGTGGAGTGCTCTCGTGGAACAAGTCTGCTACAACGACCGATGTTTCGGACGGAATCCAGAAAGCCATCAGGAGTCTGCTGACGGACTGTCCAGATGTAGCCAAAAACGAAATTGCCTCGGTGACTATTGGAACCACTCACTTCATCAACGCAGTTATTGAACAGGATGCGGCAAAGCTGGAAAAAGTCGCCGTTCTCCGTTTGAGTACCAACTACTCCAAGTATGCTCCTCCATTTTCCGACTTTCCTGGAGGGCTGCGTTCCGTTATGGAAGGATACACGGCCCTTATCAAAGGTGGTCACAGAATTGATGGGACAGAAGTGCAGCCATTAGACGAATCGTCGGTTAGAGAACACGCGCTCAAAATTCGCGATCTGGGGATTAACTCCATCGTGATCAACGGACAATTTGCCCCAATGTATCATGACCACGAGCAAAGAGCAGCCGAGATTGTGCGTTCAGTTCTTCCAAAAGCCAACATTGTTCTTTCTAGTACAATTTCCACAATCGGCTTTATTGAGCGCGAGGATGCCTCCATCATCAATGCCTCGATCATGTCTTTTGCCCGGAAAATCATTCTGTCATTCAAAAACGCCATTCGCAAAATTGGACTGGAGTGTCCGCTTCTTCTCACCCAGAACGACGGAACTGTTGTTTCCACTGCGGAAGCCATGAAAACGCCTGTCAAGACCTTCTCGTCGGGTGCCACCAACTCTATGCGAGGAGCAGCGATTTTGTGTGCCGAGGAAGAGTGGACCAAAGGCCAGTCAATCATCGTGGCGGATATTGGCGGAACTACCACGGATGTTGGTCTGCTACTTCCTTCCGGCTTTCCCCGTCAGTCTTCTGCGTACTCCTTTATTGCTGGCGTGAGAACCAATTTCTCAATGCCGCATGTGGAGTCTATTGGTCTCGGGGGTGGTTCTATAGTCAAGATAGCCAAGGACCTCACCATTGGGCCAGAATCCACAGGTGCAAATCTGCTAACCGAGGGACTGGTTTTTGGAGGCAAAATTACAACTGCGACCGACTTGACTGTTGCTATTGGTCTGGAAGACGAAACTATTGAGGATAAAAGCATATTCCAGGTTGGCGATGGTCAAAAAGTGGTTGGTAGATTTTCTGAAGATGTGAAGCAGGCGTTCAAGCAAGAAGTCAAGGAAATGCTGGAAAATGCCATTGACAGAATGAAGACGTCTCCTGAACCAATACCTGTGCTACTCGTTGGGGGAGGATCGGTGATTGCCCCACAGGAGCTGGACGGTGCAAGCAAGGTATTCAGACCGCCATTTTTTGGAGTGGTCAACGCCATTGGAGCAGCTGTGGGCAAGATCTCGGCCACTGTCCAGGCTATCAAACGGATGGAGCCGTCAGACGATAAGGACGCCTTTCTGGAGCAGCTAAAGCTTCAGGCCGTGGAAAAAGCAGTGGCCAAGGGTGCTATAAGAGAATCTTTGGTCTATGACGACATAGTTGTGAACCCGATTCCTTACGTGCCTAACACAATTGAGTTCATGGTCAAAGTCATTGGTGAAGTCGACTACAAGGCAATGCACTACTCGGTTGCTCCTGACGAAGGAGACAGTGAGATTGAAGAATCTGGAGGTAGTGTTGCAAAACACTCTGAAACCTCTGGAGATTACATTGAGCACCACTTGAAATTCGATGTGAGCGCCTACAGACCATTCATTAACAGTGAGAAAGAGTGGATCTTATCGGAAATTGATTGTGAATTTTTAAGGATCGGTACATATATTTTGGGATGCGGTGGAGGAGGAACTCCATACCACCATTATTTGGCCTTGAGACACATGGTTCGTGCTGGCAAGCCTGTGAAAGTGATCAGGCCACAAGACTTTCCAAAATACCAAAAAGGTGACGGAGCCGTTGTCGCGGTCGGCTACGCTGGATCTCCAACGGTCGGCTTAGAACAATTATCGGGTGACGAGATGGTGCATGGGTACAACCTGGTGAAGAAATATAGCAACATCACGCCCCAGGCGTCGCTCCCATGGGAAATTGGAGGCGGAAATGGTTTGACTGGGCTCAAAATAGCGGCAGATCTGGGTATTCCCTGTGTGGATGCAGATTTTATGGGCAGAGCATATCCGCTGTTGTGGCAGATGATTCCAGTTTGCTATTCAGAGCAGCCATGCTTTCCGCCCTGCGCGCTTGCAGATGGCAATGGAACCACCATGTTGCTGTCTGAGGCTGCCAGCGACGTGACCGTGGAGAAAGTGTTTAGGGCGTCGTTGTCAGAGATTGGAGCACACTGCGGCATGGTTTCTTTCATGACAGCAGAGGATATTTCCCAGAGAAGTATCCACAATACCACATCGCTGGCCTGGAAGATAGGAAGAGCTGTTCACACTGCTCGGCAGAATTCTGAGGTGCAAAACTGCGCCGAGTACATTATTGAGGCTTGTGGTGGTCCCAAGACAGCGAAGAAAATATTCACCGGCAAGATCACTCGAGTGGATAGACGGCTGTTCAAGGGCCATGTTTACGGTGAGATTGACGTCAAGGACGAGTATGGCGACGCTGTGATGACCATTCCGTTCAAGAATGAAAATATCTACTGTGAGCTAAATGAAAATGGCAGCAAGAAAATCACAGCTTCGGTGCCGGATCTGATTTCTGTCAATGACGCAGAAACAGGTGAGGCTCTTGGTACACAGGACTATCGGTACGGGTTACACGTATTTGTACTTGTGATTTCTCCAAGCACGAGATGGACGGACACGGCCGAGGCGCTCAGAACAGGAGGTCCGTCAAGCTTTGGCTACGATTTTGACTACACTCCAGTTGGAACCTATGTAAAGCCGCATAGCGTGATAGAGGAATATATGAGCTAGCTAGCTTATTTTAATTTTTTGAGGGACAGATAAGGAGACATGGTGCAAATAGCGGAATTCGCGTACGCAATTATTAGAGTGATATAAATAGATACACTCGCTCCGACTTTTCTGGCAGCACTAAGCCCAGAGAAAAGTGAGCAGCTTCCAGCCTCTTAGCGGCTCGGATGGAGGCTCAGGCTTGCTGTGGTAGTCATCCATCAATGCTGGAAGACAAATCTCCTCTAGAGGCACCTGTTTGGTTTTTTTCACCAACTTGTATCCGAGATAAAAGATCGCAAACAGAATAGGAGAGCAGTAGGATGAAAACAGTGTGGCTGTGTCCCAGTGGCCGTGGATAAAGGTTGTGAAGCCACCAGTCACGAGCAGAAGGGTGGAGCCGAATAGCGAGATCCACGCACTGGCCTTGGCAATTTTGTTGGTGTACGGAAGGTCGCTGCGGCTGTAGCCCTGGACCTTGAGAGCCTTGTTCATTCTAATATTGTTGATTGAGATGATGATCCACTCCAGAAGCAGGACGGACGACGTAATGTTCTGGAACCAGCTGAACACGTTGGCTGCCGTGGAGTTCAGCGTCATGTACGCCAAGGTCAGGAAGACGAGTCCAATAGCAACCCCCACGTAGGGAACCTTGAGTTTCTTGCTGCTCTTGAGCAGAATTTTAGGGGCCTGGCCTTTGGCAGCCAGCGAAAACAGGATACGCGAGGTCTGTGTGATACCGAGATTTGACTCGGACCACGCAGACGACAATGTCAACGCGTTGACGATATCTGGCAGCACTTTAATACCCGCTTTTTCAAAAGCAATCACGTATGGTGAGTGTGCGGCAGTGCCGTCGCTGGTTGCAATTTTTGGGTCGTCGTATGGAACAATGATACTCAAAATGAACACGGCGATCATGTATAGACCGACAACTCTGTACAGGATTCTCTTTGCGGCTTTTGGGATATTTGTACGAGGGTTTCTGGTCTCTCCGGCCAGCAGAGCAATTCCTTGAACACCTCCATAGGCATACACCACAGACGACAGAGCGGCCCAGAAACCAATGAATTGTCCCAGGTTACCGGTCTTGATGTATGATGCAAAGGGGCCAGGGTCTCTCCAGTAATGGAAGCCAAGTCTTTCCTGGCCCTTGACCCCACCAAGGTCGACCACGAGACCGGCCAGGACAAGAATCAAGATAAGAGCGATTTTCAGCAGAGCAAACACAAACTCGACCTCACCGTAGATTCGGATGGAGAATATGTTGGTGAAGCAGATAGGAATCATGTAGATGGTGATCCAGATTCCTGGTGACAGGTTGCTCCAGTACTGCATGATAAGAGCAGTGGAAACAAGCGCGCCGGGAAGAATGGCGTTCCAGACTTTTAGCCAGCCCAACGCAAATCCAACTGCATCGTCGATGAAGATTTCTGCGTGGCGGATGGTGGATCCGGTCAGCGGAGCCAGTGCGGCCACTTCAGCAAGTGCCATCTGGTTCATACCCACAATCAGGCCCACAATCAGGTATGAAAGGCACATACCGACAGGTCCTGTCTTGGCAAGCGTTCCTCCGCTGCTGAGAAACAACCCTGTACCAAAGACTCCGACCAGGGTGATCATACCGATGTGTCTCTCCTTCAAAGCTCTGTGCAGATGAGTGTCGTCCTCTGCGAAGATCTCGATGCCTGCTGCCACTTCGGCATCGTGGATGCTGATTGTCTCTAGAACAGCAGTTGTTTTTTTGTCGATGGTGTCGACTTCTTTGGGGTTTTCTGGGTGCATAGTTTGGTAGAGCAGATGGGAGGCATCTGGCTGCTTTAAATGTGCTGCTACCGCGGATCCTTTGGCTCCGTATTGCGGATACTCGCTGGCTGCTATGCAACATGTCAAAATATGATGCAAGCACTGCTGACGCCATCTGTTTTGAGTACTCCGAATAAGCGGCTCTTGCGTCATATGCGTCGAATCTGGTAGCCAGCTAATCAAGTAGCTGGCTTTGATGCCATTGCTTATCTTTTGACGTCGGAAATAATTTTCTGTGCGGCACTCTGGATGCACGTCTAACAGCCAAGATAAGAGAATGCTTGGTGGAAATACTATTTGTTCCGCGCAACTACTGGTCCACATGTTTTGCAGGGAACTCTGTCTTATCTTGTCGAGTTAGTCCGCCACCATGCTTGGCATCCCTGCCATGAACAGGCGAGGTAGGGCTTAGTCGCCGCTTTCAAAATAGTGCATCCTTATCACGACCTGTTTTGTCCAAGTTCTGCAGTGTTCGCCACAGCCAGTTTTTTGACGGGTCAGTATGCGTACTGCTGACGAATCTGTTCGCAAACAAAGACAATCCACTCAGGACAATTTTCCAGTGCACAGCACCGTTTACATGTCCTATCACAACAAGAAGCAGGAAAGACGGTAGTCGGTCGCTCCAAGAGGCGTTTCGCGAAACTGCTGAAAAATGTCTGCCATGCCGCACTCCTAAAAGCTTGCTTTTCCCCCGGCTTTTATGATTACAGCCGGAGCTTAGAGATTCTCCAAAATAGGAAGTTAAGACAGACAACGAATTCACTAGGTTTTATTGGTGACGTGCTGCAGCTTCTCTTTGCCTTGGTTCTCTCTCTTTGTCTCATTCGCCTATAGGCCGTCGACTCATCAAAACTACTGAAGATCGGCATTTCTCGTACGCCCCAGACTAAGGTTTGCTTGGCAGTTTGAGCGCACTTATTTTTCTCACATTCCGCATCACGCCTAAGATGGAACTTTCTGGATACCTTGTATATAAGTATGCTATCTTCTATTGTTGATGGTGCGTGGGTATTTGTCCGCCCTTGTGCGTCTCTGGCTATGTCTTGATAGTTCATCCGAGAAAGGCACGTCAAAAACCGGCGTTTTTTCGACTGCTACCAAAAACATGCTCCATGCCTGCCTCAGTGGTCTCCTTTGCACAGCAACCACCTCTGTAGTGGACTTTTCGACCCTTCCCTTTCCCCGTTTGCAGGCTATTTTGCGCAAACCCAATTTCGCCGAATCTCAGTCTTGTCAGCCTGACGCATCTGGCACTCGCTAGCTGCAGCTATATTTTTTCAAGGCTCAACGGCTACCAAGATTACGTCGCAAACAACTGTGGAATCACTCAAGACAAGTTTTGTCCAGCTTGGCGTTTTCGTCAGCCATTTTGGCAATGGTCAAGTCAGACGCCGGAACGGTGTCACCGCCAAACAGAACACCCCTGCTGACAATTTCTGCACCCCTGGTATCTGGGCCAACTGATGCCGCAGTTTTCGTGCCGAACAATCGACCCACGGCCCAGTCCAATGTTTTCGACATGTGCCATCAAAAAGCTAATTCTCACGCCGCCCACGTCGGTAGTGGTTCCCCCAACATCGCACACCATCACGTTTCTGCCTTTGACGGCAGGATCATGCGAGCACAGAACGGCAGCTCCCCGCATCCAGTTGGTGGCTCCCGACGAAAACGTTCTCACAAGCGTTTCCAGCGCCTCCTGCACGGAAAGCACGGTGCCGTCGTTCTTGGACAGCAGAATTGAGCAGTCGATCTGGCTGCGTCGATAAAGGACGAGTTGATTTGTCGGCCGAACCGTTTGATCGCAGCGATCTCGCCCTAGAGGATGCCGATGCTGGATATTCGGTGCAACAGCACCACTTCACGGCCAGCAATCTCCTCGCGCACAATCCGGGCCGTAGCCACCACGACGACGGTGCGCAGCCCCAGTTGTCTACTTTGGTGGCAGTGCTGCCTGATTTCAGACTCGTTTAGCGGCCTAATTTCGGTGCCATCCACCTGCACACCGCGTTCGAGCACGGCCCAGTAGCCGTTGATGATTGCCGCAAGGTCGTCGGAAAACTCGCCGAACGGTGGCGAGCTCCTGCCGTCCGCCACTTTCTCCAGCCGGATCTAGTCGTGCTCAACGACAGCATTGTGCGTGGTGCCGATTGTGACAGTGGAGATCTGGTTTCCTGAGAAAAGGCTATCTGGCGCCTCCAGAACGGCCCTGATGGACTTCTCGATCCCGTCAGACACGTCCGGTGTGGTTGCTGACTTGTGCCCCCGACGTCCATGCCAATGATGAGATTTTTGGCATGGATAGCTGTCTCAGCGTACTTGTTGAAAAAGCTGCACATGTATTAGATACCTATACAGAAAATGCGGCGATACCGCACGAAAGAAATGAAAACTATTCCAAGATCTGAGATCTTATCTTCTGTCTAGATAGACAACGTTCCTGTCAGCTGGATGTCCAGAACGCTCTTGCCGACGTATATCGGGTAGTCTCCCTTTTGCAGAGCCCAATTCTGGTTCTCGACGTCCCACGTGCTCAGGTCACGCCGGGTCAGGTCGAAAACAAACGTCTTGGTCTCGCCAGGGCCGATGGAGATCTTGTCGAAGCCCCGCAGAACACGGCCTGGCCCGTTAGGAATCTCCACGTACAGCTGGGCAACCTCGGCGGCAGTGACGTTGCCCGAGTTCGTGACGTCACACGTGACCGTGGCAACCACCTCCCACAGGGTAGGGTTACCACCCTGGACAACAGTCGTCTCTGGAGGGAACTGGGAGGTGTCTGCATTCTGCTTAGTGATGGAGATGTTGGCATAGTCAAACGTCGTGTAGGTGAGACCGTAGCCGAACTCGTAGCGAGGGGTGATGTTGTACTTGAGGAAGTGCTTGTAGTCGATGTACAGGCCCTCGGTGAAGTTGTCCTGAGGGTAGTACATGTCGACGGTGCCTTCTGGGACAATAGGATCCAACAGAATGCCGTAGTCAGATTCGTTTTTGGCCACGGTGTATGGCAGTCTTCCGGATGGAGACTGGTTGCCGTATAGCACGTCGATCAGACCCTGGCCGGAGTCCTGGCCCGGCAAGTGAGCAAACACCAGGGCAGTCACGTTCTCGTGGTCGATCCAGCTGTCCACAATGCGGACACCAGCGTTGTGGACCACGACGATGGTGTTGCTGCATTTGGAAGCGACGTTCTTGACCAGCTCGTCGGAGTAGTCGTCGCGCAGCGTCGGTCTATCCCAGCCCTCGGACGAGGCGTCGTTGATGAACACAATGCATGCGTCGTTGCCGCCGTTGACCTTTGGATCCTGGTCAATGAAGTTCCAGCTGAGCCATGTGCCGTCCAGCTTGGCCTGGCGCATGAAAGCGTCGTACGGAGCATCGATGTAGGAAGGCGTGTTGGAACCAGAACCAGAGCCCACAATGTACGTGCCGTTCAGCGCAACGTCTGGGCCACTTTGGGTAGGGTCGTAAGACGACAGGAACAGTCTCCAGAGGTCTGCAAGGTCGATGTCGGTGCCGTTTGAGTAGGTGAGCGTGTTGGTGAGACCGAAATTCCAGAGCTCGAAACTTGTGCCCATCAGGAAGTTTCTGGCGGCGACCGTGGCGTCGTAGCCGTACAGACCAAGAGCCTTTGGCTTTTTGAGCGGCAGAGCATTGTTCTTGTTCTTGAGTAGAACATGGCCCTCGACGGCTCCTTGCAGAATTGTGTCCGCAGAGGCCGGGTCACGTGCATCGACCAGGTCGTGTGGCTGAGTCAGGTCGTACGGCAGACCAAAACCTGGGTCGTCGATCTCGGCGAGTTTGTACCATGCGGCAACGATACGGGTGACCATGTCGTCGAGTCTGCTCTGTGCCATAGTGCCGTTGTTGATGGCCTCGACCAGTGTGCCGTTTTCCCAATAAACAGAGTCGGGCATGGCAAGGTCGAGACCAGACTCGGCACTGGCAACGCCGGTGTGCTGGGCGAGACCAGACTCGGCACTGGCAACGCCGGTGTGCTGGGCGTCCCAGTCAGACACCACAAAGCCCTGGAAAGCAAGCTCCTCCTTGAGCAGGCCGTTCATCACCTTGCTATTTTCACAAGCATAGGAGTTATTTATTCTGTTGTAGCTGCACATGACGGAACCGGCGCCAGCCTTAATGGCATCCTGGAACGGCCACATGTACAGCTCGTGCATGGTTTTGTCGTCGACATTGGACGAGATCGAGTGGTTATGGGTACCTTTGACCAGTCCGAACTGTGGGTTTCTGCTGGCTTCTTGCTCATATGCAACCAAGTGCTTGACGCACGCAATAACCGATTCCTGCAAGCCGCGGATGGTCTCGCCCGTCAAGGCACCCGACAAGTAAGGGTCGTTCGAGAAACCTTCCCAGTTACGACCGCCCCTGGCGATCTTGCCGACTGGCCCAGTCACAGGGCCCAGCGCGACGTTGACGCCCTTGTTGCGGAATTCTCCACCCATGTGGAGCGACCTTTCGTAGGCCAGTCCCTTGTTCCAAGACGCCCCCACATGCAGACCTGCCGGGTAGGAGTTGACCATGTCTGTGCCACGGACACCGTTTCCTGCGTCCTGCAGACAAAGGCCGGGGAAATTGAGCCGCGGAACACTGCCCGACATACCAGAGCACCCAGTGGTGGTCACTGCGTAGCCGTAAGTGACGTTGTTTTTCTCCTCGTTGGTCATCTGGTCGACGAGCGCCTTGGCCTTGTTAAGCGCTTCGCCCCAGTCGTCGATGCCAGAAATCTGGGGACTAGGGTAGACAGGTTCGGAGCGGCCATACGACCAGTAGTGCTCGAGCTCCTCGTAATCAATGTCCTCTCTTTTTATGACTGCAGCACCATTGGAAGTGGCGAGCAGCGCAGCAAAAAAAGCTAAGACTAGAAAGTTCTTCATGGTGCAATGGAAAATGGGGAGGCAGGCGCCAGTCTTTATAGCGTTTTCGGGAATGGGATAGTGACCTCATATTTGCAAGTTGCCCGATCGGATTAATATTGAGAGACATGCAGGTTGTAGATTATTTTGCTGCAACGTCAGCATTAGCAACAGGACTAAATTGGACGCTAAGGTGGTTGGAATACATAAGCGGTAAATTTTGGTTTGAGAGCCCAATTGAGTGCGAGAGCTTGTCATGAGCGGTAACCTTGTCATTCTAGTTGATCGTGATCCATATAGTTAATGTTCAGCGCTTATTTAACTCCTGTTCTGCTCTCCCCGCTCCGGTCACTAACGTTATTGTCCCACTATAGCAGAATTCTCGTGGAAAAACTTTTCTTGACAATAGGATATGCAAGATTTTTTGTGGGGTACCCTGTATATGCAAAAATTGTCCCAAGGTGATCGCTATTGTTTTGTGGACGTCCGGGGAAATTCGCCGCCGGCATTTTTGTAGACCATTATTGTTCCGTCTGCAGGTGTCGAGAACGGTCCAGGCCAAACAAGCCAGCCTGGGAATTGCTGCTTCCGAAAACGGGGATCTTTAGATCTTTCGACGAATCGGAGAAATGCAGCAATGCTAGTTTTGCCCATTACACTGCAGCGTCCCTGTTCAAAGCCGCCACGAACGGCACAAGACACTACAAATTGGGTAACGGGGTTTTTTTTCATTACAACCACATCAATGGCTGAGCCCCTCGCCGAGGGCAGCGATAATTTCGTACACACCGTATGCTCCAGGGTCTGGCGGGAAATCTGTCTCGTTGTCCTCGATCCCCACGTAACTGGCCCTTCCCAGCTTGGGCCTCATTTTCCGGGTTGCCTCTGCAGCTGTGTGCGCCTTTTTAATGGCCTGACCCAAGTTTTTCGACTGCGAAAACTCACGACAGAACGGAATCAACACATCCATCACTGTTCTGTCACCCTCGCGCGCTTTTGTGAAATTGCACAGGTTCTCAATTGCATAGTCCATGGCGTCGGCAAACGCCAGTGGCAGCGGTGTCTCGTTGCTCTCCAGCAACAACTCCAGCTTGTTGGTCAAGCCTTGCAGGAAAATGTACAAAATGGCCCCCAACGTGCCGCCCATCGAGTCTTTGACGACTTTGAGCAAGGACTCAAGAGTTTGCAGCAACGATCCACTTGCCGTAAACCGGTCTTTTTCCAGACGGTGTAGTACTGCCTCAGCTCCAATCTTGAGGCCTTCTCCACAGTCGCCATCCCCCATCTTGGTGTCCCAGATAGTCAGTTCGGGCTCTCTAGCAATGACATTGCGAACAGCTGTTCGAATCACTGATTCCAGTGTGTCCGGATTGACATTGATGTCTCCTTTAGTTGGCGACTTTTCTGCTGCGAGGTCCTCGTCGTAGTGCTTGAAGTCGTCAATCACACGACTCTGGACGTCAATTGGCTCCAATGAGGTGTAGTAATTTGCCGGCCAGTTTGACGCCCGCACAGGCTTGTCGAGATACTCAAATAGCTTCTCAACAGGGAACTCTGCGGTAGCCGCCTTGGTCACGTTGAACAGTGTCAGTGTAAATATCTGCGCGTTGAAACTGGTCACAAAGTGGCCGTGGTAAACCCTGGTGATGTCCAGGCCGTAGTCGCGCTTCAGCTGGTGCACTGTTTCGGTCAAAATGGCCAACAGCTCGAAATGCGACACCCCACCCAAGTTGTTGAGCTGCAAAACGATCTTGTCGCCCTTTTCGTACAGGAAATACCCTCTTTCCGGGTCTGTCATGTCTAGGATGTACTTGAGCAGGATCTGGACAAGCTCCTCGTTTGCAGGAACATAATCGAGCCGCTTCACGCCGGGCTCATTGTGCACGCCGAGCCCAAGCTCGAGCTCGTTCTGTCTCAGCTGACCCCAGTCGGTGGTTGCATCGTGCGTGGGGATGTGCACGTGATCGAGCCCGGCGTTGACTGAAGCAATGTTGGCGTTGACAGACACACCCAGCTTGTACACGGTGTCGATGTCATGGAACTCATCGGCACACGCACCAAGCACCTTGGCCATGATGGTGATCCCGCTGAGCGTTCTGCGGCCAACGCGGTCGCTCTTGGATCGTGGGACTGCCACGTCGTCTGTCGTGCGCAAAATGCGAATTTTGTCCTCGCCGTACTTGTTGACAAGTTCTTGCGCAGCCATGCCAAAGTACAGGTTATCCCCCGTGTAGTTGGTGATGAGAAAGATGGTGCCCGCCTCAGAATGGACAACTTTCTCTGCTGCCTGGATGTTTTTGTAGTTTGGAGACGCGAAGATCTCTCCTTGCACGGATGCAGTGAGCATGCCGTCGGCGACAAAACCATACCAGCCAGGTTCATGGCCAGACCCTCCACCAGAGATTAATGCTACTTTTCTGGGGTCAAAGTTGTTGTTAAATAAGACACGCTCTTTGGATAGAAGAGACAAGTTTGGGTTTTCGTAAATTGCTCCCTTGAGAGCAAAATTGACCGTAGAAAATGGGTCTTCTGGCAGGAAGTGCTTGCTGGACATTGCTAGCAGCAAACAACTGTGTAGAGAACGTATTTATAGTTCCCCACATAGGTCAGCGTGTCTTGTTCGCTGAGGACCATCTCGAAACTGAGAACGCGCTCCTAAATGTCCAAAAGAGGAAATTTTGGCGGCCAATTTCCAGGCGGAATTCCAACGACGGCACCAATTAGCAAGACGGGTGCTTTGCCCTATTGAGAACCAGAGCTCAAGGTATATATAGCTTCTAGTGTGGGGCTGACCCATCAAAATGACCAACAAAAAATTCAGAGTTATTGTGGGAAGCGATACTGCCGGCTACGAGTATAAGGAAGCCATCAAAAAGGACCTCGAAAACAATCCTTTGATTGAATCTGTCACCGACGTTGGCGTCTTTGGCACAGATAAAGAGGTTGCGTATCCCTTGGTAGCCATCGAGTGCGCTGAGAGAATTGCTCGGGGGGAAGCTGACAGAGGAGTTTTGATCTGTGGCACCGGACTAGGCGTTGCTCTGAGTGCCAACAAAGTGGCAGGGATTCGCGCAGTCACAGCACACGACTCGTTCAGCGTGGAACGGTCAATTCTGTCCAACAACTGCCAAATCCTGTGCATGGGACAGCGGGTTATTGGCCTTCAGCTGGCCAGAAGACTAGCTAAGGAGTGGTTCACGTACACGTTTGACGAGACCAGTGCGTCTGCGCAGAAGGTTGCCACGCTACTCGAGTATGAACAGAAACACCTAAATAAGCCTATATCTGACCAGATCTGAGGGGAAGTAACGCTTAGATCTGGTCATCAATAGTTGGTATCGATTGCCGCAAGGATCAAAATATGATTGACTAGTGTAACCTGACTCGGTAGAGAGCGGCAGAGGAGCGTTTGGCAAAGACGGCCGCATACTTGCCTTATTGTTGGTAGCAGAGCCATCCCACATTTTTCTGTGGAGCGTAGGTTTTCTATCCCAACACGGTAACCTAGGCGTACATGAAACAAAAGCCGCCATCAAATTTTGTGGGGTAAAAATAGTCCGGGGGTAAGCAAAAAATGTATGCAGGAGGGCTAATTACAATAAAGAAAAAAACAATGCATCTGCACATTGACGTAATTTGCTTCTCCCGTGTCTCTATAAATACCGGCAACAATCCCCTGTAGCTGTATCATAAACATGTCTTCCGATAGCAAAACAGAGAAATCACCTGTGCAAGAAAGCGAGTTCCCCACCTTCCTGGGTTTGAGAGGCCAAACACTGCAGAACACGGTCAGTGTGATGGCTTCTGTTGGATTCCTGCTTTTCGGATACGACCAAGGAGTCATGGGATCTCTGTTGACTCTTGAGTCTTTTAGAGACACTTTCCCTTCGATTGATACCATCAGACACGCGGACGCTGCCACCATGCAGGGATTCACGATTGCTGTGTACGAGATAGGGTGTTTGGCCGGTGCTCTTTCGACGCTCTATTTCGGAGACAAGCTCGGCAGATTGCGGTGTATTTTCATTGGCTGCGTCGTGATGACTATCGGCGCCATCTTGCAATGCACAGCCTTCAGCGTTGGCCATCTTATTGTCGGCCGGATTATCACTGGTCTCGGAAACGGATTCAACACAAGTACAATTCCCATGTGGCAGGCCGAGTGCTCGAAGCCGGACAAAAGAGGAAAGCTTGTGATGCTGTCAGGTGCGCTGATCACGGGAGGAATTGCTCTTTCGTACTGGGTCGATTTCGGGTTCTACTTCACCACAGGCTCTGTTGCATGGCGGTTCCCTGTCGCGTTCCAGATGATCTTCCCAATTCTCATTCTTCCATTCATCATGAAGCTGCCAGAATCGCCTAGATGGCTCATCAAGAAAGGTCACTACGAGAGAGCCCGTGTCGTGTTTGCTAGCTTGGACGGCGTGTCCACGATGGACCCGGAAGTGGAGGACCAAATCAACGACGTGCGTGTGTCGCTGCTCGAGGAGAATCTCCAAGGCGGCAACACGTTCACAGCCAGCAAGCTGTTCACCCAGGGCGAGCACAGAGACTTCCACAGAATGTGTCTTGGTCTTTGGGCGCAGATTTTCCAACAGATCACCGGTATCAACTTGATCACGTACTATGCGGGCACGCTTTTCGAGAGCTACATTGGCATGACGGCGTTTAACTCGCGTATTCTTGCCGCTTGTAACGGAACAGAGTATTTTCTTGCCTCGTGGATTCCGTTCTTTTTGATTGAAAGAGTTGGCAGACGGAAACTGATGATATTTGGTGCCGCCGGTCAGTCCATCACCATGGCCATGCTGACGGTGACCATGTACTTGTCGGGAGAAAAAGATGACCTCCATGCGGCCATAGCGGCGGCCGTGCTGCTGTTTGTGTTCAACACGTTCTTTGCCATCGGCTGGCTTGGCATGACGTGGCTTTATCCGGCAGAGATCCCGCCACTCAGTATCCGGGCCCCAGCAAACGCCGTCTCGACTGCCGGAAACTGGTCTTTCAACTTCATGGTGGTGATGATCACGCCTGTTGCGTTCAAAAACATCGACTTCTACACCTACGCGATCTTTGCCGTCATTAACGCGCTGATGGTGCCTAGCGTGTACTTCCTGTTCCCAGAGACTGCGGGCAGGTCGTTGGAGGACATGGACCACATCTTTTCGCAGTGTGATCCATGGAAGCCATGGCAGGTGGTTGGCATTGCCAGAAGACACCCAAGAACGCACGGCATGGCCGCAGACCTACAGTTGGAGCACGGCAAGGTCAGCACCGAAAACATCGAGAACGCTACTGGGTCTTCCGCGTGATATAGTATGTATTTGAATATTATTAGTCGCCTTTACTCCAGAATTTCATAAGGTCATTCATGCGCCACTGCGTGGCCCATCCGGTCGACTTCTCCACGTTGTGCAGCGCGTTGAGTAGGATGCCGTAGTCCTGGCGCGACGTCAATATCAGCCCTGCCACATACAGAGGCTGGATCGAGTTCGAGTACGCGCCGTAGTCCGAGTTTGTGATGGAAATGCCTATGATCCTCCGCGCGTGGTACACCATCGATACGCTCGGATACATTGAGTTTTCCGCAGAGAGCTGCGATAGCCGCAGCGAGTGTGGCTTGTTCTGTATCATCAGAATACACGACATGTGGTACATTTGCGTGGAGGAGATCGCCTGCGAGTTGGCAAAGAATATCCGTGGGAACCCAATCTTCGGATCGTACACCTCGTACGTCTTGCTGAACAGATCTTCAAAGCTCAACTCCCACCGTCGCAGCCGCACCCACAAGTCCAGCCACTTGGACTTGTACTGGTCGTCTTCCTGTTCGCCGTACGCCAGATTCACGACGAGCGAAGCCAGGTAAACAATGTAGTTGCCGTGCATCTCTGGCGTATCGAACGCTTTTTCAATCTCCTCGGCCGTCATGTTGGGCAGCACCCAGTGCTCCGACGGGAGAATGGTGGGGGACTCGTTAATGACCGAGTGACAAACGTCCATGCGGATAAACACCCAGAACGTGGCGCGCTCGATCTTGTCGACGGCAAGCCCGGTGATGTTGTAGCTTTTCAGCAGCAACACACAGCCTTCTAGATGTTGTTTCCAGTTGCGCGGCTCCGAGCTCATCATTTCAAACACACACAGGATCACGCACGTGACGATAATGTAGATGTCGTTGGATGTGTCGTTGTACGTGGGGGCCAGGTGGCGCAGCGACTCGTGGTACAGAGACACAGTCAGGCCTTTTGGGTAGTTGGCGACCTTGCTGTCGAACCAGCGCGACGACAAAGCAAGAACGGCAAACCGCAGTGCCGGCCGGCTCTTCATCTTTTGCGGAATCACGCGCACCATGGTCTTGTCGGTGTCAAACATATCCATTCCTGCCCCCACGTTCTCCACGTAATTTTTCAGCAGCAGTATCTCTTGCTCCGGCTTGAGCACAACGGGCTCGTCGAAATCTTTGACAGAAAACTTCTCCACGTTGACGAAATACTCCGTCAGCACCTCCTTTGGCAGTAGGGGCTCCAGCTTCGAGTTGGTCGTGAATGCGTTCACGTACATGTACTCGCGAAGAATGTGTGACAGGTCCAGATAGCTGTTCTCGTGCGTTGACGGGTAGTTCTGGTTGAATGCGTCCATGCTGAGTGGGTCGGACGACATTCCCGTCAGCGAGGAGGTGTAATCGGGAAACGGCGACATTGCGGGCGGCGCATTTGTTTTCTCAATAATCGGCTGAGGAAAATGCGGCGGAGAAAGAGCTCTGGACGGAAGAGTGGGCGTGAGCAGCGATGAAAGCGGTGACACCCGCTTATGGTGAGACATCTCGGCACTCAGCACTGGGTGCTCGTCAGTAAGTGAAGCCACAGGCGAAAACGGCCACTGCACCTTGGCCAGCTCTTGCGACTCTTGCGGCTCCTTTTGCTGCTGCTGTTTGGCGGGCTTTTTCTTCAGCAGCTGGTCCGATACGTTGATAAACCCGGGCCATTCGCAGGTGAGCCCATTGGAGAGGCAGTATGCGCACTTAGACTCGCCTTTCTCATTCGTGTGCTTGATCTCGTCGCACTTCCTGCGCTTGCGGCGACAAGTCAGACAACCAGTCCTAGCTCGTTGTACTTCCGGCTTGCTGATTTTAGAACGTGTACTAGTCGAGCCCGTAGCTCCGTGGGGTTGCCCAAGAGACATTAAATTGTTGAAAGGGAAATATAAGCGGCAACACTGTTTTACTTATTCTCGGAGAAGAGGAGATGCGTTCTCCAGATTCTAATTTTTCGCCTCGCGCATGTTGCCGCTTTGGGCACTCTAGCCGGGAGCAGGCATCGACAGCAGGTATATGTGGGATGGAACCCCGTCTTCAGCGTCAATGACTATCCCTTCCAGCAAAGAACCGTTCCAGAACTCATCAGGCCCTCCACTGCCGGCCAGGGCGCCCGATCTCTTCTCCTTAGCAGGCAAGATGTGCGTAATCACAGGCGCAGCAGGAGGAATCGGATTAGCCGTTGCAGAAGCCTATGCCCAGTCCGGAGCAAGCGTTGCCTTGTGGGACCTTGATCCGCCCGTCAAGGCAGCCGCGAGCATAGCAGACGAGAACGGTGTGAAAGCAAAGGCCTACGGCGGCGACGTCACAGACGCAGCCACCGTGGACCGCGTTGTGGACGAAATAGTGGCCGATTTCGGCACAATCGATGTTTTTGTGGCCAATGCAGGCGTCAACATCCCTTCTGGAAACATTCTGAGTGAGCTCAACAGAGATGGAAAGAGATGGAACAGGGTTGTCGACATCAACTTGAACGGGGTGTTCTACTGCGCGAGGGCCGTTGGCCGTGTCTTTGCAAAAGCAGGCAAGGGCTCGCTGATTTTTACTGGCTCCATGTCGGGTCACATTGTCAACACCCCGATTGAGCATTCGGCTTACAACGCCTCCAAGGCCGCGGTGATCCATCTGGCCAAGTCGCTGGCCGTTGAGTTCCGCGGTTTTGCGCGGGTCAACTCTGTGTCACCTGGCTACATTGACACGGGCATTAATGGCTACGTGGACCCAGACATTCGTCGCAAGTGGCAGGAAGAAATCCCTCTAGGAAGAGAGGGCCAGGTCAAGGAGATTGTCGGCGCATACGTGTTCTTTGCGTCAGACGCCTCGACCTACGCAACAGGATCTGATCTGATTGTTGATGGCGGATACACCATCCGATAATGCTGCTGCAGCAAGGACTAAATAATGTGGAGACTTTTTCCCCACAAATTTCAAACTCCGGAGAAGATCCCCAAATAGGAAACTTAAGCGTGGCTCGACAAATAGCTTGAAATTCATGCCCCAACTGCACTCCAGTCTTCATATAAGTAGCGCTGTCCCAGAACGCAGTTCCCCAATGACTATTGCTCACAACCTTCCAAACCCATCGCTCCAAACTAACCCGGAACACACTCTCGAGCTCAGAGAGCAGCCGATCGAGCTGCCAGGCCCCGACGAGGTGCTGCTACGCATCCGTGCCACGGGAATCTGTGGGTCTGACGTCCATTATTGGAAACACGGTCAGATCGGCGAGCTGAAAGTTCGCGGAAACTGCATTCTCGGCCACGAGGCTGCCGGCGAGGTGATCGAACTGGGCTCAGATGTGAAGAACTTCGAGATTGGCGACCGTGTTGCCATTGAGCCCCAGGACGCCTGCGGAAAGTGTTTCTTGTGTATCCAGGGAGACTACAACTTGTGCCAGGAGGTGGACTTTTTGTCTGTTTATCCCTGCCACGGCACGATCCAAAGATACCGGGTGATTAAAGCCAAAAACCTGTTCAAGCTGCCAGACAACATGACGTACGAGGAAGGCGCTCTGTGCGAGCCGCTCAGCGTGGCATACCACGGAATCGAGCGCGCGCAACTTGAGCTGGGCCGCGGTGCCATGATTTGCGGCGCCGGTCCGATCGGTCTGGCCACTCTGGCGTTGGCCAACGCGTGTGGAGCAGCTCCCTTGGTCATTTCCGATCTTTCTGCCGACAGACTGGAATTTGCGAAAAAGCTCGTTCCAAGAGTCCAGACGTACCAGATCGACCTCAAGAAGTCTGCCGAGGAGAATGCGGCCGGAATCAGAAAACTGTTTGGTCCAAGGGAAGAGGACGCTCCGCCAAAGGTGCTGGAGTGCACAGGCACGGAGAACAGTATTATCACCGGAGCTTACGTCGTGAGACGGAGTGGCACGCTGATGGTGATTGGTGTGGGTAGAGACATCATCAACAACTTCCCGTTCATGCACCTCTCCTTTGGCGAAGTGGACGTCAAGTTTATTAACAGATACCACCAGTCATGGCCAGCCGTGATCCGTCTGATCAGCGACGGCATTGTGGACGTCAAGAGCTTTGTGAGCCACCGATTCCCTCTGGAGAAGGCTGTGGAGGCAATTACTCTGTCGAGCGACCCAACACAAAGTAGTATCAAAGTGATTATCGAAGATAAATAGTGCAAAAATTAAATAACTGAATTACTGTAATTATCATTTATTTTTCATATTTCTCCTCCAGCTCGAGCGACGTGACACTTTTAAGCTTTGGGTCCTCGATCAGAAACATTAATGCCAAAATCGGCACACAGAAACATAGCGCAATAATTAGGAAGATGCGCTGCACGTAGTCGTAGGACTCGACCAGCTGTATTCTGGCCTCGCTGCCCCACGCGTGCTTCGTGATAAATTTCAACGGAGCCTGGTACGCCAGTGCTGCCATCTGTGAATTTTGCATTTTTTTAGCAATCTGGCCGGGCAGCACTTGCGTCCAAATTGCGCCTGCAATTGAAGACCCCACAGCAGAGCCCAAACTCGTCATTGCCGAGTACAGTGCCGTGACGTTGGCCAGATACTCGTGGTTGACGTACGATTGCAACGACACTCTGACCTGGTGGGTATACCCGGCAGAGCCGATTCCCAAAAGCACCTGCCCGGCAATCATACCCCCCACGTAAGCCTCGCCCGTCCGGTACCTGTACATTAGACCGTACGCGATGAAAGAGATGCCGATGCCGGCAAACATGATGAGTTTCATTTTTCTCACTACCACAATGACCAGGCCGAGAAACACACCACCGAGAGCCGCAGAAAAGCTGAATAGCGATGCTATCCGTGTTGCCGCCTTGACACTTTGGTGGAAAGCGACCACCAGTACCGTGTAGAGGTACTCACCCTCCAGTTCCCAGGCCACGCTGGACCAGAAGCCGATCACGAGTGCGGGAATCACGGAGCGATGCTTGACGATCTTGCGGGTGAGAATCGGATGCGTGGCGTACTTGCTCTCCCAAAGTACGACAAGCGGTAGCAGCAAGCCGCTGAGAACGAGCGGAACAATCACCTTGGCGGTGCGCCATTGCCGATCTTCTCCGCCGGCCAAGGTGAACGGCGTCAGAAATAGGCCGATCACGAGGGCCGCGCCGAGCACACCGACGGCGTCAAGTTGCCAGAGCAAAATATTCCACAGGTCGAGCCAGAACTGTTTGCTATTCATCCGTGGGCGCTGCAGCTCCTCGTGCAGATCGCCGTTTCTCACAGCGAGGTACCGCATGTGTACCAGCATGAGCACGAGCGGCAGCCCTGCCACCGGCATGATGATGGCCCACATACCGATCCCCCACGACCAGTTTTCCTCGCCGATGCTGCTCACAACGTTGCCCGAGATCCATGTGTTAATAATGAGCGGCATGGCGTCGATGAAGACGCAGAACGTGCGCCAGTTGAGGTTCGAGAAGTCCGCAGTGATCACCAGAGTGCAGATCTGGATGCCTGTCAAGCCGATTTGGTACAATATTGCGCCCGCAGCAAACCGCGTCACCGTGTATGCCTGCGACTCGATCACCGAGCCGACCGCGTAGAGCAGCAGGCTGACACACAGGATCTCCATGCGGCCGAAGATGTCGCAGCATCTGCCGTAAATGATCAACGCGCACACGGCGGCCACCGAGCGGACGGTCGAGACCGTCGAAACAAGCGAGTGCGCCTTGTACGAGTTGGTAGCATAAGTCTGGAACGTCTTTCTAACCGCGGCGTCGAGCCGGAATACGTACGCCATCACGAAGATGGCCAGGAAAATCAGCACTTTCTGGTACTTCTTGTTGTACTGTTTGATCTGGGCCTCTGCCCGACGAACACCAAACGACTTTTCGACGTTGCCCATGGCGTACACGGGCAAGGCCTCAGAGATGGGGAGCGAGCGCGTGGACTCGGCATGATCTTGTTCTGAGCTCTTAGCTGGGGGCATCATTGTCGACACGCTAATATGTAGACGGTTATATAGTCGCTAAGGGGCGAAGGAGGATGGAACGGCGTAATCGGACGGGAAAAAAGATGCATGCAGGTCGATGAGATGCAGGGTTTAAAATTATAACCTTGCAAAAAGGAGTGTTTGTCAGGGGACGGGGGCTTGCGTGGCGGGGAAACAAACCGGTCGGCAATCATGTTTGTCGCGATTCGCTGCGCAGAGCTACAGCTAGAAAATGGTTCTGGTCGCTCGGTTGCAAGGATGGCTAATACAATGGGATTTGTACGAGACGGCAAGTTTGAGATGCGTATGCTGAACCCTGCAAGCCGTGCCAAGGGCTACAATAGAATACTCTGAGCACCCGAGCTAATTAGGCCAATACTGACTCCTCAGATGTTTTTGGGTGGCAGGAGCTGCGGTTCAACAATAGCTGCAGATAGTTCCTGGCAGTGCTGCAGGGCGTTCTCGCAGCTCTCGACATCTCATTTCGCCGTGCCAGACTCGGCCCATGAAGACCAGTTGCGTTCATGCAGTCTCTTCAAGTGCGAATATCCATAGAAGAGGAAATTCCCGTAGCAGGAGATACACTAAAACGTGGATATAAATACTATTTTTACGCGGACACATAAATAATTTTTTTTTTTTTTTTTCGCTGGTCCGGAGATGTTGTGCATTGGACACGAAAATTGTGAGGCTGTGTGCTTCAACAGAGGTAGACCCGAATCTTTTGCACAGCAGGATATCTCTCTTCACCGCCTAATGCTATTAGGTACGACATAAGAAAAGTACACTAGACCAGGTCCAGGATTTTTGGCTCGTGCAACAGCCGGCTCTGAAACGGTCAACTGCTGAAGCTCTCTTATGCCAGAGTCGTCACTGACCATGCCAACAAGGTTTTAGAAGCCTGGCCATCCACAGATCTTTGAACCTCTGCTACGTTTGCTGAAACGACTAAGCTCTCTTCATACAAGTTTGCTCGGTGCAAATTGTTATCTATTTCTCTTCCCGTGGTTGCAGTTATCACGTTAATATTGGACAGAGCAGCTGGCCAGATTGATTGCCAGACTACCACTCACTGCTTTCCTGCAACTCAAGACTCTGAAGCTTGGCATATGTCTGCTCTGCTGCATCCAAGAGATGTTTAAGGCCCACACCTCGCGCCAGTGCCCTGACGTCAACGGTGTGGCTGCATGCCATAGCTGGCGGAGATTGGTTACTTATTGGGACAGAAAGCTGCGCTGATTCATCCACAGCATTCACGGTGCGAGCCACCACAACCGAAGAGACGGTATATAAGCTTTGGCATCTGCCGTTGAGCAGCATGTCTGAAAAATCAAGCACACAAGAGGTCCAGGTGAATGCCCCTTATTCGGGCTCCAGATGGAAAAGCTGGCTCTTTTCCAAGGAGAACCACAGAGAAATCACAAAGAAGTATGCCGACGAGACGCTTGATCTGATGGACCAGTATGACGCCATAGTGGCGGAGATCAGTCCGGAGCAGGAAAAGAAGCTTGTGCGCAAGCTCTGGTTCACCGTTCTTCCGCTCGTGTGTCTGGTCAATGCCACACTGTTTGTGGACAAGAATGCCATCAGTTATGCGTCTCTGACAGGGGTATTTCAGGACATGAATCTGACGACGCAAGAGTATAACAATATCCAGACGTATTTCTATGTTGGGTACCTGCTGGGCCAGTTCCCGTCGCACCTGGTGTTCCAGAAATTGCCAATCTCCAAGTACGTGACCTTCGTCACGGCTACGTGGTGCCTGCTGTCGCTCTGCACACTTGGTTGCAAAAGCTACGGCGGGCTGTCTGCTTTGCGGTTTTTCCTGGGATTTTTCGAGTCCGGTATAACTCCGTGCGTCGAGCACACAATAACCATGTTTTTCACGGTCGAGGAGCAGGCAATTGTCAATCCCATCTTCTGGGTTTCCTGTATCGGAGTTGACATTCCATGCGGATTCGTCTCGTACGCGTTGCAACACACCACGGTCTGGAGACCGTGGAAATGGTACTGGCTATATGTTGGGCTTCTTTCTGCTCTCGTGTCCGTGACCTGCTTCTTCATCTATCCAGATAACCCAGCCACGGCAGTATTCCTCAGCGTCGAGGAGAAGGTGCACACTGTCCGTCGCGTCAAAAACAGCTCCAGATCCTCGATCGAGCAGAAAACGTTCAAAATCTACCAATTCATCGAGACCATTAAAGACCCCATCACGTGGCTATTTGTGGTGGCCATCTTCCTCAACATGCTCGAAAACTCCACCACGTACGAGGCCTCCATCGTGTACAAGGCGCTGGGCTTCAGCAACCTGACCACAACGCTTTTAATGGTGGTGCAGACCGGGTTTGGCGTTTTCGCTGCCATTGCCGGCTCCATCGCACTACGGATCTTCCGCAGACAGTCCGTCTACGTTGCGTGTGTCTGTCTGTCTGTAGCATGGCTGGGCGGCATGCTTGCGGTCACCATGCCTTACGACAACAAGCCGGGCATTCTTGCCGGCATTTTCATGACTCGGCCAAACGGTACCGCCTACATTATTATCTTTTCCCTGTGCACCACTACGGCTGCTGGCTACACGAAAAAACTCACGAGAACTGCACTTTTCATGGTGGCCTACTCGGTAGCAAATTTCATATCGCCGCAGTTGTGGCAGTCGGAGTACGCTCCGCGGTACATTGTGTCCTGGAGCGTCCAGATCGTGTGCTCGTTCACGCTGTGTCCGCTGTGTCTGCTGGCGATCAGATTCATTCTCCTGAGACGCAACAGACAGAGACTGGCTGCAATGGAAAACGACGACGGACAAGACTACGGCTACATCGATCTGAACGGCGAGAACGGCGAGATTGTGCGCCAAAAAGTGGACGTTTCCATGCTGGACCTGACCGACCTCGAAAATAAGAAGTTTATATATCCTTTGTAATTAATTTCTACTCCAGGAACCGTCAACGGGCATTTCGCGGCCCCGGAAGACGTGGGTAGCAAGATCCTCTATAAATCAACAACAGTAGTGATGAGTCAGAATGGACACACACTAAATAAGTTAAGTTATGTACTACCTTCCGGATGAGCCACATCTTATCTGCTGTTATTTCCTAATCGAGAAGGCGATCTCCGCACTAAATAGTCACCTGGTCCAGACGTTCAAGGTCGGCTGCCGAGAACTCTAGGTCTGCGTCTGTGCACAGAACCGCCGTGTCAAGCCTTCTCTTTTCGTCCCTCTCTATATTCTCCTTCTTGAGCAAATAATTGTCCACCCTGATGTCCTGTGGATCTTTCCATCTGAAGAGCTCCGTGTACTCGTTTTCGCGGCCCTGCACCCTGTCCACCACGGTCTTGCCCAGAACAGGCAGAAACTTAAACGCGTGCGACGAGCCGCCCGTAGCTACAATCAGGTTTTGATACCCAGGCACAAAGTCGATCACAAAGTCGCTGTTAATGGCGTCCGTGTACCACAACAATTTAGTCTTCAATTTTACCCCTGGTAGCTGCACCACGTCGGGAGCTACTGCCATTAGAATTTCCTTGGCTTCTTGGACAACGCTCTTTGGCAGCCTCTCGTCACCGAGCGTCCTGGGCACTGAAACATAGTGGTTGCCAACTCGTTCTGGATTCAAGTACTTTCTCTGTCTGGTGTTGACTTTCAGGATTCCTTCCTTTCTGGTTGGCGGAAAAAAAGCAAACCCGCCCTCGCCCACGTCGTGGTTCTTGTTGCGGTCGTGCTCGCTGCTGGTCGTCTTCCACTGCAGGTGGGGGTATTCTGAGTACTTGTCGATTAGGTCTTGGTGGGTCTTGGGGATCTCGAGATACACGATATTGGCGAGCGACGCGTGGATGCGGTGCTGCAGCTGAGGCACGAGCGACTCGGTCCATGGCCCAGAGCTCACAATCACAAGGTCGGCTGCGTGGTGCTGGCCGTCTGCGGTGATAATCCCGCCAATAGTGTCCCCGGTTGATATTTTGTCGCTCAATGTCCCCTGGTCACCGTAGTAAAATTTCACACCCGCGTGCTCCAGCAGGATTTTCACGAAAAAACACGCCTTGTCGGCCTTGAGCATGCGCCCGATGCCGTCTAGCGTGCCGGAAACCGTGGAAATCTTGCCCCGCTGCTTCAGGTCGCGAATTACGGCGAGTTTCCTGCAGAACCCCAGTAGTCGTGCCCGGAGCAGGTCTTGGTCGGAATCGATGTCAAACTGAGTAGCACGCAGCCCCAGTCTTTCAAACCCCTCAAGGTTCTCTTTTTCGACCGGGGCCATTTCGCACGTGTCGGAGATCCGCAGACCTCCCGACAGCCGGATCAATTCCAGGTCATCGTCTACAAACCGCGCCTTGTCCGCTTCTGGAAGCTGCTGGATCTCCTCGTTCCATCTGTCCCACACATCCAGGGCCTCGACAGCAAGCTTTGAATACAGCGTCTTGGTCTCGTAGTAGACGCGGAAAAACTTGTTGATGTCGCCGCTGGCGCAATCGGACCCGCGCAACGGGTGGTACTTGGTCTCGTTGTAATTGATGCGGTCGAATATATGGATATTCGTGTACCCGTTCTGCACCAGGTGGTAGGCTGCAGAAAGCCCAAACACGCCAGAGCCCACGATGATGATCTTGGCCTGTTTGTCGTACATGGTAAAAACTCCTGGCACGCCGCTGTATTTATACTCGGAGCAGGCATGCCCAAACCAGTGAGCTGTGGCTCTGCTCCACAATAACGGAAAATTTGCAGATAAGCGGGAAATTTTTATTTTTTCAATGTCCGCAAAGACGATCCCGGGGGTCCAGCAGTTCCGTGTTCCGGAGCTACACAAGAGCAAAGCCAGGGCGTGTGTGGCCTGCCGTGAGAGGAAGCGCAGATGTACTTTGGAATTGCCCGTCTGCAGCTACTGTCGCGTGCGAAAAAAGCCATGTGTGTATCCGTCGCAAACGTCTCCCGGCCCTGACAGGTCAGCTGAAACGCGGGCCGGCACCCAGGCTGGCGCCACCACAGCAATTCCCCGCGTGCTCTGGCCGGGTTCTAATGCCGGCAGCGACCTCAAGCCCGAAATGAGAGCCGGCCCCGTTTTCACAAGCATTCTGAGCCCGTCGCTGTGTCTGGCGACTGGCCAAGTCTCGCCCGATTTTCAACTTTTGCGCTCGTATCTCCCCGAAAAACGCGACGCAGACACTCTGATCGACCGGTACCAGAACTCGATCCACCCAGTGGTGCCGATTTTCGACCTGCGCTCATTTCTTCCGCACTACGAGCTGTTCTGGGACGAGGATAAAACCGCGTCTCTCGAGTTTTACATCGTGCTGCTCACAATCCTGTACGCTGCATCGGTGGCAGAGTTTGAGGAAATGTCAATCGACAACCAGTTTGGGCCCCATAGCGATGAGCTTGTTGCCAAAATGAAGTACTACGTCGGTGCGACCGAAATTGCGCTCGCAATGCACGGCTTCCCCACCAAAGTCGCTCTCGTCGACCTCCAGGCGTCGTTTATTTTGCACTACGTGCTGCGCTCCGACTGCCGCACGGACGACTGCGGCTCTGTTGGGTATCTCGTGCGGCTGGCGCAGCTGCTCGAGCTGCAACGCGACCCCTGGAGCTACCACCGCATTGCTGACGCCAGAGACGTGCAAAAGCGCCGCATTCTTTGGTGGCACATCTACTACCTCGACTGCACAACAGCGCTCTCGACGCGGATGCCACCCATCATCGTCGAGGGCGAGCACGACACGCAGTTCCCGGCAGAGTACACCAAGTCCGGTACAGGCGACTTTCTGCTCGACGCGCACGTGACCTTCGCGAACCGCCGGTTCGGCTGGGCCGTGGTGTGCAGCCGCATTCTGCGGCTCGCGTTCCGGCTACAGACACCGTCCGACGAGGACTGGTTTGCGCTGCGCAGGGACATCGATAACCTGGCGCTGCAGTGCGCTGCCGCGACCCAGCGCCTGCTCGACAATGCGCGCACCATCCACGCCGACTGGCTCGCGTTCAGCACCGCTGTCATCTCGTCGCTTGCTGACCGGTGTCACGTGCTCGTCGATCTCTCGCTGCAGAAACACCCGGACCACAATGGCACGTTTGGCAACCCGGAGACCTCGTCTGTGTCTGACGTGCAGTTGCGCACGGTGGGTTCGGAGTTCGAGGAGAGCCAGATCCACTTGCTTCAGCAGTATCTGTCGTACGGCTCGATGCCGAAAAATAAGCGATATCTCTGGGAGATCCGCAAGTTCCAGCCGATCCAGACGATTTTGGCGCTGTTGCGCAGCCTGATCGCCGACGTCGCATGTCTGGACCGCGGAGTGCACTCGTCGGAAGCCATCCACGCGCTCGAGAAATGCGCCAAGGTGCGCGTTTTGGAGGACGCGGTGCAAAATCTCGGGTATCTGGCCCACCACACGACACCGCTGTGTAAACAACGATGGTCGCTCGTGATTGAGCTCAAACACGCAACCTGGCAGCAGGTGTTTGGCCACCCTCAAACCCCGCAGGATGCGGTCCATTCTGCCGCCTCCACGCAAAGCGACGAGTCGCTACGCTCCGACGACGCCTGGGCGCAGATTCTCACAGAGCTCGGCAAGGTGCACCAGAAGATCGACGACAATATCAACGTCAAAATCTGGGACAACGACGCCGGCCACTACACGTTGTAAACAGCTAGTTCTCCTATTTAGGATCGTATTCGCCCTCCACGTCCTTGAAAGTGTACCGCTTGGCCTCGTAGAACATGTCTGGCGTCGATTTTGCAGTCGCCGCGCCGGGAAACAACTCCGGACACAGCGTGATGTACTTGGGGAATCGCCACTGCCTTCCAGACCAGTTTGTCTCGACGGGCAGCTCGTTCTTCAGCGCTTCAGACACCAGCTCGCACTCTTTCCACACACGGATGACGTTCAGCCCCATAAACTTTCGGATATCCTCGTGCGTAGCGCCAGACTTTTCCCACACCTTGACGACGAGGTCGGGAAATTTCGACACATCCTCGAGTCCCTTGGGGCCCGTGGCGCCCATACCATCGAAATCAGACCCGATCCCCACATGGTCCCAGCCGATGAGGTTGACAATGTGCAGCACATGGTCGACGCAGTCGTCGATCGACGCGTCGGCCGCGTCGGGCTTCTTGATGAAGTTGGGCACAAAATCCACACACACAACGCCGCCGTTCGCCTTCACCATCTGCAGCACGTCGTCCCGCACGTTCCGCTCGTGGTTAGTCACAGAGTACGCCGAGCTGTGCGAAAAAATCACCGGCGCACGCGCAATCTGCAAAACGTCCACCATCGTCTTGTACGACACGTGACTCAGGTCCACCATCATGCCGATGCGGTTGAACTCGCGAATGCAGTCGCGGCCGTACGCGGTGAGGCCCTTGTCCTCCTTGCCGGCAATGACAGTCGTGCACGCGGTAGCAAACGGGTTGTCGCAGTTATGCGTCAGCGTGATGTAGCGCACGCCAAGGTCGTAGTACTGTCTCACCACGGCGAGCGACGTGTCGACCTGGTGCAGGCCCTCCACGCCCATTGTGACGGATATCATGTCGCCATTCGACTCCTGGTAGCTGCGCAGCGCCTCATCCGCGCTGGTCACAAATTTCATGCTCCGCGAGTACTTGTCGACGAGCCGTTTGATGATGTCCACCTGCTCCAGCGTGTCCCGTACAATGCTGTTGGGTCTCTCAAAGTCCTGGTACAGCTCGTCGGGACTTGGGTAGTCCATCCAGCAGCTGAAGAACTGGACACCGACGCCGCCCTGCTTCATGCGACGCAGGTCTGTCTGCGACACGAGCGGCTCGTCGAAATGGAACTTATCCTCGTTTATTTCGTAGTGCAGCTGCCATCTGAGCTGGTAGGGCAGGTCGTTGTGGACGTCGACGACAGGCGTCGTTTTCGACAGCCGCCGAAATTCCTCGTATAAGTCTGGCGCAGGCATGGCGGGAGGAGCGGGCTGCACGGGTATTTATAGGGCGCGGGATGCCCGTTTGGGAGAGAGATAAGACTTTCATTATCGGAGCTTATGTAATCCCTATTTTTTAAAAATCTCAGAACGGAAAATCGGTCTGGTCGTCGACGCGGACGAGCCTGCCGCTGGTGTGTGGCGACAGCATTGAAATGGTGGTGACAATGCCTTCGGCACTGGTTTCTGCAGTGATTCCGTGGTTCTTGAGGTACTCACTGAAAGCGAGAGCCATCGGGTCGGTTGGGCTGTTTTCCATCTTCTCCATAAGACCTTTCGCCATGTCGGTAACAACGAGACCTGGGTGGACACCAACGTAGCTGAAGTTTTCCCCGGCATTCTCATCGCTCAGTCTTCTGATCACAAAGTTAAGAGCGGCCTTTGAGGTTCCGTAGGCCCCGACAGGTAGCGGCAGGTAGGTGCCAATGGAACCGGCATTGCTGGAGGTGAAGACGACCTTTCTGGTGTTTCTCTTCAACAAGAAGCCGTGAGCGGCCTTATAAGCCTCAAGAGCACCAATGGTGTTGGTCAAGAAGTGCTCCATGAAGAGCTCTCTCGAACACTCCAGAATTGGGAGAGTAGACTTCGAAATCCCGGCATTGATGATAGCCACGTCAAGACCATCGGTCAGCTTAGCAAGGCCTTTCTCCAATTGTTCTTTGCAGTCCTCATCGGCAATGTCTACAACGACAGTGTCAACGTTGGGTTTTTTGGCAAGTTCCAAGAGTTTGGAGGCCGTGGTTGCCGATCTGTACGATGCAATAACGTAGTTATCTGGATTCTCGCTCAATTTGGTAGCAAGTGCGAGTCCAATTCCTCTAGAGGCGCCGACGACGAGATAAACTGTTTGAGTCATAGTATTGTCTTTGGTTAGTGATAGAACTACATCCTGGACTTCATTTATATAGTCGTTGGCCAAGGGATGTCATGGTCTTCTCTGGCCTTATGATTTGAAAATAATTTGTAAGAATTATCTTCTCCGGAGTGTGGCCTCGGATTTCGCTCTTCCTTACAAAATATGTTGCATTAATAAATTTTATTTTGCACTCTAAGGACCGAAATATGTCCCGAAGTAGTCTGGGAACAGGTTCAAAGAGTATTGCTGCGGGACATGCATTTCTAATTGCAACCGGTGTTGGTGTAGGATGTTACCGTTGTGTTCTGCAACGCAGTCGATTTCCACATTTTTTTTTTGAGTCTGCTACGCTCTAACATATTCCATCGAATTTAAAAAAAATCCATTATTAATTATTGTATGTTCGCTATACGGCCGACTCCTAGTCCTCCTACCCATTGTAGACGCGCGGCCGCCATGTTAGAGCTAGCAATACTGACAAGTCTTATGGATCCTCGTGGCATGGCCTCTCATCTAGAAACCGCCGTATTCCACACCTCCTAAGCTTCTTCAGGCTTAAATTTATTTTAATTTTTCAAAGTATTTCATATGTTGAAGCCAACCTTGGTGCTGGTCATTGCACTGATATTGCCGATTTTGTATCAGCAGCTGCAGGATCTCCTGAACAGAAACACAATCCCACTCCACGTGCTACGCTATTATGTTCAGCATCCCCTCGACGACGTCATCATCAAAATTCCAGTATACATCGAGTCTTCAGATCTACGATTTCTCGACGTCGGAGAAGCCATACACATCCAGAGCCTCGGCAGACTGCGAGAAACAGAGCGCACACTGCCAGATGTGCAGTTCGATTTCTACGAATACACTAATCAGACCGATGCTCTTGTAATGAAATTTTTCATCAGCGACGGCAACGGCATCTACGTGGACGCCGTGGAGGGGTACGCAGCGCTTTTCTACACACTGGAGGCAGTGGACGCCAACGATGTGCCGTATTTCGGGACGCAGCTGCTGCTGGATCACTGCTACAACGACGAGATCAAAAACTACGTTGCAGACAGTTTTCTGCAGCTGGTGGACCACGACTCGAAAAACCACAGCTTCTTGCACCACTGGCAGTTCGAGACCTCCGTGCAGGAACCTCTGCACCTTGTGTTTGTCATGTTGAGTGCCCAGACCAACTGGGAAATTGAGCAGGCCGTGAAAATGTATATGGAGCCCGTTCTCAGCATCCTGTCCAACTGCAGCCTGGAATTTTTGCATGTGGAGGAGGACCGCAAGTCGCCGTTCCGCTACATCGACGAACATTTCCCCGAAGAGCTGTCCGCGTTGCCGAACTTATCAGACTTCTATATCTCACATAACAGCTCCAACTCCACGTTGTACCTCGTCTACTATCCGTTTGAGCTGACAGACCACTCTATCCGCACTCTATCCGTCGACAACCACAGCATCTACTCCAGCAATGAAAACACGTTTCTCAACATAAAATCGTGGGGATCCGTCTACTTTGCGCACACTGAAAGCTACCACGGCTACGTTTCTGTGCAGAATTTGTCCGACTGCATATGGTCATTTGCAGAGACTGTTCTGGATCACTATCATTTTCCAAACGAGAATATGGCGCCGGCTCTGCGCATCCAGATGTACAAGCGGATTTCCACGGTCAAGAACCTGACGTACTTTAGCCACAGGCTTTCTCAGGTGATCGGCTGGCTGGAACGCAACACTCTAGACAGGTTTCTGGGCAGTGCAATTCTCGACGCTTTCGACCGCCGGGAGCACGTGAAAGAAAGGCTGCTAAATTACGACTACGACGCAGCGTTTCAAATCAGCACGGACATGGTGGCCACGTTCGACAAGCAGATACAGAATCTTGATATTGGAAAAATGGAAATAATCGCGTGAGCTCAGCTTTTAACCATGTTCTGTTGATCTGCCGATGCCAAAACGTATAAATATCGATGCGGGACAATTCCTGTTCCTACCGGTATGTTCTACGAGCTCAAGGATTGGAGCTCGGTTGCGTCGACCGACCGATCGCACCCGCTGATTTTCGAGACTGACCGCAAACCGTGCTACATCATGGCCGATGTGGGCCATTCGCAGCAAGACGACAGGTTTTTAGAGGATCTGTTAAAACTGTGCGACCTCACCGGCATGCGCCAAAAACACTATCAAGACATAGTCAGAAAACAGGTAAGAGAAGAACTGCTGCTGAAAAGCATCTTTCTGAGACTCGCCTCAAAAGTTCGCGGAGCTTCCTACGTGGACTCGCGAGTGGACAAATACATCCGAGCGAAAGGCATCCTCACCCCTGGAAAGTATCCAATTGTCCAGAAACCGATTTTGAAAAGGGTCGAGTGCAACGACCTGGGGCTCAAGTACAATTTTGACATGGAGGCGCTGGAGATTGAAAATCAAGAGAAACTTAAACTAGAGGCGAAGGATGCAGACATTTTGTACCTGGAAGCTCCAAACAAGGGCAAGCTTTACATCAGGAAAGTGAAGCCTTTGTTGGACATACAATCTCCTTTTATAAAGGAGGCCTGCAGCGCGCGCATTCGGAGACGCACGCAGTATTTTGACAGGATTCTCGGGGAGAAACACCAGAGCTTTGACGAGTTTGAGGACCGGCTGCTGAATCAACCGATCCGTAACTACATTAAGTGATACCAATGCTCACAGCTGCTGGACGACTTTCTGGTGCACGGGTGCAGAATATCAAAAAAAAAAACATTTCATGCCAACCTGAAAATTATATAATTTAATGAATAGTCATGACTAGCACATTCACAAACACCGCTAGAAAAATCGTTTCGCTTTTGGAAAAATACCCTACCGACAAGGTGAAGCACTACGCGTCGTTCAAGTTCTCGCAGATCGAGCGGTTCTGTAATATCGGCTCGATACCGATCCCGAAGAAAATATTAGAAGAACAGGCCCTCGAGCAGCAGAAGCAGCAGAAACTCATCAAGATCGACGTGAAAAAGCTCAAAAGAATGATTTTTGCTGACGAAGACGCCGCTCCCAACTACAAGAAGGAACTGTTTGATGCTGACATCCTGAACCAGCAGTACAAGTCGTTGAAGAACATCGCTGACAACAAATGGGCCAACTACTACAAGGTGGACAAAAAACTGCTTGAGCCGAAGGGAAACCCCAACTACTACGCCAGACTAATGAGGGACGTCAACCGTGGAGGACAAGAGCGGGAAAGCATTTTCGATGCTTTCCGTACCATCATCACAGGAAAGTACTAACGATTATTTATGAACGGTAAAATATTAGTGCGTTTATTTTTTGGCGAACTGTAGGTAGCAGTCTGTGTCGTTGATTTTTATCGAAGTTCCCAGACTTTCCAAACACCGGGCCGACTCAAGGTCTGAGCGGAATTCCACAAGCGCGAGGTTTCGGATGTGCACGATGTTCACGTTCAAGAAACCTGTAAACTTCTCAAAGATAGATTCCAGCTCATCTCTGGTAGTCGAGCTAGGGACGTTGGTGACCAACAGGATTTTATGAGGTTCTGCAGCTCTGGATCCCGGAATCTTGCGTTTCTTAGCCATCATAGGGGCCTGGAGTGTCGACTTGCGTTTCTTTGTTCGTTTTTCCAATCTCTGTGCGCGCTGTTCTCGCAAATATTGCTCATACGCGGATTGTTCCATATGCTCCTGTGCCGCAAGGTCGCTGTTGGACTTCGCAATATACATGTCCATAGGCTTGTCAAAGATGACTTTCGTGTTGAGGTGTTCAATCGCAAGAACGCAGTCCTCGTGCGACTTTAGCGTAATAAACGCTTGTCCTCTTAATTGTAGATTTTTAAACAACTTGATTTCTTGGATAGGTATGCCGCGTTCGCCAAACAGTTGCTCCAGCGCCGAGCGGAGCTTCTGGTGCGAAAGCCGTTCGTTCAAATTGCGCACATACAGTGTGCAGATAGACATGGGCCTAAAAATTGCTGCACGAAAAATTCAGAAAGCACTGCCCGGAGGCTGTTATGTACATTCAATTACTAGCCTATTGCAAGCCCAACTCCTGCAAAAACGCATCCGAAGAGGGCTTTCTGCCAAGAAGATCAACCAACAGATCCATTTCCTCCTGGGAACCTCCCTTTTCCAGCACTTTTCTTCTGTACTCCAGACCGCTCTTCACGTTAAATGGATCCTCCTTGAACTTGGTGTAGAAAATGTCTGCAGCAAAGACTTGAGACCATAGGTACCCATAGTAACCGGAGGCATAGCCGCCCATGAGATGGCCAAATGAAGCGTACCCGGTGGTGGTTTGGCCGCCATTTTTCACCAGAGCTACCTCCTCACGCAGGTCGTTCCACAGACGGTCCATGTCAACCTTGCCGTCGACAGAGGTGTGAAGGCTCATGTCGAACAATCCAAAGTGCAGCTGGCGCAAGTTGAACAGCGCGCCATTGACGTTCTTGGACTTAATCAGAGAATCGATCAGGTTATCAGGAAGTGCCTCGCCGGTTTCATAGTGACCTGACAGAAACTTGAGCTGGTCTTTGCTCCAGCAGAAGTATTCCAGCAGCTGAGACGGCATCTCGACAAAGTCCCAGCTTACAGACGTGCCATGAAATCTGGCGTACTTGGTCTCTCCAAGCAAATCGTGGATTCCGTGGCCCAGCTCGTGGAAAAAGGTCACCACCTCGTCATGTTTCAGCAACGAAGGCTTCTTAGCCAGATCCCGTGTGAAGTTGCACACCAGTGACGTTGAAGGGTAATATTTCCTGCCAGTCTTGACGTCAACGTACCCTGGAGCAAGCCCGAAGTTGGCAGCATGTCCGTACTTTCCCTCGCGTGGGTGTAGGTCAAAGTACAGATATCCAACAAATTCTTCTTTGGAATCGGTTTTCCAAACGGAAAATTGCTGCACCTCAGCATGCCAGGTCTTTGGATTGTCAACCTGCTTGAATCTCAGCTGGAAGATTTTCTCGTAAATGGCCAACATCCGCTCGATTGTCTGCTTCAACGGGAAGTATTCGGATATTTGTTTTTCATCCACCTGGTACTGCTCCTCAAGCATTTTATTGTGGTAGTATCTGTGATCCCAAACGTAGTACTCAAGATCTCCCGTCTCCTTTTGCTTCATCTTCTGCAAACTCTGAATTTCTTGTTTTCCCAATGGTTTGAGCCTATCTCTGAGGTCAGCCAAAAAGTCCATGACAGTCTTTGGTGTCTTGGCCATGCGCTCCTCCAGAATATACTCGGAGAAGTTTTCATAGCCGAGCAGTTTGGCCAGTTCGGCACGAGTCTCGACGGCCTGTTTCAGAAGAGGGCCGTTTTCCTTCACCTTGTTCTGGTCGCCCACAAACGCCCGTTTCCGGGTCTCTGGGTTTTTGGCATACTTCAAAACAGGGAACAGGTCAGGATACTTGAAAGTCATCTTGTACTTGCCGTTTTCCTGCTCAAACTGGGCCACAACGTCCTCGGGGACACCCTCGAGCTCCTGCTTGGTGAACCAAATGTGCTCCGTTTCTTCACCCAAATTCTTAGAGAATTCGAGAGCGTAAGTGGACAGCTTCTGCTTGAGGTTCCTGATTTGCTCCCGCACATTCTCAGGCTTGTTCAACCCATTCCGTTCATACTGACGGTGAAGTTTTTCCAAGAGTCTCTTATCCTCCCCCTCCAATTTGTCCAGCTCGTTTTCGTAGACCGCGTGGATCGCCTTGTAGACGTCCTCACGCAGGCCAGACTCGATGCTGAACTCTCTGAGCTTTTTGTCCGCCTCGTTGGAGGCGTCTCGAAGCTCCTTCGAGGCAGAAACATGCTGGTAAAAGGTGATCTGGTTGGAGATTCTGGCTTGCACGTTTTCCAGATGGGCAATTGGCGCGATGGTGTTTTTAAACGACGCATTGTCCGCCGTGCTGGCAACGAGGTCGTCGAGCTTCCGGCCCTCTGTGATCAGCTGATCTGCCAGCTGCAAAATCTGCTCAGGCGAGTGATCCCATTCTAAAGGTTGTTGAGTGATGCTCATGTTCCAGTAAACAAAGATCGCGAACAGCACAGGTAAAATATAGAACAGGGTCTTGAGCATTTTTCACCACCTGAAACCAAAGAGGTTGGTGGAGAGTGCCGCGTTGGCGTATACGAGTAAAAAAACCAGTTCTTGCGGCGCTCGGGTCGGCCTTGCAGAGAGTTGTCCTGCCGCTGGTGTGGTATTCTTGTGTATTTAGGCTCTTCCAACGGAGACGCCCGCGCAGCTTATCTAATCCACAATTTTCAAATTAGTCTAGACACCGAAATAATATTCTTTATGGCATCGAGCAATGAAGAGATTATTGAGCAGCTTTCGCTCCAGCTGCTGGAGCAGACGGAGAAAAATTCGAAGCTGGAGGTGAGTCTTCTGAACACGCACCAAAAAATCCAGGATTTGAAGCGCCAACTGGTGGAGAGCCGAAAACAAAAGGAGGATAGCGATAAAGAGGTCGAGCGCTTGAGCTATGAGATGGAGGATCTTAGTGCCACGCTGTTTGACCAGGCCAACGAGAAGGTGAAGGAGGCAAATATCGTGGCAAACGATTTCAAGCTGAGGAACGAGAAACTGGTCGAGACACTTAAGGATCGTGATACGACAATAGAATTGCTTAACAACGAGCTCAGGAACCTCAAACGTCTCATAGCAGATCTGGAGCACCAGGAGTCGTTGCAGACACCACCTTCGAGAGTAAATTCGGAATTGTTGTCGGACTCTCAGTTCACGCTCCCCAAACTCATAAAGTACAATGGTCAGCCCATATACTCTCCGACATTCAACCAGCTGCGTTTTGACATACTTTTGTTTAACCAGTTCAAAGAGTCACTACAAAACTTACAAAATATTAGAGAAACCTCCTTTTACCGCCACCTGGTGAGTGAGGAGATCGAGCCGGTGCTACGTCTAGATCTGTCTCCGTCGATCAAGTTCTTCCAGAAGAAATGGTTCATCAACAGTCTGTTTGAGTCAAAAGTTGTCATAGAGCCATTAAGCGCCTCAACAGAGCTCTGGAAGGCCGCACAGGCACAGTCTGCGCCATCCTCGCCGCCATTGTCGGTGAAAAGCCTGAACCTGAGGATGTTTAAGTACGAGACCGATAGACCGGTGGCAATGGAGGCCAAGTGTTCCTTATGTGGAGAGGCACGCATGGGTATCAACTATGCTAGACTGTACGTTATGAGAGTCAGAGAGGTGGAATATTTAATCTGCATCTCGTGCGCTACCAAGCTGAGACGCACCGTCGACCTGCTTTCTCGCATCAAGACTATATCGCAGACTCAGGACGAAGAGGAGGTGTTACGCGTTTGGTGTGAGCTTGCAGAGCTGCGGGGCCGCTTGTTCTACTCGAAGTTGGGAATTTGGGACGAGTCTGACGAAAGTGGATTGGTGTACGGCTGGAAAAATAGCTGGCTGGGTCGGCACCCTGTCCAAGAAACAGACAATAATGCAGAAGCGCCCTCTCAGTCAGATCAGACCCCCCAGAATGTTCTAAATACCGACACAGCCAGCGACAAGACTGTGCAGTTGGAAAACGGTAAGGACAAGATGCCTGAGTCTGTTCCCGAACCGGCCTCGAAGCAAGAGCTCGAAATTGATATGAAGCTCCAGCAGGTTGCCATATCGTCCGCCACCGATGACATCCTCGATACCTACACCACCACGTCGGACGAGGAGTTCAACGACGCCCAAGAGGCGCACTCTGTAACCAACGACTAGTAGCCAAGGCTGTGTACATAAATAATTTTTTCCAGGCTGTGTACTAAACTTTCATGAGCGAGCCTAGTCAAGTTCAGGTGTTCAGGTTGCTAAATCCGTCCAGCAAGCTCAAGTACCAGTCATTGTTACAGTCTGACTATGTGAGTGAGCGTCTGGACACGGTGACTGCGTGGCGCAAGCTATATGTGAAGCTGATTACGTGGAACTTGGGGTGCATGGAAGACTGTCCTCTAGACCATATACGCCAGCTACTTTCTTCCAACCAAGGATATGCCGATATCTACATAGTGGGATTTCAGGAGACGATCCCATTGACTTCGTTTGCTGCCTCTCCCAAGGTAATTGACCAGTGGTGTGATCGACTGCTAGCGGCTCTGCCTCCTGGCCAGTTCAAGGCGGTGCACCGGTACGGGCTGCTCGGACTGACAAGCGTGCTGATAGTTAGGGCCGAAATAGAGGGCCAGATATCTGATTGCAGCTCTCGAACCGTCGGACTCGGCTATCTGAACTGGTACAACAAGGGCTGTATTGAGACGCAATTTTCCATTGGCCAAATAGACGAGAAGCTTGCGGGAGTGCGTGTTCAGGTTTTCAACATGCATCTGACGCACGGCGAGGAGGAACTATCGGTGGAGATAAGAAACCAATGTTTGAAGAAAGTCCAGGATAGTTTAGGAACGATTCGAAATGCAGCACTTGCGGGCTCAGCATCGGCTGTACAGGATGAACGGGTCTGCGAGCCGGAACTGAGTCAGACAGAGCTTGAGAAAATCGACAGCTCGACAGTTTCCAGGATATTCAAGAAAGAGTGCCGCAAGGTAGTTTTCGCCAGCGGCGACCTCAATTACCGTCTGGAGAACAGAAATGTCAATGAGTATATCTATAAAGGAGACTATGAAAAATTGCTAGAGAGCGACCAGCTCCGCTCACAGAAAAACAAAGCTAACATATTCAGCGGATTTTCTGAGGGTGAGATCCGGTTTCGCCCCACGTTCAAAGTGACGGAGACGCTTGAATACGAGGAGACCCGTGTGCCATCATATACGGATAGAATTCTGTATAGCGCGGATGACGGACTCGAGCAGCTGACGTACGACGTTTGCGAGGTGAGCGGGTCTGACCATCTGCCAGTGGTGGCAGAGTTTGCGCTGGATGCGAGAATGGTCGATTTCGGCGCTCTGAAAGCAGTGCGTTCCGAGATCGGAACTCAGCTGGACAGAATCCTCAACCAGATGGAGATCGTGGACGTTTCGCCGTCGCTGATCGATATCGACGTTGTGGCTGGCATAAAAGAGGTGTTGGAAGTCACTGTGAGCAACCTCACAGAGGAGCCGCTGCAGTACCATCTGGATATTCGCAAACGGTTATTTAGAAAACCGGTGATCAAGCTGCTGAACGACGACGGCATTTTGCCGGCAAAAAAATCTAAACAGCTCCAATTCCAGATCAGCACCTCCAAAATCGAGAAATTCGACAAAACACTCACAATGACGTTTGCCAACTTCGAGTTCGTCAAGTTTCTTGCGTTCTCCGTGTCCTCAAAATCAATCCTGTTCCAACCTGTACATGAGCTCGAAGAAATGCAATATCAGAACATAGTGCAGTCGTTTGACTTTATTTTGAAAGGCACAACAGATAATCTATTAACAGGAATGCAGTCTGTTGTGGACCTGGCCTCGTTGAACGAGTTCGAGATATCCTTGTTGAAAGATATGACGCTGCGGCAGATCGACTTCGACCTGCTGACTAAGCTGAATTCTATAGGAATGGTGCAAAACGAGGGATCGTGTGGACTCATGAATGTGCTATATTTGTGGCTGAAAAGCCTTCCGGAGCTCGCAAGCGACAAAAGATCTGGTGTCGTGCTGCGCAAAGTGATCGCTTTGATAAACTTCCTCAATCTTGATCACGAAGCAGGGTTCAAGTATTTTGGTTTTTTCTTTCAGGACGAGTATGAGTTGGAGCACGCTCTCGAGTCCTAGACGACCAGGACATCAAGCAGTCGGCCGCACTCAAAGATCTCGCCGCTTTTGATTTCCAGCACTTTGACGTCGTGGAGGTTGACCAGGCCCTTTTCGATGCCTATGAGCTCGAGCTCGGTCTCGAACAAGTTTCCTGGGTCCAAGGTGAATTTCAGGTTGTTGGTGAGAGAAATGAGCCCCACTTTGCTGAACTCGTGCTGGAAAGCCCGCACCAGCTGGTTGAGGCCGTAAAGTGGGACGGGGTCCGCCTTATTGGCGTTCTGGATCGGGATCGGTGGCACCGATTTTTCGTATTGTTTGTTGATCGATGATTGAATGTACAGTATGAGCGATAACGAGTCGTTCGACTTGTTGATAAATTGTAGCTTCCATTTGAACACCTCTCCGAGCTTGACTTTGGTCTGGCCCGAAACTGAAATGCTGAGGTTCTTCTTGGAGTGGTTCAGAGTCACCGACGAGTTGGATCGTAGTTTATTTTTCTTAGACAGATTCAAACCAGAGTTAGTCGACCTGGATTTAAACACCCCAAGATTAGGCGACGCGATTGGCGGCACGACGGGGGCCGCCATAAAATCCACATTTGTGGTCCAGCGTGTCACGACTTTTCTATTGCCGTTGACCGTGCAATGGATGGTGACAAAAGCCGGCTTGACCCATTTGATGTCGTTGTTTGTTAGTCTGTACGTGAGGGACAGAATAGAATGGTTCTGCAACACCAACGGATACTTGACCACCGAGTAACCGGCACACAGACAGTTTCTGATGTCCATATCGACCGACTCGATTCTCACGGGCACTTCTGACGCCCTGACCTGTCCAGAAAGAGCCACTTCCAAAGAGGCCATGGTTTTTTCCGTCTTGATGGTCTTGAACCGCATTTGGAATACAGGGCTGATCCGCAGCGACGTGGCGGTCGTTACGAGCTCGTAAAGGTCCACACGCTTCGTCAGCACAGTGTCGCCTATAGTGACTGTATCCTGGGACTCTGAATTTTCGATCTTTCTCGACTGTTGTCGAAACGAGGCTTTGATCTGCAATTGATTCGAGAGCTTGTCGGGCACCACAGTCGTTTCCAGTATCCACACGGCATCCGACCCTATGACGACTTTGGAATCGAGCACCTGTCTCGCTGTGTTTTGCAAGTTGTATATCAGGTCGACCTCTACCTGTGTCACAGACGACGGAGTGTACACCACGACCTGGATGTCCTCGTCGAAATACGCAATTTCCAGCGTGTCGCACTGGCGCAGCTGTTCCACGGAGCCCAGCACATCGGCAGAAATCCGGGTTTTTGGAACAAGCACACCAAACATGGGAAACAACACTTATCGACGCGGGTGTGTTTAAAAAATATTATTAGATCGACTGCTCCTGCTCTTTTAAATTTAAATTCTTTATTTATCCCAGGCTTAGACAGCACAGAGCTAACCATGAGTCGGTATTTTTTACTAGCGTGCACGTTGGCTCTGCAATGTGTGGCGGCCTCCCAGGAGGACTACATAGTCAAGGATTTGCCTGGACTCTTGAATATTCCTGCGGTGGCGAGGCCAGTGATGCATGCCGGACACCTTGAAATAGATGAGGAACACAACACCGACCTGTTCTTCTGGCGATTCCAGAACCCCGAAAACAACGGAACTCACAGCACGCTCCACCGCAATGAGCTGATCGTCTGGCTGAATGGTGGCCCTGGCTGTTCGTCGATGGATGGAGCGATGATGGAAACAGGCCCCCTGCGGGTCTCAGACAAGTTGGAGGTGGAGCTCAACCCGGGATCCTGGACACAGGTGGCCGATATCGTGTTTGTGGATCAGCCGGCCGGCACCGGGTTTTCGTACACAGACTCTTACGACACAGAACTGAAGCAAGCAGCGCAACATTTCTTGCAGTTTCTGAAAACATACTACGAGCTCTTCCCGGAGGACCGCACGAAAAAACTGTATCTGGCGGGCGAGTCATATGCTGGCCAGTACATCCCATATTTTGCAAAGGAAATTATTGAGAACAACTCGCTGAATATCACTCTAGAGGGTTTGTTGATAGGCAACGGCTGGATTGACCCGGATATTCAGTCTCTGTCGTATGTTCCATTCAGCCTGGAGGCAGGTTTCTTGGATCGCCAAAATCCGTCGATGGCGCAAGTGCTAAAGCAACACGAGAAATGCCAGCAGGCCATCGACGACCCTTCCAATCACGATTTTGAGAAAGTGGAGTGCGTCAAAATATTCCAGAGTATTTTGACTGCCAGCAGAGACGAAACCAAGCCCGCGAAAGAACAATGTGTCAACATGTACGACTACCGCAAACGTGATTACTTCCCAGCGTGCGGATCTAACTGGCCAGAAGGCCTGCCCACCGTGACTAAATTTCTGAATCTTGATGCTGTGCAAAAAGCCCTGAACCTGAAATCGGCAAGGAGATGGCACGAGTGTGACGGAAAAGTCGAATTCTTTTTCCAGCCAGAGCACTCTGCCAAGTCGTTCGACCTGTTGCCAAAACTACTGGAGAAAATGAAAATCACCCTTTTTGCTGGCGACAAGGACGTTATCTGTAACCACAAATCCATAGAAATGGTGATTGAAAAATTGCAAATTACACCAGGACAATTCGGTTTCACAAACAGCAGAAAGTCTGGCTGGATCTACGACGGCAAGGAAGTGGGCGAGGTCGAGACCCAGTCAAACCTCACGTATATCAAGGTGTTCAACTCGTCGCATATGGTGCCTTACGACCTGCCGGAGGTGAGCAGGGGACTCTTCGATATACTCACAAATTCTGTTGAAAAACGTTCGACAGACATTGTGACACCCGTTTATGACAGCAGTGGCAACTACAAGTTTGTGGAGGAGAAGCAGGACGCCGACCAGAACGAGGAGGAAGAGGAGGAGAAACCTCCCAAACACCGTCATAGTCTCACTTTTTACGTGGCAGAGGTGGCGATTCTGGCAGTGCTAGCATATCTGCTCTACAGCTTCTACAAATCGTTCGCCAAATCGCGTAAGTCTGCATTTTTGTCACTCTCTTCCAAGAAGAAGAAGAAGCAGGTGCATTGGTTTGACGAGAGCGACACAGTAATGGACCAGGAGGCCGGCGAGGCAGATCACAAGCCTAAGAGCATGCTGGAGTCGGTATTCAACAAGCTGGGCTATGGAGGACAGTATGATACGGTACAGGACGGCCGTGACATCGAGATGGCGCCGGTCCAAGAACAAGAAGACCAATTTATTATTCAAAGCGACGAGGAAGAGTTTGGCCACAGATAGAGTACGATTATATAATATCCACGAAAAATTAGTTTCCAATTAATTCGCTCCTGATTGTAATGTCTCAAAGTTGGATCCTCTGGAAGCGGTCCCTGATTACCGGCGGTGGAATTATTGGGAGCGGCGTGCTGCTGTACAAATTCACGACTCCCACCGAGGAACAGTTGATCGCTAAGCTATCGCCCGAGCTAAGAGCAGACTATGAACGCAACAAAGAATTGCGGAGGAAAGAACAGGAGATGCTGATGGAGATCGTGAAACAGACGGCAGCGTCGAACGAGCCGGTGTGGAAGACAGGCCCGATTGTGTCGCCGTGGGACCGCGATTTTACGCCATCGAGAGAAAGTTTATTGGTGAAGAGAGAGAGATTTGAGAAAGAGCAGGCGGAGAAAAAACAGCGCGAGGAGCTGGAGCGTCTGAAAGCAGAGGCCAAGCTTGTGCAGGCCGATGAGAGCAAAAGCAGGGGTTGGAAGTTCTGGAAGAGAGAATAACTTGCAACTGTATATAGATGTTCATCGAAACTGATCATTAAGTGTGATAAGCGGTTGTGATTGCGTGGGGGCGAGGGGCTGGCTACCCCCACCATGTTTTCTGCGTGCTGGAAATGTCCTGTTTATTAGCTTCGTCGATGGCAGCAAAAATCTTGCGGATGCTTGTGTCTATCACCATTCCTCCCTGGACAATTTCCTCCAGCGCTGCCTCCAGCACCTGCCATCCGAACACCAGGTCCAATTCGCTCACATTATGGAAACATGTGTTGAGAACTTGCACAAACACCTGGATCAGGTCTAGAATACCCAGCTCGCTCTCCTGCTGATCAACAACAAAGACAAAGTAGAGCGTTGCGTAGTGTCTGTAGATGACCTTAATATCTGAGTGGTCTTCCAAAAGCGGCGGTGGAGTCAAAAACGAACATTGCGCGTCTGTTCTTGCCACAACGAGTTCGTAAACTTGCTGGAGTAATAATTGCTGCGTTTCCACGTCTACCGGGGTGTAAAATTTTATAAGACGTGGGATACCCTTGGTATTGACTGAGGTTAGCTAATTATATCGCAATTGAAACAAATCTACTTACATATTAAAACAGAGTGTATCATCTGGCCAAGCAAAAAAATAGCACTCCGCCACTTTTTTCACGTCGGATTCCAAATTCTATATTAATAGGGGGAGATATAAAACAAGGTAAAATTTAGATAAAAGTCTGTGTCAAAAAAAAAAACCTTGTAACCATTATAGTCTTGTTGGCAACGTCCTATGTCATCATTGAAAAAGCTGTTCAGACGCAAGAAGGCCGCTAGCTCTCAAAGTCTGCCGGAAACAAGATCTCCCTTGGCTTCCCAGGCTGCAGGGTCGGAACTGAAGGTGCCTCAGTCTGTGTCTTTGTCAGAGACGAGAACGTACTCGGATTCGCTTCGGAATTCGAGGAACCCGCGCAGAAGCATGACCCCAGACGCCAAAAGACTTTCCTCGCTGCCCACCACCTTTTTGAGACAAGGAAACAATCCCACACCCCGTTCGCTTTCGATGGGAAATACAGTCACCGATCCCTCAGAAAACATAGCCAAGCTGCCAGAAGAATTAGTGCCTGTGGTCACTCTTCTCCATGCACAGCAGGCGCGCTCGTATTGCGAGATGAATGTCCGGGTTCCTGTCGAGGACGATCAAATTTCCACCACCGCTTCAAAAGTGTCGTGGGCCTATGTCAGTGCCAAGTTGAGCGGAACAGAGCTGGCTATTTGGGAAGTCGATTCTCTAACATCACAAGAGCTCCGAAACGACGACAATGGCGGCTTCAAGCCCGTTTACATCAACCTATTAGACGCTCAGTACATGTACTTTAGCGAGGGAGACACTCATGAAATAAAAATTGTTCTTACAGAATCCAAGGCCTACCTGCTAAGATTTGACTCCAAGAACGACCTTGACTACTTTTACGCTGCGCTCCTGCTGGCGCAATTCGAAAACAGACAGCTCCAAGAAAGCTTCACGGGTGCTCTTTTTTCGAGCAAAGCAATCCATTTTTCAGATATCCGTACTCTACTTGCCCCTTCCAACAACAACCTAAGAGAAGAATGGTGTGTCTTAAGGTTTCCATTTTTAAACGACAAGTGGATAAGGTGTTATGTGGTGGTAACTCCCAACGTGGGTTCCAAGAAACCGGGTAATGTGAAAATATACACCTCGACGTCCAAGAATAAAAAACATCTGTTAGCTTCGATCAAAAGTGCTCGTTCGTGCGTGGCAGTGTACCCGGAAAATCCCGAATTTATCGACAATAACTCGCTGATCCGCTTGAACGGCCAGATATACATCAACCAGCAACTGCTGGAGAAAGTGGTGTCCGGAGAGGTGGACACTTCCGCACATAGCCATTCGCGGAGCAGGTCCGGTTCTGGAGTTGTCAGGAAGCTGTCGAACTCGTCACTGATCTCGGCAAGGAATAGAGACATGCAGAAATCCCCTAATCACTCGCGTTCCGGCTCCCTCCAGAAAACTGGTCTCCACAAGAGACTGAGCTCCACGCTCTCAATGGACTCTAAGAAAAAAATTGATCTCAAAGAGGCGGACTTTGTGTACATGATTCCAGAGTCGCACTCCGGAGTCAAGCCTACAGAAATTATGATTAGGCTACTAATTCCGCTCATGAACTCGTTCAGACTCTATGGAAGGCCTAACAAATTTATTTCCAGCCGTGATAACCGAGACTCGTTGCTCTTTGGGCTGCCTCAGCTGCCACACACCCAGTACCTGGACAATGAGCTCGCATACCAGCTGGTTTCCCTCAACATTGCCAATTCGCTGGCCGAAGAATGGAGTGGGTGGGACTGGATGCAAGTGTTCAAGGAGATGGTGTTCCACAAAATGGCTACGGGATGGCAAGGCTCTGGCTCGCTGATTGAAACATTCAAGGACGGAATGGTATACAGCAAGGCGAAACTGGAGGAGTACAAGAACTTTGACGAGAACTATGAAGATCCTATCGAAGACTTTGTGGATTTGGCGGACTCCAAGTCCGACTCTCTGGAATTGATCCCTCCCCCAAGCTTGACAAGCCCCCTTGTGAACCAGCCTGACTCTCCCCAGAACAACTATAGTACTGCCGTCGAGAGTCCGAACCTGGACTCGTACGATCGCGTGGCTCCCCCCACGGTGCCGGCCTAACTCGAAGATTGTTGCACAGCCCTAAGCTTTTTTTATAGCTAATATATTTTGAACCTGGAAGGAATATTTTTACGTATGGCGTCCTCCAATTTGTACACGCGTGTGCGGGCCGCGGAGATTGTGAACGAGCTGCGTGCGAATGAGAAAAAATCGCGTTCGGCCGTGTTCCGCAAGACCGCTCTCAAGAAGATCGTGGCAAACATGACTTTGGGCAACAACGAAATGGTTGGACTTTCCAACGAGGTCTTAGCGATAACGCTCGACCTGGCAAACGATACCGAAGCCAAGCGTCTGGGATACCTATTTTTCAGCACCTACTATCCCCAAAGACCACACGATTGCGTCAATTTGCTGCCGTTGCTGGAAAAAGACTTCCAGAGCGAATCAGCTGTGCTCCGCTCCTTGAGTATACGCACACTCGCAACAATCCAAATCCCAGAGTTTCTAGCCAAGGCAAGCGTGCTGGTATGCAAGGCAATGGAGGACAAGGACCCGCATGTGCGCAAAACAGGAGTCTACGCTGTTTCTCGGATCTATGGCCGTGCTCCGGAAGAGGTCCGCCAACAGTTTCTGAAGGGTCTAAATCGGCTTCTTCACGATCCTACGGTTTTCGTAGTTGCAGCGGCAGTGGACTGTCTGCGTGATCTGGTGGAAAACTACGACGGGTTACAGCTTTCGATCGACCGCAACAACTGTATCCGGATCGTGGAGCTGCTTGCTGGGTGCGACGAGTGGAGTCAGGTCAGTCTTTTGAACTCCGTGATAGCGTTTGTGCCGCAGACGGAGGCTGACGCAATCTCTCTGGCAGAGAAGTGCATTCCGCTGCTACAGCACGGCAACTCGAGTGTCGTGCTCAACGCCCTCAAGGTGATTGTCTATCTGAGCAACTACGTGCGAAATTTTGTAGATGTTCTTCCGGCAATCTCGAAGCGGGTTTCTGGATGCATATCGAATCTCATGTCCAAGCCTGCCGAGATCCAATTTCTGACCATGCGGAATGTTATCTTGCTACTGCTGGATAAGGCCGAGATGCTTGAACTGCAGGTTTCGATGTTTTTCTGCCAGTTTGACGACCCGGTGTACATCAAGGACACGAAACTGGAGCTGATTTTCTTGCTCGCCAACGAGAGTAATATCTCACTCGTTCTGCGCGAGCTTGAGGAGTACGCTTTGGAAATAGACGACCAGATGGTGCGCAAGAGCATTCGTGCCATTGGAAACCTGGCCATCAAAATCTCGTCCGTGGCGGACCGCTCGATCGAGGTGCTTTCCGGGCTTCTTGCCAGCTCGCTGCCCCATATTGTGCAGGAAGTGGCCATCATTTTAAAAGACGTTCTTCGCAAATATCCTGGAAAATACCTCAATTTGATAGATCTGCTGGTGCAGAACGTGGATCTGCTTACCGACTCCGACTCCCGCGGGTCCTTTATATGGATTTTAGGCGAGTACTGCAACTCCATTTGCGGCTCGGTAGACATTCTCCAGAAACTCTACGCCAATTTTGATAACGAGCCAACACAGGTGCAACTTACCACCCTCACTGCGTTGGTGAAGACGTATCTGTGTTTACCATCCAAACAGACCGAGACCCTCGTACTGGACGTTCTACGCAGAACGACTGAGGAGGCGAACGAGCCAGATTTGCGCGAACGCGCGTTCTTTTACTGGCGTCTTCTCTCCTCCCATAAAGACATTAAGGACATCGTCAAGCCCGTGCTGCCGATCATCGAGGTTTCCAGCGACAAGCTGCCACCAGAAATACTGGAGGAGCTGGAGCTCAACATTGGATCGCTGGCCTCTATCTATTTACGCCCCGTTCAGCAGGTGTTCCGTCTCAGCAAGCCCAAAAGGCTTCCTGCCTCGCCTGCGCTCACAAGGACCGAGTCACGTGACTCGCCTGCCTCCTTTTCGAGTCCTGTCTCAAAAGACACTTCCGCTACGTCTGTGTACAAATAGATACTTCGATATACTACAATTCCCTGGCTATGTCGTCGTCACTAAATTCATCCTGCAGCTCCTGAATGACGTTGGTCGGCGGCTCAGGATTCATGCCCTCGTCTTCCTCCTTTGGAATCATCGCCAACGGTTTTTCGGCCTTGCGCACGTCAATGATCTCCAGATCCTTCGAGAACTTGACGGAGCCCAGATCTGCAGGGACAATCGTCTCGATGTCAGTCTGCGGCATATTTGGTTCCGGTCCCGTGGGTATTGTGTCCATGTCGAGCGAGCGTCCCATGATAAGCGATAGAATTATGATTGCGGCGTATTTCGACAGCACGAGCGAGTTCTCCTTACAGAACGTGGCCGCACAGCAGTTCGGACAGCCCCAGTCGCAGTCGCACTCCAAAAGTTTCTCGAGAGACTTTTCCAGTATTGAATCAATGTTGTCGAATGCCTTTGTGCTCAGTCCAGATCCATACTGGCCGCCCTTGTTGTCGTAGAAAATCAGCCGAGCAGGACGTTTTCGTTTGGTTTCGCGCTTTGCAAATTCCTTTTCTGGGGCTTTGCACTCAGTCTGGATCTCGTCGAGTCCGGAAAGAATATATAGCGGCAGAATGCTCATAAGAGCATGCTGTGCTGCGTGGATTCCTCCTGCCGAGTTCAAATCTTTGGAGCGGATCAATTCAAGCGCTTTTTTCGGAATGTCAATCCAGATGCCTTTTGAGCGGATCAAGACGGGCGGGTTATTGACCTCGACTGCATCAAGAATCCGTTTTTCTCTATCCATTTTGAAAAAGCCAAAAACCACAGTTGTCGAGAGTATCTTGCCAAAGTAGATTGGCACGTCGCTGTGGTTGATGGAACGAATACGCTCAACCTCGTATGGGTCGACGTTGGTGAAGTCTCTCTGGGCCGTGGACCAGTCCACATTCACTCTTTCGACCTTTGCGTATTTTTCATCCGGGTTAAATTCGCGCACCAGATAGGATAAGCCCTGGTGAATAAAAATGCCTCCGTCGTAAAGCGTGAAGCTAGTTCGGGAAGCCTCCACCTCTTCGATCACCACGTTGCGACCATTGGTGATGTCCACGACAGCGTACATGTCCTCTTCAATAGCACGGATAGACACGTGCGACGAAGGCCACGGCATGAACCGCGAGTTGCAGTGATACATGCCGGACTCTGTGTCGTACTCCAGGCGGGCCTCGCACACCTGCTTGACCAGAGCAGGGTTTCCAAAGTACCGCTTGTCGATGGTGGAGTCGTCCAGCGGTCTTTCAAACGCGGCACATTGGAGATGTCCTTCTAAAACCACAACATTCTCGAAATCCAGAGCAAGATCGGGATAATTCGAGTTGACAAACTCCTCAGGATGTCGCATGTAGTACTGGCTCACTGGGTCACCGCCGCCCACTAGGAGAGTAAGCGAGTCGTTGTTTCGCCGTCCCGCACGGCCGCTCTGCTGGTGAAAATTCGCTATTGAGATTGGGAACCCGCACATCACGACAGCGTCCAGCGAGCCAATATCGATCCCCAGCTCCAAGGCGTTCGTTGAGATGATTGCCTTCAGGTTTCCGCGGAACATCTGGTCCTCAATTTTCCGCCGATCTGCTGGCGAGTAGCCACCTCTGTAACTCATGATCCGGCCAATGAGCTCTGCGTTGCCACTAGCCGTCAGCTGGTACCTGATTTCTTTCATGAGCAGCTCCACTACCTTGCGGACGACACAGAACACAATGGTCCGGAACCCAGACTTCACCATTTCTATCAGGATTTTGGCAGTTTCCGAGATAAATGGCTTGCGTCCAGCCATTGGGTCGCGCGCGTCGATGTAGGGCGGGTTCCAGGCCACAATGTGTTTTCCTCCATGCGGAGACCCGTCCTGGTCGATATTGACGATTTCGTCGCCTGGAAGTCCAAAAATGTCTTGCATGTGTCTCACGGGTTGCTTGAGGGTGGCCGAACACGAAATGAAAACGAGGTTATAATTACCAAGCATGGCGCACACTCTCCGCAGACGCCGCATCACTAGCGCAAAATGGCATCCGAAGAGACCCTTGTACATGTGCAGTTCGTCCACCACCACGTACTTGAGATTGACCAAAAATCTTCGCCATAGCTGGTGTGAAGGAAGAATGCTGTGATGCAGCATATCGGGGTTTGTGAAGATCACAGACGCAGACGACCTTACATGTTCTCGGGCTCGTTTTTCGGTGTCTCCATCATAGGTCTCAACCACCATATCCCGCAAGAATGGGATCACGTTTAAAAGGTCTTTCAAGGATCTTCTCTGGTCTTGGGCTAGTGCCTTGGTAGGAAATATGTACATAGCAGTGACGCTCGGATCCTGCTCTAAAGCGGTGATAACAGGGAGCTGATAAACCAGCGACTTACCAGACGATGTGGAGGTGGAGATGATAACATGGTGGTTCTCGTGAATATGGTTGAGTGCTTCCGCCTGGTGCGAATAGAATTTCTCGATTTTTTTGGTGGCAGCTAGTGCCTCGCGCACGACAGGCGACAGCTCGAAGGTCAGTTCGCCGTACGTGGCGCCGCGCGGAGGCACCTCTAGCAGACCATTTTCGACAATCTGGTCTTCATAGAACTCAGTCTGTTTTAGTTTCTCGATCAGCTGCGGAATCGAGATGCGGTGCTCTGTGTTTGTGTCCTCGCTGGAGTTTTTGACCATCTCCTCGATCGGGTCCACAAACGCCTTGGGTGTGGGGATGATCTGTTCTGCTTGTTTGGTTATTTCAGCCCATGGGTCAGCTATGCCGCTATCGGCGCACCTTTTTAGAAATTGGCCAACTGCAAGCTTGAATTTCTCGTTACGTTTAATAATCATTTTTTTGATCGATTCCTGGGTGTACACGGGAACCTTGATTTCCGTCATGAAAGCGGACCGCGTTTTGGATTTGCGCAGATCTCCGTCAATAAACTCAAAAATCAACAGCTGTTTGGACGTCTTCTCCTCGTCGGTCTTTATGTCGTAGATGTCAGATTCCTTCTGGGCAAACCCGTCTCTCCAACTGAAATGTTTTTCCTCCAGCACAAACTGGCTCTCATCTACGTACTCAAACAACACATCTTTAGGAATCAAGTAGACAACTCGGGCAACATCAATGAGCTGCAAAGGTCGTCCGATCGCGCTTTCCACCGACGGTTTGAGCAAATCAAACGTTGTGATAATATGCTTGCGTGAGGAGAGAAATGTGAAGTAGGAGTTCAGTCTAAAATGAATATTATCAAGCTCCTTGAACTCTGCAGGCCATTTGCTTTTGTCCGGTAAATCCTGAGGTTTTTGTCTTTTGGAATTCGGTAGCCCTGATAAGCTTCTTTTAATTGACATAAAAAGTTTGAAATATATTTTTTTTGGCTCCCCCCCCCCTTTATGACTAATGAGTTCAAGATCACAACATTCTCGCTGAACAAGAACACCAAGGCTGCAAAGGCCTGCAAAAAGTGCCGCGAGGCACATAAAAAGTGTTTTTTCAACGAGGAGCTGGGCTCCTGCGAGCAGTGTTACAAGTCCAATGAGAAGTGCGATCTATCCGCAGCTAACAAGAAACGCAGGAAAGCTGCCTGTTCCTCCAGCTCCCCGTCCAGCGTGTTTGGGAACGACCGCATATATGCGAACGCGATTAAAAACTCCGAAAACAAGTTCCAGTTCATTAACACGGCACATCCGCTTGCCCCTCTTTTCAGCAACGACTCGTTTCTTACTCTATCCGACGGTGAGTTTTTTAATCTATATTTTCCCTGGCGAGACCTGTTTTTGCCGGCTCGTGACCAGTACACGCGACCACTGAACGTTGATGAGGAACTGTTGGAATACGTGGAAATGAAAGGAGCTTTCAAGAAGCCCCCCATTGAGACGCAGCGCAGGTACGTCACGCTGTACCTCGATAACCTGTATCCTCTCTATCCAGTGGTAGATAGAGATATTATCGACCATTTGGACACGACTCCGCCGTTGCTGCTTAACGCAATGATGATGTGTGGTGTTAGATACGATACATGCCTGAAACCTGCCGAGATCAGAGAAACAGCAGAACAATTGCGCCGCAAGTGCGAGCTGCTTAAATTGTGCGAACTCAACAAAATTACGCTGATCCAGGGGTTTTTACTGATGAGTAACCAGGAGGAATCGCCAACGGGCCCGCAGGTTGCTCGCGAGTACGTTTCCCGGGCATGTATTTTGATCACAGACTTGGCATTGCACAACAACGCAGCACGGAACCAACTATCCAAGCTGGAGACAAACTCTCTTGACCACAGCACAGGATCTATTTTCTTCAGACTATTGCACAAAGTGTCGCTGCTTACGCGCTTATTTTGGACGTCGTTCTGTCTGGACAGAGCCCTAACCATCACCTCGTGCGCTACAATGTTCTACAACACCTTAGACCTGGCAGTCGACACGGTGAAGTTAGAGGATTTTGACGGCAACCGCAGGGACTTTGAGATTTTCCGCCGGTGGTATCAAATATGCGACCTGCTAGAGCGAATTCTTGTATGCAGATACCGTCCGCCGGGCAACCGTTCGCTGGACTTGAATCTCGAAAAAGATATTCTAAGCTTGTGCAACCGAGGTGTCGACGACGACACGCGCAGACTGATTGGCGACACATATACGCGATTTTTACGCATCTGCGGTGACTTCTGCGGAATTATGTACCTGCGCTCCAAAGTCGATTTTGTCAGCATTCTGGAAGACGAGGTGGAAGGACAGCAGCTGCTCCACACCGACTCTCCGTTGTCAGACAACAAAATGCACTATCTTTCGCGTTTTTCTAGAAACATCATTGACCAGAGTAAGGGAGAACAGGTACAGCAGATCATGACGATACACGCCGTTCTGCACGTAATGGTCCTTCTGTACTTGGAAATTGAAGCTAGACAGCAGGTACAGACCACGTCGCATGACCGGCTCACCGTGCTCAACTACAAAAAGTCGCTCTTCAATTACTGTCTTTCATTTCTCGACCAGAACGGTTGCAAATGGTTTTTCAGCGCCGCATGCTACCATTTGTTTGTGGACCTTATTTCCTCGCCCAGAAAAAATATTAAAAGCTCACAGGATCTCCTGTCTCTGCTGTTTGACAGCAACTTGGCATAATTATACAAAGCCCTTTAATTCTGCAATATATGTATTATCCACCACCAACGACTACTCGTCGTACTCCTCGTCGGAGTCATCCGACTCCATAGCGTTCTCCATCTCCTTTCTCTCCAAAAGAGCTTGCAACTCGGCGTCCTCGGTGGCCGTCACAGCCTTTGGAGCCATGGCGACATCGCACACTCCACCATACTTGGTGATGACCTGATTAACTTTCTCTATAGCCTCATTCAGACTGTTGATTCCTGTTTGTTTGTCCAGCGACTGCGTGGTGACCACGTACCTTGGAGCAGCCACCAGCTTCACCTTGATAGCGTTCTGTTCTGTGCTGAGAGACTCTGCGGCAGCCAAAGCCTCCTTAATGGCGTTGATACCCTCGTATGAAAAACAGGACACCTCGATGTCGGCTCTGCACTTGATCGCCTGCGGAGTCAGTCTTCTAGAAATGTGTTCCTTCAGCTCTTCCAGCACTTCTTGTGAAGGAGGAGTTATTTTATTGAAAATAGAAGGATCGGTGATCGAGATCCGAAACGCATCGAATGCGTGTCCATACTCTCTGCTCAACGGCCATGCAATGGTCTCGTACAGGTGTTCAAGTGGGATGTTGTATTTTTCAGCACACCTTCTCAGAATAGAGTGCACTGCCTTGGACTTGTTGAATCTTTCCTCGCACTTCACAATCTCCTCTGACGAAACCCTTCTCTTGGACAAGTCGATGTATCCCTTGTCCTTGTCCACTCTTAAAACCACTGCAACCTCATTCCTGCCGACTCTTATAAGCTTCTGGATGGATCTGATACGTCTTCTCGAGAGCTCAGACAACAGAACCATGCCTTCAATGTTATCGTACTCCAGAAGTTTGACATAGGCACCCATCTCAGCAATTTGCTGGACGTTGACCATCACAACCTCGTCCACTTCTGGGTATTTGTTCTCGTAAAATCTGCAGTTGGATGTGCTCATGGTAGGAGGTGAGTCGTCAGTTGGGCTAAAAATTTTCAAGAGATATGAAAAAGAGCAGAGTTTGATTACGTAAGTACTCGAGAACGGTATGGATCGCATGGTGGCAAAGTCCAGACAGAATGCTCTTTGCCGGTAGGCGTCCAGTCAGCTACACGACATGGCTTTTCATGCCTGTCTATGGACGATCTTGCCTTTCATTGGTAAAAATTCATTTCACCGCTACGCAGATGTATACACTATGGCTCGTAATTCTTTTATTTGTATTTATTTTTGCCCTCATAGTTGTCATGTCGATTGAAGGTAAGTCCGACCCTGAAAATCTAACGTTAGTGAACGTGAAGCACGCTGGAAAAACGTACCCTGTCACTGTGGACTTGTCAGAAAATGGATTGACGTTTAAACACCAGATCTACTCGCTGACCAATGTTCCACCTGAAAGACAGAAGGTGCTGTTGAAAGGCGGGCAATTGAAGGACGACAGCGATCTTAAGAGTTTCAACTTGAAACCAAACCAAACAATCATGGTTCTGGGCTCGGCAGATGCGCCAGTGGAGGCCCCAAAGCAAGATGTAAAGTTTGTGGAAGATCTGGATCCTAACGACCTCAACTTCAATCCGAGCGATGAGCCCTCGGGGCTGGTCAATTTGGGCAACACGTGCTATCTAAACTCGTCGCTTCAGTCGCTGTTTGCGGTAGACGAGCTAAGAAACCGTTTGGAAAAGTATACGAAAAACGGTACTGGTATCGAGCAGAATCTTGTGTTCCACCTGAAAGAGCTTTTTGATAAGATGAGCCAGCGCAACAAGAAGATCACGCCGCTGAACTTTCTCACAACCATGCGTTTGAGCTTTCCTCAGTTCAGCGAGCGAGACGATAGCGGGTTTTACAAGCAACAGGACGCAGAGGAGGCGTACTCCCAGATCTTGAGTACTATTTTGGGACAGTTTAGTGGATTGGACCAGTATTTCAAGATTGAGTTCAAGACAGCTACTCGTTGTTTGGAAACCTCTGAAGAACCTGTCTACGGCTACGAGGATGCGATGAAGCTAGCGTGCCATATTACCATTAACACTAATTTTCTGAAAGACGGACTGATGAGCAACTTGAAGGAAACCATAGAGAAACATAACGAGTCGCTGGGAAGAAACAGCACGTACGAGATTACTCGCAGAATCACACGTCTTCCTAAGTACTTGAACATACATTTTGTTCGGTTCTTCTGGAAGAGAGACACCGGAAAGAAGTCGAAGATCTTGCGTAAAGTCCAATTCCCATTTCAATTGGACTTGATAGACCTTGTTGACGAGGGAATCAAGGAGGATAAGGCAAAGATAAGAGATGCTATTTATAAGATTGAGAAGCAGAATGAAGAGGAGAGCAGAGCTTTCAAGAAAACCAAGAAATCTGCAGATCTTACCACAAGAGAGCAATATGCCCAGCAAAAAGAAGAGCTTGAAAAACTTAGACAGAAATGGACAGACAACTTTAAAACTGCTCTACCCGAATCATACGACCCTGCTTCTGGCGAAAATCCTTCGTCTCTGTACGAGCTGATCAGCGTCATTGCCCATCAGGGTTCGTCTGCGGACTCTGGCCACTACCAATGTTTTGCCAAGGACCAGCAGGATCCTACGGGCGAGAACTGGTACAAATTCAATGACGATAAGGTGACTGTAGTGAGTCGCGACAAGATTGAGGCTCTCGCTGGTGGTGGAGAGGGTGACTCTGCTCTGATTTTGATGTACAAGGCCGTTGGAATATAAAAGTAATGAATTTGATATAGTCTAGATAGCGGAGAAATACCATTTATTTTCTAGTTAGTATTCTTTGCAAGCTGCTTGAAGTGCTCGACCTCATCCCAGCAGTTGAGAGGTTTGTCTTTATTACTTTTGATGCAGTTGGCCACGGCAGTTTCCGCATCAACGAGGGCCTTGGATTTGACAGGTTTTGCATCGTTGAGCTTTTTAAGACTTTCGGCCGCCTTATTAAGCTGTTCATTCACCGACGCGACGCTCAGACCTTGGTCTTCATTGGGAAGAAGTAAAGACGAGAGTTTTGTGTCGAGTTTAGCAAGTTTGTTGTTTTCTAGTTCTTTTAATTTTTTGCTCACCTCTCTCTCAACCACCTGTGCAGAGGCCTGTTGTCTTGAGTAGTTAGTCTCTGCAGAGCTGTCCAGCGACGAAATGAGGCTGGAGTTGAATTCGACCGGGGTCTGCGGGTAGAACGTTCTTGACGACATTGCAGAAAAAAAAAAGGTGTAGAGATGGATGAAAAGCCAGACAAATGAGAACCACGGAAAATGGATGCTGCGTAAAAGTTCTCTCAAAGCAGCCTTATCACCACGTGGTGGATTCTGAGCACTCAATGGCGTCAAGGTGGGCTTGGTCTTGATTCTACGCGGATTTATACATATCATCTTGGCTATTTCCTCATTACACAGCGGTCTTGACCTCGAAGAATCTCTTGAGATAGAACACCTGGAAAAGGGAGTTCAAAATAACAACAATTAGCTGGAATACAGACCAGTACTTCACTCTGCTGTTGGTGCTCTCTGCGGTGTTTCTATGTGTTCTCTCTCTCACCACAATGTAGTTTTGTTCGTTCTTGACATCGTAGACCAGTTCCATAAGCTTTCTAACGGAGGAATCAAGATTGTCGTCAGAGTTGTCGTTCACATCCACGTACACCACGCCGTGGACGTTGAAAGTCACGTCTTTTGTTTGCAACGACGAACCTTCGTTTGAGAAACAATACTCGAACTTTCCAGGCTCGTTGGCCTTGATCTGAACCTCGCCATGCGAGACGTCGCTCAGCTTTTCCAAGATTCTGCCAGAAGGGCTTTTGATCCAGAAATCGGCTGTGAGTTGTTCGGTCGAGTCCTTGGCACGGTCACCGATCTGGAACGTGACGGCAAGCTCGTCTTGAGCCTTCAGCACCTCAAAAAAGCATTGCTTGCCTCTTGGCGGCAAAAGAGCCACATGAGCAAATGTTGGCACAAGCAGCAGCAGGGAAATCAGCAAGAACCTCATGTCGAACACTAAAAAATAAACAAGTTTTTGGTGAAAAAATAGCTGGAGCACAGTGAAATGACAGGTCATACCGGAGAAGTATTATATACGGCTATGGCGATAGAATGGTGACAATTACAGCTGATAGTCATTCGGTAGCTATATAGTATCACCAATGTGTCAGCACCATTGGTCTCTTCTACGATATGCTCTTCGTTCCAGGGATGGGATCACATATATTACGAGCCCGCACGCGTCGCGATTCTAAAAATATTCTTGTTTTTTCTTGTTTATACAAATGTTCTCTAGACTATTGCTTCTGGCGAGCTTGCTGGCTTACGTTTCAGCCACTGCGCTCACATTTGCCTTGCAGCCGAACGAAAAGGCTTGTTTCTATATTTTCAACCAGAAACAAAAGGCTAATATTGGCTATTATTTTGCCGTCCAGGCAGGAGGTTCTTTCGACGTCGACTACACAATCAAGGCACCTGGCGGGAAAGTGATTGCGCAGGAACAGAAACAAAGACAGGGTGACTACATCTTCACAGCGGACGCCATCGGAGAGTACGAATTCTGCTTTTCGAACGAAATGTCCACGTTTGCCGAAAAAGTTGTTGATTTCGAAATTAGGGACGATGACGACTTCAAAGCCGCTCTTCCAAACGCACCGGCAGAAAACACTGCTGTCGAGGGAATGCAGTCGTCCGTTCTCAGAATCGAGTCGAAGCTGGGCCAGCTGTCCAACACTCTTCAATACTACAAGACCAGAAACAACAGAAACCAGTCGACTGTTAAGTCCACAGAGAGTCGTATTTTCTGGTTCTCCATTTTTGATGTCGTTCTTATGTGCAGTATGGCTGCATTCCAAGTGCTCGTTGTCAAGTTTTTCTTCCAAGGCTCGAGAAAACAGTTGGTGTAAATATCCATTAATCTATGCACTCACCAGATACACAAATATGTAACTAACGACACTGCCAAAAAGCAGGGCCACATTGATGAGAAATGCAGTGAATCCTCCGGCAGCTTTCTTCTCTTTATCGCTAGTGAGCAGGACGCCCATTGTCATGAATGCCGAGGAAAATAGTTGTCCATTTGAAAGCCCAAATAGTAGCTGCAGCAGCAGATAGGTGAAATCGCCAAACACACCTCCTCTGCCTTGTAGATTGCACATCATAAATAAGGGGATGAAAAAGACCCGCAAGGCCGCGTAAATAATCATTTTGCGCTGGTCCTCGAGTACAAACCACGATGACGCAGTAATGACACGGCCTCCGAGATCGCCCAGATTCCAGAGGAGAAATGCGACAGGAACAAAGTACTTCTTGTCTATTTTGTCTGAAAGAACATTTGAGGCAAAAACAGGGAATGTGAGGGTCAAGGCCAAGGTTAGGAAGATTGTGATCTGGACGTATTTCAGAATATCCCAGAGCTCGCGGAACGAAACGTGCTCCTCCTGGGGCTCGTTCGTTGACTCATCGTCTAGCTCCAAGGTGGTGTCACTGGAAAGCATCTGGAACTGGCCAGCTTTGGCTTTGTATCTATACGTGATCCATATCAGACTCAGAGCAAGAAATTCAATGCAGAGACTTGTGAAGAAGTAATTAAACACCTCTCTATCTCTATCACTTTTTGTCTTGCTCAACAAGATGGACACAATCAGCGAGATGGATGGAAGGACGCCTGCAACTGCGTTACCCACGACGTTTGCATTAGCGTAGATTGGGCCCTCGATATTCACCAGAGCCAGCACTCCAACTTGTGCAAACGACGTGGCGCAGGAGCTGACAAAAACACTCACCATTACGTACACAAAATACAGTACTGGTGGCTTGTTTTTGATGAACGTAGAAATGGTAAGCAATAGAAACACTGCTGCCTGCAGCATGTTCCCCACGTTGAGTCTGAATCTATAGTCTGCACCTTTCTGCCTCTGAGATAGATACAAGTTGAAAGATGCCGATGCAAGAGTGGATATAGTCATCATAGAGGAGGAGTATGTGTTGGCCAACACGGGCTTGCTGCTGAAACTGTCTTGAAAATATTCGGATGCTGATAAGAAGCAGTTCCACGGCCACAAATTGGCTATCCCGCAAACCAGAAAACAGACATATTTGAGAGCAGAAAGTCTAAACCGTGGGCCATAGGGAAGCTGGAATATCACGATGTTCTGATCTCGTACGGAGGACGTATTACTAGCAGACATGTTGGGGAAATATTTTTAACAAAGAAATATTATTTATGCATTCAAAAGATCCACACATTCGGTGAGCATGGGGTCGTATTTGTCGTAAGTGTCGGCGATTTTTTCATAAATCAAATTCCATCTGCCTTGTTTTCGGCCCCCGATATGCTCGTTCAGGGTCCGCTTATACACGGGGGCTCCGAGCAGATACTCGTAGAACTTGTCGCGGCATTCGGCGGGACAGTTCACTCTGGCAACCACGGTTCCTGGTTGCACAAGGCTTACGGATTCCATCGTTCTCAATATTGTGATATCATTCTGTGGAGAGATGTGATTCACAAGAATCCAGTCTGCATGGATCGGATGGTAGATGAGATAGTCTTCTAGGTCTTGTGCAAAATGGACCTTAATTTGGGATATCCCGGAGAGATCCACCAAATATTCGATCAATTTCCGGTTATCCTCGGTGAGAGAAAAGTAATCGAAAAGTCCGTGAAGCACAAAAGGGATATCTGTTTTACGGAGCAAGTTTCCGAGATATATCAGCGAGTAGCCAAAATCCATCTCTGAACCTAGTAGCATAACGGATCCCGGTGTGCGTTTGCAGAAGATGGGGACCAGAGAGTGAAGGTGTTCATAGCAGGAGGGATCAGTGGTAGGATATATGTCAAATAGCCTGATAGTCGAGAGCAGCGAATCTGGGTTGTTTCGCAGTTGTTCCAATGATTTCGTCTCCACTAGTGACTCGTATAGGTTGGTATCTGCTAGCTGTTTTTCCATTGTATATTATAATCAGGCGTAACAATTATCTGGGGTAAGTAGCCTGATTTATAGAAAAAAAGGGGCCATCGTCGCGACAGACTTGGAAGTCTCTGGGGAAAAAAAAATATTAACAAATTACTAATTATGTTTGGACGCTTGATTCGTTCCAGCCTGAGGACCATGCCTCTTGTCAGTCGACCAACTCTGGCGTTCCGCCACTACTCGTCTCCCTTAGTGGACTTTACAAAAACAAAGGTCCAGAACCAGCAGTTTTCCGACCATAACAATATGCCCTTGTTCGTCGCCATCACTCGATCAGCGGCCGAGAAGCTCAACGAGATCGCCAACGAAGAACAAAACGATAAGCTTGCATTACGAGTTCAAGTGGAAAGTGGCGGCTGCCACGGATTCCAGTATCATCTCAAATTATCGGACATGGATGATTTCCATCCCGAAGACGATTCCGTTTTCGTGCGAGACGGGGCCCGAGTTTTAATTGACAAAACAAGTCTGGAGATTTTACGAGATTCGAAAATCGATTATGTGCATGAGCTGATTGGCTCGCAATTCAAAGTCGTCGACAGCCCGTACACCAAGACGAGTTGCGGATGCGGGTCCAGTTTCGACTTTGATTTCGATAAGTTGAACCAAACAACATAATTTATTTGGAGATACATAGGTCGCATATCGACAGCACAAATGGCCACAGCGAGGGCCGTGGATCGGACTCATCGAAAAACGGAGCAAACGAAAGCTCGTTGGTGAACCGAAGACGCCCTTCGGACAGAAATAAATAGAGATTGCATCGGATCTTTGTGAGTCGGAGCTGTTCGAAGTCTAGGGCAGTGCTTTTGCGGAGGTACTTGAACAGAGACGTGGTGAAGTCTGTTTTTGGAAACTTGTCGACATCGATTGCCGGAACGTTGATGATAATTTGATTGAGCGCATTATTAGTTGTTTTGATGTTTGCGAACGCAAGCTCGAGCTCGCCGACCAATGACGAGCCTAGCTCTTCGATTGTGGAATTTAGTGTATTTTTGAGAAAATCGTCACTGAGTTCTAGAGGACTGATCAGGGATCCAATGTCGTTCACCAGGAAGTCTGTTGCTACCTGGTACAGTTTTGGCAGCATTCTGGCCATTAGCAAGACCGTTCCCGGTTCGATCTCGATAAAAACCATAATTTGGTACGGTATCACGTTGAGCAGCTTGAATCTGATCGCGCCCATTTTGAGATGTCTTTCTTCGCACTCGAACTCCTTGATCCGCAGTTTGAGTTCCAGATGTTGGTGCACGTCTGCAAAGTCCGGTTTTTCGCTCATTGATCGTCCATTACTATAAAAACGAGAACTTGTGGGTATGAGCAGCCCTGAATTGTGTGACTTGTATAGTTCATTTGCTAGTATGGCAGAGACGATTTTTTTTTTAAAGTCTGCCACTTCGATGTTGGAGTGGAGCTCATCGTAACACATTCGGTCCACTACTGATTCTTGGCCCAGAGTGCGCACCTTGAGCAGTTTGAAGTTGTTATTCAACAGTATTCTGGACATAGCATAAATAAAAACGCGTGGAAAAATAACAGACTGAAATTGTATAAATTATATTTAATTTCTGGCAGTGTTCAATTAGGTGATGTCGTTTTGGGACAACAACAAGGACTCCATCAAAGCCGGCAGTCTGGCCGCTCTTAAAGGTGCAGGCCGTGCAACGGTAACAGTGTCAAAGTATGGCTACCATGCTGGCAAAACGGCCTACAAAAACAATAAAAACAAGAGCTCTGGACAAACCGGAAAACAAGAAGAAGAACCTCAAAGTCCTCCTGCTATCCCACAGACCAGAGATCCGCATACTTTTGCGCCTCCGCCAAAGCATGTTGCCATTACTGGTCAGCCACAGCCTAACCACCCGCAACAATATGCCCAGGTTCCCGTCCAAGCCGTGAACTACCAACAGACCCAGGTGGCACAGAACCCTGCTCAATTCCAGCAGGCGGTTCCACAACAGCAGACCGCCTACGTGCCTGTCACACAGTCCGTTCCACTTACCCAACAATATGCCCCTCAGCAGCAATATCAACCCGCTGTGCAATACCAGCCAGCTGTGCAGTATCAACCAGCTGTGCAGTATCAACCCCAGACGCAGGCCTGGCCTAACCAGCCACAGCCCTTTGTCCAGCCAACCCAGCCAGCGATGATGCAGCAGCTAACACCGCCAGCAACGGCCCAAGAACCTATCCAGGCTCTTCCTCAGCAGCCGACCCAGTACAGCGCACCGCAGCCGATGGCTCAACCGCCTCCTCTGTCACAGCGCCCCGTTCCCCAGCCCACTCCCCAACCCGAGCAGACAGCATCACCACTTTCAGCTCCACTGCCCGCAGGTGAGTATACTAGACCTGCCATAATGACTCCTCCTCAGAACCCTCCTCAGAACCCTCCTCCATATACTGCTACGCCGACAGCCCCGGCGCCACCTGCTACCGTTTCTGTTGAGAGCCAACCTTCTGGCTCGCCAGTAGTAACGCCAGCCCCAACTCAGGTGTATCTTCCAGAGGCGCAAGAACCAGCTGCGCCAAAGAAGAAGAACGCTCTGCCGCCTGTCGAGGAACCAAAGTTCAAGCATTCGTTGATGGATTTCGACCTATCCAAATTTGGTCCTCCTCCTCCCAAAGCACACAGGACTGAAGATGAGCAGCGTAAGATCGAAAAGGAGCGCGAAATGAGGATAAGGATGCAGAAACTGAAAGAAGAGTCGCAGCAGCGAGCAAAGATAAGTGCATACCAAAATGTACCGGCTATTGCATCACCGTCCTCTTCATCGTCAATCGTATCTCCTTCAAGCACAGGCACCAAGCCAGAGCTTCCTTCAAGAGTCAACTCGGAGTCTACAGAGCAGCCCAAGAAGTTTGAGCTCCCTGACATCTCGAAAATACAGCCTCCCCCTCCTGTTCCCAAAAAGGAGAGCCATGAAAATACCGTCAAACCTCCACCCACACCATCCACATCGCGCCCAAATCTGGCTTCCAGAACGGTGCCTACACCTCCTCCAACTCTTTCTCGTCCGGAATCTGGTTCGTCAGCCCCGCCTCCTCCATCTAAACCAACACATCTATCTGCAAAGCCCAAGCCGCCAGTTCCCAAAAAACTGTCAAACTCAGAGGTGGCTGAAGCTATCGGCTCCAAACAGAAGCCACCAGTTCCTGCAAAGAAGCCTTCTGTGGGTTCAGTGTCCTCCCCTTCCAGCCATATACAGGAATTGCAGTCAAAGTTGAGTGGTATGCATTTCAATAACTGACGAGTCACTTTTCTACATATATTCATTTTGGTTCGTCCCAGCCACTTTCTGCGAGTGAGTATGGAGTGTTCGGTAGACGATCACACCAGCCATCTCCAGAGCTCTATAAATTGGCGCCCTTCAGACCACATGGTAGCAACTATGGATAAATCAGAACTTGAATACCAACCCAAAAAAATCAGGGCTTACGCAGTCAGAATTCTAAAGGAGCTCACCAAAAAGAAAACCCGGCCTATGCTCATGTGCTTCCGCAACTGGGAGATGAGAGTGGGGCTCGGTGGGCCCGACAATGAAGATGAGTCTGATGACCAAACCCGCGTCCTAGTTTTCAACGATAAGTACATTTCTTTCTTGATTCCGTGGATGATGTCGTTCTGCTGGTACGTGGATGAAATCATGGAGGAACTTGCCGATCTCAGAGACCTCAACACTGTCTGCAATGGAAAACTCACTCTTGGTCCTGTTTTCACGGTTGAGGAGCTTGTCAAGATCGATATGATTTTCAGACTCTTCACCACCGTCGTTCCTAAACAATATTTGGAGTCGAAATCGCATCACTCCAAAGTGACCGAGACTAATAGAGTGGAGGGTGCCAAATCGACCGCTGCTTTGAAACCAGCTATAGAAGCTCCAAAGCCCGTTGAAATTACCGAGTGTGTTGAAGCTCCAGAATGTATTGAAAATCCAGAGCCTACTAAAGTTGACAAATCTGCCGTCTCCAAGTCTAAGTGCCATGCCCAGCCTGCTTCTTTCAGGATACTTGACGCATCGAACTCGGTGAACCCCGCCAAACCTTCTATGTCGTCCAATCCCTCTGCTCCACCTTTACCAAAAGACATCCCCGAATCACCGAGCTTCGACTATGAGCCTTCTAATGCGGTCGCTCAAAAGCCAGTTCAACCAGCAGGCAACTCTGTGGTTATACAGAAGCCGTTGTTTGATGACCTTGTCAACAAAATACAGGGTCTTCAATTGTCCATTGAGATTATGCAGAATATGTAGCTATCAATATTAATGTTCCTTCCTCCAACGCTCGATCATACTTTCTGCCCACCTAGTATACAGCAGCTCTTCAACTTCGTCGCGAGGACGTTCTTTTTCGAGATTTTTGGGTATTAGTTTGTCCTTCAGCTGTTCGTTATCTGTCGTCATTATTTTCTTCATCACCAGCTTGAAATATTTACAAAACACTTCTCGGTACTGTTGATCCGGGCTGAGCGCGATTGACTCCATCATGGTCTTTTGAAAAAGAACTAGCTGGTCGTACTGCGAGGTCGAGAGGTTATGTTTTTCGTTTATCTTGTTGAACGACTGATTCAGTATGCGATTAAGAGTCTTTTTCAGCTCCTGGTCCCCATTCTCATCGGAGGTGCGTTTCATCGGCGACAATGGAACCTTTCGGGATGGCGCCGGCTTCAAGGTACTTGAAGGTTCCTCTTTCAACGTGATATCGAATAGAGGAGGTGTCTGTTCCTCCAGAGTAGGTGTATAGTAGCGTTTCTCGGTGTTGCCTGTTTCAAGATCCCATTCGTGCTTGCGCTTGATCAGCTTAACTATCTCCGAGCGATCGACCTTGGCGCCAGCAAGCACAAACGGATGTTTAAGGAGTTCTTTGGCCGACGGCCTCTGCTTTGACTCTTTATTCAGGCAAACTTTCACAAAATCCCTGAACTCCTTACTGAAACTCGAGTCCAGCTCGGGAGCAGGGTCCTCGGCGATTCTAAAGAGCACGTCGAACGGATGGTACTGAGAAAGAGGAGGCTTGCCGTATGCTAGTTCAATTGCTGTAATACCCAGTGACCAAATATCTGCAGAATATGTGTATGGCTGGTGAAGAATAATTTCAGGGGCCATCCAGTAGGGCGTCCCGACAAAAGTGTTTCTTTTGGACATGTTGTTGGACAACTGGGTGGCGACTCCAAAATCTGCAATTTTCACGTCCCCTTCAAAGCTCAATAACACGTTGGCAGCCTTGAAGTCCCGGTGGATCTTGCCATTTTCGTGTAAATACACAAGAGCATGTAGCAGCTCATGCAAGATGTAGCTAATAGCCTTCTCTCCAAATGGCCCGGAAACGAGCAACTCTGAGCAGGATCCACCACCCAAAAACTCCATAATAATCCACAGCTTGTATCCTTTAAGGAAACAGCCGTAGTATCGAGTGATGTTCGCATGCTGGCACGTAGACAGAATCTTGATTTCCTGCTGGATCTCGTTCAGTTCATCTGCACTTTCCAAATCCACCTGCTTGACAGCCACCATTTTCCTGGAGTCTTTGTCAAAAGCACGGTAAACCACGCCGAACGCTCCGCGGCCCAATTCCTCGTACACCTCAAACTGCTCGGGAGACATAAAAAAAAATTAATCAGATTAATTTATCAAATTATTTTATCATGTTCTCTAGAGTGCTGGGGCCACGAGGAATTCGCTGGTTTGGTAGCTTCCGACCTCTTCGCAACATTGACAGCTTTGTTTTGCAGCGGTCTTTGGCACCGAAACTTCTCGCTCCTAGCACGAACACAGTTCTTTTTAAATGCATAGTCTTTGACTCGAACGGAAAATTCAAAAAGATCGCATCTGATGTCAAAAAAGCACAGCTGATTTTGAAGCATGACTTACTGCCCCGTGACCTTCGCAAAATTGACAAGGGCTACGATGACATTGTTCCTTCCATTTTAGTGCGAGAGAACTCGATTCTGCTCACCATCTTACATATCCGAGCGTTGATCAAAGCAGATTCTATCGTGTTATTTAATTACGACGAGTCGTTTTCCAGTGATCAACTGATTTCAACACTCTCACAGAAACTGCATAACCAATCAGATGATTCGCTCCCGTACGAAATTCGTGCCTTGGAAGCCATATTCATGAACGTGATCGATAACCTCAATTCCGAAATGAAAGTGCACGTCACCGTGGTAAATGGCATACTAAAGGAACTCGAAAGCGACGTTGACATGACGAAACTAAAGTATCTGTTACTGGTCTCCAAGAAATTGCAACAGTTCCAGCAGAAAGCCACTTTGATCAGAGACCTCATCGACGAAATGCTCGCCCACGACGACGAGCTAGTGGAACTCTATCTCACAGATAAAAAAATCGGCCACAAGCGGATGGGGCGCGAACACGAAGAGGTGGAAATGCTGCTCGAATCATACTCTCTGCATTGCGACGCTATTGTGCAGACAGTGGAGTCCTCCATAAGCAACGTGCGAACTACAGAGGAAATCATCAATATAATCCTCGATTCCAATCGAAACCAGCTCATGCTGCTTGGTTTGCGGTTCAGTATTTGTCTGCTGAGCTTTGGCAGCCTGCTTTTCATTGCTGGTGTCTACGGCATGAATTTAGAAAACATTGTCGAAGAAAAAGACTACTGGTTTGTCATTATATCCACCGCATCGTTGTTAATTAGCGCAGTGATTTTCAGAAAATGTACAAAACGCTTGAACCAGCTGAAGCGGATCCAAATGTCTAAATAAGCACCATTCGGTACTGCTTGCGTTTCATCTTTTCGCTGACGGATCTGCCCCTCCCTCCTTTTTCTTGTCAATTAAATAGTCCTTAACTGCGCTAAGACTAGTTTTTTCTGTCTGTGCGTAAAGGCTGCTGCTAGTTCTGTCCGGTGGGTTTCTTTTGTACCGATGTTGGCCGCCGTTTGCATGGGGACCATCTCCCCAATGGCCCCTGGTGTCTCGATAATCCTGGTTCTGCCAAGGTCGACCTCCGTGGAATTCGCGGGGCCTTCTATATTCTCTATAGTCTCCTGACTCCCGTGAATAGTCGCGGCCCCAATCGCGGCCCCAGTCGCGATTCCAATCTCTGTTACCTCCCCAGCCACGTCGTTCACCTCTCCAGCGATTGTCGTGGGCAAGATCTCTTCTCTTGCGAGGAGTTTCGTAGTCCGCGCCATAGTGAGAGTGGTCCAGTGACTTATTAGGCGGTCTTCCCGATCCAACGGACTCATTTGCACGCTTCTTCTCTTCCTTGTATCTTTTGATGTCCTGTTCGTGGCTTTCCTCGAATTTGGGCAACTCTTCGGGAAGACAAGCCACCGGCTCCATTTTGAAGAAATCCGACTCCAATGCCTTGGCAGCATTAAACCGCTTGCGTGGGTCCAGCGTCAGCAATCCTGAGAGCAGACGCACTGCTGCTGGCGTCATAATCGCCCCAAACTCGCTTTCGAGGGTGCGTGGGTAGTCCACATGTAAATTGACGCCATTTCTATTGATCACATCTGCGTTCGGAAAGTTCTCCGGCGTGGGACTTCCTAAAAGCCTGAATATCATGTCTGCCTGGTCCAAGTCACTCTTTCCTTCTAGAATGGGCTTTTTCTTGTACATTTCCCCAAGGACACATCCGATTCCCCACATATCGACTGCCGTTGTGTATTTACGTTCTCCCAGCAGCAGTTCGGGGGGTCGATACCAGCGTGTCACCACTAGCCCCGTGTACTCGACCAGACCGCCGCCAGCACCGGCGGCCGCATCCACTGGAGCCGGCCCGTGGTAGCCCCTTGCAAGTCCAAAGTCGGCAATTTTCACCACGCCAAAGAAGTCGAGCAGGATGTTGGCTGTCTTTATGTCCCTGTGAAGATAATGCTGGTTGTGAATGTAATCTATCCCGTGCAAGATCTGTTTCATAATACATTTTATTTGCGGATTTGTGAGTCTGACCCGTGGGTTGTTGAGTAACCCATTCAGGTCCGAGCTGATGTATGGTGTGACTGTGTAGAAAAAGCCAGGCTTCTTCGTATCTTCGGAGTTCTCATGAATCATATCTATCAGCTGCAGCACGTTCACGTGTCTAAACTGTTTCATGATTGTGATTTCGCGAAATGCCGTGATGGGGAACCCGTCCTTGGAGTCATGGACAATAAGTTTTTTGAGGGCGACAAGCTTGCCCGTGCTCTTTTGACGAGCCTTGAAAACCATCCCGAATGTTCCCTGGCCAAGCTCCTGAAGCACTTCGTACTTCTCCAGCTTGCTCATTCCGACATACCGGCTGAGCCGACTTTGTTTGGGGACATGGTCGGTCATTTATAAAAGAATAAGCTTTAAATTCTATCAAATTATTTTTCGCTTCTGTCATTTTCCAACTTGGCAGCCACAGAGTCTCTCAGAGACATGAGCAGCTCGCGTTCTTCACTGTCCGCGGCCAATTCTATATCCAAGTCGACAGCCTGAAGAAACTGAGAAGGGTGGACATCGTGTTCTGCCAGCAAACGTTGTGCGCCTGCCGGAGTCACTAGAGTCTCATTAAAAGCCCATAGCAATACCGTGTCAGTCAGGGCCAAGGTCTCAACGATAAGCTCGTTGTCGCTATCGTCGGCCTCTAGTAATTTCCACAGCTTGAGAACCTTCTTCAGACCGGCAAACTCTTTGTGTATGAGTTTGTTAGTGACCCTGATTCGCGCATCAGATCCAAACGACAGAAATTTATAGAGCTGAGAAAGAAGCTTGAGGACATGAGGAGAGCACGAATTTTCTTTCGGAATTTTGGTCTCAAAATGTTTCATTAGTGGCTTCAGAACTCCCATCTCCACCACTTGCGGTCCTGTGTGCTCGTCTATCACGGATGCTAGAATTTTGAGACCTGTGTTGATATGCTGCTTGGAGATCTCGCTGCTCACGAACAACATCGCGAGCTCCAGCCCATCGTTTTTCAAAAAACGTGCTCTGTAGGCGTCAAAGCGCAATATGTAGGCCAGCAGCAGTATACAATTTTCCTTGAATTCCGTCATTTCTGTTCCAGAGATTGGCACCTTCCGCAGTTTCGACCATGTCACCATCAGAGTCTCAACTAAATCTGCATCGTTGTCTTTCTCAAACCTTTCAATTTCGGACTGCTCAGACCCCACGAGCAGCTCTTGTAGATACTCCATCGCGTACTGGCTCGTCTTGTCAATTGGTTGTTTGGAGGATTCAATTATTTCCAAAACTTTATCGTTCAGTCCGTTGCGGGTGCTCAGTGCAACATTTTGAAGTTCGCACAAAGTTATAGCAAATCCTAGACATAGCGTAGAGTACTGCTCAAATAACTCTTGATCCTCAACTGAGTCCAACCGCTCAAGAAACTTGCCGAGCAGGTCTCCAATCTTGCAATTTGTGAAAAATTGGCCTAGTACAGAACGACACTCCTCCCGCTCTTCATCCACTATATCCACCAAAATCAAAAGTACCTGTTCGCGCACGTCAATATTAGGATGGCTCGCAAGAAGTCCCACGACTTCTGCAAAAACCGGGCTAGCCACTAACGCTGTATAGCATTGCTGGTAATCCGGTGCTTCTGCCAAAGCGATGCTAATTTCAGACCAAACCTTGAGCCCCTGAAACAACTCAAACTCGCTGTCCATCACCTTGGTAGGGTCTGAAGAGTGCTTCTCGCGCATCTGAAAGTTAGACGTCACAAGCTCACCCAGTTTGGTAAGACTGTTTTTGACCCATTGTACATTGTACTCCACAGTTTTCTGTGGCTCGGCCACTGTGTCGCGTTTCAGAAATTCGAGCACACGCTCCTCATGACTTTGTGCTCGCCTCTTGGCCTCCCTGTCCTCGAACTCCTCGGCTTCTCGTTTCTCAAATAACCTGTCCACATTCATGGTACAACACCCGTACACCGATGCGATTTTTTCAGCAAATTATCTCGACTTTAATTATTTCGCTCCAAATTATCCGTCAAAAAAAAAGCAAACGCCGTACCACACCTCCCACCTTTGAGCTAAAACATAGTTTCGGGACGCACAGAGACTTGGCAGGCACCAGGGGCCAGTGTTTACCTCGGCCAGCGCTGCGTCGCCTGAGGTTGCCAATAGCGTTGGGGCTGAAAGACCACCATGCGGCCATGAAATCCACAAATATCTCCGCTACACATTGCGCGTGTTTGATGCACAAGAAATAATTTTTTGCATACGGCAAACAGAAAAAGTTCTTCCTTATCTTGGCTTGTATAAAAATAACATTGTTTTCCATTCCTCCTTTTTCCGAGTTTTAGTAAATGGAGTATTATAGTTTGACATGTTGCAAGACTTGATTTTTCCCAACAGCGGTCTCATGCTGTTCCGGCCGATAGGCAGCATTATTGAAGTTGTTAGCCCATGGGTTCGTGCCGTTAACAGCACAGAGACGCTTTTTGAGCCATCGTTCACTGTGGACGAGTCGTTGGAAAACAGCACTGTCAAGAAGTGCGCAGTGGACGAGTTCGAGTACGATTTCAATGAGCCAAATCCTATGAACTGGGACCTAACAGATGTCCTGAAACAACGCAGCAAACGCATCGAATCTTCCACTACTGTCGAGTCCTCGTCGGACGCTGTTTCCTATTTCGCCGACCCAGAAGACGACTCTTCCGACGAGGAGGATGCCTTCGGAAACGAGTACACCCTCGACCATGAACACTTTTTACATTTCCAGAGGTTGGCGCAAGAATCTCTGGCTGCCCGCCATGCTGTCGTCCCGCTCCCAACAATCAAGCAAGAAGATCCCGTGTTTTCTTCTTCGCAATCTTCGCTTCCAAGATCGTCGTCCAATGGATCTGAATCCACGCTTGACCGTTCGCCTACTACATCCGAGTCGGACCAAGACTCGTATACCTGTGACATTTGTCATGTTTCGCTGAAACTGAAGTCGTACCTCACAAGACATATGAAAAAACATCGCGATATGCTTCCATACAAGTGCCCTTACCACTCTGCCAATAAAGATAGAGATTTCAAGACCTCTTGGGCAGAGTACTGTGGAACCATTTGTCATCCAACAGGCAGTTTTTCGAGAAGAGACACTCTCAAAATGCACCTCAAAGCCCGCCATTTTATTTATCCGATGGGCACCCGTTTCAAAGACAGAAACACTGCTCCGGGACGATGTGCCGGCTGCTTTACTGAGTTTTCAAGCAACTCAGAATGGATTGGTAGGCATGTGCTGAATAACTCGTGTCCCGCGTTTGTAACGAAGTACAAATAGTATAAATTTGGTTTACATGAGAGCTAAAAATCCACCGTCCACCATTAAACACTCTCCGTCCACGTAATCGCTTGCTGCCGAACACAGAAAGACCACTGGGCCTTTGAAGTCTTCTGGAGTGCCCCATCTGCCTCTTGGTATCTTGCTCAAAATACGGGTCTCTCGGGCCTCGTCGCTGGTATGGAACGTCGTCATATTGGTCCGGACGTATCCTGGGCCAATGCAGTTGACGTTAATTCCGTGCTGGGCCCATTCAACTGCGCAGCATTTTGCAAACTGTACAATAGCTCCTTTAGACGTCGTGTACGCTGAGAGATTGGAAGCGGCACGGAAAGACGTCAGACTGGCGGTGAATAGAATCTTTCCCCGGATTTTCTGACGGATCATTCGTCTGGCAACGAGTCTGGAAAGTTCCGAGGGCACGTGCAAGTTCACGTGTAACACCTTGTGATACTCTTCAGTAGAAGCGTCCACAATGGTGTCCCGGTTGGTGATTCCAGCGTTGTTGATAAGAATATCTATTTCTCCCGTAGGGGACAATTCCAAAGCCGGCCTGACAATTTCGGCTTCAAGATTCTCTATCTTCACCTCACCCAGGTCGACCTCGATAGTGCCTATCTTGCCTTCCGATCCCGGATACGAATCACGCAGGAACTGCACCGTGGAGGCTGGATCGGTTGCTGGTCTGTGGGTAAAAATCACAGACGCTCCCGCCTCGTACAGAGCCTGAGCCATGGCCTTGCCAATGCCATTGGTAGCGCCCGTAATAAGGACAACCTTACCCTTCAGAGAAAAAAGATCTAAAATCGACATTTAGTTATTTTTTACAGCCACACAGCCATTAAATTAGGTGGTCGATAAACGGCTTATCAGCTCGTCGGTAATAGTTCCCGCCAGACGAACACCACTTCTGAACTTCCCAATCGCGGAAAGGTACTTGCTGATAAGGCGAAGCTTGCTGGTGATATAGTTGTCGCGCAATTTTTCTGCGATGAATTCTGCGCTCTCGGCATCCACGTCCCATGCGGCCAGTATTTCGGTTCCACGCAACACAGATGCCGCGTACCGTTCTTGTTTTTTTTCGACACGGAATCGGTGTTCGCGAAGGAAAAGCAATGCCGAGCCGAGTATTGGGACAGAGTTGCACACCCCCACCGAACAGAACGATGGGTACTGCACCCATGGTTCTGTTGTTGGTGGCACATTGGACTTGGCCAGCAGCGAGGGATCTGCGCTAAAACAGTCCTCGTTTGCGTCCGCAGAACATGGGCCCACGCTTACAGGGAACATTGTGTCCAATTGCAGCGACTCTGCGCAAATTCCTTCACCTAGTTGCACCAACGAGGCGATATCGTAGGCAGCCCGGAGACAAGCGACAAAAGATTTCCATTGACGAAAATCTGTAGGAGAAGCAAGTTGAGAGGCATCTGGAAGTGGAGAAGGAAAGTCGTTCATTAGGGAAACTTGATTTGGGCACTGTCTAGAGTCCTTTGGATGCAGCGGAAGCAATGACCAGCAAATCGAGGAGTGCAGGATGATAACAGAGAGCTTGTTCACGAAGCATGATAGCAGGACGGTGGCATCAATCAACAAACGGTTATTCTCTATAGTATAAGGACGGAAATTAGGAAGCGATGCCATCTTCTGTAACTGCGAATCCAGTTTGATGACGTTTTCGGTCAATAAGGCGTTTTCAGCAACATTGTCCATCACCTCGTCCATATAATGACACGATAGAATTAGCATCATGGAGTCAGGCATATTGTCACTGGCAGGATCGTTCAGGTTGATAGAGTCTGAGTAGTAAGCTTTTTTAAAAGCGGATTTAAAGGACTCCAAGGAAGCAGACTCTCTATAGTAAACGATATCATCCAGAGGTAGCTCCAGTTGTTCAGGCAGCTTGAAAAACCCGTGTTTATGGTACGGATAGCCATAGTTGGCCCGTCGGTATGTTTGAAACTTGTACACGTTCCATACGCATCGGATCAGCAGCTCACGGTCTTTAAGCTGGCGATCTGTTGAAATATCAAGCATTTCGTTGTAGTCGGCTTGCGACTTCCGCTTCAGCACGTCTAGATATCCAGAACTTTTTATCAAACGGAAACAGCGATGCAATTGATCGTCCTCGCCAGAGGTGCAGGTCATGGTCAATATCAATAGCTCTGCCTCTACTGACAGGTTGTGGCGATATTTGTAGTAATTGTGCAGCCAGTAACTCTCATCAAGAAACTTTTTGTCCTCAATTTCATTCGGATTAATATATCGGACAGTCATCTCAAACATTGCACTTAAAATGGCAACATTCTCGTCTGTTAGAAAGAATCTTTCCAAAAAATCCTTCAAGTTTGGCAGCACCTGGTAAGATAAGTGGACGTACCTGTAAAACAGCTGTACCATTGTATATATGACGTTCCACGGTGGTAGCCCATATTTTTCAAGTTCAGACTTGGTGTATTTTGGGTGTTTCGAGGTTTGGCCACCAGAAATGGTTGGCGCACTTGTGATGGACATCTCGTCTTCACGAGGATACCGACCCTGTATCTGTTTCTGTCTATTAACCCAGTCCTCCGTAATTCCCCCCGAATTTTCGTCCACGCTGTGTGGTCCAACAGCGTGGTTCAAAGGAGGTAGCAACGTGCTTTTCCCTGTCAATTCCTCCGCCATGGATCCTGAAACCCGACTGTCACTGTCTGAATATGACAAGGACGAGCGTCTTCCAGGTGAAGGCGGCGGATAGAACCCGTAAGGAACCCTGTGCGAATCGAAATAATGATCTGGATGATGGTGGTGGTGATGGTGACGCGGATGGCGATGATGGTGACAGTGGCGATGCATACGATGGAACGGAGGATGGTATGAAGAGAATGCCCCTGGGGGCGGCGGAGGAAGAGATGGGGGCTCAAGACGCCGTAGCAAGGGTGGACCGTGGTTTGGAAGATGTGGACCCGGCGGCGGAGGATCAGGAGGATGGCCGTAGTAAAAGTAGGGCTCGGAGTAAGGCATGTCCTTAGACGGATACTTGCCATAGCGCGGCTCTTTTGAGCCAGCCCACTTGCCGGGGTCGTCGTATCCGGCAAACGGAGGTGGCAGATATTTGGAGCCAAACTTACCCGGCGGAGGCTGGTGGTGAGCGGGTCGAAAGGATTCTTCAGCGTCGGAGGTGAACATGCTGGGAGCACTTTCGGTTTCAAACCGTCGCTCGGGATCGAAATGTTGACGTTTCAGAGACTGGTCGTTTGCGAATGACGAGTAGTCGTGAGATTGAGTGGTGGCGGAATCCACTGAAAAGTTCTTTCGTCTTCGGCCACCTCTCTTGCTGGGAACAAATACGCACTCGGTGCCCGATGAGGCACAATTGGAGCACTTGCCATAACTTTTGTTACCTGACTCGTCAGATTGCAGTTCGCCGTCACATTTAATTTTCTTCTCTCGACATGCTAAGCACGCTCGTTTGGCAACATGTCGCCGCTCCAAATGATGTTCAAGAAACTTGATCGAGTCTTCCGTAACCGGCTGCTGTCGAGCCACTTTCGGAGACCCCGAAGAACTGCGATGAGACATGTGTTCTCCACTGATGCAGACCTAAGACAATGAATGTACTGTAGAAATGGGAACGTCGCTCGGGTACCAAAAATGGGGCCTCATATTATATTTTTCTTGTCACACCTTACACCTAGGTACATATTTAGATGGCAGCAGACTTGTGGAAGTCCTTGCCGGCGTAAATGGCCTTGTCGCCCAGCTCCTCCTCAATTCTGAGGATCTGGTTGAGCTTGGCCAGTCTCTCGGATCTTGCCGGAGCACCGGTTTTGATTTGTCCGGATCTCAGTCCAACAGCGATGTCAGCAATTGTGGTGTCCTCGGTCTCACCAGATCTGTGAGACACCATGACACCCCAGCCGGCAGCGTACGAATCCTTGGCAGCATTGATCGACTCGGTCAAAGTACCAATCTGGTTGACCTTCAAAAGCAAAGCGTTGGCACACTTCTTCTCGATGGCAGTCTTGATTCTTTCTGGGTTCGTAACAGTCAGGTCATCACCAACAACCTGGATGTTGGTGGTGGAGAAAAAGTGGGTCCAAGCGTCCCAGTCATCCTCGGCGAATGGGTCCTCCAGAGACACAATTGGATACTCCTTGATGAGTTTGGTGTACAAGTCAGCCAATTGCTTACCAGTGAGCCACTTGCTTGGGTCGGAATTTGGATTCTTGAAGTCCAGGTCGTATTTGCCGTCGTGGTAAAACTCGGACGAAGCGGTGTCCAAAGCAATACCGATCTTGCCGGTGTAACCGGCAGCCTCAATGGCCTCGACAATTAGGTCAAGAGCCTCTTGTGGGGTGGAAAGGTCTGGAGCAACACCTCCCTCATCACCGACGTTACCGGCACTTTGGCCGTACTTCTTCTTGGCCAAAGATTTGAGGTGGTGGTAGACCTCAGAACCCATTCTGAGACCCTCGGAGAAAGATGGAGCGTCCGTTGGCACAATCATGAACTCTTGGAAGGCCAAGGATCCACCGGCGTGCGAGCCTCCGTTCAAAACGTTCTGGAATGGGACTGGCAAAACATATGGCTTCTTGGTGCCTGCCAGTTCGCTGATGTATTGGTACAATGGGATACCCTTGTAGCCAGCAGCAGCCTTAGCAACCGAAAGGGAAACACCTAGGATAGCATTGGCTCCCAATTTGCTCTTGTTCTTGGTTCCGTCCAGGGAGTTTAGGAACTTGTCAAACTTCTCCTGTTCGAGAACAGAGATCTTTTCCTTGAGAACAGCAGGAGCAATGACCTCGTTGACGTTGGCAACAGCCTTCAAAACACCCTTTCCGAGCCACTTGGACTTGTCGCCGTCTCTCAGCTCAACAGCCTCGTGAACACCGGTACTGGCACCAGATGGAACAATTGAGCGGAACATTCCCTTGTCGGTGGTCAGATCAACCTCGACGGTTGGATTTCCTCTAGAGTCGTAGACGTATCTGGCAAAAAGCTTGGTAACGGTAGTCATTGTTTAACAATTAAGTCAATTGAACTAATACAAGGAAAAGATATTTGGAGCCGTTTATATAGTTTTTCTATGGATCCGTGACACAGCAAATTTGAGCGTGCAGATTACTGGCACAGCCCTGAATACGGCCATAAGACGGCCGTGATGGCCATAGTTGCATGTTTTAAAAAACGTTTTTCGCGAAACATCTAAACTAAGCTGAGCACTCTGTCGCGTTCGTTGTGCTGCTTCGAACGGCCGTCCTCAACATCCTTATCCCGTGCGATGCCACCGCTGGCTACGTGGACTTTCGGAACACTACACCTCGCACCTCAACATTTTCGCTTACCCTTTCTCCGTCCATGAGGCCATCTCCGGGGTGGAGTGACGCGGCCGGTGGACTGTGTCTCTATAGCGTGGTGTTGAGACGGCGCAAAAAAAGTCGCGGCTCTTACACATGAATGTCAGCGCACTTCTGCAGCCAGGCTACACTGCGTAATAACACCATGTACTATTGCGTTATCGTCGCTTGTCGACAATCTTTCTGTCGGCAGATTCTGTCGACGCATTGTCGCTTTCAAAAATTATTTGCCTCCTTTCTAATTTCAGTGCTTGCTTCCTAATGCTTTTCCCTGTGCCTTTAGTGTTTTTGCTCTCTCTTGTCAACGGTCTCTCGCTCAACCCGTTTGCTTTTCCAGGCCAGGACACCAAGCCTGTTCCGGGCGACTCTCCCCTTCTTCTATGCGACTCCTCGTCTTCTCAACTCCTCAAACTGACTCATGTGGATGTTGCGCCTAACCCTCCAGAACGCGGCACAAATTTGACTATTGTTGCCAGAGGGGACCTTTCAAAGGAGGTTGACGAAGGCGCTTACGTCGAAGTGGATGTTACCTACGGATATATCAAATTATTGCACCAAACTTACGATCTTTGCGAGGAGTTGCCTAATGTCGATATGGAATGCCCTCTCAAAAAAGACAACTACGACTTGACCAAGATCGTCGAAATTCCTAATGAGGTCCCTCCAGGAACGTACACGGTGATTGCAAGGGCATTTACCGCGGACGACGAGCTTATTACTTGCCTGACCGGCAGTGTGGCATTCCCCCCATACGGCTCGAAGAACCTAATAAAATTTCTGCTGCAAGACTAAAATATGTCGGCTAATTATCGGAGCTATGCAATAAGGTGCTCTGTTCGTTGACAGCAGCCACCTGGTCGATGCTGTGGTTGCTGGAAACGTCATGATAGTCCTGGACAAGTTCCTCCAACAATATCCGATTTATTGCGATTCTCTTCTTGAGTCTCTTTAGCTGGAAACGCAATGGTATTCCTGGTAAGTAACCGTTTGTAGTGATCACCTCTCTGCTCTTTATCAGGCCGATGACGAAGCACCAGAATAAAATATACGACGCAACCGATCCGTAAGTGGCAGAATTTGTCCAACCAAGAAGCGCGTTGAATAGCATCCACCCACCGTCCGTGAGTCCATTGCAGCAGTTCACGTGCCACACAGAGTTGGTGATATCATAAGATCCCGGCCCGCTACCGGTTTCAGAGGTGTCCTGGCCACATTTCTGGACAAATCGTTCGAGCTCCAAGAACCAAACACCTCTCGACATCAGGCCTGCAGCGACAAGGTACAGGAAACATGTCGCAACCACAAGGAAAAACTGCAAAGACATCTTGTTACCTCCTTTGTATAAGGCGACACCGATTCCTGTGCCGGCGAGGGCGCCGGTAACGATGGCTAGTGGAAAAGAAGATATTGGTTGGTTGACACCGATTCCTCCCACAAACACGACAGCCTCCAAACCTTCGCGTAGTGTAGTCACAAACGGCAGTATCCCCAAAGCGTACTTTCGGGTGAATTTTCTAAGTTTCGCGCGCACCTTCACAGACTTGGTCAAGTAATCGGACATAGGTTCATCTTGAAAGTCGTGGAGCATTTCCTCCTCATTTTCATTCAGGGCAGCACCAAGCTTCCATTTCCATTTGGACTGTAGTTGGTTTATCCGCAAAAGAGCCATTCCCATCACGGCAATGATGAGCGCACTGACGATACTAAAGACTCCTTCCCAAACCCGTTCGGCAACAGACCAGAGGTCGCTTCCCACAAGGTAGAAAACAGCAATGAAAATGGCACCGAGACAAAGGCAAATAGCCAGGCCGGAAAGTGCACCAACCCAAACTTGAAGCACCAAGCCCCGATACACGGAGGCCGATCCCTGGACCACAAGTGAGCCATGCTCATCTTTCGATGTGAAATTTTGCTGCAAAAAGGAAAGAAGCACCGACACAATTATGGCCGACTCCAGAGTCTCTCTCAGTATGATGAAGAAGATTTGAACCGAAAAATAATCCTCCCACATGGTGTAATGATATTCCTCGTATAGCCCTACTTATTTTTTATTTTTTTACTCTTTTGCAAGACAGGCACTTGATTCAGTCTGCGTCGATCGACTTCCGACCGGCCCGTTAGTTTATCAAAGGGCAAACACTTTTATTTTAGACAACTTGTGTTTTTTCCGGCGATGGCAGTGCTGAGCAGAAAAGCAGTCAGAACAAAGAACACCGGAACAGGTCCTCCTCCTAAAAAGAGTAATGCTCCGGTGAAAAAGGCCCAGTTTGAGTCAAATAAAACAAAAGAAGTTGGGGTCAGCGATTTGACGTTACTGTCCACCATTAGCGATCAGACAATCAATGACAACCTGGAAAAAAGATTCCATCACGGTACCATTTACACATACATCGGGCATGTCTTGATTTCCGTCAATCCTTTCCGGGATTTGGGCATCTACACGGACGAGGTGCTGAACTCCTACAAAAACAAGAACAGACTCGAGGTGCCTCCGCATGTCTTTGCAATTGCAGAGAGCATGTATTATAACATGAGAGCATACAATGAGAACCAGTGTGTGATTATATCCGGTGAATCTGGAGCAGGGAAGACTGAAGCGGCCAAGAGAATCATGCAGTATATAGCTGCTGTTTCAGGCTCGTATACCTCCTCTTCCCATATTCAGCGCATAAAAGACATGGTTTTGGCTACCAATCCGCTGCTGGAATCCTTCGGATGCGCAAAGACTCTCAGAAACAACAATTCGTCGAGACACGGTAAGTACCTCGAGATTCAGTTCAACAAGTCATTCGAACCCGTTAGTGCCAACATCACAAACTATCTCCTGGAGAAACAACGAGTGGTGGGGCAGATTAGAAACGAGAGAAACTTCCACATCTTTTACCAGTACACCAAAGGAGCCAGTGATCAATATAGGCAGACATTTGGTGTTCAAAGCCCTGAACAATACGTTTATACCAGTGCTTCTGGCTGCACCTCGGTGGACTCGATCGACGATTTGAAGGATTTCAAGGATACCCTTGCTTCGATGACTACCATTGGTCTCACCCAGGAGGAACAGGACCAGGTCTTTAGAGTGTTGGCTGCTATTCTATGGATTGGTAACATTACATTCGTTGAGGACGCAGAAGGTAACGCTCAGGTCAGAGACACTGGAGTTACCGACTTCGTTGCATATCTCCTCCAAGTCAATCCAGAGGTCCTGGTGAAATCCATTGTCGAAAGAACAATGGAGACGTCCCATGGGATGAGACGGGGATCTGTCTACCACGTGCCTCTAAACCCTGTTCAAGCAACAGCAAGCCGAGACGCTTTAGCCAAAGGACTGTACAACAACATGTTTGACTGGATTGTTGAGAGAGTCAACAAGTCTTTCCAAAGCTTGAACCTCGAGGCTCACAGATCCATTGGTATTTTGGATATCTACGGTTTTGAGATTTTCGAGCACAACTCGTTTGAACAGCTCTGCATCAATTACGTGAACGAGAAGCTGCAACAAATTTTTATTCAGTTGACTTTGAAATCCGAGCAGGACGAGTATGTTAGAGAGCAAATTCAATGGACGCCGATCAACTACTTCAACAACAAAATTGTTTGCGATCTAATTGAATCCAAGCGTCCGCCAGGAATTTTTGCCGCGCTCAATGATGCCTGTGCAACTGCTCACGCTGATTCTTCCGCCGCTGACCAATCGTTTGCACAGAGACTGAATATGGTCAGCAGCAACCCCCACTTCGAATTGAGATCCTCCAAATTTATTATCAAGCATTATGCTGGTGATGTGACCTACGATATAGGTACCATGACAGACAAAAATAAGGATCAATTACTGAAGGACTTGCTTGAGATGATTGGAACATCTCAAAATACATTTATTCAGACCATATTCCCGGAGAAAATCGACACGTCATCCAAGAAGAGGCCACCAACTGCCGGTGATAAGATCAAAACTAGTGCCAACCTTTTGGTCGACACTCTTTCTCAAGCCCAGCCCTCTTACATTAGAACAATAAAACCTAACCAAAACAGGTCTCCTACAGAATATGACACTAAAGCGGTGTTGCATCAAGTCAAGTACCTGGGTCTGCAAGAGAATGTTAGAATCAGAAGAGCAGGATTTGCTTATAGACAGACATTTGACAAATTTGTGGAAAGATTCTATCTTCTTTCTACCAGAACATCATACGCTGGTGAATACATTTGGGACGGCGATGCCAAAACTGCAACCACGCTGATCTTGCAAGACACGGGCATTCCAAATACAGAATGGCAACTTGGTGTCACGAAGGTGTTTATTAAGAAACCTGAAACGTTATTTTCTTTGGAAGAAATGAGAGAAAACTACTGGGCAAACAAAGCCAAAGTCATACAGAGAGCTTGCAGAAGATGGCTCAAGAGAAGAGAGAATGCTGCAAAGTTTGTCCAAAAGATGTGGAGAGAAAGAGTGGGAGGTAACAAGTACGAACAACTCAGAGACTACGGTACCTCACTGGTTGTCAACAAAAAGCAAAGAAGAACGCTCAGTATTCTTGGCTCTAGAGCCTATATGGGAGATTATCTTGGATGTAACGATAAGACCGGTGGGTTTGGAAAGTTCCTGATGCAATCTCTTGGACTTTCTGACTATGTTATCTTCTCGTCCAGGGGACAAATACTACATTCGAAATTTGGAAGATCATCTCAACGATTGAATAGGATTTTTATCCTCACCAGTTCACAATTCTACGTGATTGCGGAGGAGCTAGTTAACAGAAAAGTCTCCTATGTTGTTGAAACAAAGATCCCGGTTTCAGCAATTCACAAGGTTTCTCTTTCTCAATATCAAGATGATTGGGTCGCCCTCAACCTGAACTCTACCACCCAGCCAGATCTTTTCATCAATACTATATTCAAGACCGAGTTGGTGACTCATCTGAAAAAGCTGAACAAAAACCTAGGTATTGACATTGGTCCAACCATAACTTACAACAAGAAACCAGGAAAGCCTCATGTGGTGAAATTCCAAGCCGACAACACGAGCCCTAAACATGGAGACTCATACAAGTCAGGTACCGTCAAGGTTGCGGCTGGGTTGCCAGCTTCCAGCACGTCTAGGCAGAAACCAAAGGGACGGCCTATTTTGAGCAACGGCAACGCTATTGCAAACTACAAGCGTACCGTTGGCAGCACGGCCCCTATCGCCCATGCATCGAACCAGGCAACTGCTGCCGCTGTGGCTGCCTACCACCCAGCCCAGCCTTCGGCAGCAAAACCGCAGATCAATAGGAAACCGGTGAACAGAAAACCAGCCCCAGCCGTCAATAAGCCAAAGCCTGCACCTCCGCAGAGTCGCCAAACACATGTGGAGACCGCAGGAGTTCCACAATCAGCCGTACAACCAGTTCAGCATGCTCAATCGAGTAAGACAAACCCTGTTCCTCCACCACCACCACCTCCTCCTCCGGCTGCGGCTGCCAAGCCGAAGTGGCCTACGTTCAAGGCCGCTTACGATTTCCCGGGCTCGGGCTCTCCTTCCGAATTCCCGGTTACCAAAGACACAGTGATGTATATCTTACAGGATCAAGGTGCCGGATGGTCATTGGCCAAGTCATTGGATGAAACCAGAGAGGGATGGGTTCCTACGGCTTACATCGTTCCTTGCGATCCACCAGCACATCTTTTGAAAGGTGGATCTTCTGTGCCTGCTGCTCCGCCTGCTCCTTCCATTGCGACTTCCAACTCTACGGCTAATGGTTCTGCTAGAAACGGCACCATACCGGCATCAGCCAATGGCACAAACTCAACAACACCGGCCACATCCTCTGATGGTTTGGCAGGTAGTCTGGCTGCTGCCTTGAAGCAGAAACAACAAGAAGAACAAAGTTTGGCAGGGGGCTTGGCCGCTGCCATTCGACAAAAAGCCCATCGCGACAGCGACGACGAGGAAGACGATGATGACGATGATTGGTAAATTATATCTATATATATTGTCGTGTCAGATAATTTGTTTGGACAATTCTATTGCCACCAAGAGATCAGCGTCCTGCTCTTGTGAGCCAATAGAAGTTTCATTGATTGACATGCTCAAAGCCAATGCCATTTGAAGCTCTTCGTCAGAGTCTTCGAGATGGTCTCCGTTGTACTTCTGGAGTCTCGACGCGGTCTGCGCCTCTTCATGAAGTTCGTATTCGTAATCCTTGATAGCTTCTTTGATATGATTATTGCTGTACTTGCGTTCTTTGAAGTTCTTCTTTTTGCGTTTTGTTTCTAGTTCTTTGTAAAAGTCTCCAAACTTAAAAAACTGCACCATGGAACCATAGGCAACCACTCCAGCAGAAAGCGACTGGTCCATTACAATGTTGGATATTGGCAGAAGCTGGCTGCCCACTTGTTGAAGCATTTTCGAGCTGGACTTGATGGCTATTTTTCTGAAAAACTCGCCTGTAGTGATATCGTAAAATTCGATTTTTCCATTGTAGGATCCTACTGCAACCACCAAAGAGTTTATTGCAATCTCTGAGAGAGCTGGGAGATCCACGTTCTGGTTTATTGCCACCACCCGTTGATAATCATCGTCCTCGTAGGCAAGCCGTGGAAAGATATCCAGGACAGGCCGAATTTGATACTCATAAGCACGAACATTGATCACAAGCACTCGTCCTGATTTCAACAAAATTGCCAAAAACAACGGGTCTGTTCCCACAACCTCGACATCCCTTTTGGTAAATGCGGTGCTGTTTTGCTCCAAGCTGGATTTGTAAATAGGCTCGTCAGTGATTAATCTCCTCACAAGATTGTCTCTGTAAGATATTATTTCCACTGTATTTTCATCGATCAGGACGATGTTGCTGTCTCCGTAATCAACGTACATCTTCATGAACATCACATTCTGCGGATTGATCTCCAGTGATACCTGTAGTTCGTGGACCTCGTGCGTGCAGTCAGAAACATTAAACATATTTTTCACCACATAAAGCGCTCCTTGCGTATCCAAAACCACAATCACATCTTTGTAATCCGAGTCCACTTTAGCGATTGTAGCCTCACAGATCTTGCACTGTGCGACTTGGGTACCTTTCTTTAGGTCCCAGCCCACAATAGTTCCATTTTCGTCCCCTGTGATTGCTCCTATTTTGCCCTCTTTTCCTAACTCTATTTGGTTGACATTTACACACGTAACCATCCCTTGATGGCCGCTTCCTTTGAACTCCTTGATTCCAGATAAGAGAATATTCTTGTGGTTAATAAGTGAGCCAAAGACTTTGCTGTCCCACCTTCCAAACACGATACTGTGTTTGCTCATGGCGTAGGCAGTAGTGCCGCTGGGGATTGTAGACGGTTGCAGATCGGTGTTGGCACCATTGTTCAGGCTGCACGTCACCAAATTTCCTGTGTTCTTGTTCAATGAGATGAGCTTGTTGTTTTTGAAGTCGCATTGCAGGTCGGTAGTGTAAAAAAGGCTTTCCAGATTATATGTGTTATGAACACCTTTTCCTTTCTTCCAGTTTTTTATGAGCGTCTCTCGTTCGATCAGCTCTGTCCGCCACAGTCTTGTGCGCGATACGCGCGGAAAGACAGATCCGATATTGCTAAATCTCTCCTTAAATATCTGCATCCACATAGAATTGTCCTTTGATAGACGATACCAGGTTTTGCAAACAAGGGCCATGTTCTTCAGCGATCCGGGGTCCAAAAATCGAAACACCACCATGAGCAGTTCTAATGGCAGCGGAGATCCAGGTGGCTGGATCTCGTACTGGTCAGCGACATTGCTTTCCATGGTGTATGAGTTTGCCCTGAAGTATAATATTAAATCAAAAAACTTCGGCTCATTGGCCTTTTTCGACGCGTCGTTCTTGCTCCGTCAATATTCTTTTTCCAGGTCTACTAACAAACACTATGTTATGCTCTGTAAATTACCGATGTTAGAAGCTCGCTAAGACGTATACTAAAACGCTTCTTTTACTACCAGCTTACTCTAAATGTCCGACCTTCATACACGTCATTACTTTTTGGATATCTCCCACCTCAGATCTGTGATGCTCACCTCCGCTCCAGCATTATCATCATAATCGTACCATTCGCCCTCACTTATATCTACCTCCGTGAACTTGGTGCCTTGTTCAGAAACGCACTCGAAATTACCGACAGGAATGAATTCCACTAGCTCGACGCCTCGTGCTTCAATGTCCAGCATCACCGCTCTTTTCGAGTCCTCCGTCAATCCAGTGTAGTTTTTGGGTAGCGAGATCTCGACATTTGACTGTTTGCCGCAGAAATCGCACTTGAACACGAAGCTGGCCTCTCCTCTGCTTCCCTGTATTTCATGCTTCTCTAGCAAATTTATGCTGATCTCTTTGTCGTGCTCCTCACGACATGCAGTGCACTGGATCTTGAATCTGTACTCAAATGGAGGGTTCTCGACAGGCTTTAGGCCCGAGACCCCATTCAATTCACCAGAAACAAACAAGTGAGAGACCATGATCTACAGGTAATTGCAAGTTTTTTCTTTCGCCCACCTCTACACCAGCAAAATCGTCAGACCCATGTTCAATTGTAATTTTTTCATTGGTTAATATATCAACAGATGTTTGGCCGCACGGGTTTTCGAGCTTTCCGTGCTTCCAACTGGCGATTTGGACAGTTCTCTTCGCCTAGATGGATTCACATGGGACCCAAGAGGCCAATTCCGCGCAGGGTTTCGGGTTCTGGCTGGAGTGTGTTTGAAGACCTGAAGCTTGTGTCTTTTGGCTCACACTTGATTTTCTTTATGCTCCTGCCTCCTTTCATCAAGGAGTACACAACCAAGATAGACGTTGTGCGCGAGGATGCCCCACCGGAATTGGTTTTGGGAGATTATGGTCCACTAGCTAATCACATCAAACAACGTCCTTTCGAGAGAGTGAGCTTTCTCCAGCTAGGTTTGCTAGAGAAACCTGCCTGCAAGCAGGAGACGCTGTCTGTCGTGAACGATATGGTGCCAGCATTTCCATCAACTCCGGACGAGCTGACTGAGTGCATTGGGGTGCCTATTTACCTTGAGAACACCAACTTGAGCGTTCCCAAAGAGATTGACGAATTACCGCGCCGTCTGGTAAGCAAATTCAAAAACCCGAGCGAAAACACCACAATTGCTGAAAAATACGAAGACAGTCAACGGTTGGTACGGCACTACAGAATGCAGCCGTACGCTGTGGAGGATCAGTATGACCCTACTAACGTGTATCTTCAATTGGAAAATAACTATAATCAACTGACGAGCTCGCAACAGTCCTTGCTGCAATACGTTCTGAACCTATCGCGCATTATCGAACAGTACCTGAGCCAAACCACAAGCTACCAAACAGAGTCAAACGAGATTTTCAAGATGGTTTTTTCGCAGCTCTACGACTTAGAATTGTATTCTCTGGCCCAGGTTGTGATAGAGGTGGTACTCGCCACGCCTATGGATGAAAAGAGCCGTGCACGGAAGTCGGCAGAAAAGGCACATATGAAGATTACACAAAGATTCCTCAAGACGAAGGCCAAGGGAGAGCGGATAACGTTGGCAAAATCAAAGCTCAAGGATAAGGTTGGCCAGTCGAACTTGAAGATATACAACCACGGGTGGGTGGAATATATTTTGAGAGATCTAGGATTGTTCTCAAAAATGGTCGATCTGTGGACCAGACTCGAGACTGATTCTAAGTCACTTCTAAGCGCAGTTCTAGACGTCGGTAAAGCTAGCGGACCGTCCGCAGAGGAACTACAGAAAATACAACAAGTGCTGCTGAAAGGCGGACATCCTGATTTGGCGCAAAAGATCGCAAAGAGCTCCAAGACTAAGATTAGCATAGATGCATGTAATTAAGGCACGAATCAAAAATTAACGGTAAAAAATATTGAAAAAAATATTTACTTTTAATCTCCAGCTGATGAAGTTTCTTGCAACTAATTTCGTCAAGTGTGCGGTGAAGAGTTGTGACGCATCGGAGCTGTCGTTCCCTTTAAAGTACGAGGAGTGTGAACTCCAACTTCAGGAGCACGACTTCAACCCGGAGTTTCTTATCTCCATGCTCCCCAGACTGAATTGGGACGCTGTCGTCCAAGTTGCAGCGGATCTCGGTAACACTACTCTCCCATCCACGAAACCAGAAGGTATCGAGGACAACGAGCAGATGCTTAAGGATTTGCACTCATTACTATTGGAAACACAAATCATAAACGGTAAGATGACTTGTCGTCACTGCGGACACATTTACTACATCAAAGACTCTATTGCCAACTTCCTGTTACCTCCGCACTTGGCCAACAGCTGAAGGAGATGGCTGCATTTAATAATATAACCGTGTATATCGCTTCAAAATGTATATTTTTCTGCCGAAAAAACTATTTTCAAGGCTTAGTGAGTGACCTTTGTTGAATCAGAATATATACCCGCAATTTTTCTGACTTTGAACCTCGCTTCCCTAGTCAGACGAGTGTGCGTGTTTATGGAATTCAACCTCCCGCTAGCACAAGTATTTTCTAGAAAGCCATGACGTCGGAAAATAGGCCCGGTAACGTTGCCCACCATGGAGACACATCCACTTCCCAGAACGTCCCACAGCGGCGAGAGTCGAACTCATATACGCCGCCCGCGACCGCTGTCCAGCAGGATGTGTTTCCGGACTCCACCGGCTCTACCACAGAGCCATTATCGCTGCCTGAGCATTCGTCTACAGGCATACAGTCGCATAACCGAAGCAGATCACGATCGAGGTCAAACTCCCGTAAACTCTCAATAGGACGGTTTTTCAGTTTTGGACAGGACTCTGCGCCAGCAAAGACCTACGTGCCTGAGCAAATGTCAACTCCAGCTATTGACGATTCGTCCGCCAACCATATCCAAACTCCACCAACAACGAGCGACGAGGCACATCAGGATTATTTTAATCTGAATATCTCCCACGGAGAGCTAGACGATGATGAGATTATAAAGAACAGCGCACTTACCAAAATCAAAAAGATTTTCCGTCTCAACTCCATCGCCGACCACGAAGACTTGCATCCTGCTCAGGAAGGAACGGTAGTAGAAAATGAAGAGGAAGAACGTCAAGAAAGCAACGGCAACTCGCTCATGAAGAAATTTCGCCGCATAAGGTCGCCCTCCAGCCCAGTTCAGCCGTATTCTGTGCCGTCCATCTCACTCACCGCGGCCTCCGAAGAATGCGATATTGCAGAACAGGACTACATCAACCCTGTTGACGATTTTCAGGTCAAATTGAAGCACGATTATTCTGTGAATAACTCGACAACTACACTGTACAACGGATCCACAGAGGAGGAAGTGAGCGAGCCGCCTGACAAGGAGCCACAGGAACCAAAGGAGTTCAAGGAGCCGACTCCTCCAAGTTCGAAATCCCTGTCGATCCAGAAAAAGCTGAAACGAGTTGCTTCTGCCCCGCTTGGACTCAAACAGCTCGTTGATACCAATCCAGCTCCTGCTTCTGCCCCTGAGATAAACGACATATCGAAACACATAGGTGAGATCAAGGTCACGAACTCCAGCGGTTCCAGGTCACCAGGAAGTTTCGGAAGAAACTATTCGAGCACAGGAGTAAAAGTGTCCAATGTAGAAGTGACACCGCAGTCATTCGAGAAGCTCAAGCTTCTGGGTAAAGGAGATGTTGGAAAAGTCTATCTGGTGAGAGAAAAGTCAAACAAAAAATTATATGCGATGAAGATTCTGAACAAGAAGGAAATGGTTGAGCGTAATAAGATCAAAAGGGTACTAGCAGAACAGGAAATATTGGCAACGGCATGCCATCCATTCATAGTTACGCTATATCATTCATTCCAGTCAGAAGACCATCTTTATTTGTGCATGGAATATTGTATGGGAGGAGAGTTCTTCAGAGCACTTCAGACGCGCAAAATGAAATGCATCTCCGAGGCAGATGCTAGGTTTTATGCTTCTGAAGTTGTTGCTGCGTTGGAGTATTTGCATTTGATGGGATTTATCTACAGAGACCTAAAACCAGAAAACATTCTTTTGCATCAGTCGGGACACATCATGTTGAGCGATTTTGACCTGTCGAAACAAACTGATCACATCAAAAGACCCGAACTTGTCTCTTCGCACAAGTCGGCTACTAATCTTCCTCAGCTGGACACAAACGCTTGCATCAACGGCTTTAGAACTAACTCTTTTGTGGGCACTGAGGAATACATTGCACCTGAGGTCATTTGGGGCAAAGGACACACTGCTGCTGTTGACTGGTGGACTCTGGGAATATTCATTTACGAAATGATTTATGGTATTACGCCGTTCAAAGGTTCTACTCGAAACCAGACGTTCTCTAACATTCTGAAAAATGAGGTTCAGTTTCCTGACTACAACTCTGTTTCTAGCAACTGTCGCAATTTGATAAAGAAACTCCTTATCAAGGATGAGACGAAGCGGTTGGGCTCCCGTAGTGGAGCATCGGAGATTAAAACACACGCATTTTTCAAGAACGTTCAATGGGCTCTTCTGAGGAACCAGAAACCACCAATGATCCCTGTGTTCACGCAAAAGAAGAGCCGTCGCGACAAGGAGGGTAAGACAACGCAGGGCTCTATTGGCACATTGAAATCGAAGCGCAAGACTTCCTCGTCTCCAGCACATTCAAGCAATACCCCAGACCCATTTGAGAACTTTAGTTCGGTTACGATTCATCATAATGACGATAGCAATGTGATGCGGTTTGAAGGCACAGAGTTGGGAGATATATCGTACACGCTTACAAAGCCCGACAATGTCAGCAGCAGACGGTTCCTGAAAATGTGATCACACCAGATCTTGTGCCAGTTCCAGCAGCTTGGCATAATCTTTATTTTCTATGAGAGTGCGAAAGTTGTGTGCCAGACTCAGTGCCTCCTTGAGTCTCCAGTCATTTTCGAACCTGACTGAGTTCTGATGTGCGGATTCAAGAACAGGTTTAGGCAGTCCTGCCAACTTTGCACAATTGATACCGTATGAACGATCAGAGCATCCTGCGGATAGCTTATATGTGAAGACGATGTCTTCATCCACTTTTTGGATGCCCATATGGTAACTTTTCACCTCTTTGAACCTCTCAAACGACCTCAGGTTCTGATAGTGTGTAATGAATAGTACAAACGGCGACCTATCTGTAACAAGGTACCGCAGAATGGAATGCGCTATGGCGAAGCCGTCCATGGTACTGGTTCCGCGGCCCACTTCGTCCATCAGAACCAGCGACCGTGGTCCGCACTCTTTCAAAATGGTGCTGCATTCCTTCAGCTCCACCTGAAACGTAGACTCTCCCTTGATAATATCGTCTTGTGCGCCCATTCGGGTGTGGATCGAGTCGAAAATGCTCAGCTTGGACCCGGAGTCCGCAGGTATGTAGCAGCCTATCTGTGCCATGACCACAAGCAGTGCGATCTGGCGGATGAAAGACGACTTTCCTCCCATATTCGGACCTGTGATCAAGGCTATTCTGCCTTCTGAGTGCGACATCTTGAAATCGTTGGGAATGTAACGAGTTGATGTCTTGAGGTTTTCCGAAATTGGGTTGCGAGAGTTTTTCACATCAATGCACGGAGAGTCCACAAACACAGGTTTTGTATAGCCTTCGTTGAGCGAGGAGGCGGCACTCAGGGAAATTAGTGAGTCTAGAACAGCGAGATGTCGAATAGTTTTGTTCAAGTCGAGATAGTATTCGTCGATTCTTTTGACAAACTTGGTGAAGCAGTCGTTGCACTCTTTCTGGAGCATCTCTGAGTGGTACTGGATCTGTCTGTAGAGTGCGGCTCCCGAAGGAGTTCTGAACCGCGACACAGACTTGGTGCCGTTGATTTTAAGCCAGTCTTTCGGCAGGCTGGCAACCTGAGTGTTGCGCACCTCCACCAAATACGGCTCCTTGTTGTTGGTCACATAGCCCATGCCTGGACGGCCAACGATTTTACGGATTTCCTTGAGTTCGGCTTCCAGCTGCTGCTCCACCTGAGAAATGTTCTCCAGATGCTGTTGGATCAGGTGGTAATCAAAGAAGCTGGTGTTGAAATAGCCGGTCACGTGCTCGGGGCTCGTGTCGTCGATGGCTGCTGGCGAGTGGACCATGTCCAGCAAATTCCTGAAGTCTTTGAGCCCAGAGGAGGCTGAAGTTTTGAGATCATCGAATATCTCCCGTAGAGACGGGTTGGTCTGCACAGAGGTAGCATAGGTGTCTGGGAGGTCTCCGTAGAACTGGAGAATCTCGTTCATTTTTTTGAGAAACATATAAGTGTCCTTGCGTTTGGACCGGCCGTAGTGGATACGACTGAGCGCCGCCTCCAGGTCCGGACAATTGCGCAAAAGCTTGACGGTCGACTCGATGGCCACGGACTGGTAGTTTTTCATAATGCTCTCCACGGAGTCTGCTCTCTTGGCCACCTCTTCTCTGTCCGTCAATGGCCTGCCGATCCATCGTCTTAGCTCTCTGCGTCCGAACTGGGTATTTGTATGGTCCAGCATCCACAGCAGAGAGCCGTACTCCTGGCCATTGGTGCTGTTTTTGTATATTTCGAGGTTACGCAGAGTGTTTGCGTCCAAAATCATGCATCGATGGACGCTGGAAAAATGGGTGTATTTGTCCACCAGATCAAACACGTTGGCCAATTCGAACTCGATCATGTGCTCGACGAGCTCTGCAAAACAACCTTGGACAGCGACTGAAAGCTTTGCGACGAGATCAAAGGCCTCGTCGGATAGGTTGACGTTCAGAACATCGGCGATCTGCGTGTATGTCTTTGCATCCCTGGCCTCCGACCGCAAGCTAGTTGCCGACTCACGAGTGTACCGTTTAAACAGATCCAACGCTTTCTGTGTTTCACGCGAAATCTCTCCGATTAATAGAAATTCCGTTGGATCGAGATGGTAAAGCCTAGTTTCCAGCTCGTTGCGCACAAAATTGTCCTCAAACTCGTCATATATGATGTCTGCAGAGTAAACGTCAACGGCAACCAGAGATATCACAGGGGTTTCCTTGTTCTTAGTCTCTGTCAACGCGACAACGAACCGGCCCCCAGAAATCACGTCTTCGTTGTCGATGTACGTGGACGAAGTGTACACTTTACTGATGCGTCGCTCAAACAGCTTGTTTTTCGACGCTGTGGTGGACTTGATGGCTGCTGTCTCGTTCTGGTCAACAACGGCAACTTTGTAGCCGGCACTCAGCAACCGTTTCAGGTGAACATGAAGTCTCACGTCGGGAATAGAGCAGTAGGCCAGTTTATCGTACAGGTCATCGCTGTTGGTGAAAAACAGCCGTCCTGGAATGAACATGATGTTCAAAATTTGCGACGCAGCACGAGCATCCTCGCCATAGAACTTGTATTTGTAGCCAACTTGAATGGCCAGCAGTTTGTCTCTATGTTGCATTTTGAGATCGTAGATCTGCTGTTCGAGTGGGGTCAACTTGCTTGATTTCGCCTTTTTCGGGGCATCCTCGCCTTCTTCGCTAAACAGCCTTTTCCGGGTCCCAACAGTGTATCCCTTAAGCTTATCTGCAAATTTGGAGCGGGTCAGCGATCCAGCAGTGTCGGAATACCTGAACGCGTCTATGGACGACGCTTTGGACCCAGTCGACGGCGTGGAACGCGACTTGCCGTTCTTCTGGCTGTTTTCCACCGCCTCTGTGTTGTTGGCCGTGTCTGGCACGGGAGATGAACTGTTCTCCCGCTTAATCCAGCGACTCAGCATCTGTTGCGACATGCTAAAACGATTTGCACCGCCAACAAAAATTAAATAAAATTTAAATGTACAATGGAATCGGTCTGAGCACCGCGAGGGGCTCTGGAACAAACGGATACGTGCAGCGTAACCTCAGCAACTTGCACGGCAATGCGCGTATAGATGAGAGTGGGGGGAAGCAGTATTTGAGGCGGCAACTTCGGCAGAAAAACGAGCGCAAACAGGTTGCCACTACTGTTCGAGACAGAGATATCGACCTTCACGAGCGCAAACGACAGTTGGAGATAAAAGTAATGGAATACAGAGAGAAGCTTGAGGATGACGGGCTTGAAGACAGCGAGATCGACAAGAAAGTGGAAGAGTACCGCGAAAGACTCAGGAACCAAAAGGACGCCAGGGAAAAGTCTCCTACACGCGCGAAAGATAGTAGGCCTGGAAACAGGCCGTACCACGAAAAGGCCGATCCGTTTGTGAAGCAGGAACGAAAACCTGCCATGTCAGTAAAGCCGAAGAGGCAGAACTTTGCGAGTATGTACTGAACGAAAATTAATGGGTAATAATTGCTAAACACCAAACAGCTCCATGCGGTAATCTCCAAAAACAAGCCCGTAGGCTCGCGAGTCGACTTGAAAATAGCACGCTGGACCAATCTAGAAGACATTTTTTGTATCTTATCTTGTGTCTCTCACTACCATCTTGCCCTCATAAAAATTTGTTTAAACAGAACAAACGGATAAGACGTGTAAGATTACATCTTATGGCAAACCTATAACCGAACAAATTATTGAGGCCAATATAGACACTTCTGCGAAAACATACCCAACAAATAAGAAGAGCGTCTTCAATTGGAAATAACACATAAAAATGGGCTGTTGTTGTAGCAAAAGTGAGCATGACAACTTGTATCCCCAACTTCTAGCTGACAACGAGAGAGACGCGATTTCCGCTCTCTTGCAATACTTGGAGAACCGTGGCGAGGTGGACTTTTTCTCTGATGGTCCGCTGAAAGCACTTAGCACGCTCGTGTACTCGGACAATATCGACCTCCAGAGAAGTGCAGCTTTGGCATTTGCCGAAATAACAGAGAAAGACATCCGCGCCGTCTCGAGAGACGTGTTGGAGCCGATTTTAATATTGCTACAGAGCTCTGACCAGGACGTCCAACGGGCAGCCTGTGCCGCGTTAGGTAACCTGGCAGTCAACGATGACAACAAGGTCCTAATTGTGGAGATGGGCGGACTAGTGCCTCTTATCAGGCAGATGATGAGTTCCAACATTGAGGTCCAGTGCAATGCTGTTGGCTGTATCACAAATCTGGCTACCCAGGATAAGAACAAGACCAAAATTGCCACCTCTGGTGCTCTTATTCCACTCACGAAACTCGCCAAGTCCCCAGACCTCAGGGTTCAACGGAATGCCACAGGTGCCCTGCTGAACATGACTCATTCTCTAGAAAACAGAAAAGAGCTTGTGGAGGCCGGGTCGGTGCCAGTTCTGGTTCAGCTGCTTTCCTCCTCTGACCCAGACGTCCAGTACTATTGTACGACAGCATTGTCCAACATTGCTGTGGACGAGTCCAATAGAAAAAAACTGGCCACCACCGAGCCAAAGCTTGTCAGCCAGTTGGTGCAACTAATGGACTCTTCGAGCCCGAGGGTCCAATGCCAGGCCACGTTGGCTCTCAGAAACCTAGCCTCCGATGCATTGTACCAATTGGAGATCGTGCGCGCGGGTGGCTTGCCGAATCTCGTCTCGTTGCTGAAGTCGCAGCACGAACCATTGGTTCTTGCTGCCGTCGCATGCATCCGCAATATATCGATCCACCCTATGAACGAGGCATTGATCATCGACGCAGGTTTCTTGAAGCCTCTGGTTAATTTGGTGGACTACACGGATTCTGTCGAGATACAATGCCACGCCGTGTCCACTTTGAGGAACCTTGCTGCCAGCAGTGAAAGAAATCGCATGGAGCTACTGGAAGCGGGCGCGGTTAAGAAATGCAAAGAGTTGGTGTTGCAAGCTCCCGAAAGCGTCCAAAGCGAAATATCTGCATGTTTTGCAATTCTCGCGCTGGCAGATGACCTCAAGGCTAAGCTGCTTGAGCTTGGTATCATGGACGTGTTGATCCCGCTTACCAAATCGTCGAACCCTGAAGTGAGCGGTAACTCGGCCGCTGCCCTGGCCAACTTGTGCTCAAGAATACAAGATTATACGATAATTTTGGAAAATTACGACGGCATCTCTAGCTTCATCTCCGATTTTCTGAACTCAGGCAACTCTACATTCGAGCACATTGCCTTGTGGACGATGCTGCAGTTACTAGAATCCGATAACCAGGAGATCAAGTCCAAAATAAAAAGCGAAATCAACAGAGGCAAGATGAACCTCAACAATCTAACCGGCGAAGATTTCAACGGGGCAGATGAGATATCCAACCTGACGCAGCAAATTTTGGACCTCATCAAGTGAGCCAGTGCTTCGGGTGGTATCATTGCTTGTTCTAGAGTGTTGGCATGTTGGCATAAGTATTCATTTCTCTGTTGTTGTATAGCTAAAGCAAAAAATATAAGTCGTGTGCGACTCCTGCTCCATTAGGAAAGCTTATCCGATAATCTATATATTATCTCGCCAAAAGTAGCCTTCAGTCAGATATATTCCACTAGCATGTCTTCCAAGTCTTCAGCGTGGCAAGTGGAACTTCCTGTCCACCGGTTGGAGCGCAACCTCATTTTTCTTCCCGGCATCACTTATCGTGTTGTTTTCGATAAGCAAAAAGCTCTTGATCTGGCTTCGAGATGGTCAGCTAAGGAACGCTCAGAACGTGTTGCGGCAATTGCTTCGCGCTTTGGTCTTTCTTCTAAACATTTAGTTGCCTGTGTGCCTGGCTATCCAGACTCGGACACATGCACCGTCTGTGTGGTGAACGGCTTTTACGAGATGAGCGAGACGACCGTGGTGAGTTTCAAGGGCGTTACGCGGGGCTATATTGTGCAATCCGACGAGGATACGGCAACCGTTGAGATTCAGGAGGAAACGTCTGTGCCACATCCCGACACGAAAGACATGATCCGTTTATTCGACAACATCGACCAGTTCCTAACCTACTACAAGGACGAGGGCACTTTGGACTCAGAGGACAAGGAGGAACGCTCGCGGCACATTCTTTTGCGACTCACGCCTCTTGCAACGCTTTTGAATGCTCAGCTGTCGGCGTCAGACGTGTCTGCAGGTCTGAAACGACTGAGACAAGCGTACGGGAGGAAGTCAGGAGACTTTGCTCACTACAACGACGTTCTTGTTGCGCTGTTTCCATTTCCAATTGAGCTGAAGATTTCGTATCTGAGGTCCAAAGGAGCAGAACGTATCGAAGTATTTAACAAATGCGTGGCGTTCGCGAACAAGGTGTTTGAAGAACATCTCGATACTAGCTATTTGGCGGAGATTTGGAGCAGTCTTGATCACCATAGCAGCAAGGCTCAGAGCAATGTGTCGCGCTCACAATTTATCTCAAATCATCTGCGGAATTTGCGTCGGCTAGTTGAGGAGATGGGTCTCATGCGGGTCACTGGCCGTGGGAGCAGAACGGCTGAGGACAATGACGAAAATAAGAGTATCCAGGATTTTGTCGACTCTTTGGACAAATATCTGATTAATGAGGACGGTAAGAGACTTATTGCGAAGGATTTTGAGAGACTCAAACAGATGCAGTCCAGTTCCTCGGATTACCAGGTATTGAGAGCGTATCTGGAGATTATCATGGATCTTCCGTGGCAGCGGCTCGACTCTTTTGTGGAATCAGTCAATGTGGACCTTGCACGTGCGCGAGAGCAACTGGACGCCGATCATTACGGCATGGAGAGTGCCAAGGAAAGAATACTAGAGTATCTGGCAGTGTTGAATCTGCACAATCAGAAACAGCCGAGACACGAGCCGGAATTTGTATACGGCACTGGAGACGAGCCTACAACGAAAGAGCGCCCGGCTTCCACCCTGAAAGCGCCAATCTTGCTTCTCACAGGCCCTCCCGGCGTTGGGAAAACGTCATTGGCGCGGTCAATTGCCACCACTCTGGGGCGAAAGTTCCAGAGGATCAGTGTTGGTGGACTAAATGATTTTGCAGACCTGAAGGGCCACAGAAGAACTTATGTTGGTGCAATTCCAGGGCTAATAGTCCAGGCCCTGCGGCGCTCTCAGTCAATGAATCCGGTGATTTTATTGGACGAGGTGGACAAGATCGGATCCAACTCTCGGAAAGGAGACCCTGAGGCTGCTCTGCTGGAAATTCTGGACCCTGAACAAAACACCAACTTCCACGACCACTACATCGGCTTCCCTATAGATCTCTCACAGATACTGTTTGTGTGCACCTCGAATGATCTATGGCAGCTAAGTGATCCTTTGCGTGACAGGATGGAGGTAATTGAACTTGCAGGATACAATTATATGGAGAAAGTTGAGATTTCCAAGAAATACCTTATTCCGCGCCAATTGGAACGTGCAGGACTTTCTAGTGACGCGGTGGCCATGGACGACGAGACGATCCTGAAGATGGCCACGCACTACACCAGCGAGCCAGGAATTCGAAATCTTGAACGGCTGATTGCGGCTATCTGTCGAGGAAAGGCTGTTGAGAGGCAAATGGGCGAGGCCACCAAAACGGTGACTGTGCACGATCTCGCAAAATATATTGGCAGTCCGTCACATCTTCGTGCTACAGCGGCAGGTGAGACCAAATTTCAGAAAGGGTACGGCGTGGTCAACGGATTATCCTATAACTCTGACGGGTCGGGATCTCTTTTACGATTTGAGATGATCGGTCTTCCTGGATCGCAGAAAATGAACTGCACTGGACGCCTGGGAGAGGTGTTGTTGGAGAGCTCCCAGATAGCAAATACCCTTGTTGGATACCTGCTACACAACAATTTGGTGGCCGGCACTCAAGAATTTAGAGACGAACTGCTCAAACGATATGAGAACACTAGCGTTCATTTGCACGTTCCCGAAGGTGCTATCTCGAAAGATGGGCCTTCGGCGGGAATCACCATGACACTGTGTTTGATGTCCCTGGTTTTGCGCAAAAAAGTGCCGGAAACGCTCGCCATGACAGGAGAAATCACGCTTACTGGTAAAGTTCTCCCAATCGGAGGAGTGAGAGAAAAACTACTGGGTGCACACCTTGCAGGCAAGGTGAACAAGGTGCTACTTCCACGGCAGAACCGCAAGGATGTGATTGAAGACTTCATCTATAATCTGAGGAACAGGGAGCTAGCCAAAGAGCTTTTTGCTAAATTCCTCGACGAGGAAGAGCAGCTTCTTAAGGAGGGCCGCACGCACGCTGGAGAACCTGAAAAGTGGGTCTATCAGACTTTGGGACTCGAAATTGTGTATGTTGACGACTTCAGTGACGTGCTGGCAAGTGTGTGGGAAGGTGAAGTGTTGCTCACCGGTGGAATTCGCGAAGCTCGTATTTAGAGGTTGTAATCACTGTGCAAATCTTTCAGTCCACTCTCTGGCGGTTTTGATGGCATTTTGCTCGTTATTTTTCCATTCCTCAGCCACCTCGTTCGCTAGTGGGTCGTCTGGGTTTGGCGAGCTCAGAAGTGCTTGGATGGACAGCAAAATGGTGCGCACTTGCAATGCTGGAGACCAGTTGGCCTTTAGGACGTCGAGACAGATTCTTCCCAGTCTGTCAATGTTCGGATGGTATATTTTGGTCAAAAAACGCACTTTAGGGGCCAGCATTGGGTAGTCGTCCGGCAGAAACAACTCCAGCTTGAATTTGCCTCCCTCGTATGGCGAACCGGAGGGACCGTCGATGGTCACGTTGAAGTAGCGCAAGTTGCCTTCATGTGGCACTGCTGTGATACCCGGCACGGGGTCTGATACTAGCCGTTCAGTTTCCTGGTATTAGCACGTGAACATGTTTGTTTACTTACTCTAATAATTCTCTTTGGAAGTGACATGATAAGAAAATAAAGATTACTTCTTTTTAAAAGTGGAGTTTTATTAGAAAAACAAATTACCAAATGGTACAAAAAACAGTTAACGGACGATTTAACGTTGTGGTCATCGGAGTTCTAGGCGGGTTTCTCATGAGCTTCTATGTTCTTAAAGAATATCAGCTCATCAAATACACACCGCCTAGTCCGGAGAACTTCGATGAAAACGGGAACTGGAAACACCCCTCCTTTTTCAGAATCAGATTTTCAGATCGTATTGAGCCCTTACAACCCAAGCCGAGAGCTTCGCAACTGGAAGACGATTCGACAGACCCGAAAACCCCAAGATCGTAGATCCAGCCTGTTGCAGCACTATTGCTGGCGTTGATTCATCATCATCTCCTGTTGACTCTTGTACTGGGGGTTAATATACTGCTGCTGTTGTTGCCGCAGTTGTTGCGACTGCTGTTGCAAATACATCCGCCGCCTCATCATCATCTGCTGCTGTTGCTGCGGAGTCAATTGCATGTGTTTATCCTGCTGAGGAACGACCCCTGCAGCCAGCTGCTGGGCCTGGTATTTAGCTTGCATCTGTGCTTGTTGCTGCTGTTTCTTGGCCTGGGCAAGTCTGAGCTGCTGCTGCTGCTGAGCGAGCAGCTGGGCCTGGGCCGAGATTTGCGAATGAACATCAACGGCACCCTGGGGACTTGGCTTGGCCATAGGTGCGGCCGACCGCACCTGCGTCGAGGGTGCCATCCGTTGATGCTGAGACCGCACAGGGAAAACGTACTCAGTGGTTTTCTCTGTGTCCACGACCGCAGTACGCCCTTGCATTTGTCCCAGCGGATTGGACGGCATTCTAGGCAGTATAGCACCAGCAAACATTTCTCTCATGCGAATAAATGAGTTGCGTATTTTAGTAGGCATTATCACTTTCCGCTCCAAAGGCCATGGCGTCGATCTCGTCACGCCATCCAAAACCTGATGTGTCTCCTCTTCGTCGTCCAGCGGAACAGACGAACCATGCATAAGGTCGTCTTGAGCTTGCTGAGCAGCAGCAGCAGCAGCACCGATTTTAGCCTGGTTCTTGCGCTGATACGCAGCAAGCAGCTGGTCGTACGGCGCGCTTCTCCCCGGAACGGCTCGTTTGGCTCCCATGGAATGCGTCTTACAGGTCAAGGACCGCGCACAGAAACCACCGTTCGGCAGCGGGACACCACACTGTTTCTCCACATCAACAGGTCCCTTTGGCTTTCCGGTAATTTTTGGCTTGACGCTTTTCCTGACTTTCTTTTCCTTGGGCACTTTCGCGACTTTCTGCTTTTTGGACGCCCCGTTGGCACCGTTCATTTTGTTTTCCTCAACATCCGGAGAGTTAAGTGAGCTTGACAGATTTTCTGCAGCTTCGTCCAACCGCCGTTTCTTCATGGCGTTATTCGTAATGGCGGTATTGGATTTTTCTGCCGTTAAGGTTTTGTTACGTTTTTCCTGCTCGCAGCTCTTGAGATGATCTGCTAAATATTTCTCCAAGATAGGTCTGTCGCAATGGTTGCAAATACGATACACAACCGGTCTGGAGAGCGGATTTTTGGATTGTAGATCGCTGTTTTCTGAGTCAGAGGAACCAGGTGTGATTCTTTGTAAGCCCTCTAAATATGCACCGAGCTCTTTCCACTGAGTAATGTTTGCGAAAGAACTGCCAGATTGGGTATCTTTGGCAAATTCGGGTATCACTGGGTCTTCGCCAAAAACGTTCTGCTTCAATTCTGTGGACACCTCAATCGCAGGTCCAGAACTTGACATAACACTTTATCTATGGTCTTCGCTCCTATATTATTTCCAAGAGACAATTGCAATATTTTATCATGAACAATCGCGGTGATAGTTTACGTAATGGATTATGTAGTGTAGTATTTGCGTCCACATCACATCTCGCTGTCACCAACGAGTTGTCTGCCCAGGCACACTAGCTTGTGGCTGACGCTACTCTTTAGTTCATAATCTAAGTCTCGCACATCGTAATCAATGGCATCGTCCACTAGTTGATGATAGGAGTTATCTGTCATCGATTTTGAAACCAGGGACGGTTTAGTGGTCGAGCCAACGTGCAGCCGCAAGAACGCAACCAGCGAGCCCACAGTCTGCCTGCTGTGGAGATCTCCATCAAGCTTATCCAGATGGTCACCCAAGACGGTTACCGCTCGCAAGACGCTGATTAACGTGAGCAATGAAACTGTCTCTGTCGACTGCGAAAGGCTCAAGTAGCGCACTAAACGGCACGCCTGGCTCACCTGGCCGTCTTCAAAGTAGTGCAGCATCAACACACAAGCGAGTGTGAGCCTTGTTTCGTCGTTGGCAAGTTTTGGGGGCCGCAGAGGCTGGTGTGCAAACTGAAGAATTTTTGAAATGGTTGGATCTTCAACGCCAGACTCGTCTTGTTGCACGGGCTCGATCTGCTCAATTGCTTCGCTAAACTCGACCACATCCTTCACGGCGCCTATTGCCGCCTCGAGAGTTTTCCGGGAGTTCTCGGGCGTTGGCTTCAGCAAGCTGTTCAGGACAATTCTTAATCTTTGAAGCTTGACGCAGGCAGGCGGTATCACTAGGATGTCTGAATTGATTTTCTCATAAATTGTGTCTGCATCCATTTGCGTCTCGCCTGACTCCTCGGACTCGCTTGTAGATTCGGCGAGTTGCCAAAGGTACTCCTTCATGAGCTCGTTCAAAATCTGGGAGGAGCGAATGGCACAAATCAGATTGATTAAAGAGAGATCAGCGTCCTCAGAATTCCTGAGAAACTCCTCAATGTAAGAGCCGTTGTTGTTGGTCTCTCTCCACTTCAGCACATCGATCAGTTTTTCAAATAATTCTTCGCTATCCAAGAATGCGATATCGTTACTCACGAATTTGAGAATGCGACTAGTCTCGTCAGAATACTTGCTGGAGTCTTTGACTTGTTTCAAATGTTTCACCATTTCTAGCATTAAACTGTCCAGCATTCGCTGAAGTCCTAGGATGCTGTTCAGAGGCTCTCCCACTTTCATCATCACCATCTTTGCCACAATTAACCTGTTGAAGTGGAACTGGATACTAGAATCAGATTTGACTACCTCAATGATGCGGTCATCGATAGCAAGCGACCGAATATAATACTTGAAAAACGGCCTCCAAATAGTGCTGTAGGACATCGCTTCCTGATTCGAGAGTGTGTTGACGAGCCACTTTTCAAAGTACAGGTTCAACGAGTTGATACTATTCAATTCGTCCGTTAGATCAAGCTTCAGAATTCTGAGCTTGATTCCCAGCATTTTCAGCGTATCCAGTGCCAGTTCCCCGAGATTAACGTCAAAAGCCGTTCGTATTGGTGTTGGAGCCTTTTTCTTAGGAGCTGCTAAAAACTGGTACACGGGTTGCAACAGCAAAAAGAGTCCACCAAAGAAAAGTATCGTCCGCAGATAATTGAACACCACAGATGCCTGAGGAGAGTCAATAAGAGGGAAAATACGATGCAACGGGACCAAAAACAGTCCCTTGAAGCTATCGTCGCTGAAGCCCTCAAACAACTGTGTTCCAACCATAGCTGTCATTCCTCCCATAAGAAGTTTGGAAGCAACAGGAACAGAAGATGAATTCATCACATAGGATTGGTTTTGGCTCCCGTGTTGATTTTGCTGAGGCTGCTGTTGCAGTTCCGGACTGAAGTATTGTGTTTGCTGGTTATAGTTGTTTGCCATCTGGTTATCAAGACTAGAGCGGAGCATGTGGATCTCGTTCATTAAATACGCATTTTTGGACTCCAAGTGGCGAATGTACTCCGTAGCTTTCGCGAGAATGTTGGCCTTGTTCAGCTTCAACGCGGGCGTAAGTCCGTCCAGGTCTGTAGCTGCTATTCGTCTGTCTCCGGATGCGGCCCGCAGCGACGGCACTGCGTCACGGAGCTCGAGAATTTTGTTATTGATGTTCATCCGATATTTCTTCTCCACCACATTGTGCGAGTGCCGTTCTTTCTTCGACTTGGTGACCTTTGAGTTGGTGGTCGCCCTTTTCGCATTAACCGAGGACGTTTCGGACATGGAGGTGAACGAATCCGGGGACGATACCATAGGCGCAGACTCGTTGTTGGAATCTGGAGTGATCTCAGCCGCCTGCGGAATATATTTCTGTTGGAGGGCGCCATAATCTATCCAGTCATCAATCTCATCCTCAATTTTGATATCGGTTTTCCTGTAATCGTCAAGTCCTGAAGAATTCTCAAAATCCAGCAAATTAGTCGGGTTCGATATATCTGATTCAGGCCGATCAGTGTTCAGCGACGACAGAAAAGCTTCTGTATCGTCAAAGTTATAGCCCAAACTCATAATGTTGGCAACTATTCCAGGCAACAAAATCTCTACCGGTGTGCTTACCTAATATTGACAGATATCTTAATCGGTTCAGTTGCAGATAGGAGCGGGCCGGGTAAGAGGTTTGATTTTGGCAGCCTGTTTTTTTTTTATTGGCCTGTGGAATTCTCGAAGCTTCCGCCACCGACGGGTTAAAATACTGCCACCTCCGTGGTGAAAAATCCGGAGCGCTGGTGCACGCTCGCGGGCACTAGTTTTTTTTTGTGTGGCGAGAACCGGTGCTCATCCTGGTGTATTTGTTTTGTTGCCCGTACGAGTAAATTTCTTTTATTCTAAATTTTAGAACCCATAATCATACATGTCGTTGAAGAGAATCAATAAAGAACTCAGTGATCTCGGTAGAGACCCACCTTCGTCGTGCTCGGCAGGCCCTGTGGGTGACGATCTGTACCACTGGCAAGCGTCGATCATGGGTCCACCAGACTCGCCGTATGCGGGCGGAGTGTTTTTCCTTTCGATCCACTTCCCTACAGACTACCCATTCAAGCCTCCTAAGATCTCTTTCCAGACGAAGATCTACCACCCAAATATTAATTCCAATGGAAACATCTGTCTCGACATTTTGAAAGACCAGTGGTCTCCAGCGCTGACAATCTCCAAGGTGTTGCTGTCCATCTGCTCGTTGCTTACAGACGCTAATCCGGATGATCCTTTGGTGCCAGAGATCGCCCACATCTACAAGACCGACCGTGCAAAGTACGAGGCCACAGCCAAGGAGTGGACCAAGAAGTTTGCCATCTAGGCGATGTAAGTAGGTAATAAAGCATATGACGAGCGAGCAGCCCGACATTGATTGTTCTGTAAAGTAGAGAGCAACCTCAGCGTATCATTGTACTGCCCACGATATATTCGTAACTCATTAAATTTTCGTCGCGTCGATAGTCATTTTATAATGGATAAACCCAAGTTCAAGAGAAACTACCTGGCATGCTTGAATTGCCGCACCCGCAAAGTCAAGTGTGATTTGGGATCTCTGGAGGCTCCTCATGATCCACCCTGTGCCAGATGCAAGCGTGAGCGCAAAGAGTGTGTTTTTGCAGAGAGCCGTCGCCGTGGATCAGGCAGAGTTCGCCAGGCTTCCCCTGTGGACTCGCGGCCGCCCACCTATGCTGCTAGTTCACGCTCCTCCTCGCGACTGGCCGCTATTGGCTCTGGAGATTCCATTTCCAGCACTCCTGTTGATGAGAGCGCAAATACAAGCAACTCAACAATGGTGTTTTTGGCCCATATCGCGGGCAACTTCGCCAAAGCCGACGAACGGGACAAGATCGATGCGTACGAACGGCTCCAGAGCCTGGAAAACAAGGTCGCCAGTCGTCCGTCGTCAGAGTCGCCGTCCAGCGAGAGACGTTCTTTCTCAGAGACTGCAGATTCGGCCAAGCTCCCGTCCAGTGCGTCCACCGACTCGCTGGCAGCAGGCAGCACGTATCCGTCCTCGCGTAAAGAGTCGTTTGGTCATGACACCAGTCTGCACCCGCTGCTGAAACAGAGCCGGCTGCAAATGCCTCCAGTGCGGTCGACGCTAAAAATCCGGCCCAGGCCAACAGCCAGGCTGGAGGACATCGAGTACATTGGCCCAGATAAGGTGTTAACGAGCGACGAGGCCATACGACTGATCCGACTATTCTTTCTTACGATGCATCCATTTTTCCCGTACATTCCTGCCGAGTTGCAGGACCCACAGGTGCTCCCTGGCTACCCTATGTTATTGTGTTCTATCCTGACCATTTCGTCACGGTACCATCCGCTAGAAGCCCAGAACCGACATATCGAGATTCATGAACAGTTGTGGGTCTACTGCCAACGACTCATCAGCATGACAGTCTGGGGAGAGTCGAGTAGCAGAAGCATCGGCACGCTGCTTTCATTTCTGCTATTTACGGAATGGAACCCTCGAGCCATCCATTTCCGCTGGAGCGACTACGCTAATACGCCAGAGGATGAGGCCCAAGAAGAGTACACAGGACTGAGCGCCATGAAACGGTCTGAGATCATGTCCTTTATGCTAATTGGCACAGCCACAAGACTCAGCTTCCTGCTGGACGAGCACCCGTTGACGTTCCTCGCGACGCACATTTCTGAAACACTTTCGGCAATCAATTTGAACAAACGGTCAATGCTCGCACAGACGCTGGCAGAGGTCGACATTAACGATCCGAGCTTCGATTTTACGCCATACCAGAAAGCCACCATCGAACTGCTGCAGTTCACCTCGCTTTGCTACGAGTCGCTGTATGTGAACAATCCGAAACTGGGAGCTCTTGATAAGCACCAGAACCTTGCTGTGCTTGACATTTTGTCCCCGCTGCTAGAAAATTGGTACAAAAAGTACCACAAGCTGCTTAAACCGTCGTCGGCACATAATCTGCATCAGAACTATGCGGATTGCATTTCCGACGCCAAAGTACACAAAGAAATACACCATCAGGTCGAAAAAGAGGCGCTCATTTTAGATTACTACTACGCAAAGTTGTATCTCTACTCATTGGCTTTGAACGATGACACATCCATGAACATCACCAACAGCTCGAAAAAGGGCCGCAGTCTGCGATTGGACGAGCTTGCCAAATATTCCAGATACGTGGAGCTCGCATACAAGGCAGCAAAAGAGGTGCTTGCAGTGATGCAGCGTGTAAACAAGCTGAGGCTGCTCAAGTACATGCCAGTCAGATGGGTGATTCGCGTGATCAAGGCGGTAGCCTTCATTGTCAAGTGCTATCTAACACTAACGACAGATGGGAAAACAGACCTCCTGCAATCGGACAAGTCCACGAGCGAGATTATACGATTGAGTGTCATACCTGTTGAGGAGATAATTTCGTTGCTGCAGAAAACAGCTATTTGCTTGAGAGACGCCGCTCCGGACGAGCTTCATCTTTGCACGCGATACTCTACCATTCTAATGTACCTGTGCTCGCAATTCAAAACCAAAGCAGTCAAGACCAGAACAGTTGTCGACTATGAAGACGAAATTAACCGCCAAGCCCAGAGCGAGGAACAACCTCAGAACCCATACATGGAAAACCAAGAGTATCCGCACCCAAATAACCTTGACCAGCAAAGTTTTGACGACTATTTCACGGATCCCTCTGAAACTCTCTTCAACTGGTTCTCCGAAAACAACAACCCTGGCCTGGACTTTGTGGACCAGTTCACCAAGGAAATAGAAAATGAGTTCCTGAAAACGGGGCTCAGTAAATAGACTAGTTGACCATTTTCTTGAAAAAGCGTTTTAATCCGTTCTTCTTCTTTTCTCTGTGCTGCGGGTTGGATCCATTCGAAACGGCCGTCGACATTTTTGAAACTTGTGGAGACACCATGCCGTTTGCAGGTGACGTAACACCATCGCGGGGCTTGAGAACCGGTGAAGAAACTTTTGATAGTTCTTTTCGAGGAGGAGCGATACTTGGATTGATCTTATCGTCGATTTCAGTGTCTGTAGAATCAGCAGCCGTAAACGATGCAGTGGAGGATATCATGCTAGCAGGGTTGGAGGGGAATTGCACGCTGGCTGACACAGAGCCCCGCTTGAGATTCAGCAGTCTCGAGTTTATTTTTTCAATGAATCCGCCTTCATTGCCGTCTCCGTTTTCCTCGTGCGGCGTCCAAATAGCCGGCGGCTCAGAGTATTCGCGTGGTATCTTGTAAGTTCCGGAAGAATTAAGATCGTACCAATAATATTGCGTGCCGATATCCAGATAGGCAGGATCAGTCGGTAACACTTCATTATCCGTCTTTTTCCCGCGCGAACTGGACCTGGACACCGAAGAGGTCGACGCTGTCTGGGGCGGCGCAAGTGGTGGCACCTGGATGGTAGCAGCCGGTGAGTGTTCTGATTCTTTCGCGGGCTGATCGATGGTGATTGGCGGCGGTGCCCCCGCAGACTTGAGAGAGAGGTGTGACATCTGGGACACTATCGAGCTTTTGCGAGCAGCCAGGAGTGAGCTATTGGGCATGCTAGATTCACTGTCGGAGTTCCAAAGCTTGTCTCTGGCGCCCCGTGGAGGCCTGATGGTGCTTTCGTCGCCACTGGTGGCAGTGCCATAGTAGTCAGAATCAAAATCCTCTTGTAGCTCCACTATTTTGTAGAACAGAATATAAGGATCTTCTTGGTCCATGGCTTCCTGGAACGTCACTTCCTTGGCTTTCTCCTCCTTGTCAAGCACGTCGTTGAACAGAATCCAGTTCTTTTCATCTGAGGGTATCGAATCTTTCGGATTGTATGGGTGTTTGCGGACCAACGAGACATAGTGTCCAGAATTCACAGTTTTACCCCGGTGGCAAATGCAGCTTTCCAGAACCAGCATGAACGACCCGGAAGGCGCCTTGTTGTCTGTATTTCGACTAAAATCGACGTATCCTGGCTTTGTGCTGTCCTCGGCGATAAAGTACGGATGCTTGATCACCTCGGGAATCACCACCTTGCGGTTAATCTTGTGCGACTGACCAGTTTCATCCCAGCCATATTTCTTCAGACAGATAGGGATAATTGGGCGTTTCTTCTGGAACCGGTCCTCGAAATCTGTCAGTTCGGTGTCATCCGCAGATGATGCAGATGACTCCCCGGTTAGGCTTCTAGTCATTCCCCTAAATGACCTTTCCGAGCTCCGTAAGCGGAGTTTCACCTTGGGGCTGGTATAGTAAGGCAGCAATTGCAAGAACATCCAGGCAGGCAATGTGACTTCGTTGTTGGAGACCGACGATGCTCTGCGTGTGAGTCTAGTTGGATTTGATATCATGACGTTGTTCAGAACTGAGGCGATTGTCGAGGACCTTGTTCTGGATGCCTCCATCCTTTCCGACAGTCTCAGGAATGAGGAGACCGCAACTGTGCGGTCGCTGGTCGACTCCGTGCAGGTGACAGTCGAGTTGCTGAGTGCAGTACTCAAATCTGCGGAGGAAGTCGCAGATTCCTGAGACGAAGAACGTTGCAGCGGTTCCTCGTTGGAGGTGACAATTCCGAGCTTCTCGTAGTATTGCAAATCATGAGTGATTTCATTTCTTGTTTTCTCGTCTATCTGGTCGTCTCTATCCAGCGTACGCCGCCTCTCCAAGTGTCTGCGCACAGTGATGCTATTATTGAAATACGAGTTGAGACACTCCTCCAGGGAAATCGAGGCGCCCTCCTCCTTGTTTTCCAAGTCAGCGTTGGTGTCTTCGGGGATAGAAATTAGTAATGCGCGCTCTTCGATGAGTCTCATGTCATCGTTCACGTTGAGTTGTCCGGAGTGGATGATGTCCAATTTTATGGTGAGCAGCGGGAGAGACAGCGACTCGGCAAGAAATTCAAACAGCTGCAAAGCATCCTGCTGGTTCTGGCTCAGTACCATCTCGCAGCCTAGGCTGCTCAGTGAGAAGCAAAGCTGTTTCATCAGAGGATGGGGAATATATTCGCCTCCTCTAATTAAATTAACAATAAATCGAAGCATGACTTTGAAATCTTTGACTTGTTGCTGTAGCTCGGGAGACAGGCTTTTGTCGACGTAGCAATCCAAAAGGAAGTCAAAGCTGTCGCTAGAATAAAACATGGATATGAGTAGGGAGTCCATATAGCACATGACATTTTTCCAATTGTCCATTCCCACCAATTTTATCTCCTTTTGTTGGTCACGGGCGTGGAATCTATACTGGCCACGTGTGGTGACCAGGCGCCCTTGGCACGACAATTGCCAGTATCTATAGTAGCGGAAAAGCGTGCACACGGTGTTTGGCGTATTTGTGGTCAGCTCGAGTAACACTATGAAACTCGCTAGCAGACGCTGTGTATCCTTGTGGAGAGTGCGTTTATGGTCATAATACAACACCGGTGGCGTCACAGATTTCAAGAGACCCTTCTGCTCCGGCGTGAGCTTGATAGGGAACTTCTTATGGTCTCTATTATCCTGCAAAAGCGCCCCCGTGTAGTTTGGGGGAGGTTTCATGGTGGAATAAAAACGACAAATTTCCACTTTTGTTAAATTATTTAATTTCTTATCGTCATTCGTTACACACATAAAAAAGAGTTAATCATTCAGCACTCGCGTTTCCAGAACTCAGTCAGTTGTTTTTCTCTCCAATCCATCGACATACTCGACCACGATTCTAGTCTCTGCAAGAGTTGCAGAATAATCGAATGCTCGTGAGCCGAGGAGATCAGCTTTCCGGCGATCCAGATCGCCTGGAGCGACAAGATCTGGCACCCGAGACTCCGTGACGAAGCGCTCTTCATGTTGCACACGTTGATACCGATGATCTGCTTGGCGTGCCAAATCTGAGACCGCGACATCAGACTGCTGGTCGAGACCGACTCGCCTTGCTCCGTTTTGATGGCACTTTGGAATAATGTGTCGGGGGTCCTTTCTTGTTTTTCTGGCTCATGTAGCTTGACGAGCCGCGGCTTTGTCTGGAGCATCAGAATACAGCATGTGTGGAACAGTTGGTTGGCACAAAGGGCCGTCGAGCTGCTGAACAGAGTCTCAGGGAACGAGTTGTCTCTTTTAAAACAGAAGCCGCGCATGTTGCTCGATCGGGCGCGTTCCCAGTCGCCCAGCTGCTTCCAAAGTGACTTCCAGCAGCTGTCGAATTCAGACTGGTCATCGTTCGAGCTGACCAGCTGGAAGATCTGGCATGACAGATACAACATGGATTGCAACGCAGTGCCAGTCTCGGTCGGACTCGAAGGGGCGTCGGTGCCAAACCAGTCCTCAGGACGAACAACGGTCTTTCTGTCTCCAACGGCGCAGCAGCCGATGTCTAGCGCGGCAAAGCTCCAAAATAAAGCTTTTTCCAGCTCTGTTTCTGAGCGTGCGTTGATATGACAGACTTTGAGCATGGAGCCGCAGTTCTCGAGTCTCGAATGCCAGGAGTCCGGATTTGTGCTCAGAATCTCAAAATAGCACAGCAGGACACACGTGGCAACCACCTCGAGAGTGTTTTTGTCGGAGTTCAGACACATGCTAAGCTGTTGCAAAGAATAGGTATAGTACTGCAACGTTTTTTCGCCCGAATAATCGGATCTGACTTTCTCAAGGTGTCGGGAGGCAAGTCCCAGGATAGCGTACTTTAGGGAGGGAAATCTGTGTGCGAGCTCTGGGATTTTGGTCATAAAAATGTTACATTGGGTCTCGTCGGACTTGTTGAGGAAATGAGCAATTTGATCAATGTACGTTTCCATCAACAGCATCATCTCATGGTCGTCGATGGAAGGAGCCTCCATGGTAGACTTGTCAGTGAAGATCTCGAAAATGGTCTCGTTGTTGGGCAGTTTGCTACCGGAGGTGCTATCCTTGGTAGCGATGAAGAGACACATGAGGTCGTTGAGCGTGTTTGGCAGGTCGTAGTAGTCGAGGCCGAATTTGCTCTTTTTCTGCGGCTCTGCAAACGAGTAACGATGCTCAAAGTCGGCGTCCTTTTTGGCAAGAGACATGTCGGACGAGACGGAGGATGCGGTCGAGATTTTATCGTTTGAGCCCGATGACAGTGAAGGGTTCATGCTATAGCTTTGCAGCGTGTCAAAGTAGCTGAGCGAGCTGGCCCCAAAGCTCGGAGTTCTGGTCAGCTGGCTTGGCAGCTCCTGTGGAGCGTTGAAGAGACCCGACAGGGGCGACTCGGACGTCTCGAGCAGAGGGTATGCTGTTGTGAGAGGTGCGTCGAGATACTCGTTTTTGCGCGAATAGCCATCAAATGCGCTGAGATAGTGGTCGGCGACGTCGAGCGAGTAGGCCTTTTTGCGTGTGCGCGGATCATCTGGACCGAGATGGTAGTCTAGTGGGGACAGGGAGCTAGACAGATCAAAGTCTGTGGGCTTGCGGAACCTGTCGCGATGCTTGCTTTGGCTGAAACAAAAGTCCTTGAACGAGTTGTTGACAAAAACGTTCTTCTTGACTTCTTCTGGCCAGACACATTCGAGCCCCTTTGCGGTGCAGAAGTCGCACTTGGGCCGGTTTTCGTCGCACTTTTTGTGTTTCCTGCGACACGTCAAACACCCTGTCCGGACCCTCCGTTTGGCCGGAGGGGTCTCTTTCTTAGGCTTGCCAGACCTTGCGCGCTTCGGTCTTGGGTGGTCGTCGTCTCTGGAAATGGACATTTTTGGAGCAAAACCTGAGCAAATCGCCTGCTTTTATATATCAGAGTGGTCACTCTTCTTTTGAGCTCAGACTGCATACTGTTCCTCGACCGGCCGATGGCACATCAATATACTGTGGGGGGGCGAGGTTTTTGTTGATCTATTGTTGCCTTATTGTTGGTCAGAGAGGGGAGGCTCACGCTTAGACCACTAGAAAACAGATCGCTGTCGAGGAGGAGATGGAGAGGGGCGCATGCGTGGGATTGCGATGTTGCAGAGTATGGTTCCTAGAGCGATTGTTGCCTAACAATTCCCCGCTGTTCGGAACGCACCAAAAAAATGGATCCGATGCATTCTATTTGGTATCGGCAGCAACCCCTTGTCCAATGGTTTCTGTTCCGTGCGAAATATCCGTGTGGGGACAGAGGCACGCCGCCAAACAGTCAGTCCCGTGCGGCTCGACAGTTTCTGACGCAAGTGTGAAAGTTTTATTTGTGGGGTTATTGTGGGGTGGCATTCACAGACAAAGAACTTATTCATCTTACTTAATCAGAGCTTATTTACTTTATCGTGGTTAGGCTTTTCCTTCAGGTCCAGGAAGTCGTGGAGCAGCAAAGGGTCTCTTTGGCACGCCCGGACGTACGCTTCGACCTTCTTGGCAATCGTTGCCGGGTTGTATCCAAAGTACTCGTAGATCACTTCTGGAGGCAGAGACTTGCCGTACGTGTTCATACAGTAGGACGCCGTAGCGTATCTCTCCCAGCCGAACGCAACGTGGCCGTCCACCACCACCGTTGGCACCTGTCTGCCGTCCTTTCTCAAAACCGAGCGTCTATAGCCGATCGACTGCTCGTCAAACAGCCGCGTGCATGGGATGGAGAGAACTCTGGTCCTGAACTTTCTGCCCAAGATCTTGGCGGCCTTGTATGCAAACTCCATCTCTGCACCAACTCCAATAATCTGCACCTCGGCGTTCTCCGCATCCTCCAGAATATAGCCGCCGCGTTGCGCCTTCTCTGCGCTCGACTTGCCAGGGTATTGCAGCACCTCGTTTCTCGAGAGCGACAGAATCGAGCTGAATGGCAGCTCGACGGCTTTTTGGAACAGGCCAAACACTTCTGCAGAGTCGACCGGTCTCATGTAGTAAATGTTTGGCATGGCCCGGAACAATGCTGGCGACTCGACCGGCTGGTGCGTAGGGCCGTTCTCACCCTCATTGATCGAGTCGTGGGTGCCGATGTGGATCGCCTTGAGCTCCTGCAGGCCGGCCATTCTGATGGCTGGGGCAGCGTACAGGTAGAACATGAAGAAAGTCGACGTGATCGGCAGGAACGTGCCCTTGTTGTAGGCGGCAAGGCCATTGGCGATAGCACACATGGCGTGTTCTCTGATTCCGTACTCAATGTATCTGCCGGAGTAGTCGCCGCTCAGGCCACACTGCGTGGACAGCGAGGGGTCCATGAAATATTTCACCCCTGGCCACTGCAAATTGACAGACACAGACAGGTCTGCGCAACCGGCAATCACCGACTTGCAGTTCTGCCCCAGGGCTCTCACAAGCTCTCTGGCAGCGGCCCTTGTAGGAGCGTCGCCGGTGAATTCCTGCTGCGGCAGGAACGACTTCCAGTTCTTTGGCAGCTCGCCTCTCATCCGCGCCAAAAACTCCTGGCCCTCCTCAGGGTACGCCTTGACGTACTTGGCCACGAGACTCTTCCATTCGGCCACCAGCTTGTCGCCCTCGGCCGGCTTCTCCTTGAAGAAGTCGTACACGTCCTGCGGAATGTAGAACTTCTGGGCCGGGTTCATGCCGTACTTGATTTTGAGCTCGCGCACACCGTCCTCGCCCAGAGCGTTACCGTGCGCAGCACAGTGGTTCTCGAACGCAGCACCCGATCCAATCACAGTTCTGCAGTTGATAAGTGTTGGTCTGTGCTTCTCGGCCTGCGCGTACTCCAAGGCCTTGACAATGGTAGCCACGTCCTCGGAAGCGTTCTCGACCTCGATCACGTTCCAGTTGCAGGCCTTGAACTTGGCACTGATGTCCTCCGTGTTGGCAATGTCAACACTGCCGTCACAGCAGACCTGGTTGTTGTCGTAGAGCACAATCAGATTGTCCAGCCCCATGTGGCCGGCCAGCGAGATCGACTCGAGAGCAGGGCCCTCCTGCAAGCACGCATCGCCAACCATGCAGTACACCTTGTTGGTGATGATATCAAAGCCCGGCTTGTTGTACGTGGCAGCCAGGTTTTTGGTGGCTATGGCCAGACCAACAGAGTTCGAGATACCCTGGCCGAGCGGGCCCGTTGTGACCTCGACGGCGTCGTGCTCGATTTCTGGGTGACCGGGACACAGCGAGTGGAAGTCATTCGAGTGGTAGGACTTCAGCTGCGCCATGGTCATCGACTTGAGACCGTACAGGTGCTGGAAGATATACTGGAACAGACACACGTGACCGTTCGACAGGACAAACCTGTCTCTGTTGAAGTAGTTAGGGTCGTTGGGAGCATATTTCAGGGTGTATTTCCACAGAGCAATTCCGATAGCCATGGCGCCCATGGCCGAGCCCGGGTGGCCTCCTCCGTACTGCTCGACAATGTCCAGGACAAGAGCACGACCGTACTTGATGATTCTCTGGTGTTGTTCGTCGTTGACCGACGCTGCTTTAGGGATTCTCATACTCATGGGAAGAAAAGACAGAGATGACTGTGTAGCAGACGGATGGGGGCCTATTTATAGGCCTTTTGGTGCCCAAGCACCCCATGGTAGCCGACGTGTTGTTGAGTGGCCCGTGAATGGCTGGAACGAGGCTAAATTGCACCCCTTTACAGGTATGAGGGGAGCGAGACGAGGATAGGCTATTTCACTAGAAAAAAAAAATAGTGCAGTGAGCTTGTTGCCAGTGTCGTCCGTTTCATCGGTTTCAGATTCCGCCCAGATTTCATTGGCCCTGTGTAGAGCCGGCAAAAAGGCTTGCGCAGGGTGGTGGCTAACCCAAGCAAGTGCTTGTTCCTGGGGTAATATTTTCCGATCGACGCGACGCCAGCGTCGAAACATGTCTGCTACATAGCCAAAAATATTTAACTCCCCGAAACGACCCTTTCCTCGACATGTCATGGGTTGGGTTTAAAAAAGCTGTCAATCGTGCCGGAGCACATGTGATACTACGCACAAACAAAGGTGAGCCCTCTGTTGATCCTGAGTTTGACGTCCAGGAGGCCAATTTCCGCAAACTCGAGACTTACACCAACGAGCTGGACCAGGAACTAGGCCGTTTTGTGGGCAATTTCGAGAATCTGCTCGAGACTCAGATAAATATGGCTAGAACACTGGACTCGTTTTACGGAGACTATAGCTTTGAGCTCAAGGCTGATAAGCGGTCGGAAGCTGCGGAAGCGGCAGAAGAGCACAAGGTGAACCCCAGAGATGGTATTTCTCTGAATTATCTGCAGATGGTGGAAGACATCAAAGACAATATTCTGCCAGAAATTCTGGAGCCAATGAGCATCACGGTCGTGGAGCCGATTAACGAGCTGAAGAAGTACAACGACGAGATCAACAAGCTGATCAAGAAGCGCGCACGCAAAAAGGTGGATTACGACGTTTCACGATTCAAGCTTTCGAAGCTGCAGAGCGAGTACGAAGCGATTGAGCGACAGGTGACCGAGCAGCATCACACCGAGAAAACAGACCAGTTACAGAAGAGCCTGGACAAGCTGCAGAAGTTCAAAGTTGAGTACGACGAGGCAGAAAATATCTACACGGACATCAACACACGGCTCAAGAACGAAATCGAGCAGTTCATTGCGCTGCGACTGTCACTGGTGGACCCTACCTTTGAGAGTTTCATCAAAATCCAACTCAAGCTGTATGGCGACATATATGCCAGGCTGGAGCAAAAGCAGCAGCAGCTGGATGCCATGACTGTTGAGGAGCATGAAGAGGACAAGCTTGACGCAAGGTTGGAGGAGATACTGTCCCGTATGAGAGCTCTAGATATTAAAAATTTATGAATGCTTAGATGGGCTCGGCGAAAATGAACTCCTTCAGCTCAGAGTACGCCTTCTCAAGGTCATCGTTGACAATGACCTTGTCGTGTCCACCTGCCCTGGCGTACTCCATCTCCGCAGATGCAGCAGCAAGCCGCTTGGCAAGAGATTCAGGGGTCTCTGTTCCACGGCTCTCGAGCCTCTTCTTGAGCTCTTCGATGGACGGAGGAGAAATAAAGAGGAATCGGGCTCCCAGGTTGGTCTTCTTGACGCTCTTGACACCCTGCATATCAATGTCCAAAATACACGTTCTCTTCATCACTTCGGCCACGTCTTGCACAGCTTTCACAGAGGTGCCGTAGTAGTTGCCGGAGAACTGGGCCCATTCAATGAATTTGTTTTCTTCAATCATCTTCTTGAAGTCCTCTACCGTGGTGAAGTGGTAATCGACACCGTCTTTTTCACCAGGTCTAGGTTTTCTCGTGGTGTTGGACACGGAAAATCCAAACTTGTCTGGGAACTCAGCAAACAGCTTCTTCAGCAAAGTGGATTTACCTGTTCCAGAGGGACCACTGATGACAATAGGCCGCCCAACCATGATGCTTATGAAATTATTGAACTAATTATAATAACAGCTAATAGATTTTTTTTTTTGTTTATGCTAATAAGTGGTATCGTTTCGCGCATTTCATTCACCTTTTTTTCTTATTCGCTGTTCTTTGAAATATGGCCTCCGCAGTTATCAACGGTGGGCTTTTTTTGGCCAAAAGAGGCGTTTTCGGTCCAGCAGCTGAATCATTGGCCAAGCAGGTGGATCCAGCGGACCCAATAGATGAAGAGCCCATAAGTGATAGTCCCGATACAGGGCTCCCTTCAGATGACAACCTAGATGAGACAAACCCAATGGCAGAGGAGATTTTCTCCTCTTGGGCCCTCTTCATTGTTCTGTTTTTGCTGTGCTCCGCATTATGGTCGTCGTACTATCTGCAACAGAAACGGATCAAGGCCATTCATGAAACCGTTCTTTCCATATTTTACGGCATGGTGGTTGGTCTTATCATCAGAATCAGTCCCGGCCATTACATTCAGGACGCAGTGAAATTCAAATCGAGCTACTTTTTCAACATTTTGCTGCCGCCCATTATTCTCAACTCCGGATACGAGTTGCACCAGGCAAACTTCTTCCGAAATATAGGGTCCATTCTCACTTTTGCAATCCCTGGAACATTTATTAGTGCGATGGTCTTAGGTATCATCTTGTACATCTACACGAAATTGGGCATTGAGAGCATCGGTATGTCATTTGTGGACGCCTTGGCTGTCGGTGCCACGCTTTCTGCCACGGACCCTGTCACCATTCTGTCTATTTTCAACTCCTATAAAGTCGATCCAAAGTTATACACAATCATATTCGGCGAGTCGCTTCTGAACGATGCTATCTGTATCGTCATGTTCGAGACATGCGAGAAGTTTCATGGCACCAGCGCAGAGTTTTCCAGCTTCTTCGAAGGAATTGGAATGTTTCTCATGACATTCACCATCAGCACCATTATTGGCCTTGTTGTGGGAATTCTTGTTGCTCTCGTGCTCAAACACTCCCACATCAGACGGTATCCTCAGATTGAAACGTGTTTGGTGCTGTTGTTTGCGTACGAGTCCTACTTCTTCTCCAACGGGTGTCACATGTCAGGAATTGTCTCACTGCTTTTCTGTGGCATCACAATGAAGCACTACGCCTATTACAATATGTCGAGACGCACACAGATTGCAACCAAGTACATCTTCCAGCTGCTGGCCCAGCTTTCAGAGAACTTTATCTTCATTTATCTTGGATTGTCGCTGTTCACTGAGGTGGAGCTTGTGTTCAAGCCCGTGCTCATCATTGTCACATTCATCTCCATCTGCATTTCCAGATGGGCAGCAGTGTTCCCGCTGGGCCGTGCCATCAACTGGTTTGCGCGCACAAAGGGAGCAAGACGCGGACTGGCGCCTACAGCTGTGCAGGACGAAATTCCATACAACTACCAAATGATGCAATTTTGGGCCGGTCTCCGAGGAGCCGTGGGAGTGGCTCTGGCCATGGGACTACAGGGCGAGTCCAAGTCTGCACTTCTGGCTACCGTCTTGGTCGTGGTGGTTCTGACGGTGATTCTCTTTGGAGGAACCACTGCCGGAATGCTAGAAATGCTCAATATCAAAACCGGCTGCGTAGAGGAAAATGCCAGCGACGACGAGTTCGACATCGAGGCGCCAAGAGTGCCTGCGCCAGCATCCACGTTCTACGGAAAGAATCCGAACGGAATGATCAGTAACAAGAATTTCGCCTCCGCCAGTGCCTCGCATTACACAGATAACGTGCCTCCACGGTCCAGAAACCCTTCCCAGGACGACCTGATGAGAGACACCGAGTTTGAAGATCACGCACAGCTGCCTGAAAACACTCTGGCCAGCTTCCCTGGCCCAGGATCGACCTCTGGAAACGCCGCGCGGCCTTTGCAGGACCAGCCAAGTAGGTCTCAATCTGGCCTCCTTAGCAACATCCTGAGCGTCGACGAACACGCTAAATGGTTCACCAACTTTGACGAAAACGTACTGAAGCCGGTGCTGCTGGATAATCTGCCGGCAAAGCAAAATGACAAGAAATAATCTTTCCAGCCTCTAATTAGACGGATATATATACTCACGTAAATAATCACCATTCCATTTTCTCGTCCAGCGCGGTGTCCGTGCACCATTTGGCAAACTTGAAGACGTCTGGAGCTAGTATCAGGTCGTTCAGTACAGAGTTGTACTGAACCACCAGCTTGAAAAAATAATCCAGAGCCAACTCGTTCAGCTCGCGGATGCAACAGCTGCCTGTATCTTTGGCAGGCGGATCGGAGAGAAACTCTGCTGTGGCTTTATAAAGACGAGTCAGAAGCGTGAGCACCTCAGTCAGCGTAGGAGTAACAACGTTCTTGCGGTCCTCGTGTTTGGCGTGTAATAACACCTCAGATATCACTAGCACTGCATCACCCACCAACACTTTATTGGGCACCCGTTTGGAAGCCTCACGCTCAATGTTGGGGAGAAATATGTCTTCCAGAAACCCTAAGTTGGACAAGACGCAGTCGAGCACCTCGCGCGTGTTCTTGCTGCGGGACTCCCTTTCCAGTTTCACAAGCAACTCTGGTTTTCTCACATTTTTTCCAAAACTTGTAATTTTGTCTTGAATCGTTTCCAAGAACGATTTTGGCTTTGGTTTCGGCTTTTCGGCAGGTAAGAAGAGCGAGTCCACTTTCTTGTCTGGTTTGTCCTCGTCTACGGGCGATCTAGAGGAGCCCGAGTTTCCAAAAATGCTGCTTTTCTGGACCGGGGTTTGAATCACCTTCGGGATGCTCAGATCTGCCGTCACAGCCATAGACACGCTGCGGATCACGATCGAGCACTGCTCAAGAATGGAGGTCCAGTTCGTCGTGTTTTTGTAAAAGAATTTTCTCTCCTCTGCTGTCTGTGACATGTACACAATCTCCTGGAAAGCTGTGAGTCTCACAAACGGGTGCTTGACGTCTTTGAGACCGGAAAGAAGTGTTTCTAGCTGGTCTTCGGCGTGTGTGCTCAAAGGTTTCTTAACATTCAGGCACCCCACCATGGCATAAGCATTGTAGATTTCGTTCAGAACCTCGTAGAGTAAGATTGTGGTGAATGTGAGCAAGAACAAGCTAAAGTATAGTGATAACGAAATGGAGACTCTAGGAAGATGCGTGTTGAGACTCAGCAACCAAATGAATGGGAACAAGAGAGTGTTGAACATGAACTTTCTAACCATGAGGAATAATGGGGGCATAGCGAGAGTCACTGAAATGCTGAAAATGCTGGTCTCTTTCAAAATCTCCAACAATGGCAGATTCTTGAGGTATTCTAGAGGTTCGACTCTGTAAACACCAACCCTGAACTTCAATTGGTTCTTCCCTTTCGTGAGGAAGAGCACTGTGTAAACTAGCGTGCTGGTGAAGGCAAAAAACCAGAAATAAAGGAACTTATCGTTGACAAAGGGCTTGATAGTTTTTGTGGGGCTCTCGATATAGTACGACAGGCTGGCTGACTGAGACCATATGATACCATAGGTCACCACATTAGAGATCAAAAATGAAGACATGAGGGTGGCGAACTCTGCTGACAGCAGAGATCCGAAAACCTGCTGGAAAAGCGTCGAATAGGTGGTGGTCTCAACTTTCAAAGTGAGGTCTCTGGCAAACCTTATCATCATGAATGAGCACCAGAACAAACATACTTTCACGGGAAAAAATAAGGGACTGATTTTGAAGGGCAGGCTGACTATGATTGTGTATACGAGGGCGAGCAACAACGCCAGCCGTGAGTAAAACTTCATTCTCATGTGGAACACTTTGGCCAGGATCTTGGAGTAATTGTTTTGTTTCTTTAATGCATCTTGACTGGTTTTCTGTGTCTGAAGCGGAATCTGCCTACTCGGGAGAGATCCCAATCGACCTGCAAGTCGATCTCGATTATATATTGTAGACATGAATAAACAAGAAAAAAACCACCTTGATTTTTTTCCGTCCTGAGGAACGAGGTCGATCGTCTGGCACGACGCGTTTTGTGGACATAATAAATGCAAATATCAACTTGATCTCCTTTTTCGTTTTTTCTCTTGTCTCTTTAGATGTCTGGTCAAATATCGCGTGGCTTGCCGCAGAAGCAAGAGAATGTGAACGAGCCTGCGACTATTCCTTACACCCCTGAAGAGCTGGAGCGTCTCAAAACTGCGCTAGATCGTAAGTTGGGACCCGAATTTATCAGCATCAGAAGTGGGCCTGGCCAGACCAAAGTGAATTACCTGGAAGGATGGAAGGCCATCAATTTGGCCAATGAGATTTTTGGTCCTACGGGATGGAGGTCTGAGCTCCGTTCGTTCCAAGTGGACTACATTGACGAGCGTAATGGACGTGTTAGTCTGGGTCTATCTTCCATAGTTCGTGTTATTCTGAGAGACGGGACGTACCATGAAGACATAGGATACGGCTCGATAGATAATTGCAACAGCAAGAGCGCGGCATTTGACAAATGCAAGAAAGAGGCTGCGACGGACGGGATGAAGAGAGCGTTGAGACAGTTCGGCAACTCGCTTGGCAACTGTCTGTACGATAAAGACTATCTGAAGCGAATTTGCAAGGTCAAGCCCATTCCGCTGACTTTTGACGAGGACAAGCTAATGCGCCACGAAGAAAAGCCAAAAGCCATGTCTCTGAAGGAGCCGGAGCGAAAGCCTATGGTGGCAACCAAGCCGCAGTCGCACTCGATGCCAGCATTGAAAACGAGCGATCCAGCAGAAGACCACGAGAACTCCTTTAACGATTTTATGAGCGACGACTGGCCAGATGAGCTGGTCAAGACTAAGCGGGACGCACTGCCCGACTCGGAGCCCGAGTTCGACGACGACGACGATTTCGAGCCCCGTTCTTTGCAGCCGCCAGCTCCTCGCGGACGCGAGCTCAAGACGGGCAAGTCGCAGGAACTACAACGCGAAGCAGACTCCAGCAAGAGCAGCACTCCTGTCGCGCGCAAGTTGGATCTGAGCGCTCCATCCGCCACGCCTGGAGGGATTCCCGACAAGGTGGTGTTTGTGAGTGCCAAAGCAGCAGATAAGGTGAAGCTTGACCCCTCGTTACAGAATGGGTCCAAGTACGACGCTAGAAACACTCCTGACTCTCTGAAGAAATCAAGCTTTGTCAACCATAACAAGTCCACCCCGATCAAGCGCAGTTTGGTGCTTGATGAAAAGGAAAACAATGTTCCTTCGTCTGCCAAGCGTGGGAATTGGGCTAAATAGTATTTAATTCAGCTTCTCGGTTACAATATATTAAATTCGTGCAATCAAACACTGGCCTGTATCCCCGTTAAAACCATTCTTAATCAATAACGTATGAGATATAACGTAATGGTCACAATCATACCAAGCAGCCGTGGGTTTGTAAGACATTCTCGTCGTATTTGAAGTGTGCATCTCTCACAGAACTTCATTTGATACGGGTTGGGCACGTGATTTTGATGCAGCGAGAAATGCGGACTCTCGTACAGTATATTTTTCAGAGACTAACTTAGTATCTCTATAACCACATCAAGCTAAAATGCCGCCTCGTAGGGTAGACGGCAGCAAAGCTTCTGAAGCTCTTTTGGAAATTCAGCTGATAACAATACAGAACGTTGTGTCATGCAGCTCCGGATTTTTCAGAGAATGTCTCAAAGGCAAAATTGCTTGTGTAGGAAACGACCGGACTTGGCTTTGAGTTCTCGTGGTTATTTGCGGTTCCTTTCGAACCCCATAACGCAACCTCTCGCTCCACATCGACCAAGATGGACAACACTGACACTGTAGTGCATTACGTAATACTGGAATTGGGTGTTTCGAATTAAATTATTATTCTATGTACATCTGATCATGTTTGATTCCTTCAAACTCCATTATTCGCGGCTGCCCTCGTTTCAGCAGATCCAGGGCAATTCCTCAACGCCAGGTAGGATTTTCCTACAGATTGTGATTTTGCAAGTGTTTTACTATCTAACGGCGATCATCCTGTTCTTTGCCACGGCGCAGCTTCTAGGCTTGCCGTTTTCATTCAAATGGTGTTTCTCTTGGCAATGGGTGTCACTGGAAAACACTTTGGGACTCACTTTGGCAGCACTATGGCTATTTGACTCCTTACTGAGCGTGATCTTTATTACGATAATTATCGGGCGATCGAAACTGGCGTGGGATTACGCTCTCACGGTCCATGTGGTGAATCTCGCGCTAGTATGGCTTAACTCAGGATTCCCAACCAGCATATACTGGTGGCTGCTGCAGATCTGCAGCTGTGCGATCATGATCACACTGGGCACCTGGACCACTCGCTGGAAAGAGCTACGAGAAACGTTTTTTGAGGGCATGGCCGACACAGAGCTCGGCCAAATGCATGAGAGCGCTTCGACGAGGTCGACGGCAACTACGGCGGCCGAAAGAAAATAGACGTCTATTCATGGTATCTAAACTGTGTCAACAAGAGCGTTCTAGTTGGCAATTGCTGGACAGGAGATGGCACTAATAACGTTAGCTTCCCTTTTTCATCGTTACAATTTTGGACGTAGCAGAATCCCAAGGAGCTGCTATCCAGTAATGGCTTGATCAGGTTTTCGTCATCGTCGTTGGAATTCAGATATTTCAAGGTGTCGATCTGCGAATCGTCCATTAAAGACAGAATGGAGTTACTCAAGGTATCTGAGCCAGGGTTCTTGACTCGTTCTGCCAGCTGCTTGAAATTGACAGTTTCGCGAGGCGCCTCATCATCATCAGCAAGATCCCCGCTCAGAAACGAGAGGTTCACGTGTTCCGTCTCCTTAGGGCGCACAAAGATGAAATCTTTCAAGTTGACGGTGATGCTGTACGGACTCAGCTGGAGCCTGTCGATGCCGTAAAAGTATTCTTTTATCGACCGTTGCTGTAGTTCTCGCTCATACTTGTCGTCCTTGTCAACGCATCCGCTGGACTTGTTGAGTTTCAGCAGCGTGACTGCTGGGTTTTGCATTTTTTTCTTAAAGTCGACCAGCAGTCTTTCGCTTCCAACTATTAAAAGCACATTAATATTAAAGGATGCAACAATTTCCTCGATGATGTCGTACTCTTTGATTGTGAACGCGGGCGTGTCAACTATCACGCCTGATTTTTTCACCTTGAGGTCGTTATCAAGGCGTCTGCGCACAGACTTCCCCAACTGCTGGATTAAATACCTGTATAGTTTAACGTTATCTGAAAACTTTTCCAGTCCAAAAGTCTTGGCCAATGGTTGTTTCTGGTGGTAGAAAGAGGGGCCTGTGGCGACGCTTTCACCCAAGGCGACGTTTTCGACGTTCAGAAGATCGGAAATTGCAGTGGCGCTCAGGTTACCGGGAATCACAAACTGAAAGTCCCTGGGGTTCAGGTTGACCAGCATCGGTTGGTGGTCCTGTTTTTCTGCGTACGATGCTAACGTGCGGCAAAGAGCTGTTTTTCCCGAGTCCTTTCCTCCAATGACCAGAACACGCGGGCCTTCCACCACTCTCTGTTTTTCCAGACCCAAATGCAATGTTAGATATTGTCCAACACAGCTCTCCTCACTGACGTACTCGGACAACGGCTGGCAGTTCCAAAAATGCAGTTTACAGCCAGAATACGAGAAAACACACAGTTTTATCGAGCCCTGGAATGCGTACTCGATGTTGGGCGACAGCTCGGTTCCAAAAATCTCTGCTGTTCCGTCGACAAGTTTCAGCTTGAGCTTGTCTTTGGCAGCAACTTCAAACCGCCATTCCTGGAACGGTGGCACTTCTACAATGTTAGCGCTCTCGGACGACTCTGTTTTGGTTTTGTTGAGAATCGACTGCAGAATGGAGGGGTCGAAGGTAGCCATGGCAGAAGTTACACCTAAAAAAAAAAAAAATTAATTTTATTACATGTCTATATCGTCACGAAGAAAGGCTCTCAAGGAGTTTTACAGATTACAGGAGCAAACGCAGCAGCAGCTGGAGAATGCACAATTGAGCCACGAAGAGCCAGCCGAGGAGCCAGAGCTCACTTTGGAAAATGTTGACGACTTCATCCAAAACAGTGACTTCAAAAAGCTCCTCGAGACAGAAAATGAAATCATCCAGCAGTTGAACTCAAACGAGGCCGAGATCAAGTCGATCATCTACAACAATTATTACGAGCTGATCAAAATCAACGACGTGCTTATGGACCTTAAGTCCTGGAACGGCGAAGACGACGGCGTTGGGGAGAACCTCCAGAAGATCCGCAACAAAATTCAATCGCTTAGAACCCAGGACTTCCAACTGCTGCCCGAGCCGGTAGAGGTGAGGGGAGAGAAAGTAAGCAAGAGCATCAACAAATTGTTGCTGGACAACAAGATCGACAAGAAGACGGCCGACGCCATCGACGACTCGCTGCCGGAGCTGAGCGGCGAGAGCCTGCTGCTGCAAATGAATGAGCTGAAAAACAAGTAGTTTTTAATACTGTAATTAAGTGCGCACTAGTAACTTGAGGCTGTGTATATTTATTCCACAAGTTTATATTTTTGTTATGGACAGGCGACTGAGCAGGGCCAATTGGTCCACCAAGAACGCCAAAAAGACGTTCACTCCGGCAAAGATCTCGGCTCCGATTATAGAGAATGCTGATTCTGAACACTCTGCTCCCGTACAGAAGCAGCCACCGAAACAGAGACGGCCGCACAAGATCGACAATAGTGGTGTCAATAGGCGGTTTTCCGTGAAGCTGAACCCACAGGAGACCCAGACGGTTCAGAAGGCTGCACTCTCGCAATTTCCACCACTTCCTGAAGGAGCAGAGGCTGCTGTGAGTGAAACTCGCCAGCAAACAGCACTGGACTCGAGTGCACTACTGACTGATCTGTCCGCCGAGTCGTTCGACGCAGTGCCGTATGTGCAGGGGTATCTCAAAGACGCGAACGCCACAAAGATCGACCAGTTTGCGCGCGACCTGAGCGATCTTGCGTCATCCAACGACGGCGACGTCAAACATACCATCACCCAGTCATTTAATCAGGTGCTCACAGTTTCTCGCACCATGGTCGAAGCAGAGGGGGTATTGGAGGAGCTGAAAGGTCCTGCAATGAAACTCAACGAGATTTTGAGCTCGCAAGCTGAGGAAGCGCAGGAAAAAATGGACAACGGCAGCAACAAAGACAATAGACGTAGTGTGCTGTTGCTGGAGAAGAAGTGGGCCTCAAACCTCAACTCGCTGTTCAAGGAGGTGGAAGGTGCGCAGAAGTTTGTGTCTGCGATCCCGGGCCGTCACGTGGTGGCAGAGTCGAGACGCTGGGGCGAGCTCAACGCCATCACCTGCAAGCCGATTCGCCCGGCTCATCTGATCATTCTGAACGATCATTTGCTGGTGGCCACGCGCAAGCGCACGGGAGACAGAAAGAAGACAGTGGCCACACAATGCTGGCCCCTACGAGACCTGGTGATCTCCAAGGCTGCCAACGCGGGAGAGCACACGCTGTCGCTGAAGATCAACGGTATGGTGTTTCTTTTTCAGACCGACAGTCTGAACGAGTACAATAAGATTGTGTCGCATTTACGAGCTGCAAAGGACGAGCTTCCCAGCGCAACGGAGCTGGAGAAGGCCAAACAGAAGGATTTGACGGAAAGCGTGAGCAGGCTTTCCATGACGCACGAAAGACTCAGCAAGAACTCCGACTACCTCCACGACCTGACTACAAAGCTGAACCACCGAAGGTCGCGGTCGTTGGACTTGAACGACAAGAACTCGACACAGAACCTGAATACCGTCGACGAAGGACTTATGAACATAGAGCTGTATCTCGGACACCACAAATACGTGGAAGCCGTTGGCTTCCTGACCCGTGTGAGCGACCAGATCGACAGGCTTCAGAACCAGAGTCCCGACGAACAGTTTGCGCTGCTCCTCAAGCTGAAAAAGCTCAAATGGGAGAACCTCAAGGAGAGGCTGGTGAAGCTACTGTCTTGGGAGATCGGCAACCCGCTGAGCTCGAGCAGAGAGATCATGGAGACGGTAGATCTTTTTCAGATGATTCACATGGAAGAAAAGGCGCGAGATCTGGTGCTGGAGTCAAAGAGCAACCAGCTGGACAAGCTGGTGAGCCAGCTCAAGTTCGAAGGTGACGTGAAAAAATACATTCTGCAGATGTCTCTAATCTACTTCACCTTCATCAAAAACACGTATCTGCTGTACGAGCAGTGTTTCCGAGAGACGGGACAAAAGGTGATTTTTGTCGGGTGGATGAACGAGAAAATCGCCGCGTACAACAAGCTGTTCAGACGGCAACTAATGGACTACAGCGAGCAGTCGGAGCTCTACCGAAATTGCGTGAAAATTAGTCAGCTCCAGTCGATCAGCCTGCGCAAAATAGGCATCAACGTGGATCATTTATTGCTTACTTAAAGCCAGACAGCCATGGATGCTTCAGAATGTCGTTCATCGAGGGTCTTTTCGCCACGTCCTTGACCATTATCATGCGAATCAAGTCCACACACGATTCACTCACCTCATGGAATGACGGGAACTTGAACCCGCCGTCCATAATTTCGTCAACGTTGCAGAACGGGTTTTCTTTGAACACAAGGGTGTACAGAAGCACGCCCATCGCCCACACGTCCTGTGGCTTGCCCTCGTACGGCTGTCCATTGAGAACCTCCGGAGCAGCGTAGTCGATGGTCCCCACAAACACCCCGAACGGCCCGTTCTTGGTGTATGCTGCCGACCCATAGTCGATCAGCTTGACCACATAGTCCTTGTCGACGATGATGTTCTCGTCCTTGATGTCGCGGTGGACGACGCCGTGCGAATGCAGATGTGCCATGGCAGAGCAGCACTGGAAAAATATGTACTGGCACTCCAGCTCGGTCATGTCCGACTTGACCTCGATCAAGTCGAAAAGGTCGACCGCAGCCGGGTCGCCGTGCTGCGGCGTCTCGACATAGTAGCACCGGTCGTCCTCAAAGAAATCGACGATCCGCATCAGGTTGGGGTGCGGGTCGCTGTTTATATAGTTCATAATCTGTATCTCTGATGGAATCGTGCCCAGGTTTCTGTCTCTGACCCACGTGTCGACCAAAATCCGCTCTTTGAAAATCGCCTTGATCACCAGCCGGTACGCGGGATCGTTCTTGTGCTGTGCAAGCACCACCTTGCCGTACGCGCCCTGTCCAAGGTTCTTGATCACGGTAAAATCTGTGATTTTTTTCTCGCGACGAAGAAGCCCTATTTTCTGCGGGAAGTACTTGCTCTGCTTTCTTATCCGTGCAATCTGCGCATTTTCGCGCTCCAGCAGCGCGCGGCCCGTGCGAATATTCTCCAGCCGGAACTCCCCCAAACTCTCGGCGATGTCGTGGACATCGTGGTCGTCCATGTCCGTCTCTGTCGTTTTCTGCGAGCCAGTCGACACGGACTTGCTGATGGCTGACAGCGACGAGTCCGACGCAGCGTTCTGCTTCTTCAGGCTGTTCATCCGCTCCATCGGCTTGTTGGAGATCGTGTTCATGCTGCTGGACCGACTCAGCCCGTCTGAAGAGCTGCCACAAGAATGCAGGTCGTTCTCCATCTGCTGGAATAGACTCATCTGCGACGGCATCGACTCGTCTCCATTGGCCTCGTCGTCCTCGCTCTCCTCTTCGCTCGAGCAGACGCTGTTCGGGCGCGAGATAGACCGTCTCTTGCTGGTTGCACGCGAGTAAGTTATCCATAGCATGCAGTTCTCGTACTCCATCACGCGCAGCTGGACGTCGACCTTGACGGTACTACCATCTCTGTGGAGACCATCAATGCCAATGGAGTTGACAAATAGCAGATCCTGCTCCTCCTCCGACGAAGCCCGCAATATTGCGTCCTGTTTGCGGAAATAGTGTTCCGGCAGCACAAGGCCGAGTTGGTACATTATATTTGGGTTTTCCTTGAGGGCGAGCTCAAAAAGCTCTGAAAATGACGGAATTATGAGGTCGATGGACTTGTTCGTGATGTCAGATGTCCCAAAGAGATTCTTGGCTATGGCGTGGTTGAACGACACCACCTTGAGTGTTTTGGACGAGATGACAAATGCTCCCGATATATACGGCAGCGAGTGCAAGTTCACGCGTAGAATGCCGTCTTCTAGATGCTCTGACGTCACGGCGCACGGAACAGCCTCGTTTTCGGGGAGTCTGAGGGTATAGTAGCGGGACCGATTGATGGTGGCAGAATGGTACATGTGAGTGTCGTCCGTTGCGTTGGCGAGCTCATGAGCCATAGTGGGCAGAATGCGCGACAGCGGAGCGCCTACAAACTCCCTGTCGCTGCGGAAGAGCGAAGTGTGTGTATCTGCGGACGACTTTATGTAGTAGCCGTTGTTTCTGTATTCAACAATGAAGTCTAGGTGGTCGCACGGCACCTGCTCAAAAATCAGAATGATCAGGCCGTGTTTGCGTTTGGCCCACAGAGAGGTCCAGGCTATCGGCATGTTGTTGCGCTTGATGGCAATGATTTCCCCCGAGAAAACCAGTTCTTTGCCGTTGCACAGCCTATCGAGAACCAGGTCACGTGCGCGAGGAGCAATGAGGTCCATCACGCTGAGCGATGCGAGCGACGCTTTGGAGATGCCAAACATGAGACACGCAAAGTCATTTGCGTTTTTGAGGCTCCAAGGCGATTCTGCTTCGCACGTGAAATAGGCCTTGGGCGACGCGGACTTCCCGCCAGAGGCTAGGTGAAACTGCCGGCTGCTGGAGCTGAATTTGTTTCCCAGCGCCACGAGTCCCAACGTGGACGGACTGGTCTGCGGCACTGGCAGGCCGCCCAGCAAGTACGAGTGGGCCGGGGTGTTGGAGTTATCTGTGAATGGCGTTGCTAGGGCGTACAGCAGGTTCTTGCGCAATGACTCGCTTTTGGAGATCCCTTTTGGATTGAGCGACAGTGTATGCAGGCCGACGACTTTCTCGAGCTTGATCTGCGACGGATTCTCTTTCATTTCTAGAATATTGATGATCTCCTTCAAATTTCTCCGCAGTTCCTCGTCTATGTTTGTAGGGGTGGGGGCTGGAATTGAGTCCTGTGTTTCTGGCTCAAACGACGATGCGGGTAGCAATTTGATCGACGACTGCGACACCTGTCTCTCCATGCGAAAAACGTTGTCCATGAGGGTCATGGTGGACGTTCTGCGCAGCGGCACTGTAGCCGGGCCTTTCCGAGAAAAGTAGTCGTTGTTCTCCATGGATATGTTTGAGAGCAGCTCTGGCCGGTCAAGAAGAACCTCGAGCGACCGCTTGAGCACGCTCAGTTTCAGGGCCAGAGAGTTTGGGGCCAGAAGGGTGTATGAGTAGGACTGGGGGGATTCTGTGGTGAACGTGACAAAGTCGGTGGGCAGATTTGGAGGGTCCATCGGGCCCGTCCGTAGCCCTGTCGAGCCGGCAAGAAGATTGCGAAGCGCTTGATGGTTGGAGTCGGCTCTGGGATGACGACTGGGAGGCGTGTAAGGCATGAAGAATAATTAGCATAAAATTTGGCGGAAATATGGGTCGGCTGGCGTCGATCGACGGATGCACAGCTGCAGATAATGGAGACCCAGATAAGGCATACAGAGAAAGGCCAGCTGCACAACGTCTGGCCGCCACATAAGTGGCAGGAACTGGTAGCCCGTCCGTACTTGGCGGCAACTCGTATTTCCGTCTCTACTCGAACATTCAAACTATAATTCAGCCTATTTCAGCTAGTACTGCTCTATATAACGTTCTTTGCTGCGAGGATTTCCGCAATGAGGACACCGCTTCCGGCAGCCCCGATGATGGTGTTGTGCGACAAAATGACCATCTTGACGTCCAGAACAGGATCCTTTCTGATCCTGCCGACACTCACACCGTATCCGTTGTCTCTATCTCTGTCGAGCCGTGGCTGAGGACGGTTCTGCTCCTCCAGCACGTGGATGGCTTGCTTTGGCGCAGACGGACAGTTCAGAAGAGTGGCCTCGCACCGGTAATCTCTCAGACACTGTTTGATCGCCTCGATGGAAGGCGCGCCGTTCTTGAACTTGACAGAAACGCATTCTGTGTGGCCGTCGGAAACAGCGACTCTGTTGCACTGCGCAGAAACACGGATCTCGTCGTCGGAAAGGTTCTTCACGCTGTTGCCGTCATCAGCGATTTCTCCAAGAATCTTCTTAGTCTCCCACTCAATCTTCTCCTCCTCGCCAGAAATGTATGGGACCAGGTTGTCCAGAATGTCGATGCCGGGGAACCCTGGCGAGAAGCCGGCACCCGAGATGGCCTGCATGGTGGTGGTCGTAAGCAGCTCGATCGGACCAAACTTGTCGACCAGCGGTCTCAGTGGAGCCACCAGACCGGCGGTGGAGCAGTTGGAGATGCAAACAATGAAACCGGGTCTCTTCTGGCCAGCGGCAGCAGCATCCTTGACCCTCTTTTCGATGATCGCCAAGTGCTCACTGTTGACGGTCGGCACGACAAGCGGCACGTCTTCTTCTCTGCGGTAGTTTTTCGCATTCGAAATGACAGCCAAGCCGGCCTCCTTGAACGCCTTTTCGATCGGACCGGCGTAGTCCGCGTCCAAACCGGAGAAAACAACATCGCAGTCCTTGAAGGCCTCCACTGTGCACTCGGAGACGACGATCTCGCCAGCAGCGGCTGGCATCAGACTGGTTTGCTTCCAGTCGACAGCGTCTTTGTACTTTTTGCCTGCGGACCGCGACGAGGCCCCCAGAACTGCAAGCTCGAACTGAGGATGGTTGCTCAAGAGCTGAATGAACCGCTGACCAACAGAACCCGTGGCGCCCAAAACTCCTGCTTTTCTAGGTCCCATGATGTTAGATGTCCAAGAGTGAGTAATAATATTTTCAGAGGATTTTTTTTTTTTTTTTCTCAGCTGAAAATATCCAGGCTATCATGTTGTAGAGAGACGATCGAGTCGCCAACAAAAAGAAAACGATCGCTGCCGCTCGACAACGGCAAATGGTCAAACTCTCGCAGTGGCCATGCGCTAAAGATGGAGTATACCTTGATTTTCTTGTGTTTGTCCGTGTAGACCACAAAAAACTGCTGGCTATGGTGCACGTAAAAGTTCTCTTGCGTGGAGAAGCTGTGCTCGTACTCCTGGTACTCAACTAGCGGAAACAGCTGTCGTGGATCGTCATCGACTGCAAACAAAACCAGCTTATTTGCCAGACCGCTCACTAGCAAATACAGCCGACTGTCAACGTGCAGAAACTGCACCTTGCGGACACTTGCGCCGTACGCATGATCGATATATTCGTCTTTCTCCCGATAAATCTCAACGGTTCCGTTCATGTAACCAATGGCCACCATCAACTGGCTTTGATACAGAGTGATATCGATGCTCACGGCCCTCGACCTAATGTTTTTGTGCAACCAGCTCAAACGACCGTAGCCCTGTAATTTGCGCTCGAAACCTGCAATTCCGGTCTCTGAATCCATCCATTTCATACAAGCCACGTTCCTCGCGTCCTGGATGTGCCGAAGGTTCTTGAAGGTGTCGTCGAACTCGAGTTCCTCAATTCCGCGATCATTGAAAACCCTGATTTTAATTGGGTCTCCTTCAATCACGTTCACGTTCCAGCCGAGTGCAACCATACTATAGTGGCCAATGGTCTGGACCTGCAGTATCGTCTCTTGCGGCTTCGGGACGCTTTGTTTCGGAACCCAGAACGAGTTTTCGGCCAATTCAAGCGACTTCACGTTCACAGCCACCAAATAAAGCCTAGTGGCCACAAAAAGCGTCCCGCGACATTCAGCAGCCCACATAAACTGCCCCAAATCCACAGGAGGACGCACTATTTGCCTGTATAGCAAGCACTGCATTTGGGTCTTGGTGTAGAGCGAGAGCGCAGTTTCATGGTCAAAACTGCCAACGTCGAGTTTCTCCTTGTGTATGAAGTCCAGCAGATGCAGAAACTGGCCAGTTGAAAGACACTGGCGGCCCAAAAGCAGATCGTACAATATCTCTGGCCGGAACCGCTTCCCGTCAGCGAGCTCTGGTTTTCTCTCCTCGCAGGTCTCCGGGACTACTTCTTCCCGCGGCTCTCGCCCCAGATCAACGGCTGGAGGCGCCCGGGGCTGGCCTTTCTGCTTGAAATACCGCTTTTTAACTGGATCATAATAGTATCCAGGGATATTCATTAGCTAGATATTTTATTAAAGTAAGGCTGTGCTCCTCTGTATCGCCAGCTGGAGCCCATCCTCAAGGTGATCCCGTAGGCAAGCACCGCCGCCGGCAGCGCCATGGCTGTGCCATGAAGCTTGGCGATCAGGCTTGGCCGTGCTCAGACACCCTGTGATGACTCCGACCGGCGGTCTGGGCAGCAGTAGCCAGAACTGTGGCAGATAATGTTTAGAGCGGGCGTCGTCATCGATGGGCTAGTCTAGAGTGGCCCGGCCAAATAAACATGACAGGAACACACAGCGCCTGCGTGAAGTAGCAAGACAGTAGAATCCCAAGTTCTTAATTGCTTCCTCTCGGCAAAGTCAGCAGCATAAGCACAAATAATTCGCGAGATGAGCGGCATGTGCAGCTGGAACCAGAGCAGGGCAGTGCTTCCGCATCGTCTGCATGCGTGCACATGATAATAGCGCGTCCCATCTTGTCAGTGAAGCAGAGACTGAAATTGCGCTCACAGGAACGAAGATGACGGGGATTCACAAGCAGCACGTGACGATTATCAGTCAGCCGTCCAAAATATTTTGGAGCCGGTGTTGGGGAATGTTGATTGAATAGGCTAGCAGACTGAGGCCAAAGAGAGACGGCACAGAATATGCAAAACCAAAACAGCTGTTATTGCCGCATTGGACTCAAGCATATGGTTTGTACTACTGGTATACACAAGCCGGGGTGCAAGAATGCGGGTGATGTAGATTTTCTGGAACAGGTCCTCATTGAAGTACTAGTTCGTGAAATGCTTGATAGCGGATCAGGCGTCCCAAATCGGCGTCAAGAGCAAAGAAGCCCTTGAGCTTTGACAGGCCGGTCGGCTCGCATTTAGCGGACATGCCCGTTTGGTCACAATTCCCACATAGGGCAGATACAGGAAGAGCCGCCCCTTGCCACCTCCGCCGCGCTAGGTCCCATGAAGTAGAGTGTTCCATTATAGAAGAAATTAAAAGCATAAGGTCTATTAATAAACCAGGAGGGTGCCACCGGCTTCTTTATGTGCTGCAAAGTGACTGCGCCGTACTTCTGCACGGGCATCGAAATCCTCTTTGTAGTAGCTCTCCGGACTCGCATGGAGGTGGAACAGGTGATCCTGGAGTTCCTTGACAGACTGCAGTACTTGTTCTAAGCCAGTTGTCTTGCGCTCTATATAACTGTTTGAGTGTTTGGTCACAAAAATGGTCATGTCACAAGAGCCGACGGTTTAAGTTGCCCTGTAACTTCTTAAAATTAATAGCGGAGAGTGTGCGGCTCGGTGATTACGATTAAAATTAGACTTGCAGGGGCAGGAAAAAAGGGTACTGGGGAAGAGCAAAAAACTGTAACGGGTACCTCAAGGCGGTGTGCATGAGGTTCAACGGGCTGAAAATAGGGTTGTGGTCTTCCTGGGTTGTATGCGGTAATCGGTGAATGGCACTTGCGTTGGTTTAAAGGTAAGATAGTTCTTTCCTGTTTGAACCTTACGCAAAACAAGGTACAGACGCGTGAGCACAATCGGGGGGGGGGAAAAAAAATAAGCCTATTTGGAGTGCGGCCGATTTGCGACCGCGCTCAAATTTTGCCCGATTTTTAAAATATGTGGCTGAAGCATGTGCTAGTGAACCGGGTACTTGGCAGTAGCACCTTGGGGGAAGGTGAGCGAATTACAGCTTGACTATAATACAGTCAATCAAGCAGCAAAAACAATAATACTAAGCAGACTTTAAAACGAGATCGACAACACTTAACTGCTTGCCATGTACAACGTACAGCAAATTTTTTTCCGTTTGATCTTCCTTTTCAATCAGGTTTATACCGGTTTCAGCACCTCCTCACACCCGTATTGTTGAAATCTTACCGAGACAATACGAAACTAACAAATGCCCAACATATTACATAGAAAATCGCTGAGATGTTCTTCACCGCATTGTGCTGCAGTAGAACGCATCCCAATTAAATATTTAAATCTCCTGTTTTATATGTTCTCCTGATGCTTTTTATCGTTTTCCACTAAAAAATCTCTTTACGACCATCCAAGGTTCCTGTCGTGAACAAAAGTCCAAATACCCTTTGCTTTATATTCATACTCTCATTTTTGCATGTGTCGGTAACCCCGACACTATAGCACCTCGTCATGCAATCTAATAATTCTTCGAGTTCACCTGACAGAGATTCCGCAGCACCAGAACGTCCCCGTTTACCTTCTTTTCAAGAGATCCAAGAGCAATTACAGTCGAGTACGGTTCTCCCTTCCCCTACTCTGCGTCCACCGCTCCCCCAGTCGCAATTACCATCCATCTCCATGCTACTGCAGCACGCCAGAACGGCGCCGCCGCCACCTGTATCTTACACGTCCTACCCTCCCTACATAGCCGAGCCAGAGACTTCGCACCAGCCACCATCATCCACCCCTGTTCACCAACCTCCATCTCCTCATGAAGACTCGTCCAAGCCCATGTCCTACAACTCGAAGACGAAATATAGAAGGACTCGCAGGGCTTGCGATCTCTGCAACCAGAAACGGACCAAATGCTCGGGCGAAATGCCTCGCTGTTCTCAATGTATCAGAACAAACAGCGTGTGTACGTATCTCCGGGAAGAGAAAAAAAGAGGCAGAGCCAGCTCGAATTATCCAAAAATAATCATCCGACGGAAACCAACCAAAAATAAAAGTCCGGAAACGAAGCATGAGCACGACATAATACATCACCAGTCACCACACCCATCGCCATCTACCGTCTCGCAGCCGTTCCGGTACCCAATCCTTAATCAAGCGGCCCACGTCATCTCTCAGCTGCAGATTTCGCATTTTCTTGCAAATGACCTGATTGACTTGTACTTCCAAACTCCGTTTCCAATCATGATCCTCAACCCCAACCATATTCTTACCTCGGATCCACACAGAGTGCGGAAAACTAACGAGGGGTTCATTCTCTCGATGCTTCTCTGTGGAGCGGCGCTTTTGCAACTCTCTCCATCACCATCTATTTCCAAAGAGTCCTCGCTAGGACTCCTAGACATGTTATTTTTCAAGACAAACAGTTTCTTACAAAGTTCAACCAAATTGGACCTCGATGACATTATCTCATACATAAATCTTGTCAGAGCATACACGATGGTTGGCGGCATTCATGAGGCCATTCAAGTAATTGACCAGGCTATTAGCCTCGCTTTAAAGCTCAAAATCAATGTTGAGGATCCATCGGAGTACCACACGTTGATAGAAGAGAAGAGAAGAGCCTGGTACTGCCTGGTCACCCTAGAGGCAGAGCTCAAACACGGCTCACGTCATCCTTTCATCGCTAGAAATATGTCTAGCTCATTTTCCTCCCTATAGACTATGCGGTCTACCTGGCATCCAATTTCCGGTCGCACGGCTCGGAAATCCGCATCATAGCCCTTCTGTGTAATCACTGTGTACAGTAGCCATAGAAATTCATTCTGCACCCTCATCAGTCGCTCCCTCCGGCTGCTCTCCCTCATCGGACTCGTAGCTAATCGAATCAAGCCCCATGTACACCAGCATCAGCTTCCGGTGGCTCTCCTCGTCTTTGATATCGTTGTTAGGGTTCTCGTACCCTTGCGTGATCTCTTTATTCGAAAACATCTTGCCAAAGATCGGGTCGTCCATCTTTTTGCACAGCTCTATGTTTTTCATTACGCAACGCTCTACCGTTAGATCGTTCCCAAGGTCCTTGCTAATCCGCTTCCATCTGTTTTCCCAGTCCTTTCGTATCGCATTCACAAGCCGTAGCTCCATGAACCGCGACCAGGAGTCGTTACGCGACTTGTGATTGCGTAGGTACCGCATCTGGATAGCCTGCCACGAATGTCTGCCGTTTAGCATTTTTTCAATCTCTTTCCACGAGTACTTCATTTCCTCCTTGTAATATACAATAGCTTCGTCTTCTGCCTTGGTCCAGGCACGTGATCGTGTCTGCGAGTCGTTTACCACGGGCAAACCCGGCGACATGAAGGCCGAATCGCTCAAATCGGCCTTCGATGCCTCTTGGCCTTCTTGCCCCTTGCGCATATCGTCTGTTTCCGCCTGCGGCATATGTTCATCTTTGATGGCATGCTCCGGCTCCGACGCGTCCACCTTCGGCTTTTTTTCGCCTTTGTCTAGCTGCTCCTTCATTTGTCTTTTCTGTTGGACACGTCTATGATATAGCTCCACATCATTTGAAAGATGCGCCAGCAGGTTCTGTGTGTTTGCGGATCCCGCCTCGTTCTTGTCGACAAACTGCTCCGTCATGTCGAAACAACAAATTTTCGTGTTGTAAAAAAACACAACTCCTGTGATGTCAGATACCGGTTACCCGGCCACTATGTCTTCTTGATGTTGAACCTGCTATTGACCGGTCGAGAGACACTCTGGCCCGCAGAATGGTCCCCACGAGTTGACGAAAATCGTGATGTGATGCTATGAGCAGATTTAGATACACTGCTATTTGTCGTAGTTCGTCTTGGCAAGGGAGCCTGAGGAATGCCATTGGAAGACGGCTCCGGTGATTTCTGTGGACTGAACCGCGACGTTTTGATCTTTGGTATATGTTCCACTTGGCCCATTATTGCATGATTGGTTTCTCGGATCCCCGACTGGATCTTGTCAAGTGACAATCTGTGTTGAACGGTTTTACTATGGTAATCCGGCTCCAACCATTCAGGGGGCTGTAAGCCTCGGTCTCGGAAGTATTTCACCATAGCCACGTGAACCACGGTCTCGTTTTCGTGCTTGCCGTCTTTCTCTTCGCGTCGGATTGACGTTTTTATATCGGACGAGATCTCCTTAAATTTCCGGAACATGGAAAATATATAATAATGTAAAATTAATTATCTCCCTTTTTAAACAAAAGATCTATGAAATTATGAAATATCTTACAAAGTCTTTTCGGTCAGGTAGATGTTGTATTCATCCTTCAAGATTTTCATGATAGGGTCATTGATCTCTGGAGACATTGGAGCATAGAGGCCTGGGCCTGGGAAGGCACCCTTCAAGACTTGCAAGACAGCAACGGCACAAGGAACACCGACCAGCTTGGCCATAGAGGAGTAGCCGCCAGGAACACCATAGTCGACCAGGGTAGAGGTTCTAGTCTCGGTTTTGCCGTCCGCCCACTCGATGCCGAACTTGTGTTGCAAAATGACCATGTCTCTCTCGCCCTCTTCGTATTGCATCAACTGCTCAAGAGTGGCGCACAGGGTGTCCAATGGGTTGCCGGCAGGAGTGATTTTCTTGTCGGAGAACAGGCCGAGCCACTTGAGACCAGCCAAAATTCTCTCTCTGTCGGCCTCGTCCTTGAACTTGGTCAAAGAGTCAATCTTGGCAACAATGTCCTTCTCAGAAGGAGAGGCAGCTCCAATGTACTTGGAAACAGCCTCATTCCATGGAATAGGCTTGGAGAAAATTTCGTTTGGATCCTCTTTCAAGAATCCCATGTCCACAAGAACCTTGACGAACTCTGGGAATCCCTGGAATCTCAAAGTGCCTCTGATAACGGTCTGGGCCTCAGGGATGTTGTAGAGCTCCTTGTAAACAGTGGAGTCTCTGTTAGGGTAGCAGACCAGCGCGTATCCCGGATAGATGAAGTATGGCTTGGCAGAGGCCATCAAGTCTTCGGAAGCAATCTTCTCGATCTTGCCATCTTTCCAGTATGTGGCCTGATTTCTCAGAGCAAGAAGAACACCTCTAGAGGACCACGAGAACTTGTATCCCAAAGGATTGTCAGAATCTTCTGGTGCTGGAAGACCACCACAGTACGACAGGAAAGAGGTGATCTTACCACCGGCCTTGTGGACCTCGTCGATGGTCTTGACGGCGTACAAGTGGTCGATACCTGGGTCCAGGCCGATCTCGTTCATCACGACAATGCCGGCCTCCTTGATGGCTGGCTCCAACTCTCTCAGAGCAGGAGAGATGTAGGAGGTGGTGACGACGTTGGTGTGCTTCGACTTGATTGCAGCCCTGACGACGGCAGCGTGGTAGATGTATGGAATCAAAGAGATGACAACATCGTACTTATTGACCTCAGCGTCCAGAGCATCTTGGTCAGTAACGTCCAACGACAATGCGTTGGCAACAGAGCCTGCCAATTCCTTGGCTTTCGAGAGAGTTCTGCATGCGACAGTAACTTCGATGTCTTTCTGCTTAGCGAGGATGTCGACAGTTGGCTTGGCGACGAAACCAGAACCGAGAAGGAGCACTTTCTGAGTCATGTTGGAAGAAAGATATGAAAATTGCAAAGTGGAAATTTTATGCGAGGTCGAAGGTGTGCAGGCGGTTTTTTACCAAATCAACCACTCCGCCAACGCGCATACAATCAATTATTCCTGAATCGGTTCTGGCGATTTATTAGTTTATTATTTCAACCTATCAAGTTTTCTATCAGGCCTCCTGCTCCCACCTTGTTCTCAGCTCAATGAACCAGGCCGGCAAGTTCTCTTCCCTGGGCAGCCGTACGCGCACCGACGCCGTTCCTGCCGGCTTGAAGAAACTCACTCCTGAGTAGCTGATGCTTTGTTGTCTCTCTTGTCTGTGCTTCCGTTTCTGGCGACGCATCTCCACCATTTTGAGCAGCGTTTTTGGGATCTGCGGCGACGTCGATACAGAGAGGTGCGGGCTGATACTCAGGTCTTTTTCCAGGCTCTTTGGCTCCTCCACCACCACGGTCTCCTCGTCCTCGTCGTCTTGATCCGCCATTCTCTCGTAAGGCACCAGTTCGATGTTCACAAGCTCCAGGTAGTTTTCCACCGCATAGTTAGCCTTGTTGTTGGCAAAGAGCCTGTATTCATTGGAGATACTCGAGTAGCTCCATCGCTGGATACGTCTTAGCAACCCAATCACTACCTCGCTTCTGTCCACCAGCAGACAATCGTGGTACGTCTGGTAGTCCAGAAGGATCTGGAATGTCTCTGCTACCAATGTCGGCCTCAAAACCATCCAGTCCTGGAACCGCATGCTGTCGGTATCTTCAGGAATGACACTGGACTCCTTTAGGTGGCATAGGCGCACACGGTTGTCCTCGATATACTGGTTGATTGCTCGAGGCGGTTTTTCCTCATCGAGCCAAACAATAGTAGACAGCCCAAGCGTTTCCAAAAAAGGGGCGTTGATGGCGTCGAGCGCGGAACAGCGATAAAGACCGTCCTCGACAAACGCAAAGTTGTCTGGAGGCACAAGCATGAAAGAAATATTTTTTTATTTATATACCGTTATTTTCATATGAATATTATATTCATCCACCCTGATCTGGGGATCGGCGGTGCAGAGAGGCTTGTTGTTGATGCCGCAATGGCCCTGCAACCTGGAAATCAGGTCACCGTGTATACATCTCACTGCGATAAGTCGCACTGTTTTGAGGAGGTCGCCTCAGATCGGCTGAGGACAAAAGTGCACGGGGATTTCTTGCCAACGCATATTTTGGGGAAGTTTGCGATTCTGTTTGCATTTCTGCGCCAGTTGTACCTGGTCTCTGTGCTCGTGCTCAATGGGACCCTTAAAAAAACTGACGTGGTGTTTGTCGACCAGCTATCTTACTGTCTTCCATTGATCTACCTATTCAGGGGCCCACAAACAAAAATCATATTTTATTGCCATTTCCCAGATAAGCTGCTTGCGTCCCACTCGGGGCTAATTAGAAAAATCTACAGGTTGGTATTTGATGCTATAGAGGAGTTTTCAATGAGGTTCGCAGATAAGGTACTTGTCAACTCAGAGTTCACGAAAAAGACGGTTGAAAAAGAATTCAAAAGCCTGAGAACCGAATCTTTCAATGTGGTGTATCCCTGCGTAGGCGATCTCTCTCTAGAAGAGGCGTCTCTCAAAGAGGTGGACAACTTTTTCAAAGAGAGTCCATTCTTTCTGTCCATAAATCGGTTCGAGAGAAAAAAGAACATTTCCTTGGCAATCAAAAAATACCACGAATTCATTACCAAGACCGAATCGGATCATAAGCTTGTCATCGCGGGTGGGTACGACCCCCGTGTATTCGAAAATGTGCATTACTTGATAGAGCTCGAGTCACTTTGCGAGAGACTTAGCCTGCCTTCGATCACCATCAGAGGAAAGCTCATTGTGGCTCCTAGAAATACAAAGGTTTTTTTCCTGCCTTCGGTCAGCAGCGCCACCAAAAATGCGCTTCTTGCCAGATCTCAGCTGTTGATATACACGCCCTCGTTTGAGCATTTTGGAATTGTTCCTGTTGAGGCTATGAGGCTTGGAAAACCCGTCCTTGCGGAAGCTACCGGCGGCCCTACCGAGACTATCGTGCCGTATGACAACAAAGAGTTCACAGGGTACCTTGTCGAGCTTGTGGAAGACCGCTGGGTAGAGTACTTGGAACATGTCCAGACGTTAACGGAAACTGACCTTAAACAACTTGCCAAACGGGCCCAGGACCGTGTCGAGAAGCTCTTTTCGTCTAAGGCCATGGCCGTCAGCCTGAACAGGGCAATTGAGGAGTGCAAGCCAACGAAACATAACGGCCAACTGATATTGTTCGCGTTGCTGGCATTAAGCTTGGGAGCTACAGTCAAGTTCATAAAGGGCGCTTGATTTATTTAGACTATAGAAGAGCCATCACTCTGTGTCGGTTACAATAACCTCCTCCTCGCGCCGCTTCAGTGAACGGAACCAGTCCAGGAGAGTCTTGAGTTTCTCCATGGTGATCGGATACTCGATGATATAGTCAAAGACACCCGTGTTGACTGCATCGCGGTAGAAAGATGTCAGGGCAACACATATTGTTTCCGAGTTAGCAGTGGAGGTATGTTTAATTAGTTTGACAAGGTCAGGACAATCGAGCTTGTGGAGTTCTGTCGAGGTCAGGATCAGATCGAATTTTATGTCTGCGGTGGCCCGTTTGATTAGCTCAGTCCCAGAAGAGACAGCCACAACGTCACAGCCAAGACGGTTGAGATTGTTCTCGATAGAGTAACGATGAATAGGAATAGGCTCGCACAATAGAACGTCGAAATTAATCATCATGTTCTGTAGCGCATGCGAGGCTTCGTCTGTAGCAGATGACGAGGTGCGAAGTGCCCGTTTCGATGTTCGTTTTCTTCTTTGGTACAAGTGGCCCGAGCGGTCCTCGTTGTCGGACGAGGAAGGTGAGAAGTCACTCACTGTCCTGGAGAAAGACTTGGACAACAAACGTGCAGCAGGGGAGTTTGAATCGGTGCTGTATCCCTTCCTGTGCACTGCACGGGACACAGGAGACCCCTGTTTCATCTCATCAGAAGCATCACTAGCCAAGGAAGCGTGGCGCAGAAGAGGCGAGATTTTCTCTTTCACAGTACTTGGAGACGATGGGCGTTTGAAAGGGGTCAAGAGTTGTCCACTGGCAGAAGACAGACCACGCGGACGAGTTGCCAGAGGAACAACTGTGGCACCAGGAGTAGCAGGCGCCGATGGTGAGCTTTCCATAGAGCTTGAGGACGGCGCGAAGTGTTCGATATGCTCATTTTTCAGTCTGTTGATGACATCCTTATTCTGCTTCTCCAGCATGGCAAGGTTTCTGAAGTGGAAAGAGCCAAATTCGGAAGAGCCGCCGCTATCGTTCAGTCTTGAGCCCCTTCTTTCTCTTTGTGCCGTCACACAGCCCTTGGAGAAACTGGTTTTGGGTGAATCGAGTGTGGTTGAAGAGGAGCTGGACGTGACTGGCAGAGTGTTTGCGTCCAGTGTTGCTTCTGGATTGTCATCCTCGTTGAGCTCCTCCTGAGGGAATGCGCTGAGCTGTGCTCCTCGGTCGTCAAAGTACTCAGTGGATTCCGGGTCGACGCTGCTCGGAACAAACGAGGCCTCCTCAATGAATAGTGTATCCCAGTTGATGCCTTTGAAATAAGGGTGCTGCATTATTTCATGAGATCCACCACTTCCAAGTCTCTGGGTTGGATCTTTCACAAGCAGCTGGGTAATCAGGTTTTTAGCAGCAAAAGAGCAATACTCCTGAAATTCATCGGGAGGTAGATTGGGCCATTGGATTTGGCCGTGGAGAATATTTTCAAAAACTTCCTTTGGACTGTTCCCAGCGAATGGAGGAACCCCGAACAGAAACTCAAACAGGATGCATCCAATAGACCACCAATCACTAGCTTCATCTTGGCCCAAACCAGCAACCGTCTCGGGTGCTAGATAATCAGGCGTTCCAACAAACTTTCGAGTCTCTGCTGACTTTTGAGGATCGAAGAGAGCATAATTGGTAATTTCTGTTTGCGTATCCTCCTTATTAAGGGCGAAGTACGGTTGCAACGTTGATCTTCTGGTCAGCGGGCGTAGCAAAGGAGATGAGCTGCCACTTCCAAGAGTCACGGGCTCGACGTCCTCAAATGAAGGAAGTGAGCTTGTTGTCGGTGTAACAAGCGGCGAACATGGCGATAGCGAAAACGGAGCGATGCTCGCAGTTTTCTTGGTCACCAACGAAGCCGCTTGCGGATTGACAAACGGATCTTCAATGACGTCCGAATGAGGGTCTTTCTGTCTTTTGACCAGTCCCATTCGACTGAGACCAAAATCTGTGAGCTTGATATGCCCGTTGCGATCGATAAGTAAATTATCTGGCTTTAGGTCACGGTGGACGATACCACGGGAATGCAAGTCGTCAACACCAACAATCACCTCTGCAATGTACCTCCGTGCCCAAATTTCAGGAAGATATCCCATATTCTTCAAAAGGGTAGCCAGATCACCCCCGTTGAGATATTCCATCACCAAGTACAAATAATTGTTACTCTGGAACGTTGCAACAAGCTGAGCCACATATGGCGAGTTAGCTTGCGCCATCAAAATGGCCCTTTCGGCTTTCACATTTGTAACCTGGTTCTTGGCCACCATATCTGCTTTCTTGAGCACCTTGATAGCAAAGTATTCTCCGGTCAACCGTCTCTTGGCAAGGAACACAGAACCAAAAGCACCTTTGCTGATGGGCTTGATCACTTCGTAGTCTTTGATAGAAGGGGCGGGCTGTTTAGAACTCTGAGGCACGAGCAATGGCGATAGTTGTGGACGGTCAACAGCAGAAGAAGAAGAAGACGGAACTTCAGTCGATAAGAAAAGCGGCGAGGATATTGGCGTATTTGATCCCGATCCAGAATTGACACTAGGGCGTTTCATGTGCGCTTTTGAGTTGCGTTGGATCGAGCTCATAGGAAGCATAATACTAGGAGAAAGCGGTCTGCGAGGTGAGTTGTATCCAGGAGAGTTATTGCGTTGAATTGTCTTGGCAGACTCGTCCCCAGAAACACTGATTGCTGGTGTCAAATGGCCCTCAGATGCTGGAGAAAAAGTACCAGTACTAGAAGACACGGAATTCAACCGCAAATCGCTCTCTGTCTCCAAAATATTTCCTGATTGTAGCTTGGAAGCGGGCCTTGGAGACTGGATAGGCAGAGGCTCTTCCAAAGCGTCTTCTTGTATTTTTCGAATCGTTTCCTTGACAACATTCAGGACCATCTCGTCGGTCTCTTTGGTAATTTTATCCACGTATTGCAGTATGTGAGCGTACCTCTCAATGGACTCGATCTTCTGCTTCACAATAAAGTCTGTGTCCTCGGTAAGCAACTTTATAGCTTGGTCGCTGGACTCGGGAACTTCGATTGTGTTTAATGTGGCGAGCGCACGTTCACTGTCGGGAGAGAACGAGATTGTGTACTCATCAGACTTTTTGTCGTTGGTGCGGATCTCTCCAGGATTTATCTTCAAAGCTTCATCGCAGTATTGGATAAGAATATCCAGGTTCTTGAACGGGAACCTTCTGGCGGGGAGCAGGCTGCCCACACTTTTTCGGCGCATCAGACTTCCAGTTTCGTTTGACGCGGAAAGAGGAATAGAATGGCCTTTGTACTCGGTTATCGACACAAAGCTCCCCGAGGAGCTGTTGGAAGAGCTGCTGCTGCTGCTGGAAACCGAAGAGCTAGAATTCATAGGGACCAAAGGCGGAGTTTTCGAGTTTTGCAACTGTCGTTTCGTGAGAGTGTCGAGGACATTTTGCAACAGGTTCCTATGCTCGCTGAGTTCTTCCTGTTTTTGTTGCACGGTATCTTCTGCACGGTGTTCCACTAGGCATAGTTCTGTATGACGTTCCAACCACCAGTTAGGCACTCGCTGCTCGCATATGCGACAAAGCTCTTGGGCGGGAGGCGGCAGGTTTTCCTCGTCAGTTATGCCCATATCAGTCAGTTGGAACAAGTATGTCTCAAACAGGTTGATTCCAAAGCCAAGCCTCAAGATCAGCTCTTCCGGAAGAGCCAGGGTTTGGCCGGCAAACGGCACCCACGGCTTGACAATCCACATTGAATGCGAGGGTTGGCAGTTTTTGTCGTGTATCAGAACGCCCTGAGCTTCCAGCTCGATGCAATTGCCGTCTGTCGATATGCTGGAGTTTTCCGAGTGCACACTCACGGAGTCATCGTCAGAAACTGAGGAATAGGTTTCTTGATCGGCGCTTTCCGATTCTCTTGAGGCGTTTTGTAGATTCGTCGCAACAATAAATCTCACACGGTAGGTGTCGTCGTCGGTCATCATAATGCTTGTGGCCTTGTTAAAGACCTGCTTGTCCTCGATTTCGCCCAGTATTATATTGCTCAGAGGCCGCCCTATAATCTTGCTAATTTTGGTTCCCACTGTGGATTCCCAGGTCTTGCTGAGAAACTTGACGTTGCAGTCCAGGTCAAGCTCCATCACGGCCGCTGGATTGCGCGACGTCACCTGCGAAAGGTCCTCCTGCTCCGTGTGCTGGTGTATTTCTTTATCTATTGAAGGACTGTCCACATCCAGAGGCGACACGGATCTCGACGGAATATGCGATCTCCCGCCCGTGTAGAACATGGAATCCAACCGTCCGCGTGGAGATGGCGTGTGGCGAGGCGACGGCGAGTCGCGAGGGTATGATTCCATAGATTGGACTAAATAGCTCTCATTAACAAGAGACAAAAAATATTACAATTTATTTTACATAATTCGTATGAAATATATATTTAGTGTGCCTCAGCTTAGTCAATTTCCGAGGCAATACGCCGACCAACTAGATGCGCCGTGTACGGAGTGTACCTCGTCTTACTTTCCTTGAACAGGAACTTGAGGCTCTGAGTGCCCTTACTGACCTGGCCGCCGTACTCTGCCCCTAACATTTTCGGGTCCAAATGTTTCACAAGATCGGAGCCATTGCTTAACACAACAAACTTGTTGCGCGTCTTTTCGGCGACAAAAGGCTTGATCACGTTGAAAACCCACATCATCAGCGTGGGAACGTTCACAAAGAACTTTTTGGACAACAACTCCGGATAGAAGTCCCTGAACACCTCAATGACCTTCTTAGTGGTCTTCTTCACCTGTGCGTCTCTCTGGAAGAGCGAAACACCCTTGTAATCGTGCACTTGCACCATGTAGTCGTTTTCCGGGCTTTTGAAGTCCAAAAGCTGCACGCTTTGCTCCATCAAGCCTACCCGCCATCGAAGGAACGCATTTTGGCCCGCAGTGTCAGAATCGTCATTGCCAAAGATCTCCTTGGCATTCTTAACCTTCCCGTAAAGATTCCATGTCACTACCTTCTCCAACGCCTTGCCGTTAGGATCGTAAGTGATAAATCCAATGTCGTCATATTTCGACTCATGTTCCTCGACAAAGGCAGCACTTAAAGGGTCAAACTCCTTGCGCCATTCCAGAATCTTCTCAAGACTGTCTTCGGCGGCGTGGAGGTCCCAGTCGTATGCTGTCAAAAGCTTAATGAGCAGCCGTTCATAAGCCTCTTCATCAAAGAATTCGCCTCTGCTCAATTGGTACCCAAACAGCTCGTCGTACTCAACCTCATCGACAATCACTTGGACCTCTTTTTTGAACGCCGCCAGAGTCTTTTGCTGGGAGGAATCAACCATCAAACTAAAATTAAAATTATAAATTTAATTATTCATGTCAGACTTACAATCGTTGCTCGAGCCATATTTGGAGCTTCTGCGACCTTACACGTCCCTAATTCCGCCATGGCTAGAAAACGCCCTTATTCAGATATACGGGCCCGAGATCTACTACTCCTTAATTTACGATCTTCGGCCATTCGATCGCCGCAACCAGTTATACCTCCAACTATTCGCCCAGAAAAGTGCGGAGCTGGTGTTGCGCTCCGGAATCCTGCTTCCACAGCTGTTGAACCTTGCAAGGCACAGAAGGCCAGCCAGCTACACAGCGATCTTGAGTTACATAATCACGCTGGTCTCGAACATAGTGCAGATTGTTTACGGAATACGGAGCCATAACGGACTCAAAGTTGTCGAGTACGCCACTCAGACTGCACAGGCCGTGATTGTGGTGTTTTTGATGCTTAGCTTCAAGAAAAAGCCGCGCTGGGGCCAGTCTCTGCTCTTGGCTCTGGGATGGCTCATTTACTGGTGCAGAGGTGTGTCAGTCGAAAATCTGCAGAAGGCACTTTCTGTGCTGAACGCTGCTGGACTAGTGAATTACCTGTTTCTGCTAACAAACAGACGACGCGAGAACCTTGCCAGTCTGGGGTCGCTTGGTGGCAGTCTGTTCCAGAACGTGGCAGCAAACGCGTACTTATTGCTAGGAACGCTCTTCATTGCATTGGGGCTGGTAAAACGAGCCAGATCCCGTCGTTGATGTCCTGGATGATGGACTATCAAGAGATGCAGAAACACACAGAAATAAACCGGAACCGCGTAAACGAAAAAAATTAGACACGTAAAATTTAAATACCATGTCTTTTGCCGATAGAGAACAGCCGAAGACCATCTGTCTTTTCGACGTTGACGGAACCCTGACTCCAGCCAGACTCACCATCTCGCCAGAGATGAAGGCTACTTTGCAGGCCCTCAGAAAGAAGTGTGTTATTGGATTTGTTGGAGGAAGTGATTTTTCCAAGCAGGTCGAGCAGCTGGGCTCTGACGTTTTGGACCAATTTGATTTCTGTTTCAGTGAAAATGGTCTAACCGCCTACAAGCTTGGAAAAGCGCTTCCTTCTGCATCCTTTATTGGCTGGATTGGCGAAGAGAAGTACAACGAGCTGATCAAGTTTATCTTGAGATACCTTGCCGATCTGGACTTGCCGATCAGAAGAGGAACGTTTGTTGAATTCAGAAAGGGTATGATCAACGTTTCGCCAATTGGAAGAAACGCCTCCACCCAGGAGAGAAATGACTACGAGAAGTACGACTTGGAGCACAAGATCAGAGAGAAGATGGTTCAGGCTCTCAAGGACAATTTCCCAGACTTGGCTCTGACTTACTCCATCGGTGGCCAAATTTCTTTTGACGTTTTCCCTACTGGCTGGGACAAAACCTATTGTCTGCGTCACATAGAAAGCGAGGGCTTCGAGCAGATCCACTTCTTTGGTGACAAGGCCTACAAGGGAGGCAACGACTACGAGATCTACACGGACGAGAGAACTATTGGACATGCGGTCAAGAACCCTGAAGACACTCAGGCTATCTTGAAGGAGCTCTTCAAGCTATAATAGAGATATGTAATCAACTCGTCAACTCATCAACCGAACATATGCCAGCACCAGGGCAAACGTACCGGTACAAACACCAAAAAGCCACTGCATCACCTGCGTTTTCACAGACTCGATCTGGACCTTCATATTTGCGATTTCCTCGTCGATTCTCGTGTCGGTTTCCTTAATCTTTAAATCGTAGATAGAGTTCTCCTCGCGCACCCGTCCTTTTTCGAGATTTAAGTCGAGCCTCACTCCCGACAAGCTCTTGTTCATCTCTTCTTTGAACTTCGTGCGCATTTTCTCCAAGTCGCTGCGTAGCCGTTCGTGTTCGTTCCTTAGACTGTTGAACTCCGATTTATCGATCATCTGAAGCTCACCCTTCAATTTGGCAAAGTCCACCTTCTGCTGGTACGACATCTTGTTTAACGTCTCCTTGGTTATTAGATTTGCTGCATACTTGTCGATGCCATCGTTAATGGCCTTACTCAGAATTTCCACAGCCGCGTCTGCTTTTTTGGCGTCGAATCCGGAGTTTCTGAGCTGCTGGACAAAGGAATGTGTATCAAAATGCGGCGTGTTAAGTTTCGGCGAGAAACTCGAAAACCTGCGAATGGAGACACCAAACATTAAATAGAATAAAATATAATTAAAATTAAACAAACACTTTTTCTCGATCTACATGTCTCGAGAGACATTTGAAGACTTCCGTGAGGACAAAAGCTTGGAAGCAGCGCCGGAAACAAAGAGACACAAGCACGACAGACAAACTGTTGTGGCTGACCGAAGCTCGCAGTCGCCCGAAATCCAGCACAGAGACGACGATGAGATGATACAGGAGTACGAGGACGATTTAAAAATTGAGCTTGAGGCGTTGCGTCAACAGACACAAAGTGCTATTCGGCAGCTTCGAAAGAGCAGGAATCAGTGATACTAAAAGTTTTAATAACTAGTCTACCGCTTCTACGACTCTATGTCGTAGTAGGCATTGTAGAAATACAGCACGGAGAAGATGAAAAACGCAATGGCACCTCCTAAAGTGACACTGCGCATGCTAATCTTGGTGGCCAGCAATTGTCCTCCAATCACCGCCATGCCCGTGCAGAGTGCGTGACCAACAACGCCTCCCAGAATAACCATCCAGTAGTCAGAGCCGGCAGCCATGGCAATGGTTGCAATTTGCGAGCGGTCTCCCCATTCGCCCAAAAAGGTCATTGCAAAGGTTTGCACCCAGACCGGCGACAAAATATAAGATGCAAGGTTGGACACGTGAGACAGGGCCTCCTTCCAGATCGGCTTTCTCGCAACTGCGCCAGGCACGGCGGCCTCTTCCAAACTTCCCGAACGTTGATTCAGCGTCGAAACCTCAATCTCCTCCTCAACTTCCGCGAGTTCCTCGTCTATTCCTGCGTTCTTCGACATGGCCAAACCTTCTCTAAGCAAGTTGACTCCGAAAACAACAAACAGCACACCTGCCAAAAACTGCGTCAGTCGATGAGGAATCAGGCTAGGCAAAACATGCCCCACAACACCTGAGAGAATCGTCATCAGGGCTAAAGCAGCCAGAGCGGAGGAGAACACCACCATTCTTGGGTGTTTCATCGCCATCAACGCGGCCACCAAAAACGTTTTGTCGCCAATCTCGCTAACCACAATCATTGACGTCGACATGAAAAACACCTCTGAGTGGCGCGGAGATTCTGCTTCAGCGTTCAATGCCTCTGAGCCCTTTGCTGCTACGGCCTTGAGGTTTTCCAGATGTTGATCCAGCTTTTTGTCGTCCTTTGCTTCCGTGGCTTGGATCGTCACCAGATCCGCATCGCTGATCGATTTGTCCCCCGAAACCGGAGGATACACAGCATTCACCGAGGCTAAAATGGCTGCCAGAGCCAAAATATTATGCGCCTTCATGCTAATAAAGACGGAAAAAAAATCTAAGCCTTTTTTGTTGATTAGCGTTCATAATAAATAAATCTTGGAGCTTGTGATCCAAGTGAAAAAAAAAAGTCGGATCCTAATAAGGTCTAAAAATAAATAAGTTACCTATTTGAATATGCGGCCTGCAGCTCAATGACCATGAAATGCTTCTTTAGGCATTGGATTGTTAACAACCTCGCCATCTTTAACTCTACCAGAATCATGCCATCCACCGTACTGCATGCCACCGTCTTCGAGTCCATTCTGCCGCTTGTATTCTCTAATTCGCTCGATCATCAGAGGCTTGAAATTCTTCACAAGTCCTTGATACGGCCAGCTAAAGGCTTCACCCATGGCACAGATAGAGTGGCCTTCCACCTTCTTGGTCAGCTCCAATGCCTTATCGATCTCCTTTTCCTGGGCCTGACCAACGTAGAACCTGTCCATCATTTTCGACAGGTAGGTAGAGCCCTCTCTGCATGGAGTGCATTGACCGCAACTTTCGTGCTTGTAGAACGCCAAAAGCCGTTGAATACCACGCAAGACGTCGGCCTGCTTATTGAACACAATGACCGCTGCTGTACCCAATCCTGACCCGGCATCTCTAAGTGCATCGTAGTCCATCAAGATATCGTCGCAAGTCTCCTTCTTCAGAATAGGAGTAGATGACCCGCCGGGAATCACCGCTAGTAGGTTGTCCCAGCCGCCCTTGACTCCACCACAGTGCTTGTCTATCAATTCCTTCATGGAGATCGACATCTCTTCCTCAACTGTGCAAGGTTCGTTCACATTACCAGAAATGCAGAACAACTTGGTGCCCGAGTTGCGCTCGCGGCCAAAGCTGCTGAACCATTTCCCACCACGTCGACAGATCGTAGGTGCCACTGCCACCGTCTCGACGTTGGTGACTGTGCTAGGACGTCCAAAAAGACCCACACCTGCCGGGAATGGTGGCTTCAGCCTCGGTTTGCCTGCTTTTCCTTCAAGCGATTCAATGAGCGCAGTTTCCTCCCCGCACACATAGGCTCCCATCCCTCTGTGGATGTACACATCGAAAGAGAAGCCAGAACCGCAGGCATCAGGCCCTAGAAAGCCGGCCTCGTACGCCTGGTTGATAGCATTTTGCAAGATCACTGCCTCGTTGTAGAACTCTCCCCTGATATAAATATACGCTGCGGTTGCATTCATAGCTCTGCCGGCAACAAGACACCCTTCGACGAGCTTATGAGGCTCCTTGCGCATGATTTCTCTGTCTTTGCAGGTCCCAGGCTCACCTTCGTCTGCGTTGACAACCAGATACCTAGGCCCGACGTTTTTGTTCCATCCTGGAGGATTCATAAACGACCACTTGAGTCCACTGGGGAACCCTGCTCCACCACGTCCCCGCAACCCGGACGCCTTAATCTCATCAATGATCCACGTGTCACCCTTGAGGAGAATCTCTTTAGTTTTGTACCAGTCGCCGATTTTCATGGCAGTCTTGAGATCGTAGCTGGGGGTTCCGTGCTTCTTGGAGTTCCCCAAATACAAGTTCTGGAAAATCCTATCTTGATCTGCCAGGCCTCCATAAACTCGGTTGGGTGTATCATCAACCGTGGCAAATGACCTGGCCCTCATTGCCGCCCGTCTGGTCCAACCGCTCGTATGTCTAGGGCTAAATTTTAACATAGTAATTGCGGTGGGGTAAAAAAAAAGGGAGGGAAAAATAACTAGAGAAAAAATGGCTACGAATTTTAGCGTATAGGAGAGAAACCATTCATAAACTTATAAAAATGAATTTGCGTAGGATGAAGGTAAAAGTTGCTATCGTTAAGATCTCTTCTTCTGTATGATTTGAGCACATCCGGACAAGCTCTTCACAGTCTGGGAGTTAGCATGATGAATAAGTTGATACTTACTTGGTGGTGTTACAACTTGGACACTTGCAAGCAGATCCGCACTTGCACCTGGTTTCCTCCTTGCCGCCACAGCAGGTCGATGGCTTCGACGACTTTTCAGAAACGAGATTCTGCGGACGCTGGACGGTGACGGTCTGCGTCCTCTTGTTACCGGAACATCCACAAGCCATGAACGATGAAAAATAAAGATAATGATTGGAAAAATACGCTTCTTATAATATACCGATATCTCGTGCTGTTTTAGGAAGGATGATACGGCGGACAGGACTGCCAGATCAGGAAGCTATAATCAGGGAAAAAAAAATCAGGCAGATAATGAAAAAAAATATAGTATACGAACACTGATTCAATAAATACTTATCGATGATTATATTTTGGATGGAGAAGAAGCCTTTCTTTTGAGCTCCTGAACCTTCTTTCTGATCAGATCTCCAATAATAGGCTCGGCCTTCGAGAAGTATTCGTAAACACGGTCCTGGATGAACTCGTCAGCAGCAGAAACATGGTTTGCAACGTTCTTGACAAGGGACTCCTGTTCGCCTGGCGTCCTGCCAAGAACCTTCCAGAACATCTTTGGCTGGAAGTAGTCATAATCAGTGTGCTCCCAGTGGTATGGGACCACTTCTCCAGTATACTTTTCGTCTGGCTTATTGCCAGATGCCTTAGGGCTCACAGCGTACTGAATAGGACAGTTGTAAGCGTTTGCGTAGTTCGGCGTGCCTCCCAAGTTGCCATCAACACACATAGGACCGTCTCTGTTGATAGGATTGAACGAGCCCGATTTCAGTGGACAGTTGACAGGGATCTGGTGGTAGTTAGGTCCAAGTCTGTGTCTGTGCGTGTCTGGGTACGAAAACAGTCTCGATTGCAAGACAGGGTCGTTCGAAGGCTCCATTCCAGGAACGGTGTGCGAAGGAGAGAAGGCAATCTGCTCCGTTTCAGCATAGTAATTCTTAGGATTCTCATTAAGAGTGAATCTGCCAAAGTGTCTCAGCGGGAAGTCCTTGTGTGGCCAGACCTTGGTCAAGTCAAACACAGAGAATGGCAGCTTCTTGGACTGCTCAAGGGTCATGGTCTGGATGTAGCACTCCCACGATGGATAATCTCCTTTCTCAATTGCTTCCCACAAGTCTCTGGTGGAGTGGTCTGGATCTTCTCCAGCCAGCCTTCCAGCTTCCTCGTCGAGCAGATTGTGCACGCCTTGGTTGGCAATGAAGTGGACCTGCACATACACCCACTCGCCCTTGGAATTGTACCATTTGTAGGTGTGGCCAGAGTAGCCGTTCATGGTTCTGTACGAGGCAGGCGTACCTCTGTTGGAGAATAAATACATGACTTGGTGCAAAGACTCGTCATTGGCCGTCAGGTAGTCCCAGAACATGTTTGGGTCCTTCAAGTTGGTGGCCGGGTTTCTCTTCTGCGTGTGAATAAAGTGGGGGAACTTAATTGGGTCCCTGATGAAGAAGATCGGCGTGTTGTTGTACACAAGGTCCAAGTTTCCGTCTTCTGTGTAGAATTTGGTAGCAAATCCCCTTGGGTCCCTGGCTGTGTCTGCAGAACCTTTTTCTCCACCCACAGTGGAGAATCTGGTGAAAATTCTTGTCTTCTTACCAACAGTGTCGAGGAACTTGGCACTGCAAACATCGGTAATGTCGTCGGTCACTTCAAACACACCGTAAGCTCCGGCACCCTTGGCGTGCACCACTCTCTCTGGAATTCTTTCTCTGTCAAAGTGGGAGAGTGTGTCAATGAGCTTGAAGTCCTGCAAGAGCAATGGACCAATTGGAGGGGCATACTTGTAGCCCGTGGAATCCAGAGGGATCCGTTGGGTGGTGAAGGGATCCGACACGGGACAACCTTGCGAAGTAGTGAAAACAGGGGGGTTTGACATTTTGTTCAACAGTGATTAGCCAAGTTGGGGTGCGGCCGGGAGCCTTTATATATTTTTGCTTAGGCTTCAATTAGTACTGTTGCCCCCGCCTGCATGCATAGACTATTATTTTACTAGTTTCAAAATTGCTGACATATCTGAGGAGAGTTTCTGGACTTGGTTGCATAATTAATAAGAGTCACTCTACAGTTGCTCTCCGATCACGAGATCCATGCTGAATGCTGAATGCTGATGACCAATTGTCTTCAAGAAACAGCACTTTGCATCGTTCACCCGCCGCGGTACAGCAAAATCCACAAACTTGTCGAGCACATTTTTTGGACTTGCTGCGTTTGTGGGGCCAATTGGGTTGCTTGAATTTGTAAGGCTGGATTAGGAAATCGCAATCATTTCAGAATCGTTGCGGTGCGAGGAGTGACTGATATAGGCTACGGTTATTTCCTTCTCAAAGCGGGCTGTGCAACAATCTTTTTCTTATGGTGTTCTCTCACAAACTGTAAGTAGTCGTCATTGTTGTTGTCTGACCGTCTAGATCGTACTGGATCCCATTTTGCTCGGCAAAACAGGCCCGCATTGCACAGAGCTCGCTCCAGCCCGACCCGACGCTCAAGCCCAGCGAGCTGCAGGCTGTTTACACCGTCGACGACAACGTCCTCACCATCACGTTCGACGGAGTTTCCGAGAGAGCGATTAGGGTCGCGGCGAACAACACCATCGAGAACCTGAAAACGGTGATTGAGTGTTTGGAAGAGTTTGAAATTAAGTCTTGTTAAATTACACCAGTCTCTCTTCAAACCTAAGTTCGTCCAAAGGCTCGAGACCAATAAGGATACGCAAGAAGTTGTCCAGGCCCTGTCTCTGCTTGTTGAGCCCGTTGATGGCCTGGTAGCCCGGCCGAGTAAGCGGAGCCTTGAGCCAGTAGCTCAAGAAACTCAGCACAGAGTACATGTCGGCATACTTGTTGTCAGAAACCTTTTTGTAGGTGACTCTGGACAAAAACTCGGTCATGACCAGCAAATCGATGATTAAAGGTGTGGCTAGCAACGAGTCCTCGCAAACGTTGTGAATGCTGATTCTGTTGTGGCCTCCTAACATTAGCTCGGAATAGTACTCGTCCATTGCAACCTTGGAGTCTCCAACTGCATTCAGGTACTTGATCACAATGCAGTGGTCGATTTTTCTGCCCAGCTTGTCGTTGTACAGAATCTCGTTCGACGCAATCACGTCGTCCACCACAGACGCCTTGGAGATCTCCTTGGACCGGAACTGTCTAGGCGACGAGAGATTGTATCCGTCGTTGTTTCCCAGATGGTTGTAAGATGCAATGGAAACTGGCCGAATTCCCGCATCGACCAAAAACTGTGCCAGCACAGACTTCAGCTTGGTCTGACCGCTCTTGAAGTCGTCTCCGCCAATGTAGGTGCAATTATTTTCGGCAAGCTCAATAACTCCAGGAACGAAAGTGTTCTGTGGACTTCCGTTGATGTAAGGGACGTGCTCCAGGATACTGGCCACGGCAAACACCGTGCTAGGCGCGATCTCCTCGTGGTCCTTCTTGATGGACTCGAGCAGGTTTTCTGCCGTGTCGTTCACACCTGACACCACATCCGCGTATCTCTCGGTGTTGGCCGTCCACAGGACGATGACCTTGTCGAGCTTGTTGGCGGCCTTGAATTCGCGGATATCCTTCCTGATTTGCTCAACATGGCTCCACTTGCCGGTGGTGTGAATCTCACCGTTAACTCTGTTGAAGCAGTTATTTGCTCTTTCGTCCTGGTTGGCAGCAATGAAGTCTGGGTAATAAATCGACTTCAGCGGCACGATCTCCTTCATCTGCTCTTTGAGCTTCTCCTGAAGGTCGTACTCCAAGACCTGTGCCTTTTGCATGGCGACAGCGAGATTGTCGCCGTTGATGTCCCAGCCGCCAACGACAAAATCGTTAGGGTTCACCATAGGAAGCAACGAATTGAAGGGAGCATACACATCTTGGCCCTTGGAGTTGATGCCGAGCTTGATGGTGGACGACTGAGTGACCGAGCCGTAGTAATTGGCAGTCTTGAGTCCCTCTTTTGTGTGGAATTGCAGCTGGTTCCTGTTGGCAAGGATGGAAGCAACAAACGTGGTTCCGTTGTTTCCTCCTAAGCCAACGAGCATGACACCCACTTTAGGGACTTTGAGGTCAACCTTGAAGTGGTATGGCTCTTCAAAAGGCTTGACAGCGAAAGAGCCGTCGGACTGCTTGTCAACTATGGCGTTTTTGTACACATAGTTGGTGACGAGCTCGCTTTCGGAGAATTTGGCTTTGTCTGTCTGCACTTTAACTTTAGGGACAAATTGGACTGTCATGATGAATTCGATGGTTGCATAGGGGGGAAAGCATGCGTATTTATAGCGAGAGCCGCCAGACATGAGCTGGAGCTGCCCTTGTAGCTGGACAGCACATCTCGGCGAGTTCGCCGAAATTCTCACACTGTGATTGGCCATCGGCGAAAAACACACTCGCCCAAAATGGAAATTTTGGCCGTGGAGCAGCCCCGCGCACCGTGTCCTCTCCCAACAGCATGTGCGCGCATAATACCGGCAGAACCACAAAGAATGCTCTTCTGCCTCGTTTGAGATCGAATTGGGAAGGTGTGCGACAGCTGATTCGCAGCTAACAACACATAGCCGTCTCTGATTGGCGGAGGGACTGCCAGACCTGCTTTTTTGCGCCTTGATTTATGCTGCAAATGATGCAAAAAGGTAGCTGGAGGTTTTCGGAATGTGTTGGGCTCGCTCTTGTTCCTAGTTCCGTAGGGGGTTTCACATGAGCCTCTTTTTGATAATTTATTCTGGCACTCTAACCATAGACTACAAATTTCCGACATGGCTCTGTCACTAGTCGGTAGCAATTGTGCACATACAAGCTTGACAGTAGCATTTCTTGGGAATCCTCGACAAGTTACCTGTCAGGATTTGAGCTGCCCCTTCTCTTTGGGCTAGCTCTATATTAGATGGACTCCTCACACCAATTAATTTTATGGATGACCAGAGTTCACAAATAACAGTAAGAACGAGCACCTCGACCATCCATGCGGTCTCCTTGCATGGCGATCCGTCTGCGGGCTCAGCTTCTCTTTCTGCACCGGAAGAAACAGAGTTGGACGACGACGATGATGATGATGACCCGCTAAAAGTGAAAGAGCTGTCGCTAGCTTTTGACTATCTGATGTTCAAAATACAGGACCAGGCTAGCCAGCTAAGCGAACGGGTAGAGTCACACGTTATGCGCTCAAAAATAGAACACGAACACGACATCCAGGCGATACAGAATAAGTTAGTCCAGATCAAGCAGTTATTGGGCCATTGCGACCAGATAAACCTGGAAATTGATAAGCTTGAACAATTGAACATGATAACCAAAGACTTTCACCAGCGTCTCATAGCGGTGCAGAGCCGAATGAACGCGCACGCTCGAAAATTTAAATAATGCGGTCGTTACTTTAATTTACACTATTTCGCCCATCATACATCTACTGTCTCTTCTTTGTACCGGCCGATTGCCTTCTTCACATGTTGCTCCTCCACCATTTTTTGCTTCAATTGCTCCAGTCGAGTCTTAAACCTAACGCTGGCAAGAACAGCCAGGGCCACAGCACGGAAAGTCCGCTTGGGTTTTTCCTTGCTGATTCCGCCCAGTTTCTGAAGACTGGCCACGACGCGCTCTTTACTCTCCAGCTCCCGCGTGAGAAAGTTGGCCACAAATTTGAGATCAGAATTGCAGTCCTTATACTGTTGCAACTTGATCTTGAACAGCTGTTTCTGGCTCTCTAGCAAATTGACACGGGAGTCCAGTGAGTGGTCACGCGATTTTAGCGAGCGCTGAGGACTGACTGGAGAAAGTGGGTATTCAGTCTTCTTCATTTGCTTGCTCAGAAGCACTTCTTGCGCGGCCTTGGAGCGCTCGAGCTTGGCACGCACCTCGTCTAGCTCTCGGGAAAGAGAATTCTTTTCTTTGCGAAGCGCGTCGTATCTGTTCAGTAAGTCGTTCTTCATTTCGTTGTAGTCATCCACAAGCTTCTTGATCTCCATATCCTTGAGTTCTAGCTCTTTTCGCGAGCCCCGAGAGTTCAATTTATATTTCAAGTCCTCGAGTTCGGTGGTGAGTTTCAGGTTTTCTTCGCTGACGCGCTGTTGATCACTATCAAGCGAGGAGATCGACTCCACAAGCTGTTTCCGCTCCTCAAGAGCATCATCCAGCTTCCAATTCAACTCAGCTAGCTCTTTCGTCTTCATTGAAAGCTCGGTTTTCAAAGCATCGCACTCCCTGCGTAATTCCCTGATCTCCAAGCTATCTGACTTCTCCAAATCATCCCTTGCCTTTATCGACTCAAGCTGTCGTCTTAGACGATTGTTTTCACGCAAACAATCACTATACTTCTCCTCGAGCAGCCTCTTATCCTCCATGAGCTCACGGAGCTGTAGCTTATTTTCAGATTTGTGCAAGCCGGCTTGCTTATCAATCTCAGCGGTCATTTGCTCGATCCGCAACTGCAATCTTTTCATTTCCGCCTCTTTGTACGAAAGTTCATCCTTTAGATCACGCACCAACGAGTCGGACTCATACCTCACATCCTCGAGTTCCTGACATTTGGTGGCATAGGAAAACGATAACTTTTTAAAGTCGCGCTCAAGATCCTGCAACTCAGAGCTTGCGCGCGAGTCATGCATTTTGTCCAGTAGATTGTTGTACTCGAGCTGAATTTTCTCAAAGTCCTTGATAATTTCGAGCTTTTCGCGTTGCAGCTTTTCAATTGCCTCATACAGCTCGTTCTTCTCGTTGACAAACTTGGAATCCATCCTGTCGATCTCGTTGACAAACTTTTTGCGTTCTTGAATAAGTTTGTTCTGTAATTCTTCAACAGTGTCCATCATATCGTTCCTGCTACTACCGCGATCAATATTCCTCAGCCTTTGCAACTCTAGTTCACGGTCTTCAAGATCTTTGCCTTTGGCCTCGAGCTCGAGCTGCAAACGCTTACACTTGTGTTCAGCGTCCTTCAACTTCTCATTCAGCTTAATGATATTGTCGTAGAGAGTGTTTTTCTCTTCCTCAACGGCATCGATATACGATTCGTTGCCCATTTGCTCTGCGCTCTCTGACTCCAGTTTGCGAAGTTCTAGCTGTAGATTGGTGATGGTCTTGGTGTCTTGCTGATGGCGGTTGAACAGTTCTTCGACCTCTTGTCGTAGGTCTCTGTTTTCGTCCTCAAGTTTGCGTATAGTGCTGTTTGATCTGCGGTCCTCCAGATGACGAATCTCGTCCTTTAGCTGGTCCAGGATCTCAGACAATTTGTGGTTCTTGGACTTGAGCTCCTCGTTTTTGGATTCCAAGCTCTCAATCTTGCGCTTCAATTCTGCGTTTTCGCTTGTCTTCTGCTCAAGCTTGTTCCCAATCTCGTCGATAAACTTATTGGCGTCGTTCAAATTGTCCACTAGGTCGTCTATCTTGTTCTTTGAGTGCGACTGGTCGTCAATCTTGTCCTGCAAATCCTCCAACCGCGAATGTAATGCTCGGAGCTCTGCTTCCAGCTTTTCACGCGAGGCTTGTAGTCGGTCTTTCTCGTCCATCAACGTGTGCACTTCTTGCTCCAGATCAAGTACACGGTCCTCGTTCTTGTCTGCGCGCTGACGCTCGGCCTGCAACTCGCGTTTTATGTGCTCAAAGTCCCGAAGTTGCGCCTCGTATTTCTCGATCTCCTGCTCATAGTGTCGAAATTGTTTCTTATTGTGCGATCGTAAGTTTTCCTTATCTTCGTCTTGCAAGCGATGTTGCAAAAGTTCCACCCTGTCTCTCAAGTTCACATTCTCCTGGCTGAGCTCAACGTTCTGATTGATGATATCGACTTTGTCCTTGGGTTGGCCTTCTAGGTACTTTCTCAGAGTCAGGAGCTCGATTCGTAGATTCAGGTTTTCTTCCTGCAAGCTCTGCACCTGGTCGTGCTGTTTGCGCAACAAATTACTGCCATCCTCCACAAACACGTTGTTTTTGGCATCACGCACCATTGGCTCTGTGTCGTTGTCGGAGAAATCAGGCAAAATATCTGCTCCCCTGAAAACACGGCCGTCTCTGTTGTCGTCATTTAAAACATCAAATGTTTCATCAAAAGAAGAATTGGTGATGCTGCCTCGCTTGACTGGCGACCCCTTCTCAACGCTCGTTTTCTGTGCCATGTTGCGTTGCAGCATCGGGAAATACCCGCTAGTGGAAATGACGGGTTTCCTGTTGGCTCCTATCGGTGTGAACTCAAGTCCAGAGCCTCTCTGGGCCCGTCGATCTTCTCGGGGAGTATTAATGAGAGGCTTGTGGGACGAAAACATGTCGAGAACGCGCAACTGCAGACCCCAATGATAACAAACTCTTGTTTGTTTACAGATGTTTTATTTTTTTGCGCGTCGCCAATTTGTAGATATGTATTACATAAGCACACCAGGCCTATATATCGTTGACTGCCTTGACAAAGTTATCCAATGCCTGTTTTGCGGCTCCAGAGCTCACGCTTTTCCGTGCGAGTTCAGTTCCCTCTTTCCAGGAGGACGCCAGGCCACCCACAACGGCCAAAGCTCCCGTATTCATCAATATATAGTCTACAACTGGATGTGCTCCCGGTGACAGGTCAACTTCATTGTTGAGGATTTTCGTGAGCAACTCAGCGTTTTCCTTTGGCGTTCCAGACCTCACCACTTCCAGCGGATGCTCGGGCAGTCCAAAATCGGCAGGATGCAGCTTGAACTCGTCAATCTGGTCGGTTTCTCTATTATATCTCCAGACCTTGGTGGCCCCGACCGGCGCGATTTCGTCGAGGACAACCTCGCCAAAGACAACCATCGTTTCTGCGGGCTTTCTACCGCTTTTCCTGTCTAGCTTGACGGCCGCTTCGCAGTAGATCTTGCCGAGCGCCTCGGTGTAGACGCCGAGGATACGAGCCTTGATAGGAATCGGGTTCAACAACGGCCCTAAAATGTTGAAGATAGTTGGGATACCGAGACTGGCACGCACAGGAGCCACCTTGGCCATTCCATGGTGGAAAGCAGGAGCGAAAAGGAAGCACAGTCGCGATGACGCGACGATTCCAGGCACGCTTTTGCTGTCCACCTTGTGCAGCTTGACGCCGAGATTGGTCATGAGATCTCCAGCTCCCGAGGTCGACGTCGACGCCTTGCCGCCGTGCTTGCTCACCTTGAGCCCCATTCCGGCGCCGACGATGGCAGCCGACGTAGAGACGTTGAAAGTGTTTTGGCCGTCGCCACCGGTGCCAACCACGTCAATGTAGCCGTCTGGGTCAACGGTGTGGCCCGGAATGACATCTGAAAACTGCAGGATGGTCTCAACGGCGGTGGCTATGTACTCTGAGTCGAAGTCGAGGCCGCGGATACGGAGAGCGGTCAGGAGGGATGCCAGCTCGATGTCGTTGGTTTGGCCCTGGAAAACAAGCCGAAGGGCAGCTGCAAAGTCTCCGACGGAAAACGACGCGGGATTGTCCACGAGTTTGCGGAGGTACGGCGTCAGCACCTTGGACATTGCAGCAATGATTTTGTCTAGAGTTGAAAAAGTGAGCCATAGGCACCCCTACACCGCTTACAGCGCATATGTTTGTAGATTAATTTGGAAAACTAGAAAACGCGTTCGACAAATTTACACAACAAAACGAAAACCATGTCTCAAGCCGCTATTGAGCCGATCGGCATCACGAATTTGCCAAACCAACGGTAAGTAAGAATGATTCCCAATTCTAATTCCCTAGGTACAAGATCGTGTCGAAAAAAGGGGCCACGTTCACCATTATGCTTGCTGGCGAGTCTGGACTTGGAAAGACAACGTTCATCAACACATTATTCCAGACGACTCTCAAGACACATCCAGAACTGCGCAATAGACTGAACAGCCCAATCAGAAAGACTGTGGAGATCGACATTGTCCGGGCCGAGCTGGAAGAGAAGAACTTCAAGCTGAACCTCAACGTTGTGGACACGCCAGGGTTTGGAGACAACGTCAACAACAAGAACGCCTGGCAGCCTATCATTGACTTTATCGACGACCAGCACCACTCGTATTTGAAGCAAGAAACCCAGCCTGTGCGTGCAAACAAAAAGGACTTACGTGTCCATGCCGTGCTCTACTTTATTCGCCCTACGGGCCACACGCTCAAACCGCTAGACATCGAGGTGATGAAGAAGCTGGGTACGCGTGCGAACCTGATTCCAGTGATTGCCAAAGCGGATACGCTGACTCCCAACGAAATGCTTGAGTTTAAGAAGAGAATAAGAGAGATTATCGAGGTCCAGGACATCCGGATCTACTCGCCACCAATTGAGCTGGACGACCAAGCTGCGTCGGAGCACGCGAAGCAGCTGATCGAGTCCATGCCATTTGCGGTGATCGGGTCCGAGGAGGAGTTCGAGGTGGATGGTACTTATGTAAAGGGCAGAAAGTATCCGTGGGGCTTTGTGGACGTGGAGAACGACCAGCACTGCGACTTCAGAAAGCTGAGAAGCCTGCTTCTGAGAACCAACATGCTAGACCTAATTCTGTCCACCAACGAGCTGCACTACGAGACTTTCCGCACCATCAAGATGCAGGACGGCACTCAGGGCGACTCTGACAGCACCGCGGCCCTGGACAAGAAGCTTGACCGGTTCTCGAGCAATCCGAAGTTCTTGGAGGAGGAGAAGCGCATCAAGCGCTACTTTGCCGAACAGCTGAGAAATGAAGATCAACGGTTCAAACAGTGGAAACAGAACATTCACACAGAGAAAAACAGACTGAACCACGATCTGGCTACTCTGCAGAACGAGCTCAAGACGCTTGAGGAGCAAGTCAAGGCCTTGAAGGAAAAGAAAGGACGGATGTAGAGATTTTCACCAAAAGGATTAAACACTACTTATTTACGCAAAGTACGCTCTGCTAACCTCAATCTTTAAATTACATCTCTCTAATCAGCATTTCTCTTAGCGGCCTTCTTCTGGGCCTTTCTCTCAGTACCAAAGATCTTCTTGCCTCTGTTCTTCTTCTGTTTTCTTTGTTGTCTGGAGGCCTTTTCAACCTTCTGGGCAAGACCGTATCTGACGAGTCTGTAGGCTGGTTCGAATTTCTTGGCGTCAGCAACAGAGTTGTAGACGAGACCGAAACCGGTCGACTTTCCACCACCGAAAGCGGTTCTGAAGCCAAACACAGAGACAGAGTCCTTCTCAACTTTGTAAAGAGCAGACAGTTGGTCTCTCAACTCGTCCTTGGACACGTTGGCTCTGTTTGGGTGGATGACATCGATGACAAATTGTCTTCTGTTCAACAGTGGGTTGGTGATGACCTTTCTGGTTCTGATGGTGATAGCGTCAGACTGCGATGTTAGTTTCGAGCTCATTTCGTCTACTTACCATTTTGTTCAAGATACTAATTTTTTTCGTCTGAAAAACTTTACAAAAATTAAATGGCGCGAGGTGTCGGTGCAAGGAGTGACAGACAGTCACACGTCTCTCCTTATCCAACAGCAGGGGCCCTCGAAGTATGTTGACAGGCTAGGAATCCGGCACATTCTGGGCCAGACAGAGATTAACATTCAACGATGCCCCCTAAGGACCACTTTGTTGCATGACACATACTTTTGCTATTAATCTATTTCGTTACTGTTGCGGCCCATAGCTGCTACCCTAGGCCCTTATTCTCAGCGTAAAGTTCACAATCACAGCAATAAGCAGGAAAAAACAAAGCATCGTAGGGCCAAACCGATCGTCGTAAGGTCCAGATCCACGTCTTCTGATGGCAGCGGCTCTCCAATGGTATGTGACCAGTGCATAGATCATGGTGCCCATAGCAATCAACGTAAATAAAGAGGCCGAGATTCTCCCCACTTTATCGCCAAAGTTGAGAAGACCAATAGCCAGCGATCCAAGAACCACGGTGAAGTTCAGCCACGAAAGGAATGTTCTCTCGTTGGCAAAAAACACTTTAGGCTCGACCCTGGTGGGCAGGGCAATTCGCTTGCCGGGAGCTGTATGTTAGAGCTGCCTTGATGCAGCAGTCTGCGATGGCTCATACTTACTAGCTTGTAGAAGCGGTGCCGAAGACATGGAGAAGAATTCTGTCCTAGCAGCAGTAAAATTATTGTTATCACACGTGCGTTAGATATGACCAGCTGACGTAAGCACAACCAGCGAAATATATGACAACTTTTTATGGTGCAGAGATGGCATGTCTGTGTTGGAGGTGGATCTACTCAACGGCGACAAGCTGGTAAGTTTGCGAGGCAACTAGTTCTAACTTCAGCCGGTGACCAAAAAAGAACTGGCAGACCAGCTGGACACGCTTTTCAAGGGAGATGTTTCCGAGTATGTCGAAAATGTGCTGGCCAAGCTGACGCAAACATCTTCCAAGTACAAGTATGTCGTCAATGCGCACCTGATCGATTCCAAGGAGGCCGATTGCGGGATCCAGTCATTTTTTGGTGCCGCGTGGAATAGTTCTACGGATGGCACGGCTACGTTGAAAAAAGAGCTGGACAACGGATGGCTAGTGATTACCATAGTTTTTTTACGGCGAGAATAGATTAGAGTCGTGACTATTTTGCTTTGAAGTTGGACATGAACGTTGGCGTGAAATTCTCCGGCTGGTAGAGTTTCGAAATGTGCATGCATTCACCGACGATGAATTTGATCTTGCTGTCCTTTAGTCGTTTGCACTCCAGGACCAGCCTCAAAAAGTCGACCGGTAAATCGTTGAATACCTCCAAATACCCTGGCCACGCGTCTAGATACTGCTGCTCGTTTTCAAACGTGGCGAGGTATATGAGGATGTCGAAGATGTAGACGTGGTCCTCGATGATCTGAGAATTTTCGACGTAGTTGGAGAACTGTGTGTTGATGAGATGTCCGTCGCGCTCCATGGTCGACTCGAACTTCTTGGTGTCGATCTTGTTTCTGGCATTAAGTGCCTGTAGATAGTGCAACAAGTACGCGTCATAGACAAGCTCAAATAGCGACTCAAATAATTCTGCATCCAAGTATTCCTTGAGCGGAACCATATATGAGTCCACAATCTGCAGCGACGTTCTCACCATCTCATCGCTCTTGTACCACTTTTTGGTGAACACCTCGCTCAGATACGGGTCATACTCGACCACAATGAACCCGTTGAGTTTGACTAAGCATTCTGTTCCCAGATTCAGAACATGCTGCGTCCCCTGGGAAAGAATGCTCTGGAGTTGGGGATGGAACTTTGAGTGGACCATCTGCTCGACCTCCTTGAATTGACTTTCAAGCCCATTGACCAGTCGCACGCAGTCGTTTGCAAGAATTGTGACGTACCGAGGAAGCCAGCCGACGTTCTCGTTGTCCGGGGCCTCGGCGGCGGCGTTCCACTGCCGTGCACCGTTCTCAAGCGCCTCGATCCATCTGTCGTAGAACTGGCGAAGAAACTGCGCACAGAAAAATTGCAGATACTCTATCAGGATCGGGCTGTCCCCAGCGTCGAGCAAAGTGTTCATGTTGGAACGCAGGATCTCGATCAGAATCTGCGCCATCTCGATTCCCAGCTTTTCAGAGGACGAGTCGGACGGTTCTTTCTCCATGGTGCTGAAAAGCTTCAGCGCTGGACCAAATGCGTTCTCGGCCCACTCGCGAGTTTTCTTAATATTGAATTCCAGACACTCGTTGAGCAGCCGCCTGCGCTCGTCGGTGCTGAGCAACAAGTACGGCTCGACCTGTTTCTTGGTAAACCCAAACTTTTCCCTGATAGCCTGCGCATTGTCGTAGTCAAAAGTGAGCACACGAACGATATACGACGAAGGCAGCGTCGGGTCTGCCACAATGCGCTTCACAACAGCACGCAAGCTGTTCTGGTACCATTCCAAAATCTTGTTGAAAAACTTCCAGCTCGCAGGGAACCCACGCTCTGACCCCACTTTGTACGCCACAAGAATCTCGTAATAGTTCTCCTCGATGATAGAGAGCACCTCATTCGGGTCTGAGCCTTGCACAATGGCTTCGAAACTCGTCTCGATCGACTCGCGGAAAAACCCGTACACCAGTTTTTTGTAGTCGCGCGGAGCAGTGCGTTTGACGTACGTGGCCAGCCTGCTGACAGCCATTTCGTCCTTGCTTTTAGACTGGGTGATGAGGTGGTTCATCAAAGCGAGTCTGAGGTCTTCCTTGTCCTCAAACTCAAGGATTTTCACCAGTTTCACTATGAGTCCAAAGTTGGAACATCCAATGATGCTGACAAAGTTATCGACGATGAGTCGCAGCAGATGCTCAAAGCGAGCAACAACATCATCCAGACGCAAAAATGACTGCACCACGATCGAGCGCAAGCCTGCCCGACTCGCTTCCGACAGGTGCATGAGCTCATCCTTAAAGTCGCGCAATCTGTTCAGTTCGTAATGGATGAGCAGAAGATTATTTGCCGGAGAGTCTTCTGGAAAATAGTCATTTTCAGGAAGTTCTTCATCGAGCAGCTTGTCCACGTAGGCAATACGGTTTTCCAATTGGACAAAGTTGTTGTATGTGGTCACAACTTTCTCGAAATTCGAGTACACCACCGACGACTTGTCGAAGAGCTCGTATTTGTTGATATTTGACACAGATTGCTGTCTGAGACTTTCGACCTTGCTGAGGTTGTCTTTCAGGTTTTTCAGGTCTTTGCTGGACGCCTGCAGGTTTTCCAGGACAGCAGTAATGATGGCGATTCTCTTGTCACACTCAATCTTCAGTTGCGACCCCACCGACGCCCTCTCTTTCTTCAAGTCATTACGCAGCAACTCAATACGCTCAAGGTCGTCCTCGTCGCGTAGGAGATCGTTTACTTTAGAAAGTACCGAAACGTCGGGTGCCATGTAAACAAAAAATTAAATTATTTATACAAGATTTCTTGATTTGATATATTTTTTCCTTATGCCAGCTCCTTCTTGATAACAAATGCCTCGATCGCAGCCATCGCAGCATATAATCTGTTTTCACCCTCCTCGAAAACAATCGAGTTGTCACTGTAGAAGACTTCGTCAGTGACCTCCTCCTGGTGACGAGGAAGACAATGCATGAACTTCCAGTTAGGAGCAGCCAGCTTCGTCAGGTCCGAATTCACCTGGAATCCGGAGAACTGCTGTAGTTTTTTCTGTTTTTGCGCCTCCTCGCCCATGGAGATAAAGGTGTCCGTCACGATGATATTGGCGTCGGTGCAGGCGTGCTTTGGATCATTTGTCACCTCGAAAGAGGCTCCGGTCTCCTGCGAGATCGTCTTGGCGACGTCCACGATGGTAGGGATCATCTCAATTCCACGAGGAACAGCAACAGACACCCGGATTCCAGATCTCAGCGCAGCAATAGCCAGGTCGTTGATGACGTTGTTGGCGTCGCCAACCCACGCAAGCTTCAGACCTTTCGTCTCGCCAAAGGCTTCCTTGATAGTCAAGATATCGCAAATGGCCTGCAGCGGATGGTACGTGTCACACAGCGAGTTGATAATCGGCACGCTGGAATGCTCGCACAGTTGCTGGATCTCAGAGTGCGAATTCACTCTCGCAAAGATACAAGAGGTCATCGAGGACACAATACGGGTGGTGTCGTAGAAAGACTCGTTCACACCGAGCTGGATGTCGTCCTTGCCCAAAAACATTGGGTGTCCGCCAAAATACACTGCAGCACCTTCGGTCGAGATTCTGGTTCTGGTGGATCTCTTGGAGAAAAGCATTGCGACCAGCTTGCCTTTCAAGGCCTCGCTAATCTCAGAGCTCACTGGCTGGCCAGATTTAAATATTTTCTTGTGGTGTGCGGCACGGTTCACCAGAGAGGTGAACTCGGGGGTGGTAAGGTCGGAGATCGACACCAGATGCTTGATACCTTTCGTCATTCCCGAAAAAGATCTCTTAAATGCTATAGTCTTAGACATTCTCGACTGCAGACGATTGTGGAGTATTTATAACTTGAGTCACGACGCAAATTTTTCAGGTTTTCCTTGGATCACCGAACAACTTTAAGCGCACTGGGGACGAATTGCCATTTTCGGAAAACAGGTCGATCGACCCTTTATTGTCATGGCACTAGCATAAACCCTTCAATTGTTCTTCGATCGCGCGCCGTTGCACGCTCAAGTCAACGATCCTTTGTTGTAGAACGGCTTGTTTCTCCGTGGCATTGTTCTCTGCAGCCTGCAGGTTGCTGATATGCTCTTTTAGTCTGCTCACCTCGGCCTCGTAATCTAACTCTTGCTCATCCTCTGAAAGCTGAGCATGATAGAGTGCTTCTTCAATCTCCTCCTGTCTCAAAAGCCTCTGCACACGTTGTTCGCCAGCCCCCACTGCAAATCGGCCGTCGCCGAGTCGATCATCCAAATCGATGTCGAAATCGATGTCGTCGTCTATACCGCGTCTCGTTTTGAAGTCATGCTCTGAGTCATAATCTTCGTCCAGCTCCTGCTGTTTCACGCTCTCCAATTTACCAAGCTGAGCTCTGTATCGGCGCTCCTTGAGTTCTTTTATCTGCAATTCGTCAGGAATCTGCGTCGGAGCTTCCACCATCGCGGTCTCGGCTACTTCCTTCGTGTAATCGTTATACCGACTCAACATTTCCAGCGCACTTTTGTGCTCCGTGCTCGGTGCATGGGCCTCGTTGGTCATTCCCATTTTGATCCTGCTTTTGCGTGTCACCTTGATGTCCAGATCAGGGTCTTCCTCTGGCTGCGGCGACGACCCGCGCTCGGCCATGGTCTTCTGCCGTCCTTCGCCAACTTTGCGCTTCCTGCTTTTGAAAATCGGTCGTGTTGGCTTTGATGGCGTTTCGTTCTCGTGATCGCTAGGAAATGATATTCGTCTCATCGTGCATACATATAATAAAAAAATTCAAAAAAAAATCGACTATTCTTGACGATTAGAAAATGAGCGTCAAAACAGAAGAGTCCACGATCCGAGACGCAAACGGAAGCTTTGCCGAGACATGTACAAAACTCCATCGTGATATGCTTGCAAGAGGCCAGTCCTCATACACCCAGGAGGAACTGCTGGAGATCAGCAAGATGGACTCGAATCAGGAACTGATGAAATGCGTTCAGGAACTTCTTAACAGAGGAATAGTGCGATTGCTAGAGAGCAAAGATCGTAAGGTGCTGTTCCAGCCAATAACAGAGGCCGAAGCTGCGAAAATCAACAACATGACCAGCGACGAGGCAATGGTGTACTCTTATATCGAGGCTGCTGGACGGGAAGGCATATGGACGAAAACAATCAAAGCGAAAACGAATCTCCATCAGCATGTGGTTCAGAGATGTCTCAAATCCTTGGAAAGCCAGTCGTACATTAAATCTGTGAAATCGGTCAAATACCCGCAGCGAAAGATCTATATGCTATACCATTTGACTCCCTCCATTGAAGTCACAGGAGGCCCCTGGTTTACAGATAGCGAGCTCGACTCGGATTTTATCGACTCACTGCTTATTGTCATATGGCGATTTGTGGCCTCAAAATCGTACCCCAAATGTTTCAAGAAAGGAGGGATGGATGTCGAACAGTACTCATATCCCGTTTCGAACAACCATAATCTGCCCTCGCTTGAAGAGATAAGCCGCTTTATTGGATCTAGTGGAGTCACATCGGTGGAACTAAGTCTTTCGGATATAAGGTCGTTGTGCTCTGTGCTCGAATACGAGGAAAAATTGGTCCAGGTGGACAATCTGTACAAAGCAACATGGCAAAGCGTTCTGGAAGCCGGTGGCGGACGTTACAAAGGTGTCGACGTGTTTGCTCCTCAGCACAATCAGATTTTTTCCATCAGTGACACTTATAGAGTCATGAATCCTCTGGGCGATGAGGAGGAAAACAAGGACGACACTTTGTACTTGGATTCATGGATGAGCACATAAACAATAATATCATTAGCATCCCATGGAATAATCTGGCGGGAACTTGAGGGTATAGTTGTAACTTGGGGGAGGCTCGATCCCCAAATGACTTTCATGTCGTAGGACTTGCAATTTCGTTGACATAGTAAGCTGTATTTTTTTGTTTCGCAGTGTACCAGCTTCGTCAATCATGGAAGCATTCGACATTGTCCAATCATCGTCGATGCTCTGGCTAGACTTGGTGGATTCGGAGCAGATGGAAGACAGCGGAGACTTTTGTGAACAGCTGATCTCTTCCACTAGGAGGCTTATTTCCACTTTGTGGGATATTTCGAGCACCCCGTCAGTGTTGGAGAGTGTTATTGAGGGATACAAGAGGACGTTGTTTTTCTTGAATTTGATGTAGCCAGTTTCTATCGGAAGTTTCAATTCGAGATCGTTGCCTGGTGGTTCACGGTTGTACAAGGGGACCTTATCCTTGTGCACTTTTCGTTCCCTTCGTGTGTGCTGAACAAGAGTTATCTTAACTCGATGGATTTTGTAGCGGTCGTAATGCAAGGGGATGAACTTCAAGTTGATGCGAATGAAGTCTCCCAAATAAATCGTTTTGTTATTCACAGACATTCTGTAGATCAGCAGGTTTCTCCAGTTCCCAAAAGCAATTGAGTCTTCAACTTCCGGATAAACTTGACATTTCACTACGGTAAGCAACGTCCTGCATGTCTGCACCTTGAAGGTGGATCCAGGGTTGATTATCTCGATCTGCAAAAAGTAGCTAACATTTGCAATGTGGTGCGAGAAAGATTGGGGAACATTACCATCCAGCAAAAACTCAAAGGGGAAATAGTACGTGCCCTGTTCCATCCAATTGCAGTGCCACTGTCGTTTGGGGTTGATCTGGATCTCTGTCGATTTGTCGAGCTGTGTTTTCCCAATCAGCTGGACTGTAAGCGAGGGGATATTGATTTGCTTTTTTTTTATCCTCAAAACAAGACATCCTCGGATAGGCACCATTGTATCAGGCTTGAGAAACACCTTGCGGTCCAAAAGCTGGACCCCCAGCTCGTAGCTGCGATTGCTGATGAATTGCCTTTTTTGGAGTAGCTGGCTGATCAAGTGGGACATAGTTGAGAAAAAGAGAAAAGGGCATATAAAGGAGACAGTGAAAAATATATTTACAGTAGTACTCTTGAAGCTATTTGTATGGGGTATCAAACCGATGGTAGCAAGTGTTATAGCTTACCAGCTATCGTTCGGTCTTCGGTCTATAGGCATGAGATAGAAGACGGAGACAACGGAGACACTTTAGACTAACGAACTCTGCGATTCATGGCCTTTAGCACAGCAAGGCATAGCGACAACCTATTCCTCAGGGTCCTGTAGCGCCAAATGCACAAAAAAAATTATGGGGCATGATCCTTTTACTGAAGGAAGCACAAGGCGAGCAGCAAAAAATTCGACGCGACTGTTTTTTTTTTGCCACACATTACCTTTCCTCCATTTTGGTGACCCAACTAGATGTCATCATTGTCATCTCTGCAAGGAGCTAGCGGCAAGCTGCTCAGGAGAATTCGTAAGTATAAATCGCCCAATGCCCGCTAACATTGCAGATCGCGCGTGTCGCCCGTCGCTGGACGAGCCGAATGCTGCGTTGAACCTTGAGATTTGCGACCTGATAAACGAGAAGCAGGGAAATCTGTAAGTATAAAGACAAGCTTGACTAACACCGCAGTCCGCGCGAAGCAACAGTGGCAATTGTGAAACTGATCAACAGCAGAGATCCGCAAGTTTCCGAATTGGCTCTTTCGGTAAGTTAATTTAGATGCATCCAATAGTGCTAACCTGATATAGCTGCTTGATTTTCTGGTCAAGAATTGTGGATATCCGGTTCATTTGCAAATCTCAAGAAAGGAGTTTTTGAACGAGCTGGTGAAGAAGTTTCCGGAAAGGCCTCCGCCTGTCTACACCCGGACCCAGAGGCTGATTCTGGGCACTATTGCCGAGTGGGTCCAGACGATCTGTAAGACCTCCCGTTACAAAGAGGACCTAGGATACATAAGAGACATGCACAGGCTTCTCAGAAGCAAGGGATATGAGTTCCCTGCTGTCAAAAAGGAGGACGCAGCGGTCCTCAACCCAAGTGACAATCTCAAGTCGATAGAGGAGATTCAGAGGGAGGAGAGGATTGCACAGAGCGCCAAGTTGCAGGAGCTCATCAGACGAGGCAGACCACAAGACCTGAAGGAGGCCAACGAGCTCATGAAGATCATGTCTGGCTTCAAGCACGACGAGACTTTGGACGAGACCAGACAGCGAGTCAACGAGGACGTGGAGAAGGTCAGCAGGAAGGCCGAAATTCTGGAAGAAATGCTGAACAATGCCACAAATTCAGGAACTTTCGATCCATCGGATGAAACCATTTCTGAGCTAATCAGCGCCCTGAAAGTTGCCCAGCCAAAGCTGCAAGTTTTGGTCCAGGAAGAGTCGGACGATCAGGAGCAGGTCGGGCGGTTGCTTTCTCTGAACGACAAAATCAACTCAATTCTTCAAAAAGCAGACCTCTTGAAAGAAGGAGACATGGCCAACGCTTCAAAAGTCAAGATTTCAGGGGCAGGGTTCAACCTTATTGATTTTGACGACGAGCCTTCGCCTGCACCTTCCAACAACTCTGCCCCAGCTCCAACTTCAAACGACGCCATTGCAGACCTTCTCGGGGATCTTGGTGGACTGTCGTTTGAGCCTAAAAAGGGAACAAGCACGGGCAACGAGAGCGTTGGCAACTTGGGTGGATTTGGTGCCATTAATTTGCTTGACACCAACACCAGAGAACAGTCTCCCTCGGTGGACATTTTGTCTGGATTCTCTTCTCCCGTGCAGAACACGGGAACGTCTCTGCAGCCTGCGCAAACCGCTGTTCAGCCAGCTGCCTTGGACCCATTCCAGTTTGATTTCGCCTCAGTGACCAGCCAAACCAGCACTGCAACGACAATGGTGACGGACGGTAGCTTAAAGATTGATTATGTCATTGATCAAAAACAACCTCTGTCGTTGACTTTCAAGTTTGGCAACACGTCCCCCCTATCCACGCTCTCGAAAATACAATTCTCCATTGCAGTGACGAAAAGCTTCGAGTTGACTATGCTTCCTCCGTCCGGGTCGGCCATTGGCCCCGGATCCGGCACGGTGACCCAAAAGGTCACCATCAAGCACAAGAACGGTGAGCCTTTCAACTCCACTAAAATCAAATTCAAGTGCGATTATGAGGAGAACGGCACTGCCAAGGAAACAAGCGGCGTCGCAACAATTTCGTTTTAAACCAGGATTTCTTCACAGACTGTAAGAATAGAATTAGACATCAAACATTGTAGTTGCATTATGCTATACTCACTAATATACAAAGCGCTTCATCTCATGTTTTTCATTGTCGGTGAAGACACGAAGCTGTTGTTTGCCGATGACGGCACTGACGGCGACTGCTGGTTCACCACCGGCACCACATTGGTTCCCGGTTGCGGTGAAAACCGTGTTGTAATCGCCGACGAGTTCATTTTTTTTGCATTCGATGGGGCAGACTGGGGAGTTGCCGACACAGGACTTTGTGGATCTCCCTGCGGCTGCACCTGCTGCTGCCTTCTCTGTTGCTGTTGCAATTGGTGTTGTCGCAAAACCTGGATCTGTTTACGCTGCTGTGGAGTCAGATTGGGGTTGTTGGCAAACATAGCAAGCTGCTGCGGAGTCAAAGGTTGGCCGGCTTGCGCTGGCGGCGTCCCCTGAGACGTTTGGCCTTGTTTCGTCGGAGTGTTCAATTGTCCGGCAATTGCACCTCCGTTGGAAGGAGCCAGGGGCTGTTTACCAGGCTGCTGTGCCGTCTGGTCCGCAATTCTGTTCTGATTTTGCTGGTAGTTGGCTAGATACGCCACCGCCAAACGCGTAACCTGTTCTTTGGGTAGATTCGGGTTCTGAGTTTGGATCTGGTTTATGATGGCAGACACTTGTGACGTGGTAAAGTTCACGCGCGACACAGGACGTGGATGCTGAGAAAGCTGCGTGTTGCCATGCATGTCCTGGGGAGACGATGCATTGCTGCCCATAGGCTGCACCTGGTACCCTTGAGGCGGTGCAATGTTCATTTGAGGCATCTGCTCCGGAGACTGGCCCGGTTGCAACTGCACCTGCGAAAAAGCTTGAGGAGAAGACCCCGAATTGCCCGCCGATTGCAAAACTTGCTGGGGTGTTGGCGTAGATACAGGGGAGCTCATCGATGAAGAGGGTGGTCTGCTTGGTTGTCTGGAATTGTTGTTCTGCTGTTGTTGCATCATCTGCCGTTGACGTTGTATCATCAACTGCTGAACCTGCTTAGGTAGAGGCGCTCCACCAGGACCCGTTGGCATCGGAATGCCGCCCTGATTCGCCTGCTGCTGGTATACTTGTGGACTATTAGCACGCATTTGAGCCTGCTGTGCTTCGGGAGAAGCACTTGTCTGAGGGGCCATTTTGTTGGGTAGCTGCCGTCTACCATTCATTGCCGCCTGCGCAGCAGCCGATGATCCAGGGTTGGATTGGCCATCGGTAGAAAACGGAGACTTGGCGGCACCTGTTGCTAGTTGACGAGCATTAGGTGGAACACGCAGTCTGGTGAAATTTCCATTACCAGTCCCCTGAGCATAAGCTTCCTGTATTGCCCGATCACGTTCGAACTTGAGCTTCGACAGTTGTTCAGGAGTTGGTGTGTCGCTTCTTTTCTCCTCTATATTATTCTTTCTTTGCTGTTGAGAAGGCTTTTGAACATTCTCGCGCTTCTTCATCAACTTCCGCATAGCGTCAAACATGGAGCCCCATCTGAGCCGTCTATGCCCTCTTTGAATAGATTCTATACCAACTCCAAGGGGGGAGATCCGTCTTTTGGTAGAAATCTGGACCTTGTGTGCTGCCTCCAGCCATTCTTTGGCAGCCATTGGATACTGACCTCTCATATCGGAAAATTGGAATTTGTCATTCAACTGAATGTATCTTTCAAAACACTGCCATGGAGTGCGCCGCTCGATGTTCGATGTATAGCTCCGTGTCGGTTTCGCGGACAAATGAGCAGAAATGATGTTCCAATTGAATGAGAAATCGGTCACATACCTGATGAGATACTTGTCGTCCTGCGGGAGCCAGATAGTTGGAATGCGAAGCTCCAGATTCTTGATGGAGGGAGGAGAAGGGGGTTTCAAAATGTTGAAACGCCTGTAAGCTGGAGAGAATAAACCTTTCTGGTAAGGAACACTGTGTTTCTCTGTCTCCTTCTTTTTTTTCAAAACTATCTTTTCCCAATCTGGCTCCTCGTCAGCTGGAGGAAGCATCGAAGAGATGTGTCCGTATTCACAGCGTTCGATAAGATGGTCCTTCTCAGATTCTTTAAATGGGGCGTAAGTAGACAAACATTCAATAACAGCTGTCTCAGTTTTGTTGAATTGATTTAAATCCGCATACATCTTGAATGGCTGAATGTCTTCCCTATGTCTTTTCACTCGTTCATATTCCTCACCAGAATAAACGGTATCATTGAACGTAAGAAGAAGAGATGGATTGATAGAAGGCTGCTCTTCTATTGAAGCCTCGGTGTTCTGAGCAGGCTCTGTACTATCGCTGGTAATACCTTCCTTGGTCGTTTCCACATTATCCTCGGACACCTGCGTTTTAGCATTCTCTTCCAACTCTGGTTTCACAGTGATTGACTCGATCTGCGCGGTAGCACCATCATCCAGTTTATTGCCTTCATCTTGGGTGGGCTCCGCTGGTTCTTCAGCTTTCTCTGGAACTTCAGCAGCCTCAGAACTTTTTGGAAGTTCCAAGTCTTTTGACATTGTCCGTTCTTCGATCTCTTTCTCAGTGAGAAGCCGAGCTGGTCTTCTTCGCACACAGCACACTTTACCATATTTCCAAAACTCCTTGAAGGCCTGGGCAATGTAATGGCATTGTGCCATTTTGAACCGTCTTTCCTGCTTGAAGTCAGTAGCCAGCCACTTCATCTCCGACAAAAGATAATCCCAGTGCGTTTTCTTTCCGGTAGCCAAAAAGGGGTCCAAAAACTTCTTCGGCTGTCTCAGAGACCAACTGTGTTTGCGTTTCAATTCCTCCATGCGTGAATACAATACAGAAATCTTCCCCTCTACCAAAGCTGTCTCATAAGAGTCTGTCGTAAGCGACTTGTGAGCCCTAAGTAACAGCTTCGGTAGCTGTAATGTTTGCTGGTGATAATACAGTTCTGTCAAGGAGCGAGCCTCTGGTACTTTATGGGGCTTGAGCTCGGGCATTAGCATGATCATCAACTGATCTAAGTCGAGATTTTCATAGTCCAAATCGCGCTTAGACTTCTCGTCACTCCGTCTAGGCGGCTGGACTTGTTCATAGGAGTGGATCAGAGACGATAGAGACCCTTCCTGACGAGACGGGTCTGAAAGTGCTTCTCTGGTGGCCAATGCTGCTCCCTGTATCTTCTTTTGTGCTTCCAGCAAACCCGGCTCCTGCTCGCTACCCTGAACTTCCACTTTCTGACGCTTTGTAGCAGGCTCCTTGATCTCTGATGTCTCTGTTGCGCTCTGATTCTGGGGAGGCGAGAGTCGTCTCTGCTGGTTTTCATGAGATAAAATGGCAATGTTGAACTCATGTCCATTTTCCAAATCGTTCTTTTCCAGAAAAGCCATCAGCTTGTCCTCGATCTGTAAAACCTGGTCATTGGATATAGGCAGAAGCGGAAGACGCGAGACGCAATAAAGCTCAGCCAGTTTGCGTTTCCTGTCATTGATCGCCTTGGTGCATTCTTGACGTCGGCTCTCAATGGCTTCAAGCCGGATCCGATCCATGGAAAAAGAAGCACTGGAGCCGGATGCTTTAGTCTCCACAATGTCCGGTGCCATTCTGTTCTGTATGTTTTAGGTGTGCACCACCCAATTTTATCGTCGTACTTTGCGCCACTGGGGGGAAATTAAGCACTTCAAAAACACGGAAAAACCAAGGGAAAGTGCGTTTTTTGGTGATCACAATTAGCTGTCGGTGCGATTAGGGTGCTAAGCGCGCTTTATATACCGAGTCTCAACTAATTTTCCCTGTTTTGCTGCTCAATGAATGGGTTCCCCAGCCTCCTCTATACACGACAACTTTTTGTCGAAAATTTTTTGTAGAAATTGGGTGCGGAACGATCGCAAAAACCTAACATCTCTACACCTCATCCGTGCACCGCGCAGCAGCGGCAATCCCGCTAGGTGGTTGCGTCGTCCTCGACGATCACCAGTGCGCGTCTTTTCCAGCGTTTGGTGCGTGTAAATCTTGTGAGAGAGTCTGTGTTCGAAGGTTCTTCCCAGCTGTTGTTGTAATATATCCACCCCTCTCCTGGCGCAAAAGAGTCGTCTGTTTTCCACTTAGCGTCCAGCCATCTCCACCGGCACGTTGCTTGTGTAATCTCTGGGAATTGGAAACTTTCAAGAGAGTCCCACGACTTCTCTAAATCTTCAGTGGTGAAAGGTCCGCGTTCAAAGGGTAGCAAGGTGTTGGACCATCCAACCCCGAGCCATCTTCGCTGATTTTGCAGGATATGGAACTCTACAGTCTTGCCTGTTCCAATATTTGAGATCTGGAAATCATTGAGCACTGTCAGTTCGATGTTCTTATCGACAAGCGAAAATTTAAGACCTGTCGTAAACGTAAGTATTTTGCGGATGACGATGCTTCTCCACAGAAGATGCCGGGTTGCAACCGACCACGACGAGTAAAACGACAAACATGCAACACCAAATACAAGCAAAAATGATCTGACTGTGAAAATTCGCGTCATGAGCCAAATGTAACAAGGCGTGATAGCTATAAGGCTGAATCCTAGATTGAAATAGTCAGAACTGGATAAGGACCCAAAATAGCTGAATGGCTCGACAATATAGCTGAATCGTGCCTGTAGGTTGATAAGCGTGTCAATAATTTCCTCAATTGTGGGCGGGGCCGTCTCCGACCGCAAGTCGTCAATGGTGGTCTTCAAGAACCACAGCGAGGCACACGTGCCTAAAGCTATGATTGTGGGTAGGACAGTGCACGCCACTACTGTCCAGTACTTGACCACCATGATGTAAATTGCAATGGCAATAAAATTGGTATAAGGATCATCGTTTGTCCAGGTCAAAAAGGCAAGTACTTTATCCAGTAAAAAGATAACCGGGAATGCCGCATACAGTGCAGATGTGATCACCGGCGGCATGTTGAGCAGTTGACCCTTTACTTTGGTAAGTGGACGGCGATTATCTGCAAAGGAGGCACGAACATTGGGCTCAGACATAAGAAGAGGTCATAAATGGAGGGGGCAAAAATTATAGAAAATAATTATTTGATATCTAAATTTATTGTTTAGGTGACAAAAAATCGAAAGTTAATAGATCTGACATGTCTGAAGCAGAAACCGTGAAAGAGCCATCCAAGTCTGTCAAGACGCTGGAGGAGGATGATGAATTTGAAGATTTCCCCGAAGACGGTAAGTATGAGACGCCAAGTTGTATGGAACTAACAACCAGACTGGACGGACGAAAAATCGCTTGGAGCGACCCAGCAAGATCATTTGTGGGATGATAGTTGGGACGATGACGATAATGAGGATGACTTTACCAAGAAGTTGAGGTAAGTAAGAACTGGGTGACAATTACTAACATGCAGTGCTGAGTTGAAGAAATGAAGGTTTGCTGTCTCAGGTCAAAAGATATAGAGGAAAGTAGCCTTAAAATACACAATTATGCGATCACAAGATACAATAGTAGTGGCCAGTAGAAGCTGGTTGTGTTTTGCATCCGGTTAGGTTGTAAGTTCTCGTTGTCATCTGTTTTTTGCGTCGATCGACGCGAGGCCGTATATGGGTGGCGAAGAAAATAATATTTTCACAATATTTACCAACATGTCGACACTGGAGGAGCTGGAAAACGAACCGCAATTGGAGATCGACCAAGAGATCTTGAACTTGTCGACCGGTGACATTATCAATAGGACGAAAATGATGGAGAACGAGATTCGTTTGTTCAGATCTGAACTGCTTCGTCTCCAGCACGAGAAAATCGCCATGCTTCAAAAGATCGAGGACAACAAGCTGAAAATTAAAAATAACAAGCAACTCCCGTACTTGGTGGGTAATGTGGTTGAGTTATTAGACATGGAGGCGGAGGCGGAGGCCAATGAGGAAGGTGCCAATGTTGATTTGGATGCTGCCAGAGTGGGTAAATCGGCCGTTATCAAGACATCCACGAGACAAACTGTTTTTTTGCCGCTGATCGGGTTGGTGGAGCCAGAAAAATTGAAGCCTGGTGATCTTGTCGGCGTGAATAAGGATTCGTATCTGATCTTGGATCAATTGCCCGCAGAATACGATTCTCGAGTGAAGGCCATGGAGGTGGACGAAAAACCTACAGAGACCTATGCAGACATTGGTGGGTTAGATAAGCAGGTTGAGGAACTGGTTGAGGCCGTTGTGCTGCCAATGCAGCAGGCCGAGAAGTTTAAAAACCTGGGAATTAAGCCACCTAAGGGCGCTTTGATGTATGGACCTCCAGGAACGGGCAAAACTTTGCTCGCAAGAGCATGTGCCGCGCAGTCGAATGCTACATTTTTGAAACTGGCTGCTCCTCAGCTGGTTCAAATGTTTATTGGTGATGGAGCCAAGCTGGTGCGGGATGCGTTCGAGCTAGCCAAGGAGAAATCGCCAACTATTATTTTCATCGATGAGCTGGACGCCATAGGAACTAAGAGATTTGACTCTGATAAGTCTGGTGACAGAGAAGTGCAGAGAACCATGTTGGAGTTGCTTAACCAGCTGGACGGTTTTGACTCCGACGACCGAGTCAAGGTCTTGGCTGCCACCAACAGAGTGGATACTTTGGACCCTGCCTTACTAAGATCGGGTAGGCTGGACCGTAAGATCGAGTTCCCGCTGCCATCCGAGGAGGCCAGAGCCCAAATCCTTCAAATTCACGCAAGAAAGATGACCTGTGATGATAGCGTTAACTGGCAAGAACTAGCCAGATCTACAGACGAGTTCAATGGTGCACAGCTGAAGGCTGTGACTGTAGAGGCAGGAATGATTGCATTGAGAAACGGACAGTCTGTTATCAAGCACGAAGACTTCGTGGAAGGTATCAGCGAAGTGCAATCGAGGAAAAACAAGTCCGTTTCGTTCTATGCATGAAGAAATTACACATCAATCGTACAAATACACCTTCCCATCGGCTCCTGCGAGAGCCACCATGCTACTTTCTTGAGGATGTGAATCGATGCAGGTTATCGGCTTGGAGCTGACCTTGAGCTTAGAGATCAGTTCTGTGGACCTCCAGTCCCAGAAAAATGCAAACCCATGCGAGTCGCCGCTCATTAACGTTCTCCCGTCCGGTGTAAACTGCAGCCCGATGGAGTAATTGGCAGAGTTGTGGCCAGTGAAGGTTTTTTCTCTGTTTCGCTTGAACTTCTCTTCGGCACTGGCTGCAAATGTTTGGATGGTGTTGTCGGATGATTGTGCGACAAACGCGAAACCTCTAGGGTGAACTTTCAAAAACGGCATGGAGAACTGTTTGGGGTCGGCTATGAGTTTTACGGGCATGTTGACTTTAACTTCCCAAATGCGCAGCGACTTGTCGCTCGACGAAGACACAAAATTGTCCTCATCGTTAATGAACTCGAGACCGTTGACGGCGTCTGTATGGTGCTCGTACGACTGGATCACGTCGCCAGTTCTCAAATCATAATGATCAATTCTTTTGTTGGACATGCCAACCAGAAATTCGTTGTCATTGTTGGGGATAAATCTGACAACGTTGGGAATACCATCCAGTTTTTTTCTGAATCCGCACTTGCCGGTCTCTGTGTTCCACAGCTTGACTGTTTCGTCGTACGAGCAACTCAAAAAGTGTGACCCCGAGGAATTGAATGTCACGCATTTCACAGGCTTCATGTGTCCATAGAATCCTCTAAGCAGTTTTCGTTTATGATACACATCCCATAATTTGATTGACGAGTCGTTTCCACAGGTAAGCAGCAAATGGCCACTATTAGGAAAGAATTGCAGGCATTGGACACCTCGCGCGTGTCCGGCAAATGTGTGTATCTTCCTTTTCGGCACGTAGCAGCGCTGGCTTCCTGGCTCTTTATGTAAGTTGGTTGGCACGTCGTTAGGAACGTGCATATACGTTCTCCCGAGATAATCATATTGCGAGTCACCGTAGAAGGTGGTGGTCTCTTCCTCGGGCTGTTCTTCTTCTGATCCGTTCTCAGACGCTGCTTCTAATGGTACCTGCACTTCTTCTTCCTCTAGTTGACTATCGTCTTCGCTCTCGCTGTAGCTGGCCCAAGGTCCTCTGTACGCATTTTCACCGTCCAGTTCTTTTGGATCTCCTTTATTCTTCCGACGTTTTTTCAATTCTTTTGCACGCTGTTTTCGGGACTTGGGATTCTCATTTTCTGAATCGTTTGGTCCCTGTTCGTATAATCTTTTGTTTCTCTGGAATTTTAGGCCGTCTATCACTTCTGTCTCAACAAAGCCTGTGATTGTCCGTTTCCCGTTTACTTTTTGTGTTTCTGGCTCCTCCTGGCTCTCTGAAGTAGGCGCAAGAGCAAGCCTCAATTGCGAGTTGGCATCTTCGTCAGAGTCGCTGGCGTATCCTAGCAGAGACATGCGGCTCAAAAAAAATTAAAAAAAAATATATAAAAAATATTCAAAAAAAAATTAATAAAAAATAAGCCCATAAGCATGTCCAAAAGATCGCAAAAGGAGCTGGAAAATGACGACCTGTCTGATATCGATGTCTCGTCGACAGATGAAGAAGTGGAAGAGGAAGATGAAGAGGCGGAAGAAATGATCAACGTGGATTTTGATTTTTTCGACCTAAATCCAAAAATCGACTTCCACGCTACAAAGAATTTCTTGAGGCAGCTGTTTGGAGAAGACTCGGCATTTTTCTCGCTGTCTGAAATTGCAGACATGGTGCTGACCGAGGGCCGTGCGGGCTCGACTATCAAGACCGACGGTGAAGAATCGGATCCGTTTTCAGTGCTCAGTGTAATCAGCCTGACCGACAATCTGGAAACCACCTCGATCAAAGCGCTGGTGAAGTACGTGCTGGAAAAAACCAGCAAAAAGCCTCAATTCAATATCGTTCTTCGGCAGCTGCTGTCAGGAAGTTCAAAGTCGCGCGTAGGACTTGTCGTGAGCGAGAGACTCATCAACATGCCTGTGGAAACTGTGCCTCCAATGTACAAGATGCTGTTGGAAGAGATTGAGAAGGCCGAAAATGCTGCCACCGAATACAATTTTGATTTTTATCTCGTTCCGTCCAGAGTGTACAAATTGGTTGCTTCAACGATCGACCAGGAGATGGAGGACGCTCCCTCGTCCAAAAAATCAAAGAGGACCTCAGTGCCCACAGACACACTCGACTACTTTCATTACGAGGATGAGGTGCTGGAGAAGCACGCACAGCACCACGGCTACTTTGACTACACTAACAAGACGATCGAGGCAGACTCCCGAAGAGTCTTCAACGACTACGGGGTGGATCCAAAGCTGAGCCTGATGCTGTTGGACAAGAAGAGCTTTGAAAAAGCGGTGGCGGAGATGCAAGAGCGGTTTCCGCCGTACTAAATAGCTAAGCTGAAATCTACCAATTTCTGCCTCCATATAAAAAAAATACCAGAAATCTGCACTAAAAAAATTTTACCAGATCCATATACAACCCATGAAAGAAACTGTTGTTGATTTCACGCCCAAATGCATTTCGGGGATCGAGTTTGGTGCGTTGTCGGCAGCAGAGATAGTTGCCCAGAGCGAGGTAGAGGTGGCCACGCGCAATCTGTTCGATCTGGACCACGGCCGTGCTCCAGTTGCGAACGGTGCTCTGGACACCAAGATGGGTATTTCGTCCAAGAGCGGTGAGTGCGCCACGTGCCACGGCAATCTGAACACATGCCACGGCCACTTTGGCCACATCAAGCTTGCGCTGCCCGTCTTCCACGTGGGCTACTTCAAGTCTATCATCCAGGTGCTTCAGACGATCTGCAAGACCTGCTCTGCGGTACTACTGGACGAGGCCAGCAAACGGCAATTTTTAAATGACCTCAGACGTCCTGGTCTTGACAACCTACGGCGCATGAAGATCCTCAAGAAACTGCTCGACCAGGCCAAGAAACAGCGCCGGTGCCTGCGGTGCGGCGCATTGAACGGCGTGGTCAAGAAAGCAGCTGCAGGGGCCGGTCCTGCCGCGCTCAAGATCATCCACGACACGTTCAGATGGGTCGGCAAGAAGGGTGCGGACGAGAAGTTGCAATGGGACGAGGATTTCGAGGACCTGTTTGACGAGAACCCAGATCTGGAGAAATTTTTCAAGCGGTGCTTTGACGACCTCAATCCTCTAAAAGTGCTGAATTTGTTCAAACAGGTGGACACGAGCGACTGCGAGCTGCTGGGAATCGACCCGTCCAAGGGCGGGCGGCCCGAAATGTACCTGTGGCGGTACCTGCCTGCGCCGCCCGTGTGTATCCGGCCGTCTGTCGTGATGACCGACACCAACACGTCGAACGAGGACGATTTGACGGTCAAGCTGACGGAGATCGTGTGGACGTCGTCGATGATCCGGGCGGGCATCGAGAAGGGCATCTCGATCAATTCGCTAATGGAGCAGTGGGACTACCTGCAGTTGGCGGTGGCCATGTACATCAACTCGGACTCGGCGTCTCCGTCGGCTCTTTCTGGTGGCACGAGCACCAAGTCGGCCAAACCCATCAGGGGCCTGTGTCAACGGCTCAAGGGCAAGCAGGGCCGGTTCAGGGGTAATTTGTCGGGAAAAAGAGTGGACTTTTCAGGGCGCACGGTGATCAGTCCGGACCCGAACTTGCGCATCGATGAGGTTGCTGTTCCGGACCGCGTGGCGAAAGTCTTAACGTATCCTGAGCGTGTGACGCGCTATAACAAGGCCAAGCTGCAAACATTGATCATCAACGGCCCCGATGTGCACCCGGGAGCCAACTATCTGGTGAAAAAACACGAGGACGTGAAACGGAACCTGCGGTACGGCGATCGTAACAAACTGGCCAAGCAGCTGGCCGTGGGCGACATTGTGGAAAGACACATCGAGGATGGCGACATTGTGCTGTTCAACAGACAGCCCTCACTGCACAGACTGTCGATCATGTCACATTTCGCCAAGATCCGGCCGTGGCGGACGTTCCGGCTGAACGAGTGCGTTTGCACGCCGTACAACGCGGATTTCGACGGAGACGAGATGAATTTACACGTTCCGCAGACGGAGGAGGCGCGCGCAGAGGCCATGAACCTGATGGGCGTGAAGAACAACCTGCTGACGCCCAAGTCGGGCGAGCCGATCATTGCGGCGACACAGGACTTCATCACGGGGTCGTATTTGATCTCCAATAAGGACTCCTTCTACGACCGCGCCACGTTCACACAGATGCTGGCGATGATGTCGGACGGTGCGTTGCACGTTGACATTCCGCCGCCGGCGATCTTCAAGCCCGCGTTCATGTGGACGGGCAAGCAGCTGTTCAGTCTGCTGATCCGGCCCAACAAACAGTCCAAGGTTGTAATCAACCTGGATGCCAAGAACAAGACGTTTATGCCGCCGCCGCCGGGCATGCCGAGCGAGATGTCGCCAAACGACGGGTTTGTGGTGATCCGCAACTCTCAGATCCTGTCAGGCGTAATGGACAAGTCGACGCTCGGAGACGGGAAGAAACACTCTGTGTTCTACACGATTTTGCGGGACTACGGCGCCGATGAGGCTGCCAACGCGATGAACAGGATGGCCAAGCTGTGCGCGCGGTATCTGGGCAACCGAGGATTCTCGATCGGCATCAACGACGTGACGCCTGGTGAGAACCTGAAGAACAGGAAGGAGCAGCTTGTGGAAATGGCTTACAGAAAGTGCGACGAGCTGATTACGCTGTTCAAGACGGGTAAGCTCGAGACGCAGCCGGGCTGCAACGAAGAGCAGACGCTGGAGGCCAAGATCGGCGGGCTGCTGTCGAAAGTGCGGGAAGAAGTCGGTGAGGTGTGCATCAAGGAGCTGGACAAGTCGAACGCACCGCTGATCATGGCCACTTGCGGGTCCAAAGGCTCAACGCTGAACGTGTCGCAGATGGTGGCTGTTGTTGGGCAGCAGATCATCTCTGGCCACCGTGTGCCGGACGGGTTTCAGGACCGGTCGCTACCGCATTTCCTCAAGAACTCCAAGTCGCCGCAGTCGAAAGGGTTTGTGCGCAACTCTTTCTTTTCCGGGCTCAGTCCGCCCGAGTTCCTGTTCCACGCCATCTCCGGCAGAGAGGGGCTAGTGGATACGGCTGTCAAGACCGCAGAGACGGGCTACACCTCGCGGCGGCTGATGAAGTCGATGGAGGACCTGAGTGCCGGCTACGACGAGACCGTGCGCAACTCGAGCAACGGCATCGTGCAGTTCAACTATGGAGGCGACGGGCTCGACCCGCTCGACATGGAGGGCGACGCCCGCCCCGTCAACTTCAACCGCACGTGGGACCACGCGTTCAACGTGACTCTGGACCACCGCGAGCAGGGATTGTATCCGTACGAGGCGCTGCAGATTGCAGACTCGGTGCTGCAGCCACTCAAGGACCGGCTTGTGCGCGTGGACAATCTGGGCCGGCCTCTGGCGGGTCGCGACGCGGAGCGGATGGAGTACGTCGACCGGTACGACGCCGAGCGCGACTTCTACTGCTCCATCAGGGCTTACATTGAGACGAAATGCCGGAGCATCGCCAGGCTGCGGGAACAGCGTGGTCTGGATCCGCTATTACAGGCGCCGGAGGCCTCTGAAGGCCCTGGGATGCGGCCTGTCTCGGATCCGGAGCGGGAGCGCGTGGTGACGCAGTTGGCCAAGGTGTCGGAAAGCATGATCCGCGAGTTTCTGCGGTTGTGTCTGCACAAGTACCGGAAAGCAAAGGTTGAGCCGGGCACGGCTGTGGGTGCGATCGGTGCGCACTCGATCGGCGAGCCGGGCACGCAGATGACGCTCAAGACGTTCCACTTTGCGGGCGTTGCGTCGATGAACGTGACGCTGGGAGTGCCGCGGATCAAGGAGATCATCAATGCGTCGAAGGTGATCTCGACGCCGATCATCAACGCAGTGCTGGTCAACGATGAGGACGAGCGCGCGGCGCGCGTGGTGAAGGGCCGCATCGAGAAGACGATTCTGGAGGACGTGGCGTTCTTCATCGAGGACGTGTACAAGGAGAACCAGGCGTTCTTGCAAGTGAAGATCGACCTGCACACGATCGAGCGGCTGCAGCTAGAGCTGACGATCGACCAGATCGCGTCGGCAATCGTGGACGCGCCAAAGCTCAAGATCTCGCGCGGCGACGTGGCCATTGTTGGCAAAAACAAGATCCAGGTGTTTGTGTCGGAGACGGGCACCGAGACGGGCAAGACCGCGCGCACGGCGTCGTCGCGCGAGTCGTCGGTGATCAAAGACGCCGACGAGCGCGAGCGGCTTGAGCGCACGTCGCTCTTCTTCCGCATGCAGCAGCTCAGACGCGTTCTCACCAAGGTCGTCGTGAAGGGTCTGCCGGAAATCTCGCGCGCGGTGATCAACGTCAAGGACAACGGCAAGAAGGAGCTGCTGGTGGAAGGCTACGGGCTCAAGGCGGTGATGGCAACGGACGGCGTGGTTGCGCACAAAACCAAGACGAACCACGTGCTCGAAATCTTCGACGTGCTGGGAATCGAGGCAGCCCGTGCCAGCATCATCTCCGAAATCGACTACACCATGGGCTCGCACGGCATGGCCGTCGACCCTCGACACATCCAGCTACTCGGCGACGTGATGACCTACAAGGGCGAGGTGTTGGGAATCACGCGGTTCGGACTCGCCAAGATGCGCGACTCGGTGCTGCAGCTGGCCTCGTTCGAGAAGACTACCGACCATCTGTTCGAGGCGGCGTTCTACATGAAAAAAGATCTGGTGGAAGGTGTTTCTGAAAGAATCATTTTGGGCCAGACGATGAGCATCGGCACGGGAGCGTTCAAGCTGGCGGCACAGAGCAAAGTTGACCCGGACAAGCTTCGGAAGAAAGAAACGCTGTTCGAGGATCTGTGTGCCCCCGTTGCGGCAGCGGCGTAATTTTTACTAGTATGTCAATTTGCATAATCCTCCCCATAAAACCATGTAAGCTTACTTAATCTGCGAAAAACTAGCCTCTGTTAGGCCAAGAAAGGGTCTTGTCGATGAGTAGGAGCGCGCCGTTCGCGGTGAGCTCGATCTTGCGGATCGGCAGCCACTCGTCCACGTCGTCCAACGACAGCTCGAAGCTAGTACCGGAGTTGCGCAGATGGATCCGGTTGCCGTTCAGCGACTCCAAGACAGCCTCTGCCTTGCCAAAGTCTGCCACATTCGAGCTCTGCACCACATGCGACTCCACAAAGTGTCTGATGTTATAGTTCGACGCTTCGTCGTCAGCGTCCGACTCCCTGGTAACTGGTCTTGGGAACTGCCATGGCTTCTCGGGAAGCTCGGCAATCGCCTCGTTCGTTGGCGCAAAAATCAGCAGCATATTGTCGCTCTGCGAGTTAATATTGAATTGTGTCGTGTCATCGCACTTCTGGTAAAGGTCCACCATGTCGCGAATATACGACGAAAAGATGGAGATGTCCTGTATTTGCGTCAAAGCAGTGGCCAAGTTACTGGTCTTGACATCCGGCATTAGAGCATTCTCCAGCTCAGGCAAAGGCCTCTCGAGCGGAATCTGTAGGCCAAGGAACCCTCTGTCATCTCTCTTCACTCCTGTGGCCAAGAGAGTGTCATCCTTCTCACCTCGCTTTTCCCTTTTGAGCCAACCTAAGTCGGCCTCGTCCAATTCCAACGAAACCACATTTTTGCCATCCCGCTTGTTGAGCTCCAGTTCTTTCTTCATGGAGTCATCATCGTTTACCTGAAGCCCCTGAAACACATTTTTGGCTGCAGCCGCGCCCAAACAAAGGTATAAAGTCAATAAATTGCCTTTCATATTAGAAGTCTAAGTTAAAACCAATTTTAATTTAAAACAAGGAAGCCCAGTTTTATATAATGCCCTTTGGTGTTAGGGTTAGCTTTATAATTTTTGTGGAGGGTAGCTATGATCGCGGTATTAGATTCGTGAGCTGGCATGCAAGACCGCGATACTTCCCAGTGATGCGGGGCTTATTATATCACGCCAGGGCAAACACGCAAATGAGTTGCATCCTGCAGTTAATTGGCTGAAGCTTCAAGCCGAGCTATGGTCAATCTTACGAGCAAATAGGCATTTGTTCAAGACTGTGGATGTCAGAACCGGATTTCCTTTTTCTCATTTATGTCTGGCAGATGCAGCTTTGGAGATAGATAGCATACTTTTCCCAGAAGCTCTTTTTTATTTAGCTGAAAGGTCTGGTACGCTAGATCCTAGAGATTTTGCTGCATCTGTTTGTTTGGATGCAAGCGGCATGTAGTGCTTCTTGTCCCAAATATATCGTCACGGTCGCTTGTACGACTGCAGGCCGCAACAAGAGAGGCCAATGTAATCAGTTGATGATAGTGCCCCGGAAGTGTGTCAAGATTTCGCAAGAAACTGGAAGATATACAATCTCAACACCGTTGAGTTCACGATTACGTTCGTCTACGTCGGAGCCGAAACTTGGCAAGCAAAGTGTGTTACAAAAGCCCAAAACCAGAAGCTACAATATGCATGCTACATCACTTCTCAACGTCCGCAATCAAAACCTCTTCTTCTGTTTCCTGGCCGTCTATATCCACTGATGAATTCAACTCACTATGTATGTTATAGGAGTCTCAATCGCAGTGCAATATATCTCTTTCTATCTATGCTTAAACTTTTCAAGGGCCTCCTGCAAAGTTGAATAAGATCAAACACAAAACAAATTAATATTGAAACCAAAATCTTTTGTTTAGCATGTCCAGAGATAGCCATTTTTCGTATGTTCACATGAAACAGCCGCAACATATCCTTTTCCAGGAAAAGTGGGATATTGATAAGCTGCCGTTCGATGACATCGAAATCAACTCTACGGCGTACCACGGTCAGGATAATATTCTTCAGGAGTTTTTGGCGTCCGCAGAAGACCATGACAGCGATCTTAACATAATCAACGGCACAAATCCAATGTTCAACTCATCCTACGCAAACAGAATGCGCCAAAAACACAAGAAGCTAAACTGGAAAGACCTCGGGCTTGCCGAGTTGCTGTCTGATAAGAATCACGTTCACGACCAGACAATTCTTGTCAGGCCCCAATTCGGAGGTGCTGAGCCGCAAATGGCCTCCGAATCATCTTCGGATAGAATAGAAGAGCCGTTAGAGGATGCAAACATAGCAGAAGCTGAGGAGCCGGACACAGAAGAGTTTGCTACACCTATCATTCCTAATCGTACAATTCATCAAAATCTATATTCTAGACAGCGCAAGCTTCGAAAGCCTTCGACAGAGTACCAAACGCCCCAATCGCACGTCCGCATCATCAGATAATAGTCAGTGCTTGCAGTATTCGCACTGAGCAATGATATAGTCGACGGTCTTTTTCGAAATGTACCAGTTTCGGCGAACATGATTGTATGTTAATAGGGGCGGCAAGCAGTCAAAATGGAGGTGCGTAGCTATCACGATGTATGGAATGTCAAGGTAGTCGGGTATCACCACGTTGGAATCACGCAGGTACTGCACTGTCTTGGTTGAAGGGTCGTATTTGAACCGCTGATTGATCCACCGTCTGGCGTTCGAGATGGCCCGCATCTGCTGCTGATTCGGAAATATGTCCATGTGAGAGAGCTTCTTCAACAGCGTCTTGGTGGCAACGACTTCCTGCGAAATCAGAATCTCGTACTCTGCTTGAGTCGGACCGTACATCGAGAAACTTGATTCGTCCTCCTCGTCCACGTCGTTCGAGCCGGATTGTCTGGCCCACCTTGAATAGAACTTTGCTTGGATTTCCTCGTATTTCGTCTGGAAATCCTTCACCATCTGCTTTAGTTTCTTAGGATCGTACTTGATCTCCTGCTTGATCTGCTCCAAATTTTCCACAGTCACGTAGCACGGCTGGTTTTCGTGCATCACGGTATCCACCACTTTTTCCTTCACCTCCTTCGCTTTCGGCGTCTGTTCTTCTTCGCCCCCGCGCCGAGTCCGTTTTCGCAAAGGCAGATCCTCGGTAGGCGGCCTCTTGGCCGGTTCCGGTGTTTTTTCGTGCACTTCCATCACTTCTTGCGGCTCCGGACTGCCTTCTACCAAATGAGTGTGGAAAGCTCTTCTGAAGTCGTTGAATCCGGTGACCAGCGCGTGGTAATTGAACTTGAGGGTCTCGCATTTGAGCCCGTACCCATGCCATTGGTATCCTTCCAAAATCTGCTTCAAGTTGATTATGAGCAGGGCCTCGTTGCTCAAATTCTCGTCCTCCATCACTGGCATCCAATACCGAAAGCTGAACGCCAGGTCGTCCGTGGTCTCCAGAGACAGCATCAGGCAGATATTGCGCTTGATCTCGTCCAAGTTGGTCTCTTTCAGCCGCCCAATCTCGCGGGGCTTCGTGTCAATTTGATGTATTTCGACATATTTGCTGTTATGGATTTTCACCCACACAAGAGTCCATCTATATGGCAGCTTGATAGCATATATCAGTCCGCATTGTCGTAAGTTGTCTTCATAGCTTTGAAACACTTTCTTATGGGCAGTATTGAGCTTACTGTCCTCCCATAGCAGCTTTACCACCACCTGGTATGCTTGCGGATCGTTCTTGTTGTACTTGCCAAATCCAAGATGATGTCGGCTCAGGAACCGCAAGACCTCATAAAAGTTGTCCTGGGTCTCGATTAATTCTTCGCCCGAAATGAACTGGCGTGTTTGCTCTGGCTCCTCGGACCAGATAACAATCATCGGTAAAATAATGTTTTTTTTTTTTATTTCGATATTTTTCAATATTCCTATTTACATTTGTAGTATATAGCAGTGGTGCTTGGGCCGGCCACGGCCACTTGTTCGTACTTTTTGGTTGTCTTTAGTTGTAGACGGTTATTCTCACTTTTGACAACAGGCATTCCAGGCTCCAAAAGCGCAGGAACCGGAGTTGGGACTCCAGACCGGATTCGCTTACCGTTTCCAAGCTGTCCAAATTCATTATCTCCCCAGTCATAAACATCTCCGTTAGACAGCGTAGCCACGGCATGATTGCTTCCGATACTCCATTGCCGCAAGCCGAGTACCTCCAGTTTTCCCTTGGTCTCGTCGTATTCCCGAATATCGTTGAGTTTTTGTATTTTTGTTGGCTCTGCCTGGCCATGCACAAAGCGGCCATTCCCAAGCTCGCCCTTCAATCCGTGGCCCCACGCAAAGTGAACTAAAGACTCCTTCTGCTGCTCAGAAAGCATGCTTAAATCCAGATCTTTGGAGTTTTTCAAGCTGTGTTCAAACAGCTGGTAAATGTCCGAAGACACGAACGATGCAAACGCGGTATCTCCACCTGCAGCTATGTCAATGCACTGAGGAAGATCACTTCTCTTGAATCGTTTGCTGACCAATTCCACCTTGCATGGGTATGGCACAATTTCAGTTTTGTAATTGACTTCCTTGCCTAGGGATCCGTACGTGTTTTTGCCAAAAGCCCAAATGTTTCCTAGGCTGTCCAGACACACGGTGAAGTAATCTCCGGCAGCAATTTTCTTGATTTCACGCTGGGTCAGAATATTGTTTTCTCGCACGCGGTTTAGCAAAGTCACTTCATGAAGTTCGTTGGGCACAGGCGGCTCATCAAACTGAGAATATTCAGGAAGACCAAACTGGCCGTACGACTTCTTCAATGGTTCGAGACCAGTAGCTGCAGTATATACAAGCCCTTTATTGTCCAGAAGAACCAGATGCTCTTTTCCAGTGGCGATGTCTTTGATCGGTCTGCTGGTAACCAGTTTGCCATAGTTTCGGGTGCCAGAAAAAAGCCACCCCTTATCTTTTTCTCTATACTGTTGCTGTTCGTTTGCGCTCTCAGGCAAAAACAGAACCTCTCCTCGTTTTGTGAGAGCGTAGACCAGTCCGTTGCTGATCCTCACCTTCACCAAATCTTTACCCTTCAGCGTTGGCTTGGACGAGTTTCCTCCAAAGCCTGCACCCCATTGGTATAAATGTCCTTTCTCGTTAATCAGAGCACCGGAGGCCTCTCCCAAAGCCACGTCCCGAACCAGCATGTTGTCAAAAATGTCCAAACGCTTCAGCACCGACTGGAACTTGACTTTGGGATCGCTCGAGACCATTTGGGTGGAGTTATCTCCACATATATACAGTCCCGGAACGTCACTTGTATTTGGATTAGTCACAGTTGCATTGAGTGCATCAAGTTTGTTCTTCTTTCTTTCCTGCTTTGCCTGAATCTGCGCGTAGACCTCTTCAAATTTGGACATGTCGTAAGTATCTCCAACAACTTTTCTTTTCAAATAGTCCCAGTTTCTATACAGCTCATACCCTCCAATCGATCCAATAATAATCATTGCTCCCATGAACATCGCCTGGAATCTCTGGTATGATTCGTAGGTAGAATCGTTTGCCTGAGAATCGATGGGTTCTGAATCCAAATGAAGTCTCTCTATGTACTTGCTCTTTTGGTCCTGATCTCTTTGCAGCAGGGAACCAGTGAGGTGAAGATTTCTCAAAGGTATGATCTGCCCATGCAGCTTTAGCTTTCTAGCCGCATGACTGCTCCACTGCCTCAGCATGTTGAGTATGATTACTTTGTCTTAATTTTTATTTGGTGTAATTTTTTACCACCTTTTTAATGACGTGGTGTACGGGTGTTGATGCATTAACACCCCAGTAGCAGTAGCAGCTGGCATGGATGATAAGACTCATTTGGAAAAGGAATCTGAAAACAGGAAGCAGCACGGCATACGGTGGTCACCAGGTTAAGAAAGACCAATACTATAAATTTCATTTTTACACTAACACCCACCGAAGCCCTTATCGGTCTTTGGGGCAGCATTATTATCTGAAGGCTGGTTATCAATTTTTGCCTTCCAGATTAATATATTTCCCTATTTATATTCATCCGTTCATCTTAGCAATCATCCAAAAAAACAAGAATTCTGTTATATTCCGTTTCCCAATATGAAGCTCTCGATGTCTGTTCTGGCCCTAGTGGCCACTTGCATTGGGTCGGCGCAAGCCGCTGCCATCAAAAAAGATACCGCGGGGCAACACCCCCTCGGAATGAACTCCAAGTTTGGTGATGTGTTCGTGGAGAAAGGCAAGTCTTTGCTCGACCGTGTTTCAGAGGTTGTGAGCGAGTCTTCCAAGAACATTTCCCCAGAATTGAGGGACATTTGGAATGAAATGGAGGCCAAGTTTCCAGATACCCTCAAAAACATGAAGCTCAAGTCAGAGCCGGTGGTCAAAATTACCAAGAAGCCTGCCGACTTTTGGGACTTCAATGTTTTCAATGAGAAGTTCTCCAATTATAAGCTGAGGGTTAAGAAGACCGACCCGGGAGCATTGGGACTGGACCACACAAGACAGTACTCTGGATACTTGGATGTGGAGGATGAAGACAAGCATTTCTTCTATTGGATGTTTGAGTCCAGAAATGACCCGGCCAACGACCCTGTGATTCTCTGGCTCAACGGTGGTCCAGGATGCTCTTCCTTGACTGGAATGCTTTTTGAGCTCGGCTCTGCCTCCATCGGTCCAGATCTCAAACCAATCAATAACCCATATTCGTGGAATTCCAATGCCACTGTTATTTTTCTTGACCAGCCTGTCAACGTTGGATTCTCGTACTCTTCCAAGTCTGTCTCTAACACGGTCGCAGCTGGTAAAGACGTTTACGCCTTCTTGGAGTTGTTCTACCAGCAATTCCCACACTTGCTGAAGAACGACTTCCACATCGCTGGTGAGTCGTACGGTGGTCATTACATTCCAGTGTTTGCCTCCGAGATTCTCACTCATGCTGACAGATCTTTCAACCTCACCTCGGTGTTGATTGGCAACGGTTTGACCGACCCACTTAATCAGTACCCATTCTACGAGAGAATGGCTTGCTCTACTGATGGTGGCTATGAGCCAACCCTGGACGAGTCTGAGTGCGAAGGAATGTTGGAGACCTTGCCTAGATGTTTGTCATTGATTGAATCATGCTACAGCTCACAGTCTGTGTTCTCCTGTGTGCCAGCCTCTATCTACTGCAACAACGCACAACTTGGACCATTCCAAAAGACCGGCAGAAACGTCTATGACGTTAGAAAGATGTGCGAGGGAACTCTATGCTACAAAGACATGGAATACATTGACCAGTATTTGAACCAGGACTTCGTCAAGGAAAAGATTGGTGCTGAGGTTGAAACTTACGAGTCGTGTAATTTCGACGTGAACAGAAACTTCCTGTTTGCTGGTGATTGGATGAAACCTTACCACAAGAATGTTATCAATCTTCTGGAACAAGGTCTTCCTGTCCTGATCTACGCAGGAGACAAGGATTTCATCTGCAATTGGCTCGGAAACCAGGCCTGGTCTAATGAGCTCCCATGGTCTGGACACGAGGAGTTCGAGTCCGCCGAGCTGTACAACCTCACCTTGAAGGATGGCACCAAGGTCGGCGAAGTCAAGAATGCTGGCAAGTTCACATTTGCTAGAATGTTTGATGGAGGACACATGGTTCCATACGACCAGCCTGAGAGCTCTTTGGCTATGGTCAATAGATGGATAGCTGGTGACTATTCTTTGGGAACCAAGAAATAAAAAGTTCATGAAAAGATTATGTCGTTGTTGTTCTATTTATGTATGATTGTTTGTTAAGATACACTATCTAAATTCCTCGTTTAATACCCAGCCTTTCCGTTCCTTGTCCCATTTACATATTGATTTGAGCATAGATCGCACAACCTTGACTGTTTTTTCGTTTGAGACGTCGATCTTCAACTCGTCAAGAACAGCAGCAGAGGTGCTGAAATAACCATCTAGACCAGCCATATAGTTGCTCAATCTTGCAATGAGATCGGTGTCTTCAATTTTTGGTTTCGGCGACGACTCTTTGCGTTTTCTGATATTATCCAGAATAGAGCTAGAAGACACCATAGGCGATTGTGAACGCCCTGTTGGCGTGGAAGTGCCGCTTTGACCGGGCTTGCGCGGACGCCCGACGTTTTTGCCGGCCTCGCCAAACTTCCCTGTCCAGGTTGGAACGTTGATTCGAGTCTGACGCGCAAGTTTTCTTGATTCCCGTAAAGCCTTGACGGCTTCATTGGCAATTCTCGAGGCCTCGTTATCAATTAAACTGTACGATGAAGAAGGATTCAACACACTCTCGTGCTCTAAAGCAGACTGTAATGCATTGTTTCCTATCAGACCCGCCATAATATCTTTCTCCTCCGTGTGTCCTTCTTCGTCTTCGCCATCTTCATACTTCTGCAATCCAGAAACACCTTTTAGTTTCGACACTTGTAAAAAGTCATCGTCGTTCTTCTTTGTGCTGCGCGAGTGGTTGAACTTCGTTTCGCCCTCGGAAAGCGTAAACAGCTCATGCAAATCGTTCATTTTGAAAAACCGTTTCTGCTTTGGATCCTTCAAAATCTTGTTGGTCAGCAGCTGCTTGAATATTTGGCGATGATAAATCTTCTCCTCTATAGAGCCCGCCATCATCAAGCGATATATTACCACATCCTTTTTCTGTCCCAATCTCCAAGCACGCTCCCTGGCCTGGACGTCCGTAGACGGGTTCCAGTCGGGATCGTATATGATGACTCTGCTGGCTCCTGTCAAATTGACACCAAGACCGCCGACTCTGGTGGTGAGTAAGAACACATTGTACATGGGATCTGTGTTGAACTGGTCAACCATTGATTGTCTCTGTGAGATCGGGGTGGTTCCGTCCATTCGCATGAATGAAAATTTAGATTCCGTCTCATAATTGAGAGCTTCCATGAATTCCTGCAAGATGTCAAGCATTTGCCGCGTCTGGGTGAAAATAAGTGTTTTACGGCCTTCTGAAAACCACACATCCAGCAAAGCATGGACCACCTGCAATTTACCTGCGCGCGCCTCCAACTGCTCGGCCGTGCGTAGATGTTTTTTGCGCAGCTTCAGGTCCACTAAATCTGGATGGTTGCAAATTTTCCGTAGCACATCTATTCCAAACAGGGCATTTCTCTTGCCTCTCAGGATCTTGTTGATGTCCTCTGAGTTCAGAAAGTCCTCGTATAGTTTGCGCTGCACGTCTGTCAGCTTGCAAAATAGAACCATCTCCGATTTTTTGGGCAGGTCCTTTGCAACATCTGCCTTGACCCGTCTTAGTAGATAAGGAGAAATCAGGTCCCGCAAAATAACAGCACACTTATAGCCTGTTTGCACTTGAACATTTGTCGCATTGGCGTAGCCACCGATATTGATTGGAACACAGAATTGTTTCTGGAAAACAGGCAGTGTGCCCAGCCTCCCAGGGAATACAAAGTCAAATAAACTCCATAGCTCGACCAAATTGTTTTGTATAGGTGTGCCCGACAAGATGATCCGGTTGGGCGTCTTGAGCTGCTTGCAGGCCAGGGTCACGTGGCTGTCTGGATTGCGGATTTTGTGTCCCTCGTCCAAAACAACGTAGTTCCATCTCACGGGCAATAGGTACCTGGAGTATATCCGAACGCCGACATACGTGGTGATGATCACATGACCGCTATGGATGACGGACTCAACCAACTCTTTGGCACATCCGTCCGAAGGCAGACTGCTAAGATCGGCGTCCTCTTCGTCGTCAAAGTCCTCGACACGTTTTCCTGTCATTCCCGTACCTATAGAGTGTAGAATGACTACCCTCAGCGCTGGCCACCATCTGTGGAACTCTTTACACCATTGGCTCAGAACAGTGGCTGGACAGACGACGAGAACCGGCTTCGTGAGCTTGCCACTGTAGTGAAGACCTGCAAGAAAAGAAATGACCTGCACGGTTTTACCCAAACCCATTTCGTCACCTATTATTCCTCCTGTTTTGTGCGAATACAGCTCCCAGAGCCATTGGACTCCCGTTCTCTGGTAATCAAAAAGGGACGGGTATATGTCACCAGGAACTCTGAACTCGTCGTTGAGGATGGCATCGGCATTGTTGGGGTGTGGTTTTTGCCACTCCGGTACCTGTTGATCGTCTGTATAGTCTGGCCGCAATTCTGCTCTTAGCGACGCTCGACGCTCAGTCCAACGCCTCAGTCTGTCTCTATACATGCGCTCATCACCATCGTCCAAATTTTCATCCATTTTTCTCTTTCGCACCAACGCATCTTCGTCGTCCTCATCCTCATCAGCCAGTTCAATTCCTGGGATAATCAGATCCTGGTGATTTTTCACGCCTGTGTCTTCCTCTTCAATAAACCCATTGGAGGTTCCAAATGCCGTCACTTTCCCTGTCCTCACCAGATATTCCTGCTGGGTCTCTCCTGGAAGCATTTCGGATCCGCTTTCAGCTTGCAGATTATTTGTCGAATTTTGATTCTCACGTAGCCGTGCTTCGATTTCCTGTATATCGACCTGCAATGGCTGCAACTCCTCCCGCTTAAGACGATCGATGTCTGCTCTTAAACGCTGTTTTTCCGATATTCGTGTTCCGGAGTTGTTAATTTTGAGCTCCATGCCTCGCAAGCGCCCCTGCAGCTTGCTTTGCTTCTCTTTTGCCTTCTCAAGTCGTTTCTGATCCAGCTCAATTTCCCGCTCTAACATCATTTTATTGGCATCCTCGGCAACCTCTTTCTCCAACGAATCCTGTGCCATAAGGCGCACGCCCAGGGATTCCAACTCGCGCTCTCCGGAGGGTCCAGAAGAAGACTCCATTTTTTGGGATTTTTTTTATTTTTTTCTGATCTTATTTTCTGATTGTATCTCAAATATTTTAATTATTAATGACGGTTCCGCAGAATTCCCCCAACAGCTCACCGGGCTTGAGGTCTCAGCTTGAGCACAACAGAGCAAAAGAAATGGAGGAGCTTGTAATTCCGACCATTCTCCTCATAATCCAGCAGATCAAAGATACAGATGAAGGCAAAAGATCGTTGGGTGTCCGATACGAGGATCCTAAGATGCTGTATTCAATTTTAAATCTGGACAAGCTTTCGCTGGAAAAAGGACTACGCGAAGACGTCAAAGCTGCTGAGAAGCTGCTCGCTACAGTCAAGTCAATCTTGGACAACTCTGTCAACACATGGCATCCGGGCTTCATGGATAAACTGTACGCCTCGACTAATCCGATCGGTGTGTTATCTGATATCGTTCTTTCTGTGCTGAATACCAACTCTCACGTTTTTACTGTGTCTCCAGCTCTGACGGTAATTGAGCGCAAAGTGGCTCAGAAATATGCTGCTCTGTTTGGCTTCACAGGGGAAAACGCTGGCGGACTAACGTTTAGTGGTGGTTCATGGTCAAACATCACCAGCTTACACATGGCCAGAAGCCTGCTATTTCCAGAAACCAAGCTGGAGGGCAATACGCATAAATTTGCTATCTACACAAGCGTCCATTCGCATTACAGTGTTGAAAAGGCTGCCATTCTTTTGGGACTTGGGGCTAATAGTGTGTTCAAAATTCCTGTTGACAAAAGGGGCAGAATGCTGGTTTCAGAGCTTGAAAAAACTATCCAAGAGACCAAGAACAAAGGTTACACTCCGCTGTACGTGAACGCCACAGCCGGGACCACAGTTTTTGGCTCGTTCGACCCATTTGAGGATATAGCTCCCGTTGCGAAAAAATACGGCTTGTGGTTTCATATCGACGGTTCTTGGGGAGGTAACGCCATTTTCAGCGCGAAAAAAGCAGGTCTTCTGGCTGGGTCTCATCTAGCGGATTCCATCACTTCCAATCCGCACAAAATGCTGGGCGTCCCTACAACGTGCTCGTTTCTGCTTGTTCCCAACGACCGTGTGTTCACGCAGGCCAATTCCTTGTCTGCTCCATATCTTTTCCATAATGCCCAGGATGACAATGAGAACTTTGATCTTGCAAATGGAACCATGGGGTGTGGCCGCCGCGCAGATGCTTTGAAGTTCTACCTGGGCTGGCTTTATTACGGAACAAATGGATACAGTGAACGAGTCGACCACGCTTACACAATTGCCGAGTATTTTACGGAAAAGGCCTCTCAAACTGCCGGGTTTACTGTAGTCAGTGACACACCGCTCCAGTGTCTCCAGGTGTGTTTTTATTACAGCCCAGATAACCAGAAGCTGACCGGAGCGGAACGCACTCACGTGACCAGGCATATAGCGACGCAGTTGCACGGGAGCGGGCAGTTCCTGGTGGACTATGCGCCAAACCCAGACGATTCAGCCAATAATGAAGACAATGGGGAGTTTTTCAGAGTGGTATTCAACTCACCAATTGTGTCCAGCGATGTGGTGGACCAGCTGATAGACAAGATAGTAGAGGTCGGCAAAACGGTGCCCAAATTGAATTAAATAGACTAGATTTCGTTATATACAGGAGGTGGAGAATGAGTTTGCTGTATCACTGTTTTTGACTCGAGTTGAGTTGGTCCAGCTTGCGCATTTCCTCCAGGGGATTGAAGTCTCCTGTTGACAGTTTTTGATATTGTTCGTCGTACTTCCCCGTACTCAATGTACCATTTCCGCGGATCCGCTTTCGCATGTCGACAATACCGTGTTTGCAGTCAAGAAATGTGGCGAGCTGGGCTTTGCAGAGCTCCGGCAGATCTTTGGCAAGTTCGGGGTTGGTGATACACTCTTTTGGTTTGTTGCGTTCGATCATCACACATGGGGAGCGTTGCAGGCATATTGCCACCTGTTTAAGCTGGTCTTTGCAGCTGCATGTTAGATTTCGGGGGTGCCGGGATGCTTACCTTGCCACCATGCTGTATTATAAAATTAAATTAGATAAAATAAAATAAAATAAAATAAAATAAAATGGAATAAAATCATGGAATAAAATAAATCAATCCTCGCACCACTATTATGACACTGAATTTTGTGCCTGGAGAGCCCAACCGCTCGCCGCACTGCTGCTCTTTTGTCAATTGGAACGCCGTCCAGGTGCTGGCGTACTGCTCTGGAAACAACCTTGTCATTGTGACGAAGAACTTCCAGCATCTGCAGACCCTGTATCTTCCTCGAGACTCTTACGTGGTGGATGTCAACCGGATTAACGGGAAGATAGCTTTGGCGATTGGCTCAAAAATCCAGATATACACCCCTACAGTGTCAAACTTCTACAATTACAACTTTCGGGGCCGCAAGGACGTGTCTGAGCTGGAGATCGAATGGGGACTGGAAACAGAGATAGAGAACGACAAGGACGATTCCACCATCACGTGTCTTTCGTGGTCCGACTCGTGTGACACCTATGATGACGAGCTCTCGAGCGCGCAGCTTTTTGGCGTTCCTGAGGAGTATAATTCACTCACGAGCTGCGAGCTGTGCGTTGGTTCTGAGCAGTCGCTGGCACTCTGGCGGATCTATTATTCGGCAAACGACGGAACGCACACCGCCAGACACCGGCTGCTGTGGTCCAAGAAGCAGCCCAATCCGGTGTACATGGTCAAGTTCTCGCCCCATTCCACGGCAATAGCCAGCGTCGGATACTACGACAAATTGGTCAAAATTTGGCACAGAGTTGCGTACGGCATCGAATCGGCTGAGTTCGAGCTCAATTACACGCGGCTGCCGGCTTACGTGACACTCTTGCGTTGGAAGACCGGCAATATGCGGCGTAACAACCTCTCCTCGACCGGCTCTGTCACCGACTTGAAACCAGCCAACAGCATCATCAAGGACACCTCCCACAGACACATAGACATCCCGCATGCTGAGCATTGCACGCTATACGTGTACGGCGACGACTCTGTGCTCAGGGTGTTCTCGACGTACTACCTCGACCGCGGCTTCCAGGTGGCTAGTGAGGGGGCGGTGCAGTTCCCGTCTAATAGCTTTGTGGCGGTGATCGACAACCAGATGGTTGCATTTGGCATCGACAAGGTTCTAGAGCGGCTGGAGGACCTGGAGCCGAATGGCCACAAGAGTCACGATCAAGCACGGCCACGCGACGGCGACGTCTCGCGCAGTCGCAGCGGCTCGGCGCTCAGCATGTACCACCGTCGCCAGAGCTCGCTGCTGCAGCTACTGGAAATGCGGCCCGAACTGTGTCTAGTCTTCAATCCAGAGGGCCGCATTGAAATCTATGCATTCCATGCGTGCCAGGGCGAAACCAGGGTGAAGAAGTTGGACGCATTGCTCGAGTCTCACGGCGGCCTGACGAGGGCCTGTATCCAGCTAGGGAAGAATTGCATACCCCAGGACTGTCGCAGCGTTTTTTTGCAGGACATGCAGATCACACAGACTTCAGGAGGCTACGGGCTGTCGCTGGTTGTGCACGATCTGTTTAAAAACTCGATTCGTCACGTGGGGTTCACGTTTGAGTCGCTGCTGCAGTTCGAAGAGTTGGAGATTCCAACCTCACGATCGACAACTGTGACGATCGGCGAGCTGCAGCACAAACTGACGGGCCATAACAAGTCGATCCGCAAACTGATCCGATCCGGCGACGGCTCTGTCGTCCTGTCCACCACCAGGTTCCGCGAAAGCTGTCTGTGGACGGCGATTCCGCTGTCCGACTCGCACAAGACGCTGAACAAAAATTCCACGCTGATCACGCCGTCTCCAATTGTGGACGCGGCGTTCTGGAAACACGGCGAGTACGTGATTGTGTATCTGGCAGACGAGCTGGTCTGCTTTGACTGCCGTCTGCAGTCGCAGTACCAGGCAGAGATCGCCAAGCTGGCTCCCGTGGCTGGGTCTCTGAAAATCCAGCCGCAGGATAGACTGTGCTGTTTTTTCCTGGTCCCCGAGCTTGAGAGCGACGTCGCTCACGCCGTAGCGGTGTACGCGGACGGCCAATGCGATGCGTGGGAGCTCCGACTGGAACAGGGCCGCTGCAAAATACTCCCGTACACAGTCGACCAGCTGGAGGCCGTCCACATGGCGTCGTACGTCGACCCTGTCGGGTGGAACGCGGCGATCGGCACGAATCTGCAGCGCGACGTGCTCACGACGATTCAGGCAAATGGCGACGTGGCGGTGTACTCGACTCGCGTCCAGAACGGCCGCATTACCTGGGAGCAGAAAAAGACGTTTTCCACGGGGATCGCCAACGCGACGTTTTTGAACGGCTCGTCGATCCACCGGCTCGCCGTCGTCAACGAAAGTCGCGACCAGCTGCACATCTGGGACACGCGACTTGGTACGCTGGAGTACTCGGAGACTTTTGAGGCCGAGAAGATCAGGGATATCGACTGGACATGCACAGCATTCTCACAGGGCATTCTGGCCATTGGGTTCGACTCGCACTCGCTTCTGTACACACAGCTTCGCTACGACTACACAAACGACACCCCCACTTACACCAAGATCAAAAAAGTGGACATCTCACACCAAACCCGGCACCATATCGGCGACTCTGTGTGGCTCGCGGACGGGCTGCTTGTGATCGGCTCGGGCAACCAGTTCTACATCAGCGACAAGACGCTGGACCCGCAGCACGACTACATCACCGCGCGGGCCATGGGCACGCTCGAGATCGTCTCGAACGACGTGTTTCAGCTGTGTGCTGCGTTGAACGGCCCGTTGCCGCTGTATCACCCGCAGTTTCTGATCCAGACGCTGCTCTACAGCGGCTTTGGGGGCATCGAAAAGCTGGTTATGCATTTTTCCAACGCTCTTCGTGCGCTGGAGCTCGGCACGGCGTCAAGCATCGACCCCAAGCTCGGCTTCGAGACGCCGGAGCACGACATCGTCGGGGCGTCCAGGGCAGACGACGTCGCCGTGACGCGGCAAACGTGCAACACGATCGTCGAGCGGCTGGCCAAGTACAAGTTGCCGTTTCTGACGGGCCACCAGCAGATCACGCTCGCGTCGACTATCCAGATACTGGCAGACATAGCAGAAAAATACTCGTCTGTTCTGGACGCCAATGGACTTCGGTTCTATCTCGGTATGAAACTATTCCAGCTCAACGAGACTAAGCACGCGCAGTTCCGTACCATCACCATGCGGGACGTGACTTTTGCACTGCACAGCGAAAACAAAGACCTGCTCTTCGACATCATCAGCGAAAACAGCGCGGTGCAGATTGGCGCGGCCGAGTTCTCGAAATATGCTCTTGCATACTGGATGGAGCACACCAGACTGGCTGAGGTGCTTGAGACCGTCGCAAGAACCGAATTTTTCAAGACACAGGACTCGGGACGGTACAAAGACCCGAGCGTGTGCTCTTTGCATTTTCTGGCTCTGCACAAGAAAAACGTGCTTCTGGGACTCTGGCGGACGGCCATTGGCCATCCAGAGCAGCAGAAGATGATCAAGTTCCTGGGAAACGATTTTAAACAGGACCGCTGGCGGTCGGCAGCGAAAAAGAACGCTTTTGTGCTGCTGGGAAAACACCGCCACGTGGATGCGGCGTATTTCTTCCTGCTGGCCGGCTCGCTCAAGGATTGCGTCAACGTGATCATCAGCAAGCTCAAAGATCCGGGACTCGCCATTGCTGTGGCTCGCTGCTACGAAAAAGGCGATCATGGACCGGTCATGAAAGATCTCGTGCTCAGATACCTACTCCCGAGAGCACTCCGAAATAACGACCGGTGGACTGCCAGCTGGTGTTTCTGGATCCTCAGCGACCGCGCGCTGGCCATCCAGGCGCTCATCAAGCCGGTCCGCGACATTCTGCTGGACGTGGCCAAGTTCGACGCGATCGACGCGTCGCAGGAGGCTGCGCTACCAGTGAAGATGGACTACGAGGACCCAGTGCTGCTGGCCATGTACGACAGTTTGCGCACCAAACGCGTAGAGTACTTGCGTGGGGCACTGGCCCTCGACGTGCGTGCAGAATACGACTTTGTGCTGGCTGCCGCGCTCATGTACCAGAAAATGGGGTGCGACTATCTGTCGCTCCATCTGGTAGAGCATTGGGAGTTCTCTGAGACAAAAGAGATAATTGAACCCTCCACGGGCAAAGAGGTGCTGCCGCCGCCACCTTCCGAGTTTCAGGAACCGGACATGTCTGCTTTCGACTTTGGCTTTTAACTTGTAATATTAATTAAGTCAAGATGATAAATACGACAATAATTATGTCATAATCTATTTACAAAGTCTGAGAACCAGCTAACGGCCAAGGTTCAAAAGCAGAGACTGGCTGGTCGGAGCAGATTCGCTGCCGCTCTGCGAGCCGTTAGGCAGGTACGTGACGTTTGGAGACTGGCTCAGAGTCTGGGCTATCTCCTTGGACGCCTCAAGTCTTCTGATCAGCAAAAGGCCGTCGCCTGCCTTGTTAAGGGCCTTCGAGACGTTTTCTGCTGCCTCGGCCTCTCCCTCGGCGCGTATAACAGCAGCACGTCTCTCCTGCTCCGCCTTCTCAACCAAGTAAGTGGCTCTTTCGGCGTCCTGTTGCGCAATCTGCTTCTGCTCGACGGCTTTGGTGAACTCGCGGCCAAACGTCATATGGGTGATGGAGACGTCCTCGAGCTTGATCTGGAACTCCTTGGCTCTCTGCTCGAGCTCGCTCCTGATACGGGAGGACACGGTCTCTCTCATGGTGATGAGCTCTGCAGCGTTGAACTGAGCAACAATACTCTTGAGAACCTCGTTTCCAATCGATGGAAGCACACGCTCGTCATAGTCCAGCCCCAGGTTCTGGTAAATTTGTGGGAGGTTCTTCACGTCTGGACGATGCAACACTCTCAGAGTCAACGAGACGGTCTGCAAGTCCTTGGACCCCGTGGTGGTGGTAATGGTTCTTGGCTTGGTTCTGACGTCGTAAATGATTGGTCTTTGGAGCCAAGGGACAACAAAGTTCAGTCCTTCGCCAACGACTTGCGGCTTGACTCCGGAGAACCTGTCGAAAATGACTGCTCTTTGTCCGCCTGAATGTTAGCTTAATATCGCCGGATTATCACTTACCCTTGACGTCATACAACGAGTACTGTGCGGCCATAATGGCCACGCCAACAGGAACCGCTAACTTGGAAATACTGTCTGCAATTCTGGACATGGATGTAATTGTATTTGCCACTTTAGTAAATAATATAAATTATTTTATTTTACACTAGGAAAATTATGCACCATGCCTAGCTCTAATTCCCTTACCTGACTTCAGCTTTCCTCACCCTCCTCGTCTCTGGTCGTCACTCCAGTCTCCTTGAGCAACTTCTCGATCTGCTCGGGAGTCCAGATTCTGAGCTGCAGCTTGCCGTTGGCGTCCAGGCCAATGGTCGAGATCTCCACCTTCTCGCTGGTCAGCTTGTTGCTGTCGGTGGTCTTGCTCAAAACCTTCAATGCGAGAGTTTGCGCCTCTTCGAGTGTCATGCCGTCTTTGTAGTCCTGTTTCAACAGCGTCTGTGCGCTCGTGTTGTTGGCTCCAATACTCGTGGCCTTCCATCCAGAGTAGTTTCCAGACGGATTGCTCGTGTACAGCTGGAACCCGTATCTATCGTCGTGGCCTGCAAAAATAAACGACACGCCAAAAGGACGCAGACCTCCGTGCTGCGTGTAGCCCTGTTTCACGTCGCAGATCCGCTTCACAAGCGTCTCGATAGGGATGTCTTCGCCGTATGTCTTGAGGTACTGCTGTGCCGAGTATCTGATGCTGTTGATTAAGATTCCGGCATCCGCAGTCATTCCGGCCACCGCACACACCGTCTTGTCGTTTAACACGTACATCTTCTCTGCGCTGGTGTCCTGCTCGAGCAGTTTGCTTGTCACTTTTCTCTCGGCCGCGAGAACGACACCGTCCTTGGCCATCACCCCAATGGCCGTTCCTGCGTGGTTGATTGCCTCCAGCGCATACTCCACCTGGTACAGTCTGCCTTCGGGCGAGAAGATGGTGGTTCTTGAATCGTATCTTCTGGACATGGTATATATTTGCCTTCAGAAAAATTTGGCCGGGTAAAGAAATATGGAGCCAGGTTTTTAGGACGCAGGGATGGCCCAATTGTAGCAGGGCCTTTCGGACGCAAGATTGCGGTGATGCGGAGCTGGTCAGTAGAAGAGCCAAAGTGAACAGGGGCCTTGCTGTTTGCGGAATGTGCCGCTCGCTTTCCCACCAGTAGACAAATTCGTTGCTCAATATTCTCTAATTACGGCTTTTTTGTTTTCAGCAATTTCATCTGCTCTCTTTTACGGCCAACCAGTATATGCGTTCCAGGCTTTTACAGAAACTACATATAGGCGCTGGACATCCGGAAACCGCTGTGGATACACAACAGACGAACACAATGGAGAAACCAGACCAACAGATTCTACAAAACGTTTATCAGGAGCATGTGGGAGGAGTAGATAACTCGCAGTTGGCTGTCCAGCAGGCGCAGCAGCAGCAGATGGCCATTCTGCAGCACATGCCCTCGTACCAGGCAATTATCCAGCCAAACTACATGCATCTGCAGCGGGTAGCCGGCATGTCCCTGCTGCCGCAACGGTCTACGGTGTCTAAAGGCAAATACTCTTTGAAGGACTTTATAATAATGCGGACTTTGGGAACGGGTTCCTTTGGCCGCGTGCATCTTGTCAAGTCGGTCCACAACAACCGTTTCTACGCGATCAAGGTGCTGAAAAAGGCCCAGGTGATCAGAATGAAGCAGGTGGAACACACAAACGACGAGAGACGCATGCTCAAGCTCGTGGAGCATCCGTTCCTGATCCGGATGTGGGGCACGTTCCAGGACGCGAAGAACCTGTTCATGGTGATGGACTACATCGAGGGGGGAGAGTTGTTCTCGCTGCTGCGGAAGTCGCAGAGATTCCCCAACCCGGTGGCCAAATTCTACGCCGCAGAGGTGACCCTGGCGCTCGAGTACCTCCACTCTCACAACATCATTTACCGCGACCTCAAACCGGAAAACATTCTTCTAGACAGAAACGGCCACATCAAGCTGACCGACTTTGGGTTTGCCAAGGAGGTCGAGACCGTCACGTGGACGCTGTGCGGGACTCCGGATTATATTGCGCCCGAGGTGATCACCACCAAGCCGTACAACAAGAGCGTGGACTGGTGGTCGCTGGGGATTCTGATCTTCGAAATGCTGGCCGGCTACACTCCATTCTACGACCAAACTCCAATGAAGACGTACGAAAAGATTCTGGCGGGAAAAATCCACTATCCTTCGCACTTCCACCCGGACGTTGTCCACCTTCTGTCTCGGCTGATTACCGCAGACCTGACGCACCGTCTCGGCAACCTGCAGAACGGTCCGGCAGACATTAGGAACCACCAGTGGTTCAGCGAAGTTGTGTGGGAGAAATTGCTGCTCAAGGACATAGAGACTCCGTACGAGCCCCCAATTACCGCCGGTGTCGGAGACACATCTCTGTTTGACCATTATCCGGAAGAACAGCTGGACTATGGCGCCGTGGGCGACGACCCGTATGGCAAGTATTTTGTTGACTTTTGAGGCTGTGCAGCTACCAAAAATGTTTGTGCGGCAAGAATCTGGGGCATTATTTTGATAGTGTTTACGGAAACAAGATGTTTGGCCGTTCGAGATCCCGCAGAGCGCTAAGAAAGTCGCATGGGAACGCCAGCTCGCCCGAGATGGGCTCTTCCAGCAGCATCAAGGGAGACCCTGAGTCGGCGGCTTCCGTTTGCACAAGCATCACATCGAACCTGAAGCAGCTGGACCTGGCAGCCAAGGAGACCGTGCGGGGCGCGCCGCCCTCAGCATACCAGGGAGCTCCGGCGGGCCAGCGCCAAGAAATGGACGAATTGTTTGCGATGGAAGACGAGCTGCTGACGATAGTCAGGGCGTTCCAGAATACCAGTTTGGTGCGCAAAAAAACGCTGGAGAGCCTGATCACCAACAATTTCAGCGTTTTCCGGTGCAGCACGGCACACACGACCAGCATCGAGATGCTTGAGCGGATCCAGAACACCGTGAACTCGCTGATCTCGTTTGCGATGCTGCTGAACCAGTCGGACCATCCGCAGGACGAGTTCGACGACATGAGCCCGTATTATGCCGGCATGCACACCCCGCCGCGTGCGCGTGCCAGCATGCGCGTCCCGCGACACCTTTACGAAGCGTACTACCCGATGACTCCTTACAGATAACTAAGAAGAAATTCCCCATACTAGGCACTTTTGCTCTCTATTATATACAGGTCACTCCAGGACGATCTTGGCGCCCAGGCCTTCGAGTGTAGCTTTCATTTGTTCGGCGTCCTCCTTGCTGACATTCTCCTTGATCACCTTTGGAGCACCCTCAACAAATTTCTTCGACTCCACCAGAGAAAGCCCCAGCAGGGATTTGACCTCCTTGATGATCTTCGGCTTGGCCTTGGCGTCGAACGACTCGAGTTTCACGTTGAAGATGGTTTTCTCTTGCACTTCCTCCTTGGCCTCGGCGGCCTCTGCCTCGGCGGCAGCAGCAGGGGCTGGGGCAGCGGCGCCGGCGGCAGGGAATGCAATGTCTGGGATGTTGAGCTTGGTCTTGAGCTCCTGGATCAGATACGAGGTCTCCAACAGGGTCAATGTCGAAATCTGGTCGACAATTTGTGCGATTTTCGGGTCCACCGGCTTGGCGTCCGTCGAGTTGTGTCTTGCCAGACGGGCGCTGGCGTTGGCTGCTGCAGATCTGCTGCCGAGTCTCACGGTGGCTCTAGCGGTTTGTCTTAGAACTGCAGACATGGTGATAGAAATAATTGGTACTGGCGAAAATTTGGTGAAAAAACCACGGCAAAAAGGGCGTGCACATTCCCACGCGGGTTTTGCAAAGAGCTTATGTAAGAGTCGAATTTTCATTTCTCTTCACCATGTCGTTCAGATTCTGTGCCGAATGGTAAGTAAAACGCCTTTCTGCGTACGCTAACATCGCCAGCAACAACATGTTGTATCCGCGCGAGGACAAGGAAAACAAAAGACTGCTCTACCAGTGTCGAAATTGCCCGTATTCTGAGCTTGCGGATAACGCCAGAGTCTACAGACACGAGCTGATCACCAACATCGGAGAGACTGCAGGCGTGGTGGAGGACATAGGTTCTGACCCGACGCTGCCCCGCTCAGACAAAACATGTCCCAAATGTCACAACTCCGAGTGCGTCTTTTTCCAGTCCCAGCAGAAAAGAGCAGACACAAGCATGGTGCTGTTCTACGTTTGTTTGGAGTGCAAGAATGTGTTCCGCAGTTAGAGGGTCGGCCGCACGAGCGCAGAAAGGTGTATTGTATAATAATCAGATGCGAAATTAAATGTCGTAATATGTTTCACAAAATTGTAGTACACTGTTAAAAGATTACTTATAGCCACCGATTCTATAAACAGCCCCGTACCCATGAGCTTCAGCCGGCCGAAGCCTTCTTGCGCCACCACTGCCGCAAATATCGCCTTCATAGATAGTACTGATTGTAAGACCCCCCCGCGTTTACCCCGACAGCGCCTGCTCCGTTGGCAGTTCTGATAGACTGCAACGATCCGTGAAGAGTGTTGGATATCGACGGAAGCATGATCTTCTCCGACGAGCCAGGAGCGTTGTTCGTGGTGTAGTTAAATAAGGTATTGTGCGAAAGTGTGTGCGAGGGGCTGTTGGTCCCGGATGTTGGCGAGTACGTGTGTGGAGCTTGCTGTTTGAGAGTGTCTGTGAGAGTGGAGATGATCTTGAAATAGGTCTCCTCCTTGTTGGCATCTGACAGACCCGAAGACGTGTTCAGATGGAGCAGCAGGTTGTTGATCTCGATGTGCAGCACGCTCAGCCGTTGTTGCTGCTGCGGCGTGCTCTGGCCCGCCTTTGCATCCTTCACGGCAGAGTTGGCGCCCTCTGCGAACGACAGTTTGGGTGACGAGGACGAGGACGAGGACTTTGACGTGCTCAGCGAGTCCGACCCGGCCTGCGCGGGCGTTTGCTGCACGTGTCCGAAGTTAAGTGGCAGGGGTAGCTGGAACTTGGGCATGGGCTGCAGCTGGGTGTTGGCCGACTGAGCAGCCATAAGCAGCGTGTTGGTAGGGCCGAAAGTCGGTCTCTTGTTGATCAAAGGAGCCGTAAGGGCGGGCTTCTGGACACTGGAGCCGAGACCAGATCTCGTGTCCGAGTCGGCCTGGCTGGAGCCCGAAGGATACAGGGCGTGGTTGTGCTGGTCGTTGACCACGACGATTGACCACTTTTTCGCCCGTAGCGAGTAGTTTGCTCTTATTCTGAACGGACAGTTACCCTTCTGTCTTTTCCCGGCTTCTTTTGTCAGCGACTTGGACAGTTTGTTCACCTTTGCGGAATGCGAGCTTGGAGCAAAACTATGGCTATTTTTGCACTTGAACACGATTTTGGTATCGTCCGACCGCTCGATAACGATGTTGATACCCTTGGACACTAGCTGGGAGTGCAACCAGGGTTTGATGCTCTGCTTGTCATCGAAATATTTCTTGTCAAGAATGAGCGGCTCAGAGGAGTTTCCGTCTGAACAACATGGGGAGTGGCTTGGGCTGGACTTCATATTAGCGACAGGCGGTTCGAACTGATAACCCATACGTAAATCTGAAAGGGAACGTGTGGTGCCGTGTTTGTATTTATAATACAAGACAAGAAGAGGGGTAATCAGTTGGGGTCAGATTTTTTTTTTGGGGGGGTGGGTGAAAATGATGTGATACCCTATGGGTTTCAGGATTTGTTTTGTCTATGTAAGGCAGGCAAAAAAAACATGCAGACTGTACTCTAGACAAAAGAGGGGGAGAGATTATCTCATGCGCAAATGATTGGCGTACATCTCTTCTTGCTCCGGCTGAAATAAATTATATGCACCCCCTAACGGGGCCTTACGCCTCGCACCAAATTTCGGATTCCGAGCTCGAAATTCGCTGCTCTGTGTAAAAAACCGGATCCGCAATGGAACCCACGGCTGTGAAACCGGCTGACATTGCCGCTGTCATGGAACCCGAATATAGTGTGGTGTTGATGGCAGTCTACCTACTACATACATCGATCTAGCACCGACAACCCCTTTTCTACCTTTCTACCCCATCTTTACCCCCACTTGCTGTATACACCCCTCTTGCAAATCAGCACCGCGATATAACCCCGCCCTCTCGCAAGCGGTTGGCCATACTCCGATTTTTTCTCATTCTCGGATTCCGCTCTGAATTCCAGTCGTTTTTCTGTAGCCACCGGACAGCTACCGTCCTGCCTATTTCTTCTTCTTGCGGCTCGGGCGGGCATTCTTGGCCCGTCTCTTCTCCTTCACCTCTCTGGTCTTTCTAATCTGCTCCACAGAGCGCAGCTCGTCACGGCCCTTACCAGTGTTCCAGCCCTTGACATGGCGTCCAGACTCCACCGCCTTCTTAACCTTCTCCAGCTGCTCCTTGTAGTTGTCTCTGGTCTTATCCGGCAGTTTAGGAGAGTCCTGCTTCGTGTGCACAAAACGGCCCCGCTGCCTTTTGCCAGACAAGCCGACATCAAAGCCCCTGTTTTGCTCCGCCGCGCCCGTTTTGAAGTTGATGTTGTGCTGCGCCTTCCACTCGTCAAACTTGCCCGACCGGTATGAAGCAGGGATTTTCTGGCCCGACTCGCCAATGATGTATTTTTTGTCGTCCTGCACTTTTTTGTACTTTCCTGCTTTCTTGTCCCAGAGCACCCGTGCCGTCTGGCGCTGCACCGCCACCTTCTCGTCCTCGGCGTCGATATCAAACGCTGCCCGGTTCGCTTCTGCCGTGAACCCAGAGTCCAGCGAGAGCTGCTGCTCCTGAATCGCGGAGGCCGGAGCATAGTGCGAGATATAATAGTTTGGGTCCTTGAATGACTTCTTCTTCGGCTTTCTCGACTCCAGCACAACGTCGCCGTCCTCAAACGTTCGCCGCAGCTCCTCCTCGTTCACGTTGTACCCGACCTCGACGCCTTGCTCGTCCTTGAAAAGCTCGTCCTCCAGAGTGTGCGTCAGGCCAGAAACACGTTCCAGCTCCAGCAGCTTGCGTCTTTCCTGGGCCTTGAGCTGCACAGACGCGATCTGGCGCCGTCTAGTGTTCATGAGGTCGACGAGCGAGTCGTCGCGCTTGCCAAACTCGAAGACGGTCTCTTTGTTTTTCCGGTTCTGCAATCTGGCCAAAAACTGCTCTTTTTCCAGCTCCTCGTTCTTGCCAAACAGCAGATTCTGCGCATCCCAGCCAAGGTTCACAATCTCCTTTGCCCGACGAAGCGACTCAACGCTCGCTCCGCCCCGTGTCCGGAAATACAGCTGCTCTCCCTTGTCGGCAACCGCCTTCAAAGACCGGATATCGTAGTTGTGCTTCATGATCGTCTCGTACAGCTCCTGCAGCTCGCCAATCAGCCTCCGCGGCGCACTTCCCAGCACCAGCCGCTCCGTGTACGACAGCTTCGGCTCCTGGAAGCCCTCCATGCTTCCGTGCTGCTCCAAATACTTGTCTTTGAGCAGCTGCACTTTTTTCTCGTGCATCGACGTCAAAAGCACCTTGCGCCCGAGGAAAACCTCCAGATCTAGCAAATACGGCAGCTCTGCCTCGCCCACAATAGAGTACGCCCACCCGCTGTTGCCCGCTCTCGCCGTCCGCCCCACACGGTGCACAAATATCTTAGACGACGACGGGAACGAGTAGTTTATCACGTTTGCCAGAACTGGAATGTCAATTCCTCTCGCAGCCACGTCAGTCACCACAAGAATCGGACACAGTCCAGCACGGAAATTCAGTAGCTGTCTGCGCCGCGCGTGCTGGTCCAGCGAACCGTAGATGTACGCAGTGGCATACCCGGCGTCCTTGAGCAGTAACGTGACATACTCCACGTGATGCTTCGTCGGCACAAACACAATCGTCGAGTGTTTTGTCGGCAGCTCGCCCGCGCGCGGCAGTTTCTCGCGTCTGGGCCGTTTCTTCTGTTTCTTCTTGCCGTCCTCCTCGTCCTCTTCGTCTTCGTCGTCCAGGCGGTTCGCCGCGTCCAGCCGTCTGAGCTCCTCCGGCGTGGCCACCGGCATCTTAATCACCTCCTGCAAAAGCAGCAGCAGGTTCGCCTCGCGCTCGTTTTTCTTCGTGCTGATGAAGCACATCTGTAGCTCGTCCGAGATCTTTGTCTCGGAGTCCAGCCGCACCAGCACCGGGTTCGTCAGCCCGGCTTTGGCAAAGTCCACAAGGTTGCGTGGCAGCGTGGCAGAAAACAGCATCGACTGTCTTTTCTCGGGCAGCGCCGCCAACAGCTCGTTCAGCTGCTCCGCAAAACCCATCTCGAACAGCCGATCCGCCTCGTCGTACACAATGTACTCCACCGTGCGCAGGTCGAGCTGCATTTCTGTCTTGAGGTGCAAGAACCGGCCGGGCGTGGCAATAATCACGTCAGGGTTGGCCATCATGGCGCCAAACTGGTCCTCCATCGAGTCGCCACCAATAAGCAGCAGCGAGCGCAAATCTGAGCCGCGACTGAACTCCTTGAACTGCTTGGAGGTCTGCATAGCCAGCTCTCGCGACGGCGACAAAACAATCGCCCTGACACCGATCTTGGCCACGTGCGTCTTCAGTTTTTCGATCAGCGGCAGCAAAAATGCTGCAGTCTTACCAGACCCTGTTCGGGCCATTCCAACCACGTCTCTGTTGGACATAATCAGCGGGATAGTTTTTCTCTGAATAGGGGTGGGCTGCTTGTACCCTTTCTTGCTCAGGTTTGCAAGAATGTACTTCGAAAGGCCGAACGAAGCAAAAGTACCGCTCTTGGCCTTCTTGGCAAGCGGCTGGTTCAAAAAGTAGTTTGTCGTTTCCTGCTCGTCGTCATCAGATAGCTCCAAATTGGGGAACTTGGATGGATCGACTTTTGGCCTCTTTGCAGCCGGTTCCTCGTCAGAGCTCTCCTCGTCGCTACTCACAACCTCGTCCTGAACCTCGGCATCACTGTCCTGGTGGTCAGAGTCGCTGTCAACACCGTCTGCCACAAGACTGCTTGCAATATCAAACTCCTCGTCAGACATGCTAAAATATACTTTTATTTCTGAAAAAAAATATTTTTTATTCATTTCCTGGCTGTGCTATCAACAATAATACAGAGCCACCTAACCAGCTATCTGTTGTAAGGGTGGTAGCCGCGTCTTCCACGGCCTCTGTGGCCGCCGCCACCACCACCGCCACTTCTTCCACCCCTGTCGCCCCTATCGCCCCGGCCACGGAAGTCACGCGAGTCCTTAGGCCCGCGTGGCCGTCCGCCGTGTCTCACGCCGCCGCGGGGCCCAGAAGGCAGGTTCGTGGTTTGCTCCTGCGGATTAGGCACCTCGTCGCCAGCGTCCTTGGCATCGTCGGCCCCGTTCTGCTGCTCGTCGCCGCCAGGCATCGCTTGGCCGTACTGCTGCATCATCTGCTGCATGGCCTGCGAAACGTCGCCGCCCTGCTGCTGGACCTGCTGCATTTGCATCCAGTACTGTTGCATCTGTTGCATCTGCTGCCAGTACTGCTGCATCTGGGCCATCTGTGTATATGTCTGTTGCGGCTGGCCAATGTTGGCGTAGGAAGAGCCGGCCTTCTGCTGGTTACGAGGCTCTGCCCGCTTGATTTCCATGTTTTTACCATGAAATAGCACGTACTTATTCTGGGTCACTCTATCAACGGCATCGGGAGAATCGTACGTCACAAATCCGTATCCTCGGGACCGGCCAGTGTCCTTGTCGAGCATCAGTTGCGAGTCAATAATGTTACCAAACTGTTGGAAATATTCCGTAAACTCGGCCTCGGTGACCTCTGGAGCCACGCCGCCGACAAAAATCTTGCCTGTCTTGTCTTGCTCCTCTTTCGGGATGGCTCTTTTAGGGTCGATAAGCTTGCCGTCTAGAACGTGTGTTTTTTTTAAAACCTCGTCAACACTACTTGAACTAGCAAATGTCAAAAAGCCAAATCCGCGCGACCGCCCTGTCGCGTTATCCTTCATGATAGTCAGGTCGATCACGTCGCCAAACTGCGAGAAGTAGTTCTTCATGCTCTCCTCGGTCGTTTCCCAGTTCAAGCCACCAATGAACATCTTGCCCTGGTCCTTCGACTGGATATCGGCTCGCACCGTGTCCTGGAACTGTCTTTGGCTTGGGCCGCCCACTGTCACCGGTGGCGGCGCGTGCATCACCGGAAACTGCGCGGAAGCCTGCACTGGTGCTTGCACCGGCGCAGCAGCACCGACTGCTGCCGTTTCGCCTGCTCCAGAAGAACCATCCTGTGCGGCCGAGTTGGCAGGCTCCGACGCCGCCTCGCCCGTCTTTGTCGCCGTCTCCTGCTGCTCCTGCTGCTCCTGCTTCACTTCCTCCTTATCGTCGTCGTAGATGTCGTCAAAAAGAGCCTCGTCGTCGGAATTCGTCATAATGTTGTGGACAAACTTAAAGTGCTGAATCTCCTTTAATTTTTCGTGGGGAGGGTAACGCAGACAGCTCAGGCTTTCAAGGCGAGCTACGAGAATTGCGTTTCCCATAGAGAACGCTGCTTTGAGAGCCTGTTGGACCGTTTCAGACGTTCTTTTTGACCCGTCTATCCTGGGAATGACCAGCCGCCTCTCACCAACACCGTCTCTTCCTGGTTGCCAGCTTGTTCTGTGGCCCCATGGCTCTCCACGGCCAGCTACGGCGCCCACGAAAATGCCAACTTACTGCTGGCCTGCCAGAGGCCGTCAGACTCGGCCAAAGGCCGCTCATCAAGCAGATCTGCTTCCTACCTCTGCAACAACGCCCTACCTCCCGTCAGCCTTGTACAATGATTGCACCGCCCGGTGAAAAATTTATTATCATGAAAGACTATCTAGTGTACATGTCGCAGGCGCATATGGGTTTCCGGCGCGCGGAGCTGGAATCTCTGGCCGAAATGCACGGGTTCAGCGTGGACCTGAGTGGTCTGAGCGAAAATTCGCCGTTTTTCGTGGTGCAGCTTGAGAACGACGAGCAGGCAGCCCAGCTGATCCGCAGATCTGTTCTTTCTCGGGCCATTTACGAGCTTTGGGGCCAGGGAGCGACGTTGGCAGATTTGCACGCCGATGTCAGAGAGCGGAGCTCGGCACTTATCTCCAAATACAAGCGGTCGTCCTTCAAGTTCGATATCGTTTCGTACCAGGGTAGCAGAAGGAGCCGAGAGCAGCAGCTGGCACTGATCAACTCGTTTGCGTTCCTTGCCTTGGAGGGGAAAATACAGATGAAAAATCCGGACCAGATATTTGCCATTTTGGAGGCCTACAGCATCGTCAACCAGGAGCCTGCTCCGCAGCCGGACTATATGTACTTCGGCCGCGAGGTAGAGGTTTCTGAGCGTTCGCGCGGCGTTCTGGAGCGCTATGAGATTGCCAAACGGCCGTACTATGGGACCACGACGTTCGACGCTGAGTTGGCGCTGGTGAGTTGCAATCTTGCGCAGACGCAGGCCGGCCAGCTTATATACGACCCGTTCGTGGGCACAGGGTCGTTTGCGCTTGCTGCTGCACACTATGGAGCCTTTGCATACGGAACAGATATAGATTTCCGAACGCTCAAGGGCAAGGGGCCCAGTCGGCGACTTGCTACCAATTTCGAAAAATACGGCACGAGTCATCTGTTTGGTGACGTTCTGTGCATGGATTTCACCCATAACGCATTCAGAAAAAACCTCCTGTTTGATTCGATTGTCTGTGACCCGCCGTATGGAGTTCGGGAGGGCCTCAAGGTGTGCGGAACGAACAGGGAAGAGCGATTCGAAGGAAAGGAAAAAATAATCATTGACGGCGAGTACGCGTACCTCCGACGCGACTTCATCCAGCCGAAAAAGAACTACTCGCTAGACCTGCTTCTGGACGACCTGCTGCAATTTGCAGCGGAAAGACTGCCGGTAAACGGCAGACTATGTTTCTGGATGCCCGTGGCCAACGACCAGGACATCCCTACACTGGTTCCGCAGCATGAAAAATTGCAGCTGATGTACAACCTGGTGCAAGAGTTCAACAAGTGGTCGCGGAGGCTGCTGGTCTACGCAAAGCGGGACACCAATTACAAGGGAACCACCATCACGTCGCAGGAGCGGGGTCTCCAGAACGACTTCCGCAATAGATACTTCCATAAATTTAAGTAATGTTCAACTTATCAATATGTTATTACCACTTATCTATTCGTCGTCTTCAAGGGATTCCAAAGTCTGGGCAGCAATACGGTCCAAGTCTCTCTGTCCGTTGTCAGAGATTCTTCTTCCGCCCTTTGGAGAGATCTCCAGAACACCAATCTTCTCAAGAGCCTGCACAGCTTTTCTGTTGACGGAACCAGAGGCGTCGTAGTGCTTGCTTGGTCTGGAACCTCTGTTCTTGGCGCCTCCGTAGAGCTTGTTCAGAGCACCAACACCGACTTGCTTTCTCAAGTAGATGTGTCTGGCCACCGAAGCGGCTCTCTTGTAGAACCATTTGTCGGCCTCTTGTGGTGGGAGCTCGTTGCCGGCAGAGGTCTTGACCAACTCGACGTAGCCTGGAACCTCGAGCTTACCTTGTCTTTGCAAGAATTGGGCGTATGCGTTGATAAAGTCCTGTGCTGGGACGTCTCTGACAGAGTAACCTGGCATGTTGTATATGATCAAGTTTAGAGTTTGAGAAAATTTTCTAATGAATAGGACCTGTGACGTTGGTGCGAGGTGTACATTTTTCAGTGTGAAAAAAAAAAAAAACACTCCTTGTAGCAGACACAGGGCAGGCCCATGGACGGCTTGCCTGCCCGCCCTGCATCAACACCACACAGAGTTCACACTGGCACACGTCCGCACTGTCTTTGCATACGATTACAAGCTCTAATCTTGATTTCTTATTCTGCACTACGTAATTACCCTTAGACCTTGAAACCTCTAGATCTTCTTCTACCTCTGGCTCTCTCGAACTTTCTGCCCTTGGACAGGATTCTTGGAGCCTTACCCTTGTGTGGGCCAAAGCCAAAGTGTCTAACGGCCTCTCTGGAGTTTCTTGGACCTCTGATGGTCAAGGTGTTGGAACCGGTTGGAGCTCTAAGAGCCAACTGGTCAAGAGTGAGGGTCTCACCGCCGTTCTTGAGGATGGTGGCCTTGGCGCCAGCAGTGAATCTCAAGGCTGCAACAGTGGCCTTTGGGAACTCAAGCACTCTGGAGTCGTCGGTGACAGTTCCAACAACAACAACAATCTTGTCGGAGGCGCCTGGCTGTCTCAAAGCTCTGGCGATTCTGGCGACAGAAACCGGTGGTCTGTTGATCTTGGAAAGGTACAGAGACTTGAGAATAATCTTGTTGAATGGAGCATCGGTACGGCCTAAAGTACGTTAGTAACGGGCTGGATGACTATTTCAATTCTGCTCAAAGTCGCACTTGTCGCGCTTGACAAAGTACTCGCAAAATCCGCAGAGACCGTTCTGAAAGGTCTCTGGCTCATCCAAAGTGGACTGTCCAGCAGTCGGCGAATTGTGCAAAACCAAAATTGTCAACTTGTATACCTACGAGCCAAGAAGGAGTAAAGTTTCACCAACGACTTGAGGTAAACGTTCTCCGACTTTGGGGCCTTTCTGTGGCCGGATCTGATGTGCTGCTTGGAGGTGTGATCTTTACCCATGCTGAAGTTTGTAAGAAAGTTTTTCGCTGGAAAAAAATTTAAAGAGGGCTGAAGCTGAAGTTTTTGCGCAGTCACGTGAAGCCCCCCAAGCGGATGCTGGCTGTGCACAACATACATTTCTCTGATTTACCACCCCTACACTGTCATGGACCGCTTAAAGTGAGTATTGCGTCTTCGATTTTGCGCTAACAACAGAACCAACGAGACCAATCCGCGCGGGATTCCGCAGGCCAAGTTCATCGAGAAGATCGAGGACTTCATTGACCCTAAAACATGCACCGACGACGACGTCTCGGTGTTTTTAAAAGAGCTACAGGTCAGACTCCAGCAGTACCAGTTCATGGAGGAGAGCAAGCGCAACACGCTCAACAATCTCAACACAAAGATCCCAGACATAAAGAAAACGCTAGACATGTGCAGGTTTCTCAAAAGTCGCAAGGAGCACGACGAAGAGACCATTGACGTAAACTACGAGCTCAACGACACCGTCTACTCTACAGCCGAAATCAACGTGAAAGAGCTGGATTCTGTTTCGCTGTGGCTCGGAGCAGATATCATGATGGAGTATCCTATTGACGAGGCTATTGAAATGCTGGAAAAACGGCTTCAGGCCGCGCTCGATAACAAGGCCGTCACCATGGAAGACCTGGAGTATTTGCGCTCAAACATCACCACAATGGAGGTCAACACGGCACGGGTATACAACTGGGACGTGCAGCGGCGCAAGGCTCTGAAGGCGGCGGAAACTACCTCCTGAACGTGTCGAGGATCTGTGCGCCGAGCGTTCGCACTGGCGTGTCTTCTCTGTCGTCGGACAACTCAAGCGAGTATTCGTCTTCTGTACGGTCTGTGTTGTTGACCAGGTCTCGGATGCGGCTATCGAGCGGGCGGTGCTGGGCTTTGGAGGCGAGTTTGGTGTATACGAGCTCCAGGACTTTCAATCTGGAATTGAGGCCTGGCAGGAACCCGTTGAAGAGAAGCGACCCGATAAAATAACCGACAAAGCTGGGAATCACCGAATTAATAAGGCCCTCGCTTAGGAGCAACTGCAGAGCCACCAGCGACGTGAGGAAGTCATTAGTGAACACCAGCTTGAAGTCCTCGTTCGACTCGCGCAGCTTGATCAGGCCCCCGAAATTCAGCTCAAACTTGTATAGCACAGGAGTAAACTTCCAATGAGCATATAGTAGGCCGAATAGGATACCAAACGGGCCGGCAGGCACAAATAAGTTGATGCCGATAAAGGTGTAGAGTGTCCATGTGAAAACTGCAATGGCCGCAATGTTGTACATGTAGAGAAATAGGACGATTCTTAGGAACTTCAGACTCCCGAAAACCCGCTCCAAGTTCTTCAAACTGAGAACCATCAAGGTGACACACAAAATGACCTGCGACTCGTTCTGGAACTGCATTTGGAACAGGGCAAACCGCCAGTATTGGCGCCATTTGCTGATAAACGGGTCGTAGCTCAGCACAAACAGGGGTTTCCACTCAAAGATCGACACGACAAGCGGAACGGCAATGAACACCGACGTCAACGCCGAGCTGATCGGCAGATGGACAAACCCTGTGGGGAGCGAGGAGGACATTTAAATAAATAAAGTTAAATACTATTTCCAAGGACTACCGACGCGTCGTAAAATAGCCTAAAGATCAAGAAATAATTTATCTAGTTTCTTGTTCCTCCCATGCAGCCGTGGTACCATAAACTGGGCAGGCAGGGGCGCCAACTGGCCGAGCAATGGCAGGCTGATGCAGAGCCGTGGGGCGTTGCTACTCCGACTCCTTTGGATTATCTGTTCGACGAATTAACTGCTCCTAAACCGTCCACTACCCCAGACAAAGTCCTATCATATCTGGCATACTACTATCCAAAACTGAAAAACGAGAACAATGTCGAGCTTTTGACGCTCTGTTTCCTTCGATGTCCACTTTTCTTCAACGATGCCCAGCTGGTGTCGTTCAGCGACAACTATCGCGTTATCGAGTGCTTCAAGTACATCACGGACAAGAAGTTCCAGATCAGCCAGCCGACGCTGCCCTTTTACAGGTTCTACAACGCGCTGTTTGGAGCCCTTGCGAAGGTCGTCGCAGATAGCGCGTGCGCGTGGAAAGTGGTCCCCGTGGCTGTTGGGTGCTTGCTCTCTGTGGACTCAAGAAACGACTACGACAGGTATCCCGAGCATTTTCAGCTCATTGCAACAGTAGACGCCAAACTCGTGGACATGGCAGCACATACGCTGGAAAGAAGCATGGACGGGCCGCTTTCAAATGATCTGCTATGTCTCAACGTGGTTGCCTTGTCCTGTGTCCAGGACAAGCTTGTCGACTCTCAACTACTGCGAATTTTGCGAGTGAGATCCGACATTTTGAAAATTCTCACAGAGCTCACGTTCAACTCGCCATACGGTCTGGATAATGGTCGTCTTTTGACAAAAAGCAACGCAAACACCCCCATCGTTGTCAGACACCTAAATCGGATCTCGTTCCTGTTCACCAAGCTCACGTCGATCCACCCAAAAATCGCTTTGTTGGCGGATGATTTGGATTTGATTTTGAACAGGATTCAAACGTTCAGCGAGAGCGTGCTGAGCATCCCAAATCCGTCAGAAACGCAATGGAGTACACTAAGAGTGGTATTGTTTGCGCAGGTCATGATGTTTGAAGGAATCATGGCCCGTTTCTTTCAAATCAACAACCATTCTCTCAACAGCACCGTCCTGCCCACCCTGTGTAGGAAAATCCTTACAACGCTGTTCAACTTCAATTTTGTTGTCGACAGAATCGGCACTGGCGGGTTCGAGAGCTACAATTTCGTCTACGCGTCGTGTCTCAGCACACTCACAAGCTACGACATTCCCACGGCAGAAACGCTCATCAAATGCTGGACCAGCAGCGTAGCATTCAAGAAAGTGGACAATTCTGCTACAGAGCGCGGGAAACTGCTGTTTGATCTGCAATTTATCGAAAATGTCGTCAACTTGGTCTCCGACAGCCTCAAGTTTGAGTTTATCATCCCCATAGTCCAAGACCTGATAGGTAATGCACAAGACCAGGCTGTCTTGGAGAGCGCACATTCAGTCATGCTTAAATACTTCACCAGCGTCGATACCTACAACGAGGCCCAATTGGTGGACTACACGAACAACGTCAAACATGTTGGAGCGCAGCTGATCGATTACCTTACGCTGTCCCTAGACCAGTTTCCGGCCCGACTGTCGCTGAGCCAAGTCGGCATTATTGTCGAGACACTGGCCAAAATCACGTTTCCGGACACCGCGGTGCACGAGTGCGATCCAGAACTGTACCGCGAGCTGCTATTGCTCGTTTACAACAGATGTCTGGTTGCCACGAGCGAAGAGCTGCCAAATGTCCAAGGTCCGCCAAAAACACGCCACGGAGCATTCACGTCTCTGCTGATCCGAATTCTGCCCCTGATACCGTTTGACGAATACCAATCATGGCTGGAGAGAACACTCAGTCTTGCGTTCCGCACAGTCGGCGACGAGCGCACATACCTTCTGGACCTGCTCTGGGACAGTATTCTGGGCACAAACAGACACTATCCGCAGAAAGGGTACGTTGGCATCCAATGGTGGTACGAACATGTCAACGAGAGTCAGGAAAAAGCAAAATTATAGTATTTAATCTACTCAGTTGGTTCCTGTTGGTCGAAGAAATCCAGCACAGCGCAGTTTGGATGTAGGATGTAAACCAGGTTGGCTTTTCTTTCGGCTTCTTTCTTGCGCTGCCACTCCTCCAATCCAATGGTGCGTCGTTCGATCTCGGCCCTGGACATGCCTTCGCGGACCACAAACTCCTCTGGGATCTCCAGGTCGCCCTGGTCAGTATTCACACTCATCAATATTTTGTCCTTAACAAGCCGCTTCAGCACCTTGAGGGCCGTCTTGCGTTCCTGCCAATACTGGTCCTCGCTTTCGATCTCGTCTTCGATCTGGTGCAAATACCATTCCACCAAGAACTCGGCAGTGTACCCCTGGCCGGGCTGGGGATCGTCCTGCGACTCTTGGCTCGTCTCCTTTTCGCCGATTTTCCGCACAAAAAGGTTCATCATCTTGACGTATTTGTCGTACGGAATGGCCACCTTGTGTTTTCCGCCCGACTCTGGCGGCTCGCGTTCCTGGGTGTCCTGCGGAGTTGGTTCTGATGGCAGCAGAGTCTCGTCTCCCTCATCGATCTCGACATCGTCCTTCTCCACGCGGATAATCGACTGTCTCAGCAGATCGTAGGCCTCGGCTACGAACCGTGGCGTGATTTCTTCGGTACAATTGGCTCGGGCAATGGCCTCAGACAGACGGATCATACTTTCGAGCTGTCTCACGGTGATTCTGTAGCTGCTGCGGCCCAGTCCTTGCGAATCATCGCTGCGCAACTCCTTGTATCTCTCGACAAGATAGTCTCTGGCCTCCTTGGTCATCTTGGGCTTGAACGTGCGCGCATACTTGATGTATCTTAGCAGCTGCTCTTTGGAGAAAGGCGGATCAATGGCGTCGTCTCTGAGCATGTGGAGGTTCACAATGTGGTCGGCCAGCTGTGTGTCGACTTTCTCGTTGCACTCGTCCAGAACAACGAAAAAAAGATCAAATCTAGACATGATAGGAGCAGTCATGGCCAGGTTGCTTTTCAGACCCACTTTGGGATTGTATCTACCCCCAATAGGATTGGCAGCAGCAAGAATAGAGGTCCTGGCGTTCAACGTGGCCTGGATACCAGCCTTGGTGATGGAAATCGTCTGTTGCTCCATTGCCTCGTGGATGGCCACCTGGTCCACCAGATCCATCTTGTCGAACTCGTCAATGCAGCAAATACCGTTGTCGGCCAGCATCAAGGCGCCAGCCTCAATGGTCAATTCTCCGCTTTCCTCGTCTCTGATCACTGCCGCAGTCAGACCAGCAGCAGACGAGGCCTTTCCCGACGTGTAGACGGCTCTCGGAGCAAAACTGTTGACGTACTTCAAGAATTGAGACTTGGACGTAGACGGGTCGCCAACAATGCAGACGTTGATGTCTCCTCTCAAATTGATACCGTCCACAGTTTTCTTGTGCACACCGCCAAGAAGTTGCAAAAGAACGCCTTTCTTCACCACTTCGTGGCCGTAAACCGCAGGTGCAATCGACGAGACTAGTTTGGCGTAGATGTGATCGTCCGAAACCATGTCTTTGAGCTCGTTGACCTCCTGTTCTGTCAGCGTGTTCAGGAACATCTCCTGTTGCTTGTCTGTGTCGTCGGGGGTTTCCAGGTCGTCTGCATCGCCGTTTGCGTCCTTGGCAACGAGAGAACACACGTGGGACGCGAAAAACGCTATTTTGTACGTCAGATCTCTAGCTCCAAGGGCTTTCAACCCAGTAATGCCCGAATTGAGTGCTTCCGTGGTCGACCCCATACCACGTGACCGCACAGACATGGGCTTCACGCCGGGAAGACCCAGCTGCGTCACGTCCGGCACGACGACCTCAGTTCCTGTGAATCTGCACTTATCGCCCGGCTTGGCCCTTTCCACCAGTTCTCCGCGCAAGATCACGTCCAACGTTCTCGGCATCGAGCCCGTTGGGATCTCGTTGGCGTTCTCTTGGATGCGAACTTTTTGCCAGTCCAAAAATGTCGATTTGGCAATGTTGAGCGTCCAGGACGCGTGGTTCTCGCACGTCGGGTTCGAACAGCTGCTTGGCTCGGTGTATTTGAATGTCTGCTCAACATTTTCAATGAGTGTTTTGCACACATCGCACGTGAACGAGGCCTTGTACAGTTCTGGCCTCACCTCGCTTGTCCGCGTGACGGTACCGGAAATGGACATGAGCATGCCGATGTTTTCTGCTCTGAGCTCACGGATCCTGTTGATGGTGGGCAGGTTGTAGAATGAGATCTGGAAAATCCGCTCGGTGACGCCGGTTTCCTCGTCGTCGGCAAGCTTGGTCGACCGTCTGAGAAGAGCAGGCTGGAACCGTTTGATCACCGTGCGCAAGCCGTTAACCAGGTACGGAATGAACCGGTAGTACTGCTCAGTGATGGCGCTCGCCAAAATCCCGTTTTCAACAGTCAACAGGTGCTGGTAATCGATATATATTGTGCACAGATCGTAGTGGGCCATGGCGGCGATTTGGGCAATGTACACTTTGCCGTGGAACTCTGACTCGTCGGCACTCTGCTCGTCGGTGAAGTCCACCAGGAACTGTTCGAACGCCTCCTTCACTTTTTCCGCTGTCAGGTCGGTGACTTTTGGAATCGAGCTCAAATCTCTTCTTCTTCTAAGAAAACTGGCTGTGGTCTCGTCGGTCTCCATTTCCTCGTCGGCGGCCTGTTTTCTCGAGTCGCTCGGCAAATGAGGCTGCGACTCGCTAAGAGGATTGGTGCTTTGAGTCCGGAACGCCTGGGACGACGGCAGCGGCGACGACGCGATAGTTGTCATTGGGATCGGAAAAGAATTAAAGGTAAAGTTTGAAACCTTCGCGTTCGCGTAATTACGTTTCTGTTTTGGGAAAAAGGGTGCATACGGTGGGAGGTGTGAAGGAGACGTTTGAGTAGCTAGACTGCAAGATCGAGAATGTCTGTCACTACGGGGGAAGTTCCAAACTACGGGGCCTGTAAGAAACAGACGAGTACAGGCCTAAAGGGTTTCTGATATGCAGACATACGGAATTAAGTATTCTGGATGGAGATACATATTTTTTTTAAAAAAAAATTAAAAAAAAATTAAATTAAATCAGTATGGCCAGGAAAAAGTCTGCAGCCAAAAGAGCTAGAGAGAATGATCCACAGCAACCAGGGCCTGAGACTGTTACAAAGGATAAAGAGGCGGGCCTGAATGAACCAAAATCCGAGCCAGATGAGAGCGAAAACGCAGAAGAAGATGTGGAGGACGAGGACGAGAGCTCTGAGGAAGAAGACCAGTACGGTGATCTTTTGACGGAGGACGTTGAAGAAGGGTTCCAGAAAGTGCTGCAAGCAATAAAAACTGGAGACAAGGCTTTATTTGATAAGAACGTGAGGTTTTTCAAAGACCCAGAGGAAGGGGAGGTTCCCCTTACCAAAAAAGAGAAGCCTATGTACTTGAAGGACTACCACAGAAAAGTTCTTTTAGACGGCCACGCTTTTGAAGATGACGACGGTGAAGAACGAGAGTGGAAGGAGGGCGAGAAGCCGTATGCAGTCCAACAGCAGGAAGACAAGAACAAGCTGCTTTCCGAGATCCAGTCTGCGTTCAGTGACGAAGAGGGCGACGATTTTTTGCAGAAAAAAGAGGTGCAGCGAGTGATCAAGCCTGCGAAGTCACTTCCAGACCCACAGCAGGACGGAGAAAAGTTTTTGGAGGCATTTTTGGAGAAAGAAGCGTGGATTCCCGAGCAGGAGGATTTGAGACCAGAGATGGAAGAGGATGACGACGAGTTTGACGAGGCGGCTGAGAAGTTTGAAAACGCATACAATTTCCGTTTCGAGGATCCGAACGCCGCCGAAATCATCTCGTATGCGAGATCGCAGGCCACTATGAGAAGAGAGAAGATGAACAGCAGAAAGAAGCAAAGGTTAAAGAAAAAAGAGGAGCAGCTGAGGGAGGAACAAGAGAAGCAGGAGCTTTTGCGCAAGAAAAAACAGAAGAAAGCTACTCAAGTAGTGGACCGTTTGAAGGAAATCAAGGAGGCAGTTGGCGACCAGGTTTCTGAGGAAACGATAGCACGCGTGTTTGGCGACAGTTTATTGAAAGATGACTTTGACGATGCCGAATGGGACAGCAAAATGGCGGAGATTTTCAACGAGGCGTTCTATGAGGAAGAGGGCAAGCCTGAGAAGCCTGAGGTGGAGTTGAGCGACCAGGAGGAGGAAACTGGAGAAGAAGGCGAGGTGGAAAAAGTGGAAGAAGAGGAGACGAGCGACAACAAATCCAAGAAGTCGAAGAAGAAGGAAGACAAGATTGTCAAAAAGAAGGAAAGGCAAAAGTTGAAGGAGGTGGCCGAGAGGCTAGTCAGTGCCAACACCCCCAAACTTCTGGAGGAAGTTGAAGAAGAACGTGGCAGAGGCAAAGATAAAGAAGAAATCAAGTTCAGGTACCGCGAAGTTTCTCCGGAGTCGTTTGGCCTCACCACCAGAGAGATTCTCGTTGCAGACGATAAGGATTTGAATGAGCTTATAGGACTCAAGAAGTTTGCTCCGTACAGACCGAAGGAGCTAAGGCTAAAGGACAAGAGAAAATATGCCAAAAAGAAGAGACTACGTGAATGGCGGCTGAAAGTTTTCAAGAGCGCCGATGGACTGGCCGACGACGAGCCTGCTACCAAAAAACATAAGGTGAATATTTCCGATAATTAATTTGATAATGGGTGAGGTACAGTTATGTGTGATGTGCGATTATCTAAGCCTGCCTGCAGCGGTAATGTGCACCAGCTTGTATATCATTTTTGGCGCCCAAATATATGTTAAATTGAGAGTGACAGTCGAAAAAGTTACTCCAATTTTATACCGCTCTTCTATTGGGCATTTCGATTTACTCCACTGGAAACTCAAGCTGGAAACTCATTGCCAGCGCTTGACAGGCGACAACTCAGTTCATCAGAGACTCGCAGATGCGACCAGCCCAGCATCTCCCGTTTGGCTTAGGATCTTGACTCCTCAGCGCCGACGCTCATATTCCACCAAAGTTCATCCAAATCTCACAGAATGTTGTTGCATGATCCCGTCGCTGCCGTCTTGCTTGATTGGCCATGGTGAGCAAAAACTTGGCGCTTGAAGCTAGGAGTCCAAGCTGGTTTTTGTGGCTACATGCACGCGAAAGACCTGCTTTTATCCTCCCGGCGAAAATCCTAGCGCCGATTTTCCTAATGGGAGGATACGTCGACGCAGCCCATGCTGCGGAGGGGACATATAGAACTTTTGAAATACTGAAGACTGAATTTAAACGTACCTCCCCTTACATGGAAAGGGAGAGCGCATCTCCCCTATGGAAGGGAAGAAGTATATCCCCCCTTCAGATAGGGAGAAATATAAAATGCGTTCCCCCTATAGAAGGGGAGAAATGCATCCCCCCTTTCAAATAGAGGGAAGGCAAATTACATGCCCTCCCTGTTTGGGGTGGGTAGCCTCTCCCCCTCCCCTATGGTCAGGAGAGCCGCATCCACCCCTAGTTTCGAAAGTATACTTCCCGTCTTTCTAGTACAGGGCAGTGGTGGAACCCCATACCGGACGACCTATGGCAGTATACTTTCACGGGCCTACCCCGTCGTGATAGTAGTAGTTCAATGTGTGGTATAACTGGAATCTTTGAAAACTGGAAATATGGGCGAAAAAAAAACGTGATTTGGTAGCAAAACCTTAGAAATGTCACAAGTGTAGCAAAGTGTAGAAACGTCAAAGAAGTGGAACATCCAATTGCTATCCTGGTAAACGTTATACACCGGAGGGGGCATCCCCAGCAAAACGCACCAAGTGGACGGTTATACTGCTGAGTTCTATTCGTTAGCGCTAACAACGTCGTCAGCCAATTGCTAAGCAATTCTTCAGAGGAATTCGATATCTGCTGACCTCGATTCAAGCTTCCAGGCCGTACTTCGTGCCAAGCCTGTGCAAAGCGTCGCTCGGTAATTAAACCCGCGCCAGCATCTGCACACACATTGACAGGTTCCTAGTCCTTTCAGTACCCCCGGATCAGGTTGTAGAACCTATCCCGTTTCTTGCAAGCCACAATGGATGCCCCACAATCCAGTGTCTACGTGAAGGCACTGCAGGTACTGGACCGCTATCCATCTGGCTTACAAGATCCGGTTAATCAACGCAATGGGCCCAATTTATCTTAGATTGGACTCCAAGGCGAGGAAAACGGAGTCCTCCCAAACTAGCCAATCTGAGAGTATCGTCCGTGATGAACAGAGAGCTTCCTGAAGGGGGCACATCTGATGTACCAATAATGAGCAATCTGCTGTCCATGAAGTTATATTCTGGGGCGCGGGGCCCTATTTATACGTGGGCGTCTAATAGAGGTGCAGATTTCAAGATTAGGTAATTAATAACAAATCTTGCAATTATTTGTTTGATACCATGAATGGGGCCTCTTCAGGGCCGTCTCAGTCTCCGCGAAGCTTGAAACAGCAGCGATTCTGTCTTTCTCCGCGGCAGATACGCAATTCTGGCGGCGAAGTCGCTGCGCGGGAGGTCAGTTTTGGCCACAACACAGGCGACTCCGAAGGGTCTTCGGACGAGGATATATTTAATGTGCGGAAAAAGGCCAAGAAAGAGCGCAAGACGACACCAAAAACCATTAAAGAAACCAAACAGATTACTTCTTTACTGTCTACTGCTGTGCAGGCGCGGTCGAAGGACAAGCTGAGCAAGGATCTGGGATTCGACCTGGATTCTGCTCTAAAGGTGACATCGATCAGCAAAAAGCACGAGAAAGTGATGCAGCTCCGACGCGAGGAGGATGAAATAGACCGCATGATGGAAAAGAGTGAGGCAGAACGGCGGCAACAGCAGCAGGCTGCCCAGGAACTGGACGAACAGATCCTTGCGCGGGTGGACCCGTCGCAAAAGAGCTATATCGAGCACCTCCGAGAACGAATGCAGAACGGCGATGCGGCCGTCACAGACGTGTGTTTTCTGGATAGCCCAGGGTTATATGGCAAGACGCCTACGACAAGGCTCGAACTGCTGCCGGAGACCCTGCTGGGAGAGGGGCGCTGGTACTCGGAGCGAAAAACGTTAGGGTTGGACGAGATTACCGATTTTATGCAGCTCTCGGCGACTAGTGTGTGGCGAATGTTGCAGACGGACCTCAGCAACGAGATTGTGGCTGACGAGGCCCTTGTTCGCGATTTTATGCTGGCCGACGGAATGGTGGGCCACGGAGCAGAGTTCAAGATCGAGTCGAAAAAAAGTTTCCCCCACGTAACTACACAGGTGATGAAGTTGCAGTTTCTGCTGTCACTGGTGCGCTCGTCCAAAACGAAAAAGGCAGGTTTGCCTGAGCTGCGCGCGTTCGTCACCATTGTCGTCCGCCTGCTCGTTGACTCGCGTGTCAACGATCCCAACGTTGACGATTACATCTGCTTGGACCAGGGAAGCGTGCATGCCATACAGCTGCTCAACGGGATGCTTGTGAGTCTTGGACAGTGGTATTTCGAGCTTTTTGAGAGGCCACTTTCCGAACTTGCACGCGAATGGCTGCGACTGGTATGCGACATCGTCGACAAAGAGCTTGGAGCGCACGCAATGCTCGTCCACCGTCTTATTTGCAACGTGCAGCAGCTAACGGTCCCGATCCTGCGCTATCTTAAACTCTGGCTAATATTCAAGTTTTTGATCGAAAAGACTGCCAACGACGAGTCCAAGCTCGACTCTGCCGGGCTGCAAGGCCTGTCCGGGCAACTACTGACGTACGAGTTCGAAAAAGAGGACTTGGTAGCTGCGCTGTACCATTTCTCGCGCATTTTCAGCCGGTGCTCGCTAAAACTGGCCGCCGAAACCCGCACTAGCCCGACGTTGCAGGATACGCTTGCGCGTCTCAAGCTGTTCCAGATGGCCATGTTCATGATGCTGGGGTGGCTGAAAACCTCGCTGCTCAACAAAAGACTCGGCTTCTCGCTAAACGAGGCCACATACTACTCGACCGACTACCACGAGCGGCTGCAACTGGACCTGTCTGGGGTGCCCGAAAACGAATATTTATTACACCACATCAAGTTCTATATCAACATGGTCAAGAACAGGTACTTCCGCAACTACAGCGGCGCAATTCTGCCAACGGTGACGGAGTGTGTTGCCGTTCTGACCAACGTGCTGGCGCGGATCGAGCGCGAGCTCACAATGCCCGAGATCTTCACCGACTGAAGAGCTCGGGACACACTTTTTCCAGCTCCAAAATGTCCCGGATAACAATGATACCCTCACGCTCCTCCTGCGAGCCGGCCGCCAGCTCCTGCATGTCCTCGTCGCGCTCGACAAATTGGATAACCTTGCCCCAGCCATACTTTTTCGCTGCCACCACGTTCAGGCCCGAGTCGTCGACGAAATATGCGTTCTTGGGGTCGATCACGCCGGCCTGGCGCAGCGCCTGATCAAAACTCTCCTTCATCGGCTTGCACGTGAGCGGGAACTTGGCGTAGTCGCAGAATGTAATGCCGTCAAACAGATCTCCAATGCCCAGTAGCCGCACCACGCGCAGGCCGTGGTTCTTGTATGCATTCGTGTACAGCCACAGCCGGCCTACCTTGCCCGACTTTTTGAGTCGCAGCAGCATCTCGCGCAACTTGGGGTTCGGGCGCAATATCTTGTCCAGAGGAAGAGCGTCGTCCACCACCTTGTTGTACTCCATAGCATCGATCTTGTGCAGCCGCACCAGCCCCTCAATCGCCAGCCCGTACTCCTTGTAGTACTTCATGTGCAGCGCGTGCGCGTCCTCGTCGTTTAAATGCAAATGCTCTTTGAAAAACCGATGGATATAGACCTGCATCAGATCGTGGATCTTGGTCGAGCGCTTATACAGGCAGTTGTCGATGTCGAAGAAAAACACCTTTTCGTTGTCCGGCGGAACCGGGCCGGCACCATAGCGTAGACTCACCTCGGGCAGGTTCCTTGCTAGCCGGTCGGTCTCGAGCTGATCCTCGTCCAGGTTCGCCTGCGACTGCGAGTTGCGGCTCAGAATCTCGGCCTCCGCCTGTGACAGCGCCGTGCCGCCGTCGCACACGGTCTTCTCCAGTCTGCGGACCTCGTCCAGTCCGTTCATTCGAGCGGCCATGATACACTGTTATTTTTTTAGTCATATGGACCCGGAGAAATATTCCGTGACACACCCGTACACCGCAGGCGCATCCATCCCTCGCATGCGGCTATTCTTCGCAGCGGCTGTGCAGCCTGGTTATGAACGTAAACAATCATCAAACCGCCGTGTGCTGCCCCCCTTGTAAGCCACAAATATCTGTCCCACAAAAAATATATATATCACTCCATGAAGTTCCACACGCACACGCTGGCCTTTGTGCTCCAGCTTGTCTCGCTGGCGTTTCTGATCCTGGCCCTTGTGTCGGTGCCTATCTCTGCCAAGCTTGCCTTGTCGCGCACGCAGCACTACGCCTTTGGCTCGTTTGGGTACTGCGACACAAGCTCCAACAAGTGCGAGTACTCGTTTGCCGATGGCAAGTATCTGGGGCTTGGTTCGGGCTGGAAGATGAGCAACGAGTCCAGGAAGACCCTATGCAAGCTTATTCTGGCCACGCCAGCCGCTGTGGGTCTCACTCTGGTGAGCAGCATTCTTGTTTTCTGGGGCCATTTCCGTTGGGCAGGCCGCTCTGCCGTTTTCTGGGCTTTTTGCACGTTGTTGGCCGTTCTATCGTTTGCAGGAGCTGCTCTTGTTTGTGTTTCTGTGGTGTTGTTATTTTTCCCCCATATCACGTGGACGGGCTGGTTGCTTGTTCCTGCGGCAGCCCTCAACTTGCTGAGCCTCGTGTTGATTATCGTCGCGCTCAAGGTCGGCCCGCGGAGCTATGCAGACGACGATGACGATGACAAGCTGAGCATGTTTGGCGAAAAGGCCGCCAGCGATTCCACCGCGTCGTTCCTGCGAAAACCGTACACCGGTGGGTTTACTAGCACCACACGATTCCCCACACGGTCGTCGCTGGATGAGGAGCCCGAAAAGCTACGCGACTTTACTGTTGCGCAACACGAGTCGGGCTCGCAAGAGTTTGGCAGCAGTGTGTTCAACGAAAAGCCGGCCCACACGCTTGTTTCCGAGACCGCGATCAACTCCAGCACGCCCGAGCTTAAGTTGCCCGACATATCGAACCCGTACCTGTCGAGCTCGGAAAACACCCACTCGCGTTCCCGGCTGAGCAACCGTTTGAATGTGTCTGAGAGGGATCTTTCGTCGCCTGTTGCGTCTAGCATCTATTCGCGCGACGAGCGTCTCAAGCTGTCTAGCGATAACTTGCCCGACAACCATTCGGGCGATTCGAACGAGATGAACTCGAGCGCCGCGTCAGACTTCACGAGTGTTTCGCAGCGAGAAATCAACCCCAAATACTATAAAGGGGCGCCAAAAAGAGCCAAGCTGCCTGGCCAGTACATGCCGGCTCCTAACGCGCCTCCACTGCCGTACAGCGGACCATACTATCCGCAGCAGATGCCCGTGCCCGTGCCGCCTCCCCAGCACCAGCCGTACTATGCTCCATCGTACAACCCGCCAAAGCCCAAGACCAGAGCGGATATCCTTTTCAACAACAATCCCGACTTTGCCATTGGGGGCGCTGGACCGCGGCGCATGGCATACAAGAAATTTGGCGGAGGCGCGTTGCAAGGAATGCACCCGGGCATGATTGGACGGGACGCCATTCCGCAACATATGGCATCGGGCAGCTACAAAAACAGGCCGCGGCCCAACTTCCCTGCGGCCTCGTTATCCAAAGACAGTCCCTACGGAAGACTGTAGTGTACATTAGGATCCGAGAAATCGGTCGATAGAGCGTGCTTTGATTATCTGATTATTTATTGCTTCTCCGTTTCTGAAATATACCCGTTGCAGACTACCCGCTTTCTGCAAGCAGGGAGTCGTAGTCGTCGTTGGGCGTGTTTGGCGTAGCTGGCTGGTCGGGCTGTGCAGGTTTCGGTTCGTAGTAGTGGTCCACTCTTTTTGGCTTCACTATGAGGATCATGAGGAACAGCAGAATCAACAGCACCAGGAAAAACACCAGCTTGCACTTGGCGGTGGCCTTTTGGTATTTTTCGGCCTTTTTCATCTGTTTGTCGGCCCCTTTCACGTCCGCGACCGTCTTGCTCAAATTGTAGTCAATTCTGTCCAGCACCGTTCCCTGGTCTACCACCATATTTTCGAGCTCTTTGAAAATCGTGGAGATTTCTATCACGCCCTGTGCAATCTTGTAGATCTCCTCTTCCCTCTGGTGGAGGTACTCGTCACTGATGGTTTCCTGTTGCGACATGAGTTGCTGCGATGACTCCTGCAGCGCCTGGCGCGAGTATGACTCAATGTTCTCGCTGGACTCTGTCTGGACAAACTTGCTGCCGCCCTTGGTGTCTATGAGGGGCACCTCGAACTCGTCTTCTTTGAGGTAGCGGATGTAGCTGTTCTGGAGACTGCGGAACTGCGTCGACAGATCCTGCGTGCGGATGGCCAGACTCTTTTTGAGATTGTCCACCATTTCCGTCTCGGCCGCCTTGTGAAACTGCAGCCGTGAGTCGTCGAGCGTTTTAATTTCCGAGTACATGAGCTGGAAGCTCTTTGTGATTTTAAAGGACAGCTCTTTTATTTTGGCGTCGTCCTCGGTGGTGTCACTGAACCCAGGGAGCAGGTTCTTCTTATAGAGTTTGCCCAATTCCGTGATTTTCGTCTGTATGTCTGCCAGCATGAGCTCTGAATTGCGCTGCAGCTCGACAATGCTGGGGGGCAACTCCACCATCTCTGTTTCACCGGTGTCCGAGTACGGCTGGAGAAGGCCCTCTTCCTCGTCTTTAAGCCCTTCGAAGCGGTCTGCCTTGCTGGAAAAGGCGCCGTGGTGGTGTGGAAAGGTTCGGCGGTACGATATGTACAAATTCGTGCGGTCTCTAAACATGCAAGAGAGTATAAATATTTATTTTATTTAATAATAAAATACAGTTTATTATTTTTCAACTGCCTTACGTACTGGTATAAAACGGACCCGGGGCCATCAAGATGTACCGCTCCATTGCCTCGCGGAACCGGTTTTTATACTGTTTCGGCGTGATCACCGTGGGTTCCTTGCCAACACCAGTACCCCCCACCAGGCCCTTTTCCTTGACCCAGCTCTCCAGCTTCTTGTCCCAGGTGAACGTGCGGATACAGTCGATGATTCCCACCACGAGCTCCTTGTTTTCCGAGTCGATTCCCACCACCAGCGAGTAGTCCATCACGTTCATCTTGGCAAGAAACAGCGTGTCGTTCCACAACGACGCGCGCAGCAGCCGCTTCGCGTTCTCGCGCACAAACAGCGGCGACTCGTAAATGTACTCCACCATATTCTCATCCAGCAGCACCTCGTTCTCCTTGCCTGTTTGTTCGACGTGCCTGTTGCGCATCGAGCCCTTCAAGTCGAATATTCGCGTCATTTTGCGGTTGTAGAACAGGTTCTCCATTATCAGCACGTTCATCGTGTAAGAGCGCGCCCCGGGCATGCTGGTCTTGACCTGGATCTGGTAGAATCCAAAGATCTTCACTAGCACCGTGGGCAGGCTGTGGAACAGCGCCTGCGCAAAGTATTCAAAGTAGCTCGGTGCAAATTGCACAAACGCCTCCAGCTCCGACCTGCTCAGCTCCTTAATGATGAACCGGTCGTCCAGCGTCTTGAGAAAAGCCGACCCAGATTTCCCCCCCGTCGAGTCCCATTTCACGCACCGCGACAGGCTCTCGACGTACTTGGTGCTCACGCCGCACTGCCTGCGGAATGCGTCGAACTGCTCTGCAAAGAAGATTTTGCACGAGATGGTCGAATACCCTTCCTCAAACTGGTATTTCAAATGGAAACCTTTCTTGAGCATGATTTTCTCGAGATCGGGCGAGCGCGCCGCCCCATCGCCCGTGTGGCTGCTAGCAGGGCTCTGTTTCGTCTCATTCTCAAACCGCACGGACGCAGACTCGCCGTCGTCCGTCTCGTCCTGCTGCTGCTGCTTTTCCTGATAGTACAGTTTCGAGCCGTAATCGGCCGTGTTCAAGCAGAACGCAATGATCGAGCTTGGCTCGTCCTCCCGCACAATCACGTCCGAGTCGACAAAAATGTGCTCCGTCGGGCCCAGCGGGAACGACAGCGGCTCCCACAGGGTGGCCGACCGGTCGGCCCAGAAATGCGTCAAGGACTTGAGCAGCGACGATTTTTCGGGCTGCGGCTGCTGCGGCTGCGCTGGCTGCTGTTTCGGCTCCTCCCGCCTGTCCGACTCGGCACGCTCCTCCTCCACCGCGTCCTTCACGTTCTTGTACACCTCCACGGTCGGCCGCGACGCCACCAGTTTGTGCCTGTAGCTGTTCTCCTGCAGTTTGCGTTTCTCCTCCTCGCGCTGGCGGAAAAACTCCTGTGCGTCGAAATACTCCGCCAGCTTCTTGACCCTCCCCTCGTTGTTAAGTTCTGTCAGCCGCGGCAGCACCCTGTCGCCGGTCTCCAATATGTGGTTCTGCAGCTCGCTATTGCCTTGCTGCAACTCCTGGATTTTTTCCAGCACCAGATTGCCGCGTCGCCGCGTACCTGCTCCCTCCTCCTCTTTTTCCTCCTTTTCCTCCTCCTTCTCCTTCTCTGCCAGCTCTCCCGGCTTGTCGTTGCCCGCCTTGAACAGCCGGTCCAACTGGAATGCCGTGATTTTCTTGATCTCCTTCTCTGTCGGCAGAAAATCCTTATCGAACTCCTGAAACTCGAAATTCCAGTCGTTCGACAGCTCCTGCACCTCGCGTATCACTCCCGTCAGCCGTAAATGGCCCGACACCGGCGTCGTGCGGTAGATGTCCTCCGCCAGCTGGATCATCGCCTTCTGCTGCTGGTCCACGCGTGTCTTGAGCTCCTGCACCCGCTGCTGCGCAGCCTCGATCCGGTCCTCTGTCATGCTGTCCAACTTCAGCCGGTTCAGCCGACTCCGCACGCTCTCGAAGAAAACCGTCGTCCGCTTCACCACCTGCTTGTAAGTCTGCACCTTGATCTGCAGATCGTACTCAGGCTTCCAGAAAAGCTGGAACTTGGGTGGCACCAGCTCCAAGATTTCCACCTCCGAATATTCGACGCGCACAGCCAGGTTCTGGAAACTGAAGTAGTGGATCTGGTCGCGGTAGAAGTCGTGCGCGCACGCGGCGCCCTTCACCTTCATCCCACGACACCAGAACGACAGCTCCAAGTACTTACCAAACGAGTATTTCCACGCGTTGTCGCTCAGCGGCAGTACCGGTGTCGTGTTCCCGCAGCTCTTGCACAGACTCCACGCCATAATCATGTTCTCGCGACCCTGCAACGGCTTCGGGTTCGTCTCCACCACCATGTCCACTTTGCCGCTGCCGTGCACGTACGACCGGAAATGCTCTTTCAACGTCAGCCCGCACCCTTCTGTGCACAGCTGGCCTGCGTTCACACACAGGTGCTCAATGTATTGGCCCAGACAGAAGTCGTTGTCCCAGTAGTAGTCGGTGACCTGGATCTCCGGGCCCACGCACGGCGTCGCGTTTTTCGTCGACACCATGCTGTACAGAGTGACGATGTTCTGGTGGTAGTTTGGGTCGAAGAACACAAACCGGCGCGGGTGCCAGAACTGCTCCCACTGCTTTTCTGCAAGCGAGATTTCGTACCGGTTGTGCTTGTCGACGTAGTCCTCGTGCTGCTCCACGAGCTTGGCGAGGTCTTCGTCGCGCTGCGGCAGCTCGTCCGCGTCGATGCGCACGTTCCACTGCAGCAGCAGGTCGCCCACGGCCTCGCCATCGGTCAGCTCGGCAAACCGCCGCCGCAGCTCGGCGTTCTTATCCAGCCGCGCCTGGTACAGCGCCAGCCTCTCCAGCACAAACGGCCGCTCAAACCGCACCCACGGCGACGACGACAGGATCCGCACGTCGAACGCCCGCTCCACATCCTGGTAGCTGCCCAGGCTCATGCTGTGCAGCGGCTCCACTGCCGAGTGGAGTTCGTAGTCGCCTGCCTGCAGACACTGGTCGCGCATCAGGCCGGACTCCAGCTTCACGTTGAAAAACACGTACGCCATCAGCGTAGCGCACTCCTTCACCTTGGCCAGCTCTTCTCTGCTGCCCCCACGCAACACCACCGTGAATCCGGCCTCAGGGTTGCAGCCCGTCAGAAAAACATACGTCCGGCGCACCGACTCGTGCACGTACGAGCGCACCTCGAACTTGCCGCAGCGGCCCAGCGCAGGGTTTGTGGCCAGCTTGTCGATCGAGTTGACCACGTCGGCCTTGGTCATGCGAGCTATTTTCTTGAGCAGCTGCGGCTTGAGGTTGAACGCCACGGTGATGCCCGCCTCCGCCAGCAGCTTCAGCGCGTATCCGTTCACCGTGCTCTCGGCAAACACCACGTTTGGCTTCAGAGCCACGATCCTTGCCACTAGCTTCTCCAGATACTGGTCTTGCTGCGCGATGAGCGGCTCCAGGCTGGAAAACCGCGTATCGGCCTCCTGCTCGTACTCGATCTGGAACGTCACCAGCATGATGCGCGGATTTTGGATGCTGTCGGCCATCGTCTTGAGCGGCAGACATTTGGAAAAAACGATTCCGTCCAGCACGCCCGAGTCCTCGATCGAGGAGCCGGGAATCCGTTTCAACTTGAGATAGTTCGAGATGTCGAAGCTCTCGCCGTTCGCCAGCTCCACAGGCACACTGGAGACTCGTTTGAGACACTTGATTAGCGTTCGCGCCCAGACGTCAATGTGCTCCACTTTGCGGTCGGTCAGAAGCTGCGTGAGCAGCTGGCGCGCGTGGTTTTCTCCTGCGCGCAAGAAATCGTCCATGAACTCAAACTCCTCGAACCCAAATCCAAACGCGCCGGACGCCGTGCTTCTAAACGGTGCGCTGGAGCTCGCGTCACTGGACACGCGTGTCCCGCTGCGACTCATGCGCCGGTGCTTGAGCCGGTGGAAATTTGTTGGCCGCCGCGGCCTGTTGGAGCGGAACACCTTGCGGCCCGTCATGCTGCCCGTGTCCTCAAGCTTGAACGTGCTGGCGTTCGGGCTGTGGTAAGTCCAGTTGAACTCGTGGTTGTTGAGCGGATTGGAGTGTACGGAGGTGAACGCCAGCAGTCCGGGCTCGTCCTCGTCATCTGACAGCTCCGACGGCGAGCCTAGCAGAGTGTGCGAGGCAGACAGCGCGTACTCTTCGTCGTGGCGCGAGTCTGCGGACGGCTGGTGGTTGCCCGGCAGGATCGCGGTGCCGAAGTTGAAGATCGAGGACGCGGCATCAGCGGCCGCATTCGCCGCCGCCGCCGTGAAGTTGAGCGGCGTCAGCGTCTTCTTGTCCTGCTCTGCACCTCCGTTGCCCGCGAGGAACGGTCGGTTCGCCAGCAGCGTGTTGCCCCGGCTGCGACGACTCACCGAGTTCGAGCGCGGGATGTCGATCTCGATCGCCTCTCCTTTGCGCGTCGTCGGGATCGCCATCATCGGCGGAGGCGTCGGCGCCGACCGTGGCACAAACTGCCCGTCCGTCGTCGCCGCCAGCGACTGCGTGTCGCGGCTCTCAGAGTCCGCGCGCACTGGCGAAAGCGTCTCCGAGACCTGCGTCGAGCTGTTCGACTCGTCTCCAACCGACTCGTCTTCACTCGAGGCATATTCCTCGTACCGATCGGCCAGTTTCAGACACAAGAGACACACTCGCATCTTGCCCGGATGGTTGAACTTGTCACCGTCAATGAAGGTGGTGCAATTGCTGCAGAAGATCTTGCCGCAGATCCGACAGTGGTGTTTGCGGCGGAACGTGGTGAACGTGCGGTCGCAGGACCGGCACTTCGTCGCCGACGAGTCATCGAGCCAGTAATCGCGCCCCAGGCCCTGGGGTTCTTTATTGTGCTTGTTGCGCAGCGTGCTCATCAGGTTCAGCGTCAGGTCGTTATAGCTGTCGTTCACGCCTGCACGGTGCACGCTCGCATGCGACGGCAGCACACGGTCGCTCAGCTGCGTAGTCGAGTGCGCCGACCTTGAAAGGCCTAGTTTGAATGACATCGGTGCGAGGGTGAGATATCTATCTGTAATTTATTTTTTATTTATTTATTTATACGCTTTTCTGCTAATTCAGTGCTGCGTTTTTATTCCGCCATTTTTGGCTACTAGTACAAAACCGATCGCGCCTCACTCGTCGCTCTTTTCCTTCTTGTTTTTCTTGTCCTTTCGCTCCTTCTTGTCCTTCTTGTCCTTCTTCTCCTTCTTCTCCAGTTTGCGCTTCTTCACCTTCTCTTCACTGTTCTCGTCGGTCATCACCGTCTCGTCGACCTCTGTTGCCTCGGCTCCCACCGTGTCGTCGTCAAACACTATCTTTTTCGGCTTCTGGCCAGCATTCTCAAAAACAGTCTTCTTCGGCACCTTCTCGCTCCTCTCCTTGGCCTGGCCTTCCAGCAGCAGTGGCGGCAGGCCTCGCAATTCTCTCTGTAGCCGCTTCAGCTGGCTCAGAGTGGTCGAATCGGGCCCATGGTAGCTTTTATCCATGGCGGTGGCCTCGAGATGGTCGCACTCGCTAATGAACTGGTCCAGCATCTGCTGGGTCTCGTCTGACGACAGAGCTACCGCCGCATGAGCGCTGGCAACAACGGGTGAGTTCACAGCAGACGCCGTGACTCTCTTGCGAAATGACATGGAATATATATTTTTTTTTATTTTTTTCGTATTTTTCATTTTTTTTTCAACAACATGAATTTTGGTCTCTGGTGCCAGTCGATCAGACATTTTTCCGTCGCGGCCACTCGTCCTGTGCGGCCGGTCTCGCTCGCTCTGACGTCTGCTGCGCTTGGCCAGCCTGCCGGCGCCCCGTCGCTGTTCGGTTTTCTCCAGAGAAGATGGGCCACTAGAGGTGGTTTTAGAGGAGGCAACCTCGGTAACACATACCAACCAAATACGCTGAAGAGAAAAAGACGGCTCGGCTTTCTTGCCAGGGCATGCTCTCGCACGGGACGCAAGATCCTCAAGAGAAGAAAGGAGAAAGGAAGATGGTTCCTGACACACTAAGTTATTTTTCCAGATAGTACACTCCATAGCCGTCTCCAACCCCCGGTACACGATACACGCAGAACCGGGCTACAGCGTGGACCAGGAAATCGTTCAAGAGACTGCTTTCGCGCAGCTGCACCGCGACCAAAATGCCTGTTTGAGGTCCCGCCAGCCTCTCGGCAGCCCGCACCAGATGCGGTATCAAGTACGGATTGTATATAGTATCACAGGTAATGATAAGATCTGGATATCCTTTGACAAGCGCTAGAACCTCGTCGGTCGACGAGGACTCCCAATCAAACGTCATGGCGTCGATTCGCCGCACGTTGTGTCTTCTGCAAGTATTGTCGGTAGGAATGGTAGACGACTCGAAAACGCCGCCGTTGCGACATATGTTGCTCTTTAGCAGCTTCATCACGCCTTGCTGGTCAGTACACACGTAATGACGGCATTTGCGGCCCACCGAGCATGCCAGCAGCCCCGACACGCCGGACCCCAGCTCGACTATGCTAAAATTCTTGATTGCGTCCAAGACGGCGTTGTTCGGCTGCAGAAGCCACTCAGCCACCTTTATCGACGTCGACCACGCCAAAAACCCTGTTGTACCATCCCTATTGCTACCGTTGAAAGCAGAAACAGACTGCTGGACCACATATTCGTCGTCTCCAACCGCGACCCGCACCTCGTCCGTCCGCGCCAAATACCCCAGCCCTGCGCTCTCCGGTGGTGCCTGTTCAACATACATCTCAAAGACATGGTCCTCGATGTCTCCAGGTTCGATCGGCTGGAAAAAACGGGTGTCCAACGCCATGTCTACACGCGGCTGTGCAAGTTTATTTCATTATTTTTCGTATGCTCTATGCCTATTTATTTTTTCTCGCCAGCGTCCTCCAAAGACAAGTTCTGCAGCATCTGCTTGGCCTTTATAAATGTCCCCGTGGCGTTGTTTGTGTCAACGTTCAGGTTGGTGAGGCTCTTGGGGCTTGCGATGCCGAACGAGGGGTTGAGGATCCGGTTAGGGCTGGAACCGTACTCGGGAGCTTCGTTGTCGACCAGCCGTTCGTCCAGCAGCTCTCCGTCTAACTCTTCGTCCAGATCCTCGTCCTTGTCGTCAACATCGTCCTCATAGTCGTCTTCGTCGTAGTCGTCGTCCAGATCCTCGTCCTCGTACACGTAGTCCGGATCCAGGTTCTCGTTCTCGTCGTCCTCATCGAACGAATACTCCGCCTCCGGCTCTGTCTCGGGCTCCGTGCTCCTGGAAGCAGGCGACCGCGAGAAAAATCCCCCCAGACGGTGCGAGTTGGCTCCTGCGCTTGTAAGTTCGTCCCTGCTCTTGGACTGCTCTGCCTCGCTTTCGCTCTCGTCATCAGAAAGATCGGAAAGATTCAGAACAGGGTTCCGCCAAAAATTCACGTCGCTGAACTGGTTTACGGTATCCTGAATGCCCAAGGCGCCCTCGCGCGTCCGCGAAATGTTCACCGGCGGGAAGAACTGGTCCACCAGCTCTCCGATCGAAACGTAAGACGACTTATACCCTGCCATCTCGAGCAGCTCCATGTGCACGTCTCCGTCGGGGTTGATGGTGAAGATCCGCGACGAGGGAATGCCGACGTTTCTATACGATAGGGCGTCGGTAATTCTATTTCCAAAGCCTGCGTAGAAAGGAGTGTACGAGTGGTCGCTAGCAGCCTGTCTGGAGAATGACAGGTCCCGATCGGGAGTTTCTGCATTATGGGGCTGTTTCTTGTCGTAAAGTGCCTTGATGTCGTTCAGACAGGCCATTTTGAACACCTCTGGCTTTTTAAGCACGATTTCGCGCTTCAGGGCAGCAATAGTGCGGTCGGGCGAGAGAATCACCGGTCCCACAGGCAGCTTGATGCCATCCTGCACAATTCCGTTCAAGTAAGAGCGAGTAGAGTCGGCCAGACCAACAGAACGAGCCGTCAAGTACATAATGTTGTATCCGTTGAACTGGATGTCTGCGAACAACTTGGCGACGCCAACATGCGTCCAGTCTCTGCCCAGCATGGTCAGAACGTGGCCCAGAGCGTCCGACTTGGTGATCGTACCGTCAATGTCCGATATCACGATCGGAACGTTGTGTTTCCAAAGGAAGAGCTTCGCCGAGACCAAAGCCCTGCCCTTGTTGACGCTGAACTGCAAATCGTTCTCGCCCGGCTTGAGCGACAGACACTTGAGCTGCTCAGACGTGAGCCGCAGCGTCTTGAAATGGTTGTCCTGTTGTGTCTTCACGGTGTCTGTGTCAATGTCTGAAATTACGGAGGAGGCGCTGGAGGCTGGTGACTGCGGCTCTGTGCGAGTCTCGAGCGACATGGACTCGTCGTCTGCCAAGTCGTCCGAACTCAGGATCCGGATGTTGCCGTGCAGGTCCTTGTCGACGAGCGCGTTTATGTCGACGTCGTCGCCAAACTCGTCGATCAGCAGCTGTCGGATCACAGCGTCGGAGTCGTGGATGTTCTGGTCGTTGCTCTTGTATCCCTGCATGTCCAGCATGATGTCACCATTGGCCTCCACCTTGGACGGGATGTTCTTCTTAGTCAGCTTGCTGGAGATCTTCTTTGCGCGGTCGAACGACGAGGCAGTGCCCGCTTTCCGGATATTGGAGGGCGAGTGCTCGAGCAGCGCAGAGTCCGACTGTGTGGACGGCACCGACGCGCTGAAGCTGTCGTTGGCACCCTCCCCGATGTCCAGGTACTCCGGCTCCTCGGCCGGATACGCAATGGTCGGCTCGCTGGACTTGGGACTGCTGCCTGGCGAGCTGACCGGGCTGATCACGGGCGACGTCTGCAGGTCTGGCGGGATGTATCCGTCCGTCTCAAACACAAAAAACGCCTCGCCGCCGTCACCCAGCTTCATCGGCAGGTCCGTGACCTCGCCGTTCACAATGAACTCCACCTTCTTCTGCGAGGGTCTAAGGAGTTGGAACTTGCCAAACCGAACGTGAAACGGAGAGCACGCAAGCTCTCCGTCCGGCTGCTCGACAACAATCACGTCAATTGCTCCTGACAGCGTGGCCGGGTTGATCGAGCTCCATGTCTTGGACACAGAGCCGATGGCTCTTCCAACATACTGCATAGGGGAAAAAGGAGATGGGAATAATGTTTTATTTTTTTGGTCGTGCAAATAATGTAACGGGAAATTATCGTGCAAGCCTAGAGCAACAAGCCAGCCTGCTAGGGTGGGCACAGCTACGTATATCATAACCTAAAATTCTCATACATTAGTTACACTCTTCGATGCCGGCAATCTTGACCTGCTCGATGGAGCCATCGGTTTCGAGGCTGTTGCAGTAGCTATTTATCAGCCCGCTAGTGACCAAGTTGTCGTACTTAGACGGCTGGGTAGGCAGTCTGAAGTGTCTGTGCCAGTCGTTCTCTGTCTCTGTGAGTTTCGCGTTCGGATCGATCTTGAGTTTCGCCTCGTTCTGCTGTCTGATCTGCTGTTTCCATTGGTTAATCTTCACAAGCTCTCTGGACAAGTTGCGCTGGTAGTAGTTGAGATTTCCCAGGGTGTGGTTGAAGTTGTCGACGGCGTCGGCCAGGTTATCCACGGTCTGGTTCATCGACGCCAATGTTGCGCCCGTCAGCTCCAGACACGAGTCCTCCTCGAAGTCTGGGCTAAGCTCCTGCAACTTCAAGTTGGACAGGTGGTTGTTCTTTATTTTCAGAGGCACCTCCTCAAAGATGTTCCTGTAGGTGAGTCTGTTCTCGTACAGGTTTTTCGACACAAACCTTTCGTCCGACTTCCATGCTCTAACGAACGAGTCGCTCAGCTTGAACGCTCTCAGGCTCAGCAGACCGTCCATCGACTTGAGAGTGTCGAAAACTAGCACCACCACAGGCGTTGAGTCTCTGTTTTCTGTCTGGTTCTGGGTCTGCTGGTTGATAATCGCTTCAATAAGCGACTGGCTCACGAAACGGCCGCCGTTCGTCGTCAGAAACCACCCCAAGTGCTTCACCCCCACTTTTGTGTCTTTGAGCTTCGCAAGCAGGTCATTCTGGTACTTGACGTTGGATGCCCTGAGACTGAAAATCTCGTCGTTTGTATAGGACGGTGGGAACAGGAACGCATGGGAAACCTTGATTGCCGTGTGTCTTTTGTCTTCGCTTGGCTTGCTGGCAATATCCAATCCAAACAGTGGTCCCGCCTCCGTTGCTGGGTATGTGTCTTCGCCGACCTTGCTGATTTTCAGGGCCACGCTCGCGCTGATCTCCACGCTGATAGTCATGGTGTATAAAATTGGCTTTTTTAATGGAAAATTTTTTTAAAGCCAGTGTGCAACACCCATCAAAGTGCGACGAAAAGTAGAAAAATTAAATTAAAAAAAACCCATCCAGCTGAAAAAACGTCGACCGTCATGTCTGATAAAGTTGAGGAAGTGACAGAATCTCTGCAAAAGACCTATTTGGACGAGGTCACCGGCGAACAGGTGTCCAAGTCGGAGCTGAAAAAGAGACAGAAGCTGCGTGCTCTGGAGGCCAAGAAGGCTGAAAAGGCCAAGAAGGCTGCCGAGACCGCTCCAAAGGTCACCAAGAAAAAGGATGACATGGCCAACCTCAACCCTAACCAGTACTTTGAAATTAGATCGGCTCAGATCAACGAGCTTAGACAGCCGCACAGCGAGAAAAACCCTTACCCTCACAAGTTCCATGTTTCGCTGAGACTCGATCAGTTCAGAGAGAAGTATGCCCATCTCAAGAAAGGTGAGACTTTGCCAGACGTCAAGGTTTCTGTTGCGGGCAGAATCATGGTCAAGAGAGAGTCCGGATCGAAGCTGAAGTTCTACAACCTGGCCGGAGAAGGCACCAACGTTCAGATCATGGCTCAGGCCCAGGACGCCGAAGGAGATTTCCAAGAGATGCATGACATACTCAGAAGAGGAGATATCATTGGTGTCGAGGGCTATCCGGGAAGGACGAACCCAGCCAAAGGCGGTGAGGGTGAGCTTTCCGTGTTTGCTACCAAGGTCAAGCTTCTGACTCCATGTCTGCACATGCTGCCAACCGAGCACTACGGCTTTAAGGACCAGGAGGCAAGATACAGAAAAAGATATTTGGACCTGATCATGAACAAGTCCACCAAGGATACTTTTGTCACGAGATCCAAGATTATCTCTTATATCAGAAAGTTCCTCGACAGCAGGAACTTTATCGAGGTCGAGACTCCGATGATGAACGTCATTGCTGGAGGAGCCACGGCAAAGCCTTTCATTACTCACCACAACGATCTGGACATGGATATGTACATGAGAATTGCTCCGGAGTTGTTTTTGAAGGAGCTGGTTGTTGGAGGTCTGGAGAGAGTGTACGAGATTGGCAGACAGTTCAGAAATGAAGGTATCGACATGACCCACAACCCGGAGTTCACCACGTGCGAGTTCTACGAGGCGTATGCCGACGTGTACGACCTGATGGACACCACCGAGCTCCTGTTCTCGGAGATGGTCAAGGAGATCACTGGAGACTACAAGATCAAGTACCATCCGGACGGTCCTGACGGCAAGGAGCTGACCTTGGACTTCTCGAGGCCATGGAAGAGAATCAACATGATTGAGGAGCTGGAGAAGCTCTTCGACGTCAAGTTCCCTCCGGGAGACCAGCTGCACACCAAGGAGACCGGCGAGTTCCTCAAGAGCATCTTGATCAAGCACAAACTAGACTGTCCTCCACCCCTCACCAACGCCAGAATGCTCGATAAGCTTGTTGGAGAGCTCGAGGACACCTGTATCAATCCTACGTTCATCTTCGGCCACCCGCAGATGATGTCTCCGCTGGCCAAGTACGACAGATCCAAGCCGGGTCTGTGTGAACGGTTTGAGGTCTTCGTGGCCACCAAGGAGATCTGTAACGCGTACACGGAGCTGAACGACCCATTCGATCAGAGACAGAGATTTGAGGAGCAGGCCAGACAGAAGGCCCAGGGAGACGACGAAGCCCAGCTGATCGACGAGACGTTCTGCAACGCTTTGGAGTACGGTCTGCCACCGACCGCCGGATGGGGCTGCGGTATTGATAGATTGGCCATGTTTTTGACCGACTCAAACACCATCAGAGAGGTGCTGCTGTTCCCAACCCTGAAGCCAGACCAAGTGACCAAGGGCGAGGAAAAGAAGGAGGACAAGCAGGAGTAAGTAATTAAAGTACAGAATTAATGCAGACTAGAGGTTTCTATTATTTCTTCCCACGCAGCTGGCCCTGGCGTTTCATCTCCAATGCGCGCTTGTACGGCGGGTCCGTGGGCATTTGCACAGGGTCCAGGCTATGTGTCACCTTGGTGTCCAGCGAGTAAGAGGCGTCCGAATCGTAGCTAGTTTTGAGGTCTCCACAGGCCACAAATGGGGCTACCTTGCGTTCCTCGTAGTCCACACGCAGGTCCTCGTGCCACCTGGCGCGGCCAATGTCCATATTCTGGAAGAATTCCTCGGTGGATAGCTCTGGTTGCAGATGGGGCTTCCATCCTTCTCTCGGCCTGTACCCGATACAAACTATGAACGACTCGAGAGACGTGCCCCGCGAAGCCCGTGGCTTTGCACAGACCACTTTTTCGAACAGAAAACCGAGTTGGCTGTACAGAAGATCGATATCCCTGCCTCTGAAGATCTTGGCGACAAATGTCCCCCCTTCCTTCAATAAGCACGTGGCTAGACGCAGGGCGCACAGCACTAGCTGGGCCTGGATGTACTCGTCCAGGTCGTGCAGCCCAGTCACATCTGGAGCCCCGTCAGAACACACAAAATCGGCCTTTTCTCCGCCAAAAATATTGAGAATTTTGTCCAGCGTGCGAGGATCGGTAATGTCTGCCTGCAGCGTAACAACGTTGTCAATTGGTGCCATCGGCTGGAGATCTACGGCAACTATCTGGGCGTCAGAACGCTCATTTTTGAAGATTTCACGGCTCAACACTTGCGACCACGACCCGGGGGCAGCACACAGATCCACCACGCGGTGGATGTCGTTGAAAAGCCCAAACTGCTCGTTCAGCTGCAGCAGCTTGTACGCTGAACGCGCTCGCCAGCCCTCCTCCTTGGCCTTTCTGTAGTAGACGTCTCTTTTGTCCTTACTGCTTTTTCCCATATATTATTCCTGTAAAAAAAAGTCGCTGAAAATTTTTATCACCATGTTCAAGACGGCGACTTGCTTGCGCGCAGCCCGTCGCCTCTTTTCGTCTACCGCATCAAAATTCAACCTGAACCGCGAGCTAGACGAGCTTGCGGCCTTAAAGTTGCAGCTGACGGACCTCCCAAAGGTGAGCGACGACAAGTTGCAGAAGTCGCAATTGGTGGACACATTCAAGAAATACAACCCGCAGGTCGCCACGGAGGAGGAGGAGCTTCCCGGAACAAACAGGCCGCTGCCTATCAACGCTGAGCTCAACTACTACGCCCCCCTGAAGCACGAGGTCAAATACGGGCATCTCAAGGCAGAGATCGTGTTCAAGTCCTTTGAGCCAAAAAACCTCGAGTTCATTGCAGACTTTGCGCTCAGAGTCGCTTACTATTTGGGGCTGCCAGCCACAGGACCGCTTCCGATGCCTAAAAGGACAGAAAGATGGACAGTCATCAAATCTCCGTTCGCTCACGCCAAGGTGAAAGAGAATTTTGAAAGACACACGCATGGACGTGTTGTCAAGATCTGGGACTCCGACAATGAGGTCATTGATATCATGCTAAGCGTGCTCCAGAAGCACTCCATGTGGGGAGTCGGTATGAAGTGCAACATGTACGTCCAGGAGCCTTTGGGAATGGGCAACACCATGGCTAAGCTGCCGGACGGTGACAAACAGGTGTCGGACCTTGCTTCGACCCTCGAAACATTGGAGGGCGAGTCCCAATCTCCGGTCGCTCAGAGGGTTGCAGAGCTGCTGCAAGACCCTATTTTCACCCAGCACCTGGACTCCAGACAGCAAAAGACCGTGAGAGAAAAACTGGGAAAGAGCGAAACTTGATGTACATAGAACGAAGAAGTCCCGTATATTTAACCATACATGAGATCCTGTTCCTCCTCGCTGTCGGAAATGTCGATCTTTTTCTTCTGCGTAACGTCCACTCTGCACAGGGGACACGTCCTATTGAGCTTAAGCCAGGGCCCGATGCAGTCGAGATCGAAATAATGCTTGGAATTGCAGGGCAGCTCTACTATCAACGGAAATTCCTCCTGGTGGAACTCGTTGGTGCAAATTGGACAGCATTTGTCCTTAGGAACGTTGGAGATTTTGACTCTTTCAAGGGTGTCCAGAAAATCGTCGTCTATGCCTTTGTCCTCGCCCTGGAGCAGAACTCCGTTGGGGTCCAGTATTGTTCTCACTAACGCCTCCATCATTTCTGGGCTGTTTTCCTGTTGCCGCAACCTTTCCAGATACTCATTGATTATAGACGACTGGTTTTCTGCGCGCTCACCCGTTAAAAATGTGTCTAGCACATCCCTCAGTGTAGGCTGGCGGGACATTGATAAATAAATAAAAAACGGTTGAAAAAAAAGTGCTATCTTTGAAAATGTTCGACGATGAACAAGGAATGAAAATCGCCTACGAGGAAGCTCTGAAAGGTACGTAGATGTTGAAGTCGTCTTTCTAACATCAGGCTATGAGGAGGGAGGCATTCCTATTGGTTCCTGTCTAGTCCATGAGGATGGAACCGTTCTGGGACGGGGCCATAATATGCGGATCCAGAAGGGCTCGCCAACTCTTCACGGAGAGATCTCTTGTCTTGAAAACTGTGGAAGGCTCAAAGCCGAGGTGTATGCCAAGTGCACGGTAAGTTAATTTGAAACTCGTCTAACGATCTAGCTCTACACAACGCTGTCTCCCTGCTCCATGTGTAGCGGCTCAGCTCTGCTATTCAAGATACCGAGACTTGTTATGGGTGAGAACGTGAATTTTCAGGGTGCTGAGGACTGGTTGCAGAAGAACGGAGTAGAAGTGATCAATCTAAAGAACGAGAAATGTGAAAAACTGATGGCCAAGTTTATCGAGGAGCGTCCTGGAGATTGGTACGAGGACATCGGAGAGAGTGAAAAGTAGTGAAAAGTAGTTTTAAAATAATTTTTTATTTAATGTCTAAACGCACTGCAGAAGCGCCTGAGCGGGTTTCCAAACGCGCCAAGACACTCAGACAAAAGCCCAACTATACGCTGTACATTAAGAATCTCAATGATAAACTTCCTGCTGCGAAACTAAAGCAAAACCTCTACATACTTTTCAGTACTTACGGAGACGTGATAGCGATCAATTGCACTAATCGAGGGAAGTATAGAGGACAAGCCTGGGTCGCGCTGAGCTCAATCGAGGAATCCCAGTCAGCTTTATCCAGCCTGAACAACCAGCTGTTTTTTGGGAAACAGCTGGCAATACAATATAGCAATACCAAAAGCCACATTATAGAACGGCTCGAACAAGATCAAAATGTACTATAGAATCAACGCCGGCCCTTGCTTAGTCTCCAGTTTTCCTTCGGGTCATTTCTATTGAACAAGGGCTGCAGTTTCTCCGTTTTCTTTTTGGAGCTCAGTTGCGACCGATCGGCAGTTTTGAAAAAGCGCGGAGCGTACATCACCAGCCATTTCGGATCAATCTTGGTGATACAATGCATGTATTCCTTATTAGTCAGGACAAGCGTGTGGTAGATCACATAGTCCACCCCATGTTTCCTAAAAAGTGAGGACGAAGGATGGATGTGCACGGGAGTGTTTTCAACAAGGGTCCGGTAGGACCCTTCTTCTGGATCGTGTGTTGCTGCGCGTTTGGCTGAATTTTTGAAAAATCCAGAAACGAAAGCCTTGCGGATGAGATCCCAGTTCCCACGACAGCTGATCACAGACGATTCCATCTGACGCTCTCGCTTGTCAAGACTGTCAAAAATTTTCAGTAGCTGTCTGCGCACTTCTCTAGCTCTTCGCATTGACTTTTCATGAATGAAATTGTTCTGACACCAAAGTCGCTGGTTGTCGGCATCGGACCACTTGTTATAAACATTCAAAAGAGTTAGATGGTCCCCATTATAATCGTGGAACTTAGCTTTTATGCGATCTGCCTCTTCTCGTTTCTCTTTTGGCCGATAAAAGATGTCAGGCACGGAAAGCATCGCAATGATGGTGATAACCTCGTCCGAACATTTGAACTCAATTGACTGGATCAGAGTCTTTGACAGTAATGGTTCCATTGGGAAAAATGCCATCCGTTTTCCAAAATCTGTCAGGACCCCATTTTCGTCCAACGCATCCAAAATGTACAGCTCTTCCAGCGCGGTGAGAATAAGCTGCTCTTTCGGTCTATCCATGAAGTTGAAGCCAAGAACATCGTCGATGCCCATCGCCTTCAGCATCAAGATCGTATAAGACAGATTTTGACGCTGAATTTCGGGAACGGTGTTGGCAGGCATCTCGTTCAAAAATGCGTTCTTTGTGTATAAACGGTAGCAAATACCAGGCCCTGTTCTTCCCGCTCGACCAGACCGTTGATCTGCCTGAGCACGAGAGATCGGCTGCACAATTAATGAGTCCATTCCCAGCTTTGGGTCATAAGCGTTGACTTTGACATATCCCGGATCAATAACGTAGTAAATTCCATCAATCGTAACAGATGTCTCGGCAATATTAGTAGCAAGCACAACTTTGCGCTTTCCTGGCGGAGTTGGCTCAAAAATGCGGCTCTGCATTTCCGACGGAAGCGAAGAATAGATTGGCAGAACAATCAGTTCTGAGACATGAGGTTTTTCTGCACGTAGCAGACTCATCTTTTCAACCAGCGTTTCGCAACAAGTATCAATTTCCTCTTTACCGGTCAGAAACACGAGAATGTCGCCCGGGGGGTTGTTTGTGTGCACGTCTAAAACAGTTTCAATCGATGACTGGATGTAGTCGAGTTCTGGCTCCTTAGTGTAGAAAATCTTGACGGGAAAAGTTCGTCCCTCAATGTGGAAAACAGGACAGTTTTCAAAGTAGTTGGAAAACTTCTGGGAATCCAGAGTGGCAGAAGTGACTATGAGCTTGAGACCACCCTTGCGTCTTATCACGGCCTCCCGTAACAGCGCAAAAAGCACATCTGTAGCAATCGTCCGCTCGTGAGCTTCGTCCAACATGATTACAGAGTACTTCATTAAGTCTGGATCCACCAGAGCTTCTCGTTGCAACATACCATCGGTCATGTATTTGATTATGGTCTTGTTGCTCGTGCAGTCCTCAAAACGGATAGTGTAACCAACCTCTTCGCCCACTTTACAGCCAACTTCTTGAGCAACTCTTTTTGCCACGCTGGTGGCAGCAACTCTCCTTGGCTGCGTACACGCAATGATCCCTTTAATGGAATAGCCCTCCTCTGCCAAATACTGTGTAATCTGGGTGGTCTTTCCGGAACCTGTTTCGCCAACAACGATGAGAAAATCGTTCTGCTGCACCAGCCGGAGAAGTTCATCTCTTTTTTGATAAACGGGTAAAGATTCTCGTTGTTGCTTGATACTCATGTTGGAACGGATTCCGTAAGATTGGTTTCTGGATTGGCGCTGCCACTCTTCGTATGCAGACTTTTTGATCTCGTTTATGTTGGGTCTTGTCATTTGGTTTAAAGGGTCGCCATTCATCCTCATCTTTTCCTCTAGCCTCTTGATGCGCTCTTCCTCTTTTTTTTGCTCCAGTTTCTTCGTCTTCGCCTCACTCATGAACTTCGATCCATACTGGGCAACTCTTGTCATGGAGCCTTCAGGATTTTTGGTAACAGTGAGAGCTGACTCATCCACGTCCAATTTGAAATTCTTTCCCTTCAGGAACGATGGCAGGCTTTTTGACACCTCAATTTCCACTTCTTCTTCCCCAGAATCCTGTTCTGGAACTTCATCCACCTCAGCATATGGATCTTCGCCGCCATTGTCCATCAGGGCAGTCTTTTTGATACCAAATGCATTGTTCATCTGTGTCAGCTCCCAGAGATCTGGGTCCTGTTTTCGCTTCTGTCCGCGTGGCTCTACCATTTCTGTCTCCAGAATCTCGACGCCTTTGCTCTGATCAATATTTTTCATAGAGAGGGAGATCTTTCCGTCATTCTGGACTTTTGTCACCTTGACGAAAACCTCTTGTCCGGTCTTCAAAGCCTCCCATGGGGATTCCAATCGTCGAGTCGAGATCTGTGAAATATGACAGAGCCCGTCTTTAGAGTTTTCCTCGCTTCTTATCGAGATAAATGCTCCAAAAGGCTTGATGCTTCGCACGCGACCCGTATAAATTTGACCCTCCTGGATCATAGTTGAAGAAATATCAAATCCACAAATATTTTTTATTTTCACAGCCTTGTTTGTGCTTGGGGCCCCGGTAACTTCTAGCACGAGACAGCATATGAGAGATCCATACAGGTGAATATAATACAACTTCTATGAAAACAGACTCTTGAAAGAAGTTTGCAAGCTGTACTTGCTAACGTCCTGCTCGTTTGTTGATCAGAGGCTATTAGATTTTCTACATCTGGGGAAGTTCTCCTTGCTCTGAAGTCGGTTGAAGTGGTAACAATAAAGTAGTATCCATGGCTCCGAATAGCACTATCTCCTTACTTCACTCTTATCTAATACCAAAGCCATAATTTATTGTGCACGTCCAATTCACCTAACCTACATCCGTATAGTCCCATAAATAATGTCTACGCATAAGCGCTTGCGTAACTCACACTGCTGTCGTGTGCTGAAGTGACAGAGCTGCTTTGTTTGTATCCCAGCCATTCCAGCTTCTTGTCCGAATTTTGTTCCATTAAAAGAAGTAGCACACTCAACGGTTTAGCTCCACATATTGTGTTCTCTGTCGCAGCCAGATAGTCCCGAAACGCCTTGTAGGATGTTTTCGAGGCGATTTTCATTGCCTCCTTGTCCAAAGCTTCAATACTCTTGTAGATTGGCAAAGCATCGGACTTTTTGAGTACGCTTGTTCCATACCTCAAATCCTGAATATCGGCAATCTTGCCCGAAGGCGTGTACAAAGTGTAGCCAAATCTGGATCCCCAATGGCAGAAATCTGTGCTTATTACAAACGCATTTTCGTGGTCTTGAAAGTATGGGGTCAGGTGCTCTGCCAGTTTTCTCTCAAACTTTTCGTCAGTGGCGCTGATCATGATAGGTATAATTTGGGGAATACTGCCTCGGGCTTTACTTGTCACACGGTACAAATATGGCATGTGCATTTCAAAGCTGTGCTCCTCCTCGTCCATTTCCTCGGACATCAATCTGAACATTTTGGGGTCTTTTGCTACCAGATCCTTTATCGTCTGCTTGTCCACGGGGACGTTGCCCAAAGGTGTCTCATAATAGTCGAAATTGCTTGTCATGACACATCCTCTAAAATAGACATGATGGGAGGGGCCCATTATAAATACCCTTTTGATTTCTGAAGCATCTAGAGCACTGTATGTTTGCGCAAGCGTCTCTCCGGCATAGGCATAGCCCGCATGAGGACCCACCAGAAGACGGGCGCCGGCAACAGGGCCTGATGCTTTTGAAAGCCACTTGTCCAGTTGTAACTCGAGGCGCAAAGCCGATCCCGTATACCAGGATCCTGCGTGGGTTGCTGGTCTTACTGACATAATAAAAAAAGGAGATAAGAAATTAGTATAAGTTAATTTATTTTTTCCATCACTTACTATTGTCAGCTCCTACTTCGTACGTGAGCTCCGAGTACGGTTTTGAAAATAAAGGTGGAGGATAAGGGTCGTTATTAGCAAACTCCATTTCCCGCCAGCTGTCAAATAAGTACTGCTGGCATTCTTTGCTAAATTCAATGACATCCTTTTGGTCAAAAGTTTCTCCTTTCTTGTAAGCATCCCACAATTTTTTGCGCTTGTCAGCAAGAACTCTTTCAAGCTGCTTGAATCGGAAATCAAACCACTCAGTGTAAAATTGGTCGTGAACAGAACGAGGGAGAATGCTAGGACGAACACTGGTCAGGCAACTGTTGTCCAAAATGGGAGCTGTCGGATAATAGCCAGCCACGGTGGCTATTCTATTTGAATTGGTATTTGGTTTTGTCGCTATGTGCCTGATGACCCTTGCCTGCAAGAGCGTACAGTACCCAGGACGAGCAATGTTTGGAATAACCAGTGGAGTCTCGTCACCTGTGATGATGACGGTCTCGCCGCCCTTATCTTGTGGACATTCCCACATGATTACACACGCTATTGATGTTGAATCATAGTGCTGCCCCAAGATCGATCCCACTTCTTCTGCCTTAAAAATGGGTTTCCCGTCCTCGTCTTTTTCAGGCTCAGGATAAAGCGGTGCGTCTAGAGGCATGTCAAAATCTGCCAGGGCAACATTCACATGATTGACATCATAGCCATACGTAGTTGTCACATCCATTCCAATCAACTGGGAAAAAATCTCTTTGAGTCGGGGGTGTTCATAGACAGACTTGGTAAAGGGAGCATGACCCTCTTCTGGATATCCAGCTATGTGGAAGTCGTGCCGGTTGGTCTTCAAGCTGAAGTCTGGGTTTGTCAAACGTGCATACTTTTTCACAATTTGGGGCTGGAATGCTTCCCATTTCATGATATCGATAGCTTCCTCGGTCAGCAAGGGGAACGGATAAGTAGCACCGAAGTTATTTATTGGTTTGGTGTGAGTTTTGGTGATTCCCAGGTCTTGAAGAGTGAAAGTTTTCGTGTTCTCAAAATACTCGTCTTTCCAGGCAAGATGCTTCTCGGGGTCAAACAGCTGGTTGGGGTTGAAATCAGGCTTACTTTTGATCTTATCCAAAATTGCCTGGACCTCCTTATCCAATGTTTCCTGAGGCACATCCATAGAATGTGCCCCTGTCAGGTAGTCTTCACAAATCATATTCTGCTCTTCAAAGGTTAGAATCTGTTGGTATTTATATCTTGTCGGCCAGCATGGAATCTGATATCATGTGCTCAAAATAGGAAATGCCGATTTGGACCGAATAAACTGATTTGGTAATGATAAAACTACATTTGATTTATTTTTTCAAAATAGGTTCACCACCGAGCTTGTCCGGATATGATTCCAAATGCAGAATTTACGATCGTTTCGCGAACGAATCGCCCGATAACTAGGGACAGAGCTTTTGAAAGAGCAAAAATTAGGCTGAGGCAACGCTCTGAGCTTATTAGATCAAGCGAGTTATTTATGGATATCGTCAAGACACTGGAATCCTGGAAACCAACCTCGACTGGCTCCTGGAGCAAAGTGCGCTGTTTAGCTCTAGGGTCTCCCATTGAAGAGGAGCAAGCTAATTTTCAGCTAGCGCTTCTATGCGAAATTAGTAGGCATTTGAATGTTGATACTGTGTCTCTGTACGATCCTGCTTTCACAAAAGACGACAAGCGTTTTTTGTCGTCAGAGTGCAGTTTTCAGATTGAGACATCTTTTGAGTCACAGAATATGGACTGTGTTCTGTTCTTCGTTCCGCATGCGCCAATTGACCTCTTGGAATCGCTTTTTTCCATCAAACCCAATTATATCTTGACTAATGATGTCTCCATTTACACAAACAAATTCTCAGACAAGGAGTATTTCGACAAATATCCGTTTTGTGCCACAGTGTGCAACTCCATTGAAACTAAGGTTGACGATGGTTTTACGGTAGTCAAGAGAAGAAACAAACACACAATCACTCGCAACGAAATTCCCCCTCCAAAAATCGCAGTGCTCTCTCACAAAATTAATCCTTACTCTACACGCCCTTGGGCACATTCCTTTAGCGATCTTTGTCTATATGCATTCAAGTCATAACAATACAGAAATTGTTTCTCTTCGTTCCTTCATGAAGCTCTTTTTTGGGAAAATTCGGTTTTTCGCTCACCCTTCGTTCCCATTGGTAGAGGTAGTATGCGAGTTTGTGCGACCGGTAGTGTCTAATGCACTCAAAACCAAGTGCCCTCATTAGCTCGGATAACCTGTTTTCGTCGAAATATCGAGAATTGACAACACATGGTAATGGTAGCACAAAAAATAAATAAGGTTTTTGCGAGTGTGGTTTCAAAAACTGAGTTATTCGGTGCATCATTTGACCCCTTAGGTGTGGATCCGGCACAAAATTCACAACTAGCGAGCATGAGATCAGATCAAACTGCTCAGCTGCGCTCTTGGGGAGAGGACGTTCCATAAAATCCTGCTCCAGTATATCCGGCTCCTGCGAATGAAGATCTATTTTCACTACTTTTGAAAAGAGCCCGCATGTCGATATGAAATTTCTCGAGTTCAAACATCCGATCTCAAGAGCTACGGCATTGTCTTTGTTGTAGCCTAGGTCTTTGAGCCATTCTACCAGCTTCTTGGACGAGTCGCCACCTCTCAGGGAGCTTTGGCCCTGGACAGACGCAGCTTGGTAGACTTCCAAACCCCCTCGTTTCTCTATTTCTCCTTCTATTTTTCCTAGCTCCTCACAAATCCGATCGAGTTGGAACGAGTTAGTGCTGATGACAGTTGACGGCGGAGGCTTGTTGACTACCAATGTTTCTATCGTATGAATTCTCGCTTGCTCAAATCGTTCAAACAGATCAGGGTTGTATTCTCTGATATATTTGGCTGGATCCGACTCGATTTTGCACTTCCATATCTTTTCCAATCTCTTGGTCAGTTGGTTTTTATTTTTGAGTAGCACATGGAATCTGCGGATCAGTTGGCGAGCCCTCAAAGGTTTCAATACTTTTTGTTTATTATGGGAGGGCAAAGCGCGCCTTCCTGCCATTAAGCCTTTCTTCTTATTTCTCGATAACATCGAAAAACGATATGCAACCTGAAAAAAAATTAAAAAAAAAATTATTTTAAACTCTAAAGTTTTGGCCCAGGTTTGATGGTGACTGCCGCACAGAAACTCATTTTGAAGCGAAGAAAGTTGCAGAAGCAGCGTCATAAAAGGCGGAAAGTTGGATCTGGCAGTGCTGTTCCCAAGAAATCCCAAACAGCGGCTGCCAACGAGCTGAGATGGAAGCCAGTGGAGATCCCAGATACCCTAGATGATTACGAGGGATTTTATGGGCTCGAGGAAATCGATGGTGTTCATGTCAAAATGGAAGATGGACAAGTCAAATTTGTTGTTAAAGATGAAAATAAACTTGTCAAGGAAGCAGAAAAGCCCGATAATACTGATAACCAAGAAGAGGATGCAGAAGATTCTGAAAGCGAAGAGAATGACAATGAGCAGCAACAAAATGAGTCTGAGGAGAATGATGAAAAAGAAGAGTTTTCTGAGAATGAAAAGGAATTGAAGACGAACGTGTTTGCGGCTTTGAAGGAGGACCTGCCAGAGGATGTGGATCTGCCCGAATGGAGTTCCCTTAACCTTTCTGCTAGCACCTTGCAAGGATTACAGAAGCTTGGATTCCAAAAGCCTACCGAAATCCAAAGATCCACCATTCCACTTGCTATGGATGGGAAGGACGTTATCGGTAAAGCCATAACTGGTTCTGGTAAGACATTGGCGTATGGTATACCAATCCTTGAGAAAGCTTTGAGCAATAAACAAGAACATCTGAGCGGGATAATCTTTACTCCAACCAGAGAACTAGCTAACCAAGTGATGAAGCATTTGCAGGAACTGTTCAAATATACTCCGTTTCATGACAAAGCGGTCATTTCTCTTACTGGTGGTCTCTCTATTCAGAAGCAGGAGAGATTATTGGGATACAAACCGCGGGTGGTTATTGCCACCCCAGGGCGCTTTTTGGAAATACTTGAAAAGAAGACCGAAAATGCAGTGCAACTTGCGTCTGCTGACATTTTAGTTTGCGACGAAGCTGACCGATTACTTCAGGATGGGCACTTTGATGAATTGGGTAAGATCCTGGAAATTCTCCACAACCACCGCCCAAAAGCTCGGGGCCAGAAGTTCCAGTCTCTAGTTTTCTCGGCTACCTTTTCTCAAGATCTTTTTGGGAAACTGGAGAAAGCCAAAAAGCATGCTTTTGACAGCGAACAAGCCATCGTCAAGATGCTTTCTAAGCATTTGAAATTCCGCTCCAAACCAGAATATGTGGATGTTAATCCTACAGAGATTGTGGCTCATAGCATCACAGAAGCAATGATCCCATGTGGAGCTCAGGAGAGGGATCTCATGCTGTACTATTTCCTTACCATGTTTCCTGGTGTCACGTTGGTATTTGCCAACGCTATTGACTCAGTCAAGAGACTAGCCCCAATGTTGAACAACTTAGGAATCCCCACCGTGTCGCTACATTCTTCGATGGTACAAAAACAACGTCTGAGATCTCTTGAACGTTTCAAGGCCAACTCAGAAAAAGCTATCAAGGAAAAGAAGTCTTCCGTGCTGATTGCATCGGATGTTGCTGCCAGAGGGTTAGATATTCCGGGAATCCACCACGTGGTGCATTATCACATCCCTCGTACAGCAGACACCTACATTCACCGCTCAGGAAGAACAGCAAGAGCGGGACGCGAAGGTGTTTCAGTGATACTTTGCTCTCCAAATGAGGCTTCTGGTCCACTAAAGCAGCTCAGAAAAACTGTTGCTAACAAGGAAGTTGACGATTTGAGAACGCTACCACTTGAAATGGACATTTTAGACCAGCTCCGTGAAAGACTCGAGTTGAGTGCTAAATTGGCTCAGGCAGAGCTCAATAGTCAGATTGTGAACAAAGAGAAAACGTGGATTGAAAAAGCTGCAGACGATCTGGGAATCGAGGACCTAAGCGATTTGGAGGAGGATGATTTCCTCAAAAGAGATAGAAAGCGGAAAGAGGGCAAGCAATTGACCAAGCAGGACGCAAAAAGCTACAGAGCGCAGTTGAAACACCTACTGAGCCAGCCTCTGAGAAAAAGCGGAAGACGGTCGTATATTGCTGGAGGCCTGACCAATATTGCGGATCTCCTTGCCAGAGGGGGCGACTCGAATATCTTGGGATACCATCAGAAAGATGCACTGGAGGTGCTGAAGAAAAAGAAGAAATAAAGTGCATATAATAATCAATTACAACCCTGCATCATTAGTCACTATAAAATTCGTCCTCGTCGTCAGAAACCAGTTGTTCGAAATTGACCTTGTATCTCAGCAAGGCACCAATTCCACCAAAGCCCTTCACGAACTGCGCTCCTTCGGAAGATCTATCGGTGACAAACTCAAGCGTTGCACCGTAGTTCTTGTAATTTTCAGCCAGCCACTCCAGGAATGGCATCTCGTCAACAATCTCCATCTCCTGGCCCGACTTGTCAAACATGTAACTTTTATCTTCCTGCGATGGCGAGGCATGTGCAATCACTTCATTTCCTTCCGAGTCTTTGAGTGTGTATCTGACGGTGTCGAGACCTTCGTAGACAATAACGATTTCACAGGCTCCCAGGTCAAGTGCTTTGAGAGTATCCTCGATTCCGTAACAGAATTTGCCAGTGTCTTGTGAAATTTCGTCAAAGTATTGTGTGATCAGCTTTTTCTCCTGGACGAATTTGACATTGGACAGAGTTTCAGCCGAGAGCTCGATTGCCTGGTTGAATCCGTTTTCTCCTCCGTAAGAAATGTCGACCAGTTTCAAGATCTTAGCTTGCAGCCTCTGATCGAACATGTCAGATCTACTCAGCTCCGTCTTGAAATCGGCACTACCTGCCAAAATCAATCCGGCAACGTTGACCTTGTCTCCGGTGATGAAATTCTGAACAGCCACCTCGGCCACCTTTCTAACATAATTGTGTCTTTTTTCATCTCTCAATCTCGAGAAACGCAATGCAGATTGACCACCTCTTCCGTGCTTCTTTGGAAGGTCGACTGTGAATTTGTGCAACACTTCTCTGGTGTTGCCACAGAGCGTACCAAACAAAGCTCCGTTACCGTCCATGACAATGAACCCGAATCTATCGTCACTCTCCAACAACTCAGAAAGCGCCTCGGTATGGAACTTGTTGTCGCACAGGTACAAAGACGTATTAATGGGCTTGAAAGGCTCGAAACCAATGGTCAATTTCTTCTCTTTACCTTGTTCGGTGATAACTTCACCACAGTAGATAACCAGTCCGTTTTTAGGAACAGAGCTGTAAAGTTTCAATTTTTGCTGGGTCGACGTGATGGCAGAAAGCACAGAAAGTCTGTTGACACGCGATTTAATATTGGAGGCTGTACCATATTCATCGGTCAACATTTTTTGAATCATAGGGATTTGGCCCTTTGGAGGAATGATCAAAGAAATCATAGAGGTACCGTTACCTCTCGCTTTCTCAAGAGACTTGATCAGTTTCTTGACCTTCCACATTTGGACGTTCTTCTCGGCTTCATCTTCCGTGATTGCTGGCGCCATGTTGGAATAAAAATGTACAATATTAGTTTTGCTTGACGAAAATTTTTCATACTGCGTCGATCGTTGGCTAGACTCGCACCCGAAGCCTTGATAGGGGGGTTCGCGGCTGTTTCAGATGCAGGAAACGAGCCCTGATCAATAACAGTGTGTCTAGTTTGCTATCACTCCACCTCCAATGCTCTCCAGGAATCGGTGCCTGCGCGCATCCAGATGGCTGCTCTGCGTCGATCGACTCTAAAAGTTTTGTTTCCCAAATCTCTTTTCACCCATGTCTGAACCTACTTCTGTTCCTGTGTCCACTCCTGCAGATAAACAGCTTTCTAATAAGGAGCTCAAAGAGCTCAAAAAGAAAGAAAAGGCCGCCAAGCGTGCGGCTGCCAAAGGTGGCTCCTCCGGTTCTGAGTCCGCGTCGACAAAACAGAAAGAGTCAAAAGATTCTAATGGTAAACCTCCAACAGCCACACACATCAAAAAGCAGCTGAATTCCGCCAAAATCATTGAGTCCGACCGTAAAGTGCCTACGATGTTTGGACACCTGGAGACCAGAGAACAGCGTATTTCTTCGTCTCCCCAGATAGCTAGTATTGTTCATCCGAAAATCCTGGCACTCACGCTTAAAATCTCTACCTACAAAATCGTGGGCTCCACTGCCCGCTGCCAGGCCATGCTTGAGGCATTTAAGGACGTTATTTTATCATACCAAACTCCAGACAATGCTTCGCTGCAGCGAAATCTCACGTCTCACCTGTCTCATCAAATTGAGTATTTGAAGACAGGCAGGCCTCTCAGTATTTCAATGGGAAATGCAATCAGATGGCTCAAACAGCGGATCTCCATTATACCCATTGACTTGAGCGATGAGGTTGCCAAAAACCAGGTAATCGAAGAAATTGATCTCTACATCCAAGAAAAAATTCTCTACTCGGATAAGGTTATCACCCAATTTGCATCCACTCACATCCATGACGGCTCAAAACTTCTTACCTATGGACATTCGGAGGTGCTAAAAAAGCTGTTCAAATACTGCGCTGTGGAGGAAAACAAGTCCTTTGATATTTACATCATCGACTCAAAACCTTTATTCGAGGGTAAGAAATTGGCCAGAGAATTATCTGCTGTTCCGAATATCAAATGTCACTATAATCTTATCAACTCGTTATCCACGATATTAGAAAGATCTGACATAGACTTTTGTTTCCTAGGTGCTCACTCGATGCTCTCCAACGGCAGACTGTATTCACGCGTCGGAACTGCTATGATTGCGATGGCGTCTAAGAATAAGAATATTCCTGTGTTGGTGTGCTGCGAATCCATGAAGTTCAGCGATAAGGTTCAGTTGGATTCTGTTACTCTCAATGAGCTCGGTGATTCGGAAGATGTCATCAATACCAAACCATTCGTGAAAACGGGATCGAATTTGAATCAATTTTTGATCTCCTTGCAGAACAAGGAGCCCAAGAAGCCACAGCAGCAAGGTACCAAGAAGGAAAAAAAGGAACTTCAGCTAGCAGATAGTGAATCGCCCGTGCTGAACAACTGGAAAGAGCTTAAACCTCTCAATATCCTGAATGTTTTATATGATCTGACCCCTCCAGAATATATTCAGAAAGTCATTACGGAGCTAGGCGCTCTACCACCATCCTCTGTGCCAGTCATTTTGAGAGAATATAAAACAAATGCATGATCATTGTGTAATGAATATTAATCGAGTCACTTTATTTGAACACTTTTCAGTTCTTCGTCCTCCCCTAGCTTCAATTTCTCCACGTATGTTTCCAATTTCTTCCAATGCTGTTGCCTCAAATCCTTCTGGTTCTTCTCTTCTTTGGTCTGCTCCTCATATAATATACAACATCTATCATAAACGATTGGGTTAGTATCCATGAAAATTTTAAGAGCGTTGTAGGCAAGGGATGAGATTGTACGATTCCAATTGTTGGGTTCGTCATAATTGAAGTCCATAGACGGTTGTTGTTGTTGCTCGATTGCATCCAGTTCTGGTTGGGCCAGATCAAATAAGGCAGGGAAAATAATGGGCAGAATACTCTCTGCATTTTCAGTGACAAGTGAAACGAAGTACTCGTTATTAAAATAACAAAGCACTTTTTCGCTGACCTGGAAATGAGGCGATGATATGCATTTTGCTAGTTGAGCAAAAAGAGGGATTTCAATCCTCTGGAATTCCTGAGAGTCAATTATCTCAAAAATGTCTTCAATCTCGTTCAAAAACATCAGTTCCTTAGGAGAGTTAATCTTTGGCCAGTAGCGTAATAATCCCATGATCACCTCCTCGGTCAAACTGGGATCCTTTTCCAGAAACTGCAAAATACAATAAGCCAGCTGGGGATGGTATAAAGACAAGCACCTGGCCTTATGCAAAGGTATCAAAACTCTAATCAAGAAGACTTTATGCTCCTCTTTCAATGGAAGAGCGAATCCGTTAATGATGGAGCCTAAAATTTCCAGCAACTCAGATATTCCGTTGAACCTGCCAGTCTCGTAAACAAAGTTGAGGAATATGTTGCTTATAGACTTCCTGATAAATGATCTCAGGCTCAAAAACTTTCCATATATTCTGTGCAAAGTAGTTTTTAGGCAGTCTCTTTCTCTATTGTCCTCGCTATCAAACAACTCAAGCAAAGTGAGCACAAATTTGTGATCAATGTAAGGTTTAGCAACTGAGTTGTTGAAATCCGGACTTTCCACGAACCTTAGGAAGAACTCATACACCATTTGCATATGAGGCCAGGCAAGCTCATACACGGGTTCATCTTCGTCAGGGTCATATATCTCCCCGACAGGATTCACAGGAGGAGGTATAGGCCTAAAAATGTTGATCTTAAACATGTCGACAACATGCTCGTACATCTCTGGGGTGAATGTCATTCTCGTAGTACTTATGAAAGACGTTAACTCGTGTAAAGTAAGCCTTTTCAATTCTTTGCCTTGTATATCGGAGGAAGGGTCGTAGAAGTCGAACATAATCTTACACTGGTCAACCTTTTGAATGAAAAGTTCAACATGGTACTCTGGATCAACTTCATCGAAACTTGCCAATTTTTCGAAAGGTCGTTGGTCAACGGTTGGCTCAAATCTTGAAGAGGAATGTCTTTGAGGGGTCTTAGGTTTCAAACCGATATCATCTTTCGGAATCTTGTCGAAAGCCAGTGAATGGTGAGATGTATGCAATTTGGATATTTCTAGTTCTGGAGACACAACATCGTCGCCTCTAGTCGATCCAGAGGCTGTGACAGGTGTTGGTGTTTGTATCTGTGGAGCTTGGGATTGCAAGACCGACTTGCTGGATGATGTTGAAGAAGGGGAACCTGCCAAAGAGTTGTCTACTGCCGAATGTATCGACGACTGTTCTGAAGACCCGGATTGGGATTTTTTCAGCGGAATTGCTCCTATGCTGGAAGAAGTGGAACTTGACAGCGAACTTGAGGACTTTTGTTTTTCCGGCTTCTTATTGATTTCTTCCTTTTTATCCTTCTTCTTTTCTCCCTTGGCAGATCCGGCTTTAGACCTGAATCTTTGTTTGAATCCTTTCATCATTTTGAGAGCTTGATATATAGTAAATTGCGATTACACAGGATGAGGCTTTTTGTTACGTACAACCGAATCAGAGTAACTTGAAGCCAAAACCGATTGAGTGAGGGCAATTCTTACAAAAGATGCACTAATGGATTGCCTCTTCGTGTAATGTGCTAGGGTTGATGACTATGCCTTATTTATTTGAAACGAATCGCTCTTGTTAAATGTGGGAAAAAAGAAAACAATTCGTTCACTCGCCACAATTGGCCAGCAGTCAGAAAAAAACTACAAGAATCTATGCATCGCCACACGACATCATGTTTGTTGTATGTAGCAACTCACTGTCCACTGTGCTCAACCTTGGCGTTGGACATTTGGTTTTCAATGCTAAGATAACAATTCCATACTATGCTTATGAGGTTGACTGTCAACAAGCGGTATCTCACGGGAGTGAACCAAAAGTTGAGTGTCTGGAAAAGAGGCCACACTTTCCAATTATTAATTAGCGTATCAAGGTAAACCTCGCGTAATTTAGCCTTGATTTCGGGAATTCCGTATCCCTCCATGAGAGTAATGCAACTGTAATAAAGTGGAATGCCAATTGGGGCCCAGACCAACTGGTCGAACGAAACCCTTGCTATCGTGTCGTATAGTCTCTTCGGCTGCCATGGGAGCGGGAACTTTATCGTGTCTACAAACTTGTATAGCCTGTTTCCAATTGGGCCAAACACGGCGCCTCCGTAGATAACTGCTCTCATAGTTCGAAGGTAATCATATTTTGCCTTTGGGTCTTGAGGAAAGCATATTTGGGCAAGTGCATCACCAGTACCAAATAAGAACTGCTGTTAGTTGTGATCAGAATATGAATACTCTACTTACTCCTGTGGATATCATATTTGCCATTAAAGGCCGCCGTGCAAAGAGCGTTTTGTATCCAGTGATCATATGTAGATTGCCTGAGGCGAAAATTTTCTTATCTGACGAAATTTAAAATATAGCGTTTTATTAAATGAGCAATAAAGCAACAATTACCTTTTGCTAAACACCCAAGCCCCCAGGCCTTATTCATATGAGGCAAAGAAATCAAATCTATAATGTATTGGCTTTTAGGCGATCACTCTCTTCTAGTCGTCAGTTTCTGCTATCTGAATTATTTCCATTTTTGGAATAGAGCATATATATACCTGTTTCAGAAGGTAGCAGGAGGTTTCAATAAATAAGGTATCTATTGGGCTGGACTACAAAGCAGAACGAGTACGTATGATTGATAAGCCGGGCGCGCTTTTCAGGCATAAGTACAGGTATTGCGGAACCACGCATCACTTTGGGCGTGTGTAGCTGGTAGTGCCGACAATTTCTATCGAGCATACCTCAACACCTTCAAGGCCATATTGTATGCCACATCTGCAGGCTCAAATAGCTTACCGCATGTAAGTTTTAGTTGTCTCTGAAAAGTCCCTGATTCCCCACGCTATTCACGCTTCCTGTTTAGTACATGACAAATTTCCTTTTTGAGAAAAATAAGATTGACGAAGACCTCAGTTTTCACGATATTTGGCTATCAATTGCCAGACTCAACGGCCTGTGACGTTTGTAGCACCCAATGGGAACCACTTGACCTAAAAGGACCAGTAGTTGAGTGGTGGTTTCCTGTAAATCACCAGTACAGCCCCGTTTTCTGGTCGTGCACTGAGCCCCAAAAAGACTGGGAGCGATAGGATGGCAAGCTATGAACACCTGTTCTTCAAGCTACCGGGCCGTGGAAAAGGTCAGATTGGAGGCCTGGTAAGTAGATCTATCCCTAGTCATAACGAGAATTGATGGTAGCCGGAATCATCTAGCAATTTGCCCGATTTGGGCCATTTTACTGAGCAAACATGATCGATTGTAAAATTCCCAGAAAGGCAATGTCGCCAGCTATTTAAGGAGTTAAATTTCACCATAAGAAAAAAAAGCTGCCCAGCTAAAGTATTTCCAAACATGCACAGAACCTACTCTCTCAGATCAAGCAGGGCTCCAACAGCCTCTGACTTGCAAAACCCAATCCCTGTTCCACCGTCTTCTACCAAGACTAATAGATTCTTTGGTAAGGGCTCCATTACCAACTCCATCAGAAGATCTGCTGCTGGTTCGTTTGGTCCAGAACTCGCCAAGAAGCTTGCACAGCTTGTCAAAATGGAGAAAAATGTCATGAGAGCCATTGAGTTGTCTTCCAAGGAAAGAAAGGCGGCCGCCAAGCAGCTTTCCCTCTGGGGTGCAGACAATGAGGACGACGTCAGTGACATCACAGACAAATTGGGCGTCCTGATCTACGAGATTGGTGAACTGGACGATCAGTTCATTGACAGATACGATCAATATAGAATTACCCTCAAAAGCATCAGAGACATTGAGGGCTCCGTCCAGCCATCGAGAGACCGGAAACAAAAGATCACTGATCAAATTGCTTACCTGAAGTACAAGGACCCACAGTCCCCAAAGATTGTGATCTTGGAACAGGAATTGGTCAGGGCCGAGGCAGAGTCGCTTGTGGCTGAGGCACAGCTTTCCAACATCACCAGAGAGAAATTGAAGGCTTCCTTCTCTTACCACTTCGACTCGATCAGAGAACACTCTGAGAAATTAGCTCTGATTGCTGGTTATGGTAAGGCTCTTTTGGAATTGCTTGACGACTCTCCAGTGACTCCAGGTGAGACCAGACCATCGTACGATGGCTACGAGGCATCCAAGCAAATCATCATCGATTGCGAGAATGCCCTTGCCTCTTGGACCTACGAGACCGCCCAAGTCAAGCCAACCTTGAGTTTCAAGGCTACTGATGGTGAAATATACGATGATGACTTGGCCGAGGATGTTCAAAACATGCATGTGACTGAGCAAGAATGGGCCGAGCCTGAAAAGCAAGCCGCCTAAGTGTTCGTGGGATTTATTTCTGTCTGTAATGTTAAACTGATTTTGAATCGTGCTTAGTGATTTGCTCATTTCGTAGTAGCGTGCACGTAGATGCTAAGTGGAACCGGAATGATCTGAGGATTTCGGTACTTAACTTTTATCGATTTACGATCTTCCTCCTCACCCAATAGTGGATCATCCATTTCGTCCCTTTTGAACACCACGTCTTTGACTAGAAGCCAGGATTGGCCCAGGTTATGCCCCAAAGACTCGTATCGCAAATATTGACGCAGTTCCTCGATCTCTTCGACTGTTATTTCCAAATAGCATTTCCAGTCGTCTGTTGTGAGCGGGATCCGACACTTGCCATCGCTGACAGGTTTAGATATGGATCTTATGTGATCTGCTGAGTATTCAAATAAGATACGCATCAGAATGGGTTTGATATCTTCATATAGCCGTCGAAGGTCTTTATTTGATAAGGTAATTCGCATAACTTTCGAGAGGTTAAGAGTTGCCTGGTGTGTGTGAAGCTTGCTGATGTTCTTCTGGATCTCCTTCCGATTCACGTAAGTTTTAACTGGAACCACCATTCGCGGGCTCAACTTTATATACGACGTTATTGGTGCCATACTGAAAATATAGTACGAAATTAATTTTATCAAATAATTCAACATGTCTAGTGATGGATTTACATCCATAATATCCATGTTTTACGCCGTTTTTCATCCCACAGAGGGAACCAAGGTTGTCTGTCAGGTTCCAAGTGGGTCAATAGTGCCCGCAGATAAAAGCAAAGACTCGTCCACGCTGGCTGCTCCCTTGTTCGATTTCGATTCTATCAAAAACTATGTGATCCCAAAACCAGCACTTTGTAACAAATTGGTGACTTTCAAAATCAGCAGCTACCGTGTGGTAGGCTTTCCTGTCAACATATATGCGTCTCACTATGCCCGTAACTCTTTCAGCTTCAATCTGTGTTTTGTTTTCAAATACGAAGATGATACCACCCCCTACGAAGGACATGTCAAAAGATTGGGACGTATGTTTCGCGCACTGGAGGAGCAATCGCAAATGCTGTCCAAAGCGGATAAGAACCATGAGGATTTTTTCAAGCCGCAAAAGGAATTGGAGCCCAAGACCTGGTCCAAGACTTCAAATTATATTCGAATAATACAAGATGAAGACGTCGGCGACGAAGTGACATTCTCCAATCAAAATATAAAACATTCAGAGTCCAGCGGCCCAATTCTTGCATCTATAGAAAGCTTAGTCCAGCAAATCTACCAGGACCTGAACAATTACTCTGAATGCCTCATTCCCATAGACTCTGCAAACTCTGTCGATATCAAATTGTTTCCCATTTTGCCGCCACCCCCCGAACTGAATGCTTATGATGTTCCTATAGCAACAGTGAAATTAGAGACGATGGTGGATCCACTGTGGGACCCGACGATGGTGAGAATCCTACCTTTTATCAATGGTATTAACTCTATTAAAAGAATTAGCATTCTAGCAGATGCAGATTACGAACTGACAAGACAGTGTATCCAGCACCTGATCCACTTCAGATCCGTTGCGGTTCTCGATGTTTTTCAGTTCTCCAATTGTTACGCTCCTACCTCGCAGATATGCAACTTTTTGCGCGACCCAATGATGGCTTCTGAATGTCAAGGATACGTGATCTCATCCACTGGAACATTTGGCAATCTGCCTCTCCAAAGAAGACAAGATTTAGGGTCGAATCCAGATATGGAGAATGCAAGCACACATTCTTCTTTATTGGGCACTGAAAGGTCTCATGATGGTCAACAATCTTTTTCACCCAAAACTAGCTCTTATCAGAATCATAAGTCGACGCAAAAGACTATGTTCGTTCCGTTGCCTTCAAAGGCGACTCTATTCTATCTCTATTGTTGTATGAATCAAAATCTTACCCTGCGTCAATGGCATTTAGAAAACAGCAAGCTTTTGACTCACATTGATATCAGAAGATTCGTTACCTTTGGTGTGCTCAGGGGAATTATTTACAGGGTGCGAACTTATCCTGTGTCCAACAAGTTCTCGACATCCATAGACTTTGGCACATTGTATACAAGTTACAATGATGCTGCAAACCCTAAGAAACCCAATTACAATGTTTCTGTGCTGCCTGTCACCAAGAATATCAGAAAATACAGCAACGATTACGACGATGACGACAAGCTCATCGAGGCAGCAGAGAACAATGACAAATTTCTGGACCTGACAGGCCTCAAGTCCGAGCGTCTAAGGAAACAACAAGAGATAAAGCTTTCTCGCTTGCTGAAGAAATGTCGGGATTTCGATATGATTTGCACGGAAATGAGCCTTCCTAAAAAGGAGGTTGTCGAAATCCTTACGAAAATGGGCGATTGGAGCGTCATCAATTCGTAAATTCATTATAAGCGGTCAATGTCTTCATCTGCTTTTGTCTTATGAAACTCTTGGAGTTTTTGGTCTCTCTTGTAGCAGGCTATTCTAATTTTCATAAGTGTATCTTCCACAAGCTCAGATTTTTGGATTGGAGCCCCGCACTCAGGGCAGTCAGACGAGTTGTAATTAGCGAGCGATGTTTTGTCGTATGTGTGTCCACACTTTTTGTTTTTGACCGGACTTTTCATTATCAAGCGAGAAATCGGACAAGTTAAATTCACTTTACCACCACCTATTTCTATTTCATCATCATCTTCTTGATCGTTGAAAGGTATAGGCTCGGTTGGATTGATGGCAACAAAAAGCTTTTTATCAATTTCAGTCGTCTCTGCCTTCACTAATTGCTCATTGACAGAAGCAGATTCACTCACATTCGAGGATAAAATCTCTTTATAAAGATCATGCACTTGTGACGGTACAGCCTCCATATGCGCATAACGTTCAAGGTCTTCTAAACCAAGCTCCTGCTCATGACGGTCTAGGATTTCCGTACGTGTTTTTTGAAAGGCAGCGAGATATGTGGCCTGGCGTCGTCGAGTTTCATTTAACTTCTCTAAAACGCGCTTACCTCGCAGCAGAACGGGATCTTCTTTGTATTTTAGTTTCTTGGTATTCTCATAGTCCTCCATCATTACATTACCTTTTGACACTTGCTGAATTTCTTGCTCCGCCTGATTATCAATATATTCAAAAAGTGTCTCCATCAAGGCGCTGCGTGTCTCCTTAATTACGGCATCTATCGTCTTCGCAGGATTCAGTTGACGCAATTCAGATTTGAACTTTTTGGTCAATGGATAGTAAGCGGGCAGCTGAAAAAGTGCTTCAGAAGATTCAGATGGAGGGTTTGGCAATAATTCGTTTTCTCGCTCTCTTTTCATTGAAAATAAAAAAACATCAAAAAAATATCAACATTTTATACACTAATGTCTCAGGAGCCGGACTCATCATCTCATGTAACTGCTTTGCAGAAGATAGTCACTTTGCAGCATATCCACTCTTTATACCTTGCAGCGCAACAATCGCAACCTCCTCGCAAAGATATCTCATTCAATATTTTACAGCTTCAAGCGATGATAAACAATAATCCATTGATAAATCCAGATTTTGACATTTTAGACATTAAAGGGTCTTTGAATGCAATAAAACAGAAGAGACAGAATGGTGAAACATTCCAAGACATCCTAACTCCTGGGCAGATTGTGCAAGTGATTTCAGAGAGTCTTTCTCTGGATAGCATCAATGACCAAGTGATATCTCAAGTTCCCAAGAGCACGATATTTCGTCTATCAAATAAGATCGACATTTCTTTGGTGAAAGACAGGTTGATAAAGATACTAAATAGCTACAAAAATACGACACTTGGGGAAATCACAAGCTTGGAGCTGAAATATAAGAATAAGAAAAAGGAAATAGAGCAGATCGAAAGCGGGAGCGTCGAGGATTCAAAGCTCATTGCTGAGGTTTCTCAGAATTCGAAGATACAACAACCGAATAGTGTCACAAAGGGTGCAGAAGATGTACAGGAAGCCACCCAACAGGAACTAGTCAATATGGTGAAGGAAAAACTTGAGTCAGACGAGGGTAAGGAAATCACAAAGGTACTTCAAGATCTTTCGGATAACCAGAAGAAAGACGGCCAGATTGTTTTAGATGAAGAACAGTTGGAGAAAACTTTGGAAATGGCCAAAGGTGACGCACAAGAACCCGAAGAGGGCGTGACGCATAATGACGCAGACAAAGAGATCGATGAAGTTGCGGAGCCCGAGGCAGAATCAGCGGCTCAATCTCAGCCGGTCACTTCTTTGGAAAAAAGCAAAACAGAGTTATCGGAAACTCATGCCGAACCTCAAGAAGGCCCAGCTTCAACCTCAGAGTCGAATGTAGAATCCCAACCCCAAACGAAATTGGAATCCAAGTCGGCTTCTAAAGAAATACCATCGCCAACTCCAGAACCTGCTACACCATCTACGCCAGCAAGTGGAGATGAAGAACGTGGGAGCAAGCGACGCGGATCCGAAAGCGTCCCCCCTGGTTGTACTAAGCGCTTCAATGCTCTGTCTGCACAACTTCTCACACAGATATCATCCAACCGGTTTGCGTCTATGTTCATGCAACCAGTGAATGAAAACGAAGAGCCCAACTACTACAAGCTAATACGGCATCCCGTGGACATTAAGAGTTTGGGTAAAGCTATTAGGACGGGTGAAATAAAGTCATTCGACGAGTTGGAATTTGAGCTTCAACTGATGTTCAGCAACGCAATTATGTACAACGATATGAATCAGACAGAAACTTACAAATGGACGATTGAAATGATGGAAGAAACGCAAAACTTGTTGAGCCTATTCCGGGAATCATCCAGCAATTAAAGCTCATTAATTGCCGCCTCTCATCTGGTTCATCAACATCTGGTTCTGTTCCTGGAATCTTAAACCAACTCTTTCGGAGTGCTTGAGGAACTTTTCAGCGCACTTGTTCAAACATGTTTCTTCTCTAGAGCTAAGTTTGTTGGAGGTGAAGTCGTTGACGCAATCATTAAAACATCTGTCCACCAAACTGGTGTAGAGCTGCAATGTTAGTTTTCAGAAGGCGTTCACTTACTCTCATGAAGTCATTCATTTGCTTCTGCTCCACAATTTTCTGGAATTCTTGCTGTTCTTTATAGTTGAGTTGATCCATGGTGTATCAAAAATAAACTAATGAATTATCGAAAAATTTTCAACATTTCCCTGAATAATAATCAACATGTATAAATCTTATGGAGAAAGGGCGAAGTCTCACCCATCTAAGGTCGCCAGCAGACTACTTAATTTGATGGAATCCAAGCAAACAAACCTCTGCGCTTCTGTGGATGTGACTAAAACTCAGGAATTATTGGAGCTTCTTGATAAACTGGGCCCTTACATCTGCCTTGTCAAAACTCATATTGACATAGTAGAGGACTTCTCTTATGAACACACCATTTTACCATTACAAGGACTTGCAAAGAAACACAACTTCATGATTTTTGAAGACAGAAAGTTTGCTGATATAGGAAACACAGTCAAACTACAGTATAAGGGAGGAATTTATCGAACATCCAAGTGGGCCGATATCACGAATGCACACGGAGTGACTGGTGCAGGAATTGTTGAAGGTCTTAAACAGGCCGCAGAAGAAAGTACAGATGAGCCACGTGGGCTTTTGATGCTTGCTGAGCTCTCTTCAAAGGGATCATTAGCTACCGGTGAGTATACTCAAAAAACTGTGGAAATAGCGAAAAGCGATAAAGAATTTGTCATTGGATTTATTGCACAGAGAGACATGGGAGGTCGTGAGGAAGGCTTTGACTGGCTGATCATGACTCCAGGAGTTGGTTTAGATGATAAAGGCGATTCTCTGGGCCAACAGTACAGAACTGTTGATGAAGTGATGCAAACAGGAACCGATGTCATTATCGTTGGAAGAGGTTTATTCGGAAAAGGAAGAGATCCTGAAGTGGAAGGGAAGAGATACAGAAATGCTGGGTGGGAAGCTTACAAGCGGCGCATTGCTTAACGGCTTTCAGTTCTATATACATCGTCAAAATTGATTTTCGCTAAAATGCTGACGGGATATTTCGAATACGAAAAGCCCAATAGAAGTCGCGGGAATACTAGTGAAGGACGATCTGAAAAAGCCTCTATAGCAGAAGCCAAAGAGGGAGAGGTGAGATTTTCGCCATCGTTGTAGAATAATATCAAATGTCTCAATGTAAGAATTATAGTAGAGTTTGAAGAAGCGACGCCGATCCAGTTGATGTGCTTCGTTGTAGAGATCTAGAGATTCGAGTCTAGTCAGGTGGACCTTTTGAATTTTATTGAGTGGATATTGGATTGCAAGCAGTGTAGTTGCGGCGGAAGCTCCAGCAAGAAGGATAAACGTCAAATTCAAAGCTTTGAAAAATCTTGAATTCTTCTCCTGGTTTTCTTCATCATGAAAAAGTTTCGAGCGCCAATATTGATACCACTGTATAGCTGCTTTTGTCTTGTGGTACCCCTGGTTTTTCACAAGTTCAAATACTGAAAAGTAGAATGCAAATCCAAGGCTTTCCTTTATGAAATTTAAACTGAAGCCGGCAAATATTCCAACTAAACCAATTTGTTTTAGTTTGTATAAGGCATACTCCCACATGCTCTTCTGTTTTCCACTGACAAGCTCTGAGTAATTCGATCGGGCGTAAAGTGCATCTAGCGGTGATGCAGCCAAGCTCGCAGCAGCTCCCGCAACAAAACCAGCTTTGAAAGTGTCGACAGGACTAGGATCATCAATTGAGTTCATATTTCTCTTATTAAAACGTTGTAATAGTGTGAGATAGGTAGAATAAAGAATCACTCCAATTGCGCTGTTTGCCACTATTGGAGGAAGTACTTGTCGTGGAATAAAATTCCACCCTTCTTTTTTGATTGATTGGTATAGAAGAGCTATTCCTGAATGTGTTCGTAAGCTCCACGGTTTGGAGGCAAGCTCTCCATGCAACAAAGCTCTTGCTGTTGTGAGGTAGTCAAATCGAGACGGCCTAAATAGCTTTGCAGGATTTCTCATATACAAAGAAGTTATTTGGTAAATCACGGCTCTGATACCTGCTGAAGAGGCAGACACAACCTGTGTATTTCTTTGAGATAGTTGTTGCACTGCGGAGTTTACCTCATCCTTCAGAGGCGCTGAGTTGCTGTCGATAGGCCAATCGGCCGTTTTCGCTCGCTCCATAAAATGGGAAAAAATCGCCTTTGAGATCTACGCGCACAGCCAAATGGATTTTTAGTATCTTGGCAGCATTTTTTTGAAATTCTCTACTATAAATTTAAATCTAGTTCGAATATTAATATTTTTGGCCTATTTAAACATGGCAGCGAGGTCCTTATTCTTTTCAATAATTCGTTGATAGAGCTTTCAATTGATTATTCTTGTGAATCGCATTTGAAGTCTTCTTTCGCCTCCGTATTCTCTGTGTCCCTTATCTCCTCAATCATCTGCCTTATTGACTTATCGATCTGTAGCTTCTCCAATTTCTCCAAATCAGCTTCTTCTTTCTTGACAAGTAGCATGTTTTTTAGGAATTCCAGCACTTCATCCTTAAAATTTTGACGATGACGATTTTTGACAATAAACTTAGAAGACACGGCAAGAACCTTACCGATGACCGCATTTACATCTGTGAATTTGTAAATTAGGATCACCTTGCAAGTCAAATTCAGCACATCGTGTTGGGTTTTGATCATTCCCTCTGCATCTGTGCCTTCCACATCCGGCTTTAATAACTCCAGTAACAAACGTATACATCCCGCATCCAAGACCAACTCAGGGGATAAAGAGCCAAGTGGTAGGTCGGAGGAAACAAGTAGTGTTGTGAGCGTTTTCAGAGCGTGAGATCTTAACTCTCTGCATGGGTTGTAGCATTGGTGAGCAATAGCTTCAATCAAAGGATACCAAATAGATGAGCTATCGGTATCAGTCGGGATAGTGGATTTGAAATTGCTTGAATCGAAGAGCTTTGCTAAGCCTAATGTCAACGTGATTGACTTTGTAGCCGTTGCCACCAAATCCTGGAACGGATTTTTATTTTTCTCTACCTTGTGGCCACTAGCAATCAGCTTATCATATTCTTGCTCCCATTGTGCTCCATATGCACCAACTGCCGAAATCTCGTCGAGAAGGCCTAAAATATCCATGTAGTTTTGATATGTGATTATCTCAGGGAGAGTTTCCACAAGGTTGCGCATAAATTGGTAAACAACCTCCGTATTTTTTGGAGAAGAAGCGAATATGCGAATTAGCGACCAATATTTGCCATTTTTGGACAGGATGTCTTGACACCATGTGCCTTTCACTAAAACTAGCATTTGGAGCGGATGCAAAATGACTGATCCATACTTCATCAGGGCGTCTCGGTTTTTATCAGCAATATCATAAAACTTGTCGATAGTGCTGTTAAGAAGATCAACATTGGAGTCGTCTCCGTTGTGCAACAACAGAAGCTTGTAAGCATTCACTCTGACTAGGCAGCCCATCTTAAAGTCCTCTGCAGGACTGAAGATCTCATCGCATAGATTCAGTATTTCAACAACAAGCTTTGAATCCCCAGTCAATAACAGGTAGCAAACACTTATCTCTAGAATAAATAAAGTCTCGGGTATGAAAGTCCGGGGATCTGCCTTTTCTTTCTTTGGTATTGACTTCAACAAAATTGACACTAGAGCATTTATATTTTCAGGTGATGTTTTGCTAACACTCCTGAATAGAGAACTGATGTTGCTTGTTTTAATGCACTCCATGGCTGAAAGAGTACATTCGATCTCTTCGTCTGTAGGTTCGGGAGTGTCATCAGAAAGGCCCTTCAAGTAAGACGAAAATGTTGAAAACAAACCGTTGTCTTTCAGGGCCTTAGTACGACTAAATTGAAATTCTGGTCTTGGTTTTGACAACTTATCCAAGCCTATCTTCTTCTGGAATTCAGGAAAGAGATTTGGTTCGATCAAACCATTCTCAAAAAGAGTCAAAACAATCTTCACAAGGAAGTCCCAGTGCTTTGACACTCTAAAATTGGATTTCTTCAAAATGCGGAAAAGCACAAGCGTGCTTAGTTGAGCTCGGAAATCTCGACCAAAGAGAACGGATAAATAGCTAACAGTGATTGTCTCATTTTCCTTTTCAAGCTTGAGCTCTGTGATGGGAAGAGATTCTCTGGATTCCAAAGCGAACTCGGAAGGCTTGACGCCAGTAAGGGTTGTCAAATGTGCAACAATTTCAATGATTTGATCAACCAGGTCTTTCATACCAAAGTATGACGCAATTGCAGCACATTTTTCGACGCTTGAGATCATTCTTGTTACAACGCTGTCGTGAGTAGCATCATCGAACATTGTGACCAAGGTGCTGACAATATATTTGCTTGTCTTTTCAAACAAAACCTTGTCAAATTGGAGGGAATCTTCTATATTATCAGTATCCTCAACAATGACGTCGTCGCTTAACATCTTGCTAGCTTGCTCTGCAATGAGGGAATGCCAGACAGTCTCATACCATTTGGAAGTGCCCCGATGCTCTTCCGGCATGATGATTTCTTTTTCTCTAATGGAATGATAGATTTTTTCAGTATACCATTGGGGAAAATCTTTTCCCTTGTAGCATCCTCTAAGGTTGCGTTGATAATCTTCCAAAGTCATCGGTTTTTTCACATTCGGGTTATGAAGGTCTGTGTTCAGCATGATGATTGAGAATGACAATACAAAAAGCGAGTCCTGGTCTGGAGTGACTTTCTCGTCATCATTCTCTTCATTTGATGATATAGCTTCAGCGTCCTGGCATGCAATGTATCTTTCGTTGAACGCTTCAACAATCCGTTCAATTTGCTGTGCTTCTCCTGGCAATCTGAAATTGTTCAACAACATTCTCAGCGCCTCGTCTGGTCTTAGATTTCTAAAATCAAGTAGCTTCACAAACTCTTTCAGAAGCTCAGTGTTCGAGGGCTTAGCTAACAGTTCACCCAGCTTCTTTTTGTCAATTCTTCCGGATTTCTCAAAGAGAAATTTGGAGACCTCGCTCACATCACTAATATCTCGAATGAATCCTTTATCCTGAAGCATCTTAAGACCCTTCTGAGGTTTTTCATTCCATTTTTTGGTACATTCAATGAAGTCCGATTTCTTAATTTGTTGCAAAACCAGTTGGTTTGGCTGAAGTTTCTCAAAGTCAATATTAGCTTTGGAAGCTGCTCTAGTGCGTTCATAGACACCGTCAACAAATGAAAGAACACCTTCCATACATATGGAAGGAACATTGGAAGTAGTAAAAAGCGTAACTTCAGATGCCGACAAGCGACAAAGTAACTTTAGCAACAATTCTGCCATGTCGGATCTATCAAAGTCGCAATCGTACGACTTGAATAATGAATTAAAGAATAAAGGAGAGCGTACCCATAACACGCTCAAAGTTTCCACTAATATCTCTTTAATCACGGGGCTTTTTCCTGTGTGAAACTCAGCTCCTAATTCTTCGACCTCTTTTTCGCTCAATGGTTCAACTTCAAAAGTTCCCCTCTGCCCCATTTCAAAGATTCTCTCAACATTTTTATCCAAGTCACTGATCAGCATCTTTGAATCAGCAACCATACCTTGAAAGATTGTAGTCATAAGAAGTTCAATCTGTATCTTCAAATAATGATTCATAGTAAGAATCAAATTAAGAAAGAGTTTCATTGCGAGAGTAAGCAAATAGGGAGAGTCCACAGTTTGAACGAGCTGTACCAAATGATGGCAAGCTTTGTCCGAGATTAATTGAAAAAGAGACGGATGATGGACTATGACACCACCTGAGACCTCGACAATGGTGTTAAGTATGTTTAGTGCCAAAACCCTAGAACTTTCGGTAAATCTGAACTGATTATCCGGCGATAGGATTTCGATTGTGTGGTTCATGTATTCCTTCATACAAGGAATTCCAAATGGAACTTGGTCATCATCGGCAATGGAAGAGTTTGTTTTTGCCGCGATCGAATACCTTTCATTATTGTCTGAGGTTTTATGATCTTCAGGATCATCATGATTTATCTGTGAACTGCTGCTTTGGCTATTTCTGTCTTGTATTTCAGCGTCACTAAGTTCGCGTGCTCTCACGTTCTCCTCATCAGTCGACTCGTGAGATTCAGCATACTCCGTACCTCCTATTATATCATTGGGCAGTTCTCCAGTTTCTGTTGTAGCAGTAAGTTCAACTTCAGTTGTCTTGACATTGTGGTCAATCCCTGAGTCAATTTTGATGTATCTCAATTTGCTGAATATTTTCTCGGTTATACCAATAAGAGAGGTCTCTGCAGCGCTTCTAAGAATTTCACGTCTCCTGGTATTAATTGCTAAGGAAAAGCATGTCGAAACTGACTCGTACATTGAGTCATCAGTTAGGAGATCACCCAACTTAGAAGTAACTATCAGCTCTAATAGCTGAATTATTTTAATCAGCAAGATGTCATCTTGTGTTTGGTCGGACCCCTCAAAACGACAGTGCGACAGCGCTGATATTATTTGGCCCAAGCATTGAAATATGTTCGGACAATTTTCGTTGACGATTCCGTATTTGATAAACTTGGATAAAGAGCTTACCGCAATGCCTGTTATGTAGCCAGATGTGATAGGTGATTTGATCAGCAAAAGGAATGGCTGTAGGAGAGTCAACATATCAATGTCATCGATTGTTTTCAGTTCGCTCAACATAGATCTGAGCTCAATAAATCCACTTATAAAGTGATCATCCTCCTTAATTTTGTTTCCAGACTTCAAAAAGGCTGAAAGACGTGTAGATCCCTCGTCGTCACCATAAGGTGTACTCTCTTTGCCAAATTGTGTCCCAAGAAGCGTGGATAGCGGTCCACTGGATGCCGACTTTGTGGACTTTCTCATAACAGAAATGATAAATGTACATTCTTCAATCGCTAAAGAGAGCGGATCAACCGTCGAGAGTCGATTGTCAATCATGGTAAGTGATTTTGACGCGATCAGTGGTTCAGTTTACCTTTATAATTGAATACACAATTGATCACCGAGCGACAGTAAAAAAATAAATCCTTCTATAGTAGGAATTGAATAGTTTTCGAATGTAAGAAGCAGTTTAGTTGCTTGTCCATTCGATCTGTTCAACGCTATTGGATTCTATCTGCACTTTGTTTTTCATTAAGACCACGCCTATAAAAAAAAAATGTTGTGGGTTACGAGCACCGAGACGAGATGATGCGATAAGATCCAATACCTCTATATAACCCTATTTTTATAAGACCTGTATGTTTTCCAAGCAAGCCTCCAGTCTTTTATACTCAGGTTAGGATTTCTTAGTTCAAAATCGTATTTTTCAAGTTTTTCAAGAAAGCAAACGGTAGGAAGCCCATTCATCATCGGGAGGAACATGGCATCAGGAACCCCATTGTTTAGTTGCTCCCATCCTAGTTTTAGCTCCAGGCTCCCTTCTTTGTCAACCAGGTTATATATTTCATTTTTGAGATCGTTGAACTTTGTGCGTGCACTCAACAAATGATCGTTAGCAACGGTAGCAACATCAAATACAATTTCCCTTACTTTTTCGCCTACCTCTTGGTTTGTGTCATCAGACTGTAAATATCTAAGTACCTCCTCCTGTGTGGTATTTTGTTTGGCAATTGACTCTAGAGGCAGTAACACTTGGGATCTTGAAGTCGCATAATATCTAGATCCAAGCAAGAATGATGCAATGGCCGTAGATTGTCCTATATGAGCATAAATGTCATTCAAAAGATTCTCTAGCTTTCCTCTCCCAGCACAATCCATTAGCTCCAAAGAAAATTTTGAAGTTTTATGAAAAGATGGAGACAACAGAGCATCTCGAAGAGCATAGTTCATCTGTGAAAATATTCCTTCACCAAAAGAGCAGATCGAGTATGTGTCTTTAAAACCTCGCACTCCCTCATCTGTACAAAAATGCTGGTAGCTGGTAATCATTTGACGTAAGTTGTCGAAGTTTACTCTAATTCCCTTTCTAATACACTCTCTGGCTAAAGTAGCAACTGGTTCGCCCATACTTTTTGGAAGCGTACTATCAAATGAGCCAGAAACATCCCTCTCACAACGCTCAAGTTGTTCTTTCCAGAATCCGAATTTCAATTTGATAAACTGGTTGCTTTCAATGCTCGAACCTAATGCTATCTTTGCTAGGTTTGAATTAAAAGCTTTGACTACAAGAAATATGTCTTGAAACTCCTTGGGATAGAATTTGGAGAGAAGATGCGAGGAAACATCATGATTCTTTAACAAATCCATGCAATCGTTTCTGGCTCTACTCAGTTTCTCTTCCCGCAAAAATATATTGTGTTCTTGTTTTGAATACCTGAGATTTGATAATCGTCTTTTAAGACAGCTCGCTGCTGGTTTATCTAAAACGCTTGACGATATTAACATGAGCTGAGCGAAAGACAATACATTCGATTATATCAAAAATCCCCATCCCCACATTTTCAAATAGGCAATGCAAAGATGTTTTTTAGGCCATGAGAATAAATATAATTAGTTTTCAGTACAATGAAAACTTTTGCGTATCTTGACATTCAGATAGGAACCAGGGATGTTGGAAGGATAGTTATTGAGCTTGACTTTGAGAAGGCTCCAAAAGCCTGTGATAACTTTTTACAGCTATGCGAGACTAATGATTACAAAGATACCTGCTTCCACAGAGTAATTAAGAATTTTATGATTCAGGGCGGAGACACGGATCACAAGATAATGCGACATGATGAATATCCTCCCGTTGGTCTAGGGAAAGGTGGCAGATCAATTTATCCATCAAACCTCTTTGATGATGAAAATTTAAGAGCCATAGATGAACCGTTTTTGGTTTGTATGTCTAATAAAGGCACGGTCAATTCTAATAGCTCCCAGTTCTTTATCAACACCCTAGCATCTCCTCATTTGACAGGAAAGCATACAGTTTTTGGTAAAGTAAGACACGGAAAGTCGGTTGTCAGAGAAATTGAGAGAGTGTCCGTTATGAGCACCAAAAATAGCGATTCAGAGGCCTGGATACCAGTCAAAGAAGAGATGGTTCTCATTGTAAATTGTGGGAAGTGGAACGATGGAGATCCTGTTCCGTGCTATAATGCATGCTACGACTCTCTTGGCGGAGACATTTATGAAGAATATCCTGATGACAATGAAGTTGAGGGTCTTGACCTTGAGAATCCTGAAATGACATACAAAATTAGCACAGTGATAAAGGAGTCGGCGTCATTACTCTTGAAAGAAAAAAGACTACGAGACGCATTTCTGAAATATAAAAAGGCTTTGCGGTATTGTAATGAGCTGATTCCAGATCAAGACACAAACCCTGAATATCATAAGAAATTTCTGAATCTTAAGAAAACGATCTACCTCAATTTGGCATTAGTGGCACTCCAAATGAACGACTATAAGACTACAATTGACTATTGTGGGTATCTATTGGAAATGGACAAAGACGTCCCTATGACACAGACCCAAACATCGAAGACATTTTATCGCTTAGGTATGGCCTACCGAGGGCTTAAAAATTTTGAAGTGGCTTTGGAATTCCTCCAAAAGGCAAGTTTTCTGTCTCCTAATGATCAGGGAATAAAGAGTGAGCTATCCGTGGTCCAAAAGCTTGTAGAAGACGAGAAGAAAAGCGTGAGGCAAAGGTTTGCCAAATTTTTCGATTAGATGTTTTATTTTAATGGAGATTGGTGTGCGACGATCACCATAAAAAAATTCCCGAATACAATATATAAATGTTTTCATCTTCAACGAGTGGATTTTTTTGATGTCGGATATTGCATCTGTATCACAACTATTGGCACAATCGTTGTCACCCTCTACCGCAAAACTTGCGGAGGAGAGCTTGAGAAGTGTTGAAGATCAGAAGGGCTTTCCATCTACACTATTACACGTAGTGGCGGCCAATGAGCTAAGTTCTTCTGTGAGATTGGCAGGATCATTATATTTCAAGAACTTGGTCAAGAGAAAATGGATTGATGAGACAGGTGTTTATCGACTTCATTTAGATGACGTGAAGATGATTAAAGCAGAGATTCTCTCACTTATGATTCAGCTGCCTGATTCTCTTCAAATTCAAATCGGCGAAGCAGTCTCCCTCATTGCGGAATCGGAATTTCCAGAATTGTGGCCGGAGCTCATACAAGAACTTGTTGGAAAACTATCTCCAGAGAATATGCACACCAATAAGGGGGTTTTGAAAGTCGCTCATTCAATTTTCAAAAGATGGCGGCCTCTATTTGGTTCCAATGAGCTCTACATCGAAATCAATCTTGTTCTCTCACAATTTGCCCAACCCTTTCTGGAGCTTTTGAAGATGGTCGATAATCTTATCGATCAAAATGCCTCAAACAAAGAGAATCTTAAACTTTTGTTCGATAATCTGTTGTTGTTGGTTAAAATTTATTACGACTTGAATTGTCAGGATATTCCAGAGTTTTTCGAAGACCATCTCCAGGAAGGTATGGCTGTCATACACAAATACTTGAAATACTCAAACCCATTACTTGAAGATTCCAATGATACTGAAGAGATAGATATCGTTACTCAAGTGAAAACAAGTTGTTGTGAATTAATCCAACTGTACACTACAAGGTACCAAGAAGAGCTGGGAAGTATAATCACGGAATTCATCAGAACCATTTGGGATTTGCTGAGTTCTATTGGTACACAGCCGAAATATGATATTTTGGCATCAAAAGCTTTACAGTTTCTCACCATCATTGCTTCTCTGGAGCAGTACAATAGCACGTTGAAATCAGAGGACGCGTTAAAAGAAATTACTGAAAAAATCATTTTGCCAAACGTGATGTTGAGAGAGTCAGATGAGGAATTATTTGAGGATGACCCTATTGAGTATACAAGAAGGGACCTTGAGGGTTCTGACTCCGACACAAGAAGAAGGGCCTCTACAGATTTTTTGAGAGCTTTGAAAGAAAATAAGGAGCAGGATGTCACTCAGGTGGTTATGAATTACGTCAATCATTATTTGGCCAGCTCTCAGTCCAATCCGGCAGATTGGAAATCCAAAGACTTGGCGATATGTTTGTTCAGCTCGATTGCTGCAAAAGGATCTATTACGAATGCAGGTATAACCTCTACCAATTTATTGGTGGATGTCGTTGAGTTCTTTTCACAATATGTGGCCCAAGATTTAGTTAATCAAGTCTCTCATCCAATTCTAAAAGTCGATGCAATTAAGTACATTTTCACTTTTAGAAATCAGCTTACAAAACAGCAGTTGATCGAAGCTTTTCCACTTTTGTCTTCACATTTCCAGGACGGTAATTACGTGGTGTATACCTACGCTGCTATCACCATTGAAAAAATCTTGTCTTTGAGAAATCCTTCAAGTCATCAACAGTTACTATTCAGCAAGACTGACATCCCAGCGTCTGTATTCAATGATCTTCTGACAAATCTGTTTAGGCTCATGTTTAGGAAGGGAGAGTCTCCAGAAAAACTAGCAGAGAATGAGTTCTTAATGAAATGCGTTATGAGAATTCTTCTCACTGCGGAAGACTCACTGAGCGAGAGGGCCCCACAGCTTCTACAACAGCTCATGAAAATCGTTGAAATTATTGGGAAAAACCCATCAAATCCGAAATTTTCACACTACACATTTGAATCAATCTGTGTATTAATACGTTACAACAACAGTCAGATCACAGAGATTTTCGAACTGATTAAACCTTGCATGCTTTCAGTTTTAGCTCAGGACATTCATGAGTTCATTCCATATGCATTTCAAATTCTCTCATATTGTTTGGAAGTTTATCCAAACTCTGCCGAGATGCCACTTGAATATGAGCAACTAATTAAGCCTCTGTGTTCTCCAGCAGTTTGGGAGTTGAAAGCTAACATCCCAGCCATTGAAAGGCTATTGGCAGCAATTATCAGATTCAAACCTTCATTATTCACATCCGCCGCAAGTCTAACTCCCATTTTAGGAGTCTTCCAAAAGCTCGTGTCTTCGAAATTGAACGATCATTTGGGATTTGACTTCCTGGAAACAATCTTACTAAACGTTGACATGTCTTGCCTAGAGCCCTTTTTGAAAGAAGTGGCAATGATATTGCTCTCACGTTTACAGACGGTTCGAACAGATAAATTTGTCAAAAGATTCATTGTCTTTTTGTGCTCCATTGCTGCTTTGCCAACCTCAAACGATCCTTACTTGAAAAAAAATGGGCTCAATTCTTCCTTTGTCATTAGATTCATAGAGAATGTTCAATCGGGAGTGTTTCAACAGATTCTTGTTGGCGTCATCGTCCCTACAATTGAATCATTTAATAATTTGCTTGACAAGAAAATTTTGATAGTGGGCCTTACCAGCCTGATAACTGAAAACGCTCAAATCATAGGTCAAGATGCTTTCAAGCTTGTACTCTCTAAGCTGCTAAAGATAACCGCATCAGATAGCATCAAAAATTACAAAAACTTCAATGAGAATGTTGAGCTTTTGCTTGAGCTAGAAAATGATGAGCTTTCATTTGGATCCAGCTTCAATAAACTAAACACTATCCAGCAAAAGCCTTTTGATCCTGTTAAGGAAATCAGTTCAAAGGAGATGATTTTGGCGTATCTTCAATCGGAACTCGCATCATTTCCTAACATTCAAAATGTTGTTTTGAGTCTTGATCAACCAGAGCAGGAACTTGCCAAAAGCTTGGGAATTATATGAACTACATATAGCAAGTCTTGTCACAATAACTAGGATTGTGTAGTATTATACATTTCTATCGTACGTCATCATTCGACATTTCCTCCGGAGTCTTGCTGTTTTTGATTCTGGTTTAGTTCGTTGTTTTTTTGCATGTCTTCCAGCTTTTCCAACCTTTCTTTTTCGGCGATCTCTGCAGCGGTCAAAAATCGACCTCCCTGGCCTCTTGGTCTGCGCATGGCATGTTTGTGTCTAGATTCGTGTAAATAAGGCTTGCGCCCACGCTGAATCTTTAGATTCTCTTCGAGTTTTGCTCTCGCTATTCTTCGCTTCAAAATGCGATGGTATTGTTTAGCATTCACATAATAAGGTTGATCAGTCTGAGTTTGTGTTGTTACGGAGGACGTACGTGCTTGATCCGGCGGAGATGGCGTAGTGGGGAGCGGCGATTGATCTGTTGATGTAGATGTATGATATTCAGTAGTATCAAGGTATTCTCCAGTGAGCGGTGGTTGGGATGACCTATACATCAATTCCATGTGCTGTGGATTTTGTTGCTGTGGTTGAGAGAACTCAGTTGACATCGAAGATGACATTGTCCTGTTGACCTCGGCTGCTTTATTATCGGACATTAGAGTTTACAAAATCGTCGGGTCGAAAAAATTACAAGCGGTCTCTCACCGGGTAACTTACTCCTCAATTTTAACAATCAATTGAACTAATCCCCTTCATGTACGCACCAGTTCTACGACCAGCAGTTTTATTCTTCTTCTTTATCAGACAGCCCGTTGCAGCAGGAGCACTTGTGGGCACTTGGGCATTGTGGGAAGCTGATCGCAACCTAAATTGGGGAATCAAAGATGCCATCAATGAATGGAAGCATAGGTTCTTAGGGTTCCCCACACAAAGAAGTATTTACTCGGATTTCTCCAAACTAGATGCACAGATGAGGAGATCATGAGCCATGGCATCCGCTGCTATATATCGGTCGTTGTTCCATGTCGATTTTATTTATTTTAATAGTATGAATATTCATTTGTCCTTGGTATATTATTTACAGATAGTCAAACGCGTTTTGCCAAACGATAGAGATCGAAAATTGCTGCGGGAGTAATGCCTTGAATTCTTCTTGCTTGTCCAATTGTTTCCGGTTTTGCTTCGTTAAGCAAAGATCTTGCTTCTGAGGAGAGAGATGGCATACTCGTGTAATCAAAGTTCATCGGAAGAACCAGGTTCTCGTCACTTTTGAATGCTCTTATCTGCGCATTTTCTCTACCTAGATATCCTTGGTATTCGCCATGAATGTCAATTTTCTGTTTTATTTTCCGCGGAAGTGCCTCCAGGGATTTATTGTGTAAAACGGGTATCAAGTCATGTAATGACATGTTATCATACCGGAGTAAGTCGAATGCAGATTTATAGCTTGAATCTGTCCTTATTTTGAGACTAGGCAAAAGCTTGGCCCACTCGTGTGAAGGAAGCTTGTAATCTTTTAGAAATTCCAAACTCTCTTGATAAAGCTTATTCTCCTCGGTGAAATGATTCCAGCGCTGTACAGATACACAACCGAATTCGTATCCCTTAGGCGTGAGGCGCAAATCTGCATTATCAGCGCGTACACTGATTCTGAATTCCGATCTTGAGGTAAACATTCTGTACGGCTCCTCAACCCCCTTTGTAATCAAATCGTCGATAAGAATACCAATATAGCCATCAGACCGATCCAAAATAAGTGGTTTCTTATTTTGGTACCGCAAACCGGCGTTGATACCAGCCACAATGCCTTGGGCAGCAGCCTCCTCGTAGCCTGTTGTACCGTTGATTTGGCCTGCCAAGTACAAGCCTGAAATCATTTTAGTTTCCAATGTTCTCTTGAGTCCCCGAGGATCAATATAGTCGTATTCAACACCGTAACCCGGTTGCAGCATTTTGACTTCTTCGAGCCCAATGATGTTTTTCAGCATGGCTTCTTGAATATCGGGTGGCATCGTACATGAGATTCCATTTGGATACATCACGTCTGTATCCAATCCTTCAGGTTCCAGCCAAACTCTATGTCTGCTCTTGTCAGAAAACCTTATTAACTTGGATTCAATAGAGGGACAATATCGAGGACCTTTGACTGTTTCCCTAATATGAACGCTTTTGTCGAGATTTGACAATATCAACTTGTGCATGGCCGGGGTGGTGTAAGTGGAGTAACATAGTAGCTGATCCTCAATTTCTGGAACTTCGTTTAGAAAACTCATTGGTTCGGGGGGATTATCTCCTGGCTCTTCGGAAACCTTCGAATAATCAACAGTTTTAGCGGATATTCTCGGAGGGGTGCCAGTTTTTAGTCTGCCTAAACGAAAGCCTGCCTCACGGAATGTTTTACTCAGCCCATAAGAAGGATCTTCCCCTATTCTTCCTGCAGGCCAAGTATCCAACCCTAAATGTATTTCTGCGCTCAAAAACGTACCCGTCGTTATGACAACCTTTTCACAGCGCAGAATCTCTCCATCAGACAAAACCACGCCACAAATTTTGGCATCATAGTTATTTTCATCTCCCGATTCATTTGTCAATGGGGCAACAACCAGGTCTTCAACTCTTGCCTGCAAAATATTAAGATTAGAATAATCCTTCAAAAAATTCTGCATCTCTGTCAAATACAGCTTCCGGTCAATTTGAGCTCGATGGCCCCACACAGCAGCACCCCTTGATCTGTTCAAAACCTTGAATTGTATTCCGGACTTATCGACAATTCTAGGAGCAATACCATCTAGTGCGTCGACCTCTTTAAGCAGTGTACCTTTTCCGATGCCTCCCAAAGGCAGGATTGCATGAAGTCACACCAATCTTGCTTATATCAGGTGTCAATAAGGTAGTGGAAACACCCGTGCGGGCAGAGCCCGCGGCAGCTTCAACACCTGCATGACCACCACCAACTACCACCACAGGATGTAACGGTTTGGCTTCCATTAACCTGGCAAGATCGGATGTCAGTGAAAGATATCTGACAGAACGTTTTCCAGCAGCAGTAATCTTGTTAGAAGTAAAAGAAAGCATTGGCGAAGTTATCAAAATTGGTAGAATACAAATCTTTTTGAGACTCTACTGTATTTTTATCTAAATTTTTTTTTCTTTCAAATGTACTTTCTCTAATTACACATAGTTTACATTTCATCTTTTGATGATAGCATTTTTTTTTGCATTTTCTTATTCTCATTCTTCCTCCTCGCTGTCCTCTTCTTCTAGTGGGATGACCAGAGAGCTATCACTGGAGGTTCCATTATCTTCTATTCGTAAATACAAGTGTGAATCAAATTGACTTTCATTTGCAATGTCAATTTCAAACTCATCTTGCAAAGTGCTCCTAGCGGCAGACCTTCCCTTATTGAGAGACGGGCTTCTCAATATGGGCCTCTCAATTTTTTCCATATGTTCTTGTTCTCCAAGATCGCTGTTTGAGTCCGACGAGCCTACGCTTTCATTCTGAATGTCCTGCTCTAATCGTCTCTTAATTTCCTCTTCCTTAAAGAGCTGTCTTTTTATTCTCTTTGAACGTTGAATTTTGTCTCTGTACAGGAGCTTCTCAATTTCCGACGTGATTTCAAGATCAAAAACCTGCGAACTCAAGTTCAGGATGTCATTTTCGATGGAGGTGGCTCTATCCGTGAACGTAAATAGATCATAAGACGGGTCAAGTCGCGCACGATGCAATAGAAGCTTGATATCAACATAACTGACCGTTCTACGATTTGAATGTTCAATGTAGCTTTCAAGATCACTAAGTTCCTGTCTGAAAAACTCTTCACTGATATGCTGGAGTTCAATCAAAGCTTCCTTTGATTGCAGCTTTTTCAAGTAATTCTCCTTTAGGAGCCATCTTGTGATGTTTCTTATCATAGCCAGCGATATTATTGGACGCTTGCGTGAGCCGGTTTGTAAATCTTTTGTTCTTTTCCGAATGGTGACAAAAGGAGGCACCTTATTTTGGGGACGTACGTTTAAGAGGGAAAGATCGGTTGTATCTTGAATCTCACCACCAAGGCTATCGTTGTCGTCACTATCATCACTGCTGAACGCGTCATAAACCCCTCCGATATCAAAATTGTCAATGTCTTCTAAGACAGGCCGATTTACGCTAGAAGATGCGAAATTACCTTCATTGGAGTCGTCGTCAAAATCTCCCTGCTTGCGAATAATTGCTTCAGGTAAGGCCACATTTGAATTTCCAAATGAGGCTTCGAGAGAGAGTCTACTCGATAATCGTCCCTTTCTCGGTGTTCTATCAGGTGTGGTTAAAAGGCTCCTCGATTGTGACAACAACTCCCCTGATAATTCTCCCGGCCCGTGCTTTTCTGTGGGTTCCGTTGCAAGTTTCGCATACAAGATCTCCAATGCGTTACTTTGATTAGTTTCATGCTGTATCTTTCGCTTTTTTCGGCCATCTTCTTTTTCCAGTGTCAGTAATCGCCCCAGCATCTGTAAATCCTTACGAGGGGAGTAGCTTCTATTCACTTTGTTTTTGGATACCGACAAAAGAAGCCGATGCCGACGTGGGGTTGTTCCATCGGCAATCGCTTGCAACGTTATAGGAGTCGTTGGCTTTCTGGGAGTTCGGTTGGGAGTACCAGAGCGGGATGGGGTTCGAGACGGTGTTCGTGAAGGTCTTTGAGTTGGTCGTCGAGGAGTTTTCACGCTAGATGCATCTTCATTTTGCGTTCCGGAAATGATGGTATTCAGCTCAACTTTCGATAGCGAGTTGACATGAATCGGAGTTCTCAGAATATTAGAGTCATCCAACCCCAATGATCTTACGTGCGAGTTTGCAAGATTCTCACGTGCAGAACCTATTTTATCGTATTCGCTCGGAGACAAAGGAGCTTTGGTCATTTGAGTCGCGTCGTCAAATTTGGAAGGAGACTGATTTGAACTCATATTGGGTTATTTATTAGAATCAATCACTACGCGAAAAAGGCGTTTGAAGGATATGACTCAAACCTTGTCTGAAAATTGATGAATGGAGAAGCCACTTAAATGCTCAAATCGGTAGCAGATGTTCTGAATCAACCCAAAAAACTAACAAACATTTAAAGCACCAGCCCGGATTTTTAGCCACACGAAAAATTAAATTTTGGATTTTTTTCGAGGGTATAGATAGACCTTTACTTATGTCTGATCACGGTGATAGTTTGAATGACGGACTGGACTACAATTACAACTCTTCGGATGACCAGATAGAAAGCTTGGTGCACAACCAAGAGACTTCAAGCTCAGATCCGGAGGGCCAAGTAGAAGATTACAACCATTCGAAAAACCACGAAACGCACAACGTTGGAAAAAAGCGTAAGTGTAAGAGTGATAAGCTCTCCCAAAAGAAGAGGCAAAAGATGCTACTTGATATGGAACAAAAACGAAACCTCGCTAAGGAAGTACCCAGTGTGATAGCCGAAAAGCTTGCCGCTAAGATTAGACAACGCTTTCCTGATTTGTCTCCATTAGAGTTAGGTGAGTTATACATTGGCAAGTCTGCCATCGTAGATACCCAAAGCTTTGTTCTTGAGCGAAATTTAGATAACTACAAAAACTATATTCAGACACAGTTGAAGCGAGTCCTTCAAGATAAGGGGTACATCTTGGTCGTATCAATTTCAGCCATACGAGCATGTGACATTTTTCGAGCTGTCAAATGTCTTCCAATTGGTTCTCTTAAATTGATCAGTAAGAACAAACTCCAAGATGATTTAAAAGTATTAAAGGAGTCAAAGGCGAGACTCCTTATAGGTACCCCTGGACGGATATCTAGAATTCTGGAGACCGAAAACACACCATTGACTTTTAAAATGATAGATGCAATCATCTGTGATTCCTCATTTTTGGACTCAAAGTTGCAAAATATATGGGACTACGACGAATCTTTCGCATTAGTTAGAAAGGTGTTATCAATGAACGAAAAATGCAAAGTCTACCTCTACTGATAAATCATTACTAATCTGGTAGATAATAAATAAGGCTTGTAGCTGTCAAATTATGAAAAGGAGATCTAATACCTGAAGTCTTCGAAGGTTTTCACTTAACCTCTTTTGCGACAGCATTTTCCCATCTCTTAACGTGTTCAACGGAGTATAATTTTTGTGGATCATACGTGTTTTCCTCACCTTTGAGGTACAGGTAATACATAATCACTCCGTAAGCTGAGAAAGCAATTGCTGCGTTAACAGTGTGATTCTTTGGAGTATGGTACCAGCCACCAGTTGGTGGCCTAACCCACTTAGGTATAAATTGATTGACCTGGCGTTAGTGAGTAGAAAGAGAACTTACCATTGTAAATTTGAAACTAAGTATATTTAGCCCCTCATTCAGGTGTATATGATCTTGCGTTCGTGCGTGTACAAAAAATACCATGCTATAATTTTTCACCAATTTTTTCAAGTCGATTGATTACACTAACCTACAACCGTTTTTCTGACACAATGAATCACGGGCCTCATATAGCTTTTGGTACACGGTACTCAACGACGAGGTTTGTGAGACATATATCCCTATCACCATTGACCAAAGTTGTTGCACAGTCAAAGCCGAAGCCTGTGCATAAACTCTCATACGAGAAAGCCAATAATGTCCGGATGAACAGCGACGATTTGGAGACACCTGATTCACCAACAAACTTTGGTGATTATAAGAGAACCTCGTATGGAATACAATTGTCTGAAGACGAAGCCCAAAAAATTCCCTCGATATTAGCTCTGCATGCGAGATTGAATCTTTCACAGAACTTCAAAAAGTCGACCCTTGTGAGAGCTCTTACATCCAGAATGAAGAACAATGAGTATGTTGATAATCATCAAATGGCTCTTTTTGGATCGAGCATGCTCTCCTACTATACAACAGAGTACCTCATAACAACCTACCCTCGACTTCCAATTGGAATTTTGAAGGCTGCAACTGAAGCATTTGTGGGTGATTATGCGCTTCATGACGTCGCTAAAAATGTCTGGGGCATTGAAGAAGATCTGAGTACTAATCTTGAAAAGTATCTGTCTAAAGAGCCCAAATTGTTTAGATTTGGCAGACTTAGATATGACAGGCAGGCGCAAGAAGTGGAAGCGGGTATTACAAAATATAGTACTACATCGGAAACTTCCTTGAGTACTGCTACCGCATATGCCAATAGTGCAAGAGCTATTGTGGCTGGTGTGTTTGCTGCAGATGGTGAGCGGGAAACCAAAGATTTCATTTACAAACATATTTTGTCAAGGAACGTCGATATATCATCGATGTTCGAATTTGAAGAGCCAGGGAAACTTTTGGCAAGACTCCTCAAAACTAAGAATATGGAACTTCCTACTATTAGGCTCATTTCTGAAACAGGTAGACAGTCGAGTTCTCCAATGTTTATTGTTGGCTGTTTCAGCGGAGATAATCTTCTAGGAGAGGGGCAAGGTACCTCCTTGAAAGAGGCTCGTATTCGAAGTTGTGTTAGCGCTCTCAAAGCATTCTACCTTTACAAACCACTTGAACCCTGGGTTCCAAGTGATGAGCGTTTCAAGCCACTATTTGTCGATGAGGGAGAGTCGTTTTATTGAGGAGACCTTAATATCTTTTAGCCTTATATCTGTATATACTAAGTGTGAAAGAGAATGCGTCAGTTATTTGGCTGTAATATGTCACGTCAATTTCGAAAACTTGCACGTGTGTACCATGCTGTCAAGCTCCAGCCGCATACTGTTTGACTAGCTTAAGCTGTGAGTCATTGAGTTTTTTTAGAATAAGATCATTGACAAGCTCTGTTATCGACTGACCCAGGAGCGCATGATCTTTCAAATTCTGGAGGATCGCATAAAGCATTACAGCAGATCTCCTAACTGCTGTATGTTGTGAGTGTAGATATTTGTAGAAGATCAAGTCCAGTTTAAAGACAAGCTCTGAGTGCAATTTAGCAGGAGAGATGTGTTTTCGAAGGCTTTCTAGTAGGAGGACTTGAACTGCGACACTATTCGAATCCCTGTTTTGAAGTGCTTCCACATAGAGTTCCAAAAAAGGAATCAGATCTAAAGTTTCCGAAACAGCTAAAAACAATTCATCAGAATCAGCCTGACCTTCGCATTCAGAGTAGATACCAATCAATTTATGGAAAACCTCGCCTATTTTGAACCCATTGTTATTCAGAATGCAAGTTCGCAGGATCAAAAGGCATGCATACATGTGATCGGGAGACGGGTTAGAAGCAACATAATCCAGAGCTGCCTGTTGCACAACTTTAAGCTCATAAACTTTCTCATGACTTAACAAAGACGTGAACTCATAAAGTTCTGCATTCGTAATAGTCTGTCCCAAAAGCTTCTCTAAAAGTGTCTCTGATTTTGAGATATCATAAGATGTCTTAGAAATTTTATAGGCCTCAAACTCGGTCCATGAGTCCATTTGCCGCAACAAGTGATTGCTGTCATCATATATCTCAACCTTGGCCAAGCCAGTCATTTGGGAAAGAGGATCGGCCGACACCAAAGCGGAAAGTAACTCTTTGGAAGCTTTGGATGGCAAATCGGGCTCTTTCATACGCCTTTGTTTCTCCTCCGCACAACTGTCATTCCTGTTGTCTGATATCGTCAATTGATTAAGATCTGGTGTGGTGTCGGACATAATTTGCAATCTATCAGTTTCCATCTTATCATCTAGCGATTCAGGAACATTTGAATCTCGAACTGATTCGTTTTGGTCTTGAAATACTTTGGATATATCGTAGTTGGGTTTGAAATCAGGAGCTTGTTCGTTAACGGTCTCAACAAAAGGATTCTCTGGTTCTGGTAGATGTTTTGGGTTTATATGGCTCTTGAAATTTGGCATAATCATTGTCATATCGGACTTCACATCTTTTGAACGATCAAAGTTATTTCCAACAACCATAGTGAGTCCGTCAGCAATGGGCTCCTCCATTTCTGCCAATCCAAGGCTCTCGTGGAATGAAGATGCTGGCGATCCAAAGCGTTTCTGAAATTCGAAGGGCATCTTGTCTTTCAAATCTCTTTTTAAAATCCTGTCATCATGTTCGTTGAAGCATTCAATAAAGTCGGATTCATAGATTTCAAAAGCCGTTCGTAAAATTGAGATCAATTTCGTGGGTTCCATGTGAACAACTTCCCAGCTTTTAAATAATCGCCTCAATAGCATTTTTATTTCATTTGAATTCAGCTTGACCTGACTTTGCCTCAACAAGTAATCAACCACCGAATAACAGGTGTCCAGAAATCCTACTCGGTTTTTCACGAACTGCATCGACAAGTTGATATCATCACAATTCGAGGCATCAATACAATGATCCAGGACAACATTAAGTGCACTAACCAACTCACTTTGTTGTAATACCTTTGCCACTGCTGTCAGGTTTTCACTATAAAGTGTATGATTCACATTGTAGCAGCAAATTATGCGAAGCAGGTTCTCGGATTCTAAAATATAGCATAGTTTCTCAAATGAATCAGGCATCTTGCAATAATCAAAAAATGCGGACGGGTTTATGACCGATAATCTGTTAGCAAGATAGATTAATTTGCTCGATGAATCGGTATTCTCCCCGTATATCAGTTTTTTGAGTCCCTCCACTTGATCTTCTCTCTCATCCGAAGAGAGAAGATTATATATATGGCGCTCTCTTTTTTCGCTTTCAGAATCAAGATCATATGTTTCCATATGCTTTCGAATTTTATCAACAGGTATATTGAGAGTAAATGTCCCCGTATGGTCGTCTTTCTTTTCAAAATCTTCTTTTTCTTTTTCATTGTACGGGGCCTGATTTTGGTTTCCAGATCCTGATGAAACAACCCTATTTAGAGAACTGACTCTTTTTTCAGAAAGGCCGTCATCAAGAAAATCTAAACTTTTTTTGCGAGCTACCGTCTTTGATTCACTCACTGTTCTCTTCGAACTTAACTGATGTGCCTCTTTCTGCTTTGAGATTATAAGTTCTTTCATTGATGGCCGACTGTTCGCCCTTTGTATGAACGTCTGATTTAGGACTTGTTGATTTGGCTTTGGTTTGGCTCTTTCCAAAGCCCTCAAAGTGCTGGAGTCTAGTCGACTCACTATACGACTGCATATTGAAGGGAATATAGTATTCAAACACCAGAATGCAGCTCTCATCGAATCTCGAACGGCAGGAGAAGGGTCTCCAACGCCTTTCGCAATGATTCGTTCAACAGGCTCCAAAAATGCCGCGTTATCGACAATGGATTTGTTATCTCTGTATTTCACTAGTAAAATATGAAGCCATGTTCCTGCGTAAGCCCTGGGCTGTGCATTTTTATCCTGAGCCGCAACCGCTATTTGATTCACTAATCTCTGGTTGTAGCTAGTGTTTATGAGTAGGCCTATGATGCCTGCATTCGCGTTCTGTTGTGAAATTGTTTTGCGAGATGACGTGAGTTTGATTAATGACATAACTAGTGAATCCACCAGGCCGTTGTCAAGATAGGGGCCAAAGTAGATGCCCAGTTCTTTGCATAATTGACATCCATGACTTGATAGGGTAGTGCGGAGGGATGACACAGCTTTGCATATACAGTCTTTCTCCATCTTCAAGAATTGTGCGGTCAACTCCTGATAGTCCGTAGTTGCATTCCCTCTTATTATACATCGCAGCTGGACAATGGCCTGCTCTCTAAGAGCCCAGTTGAACTCAGTTTCTCTGCCTTGAAAAGGTGCTGTTAGAGAATTAAGTTTTTCTGACAGTTGGTCTTCTCCACTGAAATTCATGGGTTTCAGTGAGTCTTGTATAGAATAGAGAGGTACGTCTTTCACGAACTCTAAAATCGTTGGCTCAGTTTCTGAATGCAGTATATCTCGCTCGTTTTTATCGGATACATCTCTTGGAGCTTCTTTATGTGAATTTTCTTTGAGTGCTGTTCGTAACTGCGTGGTGGGGGTATGCATCCTAAGTGAATGATTGTTCACTGGTACTTTTGCCTTTGGTCGATCATGAGCTTTTATATCGGAGCCAGATTTGGAGGTGATATTTTTCTGGTTTGAGATGGTTGTTGTGGTAACTTTTATAGGTCCCGCGCTGACAAAGGATGCCTGATTCAGTGATTTGATGTATTCGGCCACCAAGCTTTCATCAATATGATTTAATACTCTGATTGACTGAGATCGAGATATCTTAGATTTCATTAATTGATTAACCAAGTCGCTTTTTGCAGTTTTATTGTTGGGGTTAACAATTTTGAACACCAATACTAACAGCTCTAATGCAGCATTAGAGACTTCGTGGCTTTTGTCATCTAGGAGCATTACTGTTTCCGGAAGAAAAGTCTTGAAACTGAATCCTGGTGTGTTGTCGACAATTTCGCAAAGCATTTTGAGCACTTCGTGCCTCACTGATGGATCAAAATGATGCATACCATACGATTTCAAACTCATTTCAAACTCATTCGGTACAGATTGCCAGTAAGTCAACATGGCTTTCTTGGCTGTGTTTTTGAGAGATGGCTTTTCATCATTGAGGCGATCTATGAGAAAGGGCACGACCTGAAAGTCCACAAGCTTTAGCACCTTTGAATCTTGAATACTCACACGTTTAACCAAATGACAAATAGTCGAAAATGAATTGGTAGCCAAGCTTGGTTTGTTGTATGCCAATACTAGTGTTTCAAAGTATTTTGGTACGTAAGACAAATTAACAAGATCTCTTTTGATATGAGCTTTAAATTCCAATATTAGCTGTGATGCCAGTTTATCATCGTTGGATGTTACTGCACGGAATAAAGCGTCTCCAGTGATATTTGACATTGCGAGATATTAAATGGGAGATTCTTTAGATGAGGGAGTTTGTTTTTGTAAACAACACGAAATTTATGTACTTTTCGATTTAGCACAGCCGCAAAACTGCGTTAGAACGATATTTGTCATGCACATATCATTATCGTTCCTCATAGATGGGTATGAGCATTTTGCCTGATTTGTGCTTCACGCCATTGAATGAAAGAGCAAGTTTGCCTCCAAACTCGCTTGGCTGACTCCAGCCAATTTGATATTTTGTAAGCGTCAAACCATATATACTGTGTTGTTGAACGGCGAACAAAAGACGAAGCCCTATACCCATTCTTCTGTATTTGTGACTCACGTATATTCGCGAAATCCCAATAGCCAAAGGTATCTTTTGTTTTGGTACTAATTCTCCTGTATCATAAACCATCCACTTTCCCTCTTTTATTCGTTCAGTCGAACAAATCCCGACTGCCTTATTCCTGATCACGAACATAAAAACCTTGCCTCTATTTGGGTCAGAAGACCAGTCCCTATTATCTTGGGGGGCACTCAAAATGTTGTTGACAATATCAAGGAATTCTTCGGCGACAGAAATCTCTTTAGACGACTCAGAGTTGACCTCTACTATCTTTCCATCAACTCCAGATTTCAATTGGTGCCGTTCAATCAGGTTACATAGCAGGGAGTTGGTTGGGCCGAGCTCTATTCCTTCGATAGCGCGCCGATGATATTTATCATGCAATTGGCGATCGGATTTCATGTGTTGCATATATGACATCTGACATTCTGAGCAAACCGTTCGCTTCATGGGAGTGGAAAAATGAGCCTGCTTTAGGTTTCGAGGTCTTTTTCTGGTATGGGCATCTATGTCTTCAGCACATGAAAGTGGTGAACCCTGTGATGACATTTTTCTTTTACCGATGAGGAGTCTAGTATCACTAACATCAGATTCGAGGGGACTGCTGAGCATTAAAATTCTGGTGTAATGTGTAATTAGCAGGATTTGAATTAGTGTTCCCCTGCTAACTTTTTGAGGAGCAGTGACAGCGTATTGTCCACCAGCAAAGTAAATTATAAATTTCCCCTATAATCATTTTTTTCGGTGACGATGACAACATATAGAAATCCAAATCCTAAATTTGAGCACTTGCTTCCGTTATCCACAAAATGGAAACAGCAGATTTCTGAGTGGTTACAAGAAGACATTCCTTCTTTCGACTACGGGGGATATGTGGTCGGAAATAACGTTCAGACCGCAACCCTCTTCTGTAAAGGAGACGGAATTCTTTGTGGAGTTCCTTTTGCGAATGAAGTATATCAACAATGCGGACTTAGTTATGAGTGGCATGTAGATGAAGGAACATTTTTGAGACCCTCGGAAACTGATAGTGGGAAGATTAAAGCGTGTACAGTTAGAGGGCAAGTTAAAAATATTTTGATTGCAGAACGGCTGTCTCTCAATATCATTTGCAGGTTGAGTGGCATCGCTACTCAGTCACACATCACTATCAAAAAAGCAAGAGAAGCCGGTTATACAGGAATCATTGCGGGGACCAGGAAAACTACACCAGGACTAAGATTGCTTGAAAAATATGCAATGCTTGTAGGAGGGGTGGACACTCACAGGTATGACTTATCGTCTATGGTAATGCTCAAGGACAATCATATTTGGGCAACAGGGTCGATCAGACAGGCTGTCAAAAATGCAAAGACTGTGGCTGGCTTTAGTACTAAAATAGAAGTCGAAGTTCAGAACGAAACGGAAGCAGATGAAGCCATTGATGCAGGAGCCGACATAATCATGCTGGATAATTTTAATGGACCTGAACTTCAAGCTGTCTCTCAATCTCTGAAGAAAAAGTGGTCAGGTAAACGCCAGTTCTTGCTTGAGTGTAGCGGAGGGTTGACTTTAGAAAACATTTCTCAATTCTTGTGCAATGACATCGATATTTACTCTACATCTTCCGTGCATCAAGGATGTGCGATCGTTGATTATAGTTTGAAGCTTGATCAAACTAACTAACTAGCTTAGGGCATTAGCAATCAGTTGTTTCTATTACCGGAATCTACTGTATACCTGTACTCCTATATGGGGCCAATGTGATTGCAAGAGTCACTTATTTAGGTAGCTGTTGGTTTTTCTCTTTTTGCTGTTGTTGTTTTGCAACAGCGTAAACAATGCCTGCAACAAAGCCAATAAAAATGGAGGAAATTGAGAAAAAGTTGATAGGAGCATCAAAGAAGATCAGTCCGCTCAACGCAATCGGCAACTTGTTCAACGCTCCGACCATTGAATAAGTAGTTGATGATGTAACTCTGATACACCAGCCAGAACAGTAGGAAATTCCAACAGAGGAAACACCTGAGAAAATCATAGCAAAGATAACTGAATTTCTGTTGGCCTCAGGGAAGTTGATAGCCACATTTTCGGGAGACCAGTCTTCCAAAACAAAAGAAGCAATCAACAAAATCGGAATGGATAATAAATTATTGTAGAACATGGTGTCAAAATCCTTGAAATTGGTCAGCTTGATTCTCTTCCTCATGCAAAGCACGAAAGTAGCTGATGAAAAACAGTTGAGGAACATCCAGAAATATCCAACACCAAAGACCATATTTCCAGTAGAACTATCCTTGTCACCGTAGCACGCAACAACAGAAGAAAGAACCATCAAAATGAAAGATCCCAAAGCCATGGAAGTCACTGAACCACCAAACCATAAAACTTCACCATATGCAATCAAAATGATGGTCAAATTTTTGAAAATAGTGTAGACTGGGATCGTCAAAAATTGTAAAGCCTTAGAGGATGTGTAAATCATTCCAACCAAAAGAAAAGCAATTGGTGACCACTTTTTCGCCTCAATATAATTGAATTCTCTGTAGGTGATGATCCCAAGGAACTTCAGTATAGAAATGGTGATCAAACAAACAATAGATTGAATGGCTAGTAAAAAAAAGTTCAGATTGAAATCACCAGAAACAACGTATTTATTAGTAACAGTCATCAAAATAGAAGATGCGCAATAAGCAAATATAGACACTGGGCCAGAGTTGGCAAGCTGGCTCAAAAGCGAGCTGCTCTGTGGTGGTGGCTGGATAGTGGCGACTGGAGGGTCCTCTTTTTTCTCAGACATCTTTAGTGAAAACTTTATCACAAAGGAAAAACAAGTTATCTTGAAATGCCACGAATTTTTAAATTTTCTGCCGGCCGCCAAGCCAACCTGGCAAAAATTTGGCGAGACCGCTCGGCACTTATCTAAACATTTGTGATGTAATAATCTTTAGAGATTACCAGTGTGACAATTATACTGAAGTATACAGTAGTTGCCGTTTTTGAGGGCAATTCTCAATGACACCTTATTAGTAGTTTAGATCTAAGGCTACTGTAGTCTATTAAATGGAACTTCTCAACTACGCAAGTAATGATACTTTACACGTGGTGTACGGAGTCGTTCATTCTTCTGTTATTCTATAAAAAATTGGCGTGCTGAATCTTAGAGCCTTTTACAGGACTTCTCATTATGGTGAACGACAATGAGATAAGCAAAGAAGAAAGACTGGAGCAAGCCCGGAAGAAGTTCGAGGAACTGAAGAAAAAGAAGAAAGGTAAGAAGAAGGGCAATGTCGGGGACCATGAACGCGAATCCAAATATAAGGGAAAACTTGACCACAGCTTCAAGACGACAATGGCAAATACAGCAACTGGTTTGGACACGGGTAAAGGTTTTGAAGATGACGATTCTGAAACACTGGTGACTCCTGATGATGGCATTTCAGGGTCTGAAAATATCGTCAATGAACAAGAAGTACAGATTATATCAGAAGGGCAAAAATCTGATGATAACGACTATCAGCATGTTCGCGATCGCAAAAGCCAGGAATCCCTAAAACGGGAGGTTATGGGCTCATCTAATTCGCCTGATTTGAATGCCGAGAGTGAGGTAAAACAACAATCTTCGCTGGTCGACGAAACCAACTCTCAATATGCGGAGGAAAGACACGATGAGGACCCTTCGAGGCAGGTGAAATACCTAGAAGCAAAGCTTCGTGATGCGATCGAGCAGAATTCTAAAGTTTTGAAAGAAAATCAGGAGTTGAAATCAGCCCAGCTACTTTTGACGTCAAAAATTAGTTCACTCGAAGAGAAGGTTCAATCTCTCGAAATTCTAAACGATAGCTTGGAGCGACAATTGAGTGAAAAGATTCATGACGTGCATCGTGCTGAGACCTCCAATAGCGGTGAAACCGTTCATAACTACTCGCTTGAAAAAGGCTCTCCTACGCAGTCTTCCCCCAGCTTCCAAACATTCAACGGTTTCAATAATTTATCAAACGACTATCTTGATATAGTTGACATCCGTGAGCGTCTAGCCCAATGGAAAGGTTGGAATCTTGACATGAAATCATGGAGAAGTGTTGGAAGTGGGTCGCTCCTCGAGTTGTAGTACACCAGGCCAGTATTCTTCGTTGCAAGTTTTTCTAGGGCTGTGTGCCAATAACGTATGTAATACATATATCAGTGTGTACAATCTATTTATGTAGGTTAGTTTAGAGGCAAAAAAAAAAATCAGTTTGATTCTGCAATGTTTCGTTTCCAACTGAAAGCAAACTCAAGGAGGCTTTTCAACGCTTCACATCAAATCCGCAGCGTATCGAAAAAAGTGAGGTCATCGAAAGTGATTGGCATTGATTTGGGAACAACCAATTCTGCAGTTGCGGTGTTAGAAGGTAATAAACCTAAAATCCTTGAAAATCAAAATGGCGACCGTACAACACCCTCCATTGTAGCTTTCACAAAAGAAGGTGATGTTCTTGTTGGTACAGCTGCAAAACGCCAAAGTATTATCAACCATGAGAACACCTTCTATGCTACTAAAAGATTGATTGGACGGAAATATAATGATGATGAGGTTCAAAAGGATATTCAAAGACTGCCCTACAAAGTCGTAGAGCATGCTAATGGAGATGCCTGGCTGCAAACAACCATTGCTCAAGGCTTATCATACTCGCCGGCCCAGATAGGTGGTTTTATATTACGCGAGATGAAAAGGGTTGCTGAGCTACAACTAGCCGAAGAGGTAAAAAATGCGGTTATTACAGTTCCCGCATACTTTAACGACTCACAACGGCAGGCGACCAAGAAAGCAGGTGAACTAGTTGGACTCAATGTGGTAAGGGTGATAAATGAGCCTACGGCTGCTTCACTAGCCTATGGTATTGGAGGTAAGGACAAAAATAACGGTATTGTTGCGGTTTATGATTTAGGCGGCGGAACATTTGACATTTCGATACTTGATATTGAGGACGGTGTGTTTGAGGTACGATCCACCAATGGCGACACACATCTTGGTGGTGAAGACTTGGACAATATATTAGTCGAATTTATTTTGAAACGATTCCAAATGAAAACCGGTATCGATCTTCGTCAAGATAAAATTGCAGTTCAAAGAATTCGTCAAGCTGCAGAGAAGGCCAAAATTGAGCTATCACATGTGAAGAGTACTACAATTGATTTGCCTTTCATTACAAAAACTGAAAGCATCAGTATACCTCTCACAGAAGAGGAACTTGATAACATGAGTGCGGATCTGATTGAGCGGACAATACTTCCGGTCAGAAAAGCTCTCAAAGACGCTGACTTGAAAGTGCAAGATATCGACGAGGTCATTCTCGTTGGTGGAATGACCAGAATGCCTAAAATAAGAAACACTGTCGAGAATTTTTTTGGTATAAAGCCAACAACTCAAGTTAATCCTGATGAGGCTGTGGCTCTTGGCGCTGCTATTCAAGGCGCTGTCCTTTCGGGAGAGGTGAAGGATGTGTTACTTTTGGATGTTACACCCTTGACTCTCGGAATTGAAACATATGGGGGCATGTTTTCACCACTTTTGCCACGTAATTCTACGGTTCCCTGCAGAGTCACTCAAATGTATTCAACCGCTGTAGATGGGCAAAGCTCAATAGATATCAATGTCTATCAAGGAGAACGGCCTTTGGTGCAGGACAACATATTAATTGGAAAGTTCAAACTCACTGATATTCCACCCTTACCCAAGGGCACGCCACAAATTGAAGTGATGTTTGATGTTGACGCGGATGGGATCCTCAAAGTGAGTGCAAGAGATAAACAAACTGGAAAGAAATCATCCATTACCGTGTTTGGAAAGGGTGGCCTAACTGATGAGGAAGTCAAACGGTTGGTAGATGAAAGTAAACAAACAACAGAGCAAGATCAGGTGAAACTTAATTTCTTGAAATTAGTCAACAACTTGGAGCTAATAGTGTTCGATACCGAACAAGCTCTCAAGGAAATTGAGAGCTTTGTGGATACAACCCAGGCGGACACATTAAAGCGAAAACTTATCACCGTCAAAAAGATGATTGATGATGCAAGAAAAGGGGACCTGCTCGACCAAGACCTCATCAAGGCAGCACAAGAAGAATTACAGGAGGAAGCATTGCAAGTGATACAGAAGGCAGCTGAAAGAAGTAAGGCACAACGAAAAGCCAAAGATTGAGTCTTCTCTGTTTAAAGATATTTAGTAAACTCAACACTTTCGTATTAAACAGCCGGAGCACATCGTTTTTTCCCAAAGTAGACATTTTCTTACACGCGTCGTGTTCCCCAAAAAAAATTATTCCAGCACTTAAATAGAAGTGCTCACCGGGAAAACATTGTTTACTTCAGGCACTAAAACCATAGATTGAATTAAAACCATTCAAGTCAAAAACTGTAGGTTTATCGCAGTGTTCTGGCCCATCAACAGCTTCAAAACATCTGGGTACGTTGAGCAACACTAACTACTTCAAAGGAATCATAAGAAATCATAATGTATAGCCATTCCAACTTGTCAACTTCATCTGCGGGTTCCCGCTCTAAGCGATTGTCTTCGAACAACCCTTTCAGGTCGGCTATTCTACAAGAAGAATCAAGGATGGTCGGTGATGATTTGAATTACAGGCGTTGGTTGGAGAATCACGCGGAAGAAAGTATGGATTCAGACAACGAGATTCATCCTTCAACAAAGACTTATACTGAGCCAGAATTGTATTCTGCGAAATCAGAGTCATCGATGTAAGTATGGTGAATTCCAAATTGAGGAAATCAAAAAAAAACTTCGAGGTTGAAGCACGCACGGGTCATAAAAGATCACGGATGCAATCAGTTTGCAAGTCAAATCAACATTGAGAACACATGAACATGGAGTATCGATCGAATAAGTATTTGAAGAAGCCGCAATTTTTTGTCCACACGGGGGTCTCCAGTGCAAAGATAATCTAACAGAACTTTATATCTTAGGGATATTTGGCTTTATATCTTAGAGATATTTGGTCCTTGACAGCCACTAAACCCCTATAAGATGGGGGAGGATCACTTTACCGGTTGAATAGCATTTTTGCTTGTTGGTGACCCCATAATATTTACAAGGGATTTGTGTGATACACGAGAAAAGCCAAGCTTCCCAATATTCTTTCTTGACTTGCAGGCTGTGCCTCAACTTTGTTTTGCTGTCGCGACACAATATAAAGTTTTAAATTACTAACCCTTTAGACTTTATTCCAAGATGTCTAACAATCCGTTCACCGAAATGTTATCTCCTTCTTCAACTGGAACTGGAAATGTTCGAAATCATTCACAAGGCAGTTTGTCAAAACCTTCTCACCAGTTGCCAGGAAAACCTCATAAACATGCCCAATACGATGAACACTCTGATTATTATGATGACCATGACCTACCGCCTCCTTACGATGAAGTCACAAATAAATACCAGAAAGATGAGTATCCCAAAGACGAGAAATTAAAACAAAGCAGCGAGTCTAGTTCAAGCGAGTCTTCTCCTAATCCATTTCCTGCGTCATCCTCCGCCCCAAAGCAATATTATAAAACCCGTAGGGAGCATAATGGAAAACGGTTGGATGCAGAGCAGATGACAGGGACAGTGGTCACTAAAATTGCGCCAGATGGCAGAGTCAGATCTAAAAGTGCGGGTGAGTCTAGCAGACCACACAAGTCTATTGAGTACAGATCCTCTCGCGGCCACAAAGAGCATAGATCTCATCGACACCATCGGTCCAAAAAACAAACTGTGATGGATAAACCAAAGAACCTGGATACCATAGACAAGTTGGATGTTACTGGGTTTTTTTCGGGTGGCGGTTTTCACCACGATGGTCCATTTGATGCTTGTACGCCTCATAGAAACAAAGATACTAAAGCCGCACCCGTTATGGCGTTCCCAGTTGATGGTCCAAATAATTCGATCAAAGGGATGGCTCCCAAGAACAACAGGGATCAACAAATTGATATGGTATTCGGTTACAATGAAGAAGAGCCAATATACACATCAACATCAAAGGGCGTTCAACCTGCAGGCAAAAGCCCATACAGCAATGGAGTCGTGGTAAAGCGAGCTTCCGCTTCAAATAGCACATTTCTTGATTTAAAGCCTAACCCAAATGTCGTTGCATTTGACTCAAATGTGAAGTCTGCTCCAATCCATGGCGATACAACTTTGGGGCTTGGCTCTTCCACATTCTTAGATGGGGCTCCGGCCTATGGAGTTCACGAAAAGAAGGATGGAGGGGAGCTGGGTAGAAAGAAAAGTCTTGTGGATAGATTAAGGAAGAAAGATGATGAAACCACGGGTTTACTAAGAAGAGTCAAAAGTTTGAAAGTATCCAGACGATAGACAACGGAGAAGTCATGCAATTTTGTTTTCCCTACGCTCGTACTTGTTTTAGTTTGAAAGCTGATGGACCCATCTACACTATGAAAAGGTTCCACTGTTGTTTCTGTTAAAATGTTAGCTGTAACTGATCTCTAGCAGCTTCAGAATTTATTTTTTTTTTATCGCTAGTACAAACTGAAGTGTGAGGAGTGGTATAACTTATCGCAATAAGATTTGTGCCACTCTTACGAATGAGCTGTAATAACTCGATTTATCCTACCGTGTTTATTCGATCCGTGGATGGGCATATCATAAATGAGGACCTCAGCCCCATTAGCTGGTCTGAGCAGCAGCTAAATATATTAAAAGGTATAGTTAAACATATTAGTCCGAAAGATCATCAATTCAGCGTGAGTTTCAATTTCACAGAACTAAGCAAGTCCTGGCAAATTAGCAAGGATCGCATTTATGCAAAGATTATTGAGCTATATTACATTAGAGATACTTCACCAAATCAGCTGAATGTCGAAGATTCTAGCAGCAAGGATAAGCAAATTTGGTTCGAGCGATCATCCGACAAAGACTGTGAAAAGCATCATCCTGTTCATGAGTTGGAGCTGCTGAAAATCAACCCAATAAATTCGGACCACAGCGACACAGCAGGACTCCAGTATAAACAACCATTCTCTTTGGGCCAGACTCCTTCTCTGGATATTGGTTCAATGAGAACAGGTCCATTGGATGCAGACAACTCAAACTCTAGTTCAAGTGATGAAAGTAATACAAACATGGTGGCAACTTCAGCATATCTCTATCGATCGAAATTCATACAGCGTGAAATTCCAAATCAAATTGGCCAATCTGATAACGAATTTGAACAGGAGATCAATAACAATGACTACTTGTTGACGGGGACAACCGAGAGTTTATCAAAATCACTATTAGAGCAAGAGCTCTTAGAGCGTATTTGAATCATATACCAGGCCGCGAAACTATCTTCATTTGAACTCGTGTGAGGATTTGAAAATATGAGTATAATCAGTCTTCTACTAAAACAATCCTTCAATATTACTCAATTTTTGTCAGCATCAAATTCAACCTTAATATAAGGTTCCTGAGGTCCGTTTAGATCTGACTTTTTCCAAACTCAAGTGACATGAGCGATTGGAAGGATTTCAAGAGTTTCGCACTGTGTGGAAACGAAGATTATATTGTAGAACTAAACACGAATCTCAGTGAAATTGATGTAGAACAACACTACCTGTTGTGATCGGCTTGTAGAGTCTATGATGTCATAGTATTTTGCATTTTTAATGAACTCTTTTTTCTCACTCGCTGGAATATTCAGATTCGGCAAGGAACTGAACCCGACTCAAACGAGCAGATCTATTCCAAGGAGAGATCTTTTATCATGTCGTTATATTTTGTCTTCAATCAGCGCTGGTTCCAGGCACCAATATGTTTCAACTGGGAAAATATGCTATTCTTCATCGTAGCTGTTTTCTTTTCGTGGTCTATTAAAGAGCTGGAAATTGACACTCGCTCGCACTTCTCAGATGTTACCCCCATCATCTCATCCAGTACTCGATATAAATCTACCACCTTAGTTTCTACCCTCTTTTTTTATCTTTGGGGAAGCCAAGAAGTTCGAACGACTTGATCCTCGGTCGTGAGCAAACTCATTGTGGTTTAAAATAAGAACAGCTATATCCTCTCTTCACCCATCGAAATGCATTGGGTCTATACATCATCGAATTTTTCCTTGAAAGAGGGATGGCATAATGTCTCTGTCCTTCACTTTTTGACAAATCTTGACAGCTTTCGTAGTGGCCTCATTTGATTGCTGCTGTTCAAAGTATAAATTCGTCCTGATATACTATGTTAGTATTACAGCAAATTCTACTCAAAGTGATCCTTCAAATTCTAGCTGTGTTATTTAATTTGCCAATGGTTGATTATGGCTTCTCATAGGGATATTTAGCAGTTTTGTCCAAGGGCAAACTCGTGACTACTAGCTTAATTTTGGAACGGGAACTAACCGTAACCGTGTTAGAGCAATTTTATTTGTTGTCGGGTGCCTTTCGAAGAGGACATCCTCTTATTCAGAATCCATGACATGTCCGAGCCATATCGCTGTAATAGCTGTACTTCTAGTTACAACAGCTGAGACGTAATAAACCATTTGAAGACTCGTGGTATATCGTCTTCACCAATGACTCAAAAATACATTCGATATTTTTCCAAGCACTGTCGCATAAATATTGATCATCAGCAGCAAAACTGAGTCCCAGCTGGACTTGTTGCCGATTTCAAACTTCGTGATAGTCGCCAAAACAATGTTTGTCCCTTTCACGCTGTGAATGTCATCAATGCTGTAATGCTCAGCAAATTAGTGCAGTCAAGTCATGGGTGGAGAGTTCAGAGCTAATGATCTTCATTTTTTCGAACATGCATAGTTTTAGCCTTTGAATGCCAAAAATAATGATTAGCATCCAAATATGTAGCAGTTCTTTCAACTCTAATGATGTAGTTATGCAAAAGTTTTTCTCTGTGAATAAGCTTCTCCTCGCCTTGAGGTTAGAAAAATCAAAAAACCTAGAGGCTGACATTTTCAATCATAGTGTCTACCGCAATCTACGGCCAATTTGTGTTTTCTCTTTGCAGATTCTTGGCGAGAGATATGATCTATGGTCGCGAAAGCTCCTCCAATCATTTGAAGCTGACATTGCATTCGAAGCCCGTCACAAAAACCTGAATTCATAATGACAGCTGGGCTAAGTAGGATTCCGATGAGGAACGACCTTGCTTTGATTCGGAGTTAATTGCATTGGTATGAACGGTTTACTGTATATTGAAAGTATAAGTGCAACTGAATTGCTACGGTGCCAAAACATGGTTAAAGAATACCTTCTCACAAGTGGCCAAATTCAAATTGCCGTTCTCAAAGGTGCCTATTCTCAATGTACAGTACTTGCTCTTTCGTTCACACCTGGGAATCAAATCACGCGGGTTGTTATATGTCAGCTCCATTCTTTAATCACAGTAGGGAAGTCCAACCTTGAGAACCCGAGAAAAGAGAACACCTAAACATTCCCTTCCTGGTTTTTTGATTCGTCCTCATGAGACATCTTCACCATTGTTTCAAACATGCTCTGCATCATAAATTGTAGCTAGCTCACAATTGAATTCTGGGAATAGAGAGGATAAAATCTAATAACAAGTTCCTTTGGGTCGAGTCTTTCAATAAGAGATCGATCAAATGTTTCATTAGTCACATCAACTTAAGTTGGTTATGTAATTTGGACCTAATCTATTATTTTATCGAAACTTTTTTTTGAGGTAAAGCCAAAACACAAACCGGCTTTGAAATGTCTTTAAGAAAGAGTCTTTATAAACAGAGCTTGAAGAATACCGCGTTTCCGGTAAATTCTGGCGATTCGAGTACCGAGGACAGATATTGGATTAGAGATTGGTACCATCCTCAAAAAGTCAGTAAGGAGACCAATTTTTCTCACCAAAACATTATGTCTGCACAAAGCCCTTCTGGCGTACTCACACCTCACGAATCGACTCCCCAACCTCAACAGTATCATCAGGCATCCCAATCACAAACTCCACAACCTTCAAAAGCCTATGGATTTAAGATAAAAGCTTGGATTACGGTTGAAAGAGACCCCTATAAAGATTGCATTAATGAGGATGCCGACACCGTTTTGTCATTGACAGATCATCCTTATCTGTCTAGTGTGCTGGCATCCAAAGATTTTTCTGCTAGTGGACCGGGTGGTTTGACTGATGCAGATATTAAGTCTGCCGTAAGCGGAACAGGAGATGGTAACAGGCTTTTTTCGAGCAGTGCGCAGCATGAGTTGCAAGAGTCTAAAAATCTAGCTGATAACACCCTGTCAAACCAAGAAGACGCTTCTGAAATGAAAACGGATTAGACTTTGATGAGGGCACGTCCGATTATAAATTGCCTTGGTAGCAAAGAATCTTAATTGTCCGCCACGGAGCACCGCGTATTCGTTTCTCATATAAATTGAGAATATCTGGAGAATGGTTATTAACCACAGTTGATGCGTATTTGAAGTAGCTGCATTAACAATGGAGCAAACACACAACTTTGACATCAGTATTGTCTTTTTGATAATTGCAACACTATTCAAAGTAAAATATGAAAATTATCAAAGTTTATGGTCCCTCCACGAAAGGCTGCTGTATGAAAATACAACTTATTCATGGACTCTAGAATATGATCGATCATCTCATGTTCGATTTAGTACACTTTACTAGACTTGTGGTGACTGTAGAGCGTCCAATATGCAATGTCTTGGGATACAACCTGTTTGGGTTCTTCAGCTGATAGCTACAATCATTTCTGATCTCATCAACTCCATTTCAAGATTCTCAACATCGTGTTTTCTAAAACTCACCATACTATGATTTACTGATAAATACGGTTTCTGACTGACATTTTCAAACTATTTGCTGGCTATTCTTCCACGCGTTGATTCCGGTCTAGCTCCTCTTTTAAGCTCTCTCCAATATTTTCATAACGATCAAAAGGCAGGTATTTAAGGTACCTTTTAGTTACACTGTAACATTCGTGATGTTAAGGCTCAAATATTATTCTACTTCTGTTGATTGGTAGGTGCTAGAGATTCTGTAAAGGTACAACTTGATACAAGCTTGGCAGCATAGCCTTGTATCGATTTTATACAATGTAAACAATTTTTGAAGTTATGAATATTTGAGAAGATGAGAATCAAAAGAAAGACTCAAAGTAAAACAAGCCTCAAAATGTAATTCAGCTCAATTTTTATCATGTCACTACTGACCCATAAATCGTGAAAGGAACTATAATAATTCTTCCGCATTAAGCGTATTATTAGCCATCAATCAAGCTCAAAGGTCTGACAAACGCACAAGCAACCTTCATTCTTGTGAGAGTTTGATTATTGAACGATAACGACTACAGGTGAGACCCAACACTGTAACCTCTGTGAGAAGATTTGGTCTACCTGTCGTGAATAACTTAGTAACGCATCGGCTATAATTGTGATGTGACGTGACGTGAATCATGTGAGGAATCATGTGACTCAAAATGAGTTCCTCGATTGATAACGTCGTGTTGCGAAATGGGTTTGTATTCTATTTCGTGAAAAAACAGTTGTGTTTCCATATAATAACATCAAGCCCATGCTGCTGCATGGTGACGATAAGTGATGGCGCCTTTTGCAATTGCATCTCTTTCTTTCTACACTGATAGCTCTGCTTTTCCGTGACTTGTTCTCACGTGACTTGAGTCACGAATCCCATACAGCAGACAGATCAATTAAATGTTTCCGACGGATAAATTAAAGCTTCCAGTAAAAAATTAATGTTTCCGGTCTTACTTGATTTTTTTTTGAGGATCTACTCTTGTTGTCTATATGCTCACCTTTTGTCCACATTGCTCAAACATGCTAGTCGTAGCGCGATCGGAGGTTAGTGGAAGTAACAGTTTTACCTGTCCCACTTGTCCCTATGAGTTTCCAATTGATGGCATTCTAATATATGAGCGAAAGGAACTGCCGAGAAAACAAGTCGATGACGTTCTGGGAGGAGAAGGCGCGTGGGACAATGTTGATCAAACTGTCACGCAATGTCCGGTTGAAAGCTGTGGCTTCGACAAGGCCTACTTTTTCCAGCTTCAAATCAGATCAGCCGACGAACCTATGACGACATTTTACAAGTGTTGCAAATGTGGACACCGCTGGAGAGAGAACTAATTTCCTAATGATGACCGATCTAGTCCGTACGATAGAATTTACATGTATACTAGAAGCATTGAGAATTGCTGAACTTGCTTAAGCTTCTTTATTATCAATGATTTTGTTATAAATGATCAACAAAAGAAAAATTAGATTTTCTTGTGATCCAAAAAAGCATCTTAATAGTTGAAAGAACTTAGTAATATATTCAGCCTTATTAATCCTCTAAATCTCCAAAGATCTTTTCGTCCTCTTCTCGGTTTTCTCTTGGAACAAATTCCTTGCCATAGTGATTATCTTCGTCTTCATTTTCGCTTTCACCACTGAAGGATGTGGATTCTTCCACTTTTGGTGCCATCAAACCATCTTTTCCGTATTGGGTGTCCGCTTCATCTGACCTACTAGATTTTTGACATAATATATTCTTCCGTGGGGTGCTTGATACAGAGGTTGACAACGATGAAGGAGGATATTGTGACAGGGAATTTTTCCGTAATGTGGTAGTGTATACTGGTGTTTTTGCTGTTATCCCAATAAGAGATTGACTTAAGTTAGAGTGCAAGCATGAGTTTGAATTTGGTGCGGTTAGAGACAAATTGGTAGGAGTTCCCTCTCCGTGCTCCTCTATTGACAAGGGAGAATTTGAGGTATTATTCTCAATTTGAGTATCTGGCGATGGAGATATTGGTGGCTCTTTTTCTATTTTGATAGGACCGTTGGTCTCTTTTGTGGGGTGCTCACGGAAATTGCTAATATTATTGATAGATGACAAAGATTGCAGGGGAGGCGAATTAGCAGGTAACTTTGTGTGTGGCGCGTATTGAGATTGTTGGGGTCGTTGATTGGATTGAGGGTAGGATGTAGGTTGAGTGTAGACGGGAGAAGGAGTGCTCAAAGATTGCGAACGAGATCTAAAACCCCCAATTTCCGAACCGTTTTCGGTCATACTGCAAAGAATGCTGGCGGCTTCTAGCAATTGAACTTGTTGGTGCTTACTAATAAGCAATTTCTTGGTCATATTCCACTCCGGTGTATGTTCCCAAAGATGTTTTGCCAGTGACGAAATGTGTTTGTATCCCTTACCACAAGCCTCACATTTCAGCTCTTCTTTCAAACGTCCAGTTTCACCCTCTGATATACGACGCACGACAAATTCTCTACTTAGCATAGGAACAGAAGTGCCTAAATGGGATTGCTGGGGTTGTTGTTGATGAAGATGACTATGAATAGGACCACCTGTGTGTGGTGATGACCCCAAGTTTCCTGGGCTTATAGAGTACGGACCGGTGGTGCCACTAAATGATGATGACAACCTTTGTGATCCTGGTGGCATATTGGTCGAACTCTTTACTGGTATAGTGTAGGGTGCAGTAGAGAGAGATGAGCGTCTACTCGGAACATTATAATGATAGCCGTTTGCGGTCGAGCCGCCTGACGCCGTCATAGGACGAGAGGCTGGTGATGTATTTTGACCGGAGGTAGCTATTTGATGATTCTGATCGGATTGGGATGAGAATCTCTGTTCAAACGACATTGTAAATCCTCTGATCGCAAAAAAACTGCTGATAGTTGAAATTGGAACTGAAAAACTATCACACTAAATTCCAGCTTTCAATGTTCACTGATTAGATTCGTTTTCTAGCTTTTACGTAAACTTCTGACTGTCCGTAATGCAATTCAATATGGCTATCAATATTGAAGGGGCTGATTATGTTGACTATGTTTAATTAAATGTATCATACAATTTTTTCGAGTTTGAGTTATCAAAAAATTTAAAAAAATTTTATCGGGTAAGGTGTTAGGGTGGTCCTCTGTTTAACTCCCAGCTTTAAGCTTTTAATCTGACGTAAGCGTGGGAAATCTCTATGGAAAATTTACTAGGTAATTAATTGAATTTTTACTGACCTCTCTCAGAGTTTCTAGTTTTTTGCTCGAAATTTAAGCTGGTATTCTGTCTCTTTTAAAAAGTCATGCCAGCATCTGATATAACTTTTGGTGAAAAGCTACCAACATAGAAGGTAGTCCAATTCACTTCATTAAGTAAAACACTTGAGTTAGTTATCTAGTGTACTATGTTACAGCATGCTCAATTTTCGCAAATGAAAACAATTTTATTATATAGTTCCAGCATCAGAAGAAACCTTGTAAATACAATGCAAGTTGTATGTAAATGTGCTTTCACATAGAAAAAAAAGGACCTAGCTGTATGAGTTACATCAAAGCCCCTTTATTATTGGGCCTGCCAAAAATGACGCACCTTGTGCCTCTTTGATCGAGTTCGTTACAAGCAATTTTATTTGATTACTTCGTTTGGGTTGGATTGTTGGGACTACTCAATATAGAGGCTGTTAATATTGGCTTTCGCCAGCAATTGAAACCATAAAATCATATAATGATATTCTCACTGGCTTTCAATCAAGGAAAGCCCAACGTATTTCTGAAAATGAGTTTTCAACTTTTCAAACGATAATCCTTTTCCTATAAGAACAAGCTTACTGTTTGGAAGTGTCTTTCTATCTGGAGCACTTTCCCCACCATCTATAATGTCATAAGTTTTTCGCACCGCTTGTAGTACCTTGAAAGTCGTTTCGTAGTAAACTAAACCTTTCGCTCTGTAAATCTCCATATTCCATGTCTCAGCATCATTTTCCACCCAAAGTATATCTTGCAGAAATCGTTCAAAGTTTTCATATTGGACCTTGTCAAGCTTCGAGAACTCCAGGGTAATTGTGTGGATTGTAGAATCATGATACAGAGCTTGATTTCTCAAAAACGGTGAGATGTCTTTGGTGTCATATGCGTGCAAATCCAAGATCTTATCAAGATCAACGTCTCCGTACCTTGTTCGATACACCGGAGCAAAAGTGTTGATGGATTTCGCCCTTTCTTCCAATCCGTCAAGATCTTCACTGGCCATTTTATCGACTTTGTTCAAAAGAATTACATCAGCCATAGCAATCTGTAGGTGAGCAATTGTTACATCGCTATCAGTTGTTGTGGGCGCATGTGTATGACCTCCTGTATCTGAAAGCCATTTTTCAATGTTTTCAGAGTCTATCACCGTGACCACACCATCGATGTAAACATTTGAGGATAAGGCATCGTCAAGCCAAAACATTGTGGCTATGGGGGCGGGATCGGCCAACCCTGTTGTTTCAAGAAGAATATAATCAAAACCCTTTCGTTTTGCTATCAATCTCTCTATAGCTGCAACTCCATTATCTTTAACCGAGCAACAAAGACATCCGTTTCCTAAATCCAACCATTCTTCATATTCTTGAGAGTTGCCTCCTTTTACTGTCAACGATTTTTCAATAGCCGCTGAGTCTCCAAACTCATTTAAAATAACTGCAATCCTTCGATCACCCTTTTTCGCAATTTGTTCCAATAATGTCGATTTTCCGGAACCGAGATATCCTGTGACAATCGTTATTGGTATTCTAGTTATCGCATCATTCTCAGTTAAACCAGAATGCTCTCTATAACGTGCAGCTTTTTTGCTGTCCTTTGAGTATCTAATGGGCTCATTTTCTTCAACAACCAGCTCAGGAATCAAATCGATCTCGTCTTCATTCATCAATCACGAACCTCGTATAAATTAGATTTTTTTTTCACTAAATATTGAAAGTCAAAAAATAGGAAGATCAATTTTAATTCAAGTTATCTACTATTCTAATTCGGAATATTCACCATTTTGCATGCTAAGATCATATACATCATATACAGGATTGAAAACTTGGGCGCTTGATTGGATACTCTTTGCAACTGTAGTCTATCATTTGCTTATATCTCCCTACACCAAAGTCGAAGAGTCCTTCAATTTGCATGCGGTACACGATTTGATTAATTATGGAATTTACGATGTACCTCATTTCGACCACAAAGAGTTTCCGGGCGCTGTCAAACGATCATTTGTTGGTTCATTGATGATATTTATAGTATCTAAGCCTTTGTTGACAATCGTCGACATTTTAGATGCTTGGATTCCATCCTCATCATTTTATCATAAGGATACGCAGTTAGTTCGCCAAATCACTGTGAGATTTGCCCTTGGATTAGTTAACTTGATCACTTTTATAAAGCTGCGAGGAGCAATCTTCAAGAGCGTCAGATTGTCTGTCCATGGCGAACGTATTCAACTTTGGTTTTCCATACTTCAATTTTCCCAATTTCACTTCTTTTATTATGCATCTCGTACACTACCAAACTTTGTTGCGATGCCCATGGTTAGTACAGGTATCTCATGGATTCTGCAGGGACGTACTACATCCGGAATTTGCATAATCATGGCAACAGGTATCATCTTGAGAACTGAGATTTTAGCATTTGGCATTTTAATTTACATAATAGCCATTGCATTAAGGGAGTTGAAGTTAAGAAACACCTTTCCTAAACTATTGGCAACTTCAATCAGCGCATCAGTGGTGACGATGCTAGTTGATACATACTTTTGGCAAGAACCTTCTTTTCCCGAATTGGAATCATTTTACTTCAACGTAATAGAGGGCAAATCTGCACAATGGGGAACTGAACCTTTTCACTCATATCTGACCAAGTATGTCCCCAAGCTTTTTATTCTACCAGTTGTCCCTTGCTTGGCATTCTTCGGATTATTCGTACCTTCATATCACTCAACTAAAGCAAAGATTATCATATTTTCCTCTTGGGCGTATATATTACTGATGTCGATTCAACCACATAAGGAGTGGAGATTCATCATTTATTCTTCACCAGGTATTTTATTGTCAGCCTCTTGTTTTCTTGCCAAAATCGAACCAAGAACTAGATTGTTGAAGAGTATTATGTTCACGCTAGTTTGTTTGGTGATATTAGTCTCTTACATTCTGAGCATTTTTGCTGGTTTTGTGTCGAGTTTCAACTATCCTGGTGGCTATGCATTGCAGCTATTGAATGATAGACTGTCTACTGTCGTGAATTCGTACCCAAACAGCGATCCAATCATGATACATTTGAATGTGAAGTCTCGTATGACCGGGGCTAGCTTATTTGGCGAAATCAGATCCAATTCCCTAATATATGACAAGACTGAAGATGAAATGAAACTGAATGACAAAAGGTTTTGGCAACAATTTTCGTACGTGATATCCGATTGTGCTTTTGAATCATGTTCTTTTTCTCCTTTTGAGAATGATACATGGAGTATAATTGACACCGTTGAGGGATACCACGGCTTTGATAAGCAGCGACTGGTGGATGATCTTGGGCTGTTTCTACGAACACCTGCTGGATCTATCAGCTTCATTACTCAGATCGTCAAAAGCCATAACCTACAGTTTATCTATGATCTGTCCAAAAGGTATATCGTCCTATACCCAACACTTTGTATTTACCGCAAGACAGGGATAGACAGTACTTCCGATCTTATGGCCGCAAAAAGCTCATAACCTTCTATATCTTGGACCCTTAATTGCGAACAAAACCTTGTTTCGATATTTGAAGAACATAGTGGCCAGTAGAATAAAAAAAAGGAAAAATGGTAATAGGACCATGTGCACTCTAGAGCTGTGCTCCAGCCCTCCATGATACTGTATTTCATCTGGCACCTGACGGTCACTAGTAGGGCTTATCGATAATGTTTCTGTTGATGTGGTCATGGAAGGACCACCTGTGACCTCTGTGGAGAAGTGAGGCTTAGAGAAGCTATCTTCGGAAACCTGTGATGTAGGGCTTTCTCGGATTTCTTCAGCAACTGGATTGAGAGCTTGTGACACTTCTTTTCCAACCAATTCTTCGGTGGGCCTCAAATTTTGACGCTCGGCAGTCTCTATGTTGTTGTCCCTCAGATCATCAGTAATTTCCCTTTTGATACTCAATATCGTGACATTAGTCAATGGACGATCTTTGCTATCTTTAGCAACTCTTTGTATTGCGCTCAGAGTTTCAAAACCCTCAGTAAGTTGACCAAATACCACATTTTTACCATCCAAAAATTCAGTTGGAGCCAAAGTGATGAAGAATTGTGATCCTGCAGTGTCAGGTCCTGAGTTTTCCATTGAAACCCTTCCTACCCTGTCATGCTTTAAATTAAAATTGTCGTCAGGGAGGGACCCCTGCACCTTCCCATACATGGAGTATCCCCCGGTACCATCATCATTTTCAGCGTCACCTCCCTGTATCATAAAGCCATTAATAACGAGATGGAACGTCGTGTTCGTATATTTGGTTTCACATGAATCATAAAAGTTTTTGACTGTTTTGGGAACCACAGATCCAAAAAGGCCTAGTGATAATTTTCCTAGGTATTCATCATTTTGTTGAATCTCCAAGTTAACTCTATGGGTGAATGCTGGATCGTCAGCATTAACTGTCGAAGTGACAGCTATGGGACATAATAGTAGTAATATTTTAAATTTCAGCATCTTAAAAGCTCATTGATAATTTTCAAATTTACTGTCTTGAGAAAAAATGCAGTAGGGGTGATGATAGATATGATTTTAGCTGTAAATTTCTGAAAGGCAAAATTAAACTGCATAGCATGACTACTGCCATGAGCAACCTCATTATTCAGCTCTCATCGACGGCAATTAACAGTAAATCATTATAAGCAAATTCAAACTAGTTGTTGTGTTCGCCGATCAGACCTATAATCCTAATTACTTTTGCGCTAAACACACTTATGGGATTCTTTCCAATTGATATACTACAACATACATGATTTCGCAATCGCAAGTAAGTCTAACTGAAGCACCCAATCTTGCATCTGTGTCTTGCTGATACGCCACTTCAGGTTCTGACTATCATACTTAGCTCACCAAAACAGATACTTCTCAGATACGTGACACACCTGATTTAGTCTTTTGATCTGTATGATTCTTTTTGCTCTGGTGTTAAAGCCTTCCATTCTTCAGCAATCTGTTTCACGATCGAGCTATTTTGGTTGAAATCTTTGACGACTCGTTTAGGGTAAACGGACATGAAAAAGTTCATGTATGGAGAACGAACAGTATATTTCTCTTTCCATGCTTGAAATTCTTTTGCGTACTCATCAGCTGCCTCCTTATGTGACTTCACAAATGGTGCCTTAACCTCTTCGGAGGCAGATTTCCATTCGGATGCAAATCTTCCAAGAAGGTCTCGTGGATTGGTATTTTTGTCCGTGTTAGTTGCAAACTTGTGTTTGATGAACATTTGGTAAGCACTTTGTGGAGCCTTTGGCTTGTGCTGTAGTTTGAGTTCTTTTAATTTTGATGGTGATAACTTTCTCATTTCTGCTCGGGAAGGTTCTTGTAAAAGGGCACTGTCAACGGAAAAAAACCGCTTGAAGCTCCATAACAAAGGATTTGCTAGCTGCAAGGTAGAGTTCTTCAAACCAATAATCATCGCCGTGTTGTGAGTTCTGCGAACGAAAGTTTAATCTACAATCAGTATAATTTGTAAACAAAAGGGAAACAACAGATATACTTCGCGCAAATTCTCATTTATCTCCTGTGCACCGATAATAAATGACAGGTAAAAAAATCTTGATTTCAAAAACATGGGGTCAACTGGGAATTGAACCCAGGACCTCCTGCTCCCAAAGCAGGAATCATACCACTAGACTATTAACCCTTTTCGATGGGCTCCAGCAATTCCACTAGATTCATATCACAATCCTTAACGGCTGCATATAATAATCGTTCTTAACTTGTTAGGGTAACCTCAAGAACTGTTCGAGCCTCCAAAGATCCATCAAGTTTGGGCCCTTTTAAATTGCGGTAATATCTAAACTCAAACGTCAAATTCTGTATTTAAATTAGGCTCACCTTTAAATCTTCAAGTTTATACCAATTTTCCAACTCATTTGATCGAAGTAAATTTCGCACCTTTCTAGGATAATCTTTCCCCCCAATGATATACAACGGCAATTGAGATGTGTTGGAGAAGGTTCTTTGAAGAATAATAATAATAGCGCACAAACCTGGATGAGTTGGATGGTTTACTAAGTAGCCTTTTCGCCCCAGGATTTACGAAACCAAAATAGAATTCTAATGTGGGAATAATTCCTTTAAATCTAGTTAGTGTTTTAAATGTTGAACATGGTTCTGCAATGTTAGGTCTACAAAGGCTCATCATTTAAGCTTAGACATGATTTATGACTACTTTATTATGATTTTGAATGAATTTTTTGATTTTAGTCAGGACAATAATTCACATAAAAAGGGTGAGAGATAAATCGAGTCGACTGTGTGCTGAACTCTATCACATACATGTATCAGAGGTACACAGTAGAAACATTGAAATTGAAATGTAGTGTAGCTAATTCAAACATTGTACTCAACTACTTGAGAAAATTAAAAGAAAAACTTACTTTTTTCATATCCAAAGAATGAAGAAAGCACAAAATGTTGAGATACCACTTGTTTCACACTACAAATAGATGAGCAACTTCAGACAACTCCCGGGACAGTTCTATCAAAGTTCGAGGTCTTATCCTTGGAGCTTGCAAAACCATCTGAGCTTGTTAGATGCAGTGACGTAGGAGTTATGCTACTTTATACAGATTGTGTTGATAAAGCGCATACATGTCATCTTTGGCTGGCGTATCTTTTAATCTCGGATGAAACGCATACTGTAATACCACTAGCTGAGTGATATCTAATAGAGAATTAAGAGTTGTAAACTCAAAGGTAACTCTGCCAATGGGTGAACACTCCGCTTCAACAGTTGTGTACATTTAGTGTCATTATGACAGGGATACAATACAAAAGAGTAAAATCAGTCTTTTAGTCCGATTTTTCGGTATATAGAAGCTCCTGAGTGGAATACCGAATAATATATTTATTGTCAACCTTAGGAAGTAATACCACATCAGACAGATACCACGTCAGCTTTGTGCATACTGATATGTGTGACGAAACATCTGCACTTCCACTTCTGGTTTCAATTTAAATCATTACATCTTTCATATTGATAAGAAAAGAAGTACACTAGAAGTTCAGGTTTTGTGGGACTCATTCAAGGATATGGCGCTTTGAAATATTATATATGGACCTCGTTTTTTGGTCTGTAGGGTGTAATTAATTTTAAGTTGAGTATGTACAAAGATATTCACATTCGAGACAAAGTTGAGGATAAATCTCAACTAGCTGATAATCTTTAATGGGCACACAAAGGAGTAGTCAACTAATTAGTCTCTAACACCAACTCAGAAGATTATAGACAGACCTTGAATGACTTATTATAGAGAGAAGAAAATCTGCAGCAAGTTTTCGCACTTGGCATTCGTAGATGAGTCCCAACGTAAGTTGGCGGGAATACTTGTTGATAAAAAAAATTACATAAAAATGAGTGTGAGGTGTCATGAAATAAATGTATTGGAGATGGGATTGTCATTCTGATTATTGACTATCCTAAAAAACTGTATTATGTGATAGTGAGCGAGGAAAAATGAATTCTCAAACGAGAATCTACCGAATTGTATGGTGCATGAATTGCAATGGCAGTTCCTTTGTCGAAGTGCCAACAAAAACAGTTTATGCTGAAGTGTTCGTGTTTGACTTATAATAGATTTGACTTGACGACTGTGTTCTCATCTCCTGTCAGAAAATATCAAAGTAGCGGTCTCCTGTCTGTTTTTTTTGCAGATCATTCTGAAACCGCAGACCTTTCAACGTGGGAGTGAACGCGTTATCAGAGCAACTATGTCAGTCTTGTGTCTATCATAAGTTTTTGAGTCCATGTTTACTCCGCAGGGGATAAGCATAGTTTCTGAAGGTGTGTTTACCAACAATAGGTCTAGCAATGCTTGCCCGGAACTTGCTCAAGATTCAAAGTGACTTTCCTGAATGTGGGTGGTCCCTAATCCGAGGAGATTAGGTTAAGCGCTAATTTACTAAGATAAAGTAGTCATATGTTATATCATGGCGTTGCGGCTTATCCCGATTTGAAGGTTTATGGGTCTTAGCACATGCATAGTATGTGCATCAGATCCAGATGATATAAATATGGATCTTATATGAGACTAACAGTATAATATAAGGGTGTGTCAGCGTATCTTGTTGTGCCAAAGAAATGAACTATCTGATACATAGTCAATTATTGAAGAGAGAATAATGACTGTAGACATTGAAACTTTCAAAACCAAATTTCAGTATAATTTAGCTCCATGGTGCCGGTGTTACTCACTTGTGAATTGTGGTAGAAAATTCAATCAACATGAAAGCCTTGTGACAAACTTCTCCATAATACATCCATTGCTAAGTATCTAGCATTTGGATGGTGAGGTCACTGTAGTTTGTTTATTTGACCTCCATGTAGTACGAGCAATTGCAAGCATTCATAAGCACCCAGGTGGTAGCTCATGACTGTTTTTAGCTCTTCAATCTCTCGTTGTATCTATAATGCACACTTGGAAGCTTCAGTCTTAAAAGAACAATAATCAGGTATGTTTTTCAGATACTTGAGCGAACGTTTGACCCTGGCTTTTATCAAGTCGCTTGTGTTCTGAACTATCTCTTTGAGTTGCACATGACAAATGCAACGCCAATCCGAACACCAGGACCAAATGACATTTTTTTCTACCCGCGTACTCTGATTTTGATGGTCTTCGAACTTCACAGTTTAGCGGTTGGAAAAACATGGGTAGGTTAAAAGATTGTAAGGCTGAAGTTTTTAATACAATGTGGAGCATATTGCAAAATATGTAGAGCTCTTCTATCTCAACCTGTAAGCACTGAAATGTTGCACAATCTGATTGCAGTACAAGGGGCAGCCGAACAGCAAATTGACACAAAGATCAATACATATATTAAAGGATTAGAGGCTCGGCAGATGCTCCCTACCTATTGCGAGTTTTTGAATCATTTTTAGTTTTCCAAGTTATGCACAAAAGAGCTTATTTGAACCCGAAAAGGCTCTGGAATTCTTAAGGTAAACAAATTTTGTCTGCTCTGTTGGTGACAATGAATTTAGGGGATCATACCATTCCTATTAAAAGATCACTATCCAAAAAGATGGTCGCGACAGCTATCTAATATTTCAGCATTCTATGGTATTGAGCTGCAGGTGTTAACAAGAGACCAAGCAGCTTTGGTTACTGACATTAAGAATTGGGTAGTGCCGGTGTCTTGAGCTTGCGCCTCCTTTACTATGCAGGATTTCACGGAGAAGAGTTCGATGCTTTTATGTCTGAAGGCCAGACATAAAATGATTGGCACGAAACCAAGTAAGTCATAGCATGCCATAGGTCAGTGGATCGCTTGAAAGGCTGAGAATGTTGGAATGCTAACTTTAACTGATCTGAAGTTGTCATCTTTTGGATAATTTAATATACCTTTCACTACCTTATATCAGTAGTTGTATAAGCTTATATTTATAAGATTTATATGTATTTATAAGATTTATATGTAAATCTTACCAATTGAATGTTCACTTAAGATGAGGGAGAATCTAACTGTATTTATAGTAGATTCTAATACCACTCTAAATCTTTAGTGTGCTTTCTGAAACTTATCTCTAATCCTAACTGATTAGGATTTGTTTCACATAATATTTATGCAGGAGATGCATATCTCTGCATAATCACGTGACATATTATAGACTAATATCTCAACAGAGAAGCCAGATAGTTTTGGAAGATGACTGGCGGGGGCTGGGGTGGACTTTTTCTTCAAAATCAGACTCCAATACCGGAGCAAGAGCTCGAAACCTATCTGGAAATGGAATGTGAGGTGGAGGAGTTGTTGTTAAGCTTAACTGGACTGGGGTTAGGTTCCGCAAAAAATCTGATCGTTCAGGAAGTCATCAGCAGATGGTTGTAGGTTGCGAGATTCTGAAGCAAAGTCAGATGCGACCACCAAGGCTCGTATATAAGACATCATAAGTGCCTCCATGATATTAATTGCCGCTATAGCACAGCAGATTGTGGTTCCAGAAATGGTGCAGTACTAAGCTTCTCTGAGTTGGAATTCAAACTTTGTGGTGCTGATCAAATAAAAGAGGAGACCGGGAGGTAGAGTAGAAGCGTGACCGCATTGTCACAACAGAACCAACCACTAGAAATACGACCTTGTAATCTTTCAGCTGGTGATTAAGACAAACAGCGCTTCGAAGCATAAATGCTGTTACTCTAACAATGATGTAGCTTGCATTGTATTTTGAATTCAATGGTACGTACTACAGCATATATATAAAGTATGAAACCAAGTTCTTTGAGACAATTTCAAGGAAGTAGAATTGGAGTTATTATGAACATAGCTTAAATCGTTTACGAGCGCACGGGGTATAGTTTGCTGGATATCTCGCATAAGGCAGCAAATCTAGATGTATTTTCTATGTGTTGATTCGTTAGCTATCAGAACTCCATCAATGAATCCACCTATTTCAACAATGATTTCTCATGTCAGGCTGACATAGTCCAAGGATCAGCCTACAACTAAAGAGATTCGGGTTTCTTAGAATTTTTACGGCTACAAATTCTGCTCATACTTCTCACAAACTTATATGAGCATACACAGTCACGCCTCATTGGGACAGGATAAAATAAAAATCTAATAACAATAGGAGACTAGTCATCCTATAGCGGAATCTACAAAGAGTGGAATGTTGCCTGCATGGTGTAGTTAGGGAAGCCAAAGTTGCAATAATCAAACAATATTTCGGCTAGTGAAGAAAAGTTTTTTAAAACTATTTGCCTCGAATAGCACTGAAATGCGTCAAAACAGTATTTCCTAGATAAAAGCAGCCAAGTCTCAGTTGAATCGCTGGCATATTATGATTGTCAAAGTTTTAGTTTTGAGGATCTGATAAAAATATTATACTGAGGATATGCCTATTGTTCAACAGACAGATAACTGAACTATGTTTAACATAAGCCGTCCGTACTGTCAAGGGTAGTTTTGCAAGTGAAAATAAATTCCAAACTGCTGATTTTGACAAAACAGTATTCTCTCAATAATCTGAGATTGTTACTTTGCTGCTATATTTGAAGCAGATTATCACAAAACATTCTGCACTACCTTATGTTGATTGAAGATATATATCCTCACTTTCTGGAATTTCTCCTTGTAACTTACTAAAAAGTTATACTTAATTATTGCGGATATATTTTGCTCTGTGCTCAAGCTACTTGTCTGCTAGCATTGAAAATCTGGCATATGAGGGTATAATAAACCCTAAAAATATAACTGGACTCACATTGTGTTGTAGAATGATTGCTTCTATCTGACTCAAGTCGCAGTTGTTACTTCCCTAGTATATTGAATTTTGAATCATGATCAGGACTAATGATCAAAAACCCCCATCTGTATTTATCTTCCAAGCATTCATCTATGTTCCAATCTTACTATATATTGAAATTAACTAAACCTTACAATCGAGTGTAGAATGGATGAACACCGTAATTTAACAAACCTTAAAGATTGGAATTATATGGTAGTGACTTATCTAGCTCAAATTTATTGTGTGATGATAACGCAGTCATATAATTTTATTCAAGATCTTTGAGACTCACTTGCATCATTGTTGCAAAACTACAAATTTTCAATAAGCTTATTACCAGTTAGTCAAATGTGAACAGATCAATAGTTGATCATGGTACTCCTGGCAGATAGCCTCAAGGCGATATACGGATGCATTCATTCATGCGTGCCATCCTGAGTTAAGAGGTATGCGGCTCATGCACAACAATTTGGCGAGTGTCAAATTATTGATGCTTATCATGAGCTGCAGCAATTACTGTATAGAAAAGTTACTTATGTATAATCTTGTTTGAGATCTATACAATGTTATGTCCTAAAAATGTCTTAGAAGTTAACATACAAAAGCACTAGTCAATTAGTCAAGCATGAGCACTTCAACTGCTAAGCCAAGTCCTGTAAAGGAATGACTTTCAATAGAGTTAGTAGCTTGAATAGCTTGTACTGGGGGTTTTTAGCCGGAATTTTCTTGAGACAGAGGTTGCAATTGCAATTTTGATTGAAGATAAAAAGCGATCGAACAGGCCACGGCCCAGGTTTATCTGAATCAAAGCCAAAACCGTTTTGCTTTTTATATAGCCAAACTTTCGCAATCACAGTGCAACCAGTTGTGAATAATAGAGGGCTATGGAAAAGTGAAAGGGTATGCTTGACTAACTCGTATAAATTTCATGTCCGTGTTTCAGGCATAGGGAAAGTTCATTACTGCGCTACACTGATAGTTCCCAGTAACGATATACATGACGAGTAAATATCGTTAAGGTGATATTCATCCCAACTCAATTAAATTTCAGTGTTGGTTATTTCATTAATTGATGCTTATAGCTTTTATTGATGCTTTTGCCCTTTTAAATAATAATACTATTGTCGATTGACTCCCACCAATTGCTAACTTGTATTGTAAATTGTATTCCATGAGACGAAAACGAGAGCTTACAATCATACCCATGACTTCAACGCATTTGATTTAAAAATCAGCTGTTCTTTGCAAATGTCATCCCTCAAACCAAACAGTGAGGCTTGATTTCTCATCATATAAGCAAGGAAAGAAAGATGAGAGAAAGATTTCTACAGAGTGAGAGTAATTTCTTTTATACTTTTCGGACAACCAATTAAAGATTAGAATAAGCTGTTCTGAGCCTGGGTATACGCGATGCAGATTGATGTTGGATTATATAGCATAATAAATGGATAAGCAGCTATCGCAGGTGCAGTTTTTGTGTAATGCAGTTGCAACATCGTATTCTTCTCTGTATCTCGTTTCTTCGCATCTGAACCCACCAAAGTGAAACTTTGAGCTGTGATTTGAGCCAGGTTTTATAAGGCCAGATTCAGAAAAAAAAAAGAGTTGTTGTCGAAACTCATTTGAAAAGCTGTTTTTGCAGTAAGTTTTGATTGCATTTTTTTCTAAAGCATAAATAACAAGAGACATTGACGTCCGGAACTGCTTGGCTGCACAGTTTGGTTCCAAATAGTTTTAAAGAGCTGCTGTCTCCTATATCGATTAACACTAACAAAAATAGCTGTTGCGATGTTAGTCGAGACTACGTCATGTGATTATATGCATGATAATGCAGATGATACATGTATATATGCAGTCTTGAGTATTTTGTATCTAGGTTGTCTGAGAAGTGTTACAGACTCTACTATAAGTACTGGGGCGTTTCTCACCTGGATACTCGAACAATTATCTGATCTGAAGTCGACCATATACACCAGCTTATATAAATCTAATTAATATCATTAGGAAACATGTCCACTGAAGAGCAAGATATGCAACAACTACAACAAGAGTGAGGTTGATGTAGTTTTCTGCATATTTTGGCAATGCTTATTTCATAATTCTAATCATCAGGACATAAGAATTGGTTAGAGCATGTTTTTGCGGTATCGTATACAATTCATTGTGATAGATGGTAATGCAGCTATCCTTGTGTGAAAGGTTTATGGATTTTTATGTGGTGCTTCGAAACATGAAAACTAATCGAGTACAAAGTTAGGCATTATTATAGATCATGTTGATTTGAACTGAATATTGATAGAGTGAGAATATTGAAGCTAATAGATCTTTTATACATCGACTTTTTCAAAAGCATAGCGTAAGCTAATCAATCAAGCAGGTATATACCTGCAACTGTACATTGTAGCAATGTGACAAATCAGTTCTCACAACATCTTCTGGAAGCAGGAATATTTGGCAAAAGAGGAGATATTTCCTTAACTTGAAACCAAAATCTTCTCCAAGGGTCTGCGCCTTGGGAACTCGCGTCCTGTTATTCAAGAAGGATCCATAGATGTTTTGTGATTTTCGTCATTGACTCTAGGGCAAAGTGAGAGACCACTTCTTGAGCATGATATACTTGGAAAAGGGGGATTGGCCGAAGTTGAAAACAATTATCTACAATCACTGAAGCTTTCAGTACAGGGATTGAATATACAAAGCTATATAAGCATTCAAAATGCTCTCATCCCTCATTACATAAAAATGGGATTTCATTTGTTTGGGGCACCAAATCATATCGAAGTCAAGAAGCTTGGGCCGGGCCTTTAATTTTTGCGCGCATTTCTATAGTCGGATACCTAGTACCTTCAATTAATTCTTATGAGGTATTACACATTCCGTCGAGGTGCAAAAGAAAAGCGGCTGGAAACTGCAAAAGTCAAAAAAAAGCTTTTTAAAGAGCAAATATTAAAATGTCGATCTAAAGAAAACAAAACTCAAAGTATAATTTGCTTCGATATACTGCGAATGTTGCTCTTAGTAGTTTAATTGTTGGTATTACATACATGGTTGCTTCAAAAATGGTCTAAGAAGCAAACTCTTGATCGTTGATCGAAGAAAGGTCACTCAACTATTCTCTGGACACCAAAGCCTATGATCTGAGCAATATTCTTTATGCATTGTATGTTGTGTTGAGCTATCTTGAGCCATGGTTTAATCTCTTGAAGGCTCTGAAGTTGTTCAGTAAGTTTTTTGGGATCAATGGTCGGAAAGTAACTCCCTCAACCGGACTTGAGCCAACGTTACTATTTGTCAAACAAGGCGGTAACGCCAATTGGTCATACATACAGATCTTAGTTATATCACAAGATCCAACTTACTGAGTTTGACAAACAGTACCCGTGATTTTAATCACGTGATTAAGTGGCCCTTAAAATGTTATGCATCCAATCTAATGTTATTACGTAATTGGAAGTAGTCAAAACACTACCCCCACCTTCTCTATTTTTTTTTCTTGCCTTAAATTTCCGGCATTTTCTCAACTGACGTTGCGCCACCTTCACCATGAAAACCACTGATAAGCAGATTTCTGCTCTCATTGTCGCATTTTTAAGACAATGCCTTGAATGTAACACCATTCCTGATGATAACAAGGACTCAATAGAATTCGCAATTGAGAGCATAGGTGAGGCATTCGGATTAGATTCTACATTCTGTGAACAAGTCAATGATGTCTTTGGGGGACAAGACCTTCGCAGTCTTATTTCATTGCCTATGAAAGATCCTTCGAAATCTGTCGACGATGAGTCGGTTCCCGTTCATATACAAGAGAATGAGCTAAACAATAAGGACAAAGCTGAGTCATTGAAGCTTGAAGGTAATAGAGCAATGGCCGCTCGTAATTTCAAAGAAGCAATTGAAAAGTATAGTGCGGCGTTGGATTTGTATCCTTCAAATGCTGTGTACTTATCTAATCGTGCTGCAGCCTACTCCTCTTTTGGAAAACACGATTTAGCTTTGAAGGATGCGCAAAAGGCCACTGAATCCGCGCCTAATTATGCCAAAGCATGGTCTCGTATGGGACTAGCGAAATATGCACTAGGAGATATTGAAGGGTCTATGAAGGCTTATGAACGTGGGCTAGAAGTTGAAGGTGATTCACCCTCTGATGCTATGAAAAAAGGTTTCGAAACTGCCAAAAAAAAGTACACAGAAACTTTAGCTGCATCATTAGGATCTACGAACCGTCATTCAGAGTCTCAAGATTCTGCTAGTGGTGAAGCTAGCACAACTAGCACAATGCCGGATATAACAAACTTGGCTAATATGTTCGGTGGATCTTCCGAAGGATCACCTTCTAGTGGAAATAATCTTGGAGGTATCGCTGGACTAATGAACAATCCCCAAATCATGCAAGCTGCACAAAGAATGATGCAAAATCCTGAAGCCATGAATGGCCTACTCAACAATCCGCAAATAAGACAAATGGCTCAAAATTTGGGTCTCGGGGGTGATGGAGGCTTAGATGAGCTCATGAATAATCCTATGCTTCAAAACTTAGCCAATCAGTTCAGAAACTCCAGCTAGTACAGATGCAAGAATTAAGTGGGCTTATTCAACAAGAAGCGTTCCCTGTCAAGCTTGAGTCTGTTGTGCTGTGATTTGAGCATTTTAATTTGCGTCTTTGCAAATTGTCTGAACACAATAGGAAAAAATCGTTTCTTGAAAAGGTAGAAATTATTGAGCTCCATGGATATAGACTCATAACCAGCTCTGAATCTGATTGCCAACCGGTTAATGTCACCCGTGATAGCGGTGAAGAGCTCTTCAAGTTTGCGAGCTTGCGTAATCCTGTTCCTCTCCGAAAACCTCGAAAGATCAAAGATCGCGAAAATTGAGCTTTGCTGGTGGGGAAGATTTGTCGTAGATATATTACCTGTTGACTTAAGATATGAATATCGGCTTCTTACTAGGTATTCGCTTATCCTTGCAGCCAACTGACTAAGCTGATCGTATGAAATACGCGTCAACGATGAATGTTGTTGCGCCGTTTGCAGTAATTGGTGACACTGATCTTGCAGCCCGCTAATCCGATCAAATAAAGACCATGTCTTCTCGATATATAGATCAGAGAAATACCTCAGCTCATCACGAAGGTCTTTGGCTGAATACAAAAAGAAACTCAGGGAATCTAACAACTTCTCACCATTCGCATTCTTGCTCATCGAAAGTATTGTGGCGCTGGTGTTGAATAGGCCTCTAATCCCAGTATAGCCGTGTGAAATGTGATCAGGCTCTTCAGAAAACCTCATTCCATCTGATACCCACGAATACAGCTTTTCAATGTCGCTCCAAAGAATTCCACACAACGAGTGTTGTCTATAAAGCTTCTCGCACGTCTCAAGGAATTTCAACAGATCATTACAAGTAAGCTGGACAAAAGTTTGAGCACTTATCAGCTCCTCACAAATGGAGTCATAAGAAAACTCTTGTTTGAATGGAATCAATTGTTGCGAATGATCTGAACTGTCCAATGAAGTTTTCTTACTCAGAAGTTTCCAAAGCTCGCCATCAATTCCCCTTTCTTCGTTCATGGTGAGAGACGCCAATAATAAGTTGAGCTGTGAAGTTCGATCATTTTCCAATAGCCGGCTCATATGGCCAAAGGAGTGATGTTGATTTGAACCCATTCTCAATTTTCGTAAAAAGGAAAGTCTAACCTGGGGGAAATCATATGGCCGTGAAAGTTTGAGGGCAGTCAACATTTTTATAAGTTCTGATTCTTTGTGACGGGTGATCGATCCAACATTTTGAATCGATGGCTTGTTCCCCGACATGAGAAACAAGTACAAAAAAGCATCACTATCTGTGCTGTATCTTTTTGTGATGATCACCGCGCTTCTGATCGAGTTTTTCGGGCAAAAAGTTCTTAAGAGTGAGTTACTCATGGTGGTCAGTATTTTAAATCTGAGTCTATCAGAATCTGACAGACTCTCTGATTCTTGTTGCAAGGAGTGCTGGAGCATCGAGGTCTTGATATAATCAAAAGCCGTAAGATGATTTTTTGAGTTCGCGCTTGAGATGTCAGTATTTTCATCACTCAACAAGTCATAAACGTTCCAGAATTTGTTGTACTTGATCGAGAACATAAGCGGTGTGAGACACTGAGAATTTGGGTAATTAGGATCCAACCCACAAAATAGCTTCAGGAAAAAACCCAATGTTCTTCCATCCTTGAATGAGTGAAGTAAAGAATTATTCTTGGCATCTAAATGGTCTTTAAGATCAAATGATAGATTATGTTTTGCATACCACTCACAAACAGTATGGAGAACAGCCTCTAGAAGATCTGGGTAATTGGGATGATCATAGCAGCGGACTATCGTAGCAAGAGGGGTTTGATGAAAACAATCAACCTGTCTCCAGTTTATATATGTCCCAAGCATTTGTACAAGGGGCTCGTAATTCATCAAGTAATGTCCCAGGTTGCGACCTAAGTTATTCAATTTTGAGCAGTAAAGTTCAATTTCGCTTTCGGTTGCTTCGCTTATTATGTCAACGAGTTCCAATATAATCTTACTGTCACCCTCAATTAGAGCTAGCTGAAGGAGAGTAGAGCCCGTATTGTCGGTATCAGTCAAGATAAAATCCAAATCATATATTTCACGCAGATCGACCAGGGTTTTGAAGACGGGCCAGCTTCTGCGTTTTATTGCTATTGTAAGGCAGGACTCGCCTTTCAAATTTCTGGATCTGAAAGCTCTTCCTGCAAACGAATGCGCCATCTCAAACCCGACGACCTTGTGGAGGTGATCCTGTAACCTATGAAGGTTTTCAGGAATCGCTGTCCAAAATGGATCCTCCACTGGAAGACAAATGGTATTCCATAGCTTTTCATTGACTCTGCATTGCCTTGACAGTAATTTGATGTTTTTGTCGTCACTCAGATAGCTAAGAGCGGCTTCTATAGTAGAAATAACATATCCCAGTGAACCACTTTGAAATTTCTCCGGGAAAATATAATACCTTTTGATATATTTCACTTGACATTGAATATGAGTTACACCTGCAGTCCCCAAAACAAGTATTACCAACGACAACAAAGTATCTGCATCCATAATGAACTCGCAATTTGATTTGCTTGGATTGTGTGATAAAGCATGTATTGCTTTCGATAAAACATCGAGCTTCTTTGAAGCAGTCATTAAATAGTCGAGCATCCTTATTTCACTGACAGCTTTAGCAACTCGACCAAGCAAGAGTTGGATCAAGCTCGTATTCTCCAGAACTGAATCCGGTAAACCAAGCTGTGATATGCTCATATGCTGAAAAACTTCATAGCTAGCATTCAACAAGCGGTCCGTATGAGTGGTGCAAAGATCCACAAAACGCTGCCATAACTTATCATATACGTTCATCTCCACGTACTCATAGACTGCTTGACGAAGACCTTCCTCGTTGAATTTTTTAATCAGAACCAAATGGGCGGGAGTGGGAAGGGATCTAACAATCTCAACAGCTTCAATTACGGTAGCCAAGAACAGAGACATGAGCTCACCTTCGCTTCGAGCTTGTCTAACATCAAAGTTTAGAAACAAACTCCGAAACTGAGGTCCGATATTATTAGCGAGTTCGGGTAAATTATTCATTAAATGGTTGAAGTCTTCACGATACTCATCCTCGGAGTTTTCGTATTGGCCTTCAATGCTCTTTTTGAAGCCGGATAGTAAGTCTTGTGAAACCCTGTTCCCGCCTGCATAAACCAAGGGAGATTCTATGAAGCAAACTTGAAGCTTATATCCAGGATAAAGGTATGACACAGTGCTGTAAATTAGACTTTCGATATAGATTGTGTTTTTACCTGACTCAAGATCACCTTCTTTTCTGAGAAAGTAGCCGTTACGAAACAAGCTCAAGCCACCATGCATAGTAGAAACCGAAGTCTCATTTCCGATTGAGTGACCTGTCTCCGTATCGACAATATGTGACCGAAAGAAAAAGCTGTCAAAGTCCAAGTTGCCTGGGGGTTTACTTTCGGCCCCGTTGATAGAGAAGATAGGTTCAATTTTCGGAAGAAGTATCACATATCTGTGAGGGCTTGTCACCACTTTATCAATAATAGTCTTGATTTCGGACTTTTCCCTGAGATCATTATAATTGAACAGAGCAGTAAGAAATGGGTCAAGGAAATTCAGGTGCTTCCCCATAACATTTGTTTTCAAAGTCATTCACAGATAAGTAACGTATCATGGGAAACAGTTCCAACAAAGGATACAATGAACGCAAACGTCGTAAAATTAATTCAACTGATTAGCTAATTAACCAGACTGGGGTAGAACTATCAAAATACAAATTCAATTATAACGACTTTATTCTAGTTTCATTACTACTCAGTTAGTTTGATTCTACAATTGAGGAAATGCTCAAGTTGTATCACCAACTATAGAAGATCCTTCAACAATGCAACATAACACTGAGCGAGTATCAAAAGTTGACTCGATTTACTCTGCCCTCCTGTATCTCTTCTACTAAGAACACGTGTTGATTTAGGCCTTTAGGCCATTGTTATTATCAACGACCGTAGTTAGCTAGTTGCGCAGTTATAAAGGATTTTAAAAAAACGATTGGAAATTTCAGTTCTCTAATAAACAAGCACACTGTCCTCTATAGGTTAAACTTCTCTGCCTTGAAGTGACGTACTTATTAGATGATGAGAATATTGTAGTCAACAATAAGTGAACCTTCTAATGGTTGTACACTATGACATATATAAACACTATGTGGGTCTCCCTTCGGGATAGAAGAAATGCTATCCTCCCTGGTTATATGCATTTTCATCTCAGGTAAAGAATATCGAATACTTGCTGCTAGATACTTGCGAGACTAAATTTACTACAAAACTCGCTTACATGTAATGTCTCGTCATGTAGTACACCCACTATTGGGTTTTGACATTATGCATGGTGGAACAAGGGTCACTGGATTCCTACAATTATCTACCTATATTGTTGCTTCTTTAATATGTAATCGCAGATTTTAAAAAAGATATTTTTTTAGTTTCAAGTTTTCAATATGGCTAAAGGGAAGAACAAAAATAAGGACTATTTGAAGAGAGAGTCAGCAGCTCCAAAATACTCTAATAGAAGAAAACGTCAAGAAGTCAAATACTCTGGTCAGTCACAGGGAACCAAATTTCCTATCAAATTAGCAATGTGGGATTTTGATCATTGTGACCCTAAGAGATGCAGTGGTAAAAAATTAGAAAGGCTAGGGCTTATGAAAGATCTTCGAATAGGACAGAAATTCCAAGGTATTGTAGTGACTCCAAACGCCACTCAAGTAGTGAGCCCCAGCGATCGACCATTAGTTGAGGAAATTGGAGTAGCAGTAGTTGAATGTTCGTGGGCTCGACTTGAGGAAATTCCATTCGGCAAGATAGGTGGGCGTAATGAGAGGCTTCTCCCTTACCTTATTGCTGCTAATCCTGTGAATTACGGAAGACCAATGAAGCTGAATTGCATGGAAGCCATAGCAGCTTGTCTAATTATCGTTGGACGCATGGATCTTGCTCTCGAATTGCTACAGCGTTTTTCTTATGGAGCGGCATTTGTTGCAATCAACCAAGAACTTTTTGATTTATATCAGGAAGGATCGGATTCGGACTCAATCCTCGAGATTGAAAAGAACTATCTGGAGACAATGCGAAAAGAGAAGGAGCAGACAAAGGCGACAAAGTCCACTCTTGACTGGTGGATGATGGACAATCCTAATAGAAAGTGCCTGGACAATAAGAGCGAGTACCACCTTGATGAATCTCAATATGATGATAGGGTTGACTATGACGCCCATGATAACTTTGAGAACTCTCAAGATGGCGACTTGTTTGACGAAGATGGGGAAGAGCAAATGCAAAATCAAGAAATAGAGGACCAGCAACCGGAAGAACTCAAAAAATCACCTGTAAAACCAGTCCGCACGCTAGAAGAGAATAGAACAGCTAGTTTAGAGCAAAATTTTGAGAAAATTGCTATTAAATGAATCATCACTCTCCCTCTAACAACCTAATCATATAGGGACAATCACCATGTCTCCTGTACATAGCTACCTTTATCTTCAAGAGCGATCAAGTACTTACGTGCTTCATCTTCAGTCCACTGGTTCATTTCGGCAAATATGGCTTCAAGAGTCAATCTGACTTGCGATGGCATCTTACCTGACGATCCACAGAGGAAGATTGATGCATTTTCGAACACAATGAGCCTGTTTACCAAGTCTTTATTCTTGTACAGCGTATCTTGCACATAAGCAGAATTCTCTCTCGAGAAAGAAGGGAAAACGAGCAACTTTTCTTCTCGTTCTAGTTGTGACCAAAGTTGGCCGTAAAGATAGTCCTTGTTCGAATATCTGTGACCCGGGAATAGGCACAGTGGCCGAGAAGAAGCATTTATTATGGATTCTTCAATGAGTGACTTAATAGGTGCAATCCCTGTTCCTGCACCAATCATCACTATGGGACGATCGTTCATAAAATTGTGGCCCATCCGATTTTTAACTAGCGAGCTCACTATTAGATCCCCAGGGCTCAAAGTCTTTACCCACCGAGTGCAAACACCTCTTCTTAGCCGACGAATGATGGTTTTGTATTCAACTATTGCAACCGTAAGCTCTATGATCGATTTGTCTGGCTTCGAAGAGATTGAAAACAATCTTGGCTTTAATTGAGGGATCAACTCAGGCAAATAATTCAAAGGGATTTTTAGGGACGAAAATTCCTGGAGGACCTCTAGAATAGATCTGCGAGGCCTATTAGCATAGTCATACAGTTGTTCACTTGCATTTGGCTTGGAGAACTCTCTTAATTTATCTTGTTCCATCTGGTCGGAAGCGAAATGCCAAGCGAGTGAAAAAAAAGAACGTCTTGGAATAGACATAATGTCCAAATGATGCATAATAAACGATTTGAGAGTAAGATTCTTGATAAGCCCCCCTGGAACTTTGAGAGGTCCTTCAATTTGCAGTGGGAGATCAGCAATGTTTGTCCATCCTTGCAATTCTATTAGGGCATTCACATCTCTCAGGTCATTTGATGGATACAAAGACAATAAATCTCCCGGCTCATACGATAATACGCAATCAATACACTGCAGCTTCAAAAGCCTAACATCTTGAAAATGGTCCACTGTAGTCAGTCTTTTGTTTTCAAGGACCACAAACTTAATCAGTTTATCAGAATGATCGTCCATATATCGCTCTATTGCATCCATCTTCATATTAACTTCAGTATCAAGAGTCTTTTTTTGTGTTAAAGGTTTCAATAAAGTAGTAGGTTCAAGAAGCTCAGTTTCTGGAATTGGAAGCAAGCTGACCGATAACGGAAATTGGGTCTTGAGGCTAGAAATCACTATTTCCTCCCAAGCAGTATAAAATGCATCTACTCCTTCGGGAGCCTGCTCATTCCCTTCGCCTCTGATACATAGTTCCTTAGCACCGAGTTGTAGAAATCTAGCATGAATTTTGCGCACAGCTGAGTTATATTTTGGGTAAGAGGAGTCGCCCAGTCCAAAACTGGTGAATTTTAAATGAGAGAACAGATCTGAGGGTAATCGTTTTCTTAACATAAACCTCCAAAAATTGCGCCCATTTCGAGGAATCTCACCTTGGCCAGCTGTAGAGCATATAATTATGAGACAATTAATATCGAGAAGTTCTTTGAGGTCAAACTCGTCTAAGGAGCAAACAGTCAAAACATATCTTTCGTATCGTAGTTTGCGAGAAAGGCAGTAAGCGTAGTCTTCCGAATTTCCCGTTTCCGAACCATAAAGAATTACTATAGGCTTTCTGTATCCCATGGTAACTAAAAAGATGGAGATTATATATTTTCTTTTCCTACGTAGTTAATGAATTGAAAAATCGCAGCTTCATTACGAGGCCTGCAAATTAGCATGATAAATATTGAAACTTATTTATTTCATCTATCGAAGTTCTATATTATAGGAAGACCTCAGGGCTTCTCTCACTTTCTCATTTATCGCATTCACTTCCTCAGTAATGAGTGATCTATCCATTGATTGATAATTGATTCTATAGCATTGTGACCTTTTTCCCGTCTTTGGATGCACAAACTCATCGATTAGCTTTACACTTTCTGCCAAGTCACCCGCGATTTCACGAACAATCTCCATCAAGTCGTTTTCATGAAGAGGAGAGGCTTCGGTGGTGTTTTCAGGAAGCCAGAATGATATATCCCTTACAGAACCCGGATACTTGGAGTACGGTTTGAAGACCGAGATATGGTTAGCTGTAAATTGTTTCTTAAACCTGTCGTCACTGGACCAGAAAAGTCTGATGTCGGGAATACCGAAAAGAAGCATTGCAATTCTGTCCAGACCTATTCCAAATGCCCAACCAATGCTATTTTTTATGCCAGATTTCAAAAGAACCTCATTCTTAACAATTCCACAACCACAACATTCAAGCCAACTATTATTCCACCAGACCTCAATCTGCCAAGAAGGTGTAGTCCACGGAAATTTATCTTGTAACCATCTCACCCGAAGTGGCTCTTTAAAATTCAACACATTAGCTCCGTTCTCCAAGGCTGCTTTTTTAGCTTCATTGAAAACCTGGTCAACCATAATTTCAATCGTTTTCTTTAGATGCATAGTAATTAGTTTTGTTTCCAAGTCTGACATGTGGTCTTGCTTGGGATTCTGTACTGCATCAAAGATTGGATTGTCATCCTCGACAATAATGTCTAGTTCTGGGAGCGCCGAGATATCAGACTCCACTTGGGAAACTAAAAGATCCCCCAAAGATTCTCGAGACCATAACCGACCACCTTCCAACTGGTGGAATACTGGATAATGAGTACGATCGATTTCGTCTTTTCGATACACGTCTCCCGAAATAAAGTACCCAGGGGTGGTGCAATTTTCAAAGCAAAAAGGTTCGTGGGCGGAGGTGTGTGTTCGAAGCACAAGATCCTTATTGATATAGTATGTGTCGGATCTTGATCTGCCTGGGTGATTCTCTGGAAATCCCAACACATCAAAATTATCGTGTACGGACACAACGGGATTGAAGTCGTTGTAGAAAGTGTATCCCAGATTCTTGAATCGGCTTTCAATCAGTTCTCTCAAAATCCCTATTGGGTGGTTCGAATTTCTGTGAAGATTTCTACCGACTAGAGACAAGATTCCTGGCCGAACATTTGTCCATTCGTCTGTAAGGTAGGTTTTCCCATTAATGACTATCCCCGAATTCACTTTCCAGTTAGTTCCTTATGCACATATACTTACGCCTCGAGAAGACATGTGTTACATAGCACTTCACAACCTTACAGGCTCGCTTGTTGATGGCTATAGTGCTGACCATGAGAGAAGGTGATCTTGCGAGCTGTAAAAATTGGAACCCACTCAAAGTTACCCTGTCGAATTTGAAGCAAAGCGATATAGTTTTTTTTAGATTTTTCAATAGTATTAATGTTGAGGTCGTCATACCTTTACTTTCAGGGTGCTTCAAACCGTCTGTTAAATCCCATTAGAGCTTCACCATGGAGACCTATTATTCCGAGAAGGTATGGACACGAACTTGCACCTCAATATAAGCATCTCAAGAAAAAGCAAAAGGGCAGAGTCTCTGTAAGAACCGGTTGTTCAGAGAAGGGAACAACATTGAAATTCGGCTCCTATGGGATGAGATTAAAATCTGAGGGGACAAGGATAACTGCCGCACAATTGAGGGCTGCAGATAACGTACTGATGAAATTTGTGAAGAAGGAAAATGGAATGTATTGGAAGCGTTTGTGTACAAACATTGCTGTCTGTATCAAGGGAAATGCAACTCGTATGGGAAAGGGAAAAGGTGCTTTTGATCATTGGGCTGCAAGAGTTCCTACGGGAAAGGTAGTTTTTGAGATCAGTGGTATGCACGAACAAAGTGCAAAGGATGCTCTCAGAAGAAGTTGTGAGAAGCTTCCAGGTGTCTGGGAGTTCATAACTAGGTCCGCCACACCCCGCTTGGGCTTAAGATTAGTTGGAGAACCTGCCACAAAAACGAACTATTATGAGAAGCTCAGACGTAATCCTACAAAGAAGTTCGCAAACATGATGAAATCAAAAGAGTATCTGTATCAACGATACAATGGGAGAAGCAGTTAGAATTCTACAAAAACTTTACTTGTATATAGGCGTTTCAATTGATCACATGTTTCTCCAAAATCACCATAACTTTTGTGATGAAACCTTCCAAGTGAAATATGTCTTTGGAACCTAGAGAAAGCCTTTCATCGTATATCGAGCTGGCTGAAATGACGGCTTTCCTCACTTCTGATTTATTTTCGATATCAAGGGTACCAGTAAAATCCCATATGGTCATTGTGAGCTTTTTCAAGAGCAGCTTTGCCGGAATGGCATGAGCCAACAACTCATATAAAATGGATCTTGCCTGTTGTAATCTTGATACAGATCGATCTTTGCAAATGCCAGTGGCCAACTCATGAAGGACATCAGCCCAGTCAGGTTTTATGATTGGAGTCGTTATGCTGACGGTATCGTGATTCATGTACATCGCTTCCATCATCATTATTGACATTCTAAGATTTCTTTCGGAAGCATGAGTTATTCTGTTGAATATTATATTCCTTTGCTCATTGTCATCAGGAAAGGCTTTTTTAGCATGAGGCTCCTTCTTTAAAATCATTTCTAAAACTCCAGCGCATGCAGAGGTGGTCGGAGACGCGATCCTGATGGGCAATGTACGTGACTTAATTGGATCGATGATATTTGAGGTGGAGTTACAGATTAGAATCAGCCTAATGCTGGCTGAATATTTTTCCATGGTTCTTCTCAATGCTGCTTGCGCATCTCTGGTAAGTAGCTCTGCTTCATTGATAATGACAACCTTGAATTTCTTCTTGCCCGAATTTTCCTCCCTTGTGTTTGGTGACATTACAGCATTTTCAAACCTTGAAAAATCCAGACTTTCAGTCTGCCCAATCTCCTTGAGCAAATCTTGTATAACTATTCGATCATTGTTACCCATATCACTGGGGGTAATTTCTAAATGGAACGAGGAGGATATGACATTGAATTCGAGCTTTCTGCCCGAAGGCAAATTGAAAGTTTTCACATCGACCCTCAGTCTTTCGGTGCCAGCTCCATAGATTTCTCTCAGTGTTGCAAGAACTCGTGTTTTTTTCCCAGCACCAGGTGGACCATACACCAAAAGATGAGGAAACTCTCCTGAACTTGCCATAACTTGCAACTGTTTCGAAATTCTTGGATGAAAAGTCAACTCGCTGAGAGTTCTTGGTCTATATTTATCGGCCCAAAGGGACATCTTCTATACCAAAATTGCCCAACTATTATAGCAGAGCTGAATGAGAGACGCGTCAGAACGTAAAATCATATCGCCTTTCAAATAGGACACAAACACCCTTACACCACATTTTCAGCAGATCCTAAAAAAAAAATTAGATAGCCAGCAGCATAAAGGATCAATCTCAGATGAGTTCAGATTTCATTTCCAACAATGATTTCTGTTTTACATGCAAAAAGGCAAAATTCAAGTATAGATGTCCGAAATGTGGATATAGAAGCTGTTCACTAGTATGTTATAAAGAGCACAAGAATATTACCGGTTGCTCAGGAAACAGTGATCTGACTTCAAATTTTGTCAGCTATAAAACTAAAGACCAACTTTCGAGCAAAGATGTACAAAGGGATTATAATCTACTTCTTCGCATTTCACGAAAAGTAGAGCTGGGTAAGCAGGAGGCGAGGTGTTCGAAATTGTTGAATCGTAACAGCAAGCATTTGAATGATCGAAAAAAGCGACAACGAAGCTTATTTCGACCGTTCAGCTACTATGCGAACAAGAGCGGGGTACATATAATCGAGCTTCCTGAAGGCATGTTGCGTAAACGATTAAACAGATCATACTATGATGCTAAAAGAAATCTCTGCTGCTGGACAATAGAATGGGTAATCATCAACTCACGTTTGGATAAGATTTACTCGGTGCTTTCGCACGGTAACTACGAAGATGACTCTTTGGCAAAATTGCTTCCGAATGACATTTACGTCAAATTGCAAGAAAAGTTTGCGGCTCACACCCTACCCCCTGGACCAACAGCAGACATAAGATCGCTGACTTCAAGATCAGATAATGGCTCGTTAGCTCCATCGCTGGGTGAAGAGAGGGAAGACATACAAGAAAAATTAAGGAAACTTCACATTTATTACTTCCTTCGATCTGAATCAACGAGCGACGTGTTTATATCACTCCGCGAAGATATGTCGATCAGGACTACACTGAAAGACCAGTCGGTCATTGAATTTCCTACCATTTATTTGTCAATGGAGCCCATAATCCAAGATAGGATTATTGTGGAGCAGCTGATTGAAAGAGATTCTGACATGAATAAAGTACGTATTTCTATCGGAGAAGCTACATCCAGTGATGACGAGCCCCCTGAGGAAACTTCGATCAAGCATCAATTGGGAAATTGACTGACAGAATTTCTCCATTGAACCCGGAATTATATATTTGTATGAATCAGTTATACATGTCTTCATTGTGTAGAAGCGCAATTTCTTTCAAGACTCTTTCCAATGATGAGGCAGATAATTTCAATTCAGAGTCACTGTCATCATCATTCAAGATTTCAGTGATGCCCTCAAGAATTCCTTCATAATATATTTCCATCAATAGTTTGCGACGATTTATTAAATCATGAGACGAGTAATCCTCCAAATTAACGTTTGTCGTTTTTTGCGCACAATCCTTTAGGCGAGTTTCTTTGCACTTCAACATCCTTACTTCCAGGCAGGTTCGTGGGTTGAAAAATCTCAGCAACTTTAAATTGCCATAAGGGTCGGTGCCACTGGGAATCATGTAAGCAGAAGTTGTCGAATGAATTTGTGATTCTTGGGGGAATATATGATCTGACTTATTTTCATGCCTGCTTGCTCTCAATGCGCCAAGCTCTAGAAATCTTCTCAAAAGCTTGAGTTGAAACAACCTCTGATGCCTCCTAGCCGTTGCACTTTTTATAGAAGTTAGGGTTGCAGTATTAGTCGTAACTCTGAAACTCGTAGACTGTAAAGTCGAATGCTCCTGCTCGCCACTCCTCCATCCTATCAACTGAATAAGACTTCGCAAAATTTTTCCCCAATGGTCTCGCATCACTGCATTCGTTAAAATAGGTCGATGGGAACCGATCAATATATCAAGAAACCTGACGCTGTCGTCTCTTATCGATTGACTTATGTGACTCATGCCTGAAAGTACAAACAATACAATAGACGATTGATGCAACACCAAGAGCTCTGTTTTTGCATCGGCCAACTTATGGAAGATAATCATGCAGCGTTCTCTAATGATTTTGGACTGGTCTAGAATTAACGATTTGAGTTTGCTGATAAGCTGATCAAAAGGGAAATTATTATGAAAATCATTCTTTTCAATGTATCTTTCAATCTGGACGAGAACTTCATGTCTTGATGATGGTGAGTGATGCTTCAAAAGCGATAGAAGTCGGAGGTATTCTTGGTCATCAGTCTGGCTCGATAATAGCTGTGATTTGACTCGAATACTTTTGGATTGGAATGCAGTATTTGTCACATTTGAAGACTTAGTTACGGTCTTTCCAACTTTCAGCCTTACTTTTTCAAAATCTTTCTGCTTTTTGGTCTTGCTCCTGGATGCCATCTTTGAGCTCTTTTTTTCGGATTTTTTAAATTTTTTGCTTTGATAGACGTCTGTCTTTTGCATAAAATTTACTCTATTATCGAATAGTTAAGGCTATAAAGAAAGAAGAAAAACGCTCTTTCTGATTTTCATTACACATTGAATACATGGATCACTTTAGCCATTTGACTTTGAATGATGAATTCGAAGTAGAGGGAGGTCTGCTTAACTTATCATTGGCGAACACAACAGATAAAGTTGACCCTGAGAGGAATTCGGATGAGGACGTCTCTATGCCTGATGTATCCTTTTATCAGGACCAAGAAAAGCCAATTAATATGGATGGTCAAAGATCCAGCATCGTGGGTGATTTCAAAGAACAGGTGAATCCAACGTCCAGGATAATCGATATTTTTCATCCAACTGAGTCGGGCGCACGCTTAGCTCGGTCAAGAAGACGAATTAATAAGATTCACAGAAATGCGGAAATTGAGATTACAGGAGACTCGAAACTGCAACATGCTGAAGAATCCACACTGAGCTGCGATGAGACTGGATCAATAGCGAAACAGGGAAATGTGATTGAAACTATAAACAAACATTCATTTTCAGAATCAAAGGCAAGAGAAACAGAACCTTATGACTTTCAAGTTCATAACCATTATTACTTTTCTTTCAATTTACCCCGAGAAGACTCTGAATTATTGCCTCAACCATGGACACAAGAGTCAAAACCATGTTTGAAGATACCATATTTATTATTGACTTATCTTCAAATTTTGTTAAACACTTTGACGGCCTGTTACTGCTTGAAACTGGGCTATGATGGCATACAGGGTATAAAAATTGATATCCAAAGAGCAGTCAAACAAAAGATTCATACTTCCTACTTTGAAATAGAAGCATGCCGAAGAAAATATGTTGAGAATCACTGTGATCCCTATACCCGACTTCCAGCTTTACAGGAAACATGCTTACAATGGGAAGCTTGCATGAACAGAAACCCATTCCTCTCAGTGTCCTATACTACTTTGTTGGCAGAGATTCTCGGAAGCATTTTGAGCTCTTTTGCAGAGCCTTTGAATGCCAAAAGTTTTTCTTTACTGTTTATGATCTTAGGCTTTTGTTATTTGTCCAACTTTGGGTGGGGATTTCTGAGGTCTGGTACATACTATGGCTGGAATCATAAAGACGCGAACTTCGATGTCAAACCGGTAAAGATACCGCTGACGCATGAGTCAAATTACCATAGATTCTCCAATCAAATCACTATGCCTGAATGCACCGATGATACCCAATCCCGCTGCATTAAAAGTTGACTTTACATCGAAATATGTTCACTTTGTGGGAACTAAAATTGGGATTGCAATTTAATGCTGATTTTTTGAGACTATGGGGTTCAAACGCGAACTAAAAGCCAGCCACGCTGCTGCAGGAAAAAAAGACTCTGCGAATAATGTGTTCTGATTACTACATCAGGAAATAGTCAGATAAAAATTTACTAAAATGATAATAAGCTAATGTTAATATTACGCATGTTTTGCTTTAAACCTGTATTTTAATTATAAATTGCCGAAGAATAACCAAGATGGCTGGTCTCTATCTACCGATTGATGATTAGCTTTTCCTCGTTTGTCATGCCTAGTCGCTTTGCAGGCTTGAGTATAAATTTAGGCACTCCTGCTGGCGCTCACATCATTCCGGCTATATTCAAATGAAATCATCTTGCTTTTATAAATCTCTAGTTATTGTGAGCTATTTAAATAGAGCACTTACACAGGAAGTGGTCACTCAAAGTGATGCCAATTGTATTGTGAACTTTCATACGGTTTTCAAGTATGAATATGTCTATGCTGACAGAGTGGAGTCGGATTCGTCTAGCAGGTTTCAGCAGGATTATACTTCTAACAGCAGAAGCTTGGGCGATCTTCCGCATACGAGTATTTCTCATGCTGTAAGTTCCCCATCTGATATATCGCCGAGTATGACCTCTACTTTCGAAATTTCCACGAACGAGATTGGCTCATCTTCGGCTGACCCTGGAAATTTGGATCCGAAGTCTACTTTCTTAACGCTGTCAGAATCAAGCCAGACTACTTTGGAATCTAGTGCTGAATCCAACACTGTGATAATCTCACCTTTATCAAAAGAAACCGCAACACTTACAACTTCAGAGGAGTCATTGTCGAGTTCCAGTCCTTCTTCAACAACCAGTGCAGGCCTCGCTGTCACAGACTCTTATGTCTCCTCATCTGTGGCAAGCGTCACACCAACGTCAAGCTTAAGCGACGACCCATCAACATCATCAACATCCACATCATCATCGTCACTGCTTGCATCTTCATCTATATCGTCTTCAAGTTCCTCTGTATCTGCTTCATCGCTCTCATCATTCGCCCAGACGTATTTAGACAGGCACAATTATTTTAGAGCCTTGCATGAAGATACTCCTAACCTAACATGGAATGATGATGTGGCTCAAGTTGCACAAAATTACGCTGACGCTTACACGTGTAACGGCGAATTGGTGCATTCAGGAAACTCTTTGGATGGCCAGAGTCTCGGCGAAAATTTAGCTTACGGCTACAATTTTGCTACCGCTGGTGCTGTTGATGCATGGTATGACGAAATTAATCAGTACAACTACTCAGATCCAGGATACTCGGAAGCTACGGGACATTTCACGCAGTTGGTCTGGAAATCGTCAACTGAAGTTGGCTGCGCTTACAAATATTGCGGTTCTTACTTGGGGTATTACATTGTATGCAACTACTTGCCAATAGGTAATCTTGTGTTGGTTGGTGACCCAAGTTATTTCTTCGAAAAAAATGTTATGCCTCTAAAATCATGACGCACATTATCGCAAAAACCCTTGCACGAAATACTCGCTTAATACACAATATGTTTCTTTATTTGATACGTAATAAATGTAATTTGCCAGAAAAAACCTTTTCCGATCATCGGCTAGCAAGATTATGTAAAGGTCATCTTTTAGCTGCAATATATAGGATTCAAGATTACATTTTCAATTAAACACAAAAATGTTTAGGCGCTCTTTTAATATACCTGCTAAAGGCATCCCAGTGTTCAACAGGGGTCTGATTCGATTCCTGTCACTGAAAACAGTGGGCACACCAAATGAAAATGCGCTCAAATTTATTTCTACAGATTTCAATTTTCTTCCAGAGTCCCTAACGAGCGCAGTTGAAGTCAATGATCTTCCTGAGGCATCGGAAAGATCGCCCCTAGCATCAGAGCTTTTCAAACTAAACGGGGTAAAATCGTTACTCATTGGGCACAATTTTATCACAGTGAACAAGGTTGATCCAGAGCTTTCTAATAATCCTGACTTGCATTGGGATTCGTTGTCTACAAAGGTCAAGAATGTGATAACCAATGCTGTGGATTCCAATATCCCTGTTTTGAATCCTGAGTACCTGGATGAAATAGTGAGGAAGCAGGACGAGGCTCAAGAGGACGACGATGATGTGACGTATGAAATCAAGGAACTCATAAATACGCGAATCCGCCCCGCACTTCAGGATGATGGAGGTGACATTCATTTCAGATCTTTCGATCCAGAAAGTGGAACAGTTTATCTCAAACTTCAAGGTGCCTGCAAATCCTGTTCTCTCAGTGAGGACACTTTGAAGAATGGCATTGAAAGTATGCTGAAACACTATATCCCTGAAGTGGAACAAGTGAAGTCAGTTTTGGATCCTGAAGAAGAGATCGCTCTACGAGAGTTCGAGAAGTTGGAAAAAAAATTGAAACAACAGCAAACTTTGTGACGAGAGCGAGGGCTCTTGAAAGACGCAGGTATGCGCTACTCACCTGCTCACCTATGAGTTTGACTTATGACATTAGACGCCTAGGTGAACAATTCACGGTTCATATATTGTGTATACAACTAATACGGAGAATACCGATTAACTGATATCTTTCAGCCCTATCCTATTCGCGTAGCTCTCAAATCTTTCAGCAAATTTGAAATCCGATTGTGTAAGGCCCTGAACATCATGAGTAGTAAGGTGAATAGTGACTTTATTATACAGCGTAGTGATTTTGGGATGATGGCCGCCGAGGTGAGATCTCAGAGCAACCTTAGTCAAAAATGCCCAAGTATCCTCGAAGTTTTGAAATGTGTACTTTCTCTCAAGAAAATTCCTGGGATCTAATGTCCACCTGTGAAGTCTCAACTGGTCCTTTATCTTCAAAGCTTCTTCGAAAGACAGCCTTGTCATCTTGGATTTCAACATGGTCAAAGTTTATTCCTGTACTAATTGGGATTAGCTCGACTGCTCCTTCAGACAAAAAAATAATTGAATAATCCTACCAAATTGCCAATACGTATGGTATGGCGTCAGCAATTTACGTCCTTGACCTAGAGCTCAATATTATTATACACAGACAGTACAAAAACGATTTGGACTCTCAATCAGTTATAGAATACTTTAAGAGAGCTCAAAGAAGATCACAATGCCCTGTTGCATCCTTTAATGGCACCCATTTTGCTTATACTAGATGTGATGATATATACCTCATGAGCCCAGTTTTTGACAATCTGAATATAGCATGTCTCATGACTTTTCTGTCAAAAATCGGAGCCTTATTGGGTCAATACATGAACCAAAGAATTACATCGGAATGTATCAAAGACAATTACATTCTTGTTTATGAACTTTTTGATGAGACACTAGATTATGGGATCCCTCAATTAACCGACTTTAACATTTTAAAAGAGTACATCAATGCTAGCCCAGGTGGTGAAGACATAAACTCCAGCATATCTCGTACGCCCACTAACAACATTTCTTGGAGACCAAAGGGGATTTTCTACAGTAAGAATGAAATATTCATAAATTTTACGGAAATCATCAAGTTCAAATATAACTTCAGTACGAGACGTATAATGCTAAACACGATTCATGGGGAAGTTGAGTGCAAGTGTTATTTAAGTGGAATGCCTGTTTTAAAAATGGGAATTAACGAAAGTTTCAGCAGAGACGATGAACTCGAGAGATTGGTATTTACTAACCTGAATTTTCATCAATCCGTAACTCTGTCACATATTCAGGACTCTATAACATTTGTACCCCCCGATGGGACATTCAAGCTTTTAAGTTATCAGATCTCCAACACTGTTCGACTGAAGCCTTTGATAATGATAAGGCCAAAATTTAAAATCTTCAGGAAGAACAACATTTATAAATTGCGCATCAAGGTGGAGATCAAGACGAGCTTCAAAAAACGCTACTCACTTCGCGATGTGAACATGCACATTCCCTTGATGATTCCCTTAAGGAGTCTTAAAGTCAACTTTAATAAGCCACTGAGGTTTAAAACAAAGTTAGGATCTGTTGTATACAATATGGAGAAAAATTGTCTTTCTTGGATGATCCCGAAACTCGAGGGCAATTCCGGGGGTGAGATGCAAAGCGAAATGGACCTTTTACATTTTGAAACGATAGAAAAACAGCATATATCCAATGTTCATCTCCTCAAACAAAATAAGAATGATTTGATATATTATGATTTGAACGAGGAACTCAAAGTACTAGACAACTCCAAATCCCCACATGCGAAGCAAGTTCCCTCAATCAATATAGAGTTTGATTTACCTTCAGCTCTTTACAGTGATCTCAAGGTCACTTACCTTAAGATTGAAGAGCCTCAATTCAAATTCCAGAGTTTTCCGTGGGTCAAGTATACAGTGTCATGCCGAAATGAAGACTATTCGTTTACGTTGAGTAACGATTTGTTTGAAATTGATCTGACTCCGGATGAATTGAACGAGATAGAAAATCGCAGTGACATGCAAAATAAAATGACAACAGAATTGTCCTCCACAAATGAGGATGCATATACAGACAAAATTCAAGCATCAGGCAGTTTCCAAAGTCTACAATCAAAAGCTCATGAACCTATGGTGGACTTTGAGGAGTATATGATTGAAGAAGATGCTGCTAGCATCCATACAAAACTTTCAACTTCACCAGAGGGAACATGTTTTGAGGTCCCTGAGCAAAATGAATTACCGAGGGATCATGATCCATAGCAAAAACAAAGGGTCTCATTAAGCCTCCAGATTGATCGATGGATCCACCAGGTATTTAGCCCTAGAGTTTGATGGTACCCGAATACACACAGTCAGGTGCATTTGCGCAACAAATAACCTGAAGCTCTCGAAAGGAGCTTCGATTAGGAGAGTGGTGTGAAAAACAATTCTACTTTGTAAATTGCTTCGACATATCCGTTCACCCTTGTCTGACCCCAAGCACCTGCATGTAACAGATATATATAATTACAATTGGGTTTCTTCAAACGATGTCGTTAAGAAAACCGTACATCACCACCAATTTTTTTCTGCTTAGTGCGTATTTTGTTTATAAAAATATCTTACCGAGTGAGAAAAGACAGTAATAATGGTGAAGTTTAGGAATTACACACTTGACGTAGGATATCCAATCTACGGAACAAAATTCATCAGTGACAAGCTTTTGGTCGTCACAGGAGGCGGAGGAGAAGGAAACAATGGGATTCCCAATAAAATTACAGCCCTTCTGATTCAGCCAGAGAACTCCAGGAAGCCCATCAAACGGTATAGAGAACTGGTTTTGAATGAAAAAGAGGATTGTCCGATGTCGTTGGATGCAAATAATAACCAGATCCTGGTTGGAATTAATGAAAATTCAGAATCAATCAGGCGAGGAGTGAACAAACACTTGAGGAGGTTTAAATACCATAATGATCACTTGAAGTTTGTCGAGAGTTGCCAGATTCATCCTGGAAACAATCCTCAGCATTACCAAAAACTGACTAAAGTGACTAAGGATGCTACACTGGGCGTTATCGCGATGAGCGATGAACCGTCATCCCTATATATTGTGGATATGTCGGGTGATCTGGAGGAAAAATTCAAAATTATGACCGTTGGCGACGTGAAGGACATCAGCATTTCTCCTGATGGCAAAATGATGTGCTACATCACATCGAATCATTTTGAAGCAATATCGACAGTGACTGGGAGGTCTATTTTCAAAAGTAAGGTCAATTTTTTGATGTCGAAGATTGAATTTTATGACAACAACATGGTTATAATAGCTGGTTCTAGCAAAAGTGGAGTTGTGGTGGGTAAATTTTCTATTGCGAAATCGGCAGTGACGAAAACTGCTGTCATAGCTAGAACTTTAAAAGGGATTACCTCAATGGATACCAACAGTCAATGCGGTTTGATTGCTTTAGGAGGATCTGATTGCTCAGTTCTGTTAGTTAGATCGCATGATTTGAAACTGCTGAAGAAGTTTGATAAAGTGCACGGTTTTGCAATTACGAGGGTTGTTTTTTCAGAAAATGGTGAATATCTTGCGTCCGTATCAGCAGCAAATACTGTGAATGTCATCGAACTACCCTCCAAGCTCGCTGAGTCGAAACCGTTGTATTTATCGTTGTTTCAAGTTCTTTTTTCAGTTATAGTTGCATCTTTGATGGCCTTTGTGCTCCAATACCTCCATGTTAACGGGTATTTCCAGCACATACAAACAAAGGCAGTCGAATACTACAAGTCCAAACAGTTGACAGACTCATCAGCTTATTTCACAATTCAGCCAATCGCCTCAAGTGAAGTGTTTCCGAAGGGTCCTCCGTCTACTACCACATACATGCCCAGCTCTTCCTATATATCCAATTTGCCTACAGATAACTCGGCGACAGATGAGCATAAAATAAGCGAACAACATGATACCGAAAATAGTGAGTATACATTTCCGAACCCAGTCGAAACGTTCGCAAACGAAACGCAAACAGTTTGTAGTAGCGTCACTAGGTCAATGGACACTAACGGCCATCAGAAACACATATCGCTGAAAAGTGAACCTGAGACTTCCAGCTATCAGAACAAAGATTTCCTTACAACATCCAAAATGATTGAACCAGGCGTCGAAGTTCAGAAAGGTACGAAAACGCTGACGGTTATTGAAACTGTCGTAGAAACACAAACCTCTCTTATCACAAGTATTCAAATATCCACTGCGATTGCGACTGTCTCAACTACTGAGGTGGAAACAAAAACTGAAACCGTTTACATGACGTTCGACTTGCATGGTTTCTCTATCAATGTCTCAGACTCAGTGCTTTTGAATGAATCAGAACCAGAAACCGGGGACCCCACTGTTTTTGACTCCTATCTAAACTCGGATTTGAGCATTGCAATTCCCAACGGGGAACGAGAGCAGCTGTCCCCAACATCAAATATCGGTTCAGGAATTCTATCGACAGACAGTATAAAATTGAGCAGTGCCCAAGATACACCTCAGAACTCAAAGAGTACAACGGAAGGATTGTACCCGATTTCTTCTCCATCATTGCATAAGGAATCCAGTAGTAACCAGAATGGTGAAACTATAGAAGAGAGACTAGTTGCCTTCATATCCGATGAGCATTGTGACGGGCCACAGACAATTTTGGATGGTACTGGGTTACGAACGGAACCTGTTCAGGCAAATACTCAGAGTCAGAGTCGTTTTTTCAATGAAGGACATGATCACGAAAACCGAAATATTAGTCATCCTGGCATCAGTGACCATCTTCTAAGCGTGGCTGATGAGGAAAGTGTGACTGCCACACTAACCAATTCGATGGTTCCGGAAATTACTGCAGACGTGAAGCATTCCGTGAATACCACGATTGGTAAATCCCAAGACTATCAAAGGACACAAAAGCCGGGACAACTAGAGTCGCAACTCGCCACACCGACAACAATGCAGAATATTGGCGAAGAACATCAGGTTGAATTGGGGATGTCTAAGAAACCTTATATGCTAGATTCTGTTTTACCCAAGGCTCTCGATAACGAGGATTTAACGTCAGACAATTTCGAAACCTAAATGTTTTGAATCGACCTAAACATTTGATCAGAGTAAGTAGCATAACGTAAAATTAGACTTCTCCAGCCTTTTTGCTGTTACAAGCCACTATTTTGAACTTGTCGACGTTCACCGTCTCGTTATCGTCGAATTTGATATTCACATCTTTTATCACAAAGGTCCACACATCATCACAAAAGCGATATGTATGAAGATGGCCCTTAAAGGTGAGTTTTGACTTTACAGAGTCTCGTAGATTGTCTGAGGTGACTCTATCGAAGTTGGCTAAAACCTTCATTGCTAACTGAGGCTGAATTCTTTGTTCTCCAATCAATGCATCCAGAGCATCTGTGAGTGAGGTGCCGATTCTTAGTGTTAATAGGGATAGGAAACTTTCAATACCTACGTGCTTCTCCTATAGAACTCGTAATATGTGGGTGCGTTCATATCAATAGAATATCAAAATCTGAGTAATTTTAAGTTGACCTAAGAGACTTGGCGAAAGAAAATTCGGGGTGGATGCACAATTATTACGTAACGAATTATACATGCAACAACTGGGGAATAAACTTCAATCTGCAGCATAGCCCGAGGCTAGATTGCAAGAAGATCATGCGTGGGGCTGACAGTAGCTTGGAGCCACGTTGGTAGATTAGTAAAGGAAATCAATACGGGAAACCTTGATTTTTAACACTTCATCTCAATATATATCTTGCATCGTGGCCAGAGAAGTGTAGTAGTCATTCGAGGAAGAGGTTTGCCTGGCTGAAGCGGGGTTTGAATCGATGCTGGGCTGCGTGCCAAGCAACTGGCTTGTTTTCCATTAGCCCATAGAAATTAGTTTTGCTGATTCAAAGCTAGTGATGCAGCGCTGGTCACGTAAGCAACAGTTTTACAAGTTCTCAAATCATGCTAACAAGATCAATACGTTTGAAGAAGTGCTGCTAAAGTACTAACTAGTCATGTGGGTGGATTCATATTACTCAGCCATGACTCAGTTAGGTTCGTACTGTATAAGAGGTAATTTTTTAATAGAAACCAATGTCTTGTAAGAAGCAATTCGATTCCCACCTCCTAGTTGAAGTTTTCATACAATACGAACCAGACGTGGATGCACACTCAAGAGGTGTTAAGCGAATGGAGCAACCCCACACAAAAGATTTTCCTTCGTAATTCGGTCGAATCAAAATTCTAACACTGTTCCAACTAAACTTGGACCTGGAAGCTAGCTCAAGTAACAAAACTTGATTACGTTATGAGAGATTGTCAACGTTTTACCTTCGTAATAATTTATGTAAGACTATATAGTCTTCGCTTGACACCACCGATAGAAAAATAATATTTCGGGGCTGCGAAGTTAGTGGCGGAACTTGTGAAGTTTCTTTTATATGGCTGTCATATACTATAAGTTCAGATCGCAACGCGATGACTTGATTTCGACCATCAAGTTTGATGGTACTGGGCTTACGGTATTCGAACTCAAACGAGAAATTATTTATGCCAATAAGCTGATTAATTCCACGGACACAGATATTTTATTATATCATGTTGAAGATCCAGATAAGGAGTACGACGATGATAATGAAGTCATACAACGAGCATCAACAGTGCTAGTAAGAAGAACTTCAGGTGGCAAGAAAGGAAGAGGAAACGTTTTGCGATATATGGCAGGAAAGCCAAGGATTGCAAAATTTCAAGCTCCGATTCCAGTCTCAACGACAGATTCAGCACCGGTCATACCTACTAATGAAGAGGAGAGAATTCGTCAGATGTTCAATCAGCAGGACGACCAGTGGAATCAACAACAGGCTCTCATGGCCACTGCACAAAGAGTGGAAAGTAATAGACAAAATTTGAAACTTGATGAAAACATTCCTGAATATTACATTTGCTATAAATGCGGCGAGAAAGGGAAACATCATATTAGAAACTGTCCAAAGAATAATGATCCCAATTGGGATGGCATCAGGATCAAAAAAACGACTGGAATACCAAAATCGTATTTACGCACTGTTGATAATCCGACTGACATCGTCAACGAACCTAATCAGAACTTCATGGTGAATGAAGAGGGAAAATACGTGGTGGCAGTTGCTGATAAAAAAGCGTGGCAAAGATATCAGACCATTCAGCAATCTAAGCAAGAGGAAGACGATTTCCCGATTGAAGATCCTGAACTAAGGGATCCTCATTCAGGTAAGCTTTGGAAAACTCCTGTGAGAACTAAATGTTGCAAACAACTGTATTCAAGACCTTACATTGAAGATCTACTTTTGGAGTCAGATTTCAAGTGTCCGAATTGTGGTCAAGAGGACATTTATCTTGATTCTCTTGAAGTCGACGAGGCATTACAGCGAAAGGTAGATTTGTTTGTGGAACAACATAAGAGAAAAAATGAAAGGGAAGAAGAGCCGAACAAGCGGCAACACTTAGCTACAATGGTACCTACTATGATGCCATTTATGCCGTTTCCAGCCCCATTGCCTCTACCGACCAATAATCAAAAGTGATAAATAGCCATCACTGGCTCATGGGCTACCAAATTCACTTTTCACCATCACTGTATGATATGACCGCCCATTTTCCACTCGAGCACCACAATTCCCCGTATTCGTTTCCTAGACTTTTCCAGTACTGACAGAGTTCTTCGTCTTTTCCTGGCGACAAACCTGCACATACGTCTGCCTTACACGTTCTCAATGCAAGGATATGGATTTTTGAACTTGCCAGTGTATTGATTGCTGTGGTGAATGGAGTATCTCTTGGCCAATGCCTGTCTCCGGTCAATTTTCTGTAGTTTAGGTCACCTTTAACGATCACTAAACAGGAATTCTGAAAATACTTGTACAGCTCAGCCCCCCCAAATTTGGTCTCAGAAGGGCTCAAATTCCAGTAATCAAGATCCACTGTCCAAAATTCCGACTCTTGCAATTCTATCTTCCCTTGAATTCTATAACTTTCGATCTTTGAGACCAGGAAATCGATTTCGATTCTGTTTTGACCAAAAATAGAAGGATCTTTGAGATCGTTGATCAAAATGTGATAATCCTTTTTCATAGTATCGCTCACCATCCATGGTCTACACTTACAGTGCAGAACCACTTTTTCGATGAGTTTCGTATCCAGCAACAGCAAGCTGAGCATCAAGTCTGTGAATAACTCAAATCCTGCATTATCCAAAACAAAATCAATTCGCCTTTTTGCCAATGGTAAAGAAAGAAGACGGTCCCAAGCCTGGGGCAGATCGTTGCACAATATATTTTGTGACGATTTTGCTCGTGCCTCTTTGCCTTGAACGGATTTGATATCATCTAGAGATGCGTTTGCTAGCAAAGATAAGTCGGTAGCATTACCCCACAATGAAATATCAACAAATTCTTCAAATAACAATTGCAAGCTCTCCAAATCCATCTCATCATCTTTTTTTACTTGAATTTGGCTGTTTAACTGCTTATATGTAATTGCAAGCTCGTATATTCCCAACGCCGACGACTTAAATGTTTCTCTCTTGAGCCTTTCAAACACATCAAAATGTTGCCACTTTGACTTATTCTTGAAAATTGTATCCAGACGTCTGTACAGGTAACACTCACAGAATAACCAAGGACCAGTCAACCACGTCACCTCTCCAATTTTTGACAAAGTTTCATTATAGGATCTCAATCCTGGAATGGAAAGGTCCGAAAAAGGCGTGAGACGTGAATTGGTTAGTAATTCCTCAATCAATTGATTGATTTCCTCAATAATTTGAGCTCCTTCCGCTTTCGCATCAATATCTTCTCTATTCGAGATCTCAGAAGCCGTGTCATCGATTGCTGTGTGAAGAATTTTTGGCCATCTTGACCTGGCTGTCGAAAAGCCAAACGAATGTGGATCACTATTATAATATGGAGGTGGAATGGTCATATAGTGAAAAAAGTTGCCTATTTGATGCTCACAAACTTTATTATTTATATAAACAATTGTGTATATACTTCACTATAAAATATAACCTCAATTAGGCAAGTCTCCGACAAAAATACGGAGAGTTGAACAATTGGATATGGCATTTATTTATCTGACTCCTGTATTGGGCCTCTCTGCTCCGATGGGCTAAGCCTGAATGCAAGATCAAGATTCAAAATCCCCTTCCTGTCGATTCAAGATTAGTCGACTTCATTGCGTCCATTGTTGACATCTCAAGCCCTTCAGAATAGCTCCATTTTACTGTTTGTACCATGCCTTTCTTCCCTAACATAGTATTATCTGAAGTCGACGCTTCCCCGATAAATCGGCAATCGAATTGATGGGCGGTCAGTTGCTGCTCTGATCAGAGATTATGGGAACTTGCAGGTCTCCCACACAACCATGCTCGACTCCGGTGCCTGATATATCAAATCTTTTTTATCACCATTGAATTGGGGATCAAATGAAAGAGTTTACTTGGCACTACCCAGTTGGACAACTTTTCATCTTCATGTCCGGTAACTCTAACATTGAGCACAATATTTACAAATTCACCTACTAATGAGATGAGGTCTCTCGAAAACAGGGCTTCCATAACTCAAACTCAAGAGCAAAAGGTGGATTGGTGCTAATTCACATCGTTTGTGCCCATTTCACTAACCACCGGTGGTTGTAAATCCATGAATCTCACTGCACTGCAGCCGAGATCCACTGGCAACAAACCGGTTATAATTGAATTTGCTCTCTAATGATAATGACGATGATGATAGAAATCAATTGTTTTTCAGGCCCCATACGCAATCTCAGTTTAGGCTCGACAATGAATCCCCGTGTCCTCAATGAAACGTCAAACAAAGTCGTCAGATGAAAGCCGCTGCAGTATTTGCAAGGCTGATTTTTAGCATGCGTTACTGCATTACCACTAAGGATAACTTTCAGCACAATAATCCTCCGGAGAACCAAAACTAAGTGCATTTAGATTCCGAAGCATTGGTAACGATTATTCCACCCATGATTGCGCCTAGACCAGTATCGGGCTGAAGCATCAATCCTGGGGTTCTAGGAACTCATTGACTCCACCCAGTCAACAGCAGGCTGATCAGGCACATCCAGGTTTTCATGCATTTCGAGGATTTGGATCGTCTCTCTGAAATCGAGATATTACCTCCTCGAGTTGAAACAGAGTTGGCCTCAACGGAATCCCACCAAAAAACTATATGACAGGAATACCCAGTTTGTGACAAACCTGCATTATCCTGAGATTTTGATCTACTCTTTGTTCATATACAATTTACAGCATTATCTTCCGTATAATCTCGAAGGAAAGGAGCTATAAGAGTCATCCGAATGGTTTGCAGGCTCGCTAGGGATGTGGAGAGCCGGCTCCTCCAAATATCAGTTTGATCCTTTTTAGTGCACACATGTTTTCTCCCGAGCGGCATATGTGGGACTTAGACAGCCTCTTGCTGCGACGGACGAGCTTTTCTTTTCTTCAGATATTGATTCGTACATTTAACGCCTCGTTCGTGTTCACTACTAAGAAATGAGCGGGGCTGCCGTCGAAAATTGATCTTTGTTGTCGACTTATTTATGTTTTCATCAAACCTTACTCTCGGCGATATATGTATTGGCTGGATTGATCTCTAAAATTCGTCTATTTTCAGAGTATCAAGTCAAAATAAATATGAAAGCTTAGAATGGAATCAGGCCGCATCGGCAGTGCCGCCATAAACTTTGTTCACAGTTTCCTGAGCTCCACTTCGCACAATCTTGTTCCCATCGGTGTCATTATCTATTGGAACAGATTTGTTCTCTATTCGCTGTTGTTTCCAGAAAAGGGTCTCAGAGCCTCCCAAAGCTCCTATGCGCATTGTAGCTAGTAAATTTCTTGCTGCGTTGGAGTGTTGATAAACTGCACCATTAAAGGCAGTGGTGGCATCTTTGCCATGTGCAGCTTTGATTAAAGGTAATCCTCCTGGATGGTCTTTTGCAAAAGGAGTGACATCATGAATTATCCCTGAAACTACCACTAGATATCTGTTCCTAGATTTCTCGGCCAGTCTTCGAAATTCATCAGGAGAGAATACTGGTAACCTTTCAATCGGAATCCCCCAGTTCAATTGCGAACGTTTGTTGTCAATTAACTTCTGCTGTTGTTGGACATACGACATTTCAACTGTAGAGCTGGAAGTCTTTTTCAAATGTTTGACACAATGCAGATAACAAAGTAATTTTATTATCCATCTAGTAGGATCGAATTCATACCAAACGTTGCTATTACGGTAATCCATAGGAAACTCATAATGAAAATTCAAGTTCCCCTCACCCAATGTTATCAAGTTGAGCAGCACGTTGTTTCTGGGAGACTTGCAGTCATTATAAGGTCTAGTACCAATAGTGTGACCAAAGGAATTAATTGCAAAGACAGAGTGCTGCACTAGAGCCGTTTTAAAGAATCCGGCATATATCAACCCACCGATGTAATCGTCCCAAAACCATCCGCAAATAAGGCTTGGTATTATGAGCCCAACAGTAATAAATAGTAGAAGATAATTATCTGCCTGCCACTTAACAACCTTTTTGTTGGGAAGTTCGTCAAGTTTACTCTCTCTGATGGCTCTAGAAACCTTAAGATTATGGATTATGATCATCCATCCGCAGTGACTGAATAGAAAACCTCTTCTAATATTGTGGGGATCCTTATCGGAGACATCGCAGTATCTATGATGTGCACGATGAGACGAACACCAATTTTTCGCAGAGGTTATTCCCGCTCCTGAGGCTAAGGCCGCTAACACAAAAACCAGTTTTTCGTTTTCAATGTTAAATGAACTGTGTGAGAGGTATCTATGATAAAGCACATTGACCGACATCAACGTAAAAAAATGGAGCAATGCAGCAAAATAGAGTGTTTGCTTGTAGGGTCTTGTGTTATACGAAAGACATAATGTCAACCCTACGATCGGACAGAGAACAATTAGCGTGAAATTCTTCCAGTGGATATGTCTATACCAATTCCTCAAAGTCCAAGACCTCTCTGAAATGTGCCTTCGAAGTAGTGTTGATGCTGTATTAGTCGTTTGAATCTTTTTGACGGTTTTTTTGACTTTTACGACTTGTGCCTGTCCACCATCTTTAGTATAGTGAAAGGAGGAATCTTGGTCGCTTGTGGTATCCCCCGAAATCAGAATCTTGTACTTTTTCAATTCAGACTCCGGGTACTCAGCTTCTGGAATCATCAAATTATCTATGATCTTGCACAGACAATAGCCAAATACTGTAATTTTATAAAAATTAGTTGGTGATCGCCACTTTTGGTGAGACAACTAAACTACCACTGCATCGATATTTTACTACAAGACATGAGCATTCAATAACAATTGCACTCGTCACCCTTTAGTAAAGGCTAAAGAGCGGTAGTTACTCACCTTAGTTACAAATGCTAAAACTTGACTGCCGATTTTCTTCTTGACAACGATCGAACAGTGGGTGTAATTTAAATTCCCATTTTCCTTCTGGACTGAACTATTGTCTGGCATTGATATGAAGTTCAGGTTTGGGAGAAATAACAGCGTCAATGAGAAGCTTGATGACGTTCTCCTTTTTACTTTCACAAGTTTTCTTGATGTTTGCAAGCTCATCTTTGATCTGCTCTTCAGCTTCCTTTTCAAGTTTCTGATTCGAACCCTGAAATTCTTCTTCGTATTTCTTGAGTTCCGCTTCTTTCTTCAACCTATACTGTTCAATTTCCTTCTGTGCATCAGATTTGGCATCTTTTAGTTTTTGTGCGCGGTCTAGTTCGTTAGTCTATTCTGTGAATAAAAATAACTAGACTTACATTGCCTTGCCTGAGATACAATCTCCTGTGCTTCTTTTTCAGTCTGAAAGGTGACGTTAGTACAGAGAGCCTCAAAATGTTGGTACTTACTTTCAATAAACTTTGAATTCCGGACTAAAACTGCGTTAGCTTCTATGAATGCGAATTAATCATGGTAATCACTCACCATTTTTCAATATTTGGTATCCGTTCAATGGTATATAAAAAAGGTTTAGCCTGTAATCACTAAAATTCTGTCTATAACAAGTTCTTTTAGTATAAATTCGCTGTTCGTACTTGCAGCCTATTATTTATTATTCATGCTCAAATGACACCGTTTTTTATTTTGGCAGACAAACTACTTATCAGCCGTAATATGTCTTGTCAATAGTCGGTCAACAGTCGGAGATTACACAATGTTCGCGAGCACAGTGAGTTTGGCCCAAGTAGAAGAGAGAAAAGCTCAGTAGTGTGAGTAGTTTCTTTTATTCTTTGTGGCGACCATGAAGTAGCCCGTTGAAATCAAAACCTTGAGGATAATCGTGACAATTAATCATATGTTGTTCTCTGCACTCCACTGACGAAAACAATTCCGAACAATAGCTATTGAAACACTCAAATATCATACCCACCTTTTCTAGTCTTGATTTAAAGAAAGAGCTATGTAACTCGTTTAAATGTAGCTCGAGTATATGGGAGTTCTGAAGAATTGCATGACAGACCGAACAAACGTTTTGATAATAAAAGAATTGAGGTTCAACTGATTCCTGCGTTTCGCAGTATTGTACTTGGCTCCGACAAAATGATAAACTGCCATACAGTTCCTCGTTAGAATTTTGAACGATAGATGTCAAGCATTTTGATTGAGTGTCTTCACCGCTCTTATTTGCATCATTGGATTCGTCAAAGAATCTTTTGGGCATGAACTCAAATTGTATTATGAATAGTGCATTGGTTATGCACTAAAATTTTTGAAAAATTTAATACATCGGATGGATGTTGCTGGTTCCAAATTGGCATATCCCGTCAAATTGCTCAAGAGAGCTCGAAACAGTGATACACCAAATAAGCGGAAACAAAAGGAAGACGCCAGCGGAGAATTAGAGGTCCAGGGAGATGTAGGATCCACTATCAATGAGCAGATAAGACGAGCGAAAGAGATAAATACAGAAAATCTGATTCAAGGGCCTCTGGATCCCATTTTTGGACAACGGAGAGCATTTCCGATAGCTTTGGACTTGGAATCAGTAGATGCTAGTAAGGCTACAACTGACGTGAATTCTTATCTGGCGCTAGTTCGATTAGAAGCACAACAGTTCGAAAAACAAGGGTTTTGCTCTGAAGCTTCTGTGGCGGAAAAAAGAATTTTCAACTCAGACAATCAGCAATCGCACAGTGAACCAACCTTGGACAAGGAAAACCATCGACGCTGGCCGGTAGAATATTTGGAAGAGTTCAAGTCCAGTCAAAAAGCCTATCTCAACTATAGATTAAACCTAACCGAGCTCGATGCCATTGACTTGCCACAGAACCAAAAAGAATGGAAACACTTGATTTTCAATAATGAACCTTCTTTTGCAATTACGGCTCAAATAGTAGAAGAGAATGTGAACATCAAATTAATCGTTTACTTCACAAAATGGCTAAATCGCGATATCAACGTTTGCTTTGAGCAGTGGATATTTCATATGCTGTATGCTACTGACACTGTGATGACCTCGTCAAATATGTCAGTGATGCGAGCGCTGGGAAAAAAAGCATTGAAACAAATGGCAGCCGCACTTGACCAACGCAATCAGACGATTATGGAACGAATTGTATTGATTATAGGAGCTATTTACGGGCAAAGGGACCTCTTGAATTACTGATATTTCGTTCATTCTGAATAGTACTTTGATTATATAGAAATATTCAGGGAGTATTTAGCACGATACTATTTGATGCTCAGGAGCTTGACGTCAAAGGTCAGCTCAGAATTTGCTGGAATACCAGGAAGCTTTTTGGATCCATAAGCCATGGCTGGAGGAATCACGATTCTTCTTTCACCACCAACTGCCATACCAGCAACGCCGAGGTCCCAACCTTTGATCACTTCACCTTTGCCCAAAGCGAAAACAAATGGTTTGCCAGAAGTGTTTTTGTCAAAAACCTTTCCGTTTTTCAATTTTCCAATGTATCTGACACCAACTTTTTGTCCCTTCTTGCACGCTGGTCCCGTGCCAACAGTTCTATCCTCAATAGTCACACCACCCTGCAAAGTCTTAGTGGGAAACTTCTTCTTGTCTTCGGATTTCGAGGATTGCTTAGCGGCCGGACCTGTTGGCCCTTGTTCAAGCTCTTTGTTGAATTTGACAGACTTATCTTTCTTAGCTTCCTTAGCTTCCTTAGCTTCCTTAGATTCCTTTTTTAATTCTTTCTTCGATTTTTTAGAGTCTTTCACTTCTTTTGGCTCCTCTTCAGCTGGCCTCTTCTTCTCACTTTTACCAGCTTTTTGATCTTCCTCAACAAGTTCTTCAATTTTACCTTCAATGTCATCAACCCCTTCCAAGTCATCAAGATCAAAATCTTCTCCTTCAATAATTTCGTCTTCGTCGGGGGTGAGATCATACTCATCGCTATCAAAATCTTCATCGTCCTCGGAATCATCATCTGAATAGTCATCTTCTTCTTCATCATAAGGATGTTCCACATAGTTACCGGTTAAATGAATGGAGTAAGAGCCAGTAACGACGAAGTAAACTTCTTCATCTGGCAAAATAGTCAGGTCCAAAGTCTGCTGGAACTGGCTTTTTGGCGAAAGCGTGCAAATGATATGCTCCTCAATTGCATCATCATCTTCAATCTCATCATTCTCCGATTCACTTTCAGAGCTATCGTCTGAATTCTCGCCAGAATCGTCGCTTTCGTTCCCTGCTTTGTCCTCGTCTTCCTCTTCCTTTTCATCGATCTCTTGGATTTTGCCTTCATCTTCAACATCATCTTCGGATTCTTGCTCACTGTCATCGTCATCATCGAAGTCCTCCTCGTCAGAGTCATAGTCATCGAGCTTGATGGACTTTTTAAGAATTCTTAAAGTGGATGGCTCTTCCTTGTCGTCGAAAGGCTCTGGGTTAACGGCTGCCAGGGTCAATCTGACAGTGACCGGGAAATCTTCCGGTTGACAAGGTTCCGGAGAAAATGGCTGGAGCTCCAAGTTGTACGATGCTAGTGGCAATAAAGAAGACATGGTGTGCAATGTTCAGTCAACTAACTTTCTACGCACTTAAAATTTTTTTTTTTTTTTTTTTTTTTTTAATTTTTTCGCATAGTTTGAATTTCTTTTCTGTTTCTTTTCTATGTGCTCATTTGTATATTTTTGACGTTACACCTAGGAAAGGCGACGCGGGTAAATACAATAACCGTGTCGTCTTCTAGGAAAATTCATCTGAGATACTAATTACTACATAGAGGTTCTAACTTAGTGTACTTTATATGAAGCATATACACATTTGACCCTCTACTCAGAAGGTCATTGCATGTGGCTTGTCACCACTTTTCAAAGAAAAAGAGGATGCCAAGTATTGTTTGAGATATGGTGTTTTTTTAATTTCAGTGATCAAAGCCTTATCAATGGATTTCTGATCGGCTACTCTGTCACTTTTGATCTCTTTCTTCGCACTTTCACCGAAGAATCCTTTCTCGGATTTGTTTCCTTTTTCTGGTTTGTCTTTATCGAAATATGCGACATCATACTTGGAGAGATCGAGGCCTGCAACGTCCACAATAGTAGAGGTTGCAATGACATATCTAGCATTAACTCTTCTCAATGGAACGCCGTTGACTTTGAATGGTCCGGACACTAGCAAGGTATTGTCGTCGAGGCTTTTCAAGAAAATAACTCTTTTCCCTCTAAATCTGCCAGCCAGCAAGATGAGAACAGCACCTGGTTTCAAAGTGGATCTCAACCTTTGTGCTTTAGCAGATTTCCTTGACTTTTTAGCAACAGAAACTTGCTCTGCTGGGTACCACTTCTGGTTCTTTATTGTTAGTTAGAGGAAACAACAACGAGGTTTGCTGAAAGAAGATTCGTCTTCAATTCATAAATTCTGGAATAGCTACTTGTGGACAATGCCATCGTCTGAACATAACATTTTATTTGATACTGTCTTTCGAGAATTTGTGAGACGTGTAGCACCATGTTTGATCCAATGTAACAGACCTCGTGCATTGTCGTATGAAATAATGACAATCAATTATTCAGCGTCTCGCAGCAAAAACCGTCAGTACTTACAGCAACCATCTTCTTTAATCTTATATTCTGATCGAGTATAATTCAATATACAATCAATCTATAATTTTTCATCCCAAGAAATTCTCTGAATTGCCACCTGACACCACAACCAGTGACATTTTTTCAACGATTTGACGCGACTTTCGACGGCAAGAAGTGATACTCCTCACACCGGTAAGAAAAGGCAGTCACAAGAAGACGATCACTACAAGGTAGCATAGGCTTCTAAAATCTCAATTTGCTAGTTTATATTAAAGCTTATTGAGCGATTCATTCATGTAAAAATTGTTTAGATCTTGCTCGTTACTTCTTCCATCAATATTGACAAATAGTGTACTCCAAAATTCGTCATTCAGAGCCCAGTATTGATACTCCAGGTTGTCTGCCATGCTATTTTCACTAGAGTAATTCAGTGTTGGTTGTATGTGTGGGGCCAGTACCTCCTGCGATTCTATCACTGGTGAAGGAAGATTTTGTTGGAACTGGGGGTTTGTTAGTTGTGTGGTTTCTCCTGGCAATGATGCGGGCGTACCGTCAGGAGCGTAATCTAACGAAACACTAGATTTTCCATTTTGGTCGTATGCGTTCGCATTTTCTTTGGGAACGTTCGTAGGCGAAGAGTAGCCCACTTCGTGTGATACGTTGGGCGAATTTCCGGGTGGGTAATGAGAATTACCAAAGGGATTTACGAAGGCATGCTGTGCCGATTCGACCCCAGATTTTTCACTAACTCCTGAAGGTGGCTTATTTTGTAGCAAAGATTTGAACGCAGATTTGCATTGCGATAAAAATGTCTGCGTGAATAAAGATAACACTAACCGCATCTTATTCAAAAAGTGGTTCCTTGGATACTTCAGAGATGTCCGATAAACCAACGAGGCCAAACTTTTGACAACATTCATCGTATCTTCTGTCATGCAACTATACTGATTCAAAACCGGAATGCTGATGCTCAGATAGCGAATTCTCAACAACATGCCTGCGGTGAAGATTATTCGTGATGAGTGGAAAAACGGTTCCACTGTGATAGATTCTTCTTTCAAGTGCAGAAAGTGTTTGAGTGCTAGAACGCAAGATTCCGTAGAACACTCAATTGCTTCTGCCAAATAATCTGGAAGAGATCCTAATTCTGCCATATTTGAACTAAACATGGCCTGCAATGCTGGCTCATGAAGATATGCCTGGACTGAAAAAAAGTATGACATCATTGAATGAAAGGATTGTTCATCATCTTTCGTGAAATCTATAATCTTTCCCTTGAGTGTATTGAGCTTTTTTCGAATCTCTTCTGTGATGTACTTGTTTATTCCATAGTCTAGCTCTATAGCCGTTGGTTGCTCCACAGTTGAATTGATTCCATAGTGTATTTTTTCGAGAATGCAGTTGAGTCTAGAATAAATGGAAACCATAATGTAGCGTGGCTTTTTTGTTGCCTCCAAATCAATACAATACTGATCACAATAGTCAGTCCATTGCACGGGCAGCCTTTTTCTTAGAAACAACGAGATCGACACCGAATTGAAATATGTCAATAACAACAAACTCTTGCTCTCTAAATCTTCAGGGTCTTCAAAAGCACAAGCAGCCCTTTTCTTTACAGCTCCTTCTTCTTTGCTATAAAAGAAATAAGGCCTTCCGGTCATACCCAGATCGTGTAACATTGAGACGCAAAGGGAGTTTATCATGTGGTATCTTCGATGTTGAAATAGTTCGGGTGGAATATACCATATGCACAAAAGTAGTAACGATTTAAGCAGCTCGAGACTTTTTTCTCCTATCAAAAGGATCTCACCAATCAGAGTTTCAAACACCAGTGTTTCTATGCGCAATTGTAGCTCCAGTGGAATGTAACATGGCTCTTCATCTAAAATTGTGGCAACATAAACACAAGATAGAAGTAGAAGCGGTTTCTTTTGTCGCATTGATGCAAGAGTTGTATCTCTAGGCATTTGCAAAATGGGGCTTTTTGGAAGTATCTTATCCAAAAACATCTGAAACAGTCTACCGCACTGTTCTTCTGTCAGTAACCCTCTTGAAATAATGTCGTTTTCACGATAGTTCAAATTTGCCTTGCACATTCGAATTCTTTGCTCAGAAATGTTCACTATGGCAGAGGTAGAACACAAGGATTGCTCTTTTGAAACACTTTCAAGAAATCTGATCTCCTTTTCAAATCGTTGAGCGGACGACAAACTCTCAGACTTATCAGTAGTTGTGTAAGATTGCGAATTGGGATTCACCGTCGACGGCGGAGTTTGCAAAATTTGGCGCCGAGAGTCATCGTTCAAAACATCCGGACTTATCATCATATGTTGTTGTTTGGCAATTGTTTTGGCCTGTTGATCGATGGTTTTATTCTTTAATTCCAAAAGGTCCTGTAGTTCCTTTAATCTGAATTCCAGAAGCCGAAATCTAGAGATAGAGCTGCCTGGTCCCGAGGGCTTCTTTTTTTTCCTGGACTGCGTCAGATCAAACTCACAAGCTCTATTAGCCTTAAGACACCGAACACAGGTACCCAACTGATTCTTAGGATCACCAGGAACGCATTTCACTTTTAAAGCATGACACGCTTTACAGGCAACTGATCGCCGTTTGCTGATACCTTCAGTTTGGGGTTTTCCTGATATTTGATGACTGTGCTCAACGTCTGAAGAAATTTCAGTCGTATCTGAGAAAATTGGACTTTCAACAGCAACAGTATTGTGAGATGACATTTATGAGATCAACACTTGTCTCAACTTGGAACTCAATTCTTAAGACTCCTCTTTTTATATCTCAGACTAAAACTAAATTTTGGAGGAACAAATTTTGCACAGCCCAACTTAGATAAGCTACTAAAATAGTCGCGGCGATGGTTATGAAACTTGTTCAGAGCGACGATTAAAGTTTCTGGACAATTGGTTGACGAAGATAAATTTGAGATTTATTCATACTGAGAAAATGGACTCTTTGGGAAAAACATTGAATAATCTCTCTCTTTACGAGGTCAAAGCGTACGTTAGAAAAGCTCAAAATGCGGTTCTCAACTTGAGTGAGATGGAGGCCAAGGTTAGGGAAGCTACGAATAATGAACCTTGGGGTACACCAACAAGTGTCATGTCCGAGATTGCGAGAGGAACTTTCAGTTATCCTGAAAGGGAAGAGATTTGTGCAATGATATTTAGACGGTTTACTGAAAAGTCAGCTCATGAATGGAGACAGATATACAAGGCATTACAGCTCATGGAGTACCTGGTGAAACACGGCTCTGAACGCTTTGTTGATGATGCCAGAGCCAATGTGAACTTAGTAAGCATGCTCAAATCATTCCATTATATAGATTCGAAGGGAGTTGACCAAGGTATTAACGTTCGCAACAGAGCTAGGGAACTTTCGGCTTTGCTGAACGACGAGTCCAAAATTCGTCAGGAAAGAAGAAAGGCCAAGGAGAACGCAAAGAAATTTGGAGCTGTTTCCTCTAACTCGACCTACATGGGATCCTCATCGTTGAGAAGAGCAAATGCTGTTTCATCCAGCTACGACTATGACGAGGAGGATGCCGGGTACGCTGGAAGAGTTTTCGGCGATGGCGGAGTTTTTGGGCAAAGATTTGAAGAGCAAGCTCCCACAAACGCGTCCAAAAAATTTGAGGAGTATGATGTTGAGGATCACGCCAAACCCAAGAGAACCAGTAAACCGTCCGTGCAAGCCTCAAGTGTTACAGCGAGCGCCCAACCCAATGTTGATTTGTTCTCTTTTGACGATAAACCGGCTGCCACCTCAACCGCTGGGCCCGTTTACGATGAAGAAGAAGAGTTTGATGAATTCCAAAGTGCGTCTACTCCTGCGCAGGTTGTGCAGCCTCACAACAATCTCACCGACCTTCTGAACGCATCATATGGTCAACAAGCTAGCAATCCAGCAGCTTCTTTCTTTCAATCGCCTGTCGCAAAACCTTTTTCTCCGCCACCGTCTAACCAAGTTGAACCAGCCATTTCCCATCCAAAGAAAAAGGAAGATATATTTGGCAGTCTGTTAACGTCTGCCAAAACGAAGACTCATTCTCAGCCATCGACTTCTACAACTGCTAAAACATCTCCTACTCCTGCTACTCCTGCAAATCATTCTATCGGGAATGGACCTGGACCTGTGTCGTCCACATCTAAAGAAGAAGTTACTAGTCAAAGTTCATCCAGCGGTCAAGGGAATGGGGTTGTTGACTTGTTGTCCTTTTAAAAAGGCAGACCTTCTTTCGCATAGATAATTTTAGTGGTGCACAGATGCATGAAATAATTGCAAGTAATTTCATTAAATACACTATTGATGCCAATTTATTCGTTTTGGATATACGATAGACATTGTAATTGCATATTCAGTCGGGAATATGGAACAGGAATTCAAGATTCATCCAATAGTATTCTGAGATCAACTCCCAAACTCAAAGCATCGGCCCAATTCACTCCAAATGCAAGCTATGAAAACACATCCTCTTTGCCAAGCTCCTCTCAGTCTACACAAAACTCATCTATATCATCGGGAAGGGGACAAAGATTGCTATCTTCTACATTAAATAGTCAAAAGGCCCAGGATCTCATACAAAAGGGTACTGTCAATACTCAGAATAACAATAACACATCGAAACTCCTTTTCGGTACACTTTTTTCCTTAAGAAAAATAGCTGTTTCATTGTGTACACCACAGGCGGAGACACCACAGGAGGAAGAATTCAATGCATCTAACCTTAATAGTTTCAACTCCCTACAATCATTCCATACCCTAAATTACAAGTGCCATTACTATGAGACCATGAACGGGCTGAGGTTTGTTGTCGTGACTCATCCCGCGGCCCGTAACCTTCAATCATCTTTGGTTGAGATATACCATTCTATATATTTGCCAGCAATTGTCAGAAATCCATTGATGCCCGTTGAATATCGAGAGGATGAGGTTATTTCCAATGAACGCTTTATCCGTGCAATTGATGAATACTGGACGTCACTTGAAGAAACTTTGACGTGAAGCTATACGAATCATCAAGAAATGATGTTTGCATTACGTTTGTAACGAACTGCAGGTGCTGCATGCTCTATTTTCAGTGGTGCGTATCTTTGCATTATCTCTGTGAAGTAGAGGCTGCTCGAGCTAGTTGGAATACTTCATAGATGCAAAAGTTTGCGCAACCTGCAAATCGAGCCCGACTGAAATTTCTAGGTTTGTAAAATTGCTAAAACTCTTAAATTAATATTGCAACTTTTGCCTTTGTCTCTGAGGGTACTGCTTGATGAAGCCCACAACATCTTACAGATCGAGTGGGTTACTTGACTTCAGGCCTTGCAGACGCTCTCCTTTGTCAGATGATGAAGGGGATCGATATCTTGCTGGCGAGCGGAGACGCAAACGCAGTAGAGAACATAAATCGGTAAGCTTAGATGCAGAATTTGATTCTTTTACAGATGAACACTCAATCAAACGACAGCAAAGGCAGACAACGTGCGTGGATCTTGATAGCAGTGAAGATGAAGACTACACTGACATCACTACTATTCCTCCTGAATTGCTCAATAGACTCAAGTCATTTGCGTTATTCGAAAACGCCCCGAAATCTTTTTTGACTGCCCTGGGGCGTTCCCTGAAACCAGTGCAGTACTTTCCACAAGAATACATCGTGAAGGCTGGCGAACAAGCCAAGGCGATGTATTGGATTCTAAGAGGTACAGTGGGTGTTACATCCACTGACGGTGAAGCCTTGTATGCAGAACTAGCTGCAGGCTCATTTTTTGGTGAGATTGGTATTCTTTTCAACAGACCGAGAACCGCTACGGTGGTGGCCAGAACAAAGGTGCTCTTGGGGGTCCTCACCAAGGGTGCATTAGGGGTTGTTTTGTCAGACTATCCCAAGATCGAACGTTTGATTAGAGACGAAGGTCAGGAACGTCTTGCAATGCAGGAGAAGCGAAAACAAAAAACGAAATCATCCGCAAATCTTCTTTTCCAGAGACGTGAAAACTTATCAGTACCTTCGAAGTATAGCAACGACTCGATTACTGCCTTTGAGAATGAACCTTTACCTGGTCCAGTTCTTCCTCCGACATCAGATGCTGCCACGCCGGTTATAAAAACTATAAACCCATTTGATCCCTCGCAAATATACATCCAACAACCATCACCGATGCCAAGCGGTAGTATCGATAATTCTATCTCTGTTAGAGAATTTTTGGGTGGCCTACCTATTTTCAAATCTCTACCGTCGGACGTGTTCCATGAACTTGCTCTCAAGGTGGAGATCAAAGATTTCAAACCAATGGAATATATATTCAAAAAGGGAGATGCCGGAAGAGACATTTATTTTGTTGTGTTTGGGGAAGTTGAAGTACTAGATGCTGAAAAGGCTAGCCATATAGTTGCAAGACTAGGAAGTGGCAAATATTTCGGTGAGATGTCATTTTTGTCTTCTCTACGTGATGATCATGATTCCTCTAAGACTGAGACGAGATCAGCAGATGTTCGTGCAGTTTCAGAATCTGAAGTGCTTGTGGTCAAAGGCAACATATTAGAGGATCTATGTAAACGTTATCCGGTTGTTGCAGAAGACATGAAGTTCACTGCGTGCGAGAGGTTGAAGAAAAACGATTCCATTGTGGAAATGATTCATTCTGCCGAAACTTCTCCTCATGATCGAAATATTGTATCTTCCTTGACTGAGGACAGCGGAGAAAAACCAATATTTCGGAGCATCTCATGGTATAATGAGGAATGTGCATCAGCACCTCCTAGCCCTCATGATTCCGTCATGACGCCATACTACGGAGACTCGGTGAGCACAACGGGAACACAAGACCTAGCGAAATTAAACAATTTATCAGCTCCATCTTTGCTATCTGATAGACATTCCAAGCCCGAGAAACCAACTATTCAATTGTACGTGCCATCACCCAATCCAGTCTCAGGATCGCTTTACAAATTTGGAAACTCGCTTAGACCTCCTTTTCATTATACGCCTCACGATCACCGTTTACGATTGTTAAACATCAACAATGGCCGCCGCCGATCTTCTGTTTTATCTTCAGGCCCCTTTCCGGACTCCATATTTATCAAAATCTTCAAGTATCTCGATTTACCCAATTTGATGAGATTCGCCACAGTTTGCAAGAAATGGAAGCAGCTTTTATACCTGGGACCAGATTTGATAAAGACTCTCGATCTAACGCCGTGGAAACGAGATCTTACAGACAATGCTCTTATTCAGATTACAAATTTTGTTGGACCCCGCCCTGAAGTGATAAACGTTTCCAGTTGTTTCCACATCACAGATGCCGGTTTTTGTTATATGATCAATGAAATTGGAATACGGGGGCGCATAAAGAAGCTCTATATGAGCAACAACTGGAATATTTCCGCTATGTCTATTATGGATCTGAGCATTGTTGCTAGGGAACTAGATTTGATCGACTTCTCAAACTGTCCAAAAGTTCGCGATGATGTCATTGAGAGGTTGCTTACACCACACGGATCCAAATATGGCTGCCCGAATTTGCGGAACTTGAATTTGTCTTACTGCAAGTACCTGACAGACAGGGCAATGTACCAGATCGCCAATAATGCCTCGCAACAATTAACGTCGCTGAATCTTACCAGATGCACTACAATCACAGACGGTGGATTCATGTTTTGGTCACAAACACGGTTTCCTAATTTGAAGAGGCTTGTATTACGAGATTGTACCTTTCTTTCAGATGCTGCTATATCCCATTTATCAGTTGCATGTCCCAATCTAGAAGACTTAGATCTCACCTTTTGTTGCGTTTTGACAGATAACTCGCTTGCAATGTTATATCTTTATTGCAAGTATTTGAGATCTTTGAACCTATCATTCTGTGGGTCAGCAGTCAGTGATAACTCGCTAGCTTCGATATCTCGCTTGCCTTGTTTAGAAAATCTCTCTTTGAGGGGATGTATCAGGGTCACTCGCCAAGGAGTCGATAAGATTTTATCAAATCTCCAGAATTTGAAGTTTTTAGACCTGAGTCAATGTCCAAGGGTGGATACGTACCAAGGTAAGGCCGTAGAGCCCTTTGAAAAGCAGCCAGGCTCCAGGAACGCTTACCTTAAAATTGCGCCATATCGACGAATTATTCAAGTAACATTATAAATTAACGAGTTCATGACTTCTAGCTTAACAATCAATCACGTCTAATAGACAGATATGTAATTATTTATTCTCTCTTTTTGGTTTTGAGCAATACATTCCGCAATCCATGTGATATTTCTGATTTCTTGCTCCTTCGATCTGACGTAGGCCCATATCGTGCTAATAGTAAATTGTTGGGTAAAAGCATCTTTACAGAGCCTCATCTCGTACTCATAGAAATGATCCTCGAGATTCTTGTCGTTCGTAGTATCAAAAAAGTTGCGATACTCACCTAAGGAAGTAATGATTGTCTTTAAGTTTTCAAGATCATCACTTTGAGCCATTTGATGCTGATAGGCGGTATTGGATAACTTCCCAAGTGCTGGCAGAAGTTTGAGCTTGTCATCGGTTCCAAGTTCCGTATCAAGTGAATTGATGCAAATGTTGATGGCTCTTTTATCAGCCTCGAAACTGATCAGCCTTTCCATTATTTCATCGGAAGGTGAGGGAAGCTTGGTCTTGCAAAATTGCATGAAATCCTCCAAATAAGCTTTATACAAAGCATTCTTGATGATTTCTATGTTCATGTCGTCCAAATCATCAACCGAGAGACAATTTTGAAAGTAAGGAGCTAATGGTGTGTCAATGAGCACAGTTTGATAGAGTGAATCAATATCGGTGGCAACCGAAAGAGTTGGCAGTGTTTCAAACCATCCCAATGGGTGACATCTCTCAAGAATCTCAGATCTATCTCTTTCGTGGATAGTGCCCGTAATCATAAGAGCCACGTTGTCAATCATATAACCATAGGTTATATAATCCATGAATTTGGCGAGTGGTTCAGTCGCCTGTGACCTTATATATCTGAATTGCTCCACAAGCTTTTCATTCAGCTTCTCCTCGATTATAGTAGTTGACAGCGAGCCTGAGACATTTGAAAGAAAATTACCGTAATCTGTGGCGGAAAGTTGTAACTTCAAATCTTCCAAAGAGTCGCACTGAGTGAGATTGATGTACTGAGAGGATTTCAGTAAACCATCCCTGTACCCACGCACTAGACCCTCAATGAATCCGCTATCAATATTGAAAAATAGGCCTTCCATGACTCGAGAATTGAGAAGCGAGTGCTGTTTTTTCTCTATGATGCTGCATGAAAGTCGATCGGCTTTGTACGGGCTCATAATTTTACGTCGATCTTATATAACAGATACGAAGGAAACTATATATTTTGTAGCCCAGTATGAGTGAATCAACAGGCATACTTTTGGAAACATTATGGAACGAGCTTCCTGGAGAGGTTGAGAATTTGTTGGATACTTCTGAGGCTTACAAAACAGATGCGCTGAAATTTCTTAATGATTTGTTAGACCAGGATAGATCAGAGACTTTGCTTTCTACCAACGTGAAACCAAGCTTCGAGGCCGAACATTCAGGACAAACTTTAATAGAACGAATTGCAGAGCTAGAATCATCGCAACGAATCCTAGAAACAAAAATCAAAAAGTGTGTCCATTCAAACCTAAACAGTTCTTTAAAACTAAACAAGGTCTATACTGATTGTGTTTCTATGTTCAAAAATGACTTCAATGAGTGTCGCGAATTTCTATCCACCAATTTCAGCAGGTCCGAAGATGCTATGGACACACAGCAGAAATCGGAAGAGAGCAATTGGAAAGACTTACTAAAAATTCAACATCCGCACTCGAAACATGAACAACTACAAGAAAATCGGCAATCGTCGTCTCTCATTTTGAGCAAAATGGATAATATAATGGACATATTAGAGCTCCCTGCTCTTGCCAATGCTTGTGTAAAGACGGGCCATTATGCCGAGTGCGTAGAAATTGCATCACACGTGCGAAGGCTGTCTATCAGATACTCAGACATTGCTATCATTCAAAGAGTAGAGCATGATGTTCAACTCGAAATAAGAGAAATGGTGAATGGTCTCATACGACTGCTGAACACTGATCTTCGACAATCCTCGATCATAAAGATTGTTACCTATTTGAAGCGTATAGGCCCATTCCAGAAAAGGTTAAAAGAACAGGAGGACAACAGATTAGTTCAGGAAAGAGATACAGAATTGGTAAGTAACGAATTCCTACAAAAAATATTCCTGAAGTCTCGTTACCAATTCATCTTGAATGAACTCGATGTTCTCATTCCGTTGAAGAAGAGCAACTCTATTGACAACTACCTAAAACGGTGTGTTGAAGTAATCAGAGAGCATTGTTTTCAGACTGTTGTGACTTTTGAGTCTATCTTCCCAAATGATAATAGTAAGGCGGTCAAAAATCTCCTTTACTCTTTTATCAAATCTTTGATAAATCGTTTATGTGAAATATTGAAAGAGAATTGGAGCCAAGTTGGAGATACAAATAAGGATGGATTACTTTTGCAACTCATCTACTGCTCTCAGAGTCTCGGGAGAATTGGCGGAGAGTTTAATGTCATAATTCTTGATCAACTTAAGGACGCTATCGATAAAGAGAATTGGTGCACTGTTTTAAGGAAACAGCGTGAGCTGATCAAATCTTTGAGCAAAAGCATGGACGAACGCAATGTTCCCAAACCAATTGATGTATAAATAAAATAATAAACGACGATCCACGCCTGTTTTCTGTATATCCACAATCGCGCTTCTATTATAAGCAGATGTACGGGTGTTTCATGTACAGAAGTTTTCGTAGATTTTACGTGATGCACCATAATTTCACCTGGAATTGCAAAGTTTATGTTTTCATATCGGTGCTATTTGGAATTACACTGAAGCAAATACAGTAACTCCAATCCGATAACTCAGCTGCAATAGCATTGACCTAAAATCAGATCCGCTATTTCTTTTGTTGGACTCTTCGCTCAAAAAAGGTTTCAAACAGACACTGCAACATCGTTTGCTATTCACGAAATATGACTTCTCCAGAGAAAAAGCCACTAGTTGATGGTTCAAGCTCATCAGTACTCGTAGGTGAACCTCAATCGACGACCTCAAAGCCCTACAAAGAGTTCCATGCTCCGGCTTCCGGAAAGCTTGATTTCCCCTGGCAGAAGATTGGATCGTTTATTGATCCTCTGAACCCACCAAGTATCGAAGAGTTGAAGGCTATAAACATGGATTCTGGTGACTACCTCATTCAAAACTACCTGAAAGATAAATATTACTCAGACTTCTATTACAATTGCTCCTTGATGGTTGGTACATGTTTGTTTGCGTGGCTTATAGCAAGATTAGGAGGTGGTTTATTTTCGCTTGGCTTTGTCTTGATTTGCGCCTCCGCCTCATACCGGAATGAATTCAGACGCTTCAATAGAAACCTGAGGGATGATATGTTGAGACTCAGTGCTGCGAAGCAATTAGAGAACAAGGTTGAAACCATGGAATGGTTAAACAGCTTCCTTGCGAAATTTTGGGTAATTTACATGCCTGCTCTGAGTGAAATGGTTATCACCCAAGCAAACACTGTGCTTAAAGATGTAGCACCACCTCCACCAATTGATAAACTGACCTTGGATGAGTTTACTCTCGGTACGAAAGCACCCAAGGTTCATAGCATCAAGTCTTTCACGAAACTTGGTAAAGATGTCTGGCAGATGGATTGGGATTTTGGTTTTACTCCCAATGATACAGATGACATGACCAAGAATGAACTCAAAAAAAAGATTGACCCGAAGGTCGCTCTTGGAATCAGGGTTGGTAAAGGTTTCGTGGGAGCTTCTCTTCCAATTTTAGTTGAGGATATGTCGTTCAAGGGAAAAATGAGAATCACGATGAAACTAAGCAACAACATGCCACATATAAAGGTTGTGTCTGTTTCATTCCTAGAGCCCCCTTCAATTGATTATGCTTTGAAGCCTGTTGGTGGTAACACTTTTGGTATTGATATCATGTCTTTGATTCCTGGGTTATCTTCGTTTGTTAACAGCTTGATTCATGCAAATCTTGGACCAATGTTGTATGCTCCTAATTCCCTTGACATTGATGTTGAAGAAATATTCGAAGGCATGTTGCCTGAGGCTAAAGGTGTGCTTGCGGTCAACATTAGGGGTGCAGAATACTTCAATGACTCCAATATTAGTCCGTATGTTGAGTTTTCGACTGACCAAGGTGCTGTTGATCCCTACTTGACTGATATCAAGACAAAGACCAATGCTCCTATTTTCAATGAATTGAAATACCTTTTAGTCAACGATCTGAATCAAAAGCTCAATTTCAAGCTCATGACATTTGATGAAGATGACGTGCAGGAGCTAGGGACATCTTCATTTGAATTACTTGATCTTATGCAAAAGGAGGTCCGAGAAAAGATCGAAAGCAAGCTGACTAGACAAAACAAGCGGGTTGGGAAGATTGTGTACGATCTGAAGTGGTTCCCAGTTTTGGAAGGAAAAACTTTGGATGATGGAACCAAAGAAGCTCCTCCAGAATCAGAAGTTGGTATTTTCAGGTTTGTCCTCCAATCTGCGAGAGATCTTGATACTTCCAAATCAATGCTTGGCAAGCTATCCACATTCACCGAAATTTACTTCGGTGACGAGCTTGTCTCTACATCCAGAGTCGTCAAGAGTTCTAATGAACCGGATTTCAAGCTTGTATTAGAAAAATTGGTCCATTCTAAGTCCACTACCCCAGTCAGAATTTTAGTCAAGGACACTTCTTCTTATGGAACACCTGTCATTGGACAATACACTTCCTCTTCTTTGAACGATCTTATCTTCTGTACTCTTGAAGGAAAAGATACCATTTCTCTTACCTCTGGGAAGGGATACTTGCGGTTCAAGGCTGTTTGGAAACCATTGGCTGCTTTGGGTATGGGTGAAAACATCACCTTCGTTCCTCCGTTAGGGACTATCAGACTCAACATCAAGAAATGTGAAAACCTCAAGAACTTGGAGATCATTGGTAGCATTGACCCTTACGTTAGAGTACTCAGTGGTGGAAGAGTTGCTGCACAAACTCCGGTTGTTAAGGATGAACTCAACCCTGTGTTTGACGAGGTCATGTACATTCCTTTGATTTCCGAAAATCAGAAAATTACATTGGACTGCATGGACGTTGAGAAGTCGACTGATGACAGATTAGTTGGTTCTGCTTCAATTTCTCTGCACAAATACATTAAAAAGAACGAAAATGGAAACTATCTTGCTTACGAAGGCTCTTCAAAACTGATTTCAAAACCACTCGTGTACAAAGACAAAGAGCAAAGGGGAACAGTTTATTACTCCATCTCGTTCTACCCCACAATCCCCGTGTATTCGCAAAAGGAATTGAAAGAGAGAAAAAAGGCGAAAGAAGTGGACAGGGAAGCTGAACTAGAAGAATTAAACGAGCAGGCAAAAATGATGGAAGACTATAAAAAACATCCTAGTGAGTATGAATGGTATTCGGATAACGAAAATGAAGAAGTTGGCGTTCATAAAAAAGAAATGTCCTTCGAACAGCTGGTATCTCACAACTCCGGTGTATTGGGTATTAACATTATCTCAGGAAAGCTTTTTAAGCCTGACTGTTTTGTTCAGTTTCTTCTGGACGACCGTGCCTTCCCTGATTATACCACCAAAAAGTCCCAAGGACGTCATTTAGGAGCCGATGCAGGCAGCGCTTTCATTAGGGATTTGCCTAATGCTACCGTTTTGCTTCGTATAACTACGAAGGAGAATGTCAGAAAAAAGAATGAGGTGGTTGCCCGGAAGGAATTTAAAGTTAGTGATTTACTCAACAACGGCTTCAGAGAACCTATTACTCTTGACATCGATGGTAATTCCATTGAAGCCCAATTTGAATATATACCTACTGCAATTCCGCCTGGAGTGTCCGAATCTATGGATGATACTGGACTTTTGAGTTTGAACATTGTCCGTGCTGTCGGATTGATGGCAGCAGACAGAAACGGAAAATCCGATCCATTTGTTACTATAACAGTGAATGGTATGCAAGTTTACAAAACCGAGAAGGTCAAGAAGACTTTGAACCCAGTTTTTAACGAGCAAGTCACCATTCCTGTGAAGTCCAGGAGCAGGACTGAAGTCAAAACTGTCGTTTATGACTGGGATGTTGCTGGAGAAAATGATTTGCTTGGCTCGGCTCCTATTGACCTTACTAAACTCAAGCCAAAAGAAAAGGTGCCATTTGAAGTTCGTCTTGATACTCAGGGGTCCGTTTTCTTTGAGGGCTACTTTGAACCTAAGTATATGAGACCTGAGCTTTCTGAGTCTGGAGAGCTTGCAGGCCTTGCTGGTGCTCCAATGAAACTAGTCGGAAGCGCCGCTGGTTTCATTGGTGGTGCAGGAGTAGGCGCTGTGGATGCTGGCATGGGCGCCATGGGTGCAGGTGTTGGTGCTGTCGGGGCCGGAGTTACAGGGGTCGGCGCCGTTGGCGGAGGATTAATGAGAAAGTTTGGAGGAAAAAAGAAATCGTCAATGGACTTATACAGGAACGGCGATGGACAACCGTCCCCAAACCATATCAATGATACACAATCTATTCAGTCCATTAAAACAGGATCACAAGGTTCCTCTCCATTCAAAGCCAGCCATCAAAGACAAAACTCGGACATGACATCATTCAATTCGACCACGTTTGGTAGCAATACAATTCCCGGTAGAGTGACGATTGTGGGGCTGAGTGGTGCCAGTGAAAAGGATCAACTGCAGGTCAAGGTATTGCTGGTATCTTCTTCAAAAACCCGAGAGATTTACAAAACTAAGTCTCAAAAAGCGGACCCTACTGGACTTATTTCTTGGAGAGAGTCAATACCATTCAAAGCCCCACCAGATGCAAAACTGCTATTCCAGGTTAGAACTCATCACACCTTTGGTAAGTCTACAGACTATGGTGAAGCCCAGTTGGCACTTGAGGAGGCAGTGGGCAATCCGAGCGATTTCAATCTCCCTGTGGCAAACGGTGAGCTAGTGGTGAACTTTAGCTATGGTTCCAGCAACTAGAGCAATCGATCATTCATTTTTTTGTGTGTAATAGCGGAGTGTAATCAGTCAATTTTTGTCGTACTAAAACACCATGCGAATCTTGGCAATATGATTATTATGATAGCTCACTTGTCGGGCTGTGGTTTGACTGCAACTCTGCTATTCGTTTTCTCCTCGTCCAGAGACTTCCTGGGCTTAATAGTATTGCAACCAGGACGAGGATCATGGGGCCGTGCTATTTTGCCAGCATTGTCATCAGGATGCTTGTAGTAGATATAATTATGTAGAGCCATGTATTCAAGCTTAAGATGTTTTTTCTGAGTCCCCTTCCACTACAAATCTCCCTCATTTTATGCACATAGTTTCTACTAATATATAAATAAGATCAGTTAAAAAAAAAAGTGGTTCGATTCGATCTTGTGATGCAGCTAGTTTATTATCTCGGAGTAGTCTTTTGCCAGAATCTTATTGTCAGGAACACGATTCTGGTTATAATTTATTATTGCATTTATCATGTCTATTTAATGCTTAGTCGATCTCAAATACCTCGGATTCAGGAACTTTCTGACTATTGGTAGGCAAACTCAGCACGTAGAGCAAGCGACGGATTATTTGCGGTCCAGACAGGTTGTTTTCGTCACAACAGCACTGAATGATGAAGTGCTTTGGGCACAATAATTTTCTGAACTGAAGACGAAACAAGTTCAGCTCTTCTGCTGTCACCTCAATCCTAGCAAAATCGTCATCTTTGCATCTCGGACAATCGTACAAGATATTATCATAGTTTTCTTTATGTTCATCCTCCTTCTCGTCCTCACCGATCAGCTCTAGGCTGGATGCGTACTTGCGCAAAGCTTTTAGTGAAGGGCGCCCAACAAGAGTCGAACAACGATCACCTGACGATGGCGACCCAAAGATGGTCAATTTCTCAATTTGCTTTTTAGGAGTCCGTTTGAAAAGTTTGGATTTCTTTCGTTTTTTAATATTCAACGATGGTGTAAGGTCCACCGTGAAAGACACGTTCAGTGATTCGTTGTTATCCAAAGCTTCTTCCTCAAAATCTTCCTCAGAGATTGTGAAATCTGAATCCCCAAGTTCCACATATTCGACGTCTTCGGCCTGATGTGATGAATCAAAAATGTTGTCTTGGTCGCTCAGCGACGTGTTTGTGTTGTATGAGAGCCTATGTTTGCGTTCCAGCATTTCAGAAAACGAACTCCGGCGTCCAAAGCGTCCTTCCAAAGCGTCCAGATTAAAATGGGTCGAATTATACGTTTGCGGCCTGATAGGTAAAGCAGAAGCGCTTCTGATCACTTTCCTCAAGGTTTTTTTCGCGTTCAAGATATTGATCTCATCCGAGTATTCATAATCCAACTGATCTTTGTAAATCGCAACGCCATCAGCTTCTTCTCGAGGTATGTGCTGAAGCAAAAAACCGATGTATGAGTGGAGTTTTTCATTTTGCAGTTCCAGAGATTTCATCTGGAAGCTCATTTTTGTAAGCTCTTGTGAATACTTCCTCTCTATGCTGTCTCGTTCGATATTGTTAAGGATGTTCAGGCTCGTTTGTCTACTACTCTTTCTTGAGCCAGCGACTGTGTTTATGCCCAATTCCTGAAGTTCTTCAGCTAACGTGGCTTTAAGATCGTCTGTGATTATATCTGACGCCTCGTTCATTCGAATATCGGATGTGGAATCCATGCTTAATTCTGCCAGTAATTCAGCGTATTCATCCTTGAGCTTTTCGTATCTTTCTTCAAGCTCACTAAATCTCACCTTGAGCATTTCAAGCTCCTCGATGATCAGAATCTTTGAATGCGCTTCTAATTGGTTCTCTTTTTCCAAGATTGTGATTTTTTTGGTCAGCTTATCCACTTCTAATTTACTTCGTGAGAGGTCATCAACATGGAGTGATATGTTATCTGTCTGTATCTGCTCAAGTGACTTGTTATTTTGTAGTAGGTTATGCAATGTCTGATTCAGCTGGTCAATTTTTTTTTCCAACTTCTCTCGTGTTTCCGTCCAGTTTAAGTATTCTTTATCATGTAGTTCCCTCTCTTGTTTGAGTTCGTTGGTGATCGTTTTGTTATCCATGGAAAGCTCATGGATTTTGCGTAAGTGAAGGTCTAGTTGCTTCTCTTTGTCCATTAATTCGCTTTCCGCTCGTTCCAGATGACGAACGAGGTCGTTGATGCGTATGATGGAATCTCCATATAAACGTTCCAGTTTTCTATAATCATTGGCATTCATTGCAACTCCGGACTTTGAGCCCTCAGCATGAGAATTATCTAGTATATTTCCGAGATCTCTTAGTGGTGATTTATTCTTTTGTGAAGCGCCTTCTTCCGTTTGGCTGTAAATGCTCATGGATATATTTTCGTAGTCTGATGACTCCATTCTTTCTCACACGGGCATTTATCGCAATAAATAAGATGTATATAACTGAAGCTCCTTCCGGTTTCCAACCGATCTATAGACTCTCAATTCGATGAATGATTGACCCTGCTCTAACCCGTGTTCAAAGGACCGTATAAAAATGTTTTTGTTTATGTTTTTCTCAATAAAATATTTAGCAGGTGCAAGGAGTCCACGCCAATTTATAATTTGATTATTCTATAGATGCGAATCTCAGGTGTACTTTCAGGATACCAAATTCCATCAAACCTCAAGGGCTCCATAATTGTCCAATCCCATATCTTATCCTGAACTCCGAGATTGAGTAATCTTTCCCATTCCTTCAAAGTGGCCTCATTCCTCACAGTGGCTGCAATGTATGCATTTCGCACTAACCTGAAGCCCTGATTGTTTTGAGTCATTGATTCATATATTAGGCTGACAAGATCATCTAAAATGCTGCTATCGTATGTGACATCTGCAGCTACTATGGTATCAATATTCGGATCAGGAAGCTCGTCTTCGCCCCAACATAGTTTAGATATTGAAATTTTGGGCGATTCTACCGGTATATCATTCAATTGCAAGTTGGATGGTAGGTTTTCTATCAACTGGGAGTCGCCGTCTGTTATGCATATTTTTTTCACAGTTGGATGATATTTATAGAGGGCCATGCCTACCAGACCTGTTCCGCAGCCAAGTTCCAAAACTGTCGAATCTTTGAGATCACAGTAGTCAGTATTCAGCAGGTACTCTGCCAGATATAGAGACGCCTCCCATGTGCGCAATCCCGTAGTCCCCAAACCTGATATCACATTTGGTGCTTCTCGAACTTTTAAATTCAAATCTTTATTGCCTGGTTTAGACGATACGCAGTAGGATATCACTTCGGTTTGAGTCGGGCTCAGCGGAGCCGCTTGAAGAAGACTGCTTAGTTTTTCATACATGCCATCGTTGATTTCTTCGCCTTTTTCCTCTATGAATACGATGAGTTTCTCTATAACCCTCTTGCAATAGTATGCATTTTCGGGCTCGATCTCCTGCAAAACTTTCAAAATCAGATCTTGATCTAGATTTGGAACAAGCTCAATCTTTGTAACGGGCACTCGTTGACGTAATTGTCGCGCTATTCTCTCCATTGATTTACAAGCTAAAATAAAATTTTAACACTGCCTGGATTTATTTATCTTATACATTCAGTGTACCAAAAACTCTGAGTCTCTTGACCCCACCGTCGGGGATCATGGTTAGCTTCACGTGTGTGACAGGCTGGTCTGACATAGATTCATATTCATGTTCTCTGTCCGGCCCAGTCTTAGTCTTTTCGACAAGGTATGTCCATTTAGGGTCGTCCACAGCTGGAGAGTATTTCTCAGTATTGATGCCTTCAATTGTTATGAACTGAGGGAAGTTACCTCTGTAATGAGCTGTATCAACGATCAGCTTAGTGACGTTAGTTTTGAACCCAAGCTTAATGATGGCCCAATCGGTATGACCGACAGTCCGCGATCTCTTGGTTTCCCAACCGTCCGACATATCATGGCCACGACCTGGAAGGAGCAAGTTATCAGCAGAACCGAAATGCTGGTCTGAAAATGCAACACACACGCCTCCGTTATTTGCACTGGCTGTATCAAGTATGCTGCTGATATCTTGTGGTATCACAGGATAGACTGTTCCGTAAAGTCTAAATCTTGCAATTCCTCCGTCAGGATACATCCTCAATCTCACATGTGTATACTTTTTAGGCGTGATCTCCTTGCGTTTGAAAAAATGCCTCTGAGAGGGGCCGCATTCAACTTTCTCAATGACTTCGTCCCATTGAATGCCGTCAAAATTTGAGTCGTCAGTAAGAGTTGCGGCTTCGACAGAAATAAACGGAGCATGATTACCATTGAAAAATGCAGTATCGATCTCGCAACCGATCAAAGCTGCCGACGAGACGCCCATTTTTATAATCACCCAGTCAGCCTCCTCTGGGTTGTGCCTTCTGGTTTCCCAGCCATCATACCAGGCACCAGCATATGTAAATTTAGTAGCATCTCTGATCGGTGCTTTAGGTTTAATTAGATTCTCTGCGGCTGCGAACCACTCGTCGGAACATCCCAACACTTTCCCTCCAAGCTTTTCACCAATAACGTCAGTATACCTCTGAACGATTTCAGTTTGAAACTCTGACTCGCTTAAGACACGGATCATTGCGAAGAATAATTGAGGATGATTGAATTTATGTATTTAGAGGAAATCGCTCAGCACTTTCGGAATTCTCCGAGGCTTTTGATATTTACACGAGATATACCAACATGGGTAAACTTGTAGATAATGAATTTAACGGAAAACCGGGGCCAATCAAGAGTTCCAGCCGTCCAATTGAAAGCCGTATTCACTAATCTGCGGAATCTCAAATAAGTCTGGGCTTGAATGAAGATTGCGTTCAATGAACTTCATGTAACCATCTTTTCTTAGTAATATGATAGTCTGCGTTCGAGTGCCATAGTAATCGGACCCTGTGTCCGACTTCACCGGCGGTATAAATACACTTTTTGGGAACATGTCGAATGCTTGGGAGAATGTGAGGCCCTGCCATTGGGTTGGCTCAGGGGTTGCGGTGGAAAGCACTGCGAACAGATTTTTAACTAGTAACTCCTCTGACCAGTTCTGTGCCACTGAGGATTTGATAGTATCCTCGAGCGCATTTGTACCAATGCGCACTTTGGGCCATGGTTTATCAAATTCAGAGTTCGAAAGTCCCACGGTGGCCCGTCCCTTGAGAACACTGTTCTTTTTGCTTGATCTATTCGAAAGTATGTGTAGAGGTTCAATACCCTCAGAATTACCTCTTCTTCTTTTTAGCTCTCCGTATAGCAGTGAGAATCCTCCAACATGCTGAAAATTTTGAGTTTGTTCCCCGACTACTTTTTCCCATATATCAGAAGGCTGTTTTGATTCGAGAAACATGACCGGTATAAGCCCCCTTGAAATTTCTCCAACGGGATCTCCAGTGTATGGTTCTCGGAAATTCACCAGCACAGCAACTTTTCCAGCTTTGTTTACCCCTATCCATGTCCCATGCTCCTCTCGAGCAAGATCTGCAGGTCGTAATTGTGTCTGTGACTCATCTTTGAACGAGGCCAATTCTGTTTTACGGCTGAAATATTCGTCTCGATTGGAGAGTAATATAAATGGATAGTCGGGATGCAAAGACGAAGTTAGTAAAATACACATCTAAAGAGGAACTACTAAGATGTGAAAAAAAGTTGGACTTTTTTAAATCGCGAAGCCTATACTTCAACTGTGTCTCAGCTGCTGTGCTCAACGAGTTGAACTCGTTGAAGTTTTGACACGATAGGTGCTTCGTCCCAGTGTATTTCTTCAGTTCAAAAAAACTGGGCTTAACTCAAATAGTCATTGGTTTTCCGGCTTATCTGAAGAGTCATAAGATAAGGGACCAAGTCTAGTATAAAATACGCTAAGCTGGCCCAAAAGAAAAAAAAAGTTAATCTCCTCTGATGCTGGGGCACCAAATTAAATCCCATTTTGTTCTTGATGAAAACAAACTATTTGTGAACCATGGGTCCTACGGTTCGGTTCCGAAAGCTGTTTGGTCCAAATATCAAGAATTGATGCTCAAAGACTTATCATTCCCGGATGAATTCACTATCACAGAGCAGCAGGACCTGATGATAAGATCTTTGAAAGTTTTAGGTGAATTTGTGAACACAAGTTTTGAGAACTTGGCGCTTGTTTCTAATGCCACCTCGGGCATTACTGTTGTTCTTAGATCTCTCGACCTCAAAAAAGAAGACAAGTTCCTGATCCCTTCCACGATATATGCTGCCTGTGCGAACAACATCGACTATTTGTCAAAGCGAATTGGGTTCAGCGTGACAGTTTTAACTCTTGACTACCCTCTTGAAGATGATGAAGTGATCAGATTATATGAGGACGAGCTCAAAAGCGGTGAATATAAATATTGTTTCTTTGATGCAGTTACTTCGATGCCGGGAGTCAGAGTCCCCTATGAAAAGTTGGTGCAGCTTTCACGAAAATATGGGGCATTAAGCATTGTTGATGGAGCGCACTCAATTGGCCTTATCGAGCTAGATTTGGATGCCGTGAAACCTGATTTTTTTACATCTAATCTTCATAAATGGCTTTTCTTGCCTCGAGGAGCAGCATTCTTGTATGTGGACCCTAAACATCAAGACTCCATTCAGCCTTTGCCTATTAGCCATACCTATAAGGATTCCAAATTTTACCAGAGATTCCTTTTCACCGCAAGCAATAACTATACATCTTTCTTCTGTCTGGATGAAGCACTCAAATTCAGGCAGGAGATATGTGGTGGCGAGAAGAACATTCAAAACTACTGTTTTGGCTTGGCAAGGCAGGTACTCAACACTTTGGGTGGCCAGGAAAAGTTTGAAAATTCAACACAAAGTCTAACCACGGCAATGGTAAATGTGAAGGTGGATGTATCCAGCGAGCTATTGCAACATATTAAAGACAACTTTTTAGAGTTCAAGGAATATGCTGCTAAAGGAATGTTCTCAAAAGATAGCTTTGTACCAGTAGCATATACCTCAACCTCGCTGTTTGTTAGGTACAGCTGCCAAGTTTACAACGAGCTAGAAGACTACAAAGTTGCACATTCGAAATTTCTTGAAGTGTTGAAATCCTATGAACGAACAGTATTCACCAAATGATTCGCTGTGGGTCTGGCAGATCGTCCCACTCAAATATATAATTAAAATAGATCTGGAATAGAGACCTTGACCACCAGTAATTCCATAAACATTCTAGTCCCAATCGTAACTGAGAGTGGTCTGCCACTGGCTGCACTTGCAGTCTCCAGTACACTAAAGGTAAAATAAAATACCGCGGCTCAAATAATGGAGATGGAGCGACAGTGAGGATCACACACGTCACAAATGCGATAAATAGCACTTTCGAGTGGTTTTTGGTAAAAAGTTTGTACACTGTATAGGCAGAATAGTGGTAAATGGGAATAAGCAAATATTTGGAGTACCAAGTCTTGAAGATGATCCTTCTCATGATATAGAATGTATAGTGTCTGTTATCGGCGAGAATGAATGGATGCAAAAAAGTGAAGTTTTGCACAATGTAAAACATAATGAAGATCCAGAAGCCGTTGAGTACCAAATACTTTCTGGCGAGTAGTATCTCAAAATAACCTCTAATAAATGCCGGACTGAGCCACAATGTAGCGGAAAAGCTGGTGATGAACGTAAAGCAATAAAACACTTGAGCTAAATGAGGAACAATAACATGGTTCTCCTTGTCCCCCATAGTTATGCCCCCGTTACTGATAACAAAATTTATGAATGCGATAAGAACCATTGCGAAAGGACAAACGATCCTCCAACTTGCAAATGCCTTGCGGACAAAGACGGTAATATCGTATTGTGCAAAATCGCGATAGTTGTCCTTTGCCAACTTGTCCACCATAACTGCTAGTGCAAAGGCTAGCCAAACGATGTTGGTTTGTCGGAACAGGAGACTGATTGAGCCCAACAAACAGGATAATGTGGCTGATATCAAAGTGGGTTTCCAACAGACTGCAACAACGTATGATTGAACGATGAGAAGCGTGGACCAAACGTCTGTGTAAAAAAGAGTATAATAAATCGTCAGCAATGGAGAGGAAAATAGAGAAACAGCGGAAAGACCAGAGTTGTGATGTTTCTTGACAACCAATGTGGTAATGATAAGGAGCACGCCGCCAATAAAATTAAGCAATCTTAAATTAGCAATGGAGAATTCCAATCCCGTGAGTTTAAGCCACCAAAGTGCGAGATAATATAGACCCGGGGGCGTGGTGATCTTCGAATCCCATGAATCAAAATTGCCATTCCAATACTCCTTTACTTGGTTCACGTGAAAGATTTCATCAATGAAAGTATAATTGACCAGATCGTTTGCCTGGTCAAAATATGGTTTGAAAATAGAGACGCTAATTGCTGCCAAAGCAACGTCAGGTACAAGGTCCATTTAAATTGAAATCTATCTTTTTTTGTCCTTTTAGGCTTTGAAAATAAATTTGAATACAATATTTGACGTAATGGTATTAAAAACACAATGTTGTTATTCCTGTCGTTCTTCATCCTAAGCGTTGTCGGGTATCCGGAGTTGCAGTCTAATGATACTGCAGCTGTGCGGGCAATTGCTATGAGAACACAGAGAGATGTGATGAGAAATAACAGTATTATAGACACGGCTGTTTATGGCATCGATCTTAATAGAGTTGTCTTTGATCAATTTGGATACAACTCTTCATCGCTCTCTGTTTTTCAAGATATATTATGCACTGGAGTGCAAGCTCTGGTCTTGAACCTTTATTACAACGAAGCCCTCAAGGATTGGGGGTTGTGCGATCTGAGCTCCAATACTACAAGCTTGGGTTGTCAAGACCCAGGCAATTTCAATATTTCAGCTGTGGTGACATCAATAAATACTGTCTTGGCGAAGACAGATACCGGAGTCAACAAAAACATATTCTTCTTACTATTGAACCTCTTTTCCACTTTCAATAAGGACTCTAAGTTTCGCACAGGGATTGGCGTACTGTCGTCCTCGATAGCAGAACTCTCATATGCCAGCAGTCCAGCTCTCCTGGGAGAGTTAGACACCGTTAACCTCAATAGCTTTCTTTTTGGGGACAAAAACAGAGCCATACCAGTGATATTGTCCAACAATCTCTATACCAACACGTCTTACAATCTAAGCCCTGATCTGAATACCCTTTATCAAGCAAACACGACTATTCCCATCATGTATAGTCCGAATGACAATTTGACATGTTCAGCACCAAAGTCGTTCCAATTTGCTTACGACACCCCTGCAAATCCTTATGATAATAACTCATTCCACAATGCGCTTGTCTGTGGTTATTCTCCGATTATCAGTCAGAGAAGCCAAGATTTATTTCAGATTTCAAAATTGCTACCATACAGTATGTGGTCTTGGGATGCATTTCAACCAAATCTCACAATATCAAGGTCGCTGAAAAGAAAGAACGATTCCTCGGAAGCTAAGAAAGATGATTATCTGAACAGATGTGGCATAGTAACTCCCACAGGATGGAAGGCCACGTCCTGTCACTTAGATTTTCAGGTGGCGTGCGCAGACAGGTTGAACTCTACGAGAATAAAGCTGACTTCCGACAAGTTCACGTATTTTGAAGCTGGGGCGGCATGCTCTCAACTTGATGGAGACTATGTTTTTACTGTGCCTTCTTCACCGTTAGAACAGCGCACCCTTATCAATCTATTGGGGGGCGAGAAATCAGCTTGGATCGACATGAACTCGCTCTCGAGCTCAAACTGCTGGGTCAATGGAGGACCTAATGCTGTCTGCCCATACCAGCCCCTCGTTTCCAAGACCATTTTCAAGGAGATGATAAGTCTTGCATCTGCCATTGCGCTTGTTCTTCTATTGCTTCTTCTCATTGTTCAAATGGATAGACTACCAGTTCATCGCAATAGAAGCCATTGGCGTCGACTGCTCAAACATAAACTACAAAACGAGTTTGAAGGGATTCCTTCATGAGTTCTCAATGTTAATAATGTTTGGCTACCTAATTATACAATTAAAGTGTTGCAGCAGCTAATTATGATCAGCCGTCTTCATCTTATAATCTCAAAACTGCTATCAACTCCTTCTTCCAACTCGATGAGCTCGCTGCCAAAAAGTCCGCTATCGTATTCACCATTGGTGAGATCATATTTTGAGTTCCAGATGGAATATATCCGGACAGACTGGTCGCTAATTGCGGTGCAAATTGACTTCGAGTCATGAGAAGAGACCGCACTCAATACCCTAATGTTTGATGTCGATGCCAGTTTAACCTGCAACTTCATTGATGGATACGAATAAACAGATATTAAAACCGGTTTTTCTGTGTTATCACCAAATCCGAAGGTTGCAAGTATCTCCTTCCTCGATTTCGACCAAATCAAAGACGTAACTTGTCCCTTTGTCTGGATTTTGTCGAGTAAAGTGCCTGTGTTTGTGTGCCAGAATCTGATGTTTCGATCTTTGGATCCTCCCCCAGTTGCTAGTAAATGTGGCATCCATGGACAGTATGCGATAGCCTTGACAGCAGCTTGATGAGGAAGACAGGATTTCAAGATTGGTTTGTGCAAATCAGTGATGTCCCAGATGGTACAGCAATTGTCATTTCCTCCAACCGTCACTTGGCGCTTGTCTGGACTTACGTCGATACCACAGATTTGCTGTTCATTGCATTTGAAAGAGCACCCGATAGAGAGTCGATATTGAGGTGAATTCTGCCCATTTTCTACCTCGGTCAACTCATACAGTGTGACTTCTCCTAGATCATCCCCTGCAAAAAATGAGTTTGTGTCCTTGATCCAACAAATACAGCAAATCCCTGTGCTGGGCCTAAGAATCGAAGTTGTATTGATCGTTCTTGAGTTTTCAGAATATATGATAATTCTGCCCGTTTTGGTACCAACAGCCAGTATATCATTGTAACTATATGAAACGCATGAAATAACCTCTTCTATTGTTTGCAGCGGTGTTGTTCCGGTTTTGTTGCTCCAGGTGTAAACCACGGTTCCCAGGCCTACAGCGATCCGATCACTTTTCTTGCCCCAAGAAACTACATTGGCATAGAAATCGTTCCTCAGTCCTGGAGCATCCAAAACCTTGAATTTGACCTCCGTTTTGATTTTCTCTTTTGAGGTATTACTCAAACTGGGAGGACTTGCAATCGTGCTACCGCCGATGTCCGATTGAGATGGCTGTTTATTCTCAATCATGTCTGCAATGGCTTTTTTTCTCAGACTAGACACTTTGGACGGCCTAAAATTCAGGATTCGGGACTTAATACGAAACCCCAAAGCTTTCGCAACACTTACTTTATGGACACTAGCGTCTTCTCTCGGAAATGGCTCTGACTCTGATCTGTCGTTAACAGAGAGGTCGTCAAATCGTCTTGCGATTTCATCTTCTGTTAAATTACCAGTTTGTCTTGTGGATGACTCTTGATTTGACCTCAGAAGAAAGTTATCATCACGAATCAGAAATGGGTTCTCAAAGAACCCGTTTTCGCCAGTTATTGGGCTTCTTATTTCATTTTGCTTATTGTGGAATCTCGAAGAATTAGTTATAAAACTTCGATAGTACCCTTGATTTCCATTATCCTCTAGCGTTGAAATGAACCTGTCGGTGATATTGTCGTAATTAGGGTCATTTCTCGATGTGTAGTTATGGTTCCTAAAAGACTTTTGAGACCCATACTTGCTCGTCTGTTTTAAGCTCATAATCTGGCGGTCGTTGGGATCACGACAATAGGAGAGAAACAAAGCAACTGAGGAAGCTGTAAGTAGCAAAGTGTAGTGATATATCTATAAGAATATGCTACCGATAAGGAAATATATCACCTAGCGTTAGCGTTAATTCAATTATTTTACGGAGCACATTTAGAAAAGGCGGTGCAATAAAAACCGTTTTTCCCAAAGTGGAACTCTTGCGGGGGGCTAGACACTGAAGCTCTCTGCGTGGAAATTGAAACCGCAATCATTAGCCCAAAGTTGGACTCTGTTCACAAGACCAATAGGACCTGCACCAATAACCCATGTAGACTCATCCAGTTCTCCTCCTCTTTCTTGGAATCTCTGTTGTCTGTTTTTTACGAATTGCTCATTAAGGAAAAGCTCGTCTTGCGCATCCGAGCCCAACATATGACCATCACTCTTTTGATAGTGTAATTTCTGGCTTTTGTTTTCAATTGTAATTTCATTGCAACACACTGACTGGCCGTTGTGTATGTCTATCAATGGGCCAATACACGAAGAGCCAGTGCACCAATTGTAGTAATGAATTCCCAATTTTGGCCTTCCAAATTCAATCCGACAAGCTAAACCCTTGAGAATCCAGTAATCGGCCAAATCATCATAGATACCAGAAGAGGATGAGTAACGCAAGCTGAAGGAGTCACGTTGTTGGGCAGATTCCGCAGGGGTGTCAAGGATTCCTGAATACAGCGAGGAGCTTCTAGGAACGTTTGGTTCGGGGTTTCTGCACTTACCATCTAGATCCAAATCGACATTTTCAAACTTGTCTTCATCCTCAGCAGAGTATCTAGATTTGAGTATCTCAGCGTGATGGCGAAGAGGGATGTATACAGCCCTGTTTTTCTGCGCTGAACTTTCGTGAGCAATATTAGGGTCGAATTCACTAGCCATTGCTTGATAGTTTACCTTGGACTGCATCAGAGGTGACTTTTCATGGTACTGCGGAGAGAACGTTCCATTGAGTACCTGTTCCTGGTTTGAAAGCTCTGTCTGCCTATTGAGACGATGAAGTTCTCTTATCGCTCTTTTGAAACTATAAATCTCCGATTGACTATAGGAGCCGGTGATGAAAATATCAATGCAGTCGTCGTTGACTAGTATATTTTGAAAGTAGTCTAAGATTTTGAGGTCTTCATGATCCCTGAGAACCCAAATTATCTTCACGGCGGCTCCATTATAACTAAGTGTCCTCAAAATTGGGAGAGCAAAACTGATTGCAGATCCGCCAACAACTATTAAGCATTTTTTGACTTTAGTATGGAAGAGGAGCGAACGTGGATTAGCATTTTTCATTGGCTTCAAGAAGCTCAAATGAGGTAGATATGCCCCTGTGATGAGATATTTCTTTTCGGACGACAAATCGAAGCGTCCTTTTCGGATGATCATCATCTGTTTTTCGTCAGATGGTAGGGTTGCAATCGTGAAAGGATGTTGAACTGGCACCAAAAAGTGTCGCCAGATTTGTTTCAGATAGTTAGAGTTGTCAAACTCATTCATTCTCAAATGGCAACCCGGCATTATTGACTTCACTGCCAGTGCTGATCCAGGGAAAGTCACAAGCAGCAGATTTGCAGAAAGTTGGGTCACCTCAATGGAGGAAACTTTGGAGATCCTAAATTTGAAGTAAATTTGGTACACCAAGATTGCGGCATTGATGGCAGTCAGGTATGGAATAGGTGGTCTGACATGAACGTACAGGAACAGTACTGCCGTCCAAGTGCAAACGTAATGAAATCCAAAGAATACCTTGTAAAACCTCCGCCTCATTTTGGGCAACGAGGTGACCAAAAGTAGGATGAAACAAACAAGTGCGTAGATGCCATAGAGATTGTCGCGTTTCCGGATTTTTGACATAGTGTTGCGTTGCCAAAAAATCCAGATGTACAATATCGTGTGAACTATGCTTTGGACAATCAGTATACGAGAAAGCCATTTATGTATTGGCAGCAAGGTGAGGTATAACGTATCCGGTAAAGGCGATGGGCGAAGTGTTAAGAACAGGACTGTGGGTAGACAGTATGTTGCCACACGTCCTACTCTAGCGGCCAAAAATTGAATGTCGGAATGCAGTTCAAGTGCTGACAGAAGACCGAGAACAATGGTCCAAAACAGAATGGTTTTTATCACTTCCAGATGGAGCGTGAAGTAGTTGTTTCTGAAACGGAGGATTTTGATTCTGCGAACGATTTTCCTGTATATTTTCCATGTAATAGGTTTTGCTATTTGATTATAGTAGGGAATCAGTAGAACAAGAATCATGGTGACAGCAAACGTGATATAGCCGTACTTGACTGTGATTTTCAACCTCAATGCTTTGTTTTTCCCCGCCTGGTCTTCGGGAAGAAGCCGAGGTACCCAATCCCAGAACATATATGCAAGAGTTAACGGCAATTTTCGAATAATACAGAAAAGTATGCAATTGTTTGCAAGTTGATCCAGAGAATATAGGCAGGTTATTTATCTAATCGATCTTTCGTAATCATCACATCCCTGCACAGCCTTCTCAAGCGCCACTTTAGTGTGTGTTTTTTCTTCTCTGTCACACGTGACTTTCAAAAGGTCTTTGTGCACTCCTTGGACCGCGGTTTTAATTCACCAGAGTTCAAATGGCAGAGATTTATCAACAGAGCCTCCTCACACCAAAAATTAGGCCCTGTGAATGTTTTTTTTCCCCCCGTGGTGCCCACGCGGTAACCAGGCGCTGGCCCCCGGTGTGAAAGCGGGAAGCTGGCCTAGTGGTGAATTTTTCATTTTGAAAAAATTTTTAAAAAACCAGACCTGTATCTACAGCTAGTTTAACCTATACCTGTTCAATATGGCTGACTTTTCTCTCACTCAGGAGGATCTGCAATTGTTGATTGCTGCCAACGCCCACTTAGGTTCCAAGAACACCAACGTTCACAACACCTCATACATCTACAAGACCAGACCAGATGGTGTTAACATCATCAACGTTAACAAAACCTGGGAGAAAATTGTTCTCGCTGCAAGAATCATCGCTGCTATTCCAAACCCAGCTGATGTTGTTGCCGTTTCTTCTAGAATCTACGGTCAAAGAGCTGTCCTCAAGTTTGCTTCCCACACTGGTGCCACTGCCATTGCTGGTAGATTCACCCCAGGTTCCTTCACCAACTACATCACCAGATCGTTCAAAGAGCCAAGACTAATCATTGTGACAGACCCAAGAACCGATGCCCAGGCCATCAAGGAGTCCTCCTACGTTAACATCCCAGTCATCGCTTTGGTTGACTGTGATTCTCCAGCAGAGTACATCGATGTTGCTATCCCATGTAACAATAAGGGTAAGCACTCCACTGGTCTGATTTGGTGGTTGCTCGCCAGAGAAGTTTTGAGACTCAGAGGTACTCTCATCAATAGAGAAGAGCCATGGGCTGTTATGCCAGACTTGTACTTTTACAGAGACCCTGAAGAACCAACATACGAGCCTTCTGCTGCTGATGAGCTTGCTGACGAGCTTGCTGAGGGTGCTGCCGAAACTGGAGAGGCTGAATGGACTGCTGAGCCTACCAACGCTGACTGGGCTCAATCCTCCTCTGCTGCTGACTGGGCTGCTGAGGGAGCTGAGCAGACCGAGAACTCTGAATCGTGGTAATTAAGATACTATGTCTCTTTCTGTTAGCAAAAAGTTAAGTCAAGTAATACATACATTGGTTAACCTGCGTCGATCTCCGACGTTGCATAGTATAAATCCAATTTATTATTTTTGAAAAATAACATCTTTGTTTATGTTCTTACTCTGATATAGCCTCAAATTGGTTCTTGAAAGCGTTCTTATCAAATTTCTGGTAGTGCTGTTCTTACTGACGCTGATTTTTCTTCTTCTATATCAGGTCGTTGTTGAATTCGTCACTACTCCTGTCTTGTTGCCCAAAGAACAGCACTAGCCCATGCAAAAATCCATTGTCTCCATTTTTTGGCCCATAGATTTGCTGAATCCTGTGTCTGACCAAAATTTGGTTGTAGTTGGATACAAGCTCAACAGCCAAATTGTGGTGATTGACTTTATACAGTACTCAAACTTCAAAAAGCTCAATTTAAAAATAGAGAAGAATGACCTTTGTCTAGAGATTATAGGCACAGTCAACTTCCATCATTTGAACTATAGAAACTTCAGGTTCGATGATAGCACAAATATGCCTGTCATGGAAGCACACGAAAACCTCATTCTGTTTAAGCCTCCCCTATCCAAGAAATTGGAATATTACTCCATTAAACCGATTTCCGTGGATATTTTCTGGACTGTGACCCCTCAGGATGTGTTTCCTTGCTCTCAAACATCACCGAACAAATTGGATTTGCATTTCGGTAGGCCTATGAGAGCCAGAGATCTCGAAAATGTCATGAAATTCATTAATCTCACAGAGTACACAAGATACAAACTTCTAAACTCCCACAATGACAAAAGCTTCTTTTACGCGGACACCATTGGCCATTTTATCAACTGGTTTGGCTCTGTAATACTTGCTTTGTACTGTGCAACCTTTCAGCCAATTTGCAAAAAAATAATCACCATTTTGACCTATCCGTTGTGGTTCGGCCCAGAAACCAAGATATATGTCACCCTGTCGACTTGCAGCTTTGTTCTTCACCAGCTGAAATTCAGAGCCAAGCAGCTTCACCACCTTCCTAATCAATTTCAACGGCTGCGAAACTCCAACTATGAAACCGAGAGACTGTTGATTAAAGGGACAAGATTTTCTCCCAGTGAATATATCAAATTCTATAATACGCTTTGGTTAATACTCAATGACTTACTCATGGGTATTGTGATGTCAAACATTCTGTCTAAATATCACAACGTACTGGTTCAAGGAATGAATGTACTGGTCTTGAAATTCGAAGACTCGTTACTATATTTAATCAAGTGGCTCATGAGTTTTCCTGGTGGCTTTAAACTTAACAATGAACTTGCTGAATTCTTCGGAGAGCTCTTCATGTGGGTGCTCGACTTCTGGAATGAATATGTGCTCCGAACAATGATGAACAACTCCTCTACTATCATCAGAGCTATTACACTGCTAGTCAAATTTGGCGGACTAAATATGCTCATTGCTTCCATTATGGACATTCTGGATATAACAAGTTTGCACTTGCGCTGTTTCTACTTTGCATCGACTCGTGTTTTTAATTGGCAATGGCATATCATACAGTCTTTGTTCAGACTATTCTACGGTAAAAAGTACAATACTCTAAGGAACAGAATTGACTCTCATAACTATGAGTTTGACCAGTTGCTTTTCGGTATAATCATATTCACACTTTTGGTTTACCTGTTGCCTACGGTGATTGCGTTTTATTTGAGCTTTGCTGTGGGTCGGCTTCTCACTCTCCTCCTTCATACAGTTCTGGAATCTGCTCTGATCACGCTTAACCATCTGCCAATCGTGGTTCTTCTTCTCAAAGCAAAACATAAAGAGAGATTACCTGGCGGTGTTATTTTCGAGTGCAGAACTGCAGCCAACAATACTCCCTATTTCCAGCTAATGGCAAGACCACTGAGCTTGAAGGAAATCATCAGTAGCCACATCAAGTCGATGACGATCTTCAATCTTAACAATCTCCGAGAGTTCCAGCTTGAAGGCTCCGAGGCCAACATCAAAAGTGTCATTAATCAATGGAACCGCGTATCGCTGGTTCGAGTACTTAAAAACATCGCATTTGGGAACTTCATAGACAGCTTCGACTATAAGAGACTGTTCTAATGTATAAAGATAGGTAGCTTAATCGGTTGGTATTATATACAGATCTATTTCCGCTTCTTTGTTGGAGCTTCAGATGGAGTCTTCAACTTCTTTGGAGCACCTTTTCCTCTCTTCCTCAACATTCTCACTCTTCTCTGTCTGTAATCTTCGTCTTCGTCGACAAGTCTGAAGTCATCCACGCGCCAAAGCTTGAAAATCTGGAACACAGTTGGGAAATCGGCAGGTCCGTAATAATTTGATATTATTTGGCCTTTCAATGGTTTTCTCAGAATCTGTGCCTCTGTTCTCAACCGCTGAGGATTGTATGTAGTTCTGAATATATTGCATTGTAGCTTCGTTAGCTCCTTGAGCTTTGCCAGTTTCGGCGGGTTGAATAGTCGACTCGCCATATTTGAGAGAAGCACTGGCACCACAATTTATTTTTCAAATTTCAGCGACCTGTAAAATTTAGCACCGCCGCTTTGTGGCTTGTGTTTAGTCTATCACTCGATATCAATTTTGGGTCCTTCATCAATGAGCCATGTGCATTTGTTTAGTGAGTTGACATCAATCACAAACAATTTGGATCTTTTCATTCCACTTGGAGTTCTGTATCTTTATGGACGGCCTTCAATGCCGTCCAAATCTTTGGAGGCCCCCGATGGTTGGAGTTGGCTAGAGCTGCCGTATCAAGGCGACCTGGAATTGCAGCCGGGCATAGGCTTGAGCAGTATCATGCTTGACCTGCGCTACTTAAACTCTCGGGGACATGTGAGGATGACATATAAGCCACTTGAAAGCGAAGTTTCGGTGGTGAGGCTTTATGTGTTGCCTCAGGATGTCAAAGATTCGCAGGTGGTGCAGAAATTCAGATCTCTGTACGCTCGTGGCGGACGCGCAGACAGTTGGCATGCAAAGACATATAAGAACGTTATGCTAAACTTGATTAAAGTGCTTGATTACGACGAGGGTGCCTGGAATATCGTGTCTGATAGCCAGCTGCTAAAGTATCTCAAGAGCCATAACATTCTTCTGTTTCCCTCGATGAGCCAGTTCAAAGCATACAACCTTGCAGATATAGGGAAAACCTGTTTGGATGAGCCCTTTGATCATCATTTGAGAAGAATGATAAAGTGTCTGTCGTATAGGAGATGTCTAGGAGAACCCAAGAAAGAAACAATTGAAGACCGACTCATCAGAATATACAGTCAAGTCAATTCGCCTAATTTCGATTTAGAGCAACTGGACTCCGGGTCAAGAGAGACCATCAATGAAATCTTGAACGGAAAGATTCCTGGAATGAAAAGTGACCTGTACAATTATCAGAGACGAAGTGTTGCCAAGATGTATGAGAAGGAGGTCTCAATCAGATCAGTTCACATTCCCAATTTGATTATACTTCCTCGAGGCAGCAAATCATATTATCTGGACATGCAGTCTCTGACACTCATGAATAATGCCTCGCTCTATCATACGCCAAGAGGAGGGATATTGGCGGAAGATATGGGATTAGGAAAAACGTGCATATGCTTGGCCCTTGTATGTCTTTCAAAGTATCAGATTTCCGAGATTCCCCGAGAAAATCGCTCCAGAACCACTCACAAGCATATGCTGAGCCTTTTGGATATATGCGCTAAACACATCAACGAGCACTCCATTGAATGGAAGCAGTTTCAGCACGAGCTACCTCGTGCCTGCGTCCAAAGATTAGAAGCCAACCTAGGATGCTTTGAGATATTGCAGTTCAAAGTTCCAAACTACGCAACACGAACCAGTCGCGATGTTGTGACTGAGACCAGAAAACTCTACGTGACGTCCTCGTCGTTGATCGTTGTTCCTGATAACTTATTCCATCAGTGGAAAATTGAGATTCGAAAACATGTACAAGAGGGCTACTTGAAAATATTGGAACTTCAAGGACAGGCTGAACTTCCTCAAAAGGTTGCCGAGATAATCAATAACGACATTGTTCTCATATCTCTTAACTACTTCTCAAGACAGTCTGAAAAACCAGATTCAATTTTGAGGTCGATATACTGGAAAAGGCTGATCATTGACGAAGGACATTCCATGAACTCTAGGTCCACGCGGGCCGTGCTGCTTGCCAAGCAGCTGGCTGTCGAGCGCAAGTGGACAATCACGGGAACGCCTACCCTAGGACTCACCAATCTACATGTGGAAGAAACAGAAGAGGACTATACCATCAAACGAAAATTCAATGCCAGAGATGATTTGGTGAAGCTAGGCACTGTCGTTTCCAATTATCTAAAAGTTGAGCCTTGGAGTACAAACCCAAAGTTGTGGCTTAATAATGTTATCAAACCGTTCGAAAATAATAGTTTGAATGGAGATCACCAGCTAATGCAAATACTACAAAATTTGCTTGTGAGGCATTCTGTCAAAGATGTGGAGCTTGACATCAAGCTCCCAAAGCTAACGCACCAGCCAGTGTTTCTCAAGCCCTCGTTTTTCGACAAGTTGTCGATCAATCTGTTCATAGCTGTTCTTGCGACTAACGCAGTCACATCCGAGAGAACGGACAGAGACTACATGTTTCATCCCTCAAATAAAAGCATTTTGAGAAGACTAATCAACAACCTTCAGAAAGCCACTTTCTATTGGACGGGCTTTTCTATTCAGGACATTGAAAACTTGCTTAGTATCTGCAACTATGCGCTCAATACCATCAAAAATAGGTACTCCAAAGATGACATCAAACTGCTGCAGAGCTCTATCTATACCGCCAAGGTTGCCTTGAGTAATTCTCGATGGAGAACTAATTGCAGTGTTCACGAGATGAGCTATTTCGTTTCCAATTTACCGTTAATGTTCCACAAAACCATGTCAGTTGCCAACTACGAGTACGAGGTAGATGACTTCCACAACCCAATAGGTGTTTACGGATATCCGCAACTGCATGCTGTTCAGAAACTGTTCTTTAAAAATCGACTGGTGAAAGAGAGTTTCCTGTTTGAGAGAATACTTGAAGAAAGCTCTAAAGAGTTCTGGATCAAGTACTGGAAGTCCAACGAGTCCAAGGAAAGTCGCAAACGGGGCTCGTCAAGGGTTTCCAACCAAGACAGTATTGACTTGGACAGTGTACGTCTAATCAATCACGAACCTAAGTGGAAAAACGAGTTTGACCCTGCAAGAGAAGAGCTCGAGATAACTGCCAGGCCCCAGAAACGAACCACGAGACAACATTTTGAGTCTTTAAACCAGTCACCACGAAAGAAGATTAAGTACATTCCAGAAGGGTCCGATACCCCTATAACTCCAGAACCTATGATGCCGGAAGGAAACTTTGCGTCGCATTTGCGCCATGCTCGAATTCTGGGTACTGCATCTGTCAAATTGTCATATTTGACGTCACGACTGTTAGAGAACCAAACAGTTGGAATCAAGTCTATCGTGTTTTACGAATTCGAAAACAGCGCTTATTACCTCACTGAATTGCTCGACCTGTTGGGCATGAATTACCTGATGTACTCGACATACGTTAAGATAGCGGAGAGATCCAATAACCTGACAAAATTTGATCTGTGGGACACCTCTGTCAGTGGTGGTATTGTTCTGGTAATGGATGTGAAATTGGCATCACATGGACTGACAATCATATCTGCAACGAATGTATTTTTTCTTAATCCAATTTGGAATAAGACAGTGGAAGCACAGGCAATCAAAAGATCACACAGAATCGGACAAACCAAGGAGGTGTACGTTGAAACCCTAATATTAGACAATACAATCGAGAAGGAAATGTACTTGAAGAGAAGTCAGACAAAAGTGGACGAAACCAAAGAGTTGATTGACAATACGGGAATGCAGGAATACATTATGCGGTTTGAGTTTCTTAAGCTATTCGAGAACTTTCAAGAGGAATACGAGCCCATCCGCTCTCAAACTCGCTATAAAATGGACCTGGGTGCGCCAAAGGATGATTATGACGATGGCTTGAAGCTATTCAGCGCTGAAAGCATTGTCGAAAATGGGATAAGGACCTGGAAGCTTCCTCTGTTCACTGAACAAAGTCTGGCACGCACCACAGAAAATGAATCCAAGATCAAAGACGAGCCGATTGACATTTTTAAGACGGACTTTGAAATGCAACAGGAAGGTACTGTTTCTGGTAAGCTTTTGCAAAAGCTTAAAAGTCAACGGAAAACTGTTCGTTTTGGCTGAACCTAAAGAGAGCGTAAGATGAGCGTTCCATCGATGGAGCCACTGATCAACCTGTCATTAACCAAATCCACATCCAACACCGTCCCCAGGTGTCCGTCGAGCCTACTCTTTAATCTCCGGCTCGCAAAGTCCCATACGTATACATGAGCATCATTGGATCCACTGATGATATATTCTTTGCCGTCAGACTTCTTTACTGCTTTCAAACGTGTCAGAAAGTCGTCTGTAGAAGCCTTAGCCCCGTCGAAAACGTACGGCCGCGCCCGAAGTCCCTTTGTATATAGCCTTGAGTCGTAATATTTGATTGTGTTGTCGACAGATTTGGACACAAGGTAGGACTCGTCTGGAGACAACGCTAGCGAGGTCACGTTATTCGTTTGATTGCACTCCTCCCAGAGGAGCATACTCCTTTTGCGCGCATCGTAGCAGAACACTGTTGGGTCAATTCCTGCGAAATAGAACCTCTGGTCTTTGGAATCTATTGTTGCTGTAAGAAGAGGATATTTGTGTTGGACGGTATCAATTTCAAATCTCGACCGTGAGTCCCACAACTTCACAGATCCGTCATCCGAACATGTCACAAGCATGTCGTTATCGGAATTGGATATTTCATTGATGCACATTTTATGGTAAAACGTCTTAATTTTCTGATTTTTGGTGATATCAAACACTGTTGCGGTGGAGTCAGCAGAAGCCACAAGTAGATGGTTTTCGTTGAGGTGAGACCATCTTATAGATGTGATGGCTGATTTGGTTATATTGGCCACATTGTAATCGTAGGGCAGCTCTTCTTTGATCAGTTCTGGCGAATCTGGGATCTTCCAAACGATCAAATTTCGATCAACTCCCCCCGAAGCCACAAGCGTCCCGTCTTCGTTAAATCTATTTGCGAGCACAGCTCCTTTGTGACCATTCAAGCGTAAGGCATAGGGGACGCTGGTGCCGTTCTGGTGCACTACCAAAGACATTCGACTAGAAGCTATATTCTCCACCTGCAAAAATTAAAATATCGACGCGACGATTTCTCCCCCGGATTTCGTTAGGCAGCCCTGTGTCTGGCCCCGGTGATGGCGGTATTAATTTTTCATTGGGCAATCGTAAGAATCTTGCTATTATATTTATCGATTTAGAAACATGCTTTCCAGAAACGTCGCTTTTGCTACCAGAACCAACAGATTGGCTTTCGCCAGACTCTACTCAGAGGGTTCCACAGGCGCTACCCGCAGTGATGGCTCCTCTGATGCTTTCACCGTAAGCATAACACCACTTGCCTACTTTTTTACTAACCTTATTAGAAACGTGAAAAGGCCCAAGAGGATTATTACATTAAAAAGCACCAGGCCGAGCAAATTGCTAAGCTCAGAGAGCAATTAGCCAAGCAGAAGGAGCAACTCGACCACCTCGAGTCGTCTATCAAGAAAGACTAAGCCAAACCATTATTCCAACAAATCTATCTAGTACGTAACGTTACGAATACTTATTCTACACAGTATTAGTAAAAAAAGATCAGTTCAATTTAGGTCTTTTGACATTGTCGAGCAAGGAGTCCTCCTCGTCGACTGGACCTGGGCCATCATTGGCTTGTATTAATGGAGTCGAGATGTCAGCATGGAAGTCTTTGATGATGGAGTCCACGTCGTCAATTGTGAGCGGTCTCACATCTCCAAGCTTCTTAATCTTAGTGGTAACCTCCTTGACCTGGTCGTCCGACAAATTGAGGTTCAATTGTTCCACTCTGCTCTTGATAGCGTTCCATCCCGTCAGTCTGTTGGCGAAGTGGATGTAACGCGACAGACCAAAGTCAGATGGGTTGAGAATCTCATAAGTGGATGGGTTGGCCAAAATGGCCTTGGCATGGATACCAGCCTTGTGCGTGAACGCGCAGAAACCGGTGATCGGGTTGTTGAACGGAATGTTCACTTGCACAGCCTCAGCCACGAGATTCTCCAGATCTCTCAATTTGTGCAGCTTGTACTTGGACATGACGTACTCTCTGTCTGCTGCAATCATTCTAGCCATCAAACCGCCTAGTGGCGTAATACCATTTCTTTCTCCAATACCGAGAACGGAAACGTCAATGAGTTTGGCACCTGCCTCCAAAGCAGTGTAGGCGTTGGCAATGGCACAGCCGGTATCGTTGTGGAAGTGGCACTCAATGTCGCATGACACGACAGACTTCAAAGTCTTGACCAGCTCATACACCTGTCTAGGATTAGCGCAGCCCACAGTGTCGGCAATACCAACTCTGTTCACGCCGATCTTGTCAACCGTCTTGTAGATGTTGAGCAGATCGACAATGTCGGATCTGAATGAGTCCTCGGAGGAAAATCTGATTTCAATACCCTTGGACTTGACAAATTCAATAACTTCAACGGCAGACTTAGTGATGTAAGACATGTCCTTACCGTGAGAATACTGTCTCAGAAACTGGGAGGTTCCAATGACCACATCGACACCATCAACACCTGTCTCAACTGCAACCTTAGCATCATCCATATGACATCTGATGTGAGTCAAAATCTTAGCCTTAAGCCCAAGTTTACAAATGGCCTCGCAATCGATTCTACTTTGCTCGGAGGCAACAGGAGAGGTCAGTTCAATGTAGTCGACACCAAAGTCATCCAAAGCCTTGGCGATTTCAATCTTTTTTTCTGTGCTGAAGAAGGCGTTGGCAAATTGCTCACCTTCTCTCAAGGTAGACTCAATCAACTGGAAAGATCTAACGTTTGATAAATAATCGCTAGGATTTGGTCCATAAGGATTTACCTGGACCTTCTTGTGCTGCTCTTCGGAAACCTTTTGATACTGATCTGGCATGTTAGTCAATAAAACAACTTCAGAACATACCTAATGAGGACATAATCAATTTTTAGATAAAAAATCCGCCTCTTAAATTACTTGGAGATGAAATTATCACGAAAAAAAATGACTACACGACCTGCCGAATATAAATTTTCTAAAACAGGTATTATATGATGCTATGATAAATATTCATACCCTGTGCCTTCGCTGTCTCGTGCAAGATACTGCTCATCGATAAGTACCTCAATCGCTTTCTTGATGTCCGCCACAGTAGGCTTGAACCGATCGATCATCTTGTAAACCTCATTCGTTAGCTGCTCGTGCTTGTAATGTTTTCTAGCTTTCATCACCCTCACGATAGAAGCCTTCAAAATACCGTGATGGCGCATTTGAATCTCGGTGTTTGTGTCCTTCTCTTCATTCTTCGAATCTGTTAGTTTCACCCCAGATGCGAAATTCACTTTGATACGCTTGGATGTATATTCCTTCACGATGGTGAAAGTTGTATGAGGCTTCGTGATAGCTTCCTCGCCTGGAGGATTCTGAATCAAAAGTTTGTTCTTAACTAAGGGAACGATGTTGGCCTTGAACACATCCACCGGAGCAGCAGTGGCCTCTAGTAACTCAGCAACGCTCAGCGTATCTGCTTCGTTGAATGGGTACAAAATGGCCATCTGGAAAAGAGTGACAGTGAACAAAAATGGAGGCTTCCCAGGTTTGGAAATGTTAGCTTTCAGCTCGACTTTGGACCGATTCCAAATCCAGCTGAGCTGCCGTCCAGGGAACTTCGACTGATATATAGAAGCGAACTTCTCTTGTGTGTTGATTAGCATTGGTGGCAGCAAAATAGATTCGTTGCTCTTATTGAAAATGGACTGCCAAGCACCAGAGTCCAGAATCCGCGGTTCCAAATCGGAAACATACTCTTTAGGATTAGGCTCCTGCATGATGGTTTCTTTGTACAAGGCACCGAGGTCCCGCGAAACTCTAATATCGTTGAACATGTTGGTGATTTTGTTTGTGTATTCCTGCGTGTTGGCCGATCTCAACTTGCCAATGATCAGTTCCTCCCTTTCGCCGTCTTCTGGTGTCATTGTCGAACCCATCAATCTCTTGGAGAGGAACCTCCTGTACCAGACCTCAAAACTTTCCTTGTCATCAATGAACTTGAAAACTGTCATGAGCTCGTCAACAGACATATCCTCAGGTTTCTTCCTAAGCATCTCGTCCGCATATTTGGCAAGAAGATCTGGTGTCTTGGATTTGGATTTGTCTTTAGGGGTAGCAATTGGGTTATAGTTTATGAAGGATTGGCATGCGCTGTCTAAAGCCTTCACAAATGCCTCGTTGTTTTCAAAGGATTCCTTCACCACATTTTGAAATTTGTGGTAAACTTTCAAAAGCGTCTGAATATACGTCTTTGCATCGACATCATATGCAAGCCCTTTCTTTGATTTAGGTTTTCCATCTTCTTCCACACTCTGTTCCTTTTGTTGTGCCTCAAGCTGCAACTTGAGCTCTTCAACAGCATTAAGACCCTGTTGTCTGATGTACGCTTGGAATTGCTGCAAAAGTGGGTCTATTGTCATTGGCACTCTTTTCAAAAGGTGGTGCATTCTTCTGATATCAGAATATCTTTCCTGGTCAAGTAATGGAGTTAGTTCTGAGCGAATGACATCTGCATGGTTAGTTATCAAAACCTCATTCAAACAATCGTTTAATGGCCTTCTCGTATGATCGTTTAGCTCTTCGAGTCTCTTCAGCTCTTCCTCTATCCTCTGCTCTGCTTTCACCAGGTAATTAACAACTCCGTACTCCTTGATGAAATTTTGAGATTCCTCAGCGTAGAAATTGTATGTTTCCGTCAAAAAAGATTTCTCGAAATCGTTAATGTAGACAGATAGGTTCTGCTTCTTCAGATCGTTCACGTCAAATCCTAGAAGGACAAAGGATTTGATGGCCACACTTAAGTTTCCAATAGAATCGATTTTGTTCAGTCGTTGATCGCGAATCTGCTCCATGATCTCTGACATCAATATGTCTAAATTTGTGTGAAACTTGTAATCTCTCCAGGAAAGTAAACACAGACTGAGAATGTCGTATATTTCTCTGTGACCATCACCTCGTTCTTTGGTGACCCAGTATCTATTTATGTAGTCGAGGACATCGTTCAGCCTTGTGGATCCAATTAGATACCGTTCCCAGGTCCTGATATAGAACTGAAGGAAAGACTCACCTTCCTTCTGTTTCAGATTCTCCAGGTAATGTTTCAAATAGGTCTTGAGTTTGGCATAGAGTTCCCCACCAACCAATCTGACAGAACCATCTCCAGGACCCCCTCCAACGCTCGATGCCGTAGGTCTCCTTGAAGATGCAGCAGTACAGTAGTCGTAAACTTTGGTGTATGTCTGTGTATACATGAACGAATCAAGAGAGGAGTTTTTCTCATCACCGAGGATCACATGAATAGCGGGCTCGATTTCCTTCCATGTTCGATCCAGAAATGAGTTTGACATATTTCAATGGATGGATAAGTAGCGCAAAGGTGAGCACAAATCAGTCAATATTACAATAAGTTGCAAAGCTGAAAATTAACAAGGGAGCGCAAGTTATAATCTTCCGATAATGCTACCGTTTTTCTCTTGACCCCTTTGTTTGTTTGCCACAAATGTTTTTCCAAGTTGAAAAAAGAACTCGCGTGTAAGGGTAAAAAAAATAGCCCTAACTAAAAAAACGTAGCTTGCGAACTTTTGATGCGATATATATAATGCTAAGATAGTCTTTGGTCATTTCTGTTGACCATTTGCACCACTTTAATGATGCTGATTGTAAACATTATACACCAAACGACCAGGATGATGAAGAGAAATGCGGCTAGGGTTCGTTGACGACTGCACATAGACACCAGCAAATTGGGGTCACTCATAAGTGAGTGGTTGACTCTGCAAACCCATCGAGAATCGTAAAGGGAATTGAAGCTGAGAGCGAGGTTAGCAGAGGAAAAAATCACAAACACGAGCTCGCACATAATCAGTCTCAATTTAGCTTGCGGATCCCTGAGTCCGAGCGGCTGAGATGTGAACTCATCGTAGCTGATATAGAACAGGTACAAAATGGCCACAGACTGCACAACAATTGCCATTATTGTACTCGGTTGCTGCGAAACGTGGTCAGTGGTATCTAGGTGATTATTCAAAACGACTATGCGAGCGGCAAGCCCCAGAGCAACACATGAAAGAAATAGGGTGAACATTCGAAAAAAAAGCGGGATGTAAGAGTTGTATACCAAGATGTCATTCAACCGAGGCTTCCAGTCTTTCTTATTCTCCGAAATCCAGTAGCCTGCTTTCGATCTATATTTGGCTTTATGATAAGCTCCTGAATTGTTTCCATTCAGATCTCCAGTGTCATGGAGCGCGGAATATGGCTGGCCGTTGTACATGCGCTGTAGCTTCTCCTCACCTCTCCAATCTTGTTCCAACTTGTAGCTATCCAGAATGGACTCAGCTCCTGACCGATTGAATTGATCCGGAGCATAGGCGTCAATGTTCCTGAAAGTCGAAATAAAGCGACTCCAATAAGTAGGACTGTAGCAATTGTCATTAGCCTCTGGCTGAAGCGGAATCTGGCCTCGCTCAACACCATCTAGCACGTAGGGCGGAATCGGTTGGATTTTGTGTCGGTAGTGTTTTGGGGTTTTCTGAAAGATGTCCGGTCCATTATTCAGACCGCTGGACATGGTGTTTGAATTTACACCTGATCCAGAGCTAGGTCCAGGATGACTCTCAGACATGATCGTAAACTTTGAATCGCTCCCGTCAGGGGTTCCCTCGGGCTCAGTAAATCAAGCGTTTAGTCTGTAGTTATTAAAATGTCCTAACAAAACAAAGTCTAAGCACAAATTCGAACGCAATTTCTTAGAGCAGCCAAGAAGTAATGTCCACATCCTTACACCACGACCGTGACATCTGTGATGCGCTAGCTGAGTTGCAAGATGAAAAGTCTATGATAAACCGTGAAGCAATGCTTTGCATTTCCCAATTGCTCAGAGTTACATTGATTTCTGTTTTGTGAAAAGCTCAGCAGGAAGTTTAATTGGTTGGCTCATATCGAAAGCTAACTCTGCGTCAATTTAAATAACTCGAGATAATAAATAAAATGTAGCTAGTTTTTAATCGTGGTACTTGAGAAAAATGTTTGCCAACAGCAGCACTATAACAAGTGAGATAAAATCCATGCATCAATTGACATGGGTGCAAAAGCCACTTCCACGCTACCCGTATTAAAGTTCATGACACGTTAGGGTTGAACCCATGATTACGTAACTGGCTATACATAGTAGCAATCTCTAAATAATTGTCAACCTCAGAATAATCAATCAAGAGTTACTGAGCCCCAAAACCCAATCAGAAGCTCATCTGACGTATCTAATATCATGTTGACATTGAGACGTAATACCAGAATGGTATATACTGGAAGGATCTCTTTCCGGCCGTACCATTCACTAGTGGAGCGCATCAAATCTGAGGTTCAGGGCCATCCAATCTATATCGTGTGTTTACCTATCACGACCAAGAAATCATTCTTCTTCTGTCAGTACACTCCAAAGGCCTTACCAAATGGCAAGGAAGGGATGGACACCAAGCTGGTCAACTGGGCGGCGAGGGCATGGAACAAACTTGAGAGGTCCGAAAATAGAGTCAACAAATCAATTGTGAGTCTTATGCATCGTCTTCTAAATGAAATACCGTGGATGGAAACGTGCTTTAGGTCCATACCGTCGCAAAACAAAATCACTAGATATTTGAAAGAATACCAGAAACCACACGAGAAAACAGACAGGACACCAGACCAAGATCGCAAAGTGCATCCTGGATTGGTGACCCAATTAGGCATTTCTCCGGAGGAATTGGAGCAAATACCTTTATACTACCCATCGTTGCTACTCTCTAGCGAGCAAATCACTAACGAACTTCGATCAGAGATCCAAAAAGGTCACGAGTACCATAAAAAGTACTTGTTTGTGAATCTCTTACTGCTGCCACTAACAATTCCTTTTGCATTGATCCCATTGATACCCAACGTTCCTGGATTCTACCTTGCTTATCGAGCGTACTGTCATCTGACGGCATTGAATGGAGTGAAGCATCTCCGTTTTCTGCTGGACCTAAAAGGTGGCGAGGAGCATCATCTGCAGATGATCGGTTTACAAGATGCACACAACCTCTTCGTCGAGTCCACAGATGAAACTACAAGATCTAATGTGCTTGAATACATTGAAAAGGGTGATTTGAAAGAAAAGCTATTGCTCAATGAAAGCTCCATCACGAACATCTGCAAGGCTTTTGGAATTGAGAAATTTGAACCCAACTTGCATGTCGCACTGTATCAGGAACGTAAAAGGCTGAGCCAGCAAGGTCTTGAGCCCTCTAGAGATTAGAACTTGTAATAATGAAGACTATTTATTTATGATAATTTTTGCACGTGACCGTAGCCGAGGGTTCTTTTAGGAATGGAGCTTCGAACATCTGGGAAAAAAAATATAGTAGCTTGCGGGTTCATAATTAGAGAGCACACGACTACGTCGACGAGCCTTGTCCACTATAAATATAAAACCTTTCAGCATTAGTTTTTTTTTCATACCAAAAGTTATTATCCCAGGATGAGAGCTAAGTGGAGAAAGAAGAGAGTTAGAAGACTTAAGAGAAAGAGACGGAAGGTCAGAGCTAGATCCAAATAAGTAAATTGGCGGGCGGAGAATGGCCAAGAGCAATGGCTGAAACGGTGACCATCTCGAAGTCTTTGGTTAGAGTTGTCTTTTCAACCATTCGATATATGTGATTCTCCAACATCTGTATATGCATTGAAAGTCTTTCCATTGTTTATATTTAGTGTGTCCGTTAATATACTTGAGACTGGATCCAACATCAGTTAGTAACAGCCGAAGATCCAAGAGTACCACGGGTCCTGGTCTGGCGACTCGTTTTGGATAAATTGTGATTGGAGTCCATCTGCACGATTTGTAGTCTCTCCCTCAGTCAATTTAGACACATGTCGGTCGAAGTCCAACGGCGATGCCGTCACCGTCCGCATGTCCTCATCTGGATTACGTCCAAAAATGACTGTAGTCGTCCCCATGCATCTAAAAGAATTCGAGTACTGAAAATCAGATGGCATATCGTCGAGGTCAAAAGAGTTATTTAGGTCTTGGATCCAGCGGAGGGTGGTGGTTCCCAAAAGCTGTTCTGGTTTTCCATGATCAAATATTAGGGTATCGTTTCTAACGCTGTCATTCTCTGGCGCTGTATTTTTTTCTGGTTCAACTATCTCTCTTATGGCCAAAGCTTCTTTCTGGTAGGGATGGTTTCCATCCAACACCAATGAGACACTGTTCTGGCTCGAAGTAGGTCTCCAGCGCACTAATCTTTCCTCCATCATTTCAATCAGCCAGTGAGACGATGGGAAAAGCCGATTTGATTGTCGGCGTATGACTTTTGACCTGAGAGTAGGAATTACCTCGGCAGGATTCAAAGAGTATGGCGGCTTATGTGTGGGCGAATCTTCAATCCTATAGGTGCTCCAGATAGAGCCAGACATGGGGTCCATAAACAAGGAGAGGTATAAAAGGAAGGTAAAATAAATATCCTTTGCCCTTTTTTAGCAGAGGTGTCGTGCACAACTCACAGCAACACTTTTTCATGGGTTTGGGACAAAACACCTTTTGATTGAAACAGAAGGAGTGATGTTCAATTGATCTATTCAATATAATATTGCAGAGTTTTGAATAATACTTAATCTTAGAGAAGGTTCACACGCTATTACATAGAAGCCATTTGACAGCACATTATTTGGCACTTTTTCAATAACTGAAAATACACTCCTACTGATAAACATACGATAACTCACCATGGATTTGGATTCGGATATACAGATGGAAGATGCCGTCGAGCAAACACAGCCAGAGACCACAGGAAAGGAAAGCTCGCTTTCCCAGTTCCCCATAATCACGACCGACCCAACCACCCAGAGAAACACGCTGGATGGCTGGATAGAACAACTGAGCCAATGTAAGCCATTGAGTGAGGAGTCTGTCAAGCAACTTTGTGCGATGGCTGCTGAGGTTGTCAAGGGTGAGGAGAATGTTCAACCGGTTCAGGTACCAGTTACTATTTGTGGAGATATTCATGGACAGTTCCATGATTTGATGGAACTGTTCAAGATTGGAGGCCCATGCCCGGATACGAACTATTTGTTTATGGGGGACTATGTTGACAGAGGCTACTACTCAGTGGAGACAGTCAGCTATTTAGTGGCTATGAAAGTTAGGTACCCAAGGAGAATCACCATTCTCAGAGGAAATCACGAGTCGAGGCAAATTACACAGGTTTACGGATTTTATGACGAATGCTTTAGAAAATATGGTTCCGCTAATGTTTGGAAGATGTTTACCGACCTATTCGATTACTTCCCGATCACCGCATTGGTTGACAACTCCATTTTCTGTTTACACGGTGGCTTGTCGCCAATGATCGAGTCGATCGATCAGGTCAGGGAACTCAACAGAATTCAGGAGGTTCCGCACGAGGGACCTATGTGCGATCTGTTGTGGTCTGACCCTGACGATAGAGGAGGATGGGGAATTTCTCCTAGAGGTGCTGGTTTCACTTTTGGTCAGGACATATCCGAACAATTTAACCACACAAACGGGCTTTCGCTTATTGCCAGAGCTCATCAGCTAGTGATGGAGGGCTACAGTTGGTCACATCAAGATCTGGTGGTTACTATTTTCTCTGCACCAAATTACTGCTATAGATGTGGAAACCAGGCTGCAATCATGGAAGTTGACGAGAATCACAACAGAGACTTTTTGCAATACGATCCTTCCGTTCGCCCTGGCGAGCCTACCGTGACCAGAAAAACTCCAGACTATTTCCTATGACGTGCTCTAACCATTACAGTTACTAAATTGGTTTATTTGTATCACCAACATTCATTATCATATTTCATTACGTGACTATTTCACAATTTGGAAGCTCCATGGAATAGTCAGGTGCACAGTTTTGTCGTCGTCTATGAATTTGGACACGGCATTGTAGGAGCCTCTTGCCAGTAGTCCGCTTGGCGCTTCCACCTCGTCAAACACCTTTTCATAATAAGGTTTGTCCACAGTACAGGGAGCAAATGATCCCAGTGGCTCATCTAGCTTGTCCACCGTGATTCCCGTCTTCTTCACAGCCTGCAGGTATCTTAAGCCAGTGATGATTTCTCCCTGGATGCGGAACTTGATCACCAGCTGGTAAATGCTTTTCTCTTTGATTTTGAATGACACCTTTGGATCTTTGACGTCTTCCAGCTCTACAATCACTGGAGGCTCGCCTCTAATGTTAAGAGTCATCGAGAGTATCACTACTGTTCTCTTGTCCCCTTCTTTGACAGGCAACAATTCCCCCGTATTCAGACCAAGCGACCGCTTCCACTTGTTGAGCGACTCATCGTTAGCATCCAACTGCGCATACTCTTGGAGGGACTTTTTTTCGCCGACTTTGAAGCCAGGAATCTCTTCAGGAACCAATTCCGTGTCTGACATGTTTCGAAATAAACAATATTTGGACAAATTGGCAGATTTTTGTGGATCTAAAAATTCTGGACGTTTTTAAATTGAGCATAATGTCGTTACCGCCTTGCCATATTTTGTGCCAATCAGATCCTCACACACAGCGAGCTGTTTTGGACGCATTGTTTGAGCCATGTGACACATTGGCAGACATATTAATTCCAACCGTGCTTGGACGTTCTTTCACCACATACAACCAATTGATCGGGGCATGCAGAAATCAACTGAATAAACTCTATCTCGAATATGTTAATGACCGGAGTCTGAAGCCGACAATTGATAATATAGTCTCTGCACATCCAAGACTGGGTCCGCCAAGGGACGCGAATGTCAAACTCTCCTCACATTCATCTTTAGAACAGGCTCAACTCAATGCAGACCCTGAGCTTGCACAGAAACTAGTGGAACTTAATGACATCTACGAAGCTACCTTCCAGGGACTCCGATTTGTCGTGTTTGTGAACGGAAGGTCAAGAGATGAGATAATGAAAATCATGAAGGAACGCATCGCAAGAAACGATATGGACGCCGAAATCAAAGAGGCCTTTGACGCGATGTGCGATATAGCTCTCGACAGGGCGAAAAAAAACCAATCTAAGTTGTAATACAGACTCACATGATATCGTTATGTTAGATCATATACATTAGTGGATGTGATGCAGTCCAGATCGAATCCTCACTTTTCACCCCCGTTGCTCCATTTTTTGTAGCTCTTTTTCTCGCCGTTTTGAAACGACCTGTAGTATCCGTTGTTGTTGTCAGGATACTTGTTTCTTCCATTGGAGTACCGTCCCCCGTTGCTGCCCGGCCCCATCTGATAATACATGCCCGGATGTGGAGGCGGGTAGTAATACTGATACGAAGGCACCATCTGAACAGGAGGCATGGAGGCAGAAGCGGACAGAGGTGTCGATGACGCGGAATTAGGCGAACCTTCAGCAGGCACCTGGGACGCTGGCATTGGAGCGATGGATGTCTCCGGTGGAGTTGGCACAGCGTAGATGTAAGGGTAAGGAGGCATTCCCGAAGAAGGGCTAGGAGAAAGCCCCTGCTCATCGGAGGGCGACGTGCTCTTCATGTTGACGGGGGAAGACTCCAGAGGTTGTGGCATCATTTGAGGCGGAGGCCCGTACGGATAATTGTACGGAACAAATGGATGATAGTAGCCGTACTCTGGCATTGGTGGATGCTGATATTTTTTTCTATTCCCGCGAGGCCGCGTGTCGGGCTCTCCAGCGACAAACCCATTCGGCCCATCCATACCGCCGTGATCTTCCCTACTGCCTAGTTTTCGGAATGATTTGTCGTCTTCCAGATAATGCCCGTTGCCGTTTTTGTTATAGCCCGAGCTACCATTTTGGTAGCCTTCCTCTTTGCCATTTTTTTTGTTGCCTTTGCCGCTTTTGCCAGAAATAGGCCGCTCATCTTCCTGTTCGCGGTCTAGACTCGAGCTGAAATACGATTTGTAGTTCTCAAAAATCTCCGAGACCCTTATCCTGTCGAGCTTCTCCATTGGATCAAATTTAATATTTCTGAAATCTAGCGGCTTGATGTTGCCCTCATCGTCAAATGCTGCCGATTTCTTTGTTTCATCGTCGGCATTCACTAGTGAGGTGTTGATCTTGAATAAAACCATCGAATAACCGTCGTTCGACAATATGTGCCCTAAATTGTAGTACTCGGCTAATTTATGAGTCAGTAACCGGTAGTAGGAATTCAGCGGGGTCATTTTCCACGAATCGACGTTGGGCTTTACTATGAACTCAATGATCTCGGATTCCAGGTTGATGATGAATTTGCGGTCGTTGAGGTTCGATTGATTGTTTCTGCCATTCATGTTGAACAGTGACCGTACAAGTATTTCCGGTACCTCATAGGCGTCAGACAGCTCTTTGATAATTCCTTGCGGAGTGGAAGCCTTCAAATCTATTGGGCTGAAAGACCTCTTGAGCGTTGACGCTGACGACGAACTTGGTTCCGATTGGTCCTCAGCCATCCTAGTGATATATTTAGGTGATGCTATCGATGACTTTGTCTTTCGTGAGCACAATTCCAATACCTTTAAAATTCCAGCTATTCCGTCCCGATTGTCTGGTTTACAGACGATTGTATCCCAGTCTCCAGGAAGAAATCAGCAGTGGTACTTTGTTTTCTTTTCCTGTCTTAATTTTTTCCTGCGCTCTTGTGCCCCCCGCTACAACACGCGACAGGTTTTCTTGTGACGCTAGAATTACCCGACATTATTCCCTTACAGATACTCCATACATACGCTCCTGTCGACCCCCCGAGAGCTGGGGTACGCGGTTTCCTTTGCGTCACCAGCTCCTCTCAACCGCTCTCCTTGTCCGCCGCCTGATAAACCGACGCTTAATGATAATAATAGTAGCCTAATTTTTGGGGCGCGGAATTTGTCACCAGCGAGAAAATTAGTCCCGTAAAGCGAACCTGAAATCATGTTCAAGCCAATTATTCCATGTTCACGTCGCCCTGGCTGTCTCTGTGTCGACGACGGTCCTGGATAAATTGCTCGATCTTGTTTTTCAGCTCAGTGTCCTCAACCACATCTTCAAGCTTCAACGGCGTACGATTGAAGGGATCCGTTGGATCGTTCATCAAATGCGCCTTGAGGACAGACCGGTCCATGCTCACCTTGGATTGCGGAAGCTTCACCGGGTCCTTCATCAAGGTGAACATGAGCGGATCGAGGAACTCGTCTGGAATTTCTCCAAGCTCCAACTCTTCCTCCTCGTCCTCAACCTTCACCTTTTCGGCTTGCTCAACAAAGCTGTTCAGTTTGGTACTAAATTCGACGTCAATTTTGCCGACTTTGTTGAGAATCTGGATCGCACGTTTGAAACAAGCTGGACTAAAAGATCTCGAGTCTCGGGCAACAGCCTCCACAAACTCCTGGCCTTTAGAAAGATTGATGAAAATCGAGCAGATGTGTAGCAGCAGGTCAGAGGGATTGAAATGGTATGCCTCTGGGTCCTGCACCCTCAACTCGTTGCATCTTGGCCCAACCAGGGCAACCAGGTTGTAGTTGAGCATACCAGCGAGTCTATCAACAATTTCCACAATGTAGAAAGCCGAAGGAATCTCCTTCGTGAACAAGTCAAACAGTTGGATCGTCTTATTGGAAAGCTGCACTAGAGACTTGGCCATTCTCTCGCTTTCCTGCAACTTTTTGTTCAGATCCTCATCGCTTTCTTCCGTGGAGGGAGGATTTCCCTTTTTGCGCGATGCTATCTCCCGTTGACACGTTCCAATGGTGTGCAGGTGGTTCAATGACTCATCCAGCAAGTAGGTTGTGTCGTTCAGCATACGCGCAATAAGCCGCACAAAGAATTTCTGGTTCTTCGAGATACGTCTCAAATCAGCTCTGTAAAAATCAAATTTCCACAACTGCTCTAAAATCATCGAGATGTGACATCTGGCATTGAACTTGTCATAGAATTGAGAGGATGCGCCCGTTTTTTCCACCATCACGTAGAAATCTAGTAGAGATATCAGCAGATTTTCTTTGACAAGATCATTATTGTTGAAGATATGGACCATGTATCCATCCATGTTGTTAGCCATAGGCAAAGAGCCGAAAAATAGAACCTCTGTAAATCTAGCCTTCAAATGTGGGTTGTTGACCAGTTCAGGACATCTGAGGATGATTATTGCAAACTCTATGAACTGATTTAGCTGTTTTTCATTCTGTAGCATCGGATTGTTGCTGAATTTCGCAATATAATGACAGTAATTCACGATGCCCTCGATAAACATTTCAGGGTAGTATTTGAATGGCACAGGAGCAATGCTTCTCAAGTACTCGAAGTCATCGAACTTGTCGACATCGTCATCAAACTTATTGAACGGTATTTTAAGTGCAATGTTTGGATAGCTGTGAGTAGGCTCAATAAGCCTGATGAAAAACTTGATTGCTCCATTGATCACGTCAAAAATCTCAAGTTGCAATTCCCTGTTCAAAGAGCACATGTCGATGGACAGTTTCATCGATTTCAGTTTCTGCAACTCTTTTTTCAGAGGCTTGAGTCTAGTATCAGCAAGCATCTTGGCTAGCGGGTTTGCATTATCAGTAGAGGTTTTTTGTAGCATTTCCTCCAGTTTTGCGAGTTCTTGTGTAAGTTGTTTGACATGATTGGAAAGTCTTTCCGAATTGATAACCATACCTCCGAAACCGTACTGCAGATAGCTAAGCATTAAAAAGAAGCATTCGGATATGAAGTTCAATGGCTCGTCAGAAAGACTGTCTTCAGGATAATGTTCTTCATATTCTTGGATAGTGGAATTAATCTTGGTTTCCTCCTTCAGGTCCAAAAGTTTGTTGCGGCGACTTAAATAGTCCATTGAAATTTTGTCGATCTTGATGCCATCAGACAAAAAGGGTTGTGAAAGCTTGACAAGAACCATAGTGATGCAGAACATGAATGAGTCAGAAGCAAGTTTTTTCGGATTGGCGTGCTCTCCTCTTCTCAGGTGGTTCTTATTTACGATATCAGCTAATAGTTTAAGAAACGCTGTACGACACGCTTCTCCAGACCTCACAATTTTGTCGCAAATTCCAAATAATCTGTTGATCAGAACCACCTGCTCACTGTGAAGAGATTCATGGACGTTTTTGATTTGAATTTTAGTGAGTCCTTCTGGATAGTTTGAAATTGCGACTTCGGGTAACAATGGAGACACTCTAAGCACGGGCCCAAGAATGGTCTTCAGCTCAAACTCGTTGGCCTTGAGCCCTTCTGGGTGGAATCCGTCCACCAGGTACAGCTGCGAGGCAATGGTCTTGTTGGAGACCAATATCTGATAAACGGTCAAGATTTTGGAGTAGTCGGTGTCGGTGGAGTAGTTTAGACTCAAGAGCTGTCGAGACAGATGCGGAAGAAAAACATTGAGGAAGTCTAGAACACTGTCGTTGTCGATCGATCTGGATATGATGTCCATTAGGAAAGTATCGTACTTGTTGATGGAAGACCACAATTGGCGAACAATCACGTCCAGCTTGACCTCGTCAACATACATGTCGGGAACTTGAAACAATAAGAGCGAGTAGCTTGAAGTCAACCTGATTACTTCGTCAACAAGGTGTAATTTAGCGTCCTTGCCGGGCTCGTCATTTTTGATCAATCTGCGAACACTTTTGGCCTTACTCCAACAATCGGACAGGTACTCAAAGGGAGTTTCGTATTTGGTGGAATCTATTCCTCTTTCCGTCAAGATGTCTAGTAGGATGCTATCGATGGAGTCCGTATTGAAGATCTGCATCTCCTGAGCCATCGATTCCAGGTACGTGTACTTTAAAGCTTTTTGTTTAGATAAAGTGGCCTGGAGAATATCCTCGAGTTTCGTGTTGATCCAATCTTCGATCGACTCGGTTTGTCTTCTCTCTGGCGAGTTCGACCCGCTGACTGAAGGCTCGCGGGTACTCGACGCCGATTTGTCGAGAGGTTTCACAGCAGACGACGTGACAGGGCTAGGAGTCACTGGATTGGCAATCTTTTTCGGTTTGGGCTGCGTGGGTTCGTTTGATAGGGCCGCAAGCCTGGCCAATCGCTTAGCACGAATCTAGAGCGTTAGCATAAACAGCAATTTTGCGCTAGAAAGACACATACCTCTTCCGGATCACTCATTTCTCGACCTCGAGTTGAAACTAGTGTTTTTTTTTGTTTGCCACCATCTGGTGAAGATTACGAGCGGTGCAAGGAGGTTCAAAGAGATTTACAAAGTACTTTTGCAGATTCTTTGCTATGAGATTATCAAAGATATACATTACCACACCAAACAACATCGACTCACTTAAGCCTTGACAGCGAACTTCTTGGCTGGGTAGGCAATAGCTTGCTTTCTAGCCTTGTCGGTCTTCTGAGTCTTCTCGTACTTGGTGAGGGCTCTTCTCAAAGCTCTGGTCTTCTTTTGTCTGAGGTCCTTTGGAATGTACTTCTTGCCCTTGTAGAATTCTCTAACGGAAGCTCTTTGTTGCAAGTTGATCACAGTGAGAACTCTAGCAATATTCTTTCTGACAGTGTGGATTCTTGGGAGAGATGGTCTGGTCAATTTTTGGACCTTCAATTGAGCCAGCTCCTTCTTGAGCTCGACCAGCTGCTCCTGCAGTTGTTCCTTAGACTTGGATCTGAGTTCGTAAGCTTTGACACCGGCCTGAGGGGTTAGTATACGGAACTGTCGAATAAGACAAGGGGACTCTTTGAAATGCGCAAACACAACTGGTCAGCATTCGTGCATGCGTGGCCTGGCATGCTTGACACTGACGACCAGTGAAGTGTCACCCTTGGCTTTAATTCCTGTTGTTGGTCACATACCATTTCGTTGATTTAATGCTCTAAGACAAACTTGAAAAACGTTTGTAAAATTTTTCAAGGTCCTGGTTGCATGCAGGCCGGGCGGTGGCCCCGGTAGAGCCCCGTGGTGAGTCGAAAAAAAGCCCTGGCGGGAAGTAACTGACCCGTGGCAGTATTGACAGAGAAAAATTTGTGACTGCGAAATTGTCCCGTAGAGACTCCCTAACTCTTACGTAAGCAGAATGGCTACCCAAGAGTTGATCTTGTCATGATTTTGGAGATACGGAGACGGGAAGCACACGGGCCCACCGTCGGGGATTATAAAGAGCTTGATTGGTAAAATTAGTAAGAAGAATACACAATTTAGATTGAGAACAGAAACTTACTTGGCAAACCAATCGAATCGAGACAAAGTTCACTATGAGTAGTCTGTTTCACTTGCGGCCTCAGTCTAAACCATTTAGTTACCATTTTTCAAGTTAGTAGACAGCCACTCGAGACCCTCGTACAGACCGTCACCGGAGGTGGCGCAGGTCGCTTGGATAAACCATGGTCTAGGTCTGATGGACTGCAGACCCAGTTTTTCTGTGATCTCGGCAGCATTCATGGCGTTTGGTAAGTCTTGTTTGTTTGCGAAAACCAGTAACAATGCATCTCTCAGCTCGTCCTCGTTCAACATTCTTTGCAGTTCCTCTCTGGCCTCAGAGATACGATCTCTGTCGTTGGAGTCGACAACGAAAATGATACCCTGTGTGTTTTGGAAGTAGTGCCTCCACAATGGTCTGATTTTATCTTGTCCACCAACGTCCCAGACGGTGAAGGAGATGTTCTTGTACTCCACGGTTTCGACGTTGAAGCCAATTGTTGGAATTGTGGTGACAATCTCGCCCAATTTCAACTTATATAGAATGGTGGTTTTACCGGCAGCATCGAGACCCACCATCAAAATTCTCATTTCTTTGCGACCAAATAGGCCCTGGAGCAACTTCGAAATAGACAAACCCATCTTTACGCGTTAGTAATGCTATTTGTGTTTGTGGCAAAGGACTGTTATCGGTTTTGGGTCAATGAAAAAATTAAAGATTTCGCACGCCACGGAGAAAGCTGGGGGGAGGTCGCGAACCTGAAAGGGGGCTGACTGCCCGGTATTAAATTTTTCTGGCCTTTGCGGCTCGCGGGCGAAAAAAGTGACAACGAATCAAATTGGACAATAAGCTCAGAAGCAGTAGTGGCGCCCGAAACATCTTTATATAGTCCACTTTGTATACTGCAATAATGTAGAATGTTCTCCAGAAGTCCCAATTCACTGAACGCGAGACCCCGGTGTCGATCTTGGCGCGACCTGACACGTCGCTCGTAATTTTATTCTTCACCAGTCCACATCCACTCTTGATCCCGCCCATTAAAAACCGGTGTCCAATTGCACAAATTGCTGAATTGCACACTTACCGTTTATTATAACCGGTTGTAAACTTGTTCCCGCGTCCCAGATATAACAAATATTATACGGAAAGACTAGTTGGTAAACAAAAGATAGTGGATGTGTTTTTTTCTCCCGAGACCTTTTTGATAAAGCAAGAAAACCTACACACATCTCTGCACCGAAACCTTACACCGGAAGAGGCGAGACGCGGCCAAGCAGGTCGTTATTATCATCATATTACGAGTATATGGCCTAATTATGCAATGAAGATAGCAAGTCCAACTTAGGGTGTTGGTTAATATTAGCGAACATTGTGCAAGGAGAGAAATTTAGCGACCGATATTGACTTTGCACGTGGAATATTTCTGCAATGCTCTTAAAAACACAGCGTAGGAAACCTCATCATTGTCTGGCTCCCAGTACATCTCGCTGAGCCGTGTGTGCCATGGCGGGTATCCCTGAAGGTTCAGGTACGGCTGGAACATGACAATCAGGTCTGGCTCTGGGCCAACCAATTGCTGGAGTTCCTGGTCAATAAACTTCATGTTGATGTCTTTGTCGCTTAGTTCATGGTTCTTGGACAGCTGGGACATGACTTTGGTCAGCTCCACAATGGTGGGTCTTCCGTCTACCACGCTCAACAAACTGATCTCGATATCAAATTTGTCCTCACTGTCATCATATTCTCCATCATACGATCCAGTGTAACTTAGATTCAAATGTGGGATTTTTATCTGGTAGGTAGGGACGTTGCTGGTGCCGAAGTATGCCACGAGCTTGCGATGGATCGATCGACGCAGCTCTGGAATGTGGTTTTTTAGGATGCCGTGATACTCGTAAATCGTGAAATTTGGGATTCCAGACGACAGACACCAAGCACTCAGTTCGGCGGCGTCGTTACAAAGCCCCTCGACGCCGCCGTTCTCCTCTTGTTCCGACTTGTAGTTCAAAATGGCAGACAAGCGGTACGGGATTTTGGGCAGTTTATTCACGTCGCTGTTGATCAACGAGGGGGTTCTGGATGGGTTGTAGGCCAGATTCAGGAATCTAAGCTTCAGTCTGTTGTAAGTGTACTCATAAAAGCGGTACACCGACATGAGCAGGTACAAAAACACAAGAATCAAATGGTAGATGTAGTAGGAAATAGAACCAGAAACCTCTGAGCCTTCACCTTCTCCCTTTGTCTGTGACCTTGACGATGTCAAATTTTTGAAGAGACTGTAGAGGGTGGCGAAGAAGGTATCTGACGTGTATGCTGGGACTGGGATCCTATGATCAACATCTACAGGAACCTCGCTAACGTCTTGTTGATTTTGTTGAACCAGGTTGTACACCAGCCCCTGGGATGCCTCTGTGGAAAACCCGTTCTCCGGCGATTGCGACCCTTCCAGCTCGGTGGTCTTCATTTCCAGGGACATTTGGTTGTCTTTGGAGTAGAATCAATGGCAAAATGTAAAATTAAAGCACCGGAATATAAAAGGAGAGACACCTCGCGCCTTGAGATGCGTCAATTTTTTAAGCCCTCTGGTGGAAAAAATGAGGTGGAAAAAATAAAATAAAATAATAAAATATAAATATTTATTTTTTTATTGTCCATGGCTATGTACAGACTCTGCTGTTCCATCCAAACCGACGCCCAAACTACGAATTAACCCCATCAGGTCCTCCTGGTTGGTGTAATTGTACTCTGGCTGGGGACCCAGGTATTCGCTCAGGTGCGGATGGTAAAACTCGCTCTCATCGTCTGTCGAGTGGACCGATGGAGGCACATTGTTTGGCACGTTCAAAATGTCCAAGGTCATGGCCACAGCGTTAGCCCTATGTGACTCCGAGTGTCGCGGGGAACCCTCGTTCTCCGGCGTTTCTGTGTGCGGCTTGAAATACATGGACTTGCGTGCGCTCTTGCACACCCTGAATAGCTCGTCCACCTCCTCCAAAAGCAGTCCTTTCGTTTCGTAGATGTAAAAGTAGGCGAACACCATGCCCACAAAATTCAGAGACCCCCAAAGAAAGAAGATCTTGGTACCCAGAGCGGCAGTGTGCTTGCCTGTGTCAACCAGGTATGGCGTACAGCATGCAAAAATAAAATTCACCAGCCAATTGGTAGCAGCGGTCAGTGCGACGGCTTTCTGCCGTACCGACAAACTGTACATTTCTCCCACAACGACCCAAGCAAGGGGGCCCCACGTGGAGGCGAAGAATGCGATGAAGAGACATACAAACGCGACAATCACCTTGTTGGCAATGAGAGAGTCCGTGGTCACGCCGACCGCGGCGATGACAAAATTCGACACCGTCATTCCACCAGCCCCAACAATTAGCAGCCATCTCCGGCCCCAAATCTCGACCGAAAAAATGCCCGGGATGGTGAACACCACGTTGACTGTGTAGGTGATAAACGAGATCAGGTATGAGTTGGCTATTCCTGCGCGCACAAAATAGTTGACCCCATAGTAGAAAATAAAATTAATTCCCGAGCACTGCTGCAGCGCCTGCAAAAGCATGCCTGTGAGCATGCGGCGCAGCTGGCTGGCGCGGCTTGGCGAGCTGCGGAAACAGTCCATGATACTTGTGGGGCCAAAGCTCATCTCGTAGTCGTGGCTGGCCTTGATTTCAATTAACTCCTCGACCAGCGACTTGTCGTTCAGGGGCAGGCGGCGGAATCGCGAGAGAGCGTGGAGGGCGTCGTCAAGACGATCTTTTTTGACAAAGAACCGCGGCGATTCGGGCAGCGAGTACATTCCAATGCCTAAGACGACGCCCCAGATCAGCTGCAGGCCGATCGGGATGCGGTAGCAGCGGGCGTCATCGATGGAGTGCGTTGCTTGGGTGATGGCGCTCGAAACAAGCAACCCCCACGTAATGGCCCATTGGTAAAACGAAATCACAGATCCTCTGATCCACTTGGGCGACACCTCGGCCTGGTAGAGCGGTATGATGGCCGATATCATGCCCACGCCGAAGCCGCTGACAAAGCGGCCAACACAGAGCAGTGGGATACCTTCCGAGACAAGCTGCAATATCGTGCCGAGCGAAAACATAATTGTGGACGACGCGACGATACTCAGCCGTCGCCCCACTCTATCTGAAAGCACGGGCGCAAATAACGAGCCCACAAAAGTACCGATCGAAAGCACTGACGTGATGATGGATGACTGACTCGCGCTGAACCCACCCGCGTTGTTAGGCGGGAACGTTCTTTTCACGTATTTCATTTCTAGCAGGCCGTTGATGATGCCTGTGTCGTAACCATACAAAAAGCCCCCGATGGCCATTAGCAAACCCACGTAGACGGCCATAATGGACGACCAGTTCCTCTGGCGCTCGAGCTCAGCCCCATCCGGAGCCTGGTCTTTTTTCTCATCCTCCACAGAGGGCTGTGCGGACTGATCGTAGTCAGTGGTTGTATAAGTATCTCGAACTTCGACGCATCCAGCGGGTTCCTGTAAGCTCAAATCCCGCAGTTCTAGCGGGGGCGAGTGATCTCGAGCTTCTGTCGACATGGCCTTAATATGGGCACAGGGAACAACGCTCTTATTAGCAAATCCGGGGTCTTGCCAGGTTTTAATTTAATTATATTTTTTTTTATGGGGAAAGGAAGAGCGGAGAGAAAAAGAAAGTCGAACTTGTAAAGACGCGTCGGTCGACGCGGAAGTTATTATCGTAGCAGTGTTCATTAACAACATCGTACAAAGAACCAAACGCTTCCGAGGATCAGTGGATCATCTTGGAAAGACCAAATCTAACGGAAAACATCTTGGACAGTCTGTTGTTCTTCTTGCTCGGCTTAACGTTCAGCGAGTCCAGCGTATCCACCGGCACCTCTGTCCGAGGAACGGCAGAAACCTCAGGAACAACTTCCTTGGACTCGCTGAGTTCGTAGTGGTGTGAATTGGATTTCGACACCTCTAGTGTCGCTTCGCTCGAACTGGATGCCACCGGCTGCTCAGTGGCCTCGCTCGTGGTCTGTAAAAGATCGTCTGCAGAAAGACTGAGCGGACCAGACACGGTCACTGGCGTGAGTGTCTCGCCCTGTTTTCTGCTGAGAGATGGCGTGCTCAGGTTGGAGTTGGCAAACCATCCCAGTGAGCGGCGTCTGAGTTTCCTGTCCACAGCAAGGTCTTGGGTATTTGGGTATTTTTCTACTGCAGAGTCGGAGACAGAGCGTTTTCCCGTGTCGTCAGGCGAGCCAGTCAGCACTTGCGACAGGGTTCTGGAGCTCAGAGCGTTGGAGAGCGAGCGGTAGCCGAAAAGCGAGCGTCTTTTCTGCTGCTTGTCCTCTGTTACAGACCGGTTTCGCAGCTTTGGCATAGCAAGCGGTTCCTCCACCAATGGGGAGGCCAGCGTCTCCTTAAGCTTTTCCTGGTTGTCTGCCACAAAGGAGCGCAGTTTGGCCGCCAGTTGGTCGTATGACGTGATCCAGTTTTGCAGCAGCCGCTCGTTGGCTTTGTAGTTTTGCAGAAGATCGTCTGTGCTTGCGGCGGAAGCAAGCTGTGGTTGCAGATCGTCCACTTTGAAGAAACTCATCTGGAAGATCTTGGCAAGGTTCGAGGACGGCATCTTGGTGATGTCGCACACGTCCGGCTGTGACAACTTGTTCAAAAAGGATAGCAGATATATAAACAGGTGTAAGTTGACCAGGGGCAGGTTTTCCAGCGACTCTTTCTCCTTGTCTGTGTCCTCAACGCTAGTTGGGATGGTCTTGTAAGAGCTGAGGCTGAACGCGTCCTCGGACTCTGTCTGCGAGGCCTCTTCCGCTGTCCGTGCAGCGTCTTCAGTCTCGTCTAAAACAGGAACCTCCTGCGGCGACGCAGCCGCCGTTTTGAGAGACTTGCTCACATCCAGCGTGATGAGACCGTCAGCAAGATTCGACAGCCACCTTTTCAGCACCATGGCGGCGTCGTAGGCATTGGGCGCCGTGTCCTCTGAATTGTCGACGTTTTCGACGCGGCAGGTGTCAAATTCAAAGCTGTCGATTCCCTGCTCGCGGATCAGCGCCTCGATCTTCTTAATCTTCTTGATGGAGCCGTTGATGCGGAAAATTCCCTCTTTCGGGCCCTGGCTCAGGATGAATTGGCAGCACTTGTGCACGAACGTGGGCACCACCAGCGTCATGTCGGCGATTTCCAGCTGAACGCTCGATCTTTTGGCCTCGTTCTCCAGCATGTGGCCGGCTGCGAGCGGCGTCGCCAGGACTGAGTTTCTGCGACTGCCCGCAGAAGAGTCAGCGGGCGCAGCGGCCTCAGAAAAAGAGGTATCCACCCTGAGAGCGGGTCCCGAGATGGAGAACCGCTTCAGGTTCCTGTCGCTGGTGAACGACTTGAACAGAGGCTTTCTGTAGCCTGGGCCCGGCTCGGGAACAGGGTTGTCCAGTTCAGATGCCATATGAAATGTTTGAGGCAGGTTTGGGAAATTTAGATAAACAAAACAGCCAGAAATAGTGAGCACACAAAATAAGCGTGTGAAGTAAACTTGCTATCTCCACACAAAACAAGGAAAGAAAGATCAAAGTTTTGTTCAGCTAGCTTGACAAGTTAGATCAAGTTTGCATTCTGGTTTCTCCAACTCGGTAAATGCAAAACAACCAAACAAACCCCTGTCCGCCTCCTTTAGATCGTCAATTTGATGCGCGGTGCCATTGCGCCAGGGCCCGCGATTGTTGCACGCGTGTATTTTTGCAGGCCACAATCGGGAGCTATTGTTATACATTCCGGCGTGGCGCGCCCGCGCCCCAGATTGGCAGCGCCGTTTCAGAGCTCCGCAGTCGCACAGAGACCCAGCCAAAGTTACCCGGCCGGTGGAGTAGAGTAGTCTTGCGCCGTGGTTTTTCTTGTACAAAACACATTGTATGGGCCGTCCATAAGCACCACGCAACAGCACCCCCACAGAATCCGATCGTTGTCATTTGTTGAGTGTATGGCCGTGCAGTTGTAACCGCATCGCACAATGTCCGAAAACCTATACTCTGCCGTTTATTCTGGCGTACCGGTGTATGAGTTTCTAAACCCCAAATCGTCGGTCATGCGACGAAAAAAGGACGGCTGGATCAACGCGACGCACATACTCAAGGTGGCGAATTTCCCGAAAGCAAAGCGGACCCGAATCTTGGAGCGCGACGTCCAGGTTGGCGTGCACGAGAAGGTGCAAGGAGGATACGGCAAGTACCAGGGCACGTGGGTTCCGATGGAGCGGGCCGTCGACATTGCGAACGAGTTTGGTGTCTACGACGAATTGAAGCCGCTGTTTGACTACAAGCCCCAGGACGGCGGCCGAACGCCGCCGCCGGCGCCCAAACACCACCATGCATCGAGTGGCGCGGGAAAAAGAGGCCGTGTGAGCGCTAGAACGGCCTCTGAGCCGCTTGCCCTGCGGAAAAACGAGTTTCCAGCGAAGCCGGCCGAGGCTGCGGCAAGAAAACGCACGCTGAAGCCGCCCAGACCACAGCCATTGCGAGCCACGCCGCCGCAGCCGCCATCTGAGTCCGAGTCTGAGTACGAGGACAGCGACACTCAGCCGCTGAAGCGGCGCGGTAACGGGCTGCAGCAGCACAGAGGGTCCTCGCCGAGCGACTTCATGAGCGACGACGATATTGCAACCGCGCTGGAGCAACAGCAGTACGCCGTGCACCGGCCGCAGGACACACTCGCGCACGCGCCGCCGTACATCGAGAATTTATCGCCGTACACAAAGCACGAGCTGGACTCGCCGCAGTCGCGGGCTACGCCGCAGCGGAGCCAGCAGTGGTTTGACGCGAAAAGGTCCTACACACAGCAGCTTCTCGAGTATTTTCTCTCGACAGAGGACAACCTGACCGGAGACACAAAAATCCCGGACTTTATTCTGGATCCAAACAGCCCTTTCGATGCAGACCAGGTTATCGACAAGGACGGCAACACTACGTTCCATTGGGCGTGTGCCATGGGCGACCTGCGCATGTGCGACGCCCTGCTGAACAGAGGATGCAACTCTAGAGCCTTGAATAATGAGGGCCAGGTGCCGATCATGCGCAGCGTGCTCTATACGAACTCGTACTCGAGACGAACGTTTGCGAAATTGCTGGATTTGCTGCGCGACTCGCTGCTCGATACCGACGAGCGCGGCCGCACGATACTGCACCATATCGGCTTTTCAACAAATTCGGTCAACAACCTGCCAGCGGCACGGTACTACACAGAAATTCTGCTGACCAAGATCGCCGAGACGGTGCAGCCCATGGAGCGAATCATCAATTTCATCAACCAGCAGGATATGGACGGCAACACGGCGCTGCACATAATGAGCCACCACAGCGCCAACAAGTGTATGCGTGTGCTGCTGGGATACAACGCGAGGGTGGACATTCCCAACCACCGCAACGAGCACGTGAGCGACTATCTATACAACAACAGTGTGTTTGAACCAGCGTCTGCGCAGTACTCCTTCATGGGCAGCATGGGCGCGGGCTCGCAGCGGAACCACCTGGACTCGCTGTCGCAGATGAAGCCGTTCACGCCGTCGCTGAACCTGCACAACGCGTCGATGACGCAGTCGTATCTGAACGCGTCGAACTACTTGGCAATGCCGCACTACTCCGAGACGGCGATCCAGGTGAGCCAGAAGTCGGGCGACATTATTGAGAAGCTGGGCGAGCTGTCGAACGCGTTCGATCAGGAGCTGCAGCAACGAGACAGCGACATCAAGGAGCTCGGCATGATTCTGAGCCAAATGGACACGGACATCGCCAACACAGAAAAGGAAATCAACGGGATTCTCAAGACGGTGCTGAAGCTAGAGCAGGAGGAGACCGGCGACTTCGACGCCGCGCTGGCACAGATGAGAGAGGAGCTCAGGACTGCCGAGGACGAGTATGCTGCGCGCACTCGTTCTCTCAAGAAGCTGATCGAGCGGTCGCAGGCGAAGGATCTGGCCACCGAGGTGCAACAGTGCGAGACGGAGCGGTTGCGGCAGTTGAGCATTGAGAACGAGGGCGAGCTCAAGGCTGCCGAGCCTACGCCCGAGAATCTGCGGCTGGTGCTCACGTTGGTGGCTTTGCAGATGACGCGCAAGCACACGGTCGACGACCTGGTGAGTCTGTACGCAGACGCGTCGGAGAACACAGAGACTATCGCCAACTACCGGCGGCTGGTCTCGAAGCTGTCGAACGTGCCAATTGACGAGGTTGACGAGAGTCTGAATGACATCGAAGAGTGTTTGAAGGCAGAGGAAGAGGAGGAGGGGAAGTAGTTGTTTTGGGAACAACTATGATTATGTATACTATGTGCTATAATGTACTATAATTGCAGCCGAAATAGAGTAAAAAAAACATTTGATATTTTTATTATGAGCTCTGCGACCGATTTTTTGTACGAGGAAGCGTGTCGTGTACCGGTTCTGAGCGACCCGTCGAAGACGCTGTCGCTGATTCTGACCGTTCCTCCCGCCGTTCACGCGGACCATTTCACGAACGGCCTGGGGCCGGCGACAAACAGGCTCGCTGTGTTGTTGCACGGGTTGGGCTCGCATAAGAATTTCGGGTTCAATCCGGGGCTTGCGAGCGCGCTCAGTAGGGAGTACGGCCTGTACACTGCACGGTTTGATTTTCGGGGCTGTGGTGACTCGTCAAAATGCGGAAAAGACGGCCGCACGATCGACGAGGACGTGGAGGATCTGGACAGCGTGGTGGAGTATTTCCAGTCGGGCGGGCACAGGGGAGTCAAACTGGCGGTCGAGCTAATCTGTGCACACTCGCGTGGGGTTGTGGTGATGTTCAATTGGACGCTGCAGCGACAACAGCTGGGCAAGCCCCTGGCATACATGTTGATCAACTGTTGCGGTCGATTTGACGGGAAAGGAATGCAGGAGCGGGTGGAGCGCAACCATCCGGACTACAAAGAGAAGGGTGGGTACTACCTTTCCGGTTACGTGGAGGGGAAGTACCGAGATGTGTGGATTCCAACCACCGAAGTGATGAGCACGTCCGCGCAGGATATGAATAAATTAAAAGGTTTGGATAAAATGGTGCAGGTTCTGAATATCTACGGATCGCAAGACGAGGTGATTCCACCAGAGGACAAGTACATGTACCACGAAGTTTTGGGGCAGCGCAGCGATTTGAGTATCATCGAACAGGCGGGCCATAACTTTTATGGTCTGACGGTGTACGACAATTTGGAGAGTACTGAGTACACACTTGGAGACGGCACGGTGACAATAGATGGGACAACATATCCGATGCACCGCGGCAGACAGGTGATCGACTACACCGGCGAGTTTAGACAGCGCGTTCTGCAATGGCTTTCACCGCAGCAGAGCTGCGAACGGTTTTACCGCAACACGCTCTACATGGACGCGCATACTCCACGCTGGGTCGAGGTGGAAGGCATTGCAAATTTCCGCGATCTCGGTGGCTGGTGCGTGGGGGCAACGAAAAGAGTGCGGCCGCGACTGATGTTCCGGTGTGCCAATCCAACCAATGTTACTGCCAAAGGCCGCAAGACGCTGGAAGAGCTCAATATCTGTGCCATATTTGATCTGCGGTCGGCAGAGGAGCGCGAGGAGTACGGCCACTTGGAATTGGCTCATGCCACCAACTTCCACGTCCCGGCGTTCGACTCGAACCTGTCGCCGTCGCAGGCCACCAGCCACTACCTGTACCTACTCACGTGCTGGTCGACGTATGTGCAGGTGTACAAGGACGTTCTGGCGACGGGCACGAGTGCTTTTCGGACGATTTTTGAGTATTTGAGAGACAACCCGGGCTGCCCCATCCTGTTTCATTGCACGGCGGGCAAGGACCGCACTGGGGTAGTGGGGATGCTGCTGCTTCTGCTTGCCGGCGTGGACCCATGGATCATTGCCCGCGAGTACGAGTTGACGACGATCGGGCTACGCCCGGACCACGAGCATATACGCGCAAAGTTCTATTCGGCGCTGGAGAAAATGTCCGATACGCGGGTGAAACAGCAGCTGTTCGAAACGGTTGCGCGGGGGAGAGAGAATTTCGACGTGCACGAGGATGGGTTCCGGAACCTGATCAGCAGCCGGTACGAGGCGCTGCGCGCGACTATCGACTGGGTGGACGAAAAGTATGGCGGCGTGGAGAGGTACCTGCGGGAGGAGGTGGGCTTTGAGGATCTGGAGCTGGTGCGGGCGCAGATCGTGGAAAACATGGCAGTGCAAGGTTGACACCCTCGACTCCTATACCGGCGAAAATTCTATTGTTTAGTATATTAAAAAATTTTTCACCTCGAAGCTGGTTTTAGTCACCAGGCAATTTAAATGGTGGGGAAGTCCTGCAAGTGGTAATTAATTGTTTAGTTTCCGTCAAATGTTCAAGAGAACCCTCGTATTGCTCGGAAAGAGCGCGGCGAAGCCGTACGCCAACATGCTCAGGGACCCGTCGATCAAGTACTCCCGGTTCCGGGGCGTGGATCTGCCAGATAGAACGTGGCCCAACAAGGTGATCACCAAAGCCCCACTCTGGCTGTCGACCGACCTCAGAGACGGCAACCAGTCCTTGCCCGACCCTATGTCTGTCGAGCAGAAAAAGGAGTATTTTCACAAGCTGATCGAGATCGGCTTCAAGGAGATCGAGGTCGCGTTCCCGTCCGCGTCGCAGACAGATTTCGACTTCACCAGGTACGCCGTCGAGAACGCGCCGGAAGACGTGGCGATCCAGGCTTTGGTGCAATCGCGTGAGCACCTGATTAGAAGAACTGTGGACTCGCTCAAGGGGGCCAAGAGAGCCATAGTGCACACCTACTTAGCCACGAGCGACCTGTTTAGGGACGTTGTTTTTGGCATGAGCCGCGAGGAAGCCATTGCCAAGGCGGTGGAGACTGCCAAGCTGGTTAGATCGCTCACGAAGGATGATCCTGCGCTGCAGGACACGAAGTGGTCGTACCAGTTCTCTCCAGAGTGTTTCAGCGATACGCCTACCGAGTTTGCGCTCGAAATCTGCGAGGCAGTCAAGGAGGCGTGGGAGCCGACCGTCGACAACCCTATTATTTTCAACCTGCCTGCCACGGTGGAGGTTTCGGGCCCCCACATCTACGCCGACCAGGTTGAGTATTTCTCGAGAAATATTTCCGAAAGAGAAAAAGTGATTATTTCGCTGCATTGCCACAACGACAGAGGCTGCGGAGTCGCTGCCACGGAGCTCGGCCTGCTTGCCGGCGCAGACAGGGTCGAGGGCTGCTTGTTTGGAAACGGAGAGAGAACCGGAAACGTCGACTTGGTGACCGTCGCGCTCAACATGTACACCGACGGCGTGTCACCGGAGCTCGATTTCTCGGACTTGGAGTCCGTGATCGACGTTGTCGAGAAGGGCAACAAGATTCCTGTTCACTGCAGATCTCCGTACGGTGGCTCATTGGTGGTTTCGGCGTTCTCCGGCTCGCACCAGGACGCTATCAAGAAAGGATTTGCCAAACAGGCCGAGAGAGAGGCCAAGGGAGACATGAGATGGATGATTCCGTACTTGCCTTTGGACCCTAAGGATATTGGCAGAAACTACGAGGCTGTTATTAGAGTCAACTCGCAGTCGGGCAAGGGAGGAGCCGCCTGGGTCATTGAGAGATCTCTGGGCTTGGACCTTCCAAGAGAAATGCAGATCAATTTCTCCAAAATTGTTCAGGATTCGGCCGATTCTTTGGGCAGAGAGCTCAAGTCGGATGAGATTATCTCTTTGCTACAAACCAGCTATAACATCGATAACTGCTCCAACTCGGCTCTGGTTCTGAAGGATTACAAGCTTGACAAGGAGTCTGAATTTGTGACGCACATTAAAGCACAGTTTGTCTACAACGGTAAAGAGGTGGAAGTCGAGGGCACCGGAAATGGCCCAATCTCGTCCTTTGTGAACGCCGTGGCTCAGGCTGTTGGCCGCGACATCGAGTTACAAAAGTACGCCGAGCACGCTGTGGGCAAGGGTTCTAACACCAAGGCTGCTACCTACGTGTTGCTTTCCGTTGGCGAGGATTCGCAGTGGGGTATTGGCATCCACGAGTCCATCACCCGGGCGTCATTGAACTCGATCATCGCCTCGGTGAACAACCTCATCAGCAGCAAGCCAAAGACCTTGCACCTGAAGAGATCGACAGCATAAGTATGTTTATTTATTACTCAACTTTTGGTTATAATTGTCGCACTGTGGGGGTGGCGGTTACATGCATTCGGGCAACTTGACGCATGGATAGATGCCAAAGTCTCGGCCAAGCGGGCAATACTTGTGGCGATCTTCCCAGCTCACGTATGTCGCGTGAGTGCTGTATACGCTACTCGAAAACGGTAATGTGGGATCGGTTCCTTTGAGGACCGTGAGCTACGCAGCGTGAACTCGCGTGGTCTCCCGCCCATGTCTACGATGTAGCGTGGAAAGAGTTTTTTGGAGGGCACAGAGAACCAGTAAAACATGTTTGTCTTGATACGGGACATTATCCAGATAGTACCAGCATGCCAAGGGCCATTTGTGAACCGTACAGCAAAAAACATCACGAATGCTATTGATGAACTAAATAAGTGAGATTTTGACAACCCCGAGTCTGTACTATCCAAACCTCTTGTATCCGAACTCACCTATAAGAGAAAAATTTTCATGATTTTCCAAACTCGTACCTAAACCATCTTATTAGACAGTACGATGAAAGCTTAGCACCATGTTTTTATGGTTTACCCTATAGTTTCATTTCGTGATACAAGATGGTGAGAGTGACCTGTGTTAATAAGAACTCGTCTGGATACACTCAGTGTAGCGGAAAGAGGGGTGTCAGATAGCACAGACATATGTATGAAAATTAGCGCTCCTTTAACAACTTGTTTCTCTTCTCGCGTCTCTTGAGTCGCTCGACTTTCTTAGCGTGCATCACAGCGGCCAAACGCTCGTACCGCTCTTTTTCTTCTTTCTTAGCACGTCTTTCCTTGATTCTCTCGATCTTGGCCCGTTTTTCAGCCTCTTTTTCCTCCTGCAGCTCCTTCAGCTTTGCCTTCAGCTGTTCGTCCTTGTGTCTCTGCTCCTGTTTCTTCTTCCAAGATTTGTGCATTCCGTTAGCCTTCAGACGGAACGCTTTTTTTTCAACTTTCCAGTCCTTGCCTGTAGGTTAGCAAAAACAAATTTTCAGAAACTATACCTACCGCTCACTCTAGGCCCGCGGCCTGGATCCTTAGCAAGTAGTGTGCTGCCTTCTGTGTCTTTTGTCATATACAGGTTGATTTATTTTTCAGATTTTTTTTTGCACTCCACAGCCGTAAATGATTTTGGTGCACGGGTGTGGAAGCAGCACTCACTTGCTTGCCCATTTGAAGAAACCACAGTTGTACTCATCTGTGGCGTCTGCATCCGTCCGCTCTGCAGACTCGGGCAGCCACGACACGCTGCGTGTTGCGCGTGGGCAGCACCAGAACTTTTTCCCCTTATTTTTCTCCGTCTTGACCGTTCGCAGCGCGCACGGCTCGCCATGGCGGCACTGTGGGCCGGACGCTCCGGACTGGCCGAGCATCTCGGTGAACTCGCGAACCGAAATTCTCGATTTTGCTCTGTCCTCGTCCACAGACGGCGGAGACGAGTCCGACCTGAAGAAAAAGTCCGAGATAGAGAGCTGGTCCGGACGCTCTTTGCGTGCTCTTTTGCGAAAGCTATAGCCGGACGTTGCACTATCACTGCCGCCATCCGCAACGTCCCCTTCACCGTCTACCTTCTCCTGACGTTGAGGCTCCCTTTTGCGGAAGAACTTATCGATACTACCTCTAGTATGCAGTCCGTAAAAGTTCTTGGCCTCGAACCAGTTCGACTTGGCCGCGTACTCGCCCGAGCGGTCTTCTTCGGGCAAGAACTCGAGGTCTGCTAGCTCAAAGTCGGCGTGGACCGGACAGTGGTCGGAGCCGTGCAGAAACGGCCAGATGTCTGCCTGGCTGACCAAGCGAGCGAGCTGCGACGAAGCAAGGATGAGATCGATGCGGGACCCAATGTTGAGCGGCCGGTTGCTCTTGAACGTGCTCCAAACCGTGTACATCTTGAGCCGGCGGCCGTGTTTCTCGCGCACGACGTCGTGCAGAACGTGCGAGTCGCCGTCTGGCCGCATCCCTGTGGTGTCCTTAACGTACTGGTTCACGAGCTCGCGATGGGGAGCAGAGTGCTTGAAAGCCAGCACCTGGTCCGCGTTGAGCGTCTCAAAGTCGCTGTAGTCCTGGGCTTTCACCAGTCGACGCTCTTTGAAGCCCTGCTTGATGGTATCGTCGCTGTCGATGAGATCGACACACACGTTGATGTCGCCCATTACCACCACTTTCTTGCCCAGAGCACGTAAATTGCGCGCCCGCTCGAACAGACACCGCAAAAACAGCAACCGGAACTCCTCGCCCTCGTCCGTGCCGAGACTGTTGGCCGGACAGTAGACGCTGATCACGACGATGTTGAAGTTGAGCTCGATGATCACACATCTGCCCTCGCTGTCGAGCTTGCGGAACTTGTCGTACATGTTTTTGTGGTCGGGATAGCCACCAATGCACGTGGGTCGAAGGACAGGGTCGCTGTACGCCTCTTTGAACGAAACGTGTTTTTTCTGGTGCGGCAGGATCCCTGTGATGCCCTCCTCGACACGCACGACGGTGAGACACTTCTTGACGATCCCGGGCTCGTCGTCACGTGGCTTTCGCACATAAACACCCACTCCCGAGTATCCCTTTTTGGAGATGGGCACGCTGATAAAGCTATGATAGCCGTCAACATCCGCGATACTCAGATCAATATCCGGTCTCTGCACCTTGAGCTCCTGGAAGGCGACCACGTCTACGTTCATCATGTTGAGCATCTGGGAGTAGTTCGAAACCAGCGTCCAGGGAAAGTAGTTTCGGAGCGTTTTGATGCCATTGACGTTGAAGGTGACAAGCCGCAGCGTCGTCGGCGTGAGCTTCGGCGGTATTCGGTCATCTCCTGGCATGGCAATAAAAAATCGCAAATAAATAAATAAATCGATTAAATTTAATCACATCAAATTAATATTGTGAAAAATTAAATTGCAATATAGCTTCAGTCAGTGTCTTAGGGTATAAATAGTTCCTAGCCGATTCTAGAGGAAAACAAGCAAAGTCATAGCAAGCTGTTCGGTTCAGCTGGACTCGGCTTCTCTCTTAAAGATCACCTCGTTGCGAGAAACCCTGTGCCAGCCCCAGCCAGCTTCGGCCTCAGCTTCTGGCGAAGCCTCTCTTTTGAAAATCACCTCGTTTCTGTTCACTCTGTGCCAACCCCAGCCTGGCAAAGCATTGGCCTCCGGCAGTGGCTCTGCCAGAGCCTCGGCCTCTGCAATAGGAGCAGCGTAGGCAACAGCAAGAATCATAGCGTAGAAAGTAGCACGGTTGAAGATCATTGTGGAGTCGATTGAAGTGAAGATGTTAATGAGTAGCAAACAGGATCCAGACTGCCTTATATACGCCTGTCTGCTCAAATTGGCCCTCGCCAAATCCCTGTCGCCAATGCATCCTCGTTTCACGTTTGTGCTATCGATAACATCCTCTGCCCAGCACCACCGTCCTCTCGTCTGGCTTTTCACCTTTCACGTCCATATCGGGAAGGTGCTCGACCCCGGACTCTGCACAGCCCGATTTCCTGATCGGGACGTCAAAGGAACCAACTGAAGCCAATGTGGTCGGCCGCGGCAGGAACCACCACAAACAGCTCAGGAACTTGAGACGTCTGGTACAGGCCATTATGTTGCCTGATCGGGCAAATAGAGACAGCAGTTCCCAAAGAGGACTTCCATATCGGCGTCCTAAACGTTTGGCAAGCTTCAACAAGCCCTGATTCGTCAGAAAACCGCCCCTGAGTAGCGTGTGAATATCCTTTCACATAATGGGCAGGGGCCGTAGCTTAAACACCACTTTCTTCCTGATGACATCCACAAACTCGCACTTGCCCGATGTATCGATGTCAGTTTTTAGCAGTCCCAGCGGCGGGTCGATCGTCTCCACCGTCCCGACAAGACGCTGGGACGTGCTGATGTACAGCGTCGCTCTTTTCATGTCGTTTTCGATCTCCAGCTTTCCAAACTTGACCGCATCGCGCACCAGCCGTTCGGGATCCGCAACGAAGTCAGGGTAGACGAATTTCGTGAAAAGTCTCTCCTCCTGCTCGTTGAGACCCTCTGGCTTGTTCGGAGGCAGGTTCAACTCACCTTGTATTTCCAGTAGCATTGAGCCCCACTTTGTGCACACTATGGAGGGCAGGTTATCCGGCACAGGCTGCGTGGGTGATTTTAAGCTCTCGGACGCTTTTTCGGTAGACACTACTCTAGAAGGCATAACGCGTAAATCAAAAATAAAGGAAAAAATAAAATAAAATAATAAAATCAGTGTATTTTCATCATGCTATCGGTCTTCAGATCCAAAGGCTTCGACGCCACCAAATTCGAAAAAAGTCTGAAAAATCTGTCGACCAAAATCCTCAGCAAGGAAAAAGCACTTCACCGCTACAGAAACAACAAGTCGCACTACCAACGGGTTGCCGTTCTATACTTGTTTGCCATATACTCCAGTTACGCATTTTACCTGTATCTGTCCGCAGAGAGGCTTTCCAGAGGCCAATGGGTGCATCTTGCCTTTCCTCCAGCACTGATCGTTCTGGTATACATTTTCATTGGCCGCTTCTACAACTACTTGATAACCAACACCGAGCGCAAACTGGAAACACTCAAGGAACAGCATCAAGAAAAAATCGCAGAACTCAAGGAAAAAACAAATTTTGACAAAACACACGAGTTGCTCAGCAGGTTCTCGAATGGCGAGGACCTGAAGGAGCTCGAGACACAGGCACAGGAGATTAATAGACAGAAACAAGAGTATTTGCAGCTGATCAAGGACGGAAAAGCGCCCAGTCTCGATTCTGCCTCCAAGGACACAAAAACGTTCTACGACCAGTTTTTCAACCTACTGCTCGGCAGCGACGAGCTGGGCCCGGATATGCGCTACGCGCTCATTTGCAAGTCGTGTCTACAGCACAACGGCCTTGCTCCCAAGGGAATGGAGGCAGCACAGGTGAAATACGTGTGTCCCAAGTGCGGCACGCTCAACGGCGAGGAGTCAGCGCAGGACACAGCCAACCAGACAGAAATAGTAGACAAGACTACCTAATTTAATCAGATACCCACTCTATCTAAGAAGTAAGAGACATGATGGCATTGACCATGTCTCCGTTGTGCTCTTTCAGGGCCTTCACAGCCTTGGCTCTGGAAACGTTGGTTTGCTCAACAATGATCTCGATATCGCCCGAGTCCAGACCGGTCTCGTCGACCTCCTCGTCGTCATCCTCCGCAGGAGCAGTCTTGTCGGCCAATGAGGCAGCCTGCAGGTCTGCAGTGATGGACTCTGGGTCCTTTGGAGCGTCTCCTTCCTTAACGGCAGCAGCGGCCTGTTGGGCAGCCTCCTGAGCAGCAGCAGCCTCGGCGTATCTCTTGTTCAGGTCCTCAACCTTGGCCTCTCCAAACACGACGTACGAGCCGGCGACAGATCTGTACACTTCTGGGTTGTCAATGGCCAGAATGAAGTTGCCCTTCTTTCTGAAGGTGACTCTGGTGATGCCCTTGACCTGCTTCAAACCCAGCTTCAGGATCATTTGTCTGGCCTTTTTCTCGTTCTTGGATAGGACGTGGACCTCAGCTCCGTCTGGGATTTGTTCTTCGACGATTTCCTCAATTTTCTCAGATGCCATTTTGTTGCTTGATTTATGGATAATTTGGAGAATTTTTCAGCGTCGAAGAAAAGTTGATGTGGTTATGAGCGCGACAGTGTTCTTGGTGAGGCCCTTCCCCAGACCCCGGCAGCACTTCTCGTGTGCCGCAGCACACCGGTGCGGACCTTTTCTCAGTGGCTTGTCTCGCTTCCCAGCATAGCCATCTCGCGCTCTCCTGCTTTTTCCCTGTTTTCTAGCCAGCCCTCTGCCGATACTGCCCTCGGCTTTCATCTGTTTACATAAGCACAAACCACAAAAAATTCAACTGTTACACAAACAGATAACCCCTTATTCTCTTTCGTCCCCATAGCCAGCAAAAACGCACTCCGTTTGGTTATTGCAGACAGCTTATAGTTTGCATCATAGACCGACAACGTGATCCGTTCGCATGATATCAGATAATCTGTCCTGTCAAAATTGAAAGTTAATTTACGGAGCTCTAATTACTGATCAGCTTAATATCAGCTCTCGTTGCTACAACGTACCCGCTAATTCTGCAAATGAGTGCCAAAGTGGACAAAAAACACTGGTGGCAATGGCGATACGGCCGGAAGTGCGAAACTCGCTCTGAGCAACGACGTATCTTCGTCAACCTTCCGCTTCCGGAAGACATGGTTGATCCCGATACTCAGCTTCCGAAGACAAAATACCCTAGAAACAAGATTCGGACTACTAAGTATACGCCGCTTTCGTTCCTTCCGAAGAACATTTTTTTCCAGTTTACCAACATCGCCAACTCCTACTTCCTGTTTATTATCATTTTGGGAGCTTTCCAGATATTTGGAGTGCAAAATCCCGGGATGCAGGCTGTGCCACTCATTGTGATTGTCGTTCTGACGGCCATCAAGGACGCGTTCGAGGACTACAGAAGAGGCGCGTCCGACATGGAGCTCAACAACTCGCGTATCCATTTATTAATGGGGATGCACAACCCGAACGTTTCTGTGGACCATGTCGGGCCTTGGAGACGGTTCAAAAAAGCGTGCACAAGAGCAACCAACTCCATTTTCTACCTGGTATCGGGCCAGTCGAAGAAACGTGCACAGATGAATGCGCTGTTGACGAGCGATCTAGAACGCGTGGTCACCGTGGGCTCGTCGGTGCCAAATACCCCCAGACAGTCACTATCGTCTGCCAGATCGAAACGGGCCAAACTATCCACGTTTCATCCCAATACCGTGTCGAACCCCAACATTACTCCTACCATGACGTACAGGTTCCAAAACAATTTCTGGAAAAACATCTCTGTCGGCGATATTATTAGAGTGAGAAACAACGAAGAAGTGCCTGCGGACGGCATTCTGCTATCTACAAGTGATGAATTTGGAGAATGCTACATTGAAACAAAGAACTTAGACGGAGAAACCAACCTCAAGACTAAACACTCTCTGCTCTGCGGCGTCGGCCTAAAACACGCTGCCGATTTCGAAAGAGTGCAGATGGTGGTCGAAGCAGAACCTCCCAACGCTAACTTGTACAAATTCAGGGGAGTCGTCAAATACACGGCGTACGAGTCGGAATCGGACACCCATGGCCACCAGGCCCAGGAGCCGGTGACTTACGATAATGTTCTTTTACGAGGCTCTACCCTGAGAAATACGAAATGGGCTCTGTGCTGCGTGGTTGCTACCGGAAATGACACCAAAATCATGCTCAACTCGGGCATCACGCCCACCAAGAAGTCCAAAATGTCCAGCCAGTTGAACCTGTCTGTGATCATCAATTTCATTGTCCTATTTGTCCTGTGCTTTGTTTCTGGTTTGATCAATGGGCTGTTTTATGACAAGAGAAATACTTCGTTTGATTATTTTGAGTACAAGCCCATGGCCGGCTGGAGCTCAGCCGCCAACGGTGTGGTTGCCTTTTTTGTCGCCATCATCTTATACCAGACGCTGGTTCCTATTTCCCTCTACATTTCCATCGAGATCATCAAGACCGTACAGGCTTACTTCATCTACGCGGACGTCCGAATGTACTATCAGCGTTTGGACTTTCCCTGCACCCCGAAATCGTGGAACATATCCGACGATCTTGGCCAGATAGAGTACATTTTCAGTGACAAGACCGGTACTCTGACCCAGAACGTGATGGAGTTCAAAAAGTGCACCATCGCGGGCAAGTCGTACGGTTTGGCGTACACAGAAGCCCAGCAGGGCATGGACAAACGTGCGGGTGTGAATGTAGTGGAGGAAATTGAAAAGATGCGCAAGATTATCACCCAGGATCGAAAAGACATGATTACGGAGCTGGAACGAATTGGTAACGATCAGTTCGACCCTGAAAGACTCACATTTATCTCTAGCGAGTTTCTCAAGGACGTCGGTCCGTTTGCCGACAAGTCGCGCAAGAGAGCAAACGAGAATTTCATGCTTGTTCTCGCGTTGTGTCATACGGTGATCACCGAAAAGGATGCGGACGGTCATCTGGAGTTCAAGGCCGAGTCTCCTGACGAGGCCGCGTTGGTGGCTGTTGCCAGAGACTTGGGCATTGTTTTCCGGGACCGTACCAGGAAGGGTCCTATTGTGACGGTTTACAGTTCGAACCAGCCGTTGGAATACGAGCTTTTAGAGGTCATTCCGTTCAATTCCACCAGGAAAAGAATGTCGGTGGTTTTGCGCACTCCCGAAGGTCGTATCATGCTATATTCCAAGGGTGCTGATAATGTTATCTACGAGAGACTGGATCCGAAGGCGGATCAGGAAATGCTCAGCAAAACAGCCATACATTTGAGCGAGTATGCACAAGAAGGTCTAAGAACGCTGTGTATTGCGGAAAAGGAGATAAGCGAAAAGGACTTTAACGAATGGCACTCAAAGTACAAAGAGGCCAGCGTGTCTATCGAAAATGATAGAGAAGAGCGGATGGAGGTCCTTGCGGACGAGCTCGAGAAGGGACTGACTTTGCTGGGAGGAACGGCCATCGAAGACCGTTTGCAGGACGGCGTGCCAGACTCGATCTCGACACTCTCGAAGGCAGGAATCAAGCTATGGGTGCTCACTGGTGACAAGGTAGAGACTGCAATTAATATCGGATTCTCGTGCAACTTGCTGGACAACGACATGGAGCTGCTGGTTATCAAGGCCAGCGAGGGAGGATCCGAGAAGGAAGGAGCATCAGCGTTGGTGTCACGCTATTTATCGGAGAAATTTGGCATGGAGGGCACGAAGGAAGATCTTGCGCTAGCCAGAAAAGACCATTCTCCTCCTGGCGGCGACTACGCGATAATCGTTGACGGTGCCTCATTGGAAGAAATTCTGGAAGACCCCGATCTAAAGCTGAAGTTTCTTCTTCTTTGCAAACAGTGCCGTTCTGTTCTCTGTTGCAGAGTGTCTCCTGCTCAGAAGGCACAGGTTGTCATGATGGTCAAGAACACGCTGAAGGTGATGGCTCTGGCAATTGGTGACGGGGCCAACGACGTGGCCATGATCCAGGCTGCGAACGTTGGAGTCGGCATTGCTGGAGAGGAGGGTCGTCAGGCCGTCATGTCGAGCGACTACGCGATTGGCCAATTCCGGTTCCTTGTCAGACTTCTGATTGTGCACGGGCGCTGGTCTTACAAAAGACTCGGAGAAATGATCACATGCTTTTTCTATAAGAACGTCAACTTCGTGATGGCTCTCTTCTGGTACGGCATCTTCAACAACTTCGATGGCTCGTACCTGTACGAGTACACGTATCTGATGTTTTTCAATTTGGCATTCACGTCTCTTCCCGTCATTTTTTTGGGAATTTTGGACCAGGACGTTCCTGCGCATGTGTCGCTGCTCAACCCGGAATTATATCGTACAGGGATCCTAGGAAAAGAGTGGTCGCCGTTCCGGTTCCTGTATTACATGGCGGACGGTCTTTTCCAGTCATTTATCGCCTTCTTCTTCCCGTGGTTCTTGTTCCGCTCCGCCGCTTTCGTCAACCAGGAGGGATTGAACGTGGACCATCGATTCTGGGTTGGTGTTTTCTGCGCCCACATTTCTGTGACCGCGTGTGACCTGTACGTGCTGCTGATGCAAAAACGTTGGGATTGGCTGTCTGTGCTGATTGTGGGGCTTTCTATTCTGTGCATCTTTTTCTGGACAGGAATCTGGACCTCGTCACTTGCCTCGCAGGAGTTCTACAAAGCTGCCTCCAATTGCTATGGCACCGTGGCTTTCTGGTGCACGTTTTTTGTCGGCGTCCTGTTGTCAGTGCTGCCGCGTCTCACCTACGAGATATTCAATAGACTCTACAGACCAAAGGACATAGACATCATCAGAGAACGCGTGGCCATGGGCGCTTACAATAGCTACTCGGAAGACTACGACCCAACGGACGTCACGACCAACAAGCCGTCGTCAGAATCGGCCTCTGGCACGTCTCAGTCCGAAGACATACTCACCGACGAGAAGAAAGATATCGAGGCAGACGAGTCGTTGGCCACGCGGCCAAGGAGAAGCACGATCAAAAAGATGATCGGTAAGCTCACGCCGGGCCACAAGTCGCCACTCGAAACTCTTAGACAGAGCATGGTTGTCTCTGGCCAGGTCTCGCACAGGTCGTCATCGCAGATGATCCGCACCAGCCACGAACTTGCGGGTATTACGTCCCCAGAGACTCTCATGAGACTGCACACGAGGAACAGTCAGCTCTCCAGATAAAAAACGCTGGTGCGAGGTGTGCTTGTATAGAATATGTCATTTTGTTTAATTTTTTGATCACGAGCGTACGAGATGGCAGATGCAAATGCGGATATACAGCCCGAAACACGGCCGGAGCTCAACTTAGGAAATGTCCTGGGCGATATCAAGTTTGGATTGTTGTCGCTGTTCAACAACCCTGAGTTCTGCGCGCCAATTGCCGTCTTTCTGACCATCGCAGAGTCGCTTCTCCTCAAGGCCGTGATCCATTTTGTCCCCTACACCGAGATTGACTACAGCACGTACATGCAGCAGATCGACCAAATTGAGGCTGGAGAGCTTGACTACGCCAAAATTAGCGGCGACACAGGCCCAATTGTGTATCCCGGCGGACATGTCTACATATACTCGTGGATGAAGTGGTTCACCAACGGGATGGACAACGTGCACGCTGGCCAGCAGATTTTCAGGTATCTATATCTGGCGACATTTGTGCTAACTCTGGTTGCGTATTTCCAGACAAATGTGCGGTTCAAGCCGTACCTGCTCTACTTTCTGTGTCTGTCCAAACGGTTGCACTCCATCTACGTGCTGCGGCTGTTCAACGACTGCTTTGCCACGTTTCTGATGGTGGCTACGATCGTCGTTCTGCAGCAGGCTGCCGTTTTGCGGCGCAGGAAGAGCGCTCTGGGCGCAGTGCTCACCTTCTTCAGCGCACATTTGTTCAGCTCCGCCGTCAGCGTTAAGATGAACGCTCTGCTGTATCTGCCGGGCTACTTGGTGGTGGTGTACATGATCCTGGGAGAAAACCTGCTGCACACGCTTGCCGTGATTGGTTTCGGGTGTGCAGTGCAGGCAGGCATTAACTGGGACTTCCTGGCGGCCTCGGAGACCACAAGAGCACATTTCCTGCAGAACGCTTTCGACTTCAGCCGTGCTTTTCTGTACCGCTGGACGGTCAACTGGAAGTTTGTGCCGGAGCCCATTTTCCGCAGCCGCGAGTTCCACACGTTGCTGCTGCTGGCGCACACAGCCGCACTGACGTTTTTCGCGGTGTACAAATGGAGCAGTAAATCTGTCACGGGAAAACCATCCACCAAATTTATCAGAGACGCACTGATTTTCTACAAAGACACCATAGGCCCAGAAAACGTGATACTCTCCCCAGAAAGCGGCAGATACATCTTCTGGGTGATGGCGACGTCGAACTTGATCGGCGTCTTGTTCGCGCGCTCGCTGCACTACCAGTTCTTGGCCTGGTATATGTACTCGCTGCCAATGCTGCTGCAGCTGGGCGGGCTGCCGTGGTATGCACAGACGGCGCTCGTGGTGGTCCACGAGTGGTGCTGGAACGTGTACCCCAGCACAGCGGCCAGCTCGTTGGGCCTGGTGGCAGTGCTTGCGACAGTGGTTTTGTCGCAGCTCCGGTGTGGCTTCGGCAAACCCAAACAGGAATAATATCTCTCGCACTACCCTGCCGCGAATTTCGGTCGGTGCCCGTAATAAACAAACTTCAGGAAAACTGTCACTATTTGCGTGTTACCCGGCCTGCGAGTTGGTCTGGCGAAGGCTGTTAAACCATTCAAGTAGACAGAAAAATAGCTTTTTTTCCTAGTGGAGGTTGACTTGATTTCCGTGGGTGCTTATTGAAACTAGTGCATACAGCTCGCAGACTAAGCCATACGTGTCCACGACGACAGAGCGTCGGTGTTAGATTAGAACTCGGTGACACTAGCGACAGTACCCGTTTGTTTAAAGGAGTTTTCAGTGCCAGTTTGTGCAGACCCCAAAACTCCGACTCTGTTCAGCAGACCTTTGCCCTTGTGCACCTAGAATTTTCGTGTGCTAATTTGGTCACCTCTGTGTCAGGTAGATATCTGGACTTTTCCAGCTGACAAAAATGAGCCAGAACGCTACTCCCCAGACAACAGAAGGCCATATGTCTATGAATGATCAGCAGAGCAATTCTTCGTCGGGAACAAACAATACAGAGCATCCGTCCTCGTCGTCGGTATCGTCTGTGCCCACTGTGTCGGACTCAACGGCCGTCAACTCCAGGGAGTTGCTCAACGCCTACGTCTACGACTTCATCCTCAAGTCTGGATTCACAGCGACGGCAAGCGCGTTTTTCAAAGAGGCCAACATCCCGGTGATCCACAGCGAGAAGAGGCCCACAAACTCGCCTTCCAGCTCTGCCACGGGCACCTCCGACCTGCCTGCGTCGTTCATGACCATGGACGCCCCGCAAGGCTTTCTGTACGAGTGGTGGCAGATCTTCTGGGACGTCTTCAACGCCCGCACCCAGCGCGGCGGAACCACGAACGCCACGCAGTACTACCACTACGTGAACCTCAAGCAGAAGCAGGACCACCTGATGAGCCAGCAGGCCGCGGCAGTGGCAGCTGCCTCCACGGTCATGAACGGCAACAACACCTCGATGAGCGGCGCACCGGTGACGTCTGCGGCTCAGGATATCGGTGTCCTGATGCCCCAGCAGCAACAGCAACAGCAGCAGGCGCAAATGGCCCATCCACCGCAGCAGGTTCCGATGGCCCAGCAGCAAAGGGTCAACGCTCGCATGCAACAGCCCCAGCAACAGCAGAGCCAGAGCATGCCGATGCATCCTCAGGCGGCCGCCCAGGCCCAGATGAACACGCTCAGGCAGCAACAGATCGCGCAACAGGCCCAGGCTGCACAGGTGGCAGCGCAGGCCGTTTCGCAGAGAGGGTCCCCGTCGAAACGCCAGAGGATGGACGCTGCTGGTAACGGCAGCGCAACAGAGATCAACCAGACCTCGTCGCCCAACATCGCCATGAACTCTCAGCAGCAGCAGCAGCAACAGCAACATCCGCCGATGCCAATGCCGCAGGGAATGATGATCCCCAACCAGTTTGGTGTTCCGCAGCAGTACGCCATGTTTGCTGCCGCGCAGGCTGCTCAGCAGGGCCAGTCGCAGCAGAAGTTCAACCAGTACATGATTCCAAATTTCCAGAACCAGCCCCAGCAGCCCCAGCAGCAAATGCTGATGCACCAGCAGATGCACCAGCAGTCGGTGCACATGCAGCACGACCAGCAGCATCCTCCCCCTCCTCCGCCAAACGTGCCTCAGCACTCACAGACTTTCTCGAACCCTAATGACTTCTTCCACGAGATGCCCAAGCAGAACAATCCAGGAACCGCCAGGGTGAACGATACCGCCATCAAAGACTACGAAAAACAGCTCCGCTTGATGGAGTCGCAGAATCGCAGACGTTTGGACGTGCACCGCAACGTGTCGGACTCCAAGGACCCAAACTCTCCTGGCAGCGCGCAGTTCACCGAGTACTCGGCCATGCTGAACCAGATGCCGCCGCAGCACGCGGCCGCCTCGATTATGCAGCAGAGAGCATCTCCGGCAACAAAGGCGTCTCCAACCACCAAGTCGCCGGCTAACGGGGCTCCGCCGGCCAACGGCAAGCAAAAGAAGGCTCCGCGCAAGGCACGCAAAAATTCGTCCTCTGTTCCTGCCACGCCGTTGACCCCGGCCAACAACCAGCCAACCCCTCAGACAAACATCCCTCCTACTCCACAGAACACCACTCCACAGCAAACCCCTCAGTCGTCCGCAGCCGCTGCTTCTCAAGTGATGGCTGGCAAAAAAGGAATCAAGCGAAAGAACAGTATCACCACTCCAACCATCAAGGAGGACGAGCCATTTATCCTATCGAGTACAGCAGGTAAAACCACAAACGGCTCGTCGCTCAACAAGGTCCAAGGACCCGTTTCTTCGTCTTCGTCGCACATGGGTTCTGATGTTCCAAGTTCTGCCGTCAACGACCAGGCCGCATCGACCTTTTTGCATGACTTCTCCACCGCCTCTAATGATATCTTCGATTTCGACTCACTTCTCACGGCGGACCAGGAAAATGCTGGCAATTTGGGCCTCACAGAGGTTTTCAACTGGGTAGAGTCTGTCGGAACCGGAGATCTATAGAGCGTTTTAGCTTTTGTATCTTTTATTTCACTACCGGTGATGTGTTTACGTACTGTACATTACTTTCTCTTTGGCCGCTGTTTGACCTCTTCCTCCTTGCAAGGGTGCAGTCTCACCACGTTAGGGTAGTCAGGCCGGTTGAACTCGTGGCCCTTGCTCCAGTCGTAGCTCAAGGCGTACGCAAAGATCGTTCCTGTGCGGTTGAACCCGACAACCGGAATGGTGGCTCCCAGCGGCGGATAGCCCTTTAGTCTGTGCCGTGCATCCTTGTCCCAGAAGTTGAACGTTCCATCCGAGCCCGCCGTGGCAAAGGTCCCGTGCACAGGGTGGAACGCAATTGAGTTGAGAGAATATATGTTCACCTCCTTCGACGCCGTCTTCTGCTCTCTCTGACACTTGAACGAAAACCCAAACTCCTTCTGCTGCAACTCGTCCACGTACTGGATACCGCAACGGCCCTCAATCGACCCCACCGCAAATCCGTCACCCTTGGGATAGCACGCGATCGCTCTTGTCTGGTACTTGAGCGGTGACATGCTCTGTCTGAAGATCTTGTCCGGGTTGTTCAGATCAATTGTCACAATGTGGCGCTCAGCAGTGCCAACAACAAGCAACTTCTGCGATGAATCCATCGCGTACACGCGCTCAGGCATGTTTAGCGTGCAAATCGGGTTCTGCTGCCTCATGTCCCAGTACTTGATGGTCTTGTCCCACGAGCCACTCACAACACACTGTGTGTTGGTAGGCCCGCACTCCACATACCGCACCACCCTCACCGTATCGTTGTGTAGTCCTATTGTCTGCTGCTGCTGAGACGCGAGATCAAACAACCGCACCTGCTTGTCAGCTCCTCCACTGATCACCCTCGCACCGTCCAGAGAAAACCGCGTGCTCAAAACGGGGCCCTCGTGCTCGTACAGAGCGCGGCCCTCTACCTGTCCTGTCCCCGTGTTGATCTCGTAGATTCTGTTTTTACGGTCCCACGACGACACGGCCAGAAACTCAGCGACAGGCGAAAACGCAAGATCCGAGATCGAGTCCTCCGGCCCATTGGGAACCACGATGTCGTTTTGCAGGTCCTGGAGAGTTCCAGCAGACGTCACAGTCCCGGTTCCCGAAGACCCGCCCAGGGAGCTCGTGCCAAACGCTCCTAGTGACCGAGTTCCAAAAGACATTTGTGTATTATTTGAGGAAAAAAAAAGGAAGGCTCTTCATGTAGAGGTTTTTTTTTTGTTGCTTACGCCGGAAATTACATAATCTAATCAAGCTTCAACAGCCGCAGCTTCAGCAGAGCATCGCTGATGCTGGTCTCCTCCTCGCCAAGCACAGGGCTCGACGTTTCAGCGTACGTCTCCACAGGTCTTCTGGTGGCCTTCAACAGCACGCTTTGGTGGGCCGAGATGGCGTCGGCCAGTCCGATAGGGTCCTTCTGGATATCCAGCTGCACAAGCACCTCGTCGGTCTGCTGCAAGTTGCACTTCTTTCTCAGTCTCTGGATTCTGTTGATCAGTTCTCTGACAAGACCCTCAGATTGCAACTCTGGGTACATGTTGATGTCCAAAATGACCAGCACGTCTCCCTCGGTTCTGACCTCCTGGCCGCCAGAGACTTTGTCTTCTGGCAAACCTCTGAGCACAGACAAGTCCTCGTCCACAAGGTTGATACCTGCCACCTCGACCTTGCCAGTCTTGAGGAACTCCTTGACCTCGTCTGAAGTTAATTTAGGAAGAGCGTCTTTGACCTTCTTGGCGTCTTTTTTCAGCTTCTTGCCCAGCACCGGCCAATCGGCAACGGCCTTATATTCGACGCCAAACTTGTCTTCGTCGGATGTGATAACCAGGTCCCTGACGTTCAGCTCCTCCTTGATGTAGCTTTGCAATGCCTTGACATCTTCAAGGTAGCCTGGATCAGAGTGCAGCACAACAAGCTCCCTCAACGGGGTTTTGAGAGATATTGTCTTCTTTTCTCTGATGTTTCTGCCCAAGTCGATGATCTTCTGCATTCTGGACACGGCAAGCTCAATTTTTTCGTCGATCAGAGAGTCGTTGACGATCGGGTACGACAAGAAGTGCACAGAGTCGGTGTTTTCGCCGTATTTCTTCAACGTCTGCTCCTCAAACAGCACCTTTATTCTGCCGTAGATGTTCTCGGCCAGATATGGCGTGAACGGAGCCATGGCTCTCACGAGAGTGAACAGCGCTTCGGTCAACGTATTCATGGCCTTCAAACAGTCCTCGACACCATTCTCTCCCTTCAGTCTCTTTCTGTTGAATCGGATGTACCAGTTGGTCAGCTCGTCAATCAGATTCAGCAGCTTAGGAACAACCGTGTACAGTCTGTACTCCTCCATCTCAACACGAATGAACTTGATGAGCGACTGAATCGACGCCAGCAGCCAGCGGTCCATGACGTTCTCGGATCTGGACTCTGGATCGTACTTGAAGTCGATTCCCTCGTTCTTCTTGAGCAAGGCAACTTGTCCTTCCAGGAACTTGTATGAGTTCCACCATGGCAGCAGAACCTTGGAAACCACCTCCTTGACACCTTCTTCCTTGAATTTGAGCGTTTCGGCTCTCAAAACAGGCGAGTTGATCAAGTACAATCTCAGGGCATCCGCGCCGTACGTATTGAGCACGTTCATTGGGTCTGGGTAGTTCTTCAGTCTCTTGGACATCTTCTTACCGTCAGCAGCAAGAACAATACCGGAAACAATAACGTTTTGGTATGGAGCCTTGCCAAATAGATGAGTTCCCAGCACTGTCAAAGTGTAGAACCAGCCTCTGGTCTGATCCAGACCCTCGGAAATGAAATTGGCCGGAAACGCGCCCGTGAACCTTTCCCTGTCCTCATCGAACGGATAGTGTTTCGAGGCGTACGGCATGGATCCAGATTCGAACCAGCAGTCAAACACATCCTCAATTCTCTTGAGAGTACCCTTGCCCTGCTTGGAAGGAATGGTCAGGTGGTCGATATTTTCTCTGTGTATGTCTGTGATGGAGTAGTCGCCGGTCAATTCTTTCAGCTCAGCCAAAGAGCCAACACAGACAATCTCCTCGAGATCTTCCGAAACCCACAAGGGCAATGGAGTGCCCCAGTATCTCTTTCTAGAGACGTTCCAGTCTCTGGCATTGGCAATCCAGTTGGAAAATCTTTTATCCTTTATGTTGGAAGGAACCCATCTGGTTCTGTCCACAGCCTCCAACATCTGGGGAACGATGTCCTTGACTCTCACAAACCACGAAGGAACCGCTCTATAAAGCAGCGGAGTGTCGGATCTCCAGCAGAATGGGTAGCTGTGTCGGATCTGGGACGCCAGCAAAATCCGACCGCTGGCAGTCAAATACTTGATGATTTCCTTGTCGGCGTCCTTAACGTAGAGTCCAGCAAAGTCGGTCACTTCCTGAGTGAATCTTCCGTCGTCGTCGACAGGGTTAGGAGGAGCCAGGTCCTCATTGATGACGCCTGCCTCGGTAGCAGCCTCGAAATCGACCTCACCAAAAGCCGGTGCCTGGTGGACAATACCGGTACCGGAGTCGTCTGTGACAAAGGTGTTGCAGTACACTCTGAATCCGGTGTCTTTGAACTTGTCGTAGAAATAGTTGAACGCCGGCTCGTACTTCCAACCATCCATCTCTTTACCGAGAATCTTGCCAACAATCTTGTACTTTGCGTCCTTTGGCTTCTTGTACAGGCTCTTGATCAGACCTTCCAGCATGATGTAGGTGACGTCCTTCTCCTCGTCGTAGATCTTGGCATACTCAAACTCGGGATGCACACAGAGGCCAATATTAGAAGGCAGGGTCCACGGAGTGGTGGTCCAGGCAACAAGAATAGTCTTTGGATCGTCTTTTAATGGGAATCCAACGGTGACTGCTGGATCGTTGACTTCCTTGTAATTCAGTTGGGCCTCAAAGTTCGACAACGAGGTTGTCACACCCGTAGAGTACGGCATAACTCTATAACCTCTGTAGACCGCTCCCTTCTCGAACAGCTGCTTGAAAGCCCACCATTCGGACTCCATGAACTCTGGATACAGCGTCTTGTAGTCGTTGTCGAAATCAATCCATCTTCCGAGTCTGCCAATGGTTTTTCTCCACTCCTCTGCATACGTCATCACAATCGACCTGCACTCCTCGTTGTACTTTGCAATGCCCATGTCCAAGACGTCTTGTTTGCACTTGATGCCCAGCTTCTTGTCGATTTCGTGCTCCACAGGCAGCCCGTGGGTGTCCCAGCCAAAGCGTCTTTCCACGTAGAAACCGTTCATAGTGGCGTATCTTGGAACAATGTCCTTGATGGTCGAAGCGAGGATATGGCCGTAATGGGGGGTTCCTGTTGCAAACGGAGGACCGTCGTAGAAGGCAAACTGTGGCCTCCCCTTAGTCAGCTCCAGAGACTTGTGGAAGGCGTTGATCTCATTCCAATAAGCCAAAACCTTCTCCTCCTCTCTCGGAAAGGAGAAAGACTGCGGTTCTTCTTCAGACATAATATGAGTGACTCTTAGTTTGAATCGCCAACGGGGAAAAATTTGTCAACGAGTGGCGCTGGTGGCGGTGAAGAGAGACTGGAAAATTTTAGAGCTGGAAAAGATTGATTATTTCAGCCGATGATGTTTGGTCCATTTAGAATGTCGCCCGTGGCGCTGGGCGGTTTGCTGTGGAAAAAACCATGGAGACTTTCAAAATTCCAGAAATACAGACACAGAAAGAGAATGCAGCTCGTGGACGCCAACATCCAAGCCTTATACGACGGATTGCAGGCCAACGGAATGTCGTCCAAAAGAGTGGACCATCTGATGACCGAGTATCCAAAGGAGAGCGAGATGACACCTAAGAACAAGTACACGGTGTTTAGCAAGTACGCAAGAAAATACAGAAAGGGAATCCACTTTGTGCCAAAATGGACCAGGATTCCTCTCAGAAAACAGCCTACCAATGTGTAGCCGTCGTTCGGCCGCTCTCTATTGTACATATGATAAATACACTGCGCATGCTCATATATTATCCCAGATGTATTCTGAAATGAACATTTCGTCGTAGCCCTGATCGAGGTTCAGAACATTAGTCTTCTGCGATTTTTTGTTGAGCACCAGCACCTGCTTGCTGTTGAAGTCGAGCTTGAGTCCGAGGCTCTCGTAGAGCTTGAGCTTGAGCGCCTTGCTGCGCTCCGAAACATTCTTGTTTGCGTCTGTCTCGATGCTGTGCTGCTCGAGCTCGGCCAGCTGGTTCTGCAGGTTCTCCAGTTTGACAAGGTCTTGGTTATACTTCAACTTGAGAGCGTTCAGTTCCATATTAAGACTCGTGAGATGTTTTGCTATCGTGAATATGAGGTCTTCCACCTTGAGCAGTTCTTCTTTGACCTCCTTGGACTTCTGGTTGTTTTTCAGCTCTTCGATCGAGCTCTCAAAATGCTCCAGCTCACGCTGCAGCTCGTCTAGCTTATCTTGATGTCTATCTAGCTCCTCTTGTCGCAGCGATTCTAGCTTTTTCAGGTTATTGTTGATTGTGTCTATGGCGGAGAGGTCTTTCTGGATGTCAAAGAAGCTGCGGATCTGCACTATCGGCAGACTGAGGCCAGGAAACTGCGTACCCATCGATAAAACAAATAATAAACAAACAAAATTTATATCTGGGGCCAACCCTTGCACCGCAAAGGCTGGGAGGGTGAGAAAAATACAAATTATAAAATTTGACGGATCATCAACATGGACCGCAAACGGGTAGAGGGCCTCCCTCCATGGATGCTCACGCCGAAAGAGGAAAACGAGGTCTTTTTAAATTGGCGAGACAATGCCTGGAAAGCATGCGACCAGTTTGTGCAAGGTAAGTAGTGAACATCAGACCACGGACTAATGTCTAGACTTTGTGAAATGCGAACATATGGCTGGTTACGGAGTGTGGTTCAAATGTCGCAAGCAATCGGCCAAGATGAAAGAGTGCATAAAATCGCGCCAGAAGCAGGAATATGTCGACGAGGAGAGAGATAAATTTATCAAAAAGAAAATGGAATTGTTGAAGCAACAGCGGGAGGGGCAGCGGGGAGACGAAGCACAATGAGCATCAGCCAAAGCTCAAGATGCGGAAATCTTGGGGGTAAGAAGGAGGAGTAGTGTGATCCCATTTGAAACCTAGTCATAGGCCGGTCATTGATAATCGTGAGGAGATGGAGAAAAATTGAGTTTTCCACCTTTTTTGCTGCACTGCTAGAGAAGCAATTCTGCCCAAGCTGCAGCTTGTCATGGCCGGCCACTGGTGTATATAAGGACCTGGCAACCTAGTACATAGCCAATATCATTTTTCCAATATGTCATTTCTCGATAGGTGGGTCTACAAGAACAAAACAAGACAAAACGGTGTCAACAACACGGGCACGCACTATAATCCAACCACCATCACTCCTCAAGAGCAATTCAAATCTTATCAAGGCCGCAGAAACTCCGACACACAGCCAAATTTGAAAAACGTGCCATACACCTATTTCCACAAGGATGAAGTGATCAATGTGCGTGGCGACGATGGCCAGATGCACGGCATGCGGTCCACTACCGACGGCTACATTGACGATAAGAACCAAAAGCATATACTGGGCAGTCTCCAGCCGGACTCGTGGGTAGACCGAAAGGGTTCGATCGGGTCGATTGGCTCAATTGGCTCTGTGAGCAGCGAGATGAACGAATGAGCGGCTTTTTTGCTTCGAGATTTTATTACACTATGCTATTTAATTTCAATATATGGCTCTTAATATATTAATGCCTAATTTTTCGCGGTAGCGTGTGCCATATGCTTTTTATAAGGGGCATTTATAAGAATGCATAATCGTAAATTTATTTTTAAATATGGATCGGTTCCATAATCGACGCAGGTCGTCTGATTCAGAGGAATACCCTCTGAATCACGACAGAGAGGTGCCTCAGATTGAGATCTTGACAGACTCAAACAACATCTCGAATCTGCCGCCTCGAGAACGGTCTTCGCTGTACGATATTGACGATTCGAATTCTTTTTCCAAGTCACGGATCCTGCCCAAGCTCACTGTCCACACTGATCTTCAGTCTGAAGACGATCTTATAAACATTCTACACCAGCCGTCGCCCCAAAAAGGCCACTCTCGCAGCTTCGAGGTCTCCCCTTCGCCTACAAGCTCGCGTTTTCGCAACACCAGAATTCTAGACAACGACCGCATACCCATTCTTTTAGACGAAGAGATGGACTCTGATTTCTCGGAGGGCTTGAACTTGGCTCTGGCAGAGACCAGCGACCTGTGGATGCCTCTCAGTGAGGCGTCAGATACCTCCTCGCTGGAATCGGGCCTACACATGCGAACGGGAAACTCTCATGATCTAGAGTCCGGAAATGCAGATATCGAAATGGCGGATCTCAGTGGCAAGCTGGACGTGCCGGATTCAGCCAACATGTCGCGTTTGGACGTGACATCCATCCAAACAGGCAAAAGTCTGGTCCAGCCAGTGACACCTAGCTCGCAGATATCTTCTGTTTTCCGCAAGTTCTCGCAGCGGCTGAACGCTCGTGGAGACGAGCAGGATGGCGAGATCGATCTCACCGACGATGTTGACTTGAGCGAGCGTCGAGACTTTGTAGATGATGACCATATGCATTGGGGTGACTACTCGGATTATGAGGATGATCTAGGGCGTTCCACCTACTCGAAGAACAGTCTTGCGGCCAACCATTCTCTACAGACTACCGTGCTGCTTCCCGGGGAGCCAGACGACGTTTCGTCGCAAGAAACTCAAGAAAAAGAGACTCCTCGCTTATTTGGCAAGTCGTTTGGCATTTTTGGACCCAACTCGAATTTCAGAATAAGGTGTCTGCAAATCGCGCGAAAACCGATCTGCGACCAAATCATTGCGCTACTTTTGATATCCCAGACAGTTTTATTGACAATTCAGCAGTGGAAAGTCGAGGCAGGCTACGTTCACAACGGAGGGTGGACGTGGGTCGATTATATTATGTTTTTCCACTATGTTGTGTACACGGCGGAGATATTAGTCAAATCGGTGGCCTTTGGCTTTTTCGACGACTCACAGATGTTCGAGGAGCTAAAACTGGAGAAGAAAGAGAGCTTATTGCGCAGATACCTGCGAAATGCAGGCGAAAAGCTACGTCTGACACACCCCAAGGTCGCAGACCAAGACTATGCGCATTCCCAGCCTCTCAGAACAGTGACTGTTCATGGAGCAGACGCAGAGCTTGCCAAGCGAACGCGAGCGTTTTTAAGGTCCGACTGGCACAAGGTGGACTTTGTTTCTGTGGTGTCGTTCTGGGTTTCGCTCTTTCTCAGCATCCGCAAGTTAGACATAAAGCATCAGTGCATGATTTTCAGGTCACTCATGTGTCTCAAAATTCTGAGACTGCTCAACATCACACACGGAACGCGGTTGATTCTTAAATCGCTCCGCAGAGCAGGCCGCCAAGCTTCAGATGCCACTATGGTTCTCTGTGTCTTTTGGGTGCTTTTCGCCATCATTGGAGTCCAATCTTTCAAATCGTCTTTGAGAAGACACTGTGTCTGGACCAACCCTAGCAACAGCACGGACATATATGAGAACTCCATGCAGTTCTGCGGATCTTACCTGGACCCAACAACACTCAAAGAAAAGCCGTATATTCCCGGACACAACGATCAGACCTTTCCTTATGCCAAGGGATTTACCTGTCCGGTGAACTCGAAATGCATCTCCGGTGAGAACCCATACGGAAACACCATAGGATTCGACAACATCTTCATTTCGTTGCAGATGGTGTTTGTTATCCTGAGTGCCAACACGTTTACCGATATCATGTACGATACCATGGACAGTGACGACATGGCTGCTTCGCTATACTTTATTTTTGGCATTTTTATTCTAGTGGTGTGGCTGCTGAGCCTGATTGTGGCCGTCATCATCAACTGCTACCGAGTCCACATAGACGACATGAAAACCGCACGGCAGTCACGCAAGACACGCATTCTGGCCTGGGAGTTTGATTTCAAGGCGCTGGGTGCTGCATACGAGGACTACATGGCCCACCACAATTACCTGCGGAAATTCTGTTCCACGCGTGCGCTCTTCAACATTCTGGTTATCGTGGATCTCATCAACAAGGCGCTGGTCTCGACAAAATACGACGATGAGAGCTGGAAAAGACTGAAGACCATGGAGCTGGCAATCACAGTGTGTCTGTTTGCAGAAACTGCCATCAAAATGGCACTCTTTGGCCGAAACATCAAGGTCTACTTCTACTCTCTGAGAAATATAATTGACCTTTTTCTGGCCATCTCCACCATGGTGATTGCAAACTTGCGATTGAATCCAGAAGGAGGGCCTTACGGGTGGACGTCTGTACTATTTATTTTCAGGTTTTACAGGCTCGTTGTCGCTAGAGGTCTGCTCCATAACGCCTGGAAAGCCATTTTCTCTAACTTCAGGCCCTTCATCGACCTTGGCATTTTTTTCATCCTTGTGCTCTACCTAGTGGGCATTGTTTGTGCGCGTTTGTTTGAGGGACTCATTCCAGTTGATGAGTATCTGGAGAGCGACCAGCTGATCATGTACAACCTGCCCAATGTGGTGCTTTCGCTCTATACCATCACCACCACCGAAAACTGGACCAGTATTTTGTATCTTGCCCAGCAGTGCAGTAAGAACACCTTTACAAAGGTGTGTGTTGCCGTGTATCTGATTAGCTGGTTCATCTTTTCCAACATGGTTGTTCTCAACATTTTCATAGCCATCATCACTCAGAATTTGGGCGTCAACGACACCAACAAGAAACGGATGCAAATCAAACAGTTCTATCAGAAACTGGTCCGCGAACTGAACTCAAACAAGCATGTTGGTATTTTTGACGACTTGAGGAGCCAGTGGTTCAGAAGCTCGAGAAGGAGGGCCATCAGCACGTCGCAGATGATCGAACACATGACGCATCTTTTAGAGCAAAGCAATATGACTCCTGGCGATTTTCTGGAAGACGAGAAAGAGAGGGGAGAAAAGCAACATAAAGGCCTATTTTTCAGGTGTCTGAAGCTGCTGCGCAAACGGAAAACGTACGCTCGTTTGGAGAAATACTGCACTAATTCTCACCTTTTTGTTTGGATCAGAGACTGGGTGATTTCTGCCACCACCTCGAAAGTCGACTTTTCGCTTGGATTCGACTACAGAGAGCTCGATGTGAACCCTGGCAGGAAAAGCTCGACTCACGAGGTGTTCCGTCTTTTTGATGAAAACAACCTCGATCCAGACAAGGAACTCAAACAACGCGCGTATCTCGACCAGCACGTCGAGTTCAACAGGACATTACACTACTTTTATCCCGATCATCCTCTTCGCCGGTTCTGTCAGCGGATAGTGTCTCCTGCGTACGGAAAGAGAATGGACGGAGTCGATCCGTATCCCAAAGTGCGTGATGCTTTCTATGTCCTGATGTTTCTTGCGACAGTGGTGGTGGTTGTACTGGCGTGCTACGTTACACCACTGTACAGGAAAGAAAACCTTATTTATGAACATCCATGGAATTGGGTCACCGAAGTGGATTTATTTTTCACCATCTTGTTCACGCTCGAGTTCCTGATCAAAGTGATAGCCGACGGATTTGTCCGCACGCCAAACGCTTACCTGAGGTCTGCGTGGGACGGCATTGATTTTGTGGTGCTGATATCGTTCTGGATCACCGCATTTGGAGAAATCTACAGAGACTTCAATCTAGTGATCATTGTCGGTGAAGCAAGAGCCCTGAGAGGACTCAGATTGCTGACCATCACCAGAAGATCAAAAGAGTACTTCAACTATGCAGTGATTTCTGGAGCGCGCAAAATGCTAGCCGCTGTCCTGATTTCCATGACGTTGCTGTTTCCCTTCTCTCTCTGGGGACTGCAACTTTTTGTTGGAAAGCTGGCCACTTGCTCAGATGGCTCTTCGGACTACAACAACTGCATTTTGGAATACTCCAACGAAGTCTTCAAATGGGAAGTTCTCTCGCCAAGAGTGTACACAAATCCGTACCTGAACTTTGATGGATTTGCCAACTCGCTCTCATCTCTGTTCCAGATCATTTCCCTCGAAGGCTGGACTGACCTGCTGCTGAACTTGATGAACATCACTGCTCGTGGACAACCGCAAAGCACGTTTGCCAGCCCGGGAAACGGAATGTTTGTCATCATTTTCATTTTCTGCTCCATCGTCATCATCCTCAATCTGTTCGTCTCTGTTATCATCAATAACTACTCCGTCCAGACAGGAACAGCGTTTTTGAACGACAAACAGCGCGCCTGGTACGAGGTCAAACGTGTTTTGAGCCAGGTGCATCCCTCCAAACGGAAAGACGAATCTTCTATGAGTGGCTTCCGCAAAGCGTATTACCACCTCGTGGTGGACAAAAATAAAACCTATACTAGCATAGTGAACGGTTTTTATTTCATCCATGTGGTTGGCTTATTGGTGGAGTTCTACCCAGCAAATATTGCGGAAAACAATTTCCGCTACGCCATCACCACTCTGTCCACCACGGGACTTGCGTGCGACACTTTGCTGACGCTCTATGCTTTGGGTCGTAAGTTGTTTTTCAGGAACGGCTGGAACATCTCGCGACTCGTGATTGTGGTTGGTGCCTGTGTAATGTCGGCGGTAGCCTTTTTCGTTTCCAGACAATCTGTCTACGCCAACATCAACAAGCTGTTTCTCGTGGGAGTGCTACTTTTTCTCATTCCGAGAGTGGACACATTCAACCAGCTGTTCAGATACGCATCTGCCAGTCTTCCAACGCTGCTGGCGCTGATATACACTTGGCTGGTCCTTTTTTTGGTCTATGCTATTGCTTTGAATCAGGTTTTCGGGCTCACCAGACTGGGCGAGAACACGACAGGCAACAGGAATTGTCGTACAGTTACAAAAGCGCTCATTTTGCTCTTCAGAGTGAGTTTTGGCGAGGGGTGGAACTACATCATGGACGATTTCAGAGTTGGTGCGCCTTACTGCTCCAGTGCAGTGAGTCGGTACAGCTCTGATTGTGGCCAGAACGTTTCTGCATACATATTATTTTTTTCGTGGAACGTTCTGTCGATGTACATTTTCCTCAACATTCTGATTTCCGTGGTGATCAACAGCTTCAGCTATGTGTACAATTCGTCCGGACCTCATTCGCTGTTGACTAGAGAAGAGATCCGCAAATTCAAGAAGTCCTGGAGAGAGTTTGACCCCGATGGGTCTGGCTTCCTCGACCCGTCTCAGCTGCAACCATTTTTGAGCAGCTTAGACGGAGTGCTGTCTTATAAGGTTTATCCCGAGAAATTTTCGATTCCAAATATCACCTCGCAGTGGATCACAAAGCACAGCAACGATCCGTATCAACTGGAGTACGATTTTGAGAAATTGGACGAGATCATGGCGACAATCGACTTCCGCAAGGTGAAGGAGCGAAAACGTCGGTACAATAGATTGATTATTGAGGCTTACCTCAACATGGTGAAGACAAGCGATGGACCGAAGATCGAGTTCACCAAACTCCTGCTCCAGATAGGGTACTATTCGCGGTTCCAGGACAGTACCTGTCTGACATTGGAGGATTTCGTCAAGAGGTACGTCCTGATCCAGAAAATCAACAAGGTGGCCAGGAAACTGAAGATCGAGTCGACTATCCAAATGGTGTTGTCTCGGCTGAGGCTGTTGATCGGAAATTTGAACCAAAGCTGCAATCCACCGCTGCAAAGAATCAACCGGCGGGTCGCCACAGAGATTTTTGACCAGGACGATATTTATGGAACCCATGGAGACGATTACGACAATCCGTTTAATAATAATGAGCTATACAGAAGTGTTTCGGAAACCAGTTTGAATCCGTTTAACGACCCGTTCAGTGACCCCATAGAGGAGCATATCATGCCGCCGGTCAGCAGAGAAAGCGAGAGCCGTTTATAGCTAATCCACTTTCATGTCCAAGAGTCCCAACTCTTCGTTCTGTTCACGAGTTCTCTCGAATTCTTCCACCTTCATGTTTGGATCGTCGTCCGGTGCATACACGTTTTGGATATACGAGGACGCCAATGGGTCTTCCATTATCACTGTGAACTTCATTTTTCCAGCAAGAGCGGTGTCGAGTCTCTCGAAGAACTTCTCCCAGTTGGCTCTGGATTCGGGAGTCATGGAGTCGGAAGTTTCTTGGAACACGCGGGAATGCAGTTCGTCTCTGACTTGGCGCAAAAGACCTTCCAGAGTGGTGAATCTTCCGCCAAGCGTTCCTGGAGTCAAATCCAGGTTGAGCTCGGGGATCTTCAGCCCACAGGTTTCAGACTTGAGAATGTCTCTGGTGAGATCTTCAGGGTCATCACAGAAGAGCGTCACACGTTTTCCGTGGTCAGGCACGGCACCTCCCGTCTTAACCTCATTAGATTTATATCCGCAACGTTCGCAGGTGGTGGACATAATAATCACGTCCTTGAAGTGAGGTATATTAACAACTTTCATATGAGTTTCGCACGGAGCGTAGCAAGAAGAGCATGTAGCGTGGAACACCTGCACCTCATTGGCAAAATTCTCGATATCTGTCTCGTCGGACATAAATCCTGTAGCTCTGACTCTTTGAGGCTGTTGTTGCTGCTGTTCCTGCTCGTGGGCAGCAACTTCGTCCGCAGACACCAAACCCAGCATCACGTTCTGCTGAGGCGTACGGTTGTACTCGACAACAGACCATTTATGCTGAGGCTCGCCCGGAACGTATTCAATCCAGGAGTTGCCAGACGGATCATCGATCAGGAACGTCAATGGCAAGCCGGTCTCTCCTTTGAGAACAGACCGTATTTTGGCGAGGAATTGCTCGATTTTTTCGTATATTTCAGGCTGGACTTCTTTTCTTTGCGGCTGATCCATTTCGAGATCCTCCACCATCTCGGACAGAAGTCCTTCGACTGTAGTCAGCTGACCTCTTTTTGCCGGAATTTCAATGTCGAGCTCAATGAACTTACATGTGCAATAGTCTGACTTGACCACCTGGCGGTTGAAGTCCTCTTTTTTCTCAATCTTGAGCACGTACCTGCTACCTTTTTCGGCGATGGTGGAAGCCGGCTGGATCTCCGAGTTTTTGAATCCGCAGTGAGGGCACTCGAAAGAGATCACTACGATCTCTCTGAAGTATGGAATCGAGGTGAGCAGCAGGCGTGAGACTCCCGTCTTGTGGCAATTCATACAAAGAGAATCGATTTCTTGGACAGGATGGCCCTGGGCGTCCTCAGCACCAGTCATTCTGATGCCATCGTTATCGTTTTGAGGAACCGGTTCGTGATCGACTTCCTCTGCGGCCTTTCCGACCGGCTGGAAGAATTCTTCTTTCTTTGCTTGTTGGTCTTCTCCCATATGTAATTTTGGTTTTTTTGAATTGGTAGAATCTGAAGACTCGTTCCGCTTCATAAAATTATTAAAATAATTTTTTTAGTGATCGGAATTTTTTCCGGAGTATTCCTGATTGTTCTTAGAAGTCTCCTCAGCCGGACTCAATGAATCCTTCGTCCTGGAGACTTTTCACAAAAAAGTTGCGCACCTTGTCATCCACAGCCACCTCCACAGGCAACTGGCCATCCTTGTCGGCCACCCTGAAGTCTGCCCCTAGTTTCACTAACTTCAATGCCAAGTCGCCATGTCCTTCACTGAGTGCATGGTGAAGTGCAGTGAACCCGTAAATATCCTGGGCATTGAGCGGCGAGTTGGCCTTCTTGATCAGTAGCTCGCAGATCTTCTCCGCTCCTATGGATGCCGCACGGTGCAAAGGTAGCTGCGCCCGCTTATCTTTTATTCTGGCACTGGCCTTGCATTCCGTAACCAGGTACTCCACCACATCGTAGTGGCCCTTACTTACAGCGTAAAACAGCCCCGTTTGGCCGCTGCTGGTGGCCAGATTGACATCTGGAGCAGGATCATGTTGCGCCAGCAGCTTCACAATTTCAAGGTTCCCCACGGAACAGGCAATGTGAAACGGCGTCCATCCACTTTCGTCCACCATGTTGTCAATATCGATCTCTAGCTGGTTTTTTGGAACAGCCAACAGTCGTCTGACGATCTGTTCGTGCTGGAACGTACACGCCCAATGAAGCGGTGTTCTGGAGTCCTCATCGCTCTGAAGAACCAAGCGTGGATTCTGGCTCATTATCCCGTCCACAATGAGTCCATTGCCCTCCTGCGCAGCCTTGTGAAGCTCAAATGACATTATAACCTTTAGTATCTATTTAACAAAAAAAAACGTGTCGTGTCTGACCCACTAAATTGCCAGAAGGCAAATTCAATTTCTCTACTTTATTCAACTAATATCAAACCATGAACAACCAAGGTTGGGACAAATTTGCCCAGGATTTGCAGAAAAGAGCTCAGCAAATTGCCAAAAGCCAGGGGGGCCGCAAGCCACCTGGATCACCGCTGGGTTTCTTTGCTGGACTGGGAGGACTGCTTCTGCTGGGAGGTGGTGCACTCTTATTTGACAATGCTCTGTACAATGTGAACGGTGGCGAGAGGGCGGTGATTTATGATCGATTGAGCGGTGTTCGTCCTGAAGTTGTAGGCGAAGGTACGCATATTAAGATACCTTTCCTTCAATTTCCGACAATCTACGAGATCCGTGCCAAGCCAAGAAGCATTGCTTCGCTGACCGGTACGAAGGACTTGCAGATGGTGAACATCACGTGCAGAGTGCTTTCGAGACCGGAGGTTAGTGCGTTGCCTACAATTCACCGCACGTTGGGCCAAGACTACGACGAAAGGGTTCTTCCCTCGATCGTGAACGAGGTTCTGAAGGCGGTGGTGGCACAGTTCAATGCTGCACAGCTCATTACACAGAGAGAGAAGGTGTCCAGACTTGTTCGTGAGAACCTGATGAGAAGAGCGGCCAACTTCAACATTCTGCTGGACGACGTTTCGCTCACGGCCATGACGTTCTCTCCGGAGTTCTCCAGCGCGGTCGAAGCCAAGCAGATTGCCCAGCAGGACGCCCAGCGGGCGGCCTTTATTGTGGACAAGGCCATCCAGGAGAAACAGAGTCTCGTGGTGAAGTCTCAGGGTGACGCGAAGTCGGCGCAGCTGATTGGTGAGGCCATCAAGAAGTCCAAGGACTATGTCGAGCTCAAGAGACTGGACACCGCCAAGGAAATTGCCAGCATCCTGGCCAGATCTCCAAACAAGGTCATTTTGGATAACGAGGCACTGCTGTTGAACACTGTGACCGACTCTAGAGTTACCAAGAAATAAGTTATTTAGCACAATCCCTGTTTATAGCATCGATCTTTATCGTCTTAGACCTGTGCTCTGATTTTATTTTCGACACGACGGCAGGGCCTGAGCAGATGGCTGTCGAATGCCACCTTTCGCCGCGGGGTTTGGTACTGCATTCAGAAACGTTCAGCACCCCATATATGATACCAGTCTCGAATTTAAATCAAATTAATCTAGTCACTATATGCTCACGCAATCACGTTTTTCAGCACCTCCTTGGACGAAACCACGCCGGCAAACTTGCTCTCGAGGTACTTGAGGAACGCCACAACCTTGTGCTGAGTCTCCTCGGAGTCGAACTGGTTCAGTCTCTCTATGTTCTCTTCTCTTCCCAGCGTCGACTCACTGATCAGTTTCTGCTTCTCCAGCTCTCTCAGGAACACCTGCTCGAAAATGTCAACAATTTGGGCAGTGGCATTGACAATCACCTCGTTGCCTTCCTGGTATAGCTTCAGAATCAGCTCGAAAATAGGCTTGTTCTCCTCGAGGCCTGTTTCCAGAGGCAGGTGGCTGAGCAGCGAGGGCACGATCACGTTGAGCGGCACGGCCTGCGGGTGTTTGAGCGCCATTCTGCTGACACAGCCGCATGCGTTGGCAATTGTTCTGTTGATGGTTTCCTTGGTCTCAACGTCGTCGTCGTCGGTCTTGGAAGCTTCCTTGCCGGCCTTGCTAAGCAGCTTGGACAGCGAGTTGAGGGTGGCCGGGTAAGCAGGGGTCACGTCGACGGTGGCGTGCTCGATCAGGACGCCAACACCGTACGCGGCCGAGCCACGCACCTCGGACGACTTGTCGTTGGCGAGTCTATCGATGAACACCTCGAGCAGCTCTGTGGTGTACGGGTTTTCGCTCTTGAGGCCGTTGCAGATCTCGGCAAGACATCCGACCGTGGAGACGCGCTTGTTCTTGTTTTTGCACTTGACCTGTGAGAGAATGACGTCTTTGAAAGAGCTGAAGATGCGCACAAAGTCGCCGCCGAAAGCGTCGGCCAGACTCACCAGCACCTCGAGCGCCGAGTCGTAGATCATGGCGTCGGTCTCCGTGGTGTCAACCTCGTCGCTCGGGACGTCCTCATCGTCCTGGGTGAGGCACAGGTGCTCGTTTTTGAGGATCAGCATCAGCTGCGTGCACAGCGACTCCAGCTGCGACGAGTCTGTGCCCTCCATGATGGCCAGCTTGCCCAGGGCCTTGGACTTGATGTACTCATACAAACAGTCGATGCATGTCATCACCATGTGCACGTCGAACTCTTCGGGCAGAATGCTGATGGTGATGCTGCGCACATTTCTGATCAGCTCCAGCACCTTTTCGTTCTTGCCATGCGCCTCATACATGCAGTATGTCACCTTCCAGAGCGTCGACAGCGACGCTTCTCTGACCGCGTACGACTCGTCGATCTGCTCGCTGAGGATCTTGACAGTCTGGTCGACGAAGCTCGTGAAGCCTGCCTTGGTGCCGACAGCGAGAGAGCTCAGTGCGACGAGCGCAACCTCTTTTTCAACGGTGATGCCTGTGTGGACATTGAGTTTCTCAGCCAGGTCTGCTTCGTCTGCAATCTCGTCCTCGGGACCAAAGTTGAAGTCGAACTCGTCCTGCTGCAGACAGTTGAAGATCTCCGGCACGATTCTGTCCAGGAATGGCGTGAATTGCTCGCCGTACACTCTGGCCATGTTAGAGATGAACGCAAAGCCGGACTCTCTGAGTCTGCCGTTAGCAGAGTGGATCGCACTATACGACGCGTCGATCAGCGGCTGTGCGTACGGAGCAAACGCCTCGGAGCCCACGGCCCGCGCCATTGACGAGATGTTCTCGAACGTCTGCGCACGCAGCTCGATGTCGTCCTCGGTCATGCCGTCGATATGGTCCATGTTGGCGATGAACTTCTCCAGAAACTTGATCGACGGGTCGAAGTACGGGGTGAACGCCTTGCCGGCCGCATAGGCCACCGACCCAATTGCTGACACGATGCTCGATTTGAGCGACGATGACTGCGCGCCGTCCAGCATCTGGAACAATTTATTCATCAGCGGTTCCATGTACTGCTTGATGCTCTCGTTCGACATGTACTCGATCAGCGTGTCCAGCGCACAGGTGGCGTACTTGTAAACCATGATCTTATTGGTGGAGTCAATGATAGAAATGATAGGGCTGAGCAGCAACTCGTGGTACTCTGCCACGGTGTCCTTGAGCTCCTCATTCAGCTGGGCCAGAGTGCGCAGCGCAGCAGCCTTGACGATAATCGACCCGTCATGCAAGCCGGCAATCACCAGCTGGATAATTTTAGGCAGCTGTGTCGAAATGTAGTCTGGCGCACCCTCCACGGTAACGCCGATCGAAAGCAGAGCAGCTCTTCTCTCGTACTGGTTGCTCGAGCTCAGCAGTTGCGGAGCCAGCCCCAGGATCGGCTGGATGATCTGGCTGGACGGCAGGTTGATTGCCAGCTCGTTCAAAAGTCTCAGGGCCAGCGTGTGCGGAGACGCCTCTTCGTTCTCGTTCTCCTCGTCCTCCTTTTCGAGCTCCTCCTCAGCCTCGTCGTCCTCCTCGCTCGCAACACGCAGAGCACACGTGGCCATCTGTCCGCCCAGCTTTGCTTGCGAGATCTTGGATTTTCTGTACGCAATGCACTGTGTCAACGTTCTCAGCGCAAAACACCGGATCTCCTCGTCCAGGTCCTTGTTCATTGACGTCTCGATCATAAGGTTGATGATGTCCACAAAACTGTCACCCAGCAGCTTTATGTCCAGCAGAACAAAGCTGTTGAACGCCGTGAACAGCTCCTTGGTCCTCTCCGTGTCAGAGAACGAGAGCGAGCTCTTTAGCAGATGCACCATGCTTGGCAGCAGCGACCGGAACGAAGGAGCAAGCTTTGTCAGCAGCGCTTCGTCCTCCTCGATGTACGCAGAAATGACCTCCAATGCAGAAACGGACGTAACTTGGATGTCAAGGGAGGCCTGGTCCTGCAAAGTGGAGGCAAACAGGGACAGGAAGTCCTGCGAGTGCTCAAACCAGTCGGCAGGGAATGTCTCCAAAATACAGAAGATGATGAACACAGCCATCTCTCTGGTCTGCACGTTGGAATCCTGGGCTCCTCCAACCAGCGACTGCAGCAGAGTTGGCCATTTGTGGTCGGGGATATCAATTTCGGCAATGGCAGCCACGATTCTAGCCGAAGAGTGTCTGATGCTCTTGGACTTGTATGCAAACGCAAAATTCAGCAGAGACTCCCTGATTTGCGCCTTGAGACTTTCGTCGAGCGTCTCCCATTGTTTTGGAACCAACTTCTTGGCCTCTACAGCTGCCAGCTGCTTGACGCTGTCGTCGGCAGAGTTTTCAAGCAGGTGGAGCAAAGAAGGAAAGGCCAGATGGTTGTTGTAGTACTGCGTCTTCAAAGCCTGTGTGGCATTCTTGATCGCGTTGTTGTCTGGCGACAGGATGTTTCTGAGTGTTTGTTCCAAACCACTCAAGAATTGGGTGTCCATGGTAGCTGGAGGTAAAAATTGAAAATTAAATCAATAAAAAAAAAAATTTTAGTGGGTGATACACGAACTATTGGTTGCAGGAGCAGTCTAGAGGGGGAGTTGGCAGTCGTCACTGACACGTCTGATCAGAAACAGCGCCGTTGATGTACGGCTTAATATTATGTGGTATTTTCCGAATGCCATCTTTGGTTGGGCAAAGCTTGCTTCAGCACTCTCTTTACCCAGGTAATCTTAAACTTATACAACGTTAAATTATTGAATGTAACTTAACAGATGCGCATGTATATGGACTCTCCGACCCCTCGGAAGTGCGTAACACGCCCTTATGGCCAAGTTGGTAAGGCGCCACACTAGTAATGTGGAGATCCTCAGTTCAAATCTGAGTGGGGGCACTCGCTGTATTTTTTTGATATTTTTAACTCGTGGCTCCAAAATTATCCCTCTTTCAGACATGTCCTTATCCGTGTACAACCGTCGCACGTCACGGTCAGACACCATCAAAATTTCCCCCCACAACACAATAAGAATTGGCCGAGTGCAAGCTCCAGAAATCTGTGCTACCGAGTGCGTCGTAGACGATCCTCAGGTGAGCTCGACCCATTGTTTTATCTGGAGTGCCTGTTTTGACGAGTCGACTCCACCTTTGACGTATATACAGGATATCTCACTCAATGGGACACTTATCAACGGAAGAAAACTTCGAAAAGGATTTACAATACTGAGCGACCGAGATCTGATTGAGATCGGTGACCATCTTAGCTTACGCTATACAGGCGAGAGTTTCAAAGAAGAAGTGGTTTTAGAGGAGAATGGCTGGAAAGTGATATCTCAAGTAATTGGAAAGGGGACTTTTGGACAAGTAAGTGGCTAGTAGTTGTGTTCTAACGCCAGGTGCAACTTGCAACCAAAAACTCAGCATTCTACGCAGTCAAGGTTCTCAATTGCGCAACAGCTTCCAAGGAGAACCAGATATTGACACAGATTGAGCATCCAAACATTGTCAGGGTTCACGAGTGTTTGGAAACCAACGGCAGTCTTCGGATCTATGAAGACCTGGCTACTGGAGGAGACCTATTTTCCTACATGGCACAAGGCAACGATGTGCTCCGACCCGTCTCCGAGTCACAGGCGTTACTGATTGTTTACCAAGTGCTCAAAGCATTGGAATACCTGCACTCTCGCGGCATTGTGCACCGAGACCTGAAGCTTGACAACATTCTAATAAAAAGAGCGCCTGTTCGTTATCCTTATGTGGTTCTGGCCGATTTTGGAGCTGCCAGGCGACTTGATGCGCAAAGAACCAAACGCTCGGCCAAAAGAATGTTTACGATGGTAGGGACTCCGGAATATGCCGCACCAGAAATCAACCTCATGCAGCCACGGAGCACCAGGGGGTACACCAATAAGGTGGACATTTGGTCTCTAGGAGTGATCACGTACATTCTGCTTACAGGTGTGTCTCCTTTCTACTCTCCTTGCATCGACAAAACGATCGTCAAGGTTCGGCAGGGAGACCTGCTACTCAAGATCGAAGAATGGAGCAAGATCTCTATCGAAGCAAAACAGTTCGTCAAAGGATGTTTACGTGCCAAAGTGTTGCAGAGGCTGGACGTGTCAGGGTGTTTGGAGACAGACTGGATCAATAAGCGCTCGCATCTATATTGGCTGGAGAAATGCTACCGCGCTATTTTGGGCCAATGAGTGAAGTGATGAAAAAAAAACCTATTGCCCTACAAATTGCAAAATTTTCGTGGGGGGACAAGATTCGATCCAAAGATCGAGCGAGGGCAGCGCGGCACGGTAAGAATTTTTTTTCTAAAGGCCCAATTTTTTTGCTAAGAGGTGCAAAAAGATTTTGGACAAATTATCAGTTGATCCGGCTCATTCATCATTGTACCTGTTCGCTTTGGCATACGTTTAATCTCATTTAATCATCACGTTAAGGCACAAATTCACAGTTACGATTGGCATAGAACAGAGCATTGCATCAATCATATTTATTGCAGAATTTGCCAGTTTTCGCTTGCTTGATATGTTACCATCGCTCTTGATCCAACATGTATAATTCTGCTTATAATCAACACCACTCATATTACCCAAACAGGTCTTCAGCACCGCCTCCTGCATCGCAATATACGCAGTCCAGCCAGCTGAATGGGCAATCAAATGGCCAGCAAAACGCACAGACCCCTCAACTCTGGATGGGTGATCTCGACCAAAGGTGGGACGAGACCACGATCAAGCAGATTTGGTCCAGTGTTCTTGCCCCGCTGGGGATTTTGGTGCACTCTGTGAAGCTCATTAGAGACAAGCAGAGTATGAACCTCGAACTGGCAAACGCAGGCTATTGCTTCATTCGATTCCATAATTTCGAAGATTGCTACAAGGTACTCGAGCTATTTAATGGTAAGCCAATTCCAGGAACAAACAACGTCCGCTTTTTCAGACTGAATTGGTCTTCGGCCAACTCTTCAGGTGCCAATATTCCTGCCTTCCAGCCTAAGGGACAATCCGAGTATTCTATTTTTGTCGGCGACCTGCCTCACAATGTGACCGAGCAAAGTCTCTTGCAAGCCTTCCAAGCAAGATATCCCTCATGTTCTGGTGCTAAGGTCATGATTGACCCTTCTACTGGTCATCTGAAAGGTTACGGATTTGTCAAATTTCTAAACGAGACCGACCAGAAAAGAGCATTGATAGAGATGCAAGGTTACGTTCTGCTTGGAAGACCTATCAGAGTTTCCACTGCATCGAAATCCCAGACAAATTCAGTTGCCAACAGCTCTTTTGCATCTGCCATGCCGTCTCAGGATGGTCTTGGTCAGCCGAAAGTCAACGTCCCTTCTTTGCCACAGACTGCTCCTCTTCAATACTATAATGACCCCAACAACACTACCGTCTTCATTGGTGGATTGAATGTACCAATTTCAGAAACGCAATTGCGAGCTCTTTTTTCAAGATACGGCGACATCAGCTATGTGAAAATTCCGCCAGGCAAAAATTGTGGATTCGTCCAGTTTTTCCACCGTGCTAGTGCAGAGAAGGCCATCAGTGAGATGCAGGGCTACGATATTGGTGGCGGCTGTCGGATTAGAGTCAGCTGGGGGGCCCGTGCCGCTCAGAGGAATTGGTTCGCCAAGCAGCTTGCCATGCAGCAGCATCCAGCCCAGCCAGCAGTTCAGCCTCCGCAGACACAACAGTTTCAACCAGCTAATTTGTACAACATGTCCAATACATTGGGATTCACGGGTACCAAATATAGCTTGCTAAACGATTTGCTGATTGACCATGCTAGCACTCCTGCTATCAATGGTGGAGCATACAGTGGCTCCCTTCTTGACATCGACAAGCTCTCTCGCGAACCCATTCCTTTCAGTCCACTCAACTCGTCGGGGACCTCTTTGACAAATAGCTTTGCCTCGGATGAACTCCGCTTGAACGAGTATTTTCTTGCTTCTAGACTCAACAACCTGGAGCAGCTAGACATAGGTTCTGGTCTCTTCAAACTTAACTGAGACAAGAGACAGCCTTTTTTTCGTTTTGTTACTTAGCATACATTCGTCAACGCATTTTTGTGCTTTCACTTTCATTTGCTTCCTGTTCATTTTCTTACAATTGTTATGCATTTAGCTCATGTGGGGGACACTAGAAAGTTAATAGTGAGATATGAAATGGCCAATAAATACTGTGTATTCCAATAAATAATATAAAAAATAAACTGGTAGCTAATTCATTCAGCCTGGTCGATCCGCGCCCTGTACAAGTGCTGATCTTTTTCCGTACCCCCCAAGTCTTTGTAGAGGCCGCCATGCGGATAAGACCGTGGAGTGGCTGGCCGTTCAGGCCATAAATCAAAAAACCAGATAGCAGCTGCGAAGGATCCAAGCCCAGCAAACCAGCCAAGAAAATTGAGAATCGCTGTAGAATCGCTGACCGGGTTAATGAAGTCTGGAGACCACATGTCAAGATTGTCCTCAAACGGGTGCACAGGAGTATCAAAATTTCGTCTGTTTTGCTGGTCGTCGTAAACCCGATAGGGATCTCTTTTCTGGGGCATCACGTAGTCTTTAGGAACCTTGTAGTCAGGAAAGTCGGACAAGTTTGGCAAGAATTTGGGCAATTCCGAGCTGTATCTAACATGTACAGTTCCCGGGACTCTCTTGGCCCCAACGGCCAATCTACTGAACATATCTAAGGAAAGGATATATTACTCCACATTTACAAAAAATGGATCACCCGTCCAGGGAATGGCAGATTCTTTTTTTTTTAAATAATTGCCAAACACTAAAGAAAGTACGACTCTAATATATATAACTGCATATTTAACTGTCCTGGATTAATATGCTACCGACTGAGAACGGCGGAACGCCTAGCGGTAGTCATTTGCAAACTCCCAGCAAGCGGAGATCGGAGTCTATCGACAGCCAATTGGAGGAAAGTGCTGGAAAACGAAGGAGCACGAGAGTGAAAGAGGTGAATAATTACTCGGTTTCCAGACCTCGACCTTCACGAGCGCCATCAGAGATAAATACGTTTGCCACTAAAGTGCCGCCATGTTTGAAATCAGGAGCAATGAACCTCAAATTATCCAACATAGACCCATCCCTTCCTTTAGAAGAACAGAGGCAAATCGCAAAGTCGAACATGGCCAAGCTGGTGGTTCACAACGAATCCCTTGTGCAGGAGTTATACCATCTGGAGAACTTTACCTCGCTTGTATATTTCAAGCCAGGAGAGCCGAAACAACCCGATACATACGAACAGTACAAAACAGAATTCTCATTATGGCCGAAAATCGACGAGGCGAAACTGGGAAGAAGGAGTCGCAGGCTTACAGAAAACAGCGACCCGTTGAAACTAGAGATTGAAAAGATAATAGAGCGGGGTGTTAGCGAGTCAGCCCAGCCCAAAGAGCCGATGGAGGCGAAGAAACCCGCAGTTAAAAAAACAAAGGAAGTGTCAATCAAGTCCGAATTGGAGCCTGAGGTAGACGATTTTGCTTTTGAAAGTGACAGCTCCGAGGTCTCTATTCCACCTGCAGTGCCCACAAAAATCAAAAAGCTGCATCTCAAGGTTAACGTGAGGCCGCAGCTGGTAACACACCCTTCGCATGTCACGTCCCCCAGGTTTGGAAGTCTAGACGAGTTTCTAAGCTCTTACAGGTCTACAATTGAAGAACCTAGTCGAGATCTGTCCAATGAAGAGTACCAGGAATACTTGAACGCGCAGTTCGAGCTCATCAACAGGATTCGCGAAGGTCTTGACTCGAAGCTTTTGACACTTGATTTTAACGAAAACGTCTTCAGGGCCGTCCCTCAGGGTTTTCGAGAGCCAACCATGATAAAGAAAAATGCACAGTACAGTCTGAATCATTACAAACCACCCCCTGAGCCTTTCAGGTCAAGGAACGAGCTCACCCACTATGATCATCTTCTCGCGCAAGGTATGAGGTCGTCGAAGCTGATCCACGACTTGCGAGCTTCCAGGATCTCGAGGTGTCGTCGGATTGCAGCAATGATTGAGGCGCACTTCAAGAAGCTCTCCCAGGAGCAGGAGAGGAAAGAACGCGAGTTTGAAAAGAAGATTGCCAAGCTGGCTAGAGATACCGCCAAGGAGGTGAAGAAAAAATGGTTGGTGGCCGTGAAAGCCTATAAAATTCTGGAGGAGCGGGAAAAGGAGCGAGAACGCGCGGTAAAAAGCAAGGAACAGCTTTCCAAGATTCTGGACCAGAGCACCAAGATGTTGGGTGCACAGGTCGGTAAAAGAAGCGCGACTCCCACGTCAAGACAGCAAAGTGTTGTTTCTGAGCGGTCTCAGGCAGATAGCGACGATGAGTCAGGCCTGGACGACGACGAAAACATGAGCTTGAGCAGCAGCGAAGACAATGAGGAGGAAGAAAATGGCCAGCTCAAAGATGACAGCAAACTGACTGTTGAGGAGCTGCGCGAAAAGTACAAGGATTTGGACAAAGTGTCTGTCGAGCCGGATTCCGACGATGATTCTGAAGCAGAGGAGCCAGATAATCTGGCTTCGTTATATGGGGTTGAATCAAATGGAGAACAGAAAAAGATCAGTGTTGTCGACCAGCTTACCGAAGAGGAGAAAAAAAAGCTGATGGAGGAGTCGAATGACCCGCTCCTGGACGAAAGCGACGAAAGCGACGACTCGATGTCGGACTCGTCCGAAACTGAGTCTTCGGAGGAAGAAGTCTCATCGGATGAGTCGCAACCGGGGCTGGCTTCTCTTTTTGGCAATAATATCAAAGACGAACCAGGAGAGGCAATCACGCCTCCTTCGTCGGACGAGATGGAAGTGGACGGGGACAATCCTGCGATCCCAGACGTTCCTGTGCCTATTCTTCTTCGTGGAACATTGAGAGAGTACCAAAAACAGGGTCTCAACTGGCTGGCCTCTTTATACAACACAGGAACCAACGGTATTCTCGCTGATGAGATGGGCCTGGGAAAGACCATTCAGACAATCTCGCTAATCTCGTACCTGGCGTGCGAAAAGAATATATGGGGACCACATTTGATTGTTGTGCCCACGTCGGTGATGCTCAACTGGGAGATGGAGTTCAAACGGTTTGCGCCGGGATTCAAGGTGTTGACGTACTACGGCAATCCCCAGCAGAGAAAGGAGAAGAGAAGGGGCTGGAATACGCCAGATACTTTCCATGTGTGCATCACGTCGTATCAACTGGTTGTTCAAGATCATTCTGTTTTCAGGAGAAAGAAGTGGCGCTATATGATTCTTGATGAAGCGCATAACATCAAGAATTTCCGCTCTCAGAGATGGAAGGCGTTGTTGAACTTCAACACCGAAAACCGCTTACTTTTAACGGGTACACCTCTGCAGAACAACATCATGGAATTGTGGTCTCTGCTGTACTTTTTGATGCCCTCTTCAAAGGCCGACCAGATGATGCCAGATGGCTTTGCAAACTTAATGGATTTCCAACAGTGGTTCGGACGCCCGGTGGACAAAATCATACAAGGAGGAGGATATGGTGGCGGACAGGAAGACCACGAGACAAAGGAGACTGTCAACAAGCTGCATCAGGTTCTGCGTCCATACCTGCTGAGAAGATTGAAGCAGGACGTTGAAAAACAGATGCCCGCTAAATATGAGCACATTGTCTACTGTCGTCTGTCCAAAAGACAGAGATTGCTCTATGACGACTTTATGAGTCGGGCTCAAACGAGAGAGACGCTGGCGAGTGGGAACTTCCTGAGTATTATCAACTGTCTGATGCAGTTGCGGAAAGTTTGCAACCATCCGGATCTGTTTGAGGTTAGACCTATTTTGACCAGTTTGGCAATGGAGAAAAACGTGGCCAGTAGTTTTGATCTGAACGACCTGGTTATTCGGAAGCGTTTGAGAAAATCCCAAAGGCCCAGTGTGGATCTTAATTTTTTGAATTTGACTCCTGCAGAAGACTTCACATGGAACTCTTTTAATGTTGAAAGCTTGAAAAAAGTGTCTGCTTCGCGCCAGTTCAGCGAGGAAATCCAGAAATTGGAGGCCAACCTGAAGCCAGTTGAAGCCAAGTTCGAGAGCCTAACCCAGTACTATGAGCACCTGAAATACAAGGAGCAGGCAGAACTGATTGACCTGTTCAAACAGAGGCTTTACGTGAACAACTTCAACTGCGAAAAAAGTCCTATCTACTCCTCCAATCTTCTTGATTTGGTGAGGTTCAGTAGATACTCAAAGGAACATTTCAACCAGCTGGAGGAATTAAAGCTTGTTCAGTCTGTAAGCACACGAGCCGAGACCATGAGTGACACAATCGAGAAATATGCTTTTGTCACGCCTAAAGTCGTTACACAGAACACACTGGACTTGGAGATCCCAGAGCCTATCCAGAACGAAATAAGACAGTCGAAACTTGATAATCCTTTCCACCAGGCTCAAATCAAGCTTTCCATCACGTTCCCGGACAAGTCTCTGCTTCAGTACGACTGTGGCAAATTGCAAAAGCTCGCTAGTCTCTTGCAAGATCTGATTCCAAAAGGTCACAGAGTGCTGATCTTCACACAGATGACAAAAGTGCTGGACATTCTGGAAAAATTCATGAACTACAATGGCTACAAGTATATGAGACTGGATGGCGCGACCAAGATAGAAGACAGACAGTTGTTGACAGAACGTTTCAACAAGGACCCGAAAATCAAATGTTTCATTCTGAGTACCCGTTCTGGAGGTTTGGGAATTAATCTGACTGGCGCAGACACCGTCATCTTTTACGACTCGGACTGGAACCCTGCCATGGATAAACAGTGTCAGGACCGGTGTCACAGAATTGGACAAACGAGAGATGTGCACATCTACCGATTTGTCTCGGAGTACACGATTGAGTCAAACATTTTGAAGAAAGCGAACCAGAAACGTCAGCTCGACAACGTTGTCATTCAAGAAGGAGATTTCACGACCGATTACTTCAGCAAGATCACAGTGAAAGATCTTTTCGGAGAAGGCTCCGAGGATTCTCCGGGCGATGCAAAGCCGCTGATAGCAAACGACCAGGGAAAGTCGGAGAACGAGCTTGCCAAGGTTTTGGAGCAGGCTGAGGACGCAGAGGACGCACAAGCCGCCGAAGTGGCAATGAAGGAGGTGAATCTGGATAATAACGATTTTACTGAGGACCAGAATGTTCTAGCAAGCACAAAGAGTCCGAGCGTTGTTGGCCAGACACGACAAAACTCTGCCGAGCCTGACGACTTTGTGAAACGAATTGAGTCCAAAGAGGATGAAGAGGAGGAAGAAGACGACGGTATTGGTCACATTGACGAGTACATGATCCGGTTTATTGCTGGAGGCTTCTATTTCGATTAACTGTATATTATGTAATATTAGATGAGCCGCATGATGTCATATGCGCCGACCCCAGATTTACTTCATAGACAGCAAGCATACCTAAAAAGTATAAATATCCCACCTCCGCTTCCAATTGAGACCAACCATGACCGGACCATATAAGCTATTCTACAAAGGCCAAAGCAAAGATTTTGTTGTTTTCATTGACGACAAAGACGCTTACGAAAAATATGTCCATAAGCACGACCGCTCTATACCATTGGCTGATGTGGTGTCCAATTTTGACATATACACCAACCAAATGGGCCAAGGATCTGAAGGAAAATTAGAGAAAGCATCGCAGACAGACCTCAGCGTGGAATTCGGCGAGGTCAAGCATGCAGAGGATGTGCTACCGCTCATTTTGGAAAAAGGAGAAATTCTAAATAGTATCGGAGTGGACCACAAAAAGTGGTCGTCCACGAATGATTCCAATGGCTTCAATGCAAGATAGATCAGGGCATTTTTCTACTACTGAATAGTACGAATAAATAAAGTTAATTTGTATTTTCGAGTTCGGACATGTTTGAATGCACACTTAATGATTTGATTAGTTTTTTAAAGCTGAAGCTTTTTCTGATTGAGCCAGACCCCAAAATCGCGTGGTCAGCATATGTGTCTGTATCTGCGGATCTCGATTCATCCCTTTCGTCTGAAGATCTCATGTTGCCCAAAGTGTGTGCCAAATTGCGCATAGAGGAGGAAGTAGAAAGCTTCGTGCCACTCCGGCCTCCTCTCATGAGCGAAGTCGAACGCGGACCCGAGGATTGAAAGTTTTGGTTGTTGACAGACGAAATAGACGAAATCGACAGTTTTTTGCGCAAACTGAAGTCGGAAATGCTGCGTGTGAGTGGGACGGTAGTCTTTGGGATCTCGGAGGCCCACAGATCACCCAAGCTCTTTTCCACTCTGATTCTATCCTCTTTTTTAATTGTCACTACGACATTGTGGCTGGAAAACCTGTCTTTGCGCAGAGACTCGTCTGCGTACGGATTGAAATGGTGGATGGAGAATTGGCGAACGCTTGCTTCAAGAACAAAAAGCTGCCCATTACTTTTCTCCCTGAATGGTGTGATGTCGTCGGGAATGAAACTTCTGAACCTGAACTTTTCAAGTTCACTTCTGTGCAGTCTGTGTTTTCGTTTAGAAAAGGAATAGGCAAAGTCCTGGTTTCCAATATCGGCGCGCCATTTTGCGGACACTTCACGTAGCTTCCCCAGCCACACCTGCTTCTCTGACTCTGATGGTAAGACCACCACAATCTCAAACTGCCTGAAATTGTACTCAAACTGGATCTTAAAACAGTGGGGATAAATTGTGAAGAGAAGTCCTTTGGCCCCTAAATCACTGTCCTGGATATTGAAGATTGACGAAACAGGAATGATCATTTTGACTCCGAGATGACGATGTTTATAGGGCCTCACAAGAACAAGGTGCGAGTCAAAGAGAATGGAACCAAAGTATTCGTACTTGATGGTGTCTTGGCAGCTCCAGACGGTTGCAAAAGCTGCCACTATTATGACGTCTCCCATATTGTCGAAAAAGTAAGGATCGTCAGATATACGTTTAAGAGAGCTGCTCATCATATTCTTTAGTTGCTGGTTTGCCAGCTCGATTTTCTCGTACCTGCCCACATGGTTGTTGATCTGAGTGCATTTATCAGCGATATGCTTCACGCACGATTCAAGCTTATCGTTCATTAGTGAGTCAATGTCTCCTTTTGATTTCTGTAAAAGCGAATCCACCATGAGCTTGTATCTGGAGATCCTGTTTGTGGGCATCTGGACCAACGAGATGAACCTAATGTCCAGCTGTTGCTGCAGAAAATAGCTAGAAGCCACGTCATGATGCTCCACCATATAATCGTTGTATATGACGATTGAGCTTGTGTTGTACTGATGAACGTTTTTAGCTTCTGCAAAGATGATGACTTTTGGAACAAGCTGGCAGTATGCACTGTATGTGCGAACGTTGATGGAATTGTCCTGGATCCAATCAACAATTTTCTCAAGATAGCACAAATCCTCAGAACGTGGGACATAAGTTTCCAACATGGGAGAATGGATGGACAGTCTCGATGTCTCTGCTGAGTTTCCATTCTTGATCCATTCGCGGTACAGCGAGACCAGTCCTTTGAGAAATCGCGTGTGCTCTTCCAGCAGACTATCGACCACTCTAGCGAAGTTCTCGAAAAACAGCGGAACTGATTCACTTGCTCCAAGGTAACTAACGTAAACCTCCTTTAGCACTTTCAGGGATTTCACATAGACCTCTTCTGTGTTTAGTAATTCTTTTATTTGCTTCTGCCTAGTGAAGGATCTCTTAAAAGCAGAGGAAGATGTCTTTTTCACAGGAGTGACGGGTGTTAGAAGACACGTTTCTGGGCCCTCCAAACTTTCGAACCCAAGGCCTGAATTTAGGTCCAGAGGGGCTGGCGTGTTAATAGTGGTTGACGAGGATGAGTCAAAGGGCAAGTCTATGTAGTCTAGAGCTGTGAGCGGTTTGGAGTCATAGTTTTCCGCTTCGGAGGTTGAGTCGCCAACTGATGCCAGCGTAAAGTTGTCACTCAAGTGTTTTCTCTCATTTTTCTCCGGCTTGGATGTATTTGTGTCCGTATCGGTGAGCGACATGGATGATGAAAAACGAGATGTTCAGCGTCTAAAAAGTCGCAATATTGGATAGAAAAATAATTCCTGCAGTTCAGCTACTTATACTTTTCTAGGCTTCCGAATACCAAATAATTTGATTTGCATCATGACAAACAAATGTGACATAGCAGGAACGACTGTGTGGGAAGTGACAGATCGCACAAGTTCCCCCTTTTTTTATTTTATTTTAGGGAGTCTCGGGCTGTGTTAATTTCTGCATTGGCTGAAAAATTACATTGACCATTACCAGTCATGATGGGACTGAAATTCGCCGCTAGAAGCACCCCCCGTCTCCAGCCTTTGTTATGGAGACCCTTTAGTGGGACGTCGTTTACATCCAAAAGCAAGGCTAAAAATTCCACCGAGGTGGAGGAAATAAACCCGTCAGCCATACTGAAAGATGTCGACAAACAGTTCCAATCTGTCTTGGACAAGTACAAGAAGAAGATCACAGAGATCAAAATGGGCAAGGCAGACCCCCAAATATTCAACAAACTGAAAGTCAAGGTCGAGAATGGGACAGTTCTGTTCACAGACATCGCTCAGACCACCCTGAAAGGAAAGTTTCTTAACATCACTGTTTTTGACCCCAAGAATAGCAAACGGATCATCAGCGCTATTTTGGGCGCTAATTTGAACCTGAATGCCGAGGAAGACCCGAAAAACCCACAGCTGCTGAGGGTTGCTCTACCAAACACCACCAAAGACCTGAAAGAGAAACAGGCCAAGGAATTAAAGGAAAACTTCAACATTTTCAAGGCCAGCTCTGCAAGCATCCGTGCACAGTTTCTTAAAGACCTCAAGAAAGTGGAAGGCTCTGCCGACGTGCTCAAGAAGCTGCTGCAGGATATTGAGAAGACACACAAGAACTACACAGAAAAATTGACCCATGCGTACAAAGAGGCAGAAAAGAGCCTGAAATAAAAGATAAAACTCTCACATAGACAATGTATGATTGAAAATTTATTAGTATGTCTATTTTACATTAACTTGTAGCCAGAGTCCAGATGGCCTTGCACTTCTGCCACCAGCTGTGGTCGTATCCGCCCTGGTTGAGGGCCGCAACAAATTTCCATGCTTTTTTACCATTGGCAATTGGATAGTCAACAACACTTGGGATGGTAGTGGAAATCAGGCTCGTGCGGTCGTAGCACACGGACTTCTCGTTACAGAGACCCCGTAGTCCCTCCTCGCCACCGAACTTGCCGTACCCAGAACCCTTGACTCCACCGAACGGAAGCTGGCACACGTAGAACGTGGCAAAGTCGTTGATCGCCACGTTTCCGACCTTGAGACGTTTTGTAAGCTCCTCGGCGTGGCGGAAGTCTGCACTGAAGATAGACGATCCGAGCCCGTAGCTGGTGGAGTTGGCCAGCTCCACAGCCTCGTCGTCCGAAGTGACCCGCAAAATTGTCAAAACAGGACCAAACACCTCGTTTGTGGCTAGTGCGCACTCCGGATCAACGTCCACAATCAGCGTGGGCATGAAATAATGGCCCTGCGGATAGTTGGGATGCACATAGCGCTTCCCTCCCTGTAGCAGGCGGGCTCCTCTGTCTACCGCTTCTACTATCCACTGCTCAAGCTCGTCAAATTTTGCTCCACCCATAATCATGGCTCCCATGTCGATCTCCTCGCTCTGGTCGATATCCGAGCCAATGCGCAGCTTGGCCACCTTATTTGATAGCGTTTCCACTAGTTTGTCGTAGTACTTTGAGTCACCCGCCACAATCACCCGCTCTATCCCGATACAGTTCTGGCCCGCACTCTGAAACGTTCCTCTCATTAAAATGGACGCTATTTTATCAACCCCCTTGTTTCTGAGATAATCCTCGCAAATGATCACCGCGTCCTTGCCACCCAGCTCCACTACCACAGGCGTGAGCACCTCGCCGGCTTTAGCCACAACCTTTTGGGCAACCGGCCTGGACCCAATAAATGTGAGATGCGAAAGTCCAGGATGACCAGAAAACAAATCTCCGTCCTTTCCCCACACACATACAAGCTGGACCAGGTTCTCATCTATGCCACACACTTTGAGTGCCGCCTTGACCACAGAAATATAGTACTCGGATGACCAGCGGACCCGCTCGCTGCATTTCACCACAATGGCATTACCGGTGAAAATGGCAGCAACTATAGGGCCCAGCAGATTGTGGAACGGATAATTCCACGAGACAAGTGCTCCAACAACACCTAGTGGTTCGTAGCGAACTTCCGCTTTTTTGTACTTCATGAACAGGTTGGAACTGCCCGGTCTGCTAGACGGTTGCAGTGCACGTTCTCCGTTGGCCAGAATCCAGTTGATCTTCTCGAGGGTGACCATTATTTCGCCCATGGACGCGTCTACCATTGTTTTCCCCGAGTCTCTGCACGCGACCCGCGCAATGGTCTCCTGGTTGCGCAGGATGAACCCGCACAGGGTTCTCAGCACTTTGCGCCGTTTAACACCAAACTCGCGGTCCGAATAGAAACTCATCTGGGCCTCCTTGGCCTTTTCCACAGCAGCATCTATATCTTGCTTCGTGTGGGCAGGAAACTTACCCAGAAATTGGGACGTTGCGGGACAGTAGCAGTAGATATGTGCTGGGTCTTCTGGCTGATAGATGTCCGCAGGTGTAAGCCTTTTGCCTTTCCAATTAGGCTTTGCCTCATCGGGGACTGGGACCTCAAACTTGCTCGGTTTCTCAACCCGTCTGCGTGTCTTGCGCGCTAGAACCAAAATTATCGGGGCCAGGCCGAGTAGCAACGATAGGGATATCTGTATCGGAAATATCGTGCCCCGGGCCTTTTGCACATTGTAATACTCGCTAGACGAATTAATCCAATGGTTTGCCAAGTCTGTCAAGTCCAGTAAATGCAGCGTCTCGTTCAATTGCGAGATCAGTACTGACAGGTTGGAAGCCATTTTGCAAAGGTGTTTAGTTTATTTTTTTAAACGAGAAAAAAAGAGCACACCCATCGGGAGCACAGCCTGAAAATCACAGACTTGTTTGACAGGCTTCCCAACAGTGCTACTCTTCCTCGCTTATTTCATCATCCAGCGCCTCCAGCGCCTCTTCAAACTCCCTATCAAACTCGAGGTCTTCCTCAGAGACTGCCGATTTCGGCGGATCGCGGTTTTCGGATTCGGGTTGTTTGGTCTTCGAAATCGCCTCTTGCGCTTTCGAGAGCCTCGAGGGACGAGTAGGCACACTTCTTGTAGATGGCTCTCTTTTTTGCCTCGACCTGGCCAGCGATTGAGCCGAGAGGGGACGTGACCGTAGTGTAGTGGCTGGTTTTCTAATCTTAGAAGCCTGCTCTTTCATCGCCTCCCCACGGGCATGCTGGTTCAGCAGCGCCTTCATCCGTTGCTGTAGCTTCTCAGGCTCACGAGACTTGCTCATTTTCACCACAGAGTCCAACCTCTCGAGACTGAACTCGCCTGCCTTCTGATTGTAGATCAATACATGATCCGAGTGTCCGTGGCCAGCGGGCGGCCTTTTGCCTTCGAAATACAGCTTGGAAACTCCATCCTTGGCCGAAGACTCCAAAATATACTCATCGTTGCGGTTCAGAAGCATCGATTCGCCGCTTGAGTCCAGAGTATCTGGACGAAAAGTGTCTAGGATTAGCACAGCACAAACACGCATACTTACACCTGATTCCAAAAAAGCGCCGCAAGTCGGCGTCTCCAAGAGCCTGTCCGACCCGCAGGTTGTACTCGCCGTCAGGAATTTCGCAATCGTCCATTCTCCTAGCAATGTCAGAGATATATTAAATTAGGTGTGGGGATTATATAAGCGAGATCAGCGAATGGTGCTTTCGCTGAGCATTTTTATGCTGGTGAACCCAACGCCAAGCGAGCTGTCGATATCGGAACGCATGGCGTTCTCCGAAAGAGGGCTGAAAACCTTGATTGAGCGCACGTGCGAGTCCTTCCCGTTCTGGTGGTTGGAGAGAAAGCATATTTTTATGAGGTAGCACTTGAGTAGGTTGTCACTCCGAACACCTTTGAAGAATATATGTTGCCAGCCAGAAGGCTCGAAAAACTCTTTGGATGACACCTCCATCAAATCGTGTTCGCCCGATCCTGCGAGCACGAGAATTTTAGATGGCGTGTACGACTCGTCCAGCTGGTAATTGAAGTAGAAGGAGAGTCTCTGCACAGTCACTCGTTTTGTAAAATGTATAGTGATGAAGTGTGGCTGCTGGCCATCGGACTGCCAGTAGCTGAACGGTGAGTCTTCGCGCAGCTCCTTGATACCGTAGCCGTGCTTGTACGTGGAGACCCCCCACGCGGCAAGATTACCGATGTCGATCAGTCCAAGATGTTCGAGCTTGCGTATTCCTGTGGTGAACAATTCCTCCTCGTCGGACTTTGCCGCGTTGTTGAAGTGGCCGTCTGTTTCGTATTCGGAGCCGTGCACAGAGTCCTCCTCAAAATGCTCGTCCTCAGACTCGTGCACGGGGTGCACAGAGCTGTCCGAGAAACGCGACATGGGAACAAAATGTTTTTTCGGCTTTTTTATCTAGCAGCAGGAGTATTTTTTTTTGGGCAGTGCCAGATCGATCTGGTCGAACGCAAAATCAATCGGCTCGAAGTTGAGCAGGATCTCGTGGCCGATTTCCGCGCACTGCTGGAAAACACGCTCTGCGTCCTGATACCGGCGCGCCGATGTCTCTAAAACGTCCGTTTTCGCGTCACCAATGAGTCCTGTCGGCAGACTCTGGGCAAACTCTACGGCCTGCCGTCGCGAGATCTGCTGCAGGGCGTGCTGGTCGGTCTTGTTGCCCACGATCAGAATGCGCAGCCGTGAATTGTTGCAATGCTCCACGATCTTGTCGAGCCACTGCCGAAGACTGTAAAAAGACTGTGCATTGGTAACGTCGTAGACCAAAATAGCAATTTCTGCACCGCGGTAGAATGCTCGCGTCATGGCGTTGAACCTTTCCTGTCCCGCCGTGTCCCAGATCTGCAAGTGCAGCTGGTCTCCAGCCCTGGTTTTGACGGCATGCGACAGGAAATTCGCACCAATAGTGGCCCGGTAGCTGCTCGCAAAGTACCGCTGTACAAACTGCGCTCGCAGAGACGTCTTGCCAACGCCTTGGTCTCCTAGCAGAACCACTTTGAGAGACCTTTCGGCCATGGCATACAAGAAAGTGAGTAGTATTTTTTACGACAAAAACCGTCGATCGACGCGTCCATTTTATTACCATCCGTCATTTTCTACAAAACGCTCTAAATCTATCATTCCAGCGCAGAAAGGAAGTGCTCCGCTTCGAGAGCAGCCATGCAGCCGGTTCCTGCAGAGGTGATGGCCTGTCTGTAAACTTTATCTTGGACATCACCAGCGGCGAAGACACCAGGAATGGAAGTCTGGGCAGTTCCTGGCTTGGTCTTGATGTATCCGGTCTCATCGGTTTCGATCTGATTCTCAAAAATTTTGGTGGCTGGAGTGTGTCCGATAGCATAGAACAGACCGTTCACAGCCAGGGTGGACTCCTCGTTAGTCTTGACATTCTTGATCTTAAGACCGTTCAAAAGCTTGCCATCTCCCAGAGCCTCGAGAGAAACGGTGTTGAACAAGATTTCGAGCTTTTCGTTGTCCTTGACACGCTTCTGCATGATCGTCGAGGCTCTCAAATGGTCCTTTCTCACAAGCAGGTACACCTTAGACCCGTACTTGGTCAAGAACAATGCCTCTTCACAGGCAGAATCTCCACCACCAACAACAGCCAAAGGCTTGTTTCTGAAGATAGGAACCGCACCGTCACAAACAGCACAGGCAGAGATACCCTGTTGCCAGTAGGTCTCTTCTCCTGGCAGGTGGAGTCTCTTGGCAGAGGCACCGGTGGCAATCACAACGGCGTCGGTAGTAATTGGATCAGCGTCCTCGTTGAATTCAGTCCACAGTTTGAACGGCCTCGAAGAGAAATCAACCTTGGAAATAGTCTCTGTAATGATTTCGGTGCCGAATCTCTCGGACTGAGCTCTCATTTGCTCCATCAGCTTGCTGCCGTTGATGCCTTCTGGAAATCCTGGGAAATTCTCAATGTCGGTCGTGGTGGTAAGTTGTCCTCCAGCAGCAATACCGTTGGCCATCATACCTTCGTACAACACCGGCTTCATTTCTGCACGGGCCAAATAGATGGCAGCGGTGTGGGCAGCTGGCCCAGAACCAATAATTGTCACTTTGTTATGAACCATTCTTGTTTGCTTGATAAATTGAAAGGATGTATAGAACTGTCTAAGGGAAAGGAACATACAATACTTTAAATACTTTTTCACGTATTTCAAATATTTGTAATCCGCGAAACATCTAGATCGGTGGCGGGGGTGGCGGTGCAAGATTTTATCGGATGGCCTAGAGCACTCTATCAAATGATGTATTAGGTAATATTACAAACGTCTGTGGCCAGCTCGTTGCATGCGTAATGGGGATGTACTTGCTGGCCCCATTAGTTTTCGCTGATCAATTTTTTGCCCAGAACAAACTCCTTCACCTCTTTTCGACAGCAGATGGCTGGATTCAGAACCACGCTGCTCAGCCAGTATTCCAGAGATTTGCGGCGACTCTCGAGAAACGCAGGATCGAATCTGTCCTGAAACAGACCGGATCGTGGAGGAAACTTGGGCAGTTCGGTTTTTCCCGTGTACTTTTCGAGCTTGTTTCGCAGCTCGTCAAAATCGTTATATCGTTTGCGGATCTTGAACCGAGCACCTCGCACCGTCTCGAACTCGATTGTCCACAACGCATACTTCCCTCCGTTTATTCCTTGAATTATTGTTGGCTCTGCAATCGTACAGTTTGAGCACCAGACCGAATCGTTAGCAAACAGCTGTTCGTTGGAGTTGTTTTGCAATGTAATTGGATGAGGCACCAGTTTTGTCAGTTCGCCCAAATTTTGGTCCAAATGAGTGTGCTCATCTGACATGCCAAACTGATAAGTTAAAAAAAATAATTTGGGGTAAATTATTTCCATTTCACGATGGATCAAATCAACAAATTGATACCCTTGTGGAAACAATTGTATTATAAATGGAAGTCTCTGAGAACAATTCCGTTGAGAAAGAAGTTTTTTGTTGGTTATGATCTGACCGGGAATACATATTGGGAGTTCTTTGTCGAGCGCAAAAAGGGGATACGACCCCGCAGACTTTACCAGCCATATAAACCCCAGGAATTCATTGTCGACTACTACGAAAACATCCCTGTCCAGTGGCTGCAGTGGCTTAGATATACGCGGCTAAGGCCACCCTCGCTGGAGGAACTGGTGGAGGACAAAATGAGAATAGAGAGAATTCAACAACTTGCCCGGCTCAAAGACCAACAGCTACATTATCAAGAGCTACAGAAAGACGAAGCCATAGGAAGAAGCATGGAAAAGGCATTGAGAAACATTGAAAAATAATACATCGGCTATACGTTCTCCATGTTCTCCTTGTCGCGCTCCTTCCGAAGGGTATCAACCAGCTTGCTGACCAACACTGAGCCATATTGATCCAGGAGAGTTTCATCATGGCCAGGAAGCAGTTTCATGGTCTTGTTCAACTGAGCGCGCAGACGGTCGGTCACAGAAGGGTCGATCTCATCCTCGTCAAGGAGTCTCGCTTGCAGCCTGCGCAAGTCCATCACTATTTTGTCGGCTATGTCTGATGCAGACTCCGGCTTGGGTTTGTCCAGTCTCATCCCTGCCAAACGAGAGCGGACGTTGGAAGTGGGTGAGATATCAGAGCGCGAGGAAGCGGAGCGAGCTTGTTTAGAGGAGCGCACAGAGGGAGTGCGGGTAAAGGTTGGCGAGTCGTTGGCTGACAGTTTGGCAGCAGGCAGCACTGTGGAAGGCGACTTGGACGGTTTGTTCTGGACGCTGGGTCTCATAGGGGTCAGATCCGGTTTGGAAACAATCTTCCTCACAACCTTAGGCGGCGAGACCGGATCTTGAGTGTTGCTGGATGTAAGCGGCGACGAAAACAGGGAGTCAGAGCCCGAGACCCCACTGCCGAGCGTCCAGCCGAACATGCATCCGTCGTGGCTTGCAGTCATAACAGTTTTCGAATCGCTGTCAAATAGCAAACCGATGATGGTTTCGGAATGGCCCCATTGAGAGCTCAGCAATTTTCCATCTTTGAATTGAAATAAACGGATACATTTGTCAGGAGACGAGGTGAACATCAGGCCATCGTGAATCTCAAAGTTGTCCACCTGAAGTGGGTCAAAATCCTTGTTGAAAAGTTTCATGGACCTGACATATTCAAATGTGGTGAGGCTGTAAATGATTATGTTTTTGTCATTTGTGGCAACAACCAGCTCCTCAGGGGTGACACCAAAAGTCATAGCTGAAGTCTTAATAGAGATGATTTTCTCCTGAACAACAACAGGGCCTTCATCCTTGATTTCAAGCTTGTGGACAGAAAGAGTGCGGTCAGAGGACAATGCAATAAGCATATTTTTTGTAAATAGCATCTTTATAACATTTCCTTTGTGGACAGTCAAGGTTTGGAACAACGCCCAGCCGTCTGACCCTTTCTTCATAAATAACTGAATGGTTCTGTCGCGGGAACAGGATGCAGCAAATGCATACTCCGCTATCGTGAACATTACAATGTCGTTGATGCTCGACTCATGGGCTCGCACTCTCATTGATTCTCTGTATCCTTTGAGGAAATCATCCCTTTTTTGCAGGAAAACCAGGGTGCCAAACCGATCACCTAGTACAAGATCCTGGTTGCTGCAATCTAACGCGTTCAGCGCATTATCAAGCAAGTCTCCAGGAGGCAGAGTGATGGAATGAAGCAAAACAAACTCTTTATTTTCCAACCGTTTCACTATACCATCTTTGGTCCAGAGAAGTATTTCACCGTTGAAACAACGCTTCAATCCGTTCAGTTTCGAAGCCAGCGAGCTGATCAAAATTTTTGGACTTCCTGTTTCTAACAGGTCCACGTAAAGAATTTGTTCGTCTTGCAGATACACCAAGGTCTTGAAATCGAACAACGGTTGCAATGCCATTATTCCCGACCGCTTGACAATTTTCGTCGGCGAACTTGGAGTTGGACGGATAGTATCATTAATAGGAGCGGTAAACACCTCGTTCAAGGGTATAATGTTGAGCTCCTTGCCGCCTATTATCAAGTCCTCATGGATATGGTCGATTTTGAACTGATTGATGTCTGATGGCAGTTGGTATATTTTGCGGAGAACCATAGACTCGTCGTCCAAGTTCATGATTCCCAAATCGCCTTGATCAGACATCACAATGAGCTCCGAGAAGTTGAGACAGTCGATGTCAATGAAGTTCGAATTGAGGAAGTTCTTCAACAGCACATTTCTTCCCTTTAAAATAGTACCCGCCCGCGCGGCATCCTCTCTCCAGACCTTAATGTGGCGCAGTCCAATGGTGATAATATGGTCATCGTGCCAGAATAGCTTGTTGACGATCGAGGAGCACTTGTTACTTCCCCTGAATACAAAGCGTTTATTGGTGAACTTCCACACTATCAAGAACCCGTCATTCACCAGTCCCAGCGAGCACAGCCTTTTAGAGTCTGTGGAGAAACAAAGCGAGTTGATTCCAAACTGGTGTTCCTGAATGATGTAACTCGGACGACACGAGCAATTTCTTGCGAGAGAATACACCAGGATTCGCGGTTGATAGCCAACTTCCCCCACAGCAAGCAGCTTCTTATCGGGAGAAATGGCAATGCAGTTGATAGACCTCACTTTGTTGGCCAGGGGCGACGAACCGGCATCGTCAGACTTGCGTATCTTGAGAGTTCGGGTGCTAGGAGACTCGTACAGGTTATCTCTTGACTCCTCAGCGCTCAGAGAGCCATCACGGGATATCAGTTCTGGGTCTCCACCAAGCGGAAACCCGTACTCATCGACTTTGCTTGTTTTTGGTGCTACCAGCACATTATTGGCACAAAAGAACTTCTGCCACTGTACCTTCAGTTCTTTATCGACTCTGCACACCACAACGCCGCCGCTAGCAGTGTACGCAATATAATCATCCTGCGCAACAAACTGGGCTGGAGTCTCGGACGACGTGCCGTATATTTTTTCTATGGTGAGCTCGCTCATGATAGATCAACAATTGTTTATATTTTTTTATTTCTGTTTACCCTTACATAAGCTACGCGTCGATGGAACTGCCCCAGGACATAAAACATTTATATGTTCTTTGGATAGAGGAAGAGCTCCGGAAGCACCAGAGTGCGGGCTCCAGGTTGGCTTTCACGTATATGAGAGCTGTTCAGAGCGTCAAACAATGTCCTATGATGGTTCGTCTGCCCTCGCAGCTGAGAAGTCTTCGGTTTATAGGCGACAAGATGGTGGCGACCATGCGCAAACGGCTACAAGAGTACTGCGAGGAGCACGGATACGAGGTACCAGACGACCAGCAAGAAGAAGAGCCGGAAAAGGCCGGCCGCAAACGGAGCTCTGAGAAAGACTCAGAGGGCCCCAAAAAACGACGGCAACTGAAGTCGGCGCGCAAATACATCCCGCAGCGCAATACAGGCGGCTATGCGATTCTGCTGGCTCTCTATGTGCATGATCCAGGCTGTGATGGCCTGACCAAAGACGAAATCATCAAGCATGCCGCACAATACTGTTCTACAAGCTTCACTGCCAACCCTAGCACGGGACAGTTCTACTCTGCATGGGGGAGCATCAAGACTCTAGAGAAAAACGAGTACGTGCAGTCACGTGGACACCCGGTGTACTATTTCCTAACGGAAACTGGGGTCGAAGTGGCTCAAATCTTGAAAGCAGTCGAGGAAGAACACAAGAACGAAAGTCAGGATGGAGTCGACAGCTCGCCATTTTTGAAGCGCACAGAGGACAGAATGGTCGATGTCGAGCGCATCGACACGTGGATACCTCCCTTGGCGAAAACAGCAGGCAAACCAGCTAATGTTGGAAACGTTCCTCACGAAATATGGAACGGCGGAAGTTATGAGATAGAGTTGATACTGGATAACAGAGAGGTGCGGTCTAGAGAGGAGCGCGATTTTTTCTCCGACAAGCTGCTCGGCCATGGAATTAAGACCTCGGTGCGTGCTCTGACAGTCGGCGACGGCGTTTGGGTGGCCCGTCATAAGGAGTCAGGCAAAGAGGCCGTTTTAGACTTTATTTTTGAGCGCAAAAGACTTGACGATTTTGCGTCTTCTATCAAAGACGGGCGCTTTTTCGAGCAGAAATCGCGACTGCTAAGAACGGGCATCAGGACCATATTTTATGTGGTGGAAGAACAAATGTCCAGTGACGTGTCTCGCTTTAGCGACGCTATCCAGACGTGCATCTCCATGTGCATCACAAACTCCCGTTTTCATGTCAAAAGAACAAAGGACAGTGATGACACTGTTTCGACGCTTGCGTCGCTTTCCAAGAGAATCCAGAAGTTTTATAAACACCAATCGCTGCTGGTTCTGGAACCTCGTGACCTAAAATCGCAACATGAGTACGGCCAGTTACTATCACGAGTTTCTGCCGATAACCCAGAATTCCAATGCGTATACAACTTTGTTACGTTCCAGTCGCTGCTCTCAAAATCCAACATGGTGTCGGTCAGAGAAATTTTCATAAGGATGCTCATGACTATCAAGGGTGTGTCTCTGGATAAGGCGATAGCCATCCAGCTTCACTACGGAACGCCTAAGAACCTGATTGACAGCTATGCAAACTGCACCGACGACAAACCGCGCATGATTCACGACGCCCTCAAGAACCAAATTGGTAACCGCAAAATAGGGGTAGCACTGAGCTCCAAGATCTACGAGGTCTGGGGAAAATAAGGTTGACAACTTTACACCAGAGCCTAAAAAAATTCCTAGAACCATCTATCAGAAAACAAAACAAAAGACAGAGAGACATCAACTTTAAGACGGAAAAGGTACGCAGCAGGAGTCAAGCACCAAAACGATTGGGAACAAAAGACAGACATCCAAATAGCAGTTGCTCTTACTTTTTCCAATTGTGTTTCTGGGAGTGAGCTGTGTATAATAAGGTGTCAGATAACTGTCAAGTTAATTAGTTGGATGGTATATGAAATAGCAATCGATGTGGATAACCAAGCTGAACCTCAAATATCGAACAAAACAAAGAGTTCGCATTTCCCTCATACTTGCATGTGCTGCATTTATGCTCTTGTTCCTTGTGGTACGATCGTTTTTTCTGGAGAATGATGAAAGGGTAGCTGGGAGCAGTGCAATTGTTGTGAACAACGACTTGGCTCAGAGGCCGACTTCCAAGAAAACTGCCAAGGAGTTGTTGGCCCAAAAAAAGAAAACTCGTGAGAGTGTCTATGACAACCTTAGTGTCGAGGACCGCGAGAAGATGCGAGTCATCAACCAGCCATCTCCTGATGACCCAAGGGGCCTCAGGTTGGAACTAGGCCATACGTTCTTCAAGTCTGTGTTCAACGTGTTGGACAAAGGCAAGCCCAGGGTGTCGCCTCTTACGAAGTACAAGTCCACGGAAAGAATATACCACGCAGGCTACGAAGTGATGGGCGATGGCCCATCGTTGTCAAAAGAATATCTTTCCCGGTTCTTGCAGCTAAGTCGAAGTGAGATAAACTCAATGAAGAAAAGCCATTCATTTGTCACTAGAAATCTCCCGGAGACGTATCCTATTGGTCTTTACTCCGGAAACGGCGTGGTGTACGTTGGAGGAGGAAAGTTCAACTGGCTGGCTTTGCTTTCAATTAAAACCCTTAGGTCTGTCGGGTCCAAGTTACCCGTTGAAATTCTGATCCCGAAACTGGATGAATACGAAGTTGATTTGTGTACCACGATCTTCCCAGCTCTGAATGCCAAATGTATATACATGCCCAAGCAGCTGGGAGAGCAAATCAGTGAAAGATTCTCATTTTTCGGATATCAATACAAGGCCCTGGCACTAATGCTATCGAGCTTTGAGAATGTCCTGCTGCTAGACGCAGATAATACACCTTTGCATGCGCCAGACCACTTGTTCGAGACGGAGCCATTCACCAGCACGGGTATGGTCATCTGGCCCGATTATTGGAAACGGTCTACTTCTCCTGCATTTTACGACATCGTCAACATCGAAATCGATGAGGGCCACAGAGTCAGTCATGGGTTCCAAGAGTATGGAAAATATACAACTCCCAATTCTCCGCCAGACCAGGCTCCTCCTTTGCATCAACTCAAAGGAGCCATCCCGGATCCTTCGAGCGAGTCTGGTCAACTAATGCTTTCCAAAAAGACACATTCGAAGGTCATGCTTCTTGCACTCTACTACAACATGTATGGTCCAAACCATTACTATCCTCTTCTTTCGCAAGGATCAGATGGCGAAGGAGACAAGGAGACATTTATTGCTGCTGCTCATGTGCTGAAAAAGTCATTTTACCAGGTCAAGAAAATCATCAAGAGTATTGGAAGATGGGCCAATGATGAATTTACAGGAAGTGCGATGGGACAGTTCAACTGTCACGAGGATTACAAACTGTACAAAAAATACGAGAATAGCTTTGAGCATGTGGATGAAGTTCCCAAACTGCTTTTCTTGCACTCCAACTTCCCAAAGCTCGATCCATGGTCTCTTAAAGTGGATGAGGTCATCTACGACCCCGAAACAGGTAAGCGTGAGCGACTCTATGGAACAGAGTATCTGGAAGCACTGGGCTTTGATTTTGAACGGGTCCAATGGGAGAACATGAAATTTTACATCTGTGACCTTAATTTGCATCCAAAGCTTTTTTCTGACCGCGATATAGATCATGACGAGCTTTGCACTGAAATCAAAGAGCATCTGGAATTTCTGAAAAGCACCACAAATTAATAGAAGCAAGTCATAATTCAGATATATTAGTTTTTCAAAATTTGTAGCAGATCGTTCCAATCGTCGATTTCAAGATATTTGACAAATTTGGCCTCTCTCTCGCTAATCTCGTCGTTGATATTGTACACCTTGTAGCCAAGCCGACAAAGCGCCTTACTAGCCGAGCCACCCTTGATAATAATGGCTTTATCACAGTAAATCATGCTCAAGACGTCTGTGGAGGAGTCGCCCACGTACATGGCTCGATCATTCCCAACGAGTTCCTTGGTGAGTACCAATTTATCGTAGCCTGTGCGAATGTCTATGTCTGTCACGACATTTCCTGTGCATATACCGTTAGAATCAAACTCAAACTCGTTGACTAGTATCTGATCCGGCTGTTTTTTGAATGATGCAAAATACTTGGCGATCATCAATCCAGTCCAATTGATGCTCAAAACACTGAAATGCATATTAGTGTTGCACAGGTGGTTGTAGAAATTCTCAAATCCGGCTCTGATGGGTATTTTATTGACCAAGTTCTCAAAAGTTGACTTTCCTATGCCTCGAAAAACAGCTAGGCGAACCGCTTCGTTGATGGAGCTTTTTTCGCTGTCTTTGATGGCTTTTTGATACATTATTTCCCGTTCAAGACAGTCGCGTAAACTATACGATTTTCCCGGCAACACTTCGTTCTGAAACCTGTTAAAGCTGTCCATGTATAGTTTAAAGAAATAGTCGTATCCAAACTCGGGATTTTTTCCAAGGACATCAAATATAACCGCAATGGTGTCTTTAGCTGTAATTGTGTCGTCCCAATCACTCACAATGCGGGAAATACCCTCATAATGGCGAGCCAAATGCTGGAAATTTTGCACTTTATTCATGAGCGGTTCAATTGTTATATTCTCTAGGTAAATCACAAAAAAATGGCTTGAGGTGTAATTCGAATTACATATGGTCCTCAACGTCATTGCTGCGTTGACTCTATCTGCGATACATGTTCCCAGCCTAACTTACACCTTACATACTAATGCTCACCACCGGCTGTTTCCTCTATTAGGCCGTCTTTGGAACTCGTTGTAATACTGGCCTTGATTCTGTCTCTGTCCGTAGCCTTGGTAATTGTTGTAATTCTGGTTGTTGTAGTTGTTGTAACCACGATTGTAGCCTTGATTGTAGTTGTTATATCCCTGGTTCGGGTAGTTATTATATCCCTGGTTCTGATAACTGTTTTGCGCCGGAGGCTGATAAGCCTGACTTTGAGCCTGCTCCTGATACATGTGAATGAAACTTTTGTATCCGCCAACACGCATCGTATACATTGTGTCTCCGTGAGGACCAATGTGAGGCCTGTAGTCGATGTCGTTGCTGGGTTGGAAGTTCCTATTGTTTCTGTAGAACTTGTTGGAGCTGTACACGATCTGGTCCTTATCCTGCTGCGTCAAAAGCTTCAGATGAGGTCTATATCCTGCCAAAAGCATGGACTTACTGTTCACCTTGGCTGGTAATCTGTACTCCATGGCCAAATAAGTATCGTTCGAAATATCGAAATATTGATCTGTTGCCACGTCCAGCTCATATTTGAGTGTTCCCTTGGGGTCGAATTTGTCCATGATGAACACCTTTCCGGCCAATCCGGTTTTGCGAGCATGAATGTATATCTCCTCTTTGTTTTTCGTTTCGTATAACTTCAAGAACTTTTCAAAGTACTTGTTTTTGCGACCTAGAAATAGCACCTCATTGCGGTTGGTATTGCGCTCGATTTCGTATTCGGTCAATTGCGAATACTTTTCGCGCACTGTCTTGAGCAAACGAGTCTCGTCAATAAATGGAAGCAGGCATATGCCCTGCCATGCCATCTTGGCGCCATTCATATCGATTTTGAAATCCGTAGGATAGAAATCGATGATTTCTGAATGAGGCTCAGACATCAAAGGTCTGAAAACCTCCGGTAGATTGTGACCTGAGGCAGCAGGAAGAACACTCATCAGTTGTTCAAATGGCCTGAAAGGCGTTCCCTGTATAAATTCAACCTTGATATCCGACAGATTTGTGAAATCAGCAGCAAATGGGGCATAATGGTATGGATAGTACCAATTCCACGAGGGACATCCTTGGAAATAGTATAGTAGTGCCCAGGATATTCCCTCCACATAGCATCTAACCATGTCTTTTCTAATCTTTTCTATTTCCTCGGCATCGGTGGTGTCGAACTTCTGCTGGTAATATCTTGTTTTGTAGCCAGGTTCCCAGAGACGGATAGAGTCAGTTGTATCTATAACTTCAGCATCTGACTGCTCAGAGTCGGAGTTGAAGGCGGTCGATGCCGATCTCTTTTTTTCAGAAACATCGATCGGCTCCTGTTCTTCGATATCTGCTTCTTTCACAACGCTTACAGCGCTGGCGTTTCCGTTCGCCTCAGTATTATTGAACAAAGCCTTTTTGAGAATATCTGCAACATTTTTGTTTGCAGCGTTGGCTTTGGAAATAGTACTGATGTTTTGAACGATCTCGCTGTTGGTCATCTTCAGTCCTCCAGCAGTCTCGCCTGTAGTTAGACTTGTTAGAGTCATATTTTGTGTAGGCATTATTGGTGCTTTTTCCTTGCCCTTGGTGACCGTTTTGAGCAGCTGGTTCTTGACGGCGTTAGTCTGCTCCCGTTCCAACTTCCGCCGCTTGTCGTTCTCTTCTCTGCGTCTCTCGCCTTCATACCGCTTACGGAAAATTTCGTCTTCCTTTTGCGCGAGGTGGCTCATCAGAGTCTCAACACCTTCTAAATTAAGCTTTCCATCACAGGTCAGGTAATCTCTCATACTTGGCAAAACACGTTTCCAAATATCCACGAGGATGTCGATACCGTTGTCGCGAACGTCTAAAGACGGCAAATGCGGCAAGAAATCGTTACCAACAAAGAAACACATGAAAACCCAGTCGTCAATGGCACGTTCCAGATCAAAATTGAATGACAAACGAGGGATGTTTAGCTCAACTTCGAGATATTCTCGTAATATGCTCACATGAAGCCACAAAAACGGCTTCTTCTGATCGGCAGCCAAAAGTCTCTGTCGCGTGGCTTCGTCCATGTTCACTTGATCGGCTAATTTCAGCTGTCTTTGAGCTTGGTCCTTTGCAAACACGTCCTCACGGAGAACTTTGAAATGAGGTTCGTGGGTGGCCAGACCCAGGAAAATCAAATCGGCATCCAATCCATAGATGCAATGTGTGGTGTTTGGGTTATATTCTGGGTCCGATCTCTGAGATCTGATAAAGTTCATGATCTTGTGCTCTCCTTCTCCAGGCACTGTCGCGTCACTGATGATCACTTGCAAGCTTGCCCATCCAGGATCATTGGCAAGTTTGTATGCCACCCAATATCTAAGCGAACGCGCAAGAATGTCCATGAACGGTGTGCCAGGAGTAATCGAGTTTGAGTCCCACGATTTCTTTCCCTTGATAGCGAGGTCAATTTCCTCACCTCGCATTTCTCTTTCCTGAATCTGCCGTTCCAGCTCCTCCTGTGCCAGGGCCGCATCTCTGGCCGAACGAAACCGTCTAGACCGCTGCTGGTTCATCTTTGCACGAGGAGCAACGCCGTCCACGGCGATCATAAGCAGTTTACGTGGACGAGCCATATTGAGCACACGATCTGTGTATCTGAAAATCTCCACCATCATCTCTGCCTCCGTTTCTGGCGGGGGCTTATTTTCTGGGTGGGAACACGGATGAACTATACCGTTCATGTCCAAGTACAGATTATCGAGCTCTCCATTAGGATTTGGATTGGAGTACTGGACCGGCTGTTCCACATCTCCCACCACTATTGGCTCTTCTTCTATCACCGGAGAGATGATTTTTGGATATTTACGCGAAAGCCATCTGAAAAGTGCAGGAACACCCATATTGACTTCTTTGTGATAATTTTTTAAAAATTCAGTAGTCAATTTTATTTATGATTATCTCAGCCAGATAAATAAAGAGGGGACGAAGATCGTATAGTGCCATGATCCGATTAAAAAATACAACACGGCTACTCAGCACGGCGAAATCGTCTTTCATCCATGATTATTCCATTCTGCCCACCAGCATACAGTACCGACTGCCGTCAAAAGAGCATCCCGCGCTGCCTGATAATCATTCCAACATCATTCGATACATTTTGGAAATGGGCGAAATTGAGGGTTTTGACTGGCAAAAGAATCTGCAGATGTTCCAAAAGTACCCGATGATGACTACAAAGAGACTTGAAAAACGCACAAAAAGACCCTCGAATGTCAGAATGCTCTCGTCTGACTTTATCGAGGACTCGTTGTACAACCCGTCGTACGGCTATTTTGCGAAGCAGGCAACCATATTCCAGCACGACGAGCCTATTGTGTACAAGGAACTGGGTGGTCAGGATGAGTTTATGCAAAAATGGATTTCTGCGTATGATCAATACGACCAAAAAATGGTGCCCACTCTAAAGAATAGCAAGGAGAACCACTTCCAATTGACGAAGCCGTCGTTGCAATTATGGCACACTCCCACGGAGTTGTTCCAGCCGTACTACGGAGAGGCATTGGCGAGATATTTACTGGTGAATTACAAACTAAACCAGTACCCATACAACGATCTCACCATCTACGAAATAGGAGGAGGAAATGGAACGCTCATGACCAACATTCTAGACTTTATACAGAAAACACAGCCCGAGGTCTACGAGCGCACAAGATACAACATCGTGGAGATCTCATCGCGTTTATTTGACAAGCAAATAAAAAACAAGAGCAAACATAGCCACAAGGTGCACCTCATCAACCAGTCTGTGCTCGACTGGAATAGACCTGTGCTCGAGCCGTGTTTTGTTGTGGCGCTCGAGGTGTTTGATAATTTGGCACACGATGTGGTTCGCTACGATATCAACACCAAACAGCCTTACCAGGGATACGTCGTGATTGATGAGAACAATGACTTCAAAGAGGTGTTTTCACCTGAACTGAACCCATGGACCAAGCATTTTTTGAACCTTCGTGAACAGAGCAAATGCGCAGTGTCATCACTGAAAAATCATCCTCTCAACCAGCACAAACTGCTACAACAGCTAAAAAATGCGTTCTACCCCTTGAGAAATAATTTGTCGGACCCTGAATTTGTGCCTACGAGACTACTAAAATTATTCGAGATACTGAAAAAATACTTCCCCAACCATCAGCTGGTGTCGTCTGACTTTTCAAGTTTCAACAGCACCGTCCCGGGCTACTGCTCGCCGCTGGTCCAGACAATGCACAAAGACAGGATGGTCAACGTCGACAGCTACATGGTAAACCAGGGGTATTTTGACATCATGTTCCCTACTAATTTTGACGTGATGAGCGAACTGTACCGGTTGGTGGTTGGCAAACTATGCAACACCAGCACCCATGCAGATTTTCTGAGCGTGTGGGCCGATACAGAGGTCACAACTACCAAAAGCGGAGAGAACCCAATGCTTGATCTATATTCTAACGCATCATTTCTGTACAGTTGATCAAAGTCAAAATGGGGAAAAGTTTTTTTTTCCTTATTTTTTTCATGAATATGCACAATTACGTCTTACGAATTAAAAATATGTTCATGAAATATGCATCATAGTTCCAAGCCTTTTGTTTTAAAGCCTAAACGACAGCCCAGTAAAAAAAGAGCTTTTTTTTTTTCACACGATCATTATGGGGAAATCTCTCTTTACCAATACGACTGAGTGCAAGGACTTGTCCTCTCAAACGTCGTCCGACTCCAGCAGCAACGGATTTTTCTCGGCTACGGATAGCTATCTCCCCCAAAGAAAGCTGAAATCCAGACATGTGCAGCTCATAGCCATTGGAGGCTCCATTGGAACGGGTTTGTTTGTCACGATTGGAACCGGACTGGTCCACGGAGGCCCCGGCTCTCTTCTGATTGCCTTCACTTTTTGGACAGTCATCATTTTAATGCTGACTACGGCCATCGGTGAAATCGTCTGCTATTTGCCGACAGCATCTCCATTCATCGAAATGGCAGGACGCGCAGTGGACGAGGCTGCTGAATTTGCAAGTGGATGGAACTTTTTCCTTGTGGAGGCACTCTACATCCCGTTTGAGATCACTGCGTGCAACACCATGGTGCATTTCTGGAGAAGCGACTACTCTCCAGGCATCGCTTTTGCAATCCAAATTGTACTCTACATTGCATTCAATATCTGGACTGTGAGATGGTACGGAGAGAGCGAGTTCATTCTCTCGATCACCAAGCTGATTCTGGCGATTGGACTGTTGTTCTTCACATTCATTGTGATGGTGGGGGGAAATCCGCAGCATGATGTGTTTGGCTTCCGAAATTTCAACATTTCACCATTTGCAGAGTATGTGACTACTGGATCTCTTGGAAGGTTTGAAGGATGGCTCGCCGCCTGGGCTAAAGCAGGATTTGTGTGCGTTGGACCGGAATATCTCTCCATGGTTGCCGGAGAAGCACGTAACCCTCGCAAGACCATGAGGACAGCTTTCAAGACAGTCATTTACAGACTGGCCATCTTTTATATCGGTGGTTCGCTATCTGTCGGCATCCTGGTCGCTTGCAACAACCCGCAACTTATCGCTTCTGTCACCAGTGGAAAAACCGACGCCTCCGCATCGCCATACGTCATCGCCATTCAAAACCTCAATATCAAGGTTCTACCGCATATCATCAACGTTGTGATTATCCTCAGCGCATTTTCTGCTGGTAATTCATATTATTACTGTGCATCTCGTCAACTTTATTCTCTTGCGAAACGTGGATTTGCTCCACGGTTCCTTTGTTTGTGCAACGGCAACGGCATCCCTATTTTCTCTGTTGCCGTCACCACCGTTTTCGCTCTTTTATCACTCTTGCAACTTGGACGAAACTCTGCCGTCGTGCTGAACTGGATCGTGAATCTCTGTACTGGCGCGCAACTCATCAACTACGGTTGGATGACCATCACCTACATCGGGTTCTATAGGGCTGTGCAAGCACAGGGCATCAACAGACGCTCCCTGCCGTATAGATCATGGTTCCAACCGTACTCGATCTATATTGTCACGTTCTTCGTGTGGATCCAGATCTTCGTCATTGGATACACCGTTTTCCTGCCCGGCTGGTGGCAGGTTTCTGACTTCCTCTTCTACTACCTGATGATCTTCGTCAACATCGGACTGTTCGTCTTCTGGAAGGTTTTGAAACGCACCAAGTTCATCAAGTCCCAGGACGTCGACTTAGTGTCGGGCCTGGAAGATGTCGAAGCCCACGAAATGGCCATTGCTCTGGAGAAGGATACCCAGAGCGACAAATGGTACGACACTGCGCTTTCGTGGATACTGTAGTTTGATTACAAATTCATAGATTATTCTAGATAAGTATTTTTCCCGTTTTTGTTCCAGAAAAATCTGGCTCGAGATCTTGGCTGTGCTCGCTTAAGTATAAAGCCTTGCCCCCAGAGTCTTGTTTCTAATCATCATTCTTCTTATCAATGCTTCTGATTTGTCCACAGCTTTGCAACTACGCTGACTACCCCGTGTTTAGTGTTCAGCGTCGCGTGACGCCCGCTATCTACAGACTGGAGGATGAAAACAACTATTATGTGGTATTCGAACAGACATGTCAGAGACCCTTCTTTGAGGACTACGAGTTCGAGATCCGTGGCAGAAAGCTTCTTGTGAGCTGTGACAAGGATGATTTCTATAAAGTGCTCGACATGCCCGATGACGCCGATCTGAGACGCGATATTGATTTGCGCATGGTGAATGGCGCACTGCTGGTAGCAATTCCGAAAAGGAGACCGGTCAGAATCTCCTTCAACACCTTCGACGCCTCGTTCACAGCATTGCCTGTTCGCAAAGGAAAACACAACCGTTGCACAAGAAGACACACAGAGATCTTATCGGAGTCGGAGCAGCCAGAACACCTGAAACGCATTCCTATCGAGACGCCGCAAAAGGAGCAGAAGCAGACAGTGTCCGAGTTGAGTGGGCCAAGTGGGTCTGTGGCGCATGTGCCGAGGGAAATCATGCGTCCAGAGGCAGACCTGAAGAAAAATTATACCACTATGGAGCGTCACACTAGCCTTTCCCCAAAATCTTACTCGCCAACCATCGAGGACGTTGTCGATGAAGAGTTTGCTCAATGATCTATTCTGCATGTACATTAATAATGGATTATTTCATGGTTTCTACAGATACCCATACTGTAGAGGTTGTAGCTGTTAGCGTGCCACCGTTCCCGGCATGATATGGTCGTCAAACACGATCTGGAAAGCTGCGATGGACTCAGAAGTGTCGGCGCGGCTGGACTGGTTGGATACATCAGAAACCGTCCTTGACAGCTCCGGCAACGCCATCGCGTGCACGGGAGCGCTCAATCGCCTAGGATAATAGCTTTGCACATCTGCTATCATGTTGCTGTCTATTGACGATGATGGCCTGTTTTCTGGCAGGACACAGGTAGTCATGGTAGAGAAAGGCTTAGCACGCAATTTCTGCACAGCATTAATGCGAATCATGGGACACAGTCTTGTCCTTTGAGGACTTTCCTGCTCAAAGTCAGGGAAGTGCACTATTTCGACGTCAGCATCGTTTGAAACAAACATCCTGCGCAATTTGTCAAACAGCCCCAGCGAGAAACTGTTTGCAATGGAATATAATATTCCCATATCGACAATCACAGTCATAGCTTAGGGACCCTTTCTTTTATGTACTAAAAATTTCTTTTCGGCCCGAAATTTCGGATTTACTCAATACCGATGGGGCAAATGAAAAGGCAACGCTGTTTTGCCTCACTATGATTGGCGTGGTGGACTCGCTGCTGAATATGCTGTCCTTGTACCCGATATAGTCGGCTATCTCGCGCTCGTCCATCGCCGAGGACTCGGCCGTGGAAATCGAGCTCCAGTCGGAAGCCATGCTGTTGGTGTCGCTATCGTCCGTGCTGACGTAATCAGAGAGAATCGAATCGAGCAGGCTTTCCTTGCGTGCATGCGTTGCGGCCGGTTTGGCTAGCTGTGCGATGCTGAGCTTGAGATGGATGCGCTTAGCGACAGTCGACTTGAGATAGCTGGTCCACAGCGCGATCAGGTCGTCGTGGCCTGGATCGATCAGGTTCTCCTGGCTTTTTTTGATAAGCCTGTCCATGGCAGCTTTTCTTTGCGAGTCGCTGACACTGGATGGACGAGGCTGTTTTTGGACTGTGCTTGTGCGGTTGAGCTGTGGAGTCTCTGGGCGTGCTATTGGCAACGAAATCGTGATTGACTCGGTCTTTGTGCGCTTTTTGCGGCCGCCAAACACTCGCCGTTGACGAATGTTGCGCCATTTCTGGGCGGCACGTCTCTTACATTTGCGGACCAGAAGCCTGAGCATTGTCAGCCATCCGACCTTGCGCTTGACGGCGTTTGATCTTCGAAGAGTGCCCGTGGACTTGACTGACCTGGTGGTCAGCTGCCGGCGCAGAGACGGTTGTCTGGACGGCTCAAACGGGGCCACTGCACTCTTGGAGGATGCAGCCGACTTGTTTCGAGCGAGATTCGAGTGGCTGGAGGGCGCACTTTCGTGGCCCTCCATCAGCTGCTGGAGCAGCTGGCTGTTGCGAATGTCCTGCGAACCGTCCACTCCCCACGTAGATGTCAATGTGACATGTTTACTGGAGCGCAGATATGGATTATCGAAAACTGTGGTGAGACTGGAGGCAGTTTTCTTGTGTGTGTGGAGAGCATGGACCGACTGGTCGTACCTTGAGGAGCTGACACTTTGGGCGTCGTTGATCAGCGCTTTCCGCTTGTCGGTGAGCATTTCTGAAGCTACAGTCTCGTAGCTGGAGTCAGAACGGCTTGTATGGTCAACTTCAATCATGGCGAAACTGGACGCAAAGCGTGAACTTCCCAGTATTATATATGTAGATGGCTGGTTTATCGTCTGAGCACAGCCAGGAAAATTGCAACCGTTTTTCAAACTCAAATAATAATATATCTGCACTATTTTTATCATGACTGATAAAGTCTATGTAAAATATCTGGGCTCGTCAAATACATGGAACCGGTGCTCGCGAACACCGTCGCCATAGAATATCGAGGGGAACCTCATATCAGGCGGCACGTCCTTCTCATCGATTCGTTTCTGTGAGTACGTCTCATCATAGTGTCCATTTACAGGGATCACAAACTTGCCGGCCTGCACCTCCGTGTCTGTGATGGTGCCCCTGCTGATTCGGGCATAGCCTGTGCGTTTCATCTTTTTGTACAGAATGTACTCGCACCAGCGGTCGTCGTCCGTCGGGTCGATGTCGTGCATGCCCGATTTTTCGCTCACGTAAGTGTTGTAGTTGCCCTTGAGAGGATCTGTCACGAGGTAGCTCAGCAGAACCATTGGCCGCTCCGAGCTGCCCATGATGTCTGCAACCGCAAGGCTCTGTAATCTGCGGTCCTCAACATCTTCCTCCTGTCCGGAATGGAACACCACCACGTCGACCAGTTCGCCGTAGCAGTCCAGCGTGGCATGGATGGCCGGGGCCAGCTCTCCGACTGGCGACGGGAGCAAGTGGTGGGTGGAGTTCAGAATAGGGAACTTGGACAGCAGTGCGGCTCCCCAGGTGTGCTTGTTTGGTCCCGGCCCAAAGTCGACGTACATCTCGAGCTCCTCTGCGATTCTCTGAGTCAGGTCTCTATTGCCCATGATGATTCTTTGAGTGTCGGATTCGAGCAAACCGACAACGTCCAGCTCGAGATCCTTGATCAGGTCGCGCATGCGATGCTCTGAGGCCCACATATCGTTGTCGAGACCAAAATGGATGGTCCAGATACCTGCTGTCATGATTCTCGACTTCGGGTGGTACGGCTTTGGTTTCTCGAAATTGGAGCGAGCAAACGCTATCCAGCAGGATAGCAGAGTCAGGAGCACGAGGTGATTGGCCAATTTCCTTAAAACAGAGTGCAGCTGTTTGCTGTTGACCTCAAGTGGCTGGTAGTCATACACCAGCCCAACAATCATCAGGACAGACAGTCCAAGAACAATGTCGGATCTTTCACGCAACAGCGGTCCGCCAGGAACAAAGGCATATGCGACAACCCAAACATGCATGAGCGAGAGAATGATCGTGAAGAGGAAAGAGACGCAAAAAATGGCACCCAAAGACGTATGCTTCGAGACATGGTGGAAACACAGCGGGGTTATGTAGCATAACCAAAAAGCATACGCCATTCCTCCAATATAACCCAGCCATCCATTGAAAGCGTACAGCACGATGGCACCGAGCACTCCTGCATAGGTGACTTTCTTGTAGCCATTATATTTGTAAAGTCCAAAGAAACTGCCTGCACACATGGTGATCAGAGTGATGGCTCCGTGGGGAACAGGGATAGGCCCGCGAATAGGATAACCCTCCCAGTTCCAGAGAATGATGGTGGAAGAGTCGGTGAGCATGGCGCTCATGGAGTATATCAGAGAGCCGAAACCCATTGCGGTGAGCAAGAACGAGGGTTTTCTGATTTTAATGTCCTTCTCGGAAAGCGGAGCAGGATTAGGTAGTCTGGTGAAAAGTGCAGAGATGACACCCACAATCAGACCAGTCATGTTCCAGCCTCCAGTGTCCTTGTTCATAATTGGCCAGATCGGATTGTTGGTCCAAAATGCGAATTTTGCAATGGCTGAGAGTGTGAGGCCAAGAACGAAGGTGATAGCATAAGTCTTGATGGCCAGACTGTCTTTTTGATTTCCAAGCGTCCAGATGTCGCAGCTCAGCGATATGGTGGCCAGACCAATACCGGCAGCGGCAGTGAGTAGTCTGGAAGCTGGGTCAGCAACCAAGTAGGATCCCACGCCCAGCAAACACGAAACAGCCTTGATGATCTGCGGATAAGTGGCAGCCAATTTTGGAGTTCCTGGGATCAAAAGAAGAATAGGAGACAGCAGAGTCAAACAGGCAGTCTCGTAGCCCGAGATCCCCATGTGCCACAGAGGAAAGTACCAGATCAACAAGAACAGCGACGAGTACATGGACCAGAAAATAAAAGCGTTGATCACGTCCACTGTGAGCTGGAATAAAGATGCGCCTTGTTGAGTGGGTTTCGCGTGCAACTTTGGCTCTTTGGCCGTGGTCGTTGATGTTTTGAAGCTCGTGGAGAACATAGTGGCATCTTTGGACGTGGAAACAATTTCGATGGTGAGATCTTTGAAGTCGCAGATCGACCAGGCATCGAATCCAATATCCAGAAAAATTAGCGACCATTCACAGTAGGCGTAGTATGAGTATGCTCCTGGAACCTTGTGCACCTTGTGCTGGATGAAGAGATAGACGAGCGGCACAAGCATGAAGAAAAACGCAAATGCCGTGTATTTTCTGTATCTCCTGATCTTGGAGCCGGTGGGTGACAGCTTGGTGACAGCCATGTCCCAGGGAATGGTCAGAACGATATACGAGATCATGAAAATGTCATGGAAATCGTGGTCGTCAGTGGAGGTGATGTAGACCCATCCTCCGCAGGTGACGGTTCTTATCAGACCGGTGACAAGGCCCAAGATCGGAAAGATCGAGTCTTGCCTGTACAAAACAATGTAGCTGATGAAAAGCAGCAGAAATCTCGGCCCAGAAGTGAGAGCAATCAGAATCTGAAACACTGACCGCTCTGGATACCGGTCACCGATGGTGGCAGACACGCTGGGGAACCACTCATCGGGGTAACCATAGTGCTCGTTCTGGACGATCTTGTAAAAATGGAGCCAATAACCAACACCTAGAGCTGCCAAAAAAGCAGTCAGGGAGCACACCGTGTGAGCTATGGCAATAAATTGTGCGTTGAAGCTCAACAACGGCTGGGCAGTAGACGAATTGGCCATTGCTAAACAAAGTTGAACACTTGGAACAGAAAAATAAAAATACACCCTGGATCCACAAGTAGACGACATACACCCTTGCACAGAACAAGTGGAATCAAATATTTTTTAGGGAATAACTACTTTTACCCCTCAAATATGGCAGGTAAGTCCTCCTGATCCACAATCTAATGCCAGTCAAACCGTTTAAGAAAAGCCCAGATGTCTCGTTCGATGATATTGACTACCGCGACCCATTGGAGCTGAAGAAAGCTCAGGAGTCACTCATGAGAGAGCAGTTCATCAAGTTGGAGGTGCTCAAGATCGTGAGAAAGGCTCTTGAGAACTGTTTCAAAGTCAACGGCCCCAACGCATACGAGGACTGCCGCAACCTCGCTAACAGATACTTGGACCTGCTGCCAGAGAGTCGCGCACAGGGATTTTTGGGTTACCAGCGCAACGACCCGTCGAAATAGCGGTCTGCCAATGGTGGTTTAATTGGCCTTGCATGAATCACCTTATTTATTCTATTTATTTATTAACCGTGTGGTTGTGCAAGCCCGCCTACCCGTCTAATTTCCGAGACACGCAATCACCAGATTTGCTCGAAAATAAATAATTTGAGGTGCTGGGAAGCGAGCATTTCGGGATTCTATGGACAACATTGAGCCTCTAGAACCAACCATAGTGTAGAACAAGTTGCCGACTGGACGCTTAACGCCTCTGCAACTTCGACCGGCGAGCAAAATGCTCCCCTGGTGGTCGCCTCAGGAAACATCTTTGCACCGCCTCGGAGAAGAGACGTGCTGCCACCACCTTGTATAAATAGTGTCATGACCCCCCTAAAAGTTTCGGAAAACATCGATTCGAATATTCTACAAAATAATGTCTCTTGCTAACAAGCTATCCGTCAAGGACCTTCAATTCACAGGTAAAAGAGTGTTCATCAGAGTGGACTTCAATGTTCCTCTTGATGGGGACAAGATCACCAACAATCAGAGAATTGTTGCTGCCTTGCCAACCATCAAGTACGTTTTGGATCAAAAGCCAAAGGTTGTCGTCTTGGCTTCCCATTTGGGTAGACCAAACGGTGAGGTGAACAAGAAATTCACCTTGAAGCCTGTTGCTGGCGAATTGGAGTCTTTGCTGGGTAAGAAGGTCACTTTCTTGTCGGACTGTGTTGGCCCTGAGGTCGAGTCTGCTGTCAACAGTGCTACCGACGGCGCCGTTATTCTATTGGAGAACCTCAGATTCCACATTGAAGAAGAGGGATCGAAGAAAACGCCAGAGGGAAAGGTCAAGGCTTCGAAGGAGGACGTTGAGAAGTTTAGAAAACAATTGACAGCCTTGGCGGACGTCTACGTCAACGACGCTTTCGGTACCGCCCACAGAGCCCACTCGTCCATGGTTGGCTTTGAGCTCAACGAGAGAGCCGCTGGTTTCCTGATGGCCAAGGAGCTGGAGTACTTCTCTAAGGCTTTGGAGAACCCAGTTAGACCATTCCTGGCTATTTTGGGAGGTGCCAAGGTGTCCGACAAGATCCAATTGATCGATAACTTGCTCGACAAGGTCGACATCCTGATCATCGGCGGTGGTATGGCCTTCACTTTCAACAAGATTGTCAACAACATGAACATTGGAAAATCCCTATTTGACAAGGACGGTGCAGAGATTGTTCCTAAACTGATCGAGAAGGCCAAGAAGAACGGCGTTGAGGTCATCCTTCCTGTTGACTTTGTCACTGCCGACAGCTTCTCTCCAGACGCCAAGACCGGCTACGCTACTATGGAGGAAGGCATTCCTGACGACTGGCAAGGACTGGACGCTGGCGAGAAGTCCCGCAAACTTTACGCCGACGCAATTGCCAAGGCCAAGACCATTGTTTGGAACGGTCCACCGGGTGTCTTTGAGTTCGAGAAGTTTGCCGACGGAACCAAGTCCATGCTCGAGGCCTGTGTCAAGAGTGCCCAGGCTGGAAACACCGTCATCATTGGAGGTGGTGACACTGCCACCGTTGCCAAGAAGTTTGGTGGAGCAGACAAGTTGTCTCACGTTTCTACTGGTGGAGGTGCTTCTCTGGAGCTTTTGGAGGGTAAGGAGTTGCCAGGTGTGGTTGCTTTGGGAAACAAAGCATAAACGTGAAATCTATATACTGAGAAAAAAAATAATTAATTTTAATATAAACAATGGATCGAGGGGGAAAGAGAATGCCTTTGAGCGAGATTACCGGCAAGCTGGGTCTCAATAGACGGTCGGACCGTGTGTTGAAACCCAACCAGATAAAAATACGGCCTTCCAAGAGCGCCAATCGCGCGATTAACGTGGCAAGTCTCACCAGATCTTATCTCCATAAGGAGATGCAAACACGCACGAAATCCAACATTGACGAAATCACGCGCCAGATCGGTCTGCGACATCGATCTCCAGACCACGATTTGGCCACTGCTCGCCGCAGTGGCACGTTTTCGGGGATTCTGACCGATCAGCTCAATGATTACCTAACAAATATACACTCTGGAAACGCAGTTTTAGGGTACGATCAGCCGATCTCCAAGCAGCGATTGCCAACCGTCACAATATCGCGCATAAACGAGATTTCGCCGCAGTTGAGGCTTGTGGAGATCGACCACGACAAAGTGGTGGCTTTGGCGTGTTTTAAGCCCATATTCAATGTCAAGCTCAGGGTTGACGACCGCGTGCATCTGGGGTCGGCGTTTTACTGCTTTTGGTTCGAGGGAGCCAAAATCCAATGCTATTATCGTTGGTATAAAATCATGAGACATTAGTTTCCGGCCTTGGCCAGAACCGTGTCCAGCTCGGTCTTGTGCGCAGAGGCATCAAATGATGGCCACAGTTTCAGGTACGGAAGGTAATTATCCACAAAATCCAGACACTGGGCTGGCGTGCCATTTATAGAGAGGAACTTAAGTGCTGCCTGGACAGGAACAAAGTCCTCGCGTTGGAGTGCTGCTTCGAGCACCTTTTTCATATAAACCCAGTTTCCGCGATTGGCAAAGATTGTGAGGAACAGCAGGTCCATTTTCGTGACAAACGCAGCATCCTTGCGACTTTGGTACAGCTTGTGGCACAGGTTGTACAGCTTGTGGATCATCGGGGAATATCTGAACTGGACATCCGAGTCCTGTGTCGTGGATGCAAGCGTGATAAAGCCATCGGCATCGATCTGTGATCCGGCAACTACCATCACGGGCAACAGCTCCTGTACGTCTTTTTCTGTCAGCACAGGACTGAAGGTCTCTAGAATGGCGAAGATACGAGCGTACCGTTTATTGAACACGGCCGTATCTGTCTCCAGTCCTTCGTGGAACTCGGCAGACTGCAGCACGACCTCGACCAGCTTGGAGATTTCTTTGGCAGTCACGAGTCGGCCGCTGGCCTGTTTAGCCTTGAGATGGTTCTCCAGGCGGTCCAGTGGACAACTGGCAGGGTCTGCGAGATGCTGTTCTTTCAGCTGCTGGAAACGGTCCTCTGTCTCTGTGCTGGAACGTCTAGAAAATTGGGACAGTTGCGTAAGCACCTGAATAGCATTCATCGGTCTTCGCATGGTGTGAATGAACCTGAAGCCCGAGAAAATACTATCATCTTCCGCTGGCTGGGCCCTGTTTTCGTACTTTTCCTTATCCTTGGCCCACAGAGCCTCGAGGTTCATGGCGGCACGCCTCTCGGGCGTCATGAAATGCACAAAGATGTTGTCCCTTTTGCAGTCCACCATCACCCAGGTGTTGGGTTCTGCGCCATAATTGTTCATCGCATAGCTCGGGCCCTTTTTGCCTCTTTTGAGCAGTCTGCGCCGGAACTTGGCCAATTGACCGGAAGTCAGCAGCCCCTCGTGCGTCGACAGGCTCTTGAGCTGGTGTTTGACGTAAAAATTGAGTTCGAAGGTGGCCTTCTGCAGATGCTTGGAGCTCTTACCCGTGGCTATGATCATGAAGTCGGCCACCTCCTGGGCGCCTTCGTTGGAGGTCTGCTCGCTGTCTGTGCCACGCAGATCGAACACCTCGATGTCGGTCATTCCAAGCTTCTGTGCGACGAACTCCAGCAGCGGCTGCAGGGTGTCTGGCGAGTTGGCAGGAAGCTCGGGGAGGGGGGTCTGGTTGAGCACGGCGGGTTTCTGTGGCGTCTGGCGCAGATACCACGGCGCGTCTGACGAGTTCAGGCGCACGCCGAAGCGGACGTGCGGACGGCATAGCGTCGGCAGGACCCTTCTAGCACAGAGCAGTAGCATAGTTGTAATTGATTTTTATATTTTTCACCGTTTGCGCTATAGCTTGGTGTCGTGCACGACCTTTATATCTGAAAAAAATAAAGCAGTACGATAGTGACAAGACAAAAATATTCATCTTGCGCAGTGTCTCGCACGGGCCACCTCTTTAATACAAGTTTGGAACACCTCGAGAAACCACAGATTGTCTTCCATTTGCATGGAAAAAGAGCCGGCCACCGCGGACGATCATCAGAACAAGTTATACACTCCTATGTCAAACCAAGACCCTGTTGTGGATAAAGTGGCAGATATGGATCCCGGGTCAGGATCCGGGCCCGGTACCAACTCGAGCGGCCAGTTTGCATACGAGTACCCCAACTGGCGCGACAACGGCGAGTTCAACTTCTACACAGACAACAATCTCCAACTTGACATGGGCACACAGCAGCCCTTTGTACATACCTCACAGTCAAACATGATGTCTCCGGCCAACGTGGGGTCGGTTATCACGCCAGCGTCGCCGGCCGAGTACGTGATGCATCTCCAGCAGTACCAAAATATGAGGCTGGAACAGGGGATGAAGACAGAAAACGGGAATAATGCCTCAACGGCTGGCGCGAGCGCGGGCTCTGTGGCTCCAAGCGGGCCACCGGGCTCTGCGAACGGGTCAGGCCAGTTTGTGCCTTTTATACCACCGTTCCTGAATCCGCAGGCTCTGATGGGCCAGTACTCGGGCGCCGTGCCAGGGCCCTATCCTATGCAGCCAATGCCAATCCCGTATCCTGTTCCTGCGAAAAGCGAGCCACCTCAGCCACGCACCAAGGTCAAGCCGTGCGATCACTGTCGGCGGCGCAAAATCAAGTGTGTGATGGTGCCGGACTCCAACACGTGCAAGATGTGCCAGAATAAGGGGATGAAGTGCACGTTCATAGATTCCAGCACGGGCGGCACAAAACGATCGTTTTCGAGCCCGGAAAACGACGCCAAACGCCACAAGTTTGAGGACCCGTCCATCGTGCCGCCCCCAAACGTGCCACTGCGCGAAACCCTGCCGATCAAGGACTATGCCACCATGCAGGGCCACTCGCTGCTGAAAAAAACGCTCAGCCTGCAGTACCCGCGCTCGAGCTTCTACGTGGGGCCCACTTCGATCTACGATAGACTCTTTCTTGAGAACGTTGTTCTGGACAAAATCGACCAGTTCCAGCTCAACAAGGCCTACTCGATCCGCAAAGTCGCCAATGACGTCCAGTTTACGCTGCGCGACGACTTCACCGAAGACTTGTACGAGAAATCCGAGTGGGACGTTGACAGCGTCGAACGGTACGTTGCGCCGCACGGCCAGAAACTCATCGACCTCTATTTTCGCACTGTTCACCCCTCGTTTCCAATATTGCACAAGAAAGTCGTTCTGGAGAAATACTCACGCACGCATCGCGAGTTTGGAGCTCCGTTGCTTGCTGCCCTCTACTGTCTGGCCATCCAATGGTGGGACTACGACCCTCACCTGTCGCAGTTCCCTAAACCCAACGTGGTGTCGCTGCACAAGTTTGCGCTCAAGACATTTTCGGACGTGATCCAACGGCCCAAGCTGAGCGCCGTTCAGGCCGGCCTGTTGCTGCTTCAGTGCCGCTCGAGCGGGTCACAGGACAATAACTGGCTGCTGTGTTCACAGGTGGTGGCTTTGGCAGAGGAATTGGGACTCGGACTGGACTGTGCCAACTGGAGACTCCCGCGCTGGGAACGTGGGCTGCGCAAGCGGCTGGCATGGGCCGTGTACATCCAGGATAAGTGGTCGTCGCTTGTGGAGTCGCGGCCGAGCCACATTATCGAGGGTAAAAACTGGCAGGTCCAAATGGTGGCCAGCGAGGATTTTCCGGACAAAGGTGACGCCGACCAACAAAAGGACGGATCTGCAGACTACGAGAACGGGGAAGCTTTGTTCCGGCAACTGATCACGCTGAGCCAGATTTTGAGCGAGATTCTGGATACCTTTTACACCATGCACAGCATAGAGACGGTGACGACGATCGACGAGGTGCTCAAGCTGGCCAAACCGCTGCAGCTGAAACTCAGAAACTGGTACCACTCGCTGCCGGAAACGCTGCAGATGAACACGCTCAAGCCGCGGAAATTCAACTCGAACGGCTACTTGCAACTGGCGTACTTTGCGACGGAAATTACCCTGCACCGTCGTATCATTTCCGCTCTCCACGCCCAGAAAAACGAATGTCAGCCAGAGCTGGTCCGTGTTTGTCGCTCAGCGGCACAAGCGCGTCTGACAGCGTCGATCGAATTCACCCGCAACCTGAAGCCCGAACACATCCAGTCGTTCTGGCAGTCGGCAGCAGTTAACAACTTCGCCCTGATTGGAATTTTTGCCACCATTCTGTACGTCACCAGCGACTCCACAGAGGAAGCTAACGGCTTCAAACAGCAGCTTTTCGACTACCGCTGGATTCTCAAGATCAACAGCAAGAGCTTCGATATAGTGGGCGAAGCGCTCTCGAAGATCGACGGATTGATCAAAAATATACCTGGCCTGATGGGCGACTATAAAGACCCATCCACAGCAGTCCCTGTGGAGACAGAGGTGGACGGCGAGTCGCGGTCGGACACGTCCCAAAGTGAACGGAGCGACAGAGCCGCCGAGCAGAGCGAAAAATAGCGTGCAAAGCCATATAACGTTCCCATGTACATTAGTATCCGGCTAAATAAGTACCATAGATTATTTAGTAGCTTCATAAGAAACTCTTCACCTCCACCTCCTCCTTTCTCTCCTGAGCAGGCTTCTTGGTTCCGCGAATTCCCGTGAACTCGCTCTTCGGAAGCCCAAAATACTCAAACCGCTCGTTCAGAACAGCCAACTCGCTCTCCACGTCCTCAACGCGCATATTTCCTTTCTTGAGCTCCTTGATGATGTGCTCGAACTTCTTGAACCGCTGCTGATAGTTGTCGTTCATCTCCTCAATATAGTTCTTTTCTCTCATTATATTTAGCACCGACGATCCCGCCAAAGTGATTAGAAACATCTGCCAGACGGTCATTCGCAGCGAACGTCTCGTCAGGGCCTTCTTGAGCTCGATCTCCTCCTTCGACTCGCCCTGTTTCTCGTTGGGGTCTGGCTGGTGGCCCATCTGCTGGAAGTACGCGGCGGACGGCCGCTGGATCGGCGACGTGCTGTAGCGGCGAAGAGCGGGTAAACAGGCGCGGATCATGGTGAATAAATTTAATTCACTCTTCACAGTTATACACTTTTTAATATCTTTTTTTTGCGCAATCGATTACGTAAGCGCGCGCCGGTTATTGCTCCTCGTCAAGGAAGTCGTCGATCTCACGCGCGTCGTCGTCGTTGGCGTTCACGTCGAACAGCGACTCGTCCTCGTCGTCGATAATGCGGTCGTTGAACGACGCAAACTGTTCGTAGTTGTCGAGGCCGCCCCGTCTGAAGCGCGAAAAAACGCCGTTTTTCAGGAAACTCGAGAGCCGGTGTTGTAATGCCACCACCGCGCTCACAAACACAAAACCGCCCCTCACGACCTTGTTCACGGCGCGGTCCACAGGCGTCTCCTCTATCAGGTGCAGTTCTTCGTCCTCGTCAAGACGGATCTCTCCAAACCTCGAAAAACCTCCATTACGACGGATTCCTCTGTCGTAAACAAAGATGGCAGCCCCAACAAACGCGGCAATCGGTGCGAAAATCACCCAGAAAAGGCCCGCGCCGTGCAATCCCGCGCCGTATTTGTCCTTGTACTGCTCTTTCTTGCCCGGACATGGATGAGAAATCCATTTGTCCAGCTCTAGTCCCTGCTCGCAGGTGCTCATTGGAATTTTTCGGTATCCGGTCGGCTCCCAGTACTCGACCTGGTTCTCGTCCAGCTGGCAATATTCTGTTGGGTCTGCTGGCTTCAGACCCTTGATCAGCTGGCACGTGCCGTCGGCGGCCAGCACAAAATTGTAGTCGCACTCAAAGTCGTGACGCGTGCATTTGCAGTTCTTGGTCTTCTTGTACAGCTTGTTCAGCGGCGCAGCACCGACAAAACAGTCCGATTGTGACGCCTTGCGCCTTGGATACCTGGCCTCGTGGCCAAACAGACAGTTGTCCGACTGGTGCGGGTGTTTAGGCGACCAGTACTCGTAGTCCGAAAAATCGGTCAGCTCGTTCTGGTCGTTCACCGTTAGCTCGCATTGTCGCTTCTGGAGGGCGGCAAAGTTCAGACTGTATATCTCGTCGCGGCCTCTGTCGTCCTTGGCCAGCAGGATGAACTTGCGGGCCGTGTCGGAGGGAACCGTCGCAATGTCCCAGACGTTCCTTGGAGACTCTGCAAACTCGTAATCCTGCCAAGTCTCGCCTTCGTCAAGAGAGTACGACACGGTGTTTGTGAGTCCCTGCTTCACCAGCACAAGAATCGTGCCCTGGTCGCCAAACTCCCACATGTAATTGCCCTTCTTGACTTCTTTCCATGTTGCTCCCGCGTCGTTCGAGAAGAAAGTTGCCGTTTCCGGTGAACTGTACGGCAGCAGTGCCGTGCCGACATTTCCAACTCCAAAAAGCAGCCCCACGGCCGAGGCCGACGAATACGTGTCTCTCGCAGGGTCGTTTCTTTCGGTAAACGAGTGCAGATTCAGCGTGCACTCCTTCTTGCCGCTGCACTTGTACTTTTTGCCGTCAGAATCCACAGGCGGAGGAACCAGATAGTCCCACTCGGCGCCGTCATTGTAGGTGATCATGGTCTTGAGAGTCTTCTCGTCGCCATTGCGCACCACGTCATCGTAGTTGGCCACAACGTTGACCGTGGCTATTCCCTCCAAACTCTGCACGCTCTCAAAGTCCACAAATGCAAACCCGTTGCGGTTCACATGGGACAGTGACTGCACATACTGCGTGCCGTTGTAATTCGATTTCAATAGCGCACCAAACTCGTGCCGCGAGGCCGAGTGCGTGGTCACGTGCAGGAAAATCTGGTCGGAGTTCACGTCCAAAATCGTGTACGCTGTCTGTCTGGTGACCATGATGTCTTTGGGGAACATTGCCTCGGCAAAAGTCTTGCCGTCGGCAGAAACAAACGCAGTTAGCGAGTTGTCGTCGTCCAGCCGTGCAACCACCATGAATTTGCCTGTCTGCGCAAACCCAATGATTCTGTCAAAGAGCGTTTTGCTCTCCTTTTGGAAGTAGTCTGTGCTGGAGATTAACCGCAAAGCCTGGCGGTCGTCGGTGAACTGGTCGCATACAATCAGTGTCTCGTTCACAGCGTACTCCTTGTCATTGAACAGCGAGCCGGCATAGTTGCACGTGTTGGCGTTGGCCACCAGACGCTCGAACGATTCGCCGTAGTTTTGGGTGTGATACGTCTCCACCACACAGTTGCTGGAAAACAGATTCCCACAACTCCGTTCGGCACGCACAATAAACTCCGAGGCATTGTGCTTATTGAAGGTCAGCGAGAGCTTCTCGAAATCGTGGCCCCTGACCGGCAGAGTGCGCTCGTAGACAGAGACTCCTCTGTCAGGCGAGAAAAAGAGCGCATCGGCGTCGGTCAGAATGTAGACGTGGTCTGCTTTGTAAGGGTTGCTGTAAACGCCCGTGACAATGTGCTGGCCGCTCAGGAACTTGCCAAACGAAGAGCCTCCGTCAAACGAGATGTATAGAACCTTGTTTTCGGTGAGCACAAAAAGTGTCTCGTCCGGAAGACCGTCTGAGTCGTAGGTGAGATAGAAATACTCGGCGATTCTTTCGCCCAGCGGAATGTGCGTGACTTTCACAGGAGCGGTCATGTTCTGCAAATCCTTCTCGCAGTCAAAACTGAAGTCGTCTTTTTCTATTTTGTAGCCGCCTTTTGGATCACACGTGTCGCCCGGTATCATCTGTCTCGTTGTAATTTTGATCGCACCCTTCTGGTTTGCGCACTGATTCGCGGCTAACACCTCCAGAACTGGCTCACAGACATCGTTCTCGCCTTTGATGAAGCCGAACGTGCACTCAGTATCGTCAATCGTGCACTTGCAAGGCTCTTCGATAACTTTGAGGTCCTCGTACGGATGGTTCACAAAACAGTCCGCGTTTTGCTTCCGTCTTCTGAACTTTTCCGTGTGTCCCAGAACACAGACTGGAGAGTCGCTGTCCGGAAGCATTCTGGCGTACCAGTCCTCAAAATCGTCTTCAGAACAAGTTCTTTCAAACGCTCCAGTGAAGTCTATGGCATACAGAAAAATCTTGGAAAGCGAGGAATCCTCTCCCGTAACAAGAACATGCTGCGTGCTGCCGTCCAGAGACGTGAAAACATCGAGCGGCAGTATATGATCGCCAAAGTCCGCCTCTTGCCAGGAGTTTCCTTGGTCAAGAGAGTACAGGAACGTGTTTGGAAGAGTACTTGGGTCCAGCCGCGAGTCGAACAGATGCGACACGTCGATCCGGATGGCAACAATGATGTTTCCGAGGTCGGCAAAAGTGAACACTGCAGACCCCTCGACGACTTTCTTCCACGTTACACCGTTGTCTCTGGAAATGTACGTATTGAGATCATTGAGGTCAGATGTCAGGTGCTTACCGATGTTTCCTATTCCAACGAGGATCCCTGGAGTGGGGCCAGTAGCAAAGTTGCCGTTTGTGTTTCTGATCGTGGTCCACATCAAGTTGAGCGAGCACTCGGAATCCCCGCCGCAGTCATCGTCATCGATGGTTCTGAGATAGTGCCATGTCTTTCCGTCGTCAATCGAGATCTTGGACTTCGCCAGCGGCGGCGCGTTATCCTCGTCCGCGTTTTCGTGGCTCAGCAGTAAAATAACACCCTCCACTTCCTGCACCATCGTGATGTCCGACAATCCTAGCCCGTTTGTCAGGACATTCTCGTGGATCTTGTCAAAGAACAGCCCAGACGAGTCCGATTTGTACAAATCTGCATCCAGTGCAGCATTTTTTGGCTGACGCTGGCTCTGAATGGCAATGTAGAGCGACTGCGGCGTGGAGGGCAATATTCTGAACATCCACGACTTGAGCTGGTCCTCAAAATAAGCCCGTCTGAACGTTTCTCCGTCCTTGGAAATAAACAGCATGATTTCGGCATCAGGAGTGTACTTGTCAACAGAAACAGTGGCAATAATGAATGACTGGACCACCCGGATCGACACGAGGTTCATCCTGTCGAACTCTACAGACGGAGACGACACGGTCTTGAAGAAATCGTTTGTGGTCAGAAGCCCGCCTTTTTTCTCGATACCCGAATGGACCCCGTCCACTTTGGAACATAAAATCTTCTCGTCCGGTCCTGCCGTAAACGCTTTGTTGCTCTTGGCGAAAATACAGTGGTCCAAACCGTCGTAATCGACTTTTTTAGGAGGCGTTTTCAGCCCATCGTTGCTGAAAAACCAGGTTTTTTTGCACTCAAACACAAATTGCTCGTTCGCCGCACAGTCCATGAAACTGAAAAGGACATAGTCGTGGTTGGCATAGTTGACCTCAACATGACCCAAGCTGAATTGGCTGGCACTGTGATCGACCTCAAAAGGAGTCCAGGTTTTCCCGCGATCGCGGGTGTAGAACTGGGTTCTGGACGTGGAAAGAGCAAATCCCAGCTCTTTGGCATAGTCCACCGTGTGAACACTCGTAAAGTTGACCTCTTGCCCAGCAGAATTTTTGAGATCCACCTTTTTCCAGTTTTTGGCATTGTCTTCCGATATGTACAGGTTGTTGTCCTCTATAATAAGCACCACAGACGAATCGTCAAAGTACGTAAGGTCGTGGCCTGTGCTGAACTCTTTTCTCGACACTGCAGGCTTCCAGTCCGCAGCCCCTACAAGAGTCACAAGAGCCAGGACGGGAAACAACAACGTTGACCACTTCATTCTAAAATATGGCAATGGTCTTCCCAAGCAGGTGTGAGCGTAATTGGATGGCGTAGACCCAGAATGAAAGTGCTCTCAATAAGTGCTTAAATTTAGAACTTTGCCTTTAAATAGTTTTTCTGTGCTCATAACCACCAGCCATAATTGGCTACTCCTTGCACCAGGAGAATCGATCAGGGCCCGCAATGGCCATGAGGGTAGGCCCTGTGGCAAGAATGTTGAAGATTGCTGTTGATTGGTCGACGTCTAATAGCGAGAGGTCCGGCGCATTGGCTGTCAGGGCAGAGGAAAGAAGTTGGGTCTCGTCAGCGGGCACTCTAATATAGACGCGCTCATTCTCTAATTTAAGGATGTCGTAGTGCACTGCGGTACCCATGATACCGTGTAGTCTTGAAAGAGACTTATAGATAAGAGATTTCCACGTGATGGCATCCAGAGCAGGAAATGTTTCAACAGAGGGCACGAAACGGCTGCTGTTAGGGATCAAAGAAGGGGACTTACAGTTCTATGAGCAGGTAATTCCATTCGGAGGTGAATGAGATTTGTTTTGACATAAGGTGAGGTGTGCCGGCTCTTCAGCAGTGAGCAGCAGCGTGTATGCTTCTTGTGGATTTTGATTAAATTATTTATTTTTTATTTTTTTTTATTTTTTTTGAATAATTAATTCTATGTCTTTGTTTGACGACCTATTTGCCTCGGAGGAAGAGCCTCCAAAACCAAAAACTACAATCGAATACACCCAGAAAAATGGAGAGGTCATCCTAGTGACACTGGTGGGATCGTCACCGCTGTATGGCCATATTCTCACCAATGCATGTAAATCGCTAGCCAGACAATTGGAGAATAATCCTCAACTGGTGGCTGGACGCACGGTGCTCGAGTTTGGAGCAGGCGGAGCGCTGCCGTCTCTGCTGAGCGCCAAGCTGGGTGCAAAGAAAGTTCTCGCTACCGACTATCCAGACCCAGACCTCGTATCAAACATACAGCATAACATCGAACAGAATAAATTACCTAATTGCACTGCCAAGGGCTACATCTGGGGCAACGACGTCGAAGAATTGATGCAGGAACTGCCTCAAGGCCATAAAACGTTCGACGTGCTTTTGTTGAGTGACGTGATCTTTAACCACACCGAACAAAGAAAGCTGCTCCAGAGCTGCAAGTTGCTGGTGACACCTCGGACGGGACGTGTGTTCGTCCCATTCTCGCCCCACAGACCAAAACTACTTGCCGCGGACCTCAATTTCTTCGAGCTTGCTCAAGAGTACGGGTTCGAGGTGCACGACGAAGGAATTGAGATGTGGTCTCCGCTGTTCAAGGACGACCAGGACAAGGCTACAGCCGAGTTGCGCAGCCGCGTGTACAAGTACTCGATGACGCTGGTGCGAGGTGTTGACGACAGTTAGGGCCTTTTTTTTTTTCTCGAACTGATTTGCGCAAAAAATTCTCGCCAGATCACATCTGGCACATGCACACGACCTTTGTGGGGCTGGGCTTAATGAGTTTTTCCGGTACGAAAAAGGAAATGTTTCGAAAGCCATTCGAGTTATAAAAGCTGGAGCGCGGCCCATACCTAGCCCATCCAATCCCACTTCAGTCACTCCTTTACACTTTAGTCGTTATGATCTCTACACTCGTTTTAAAACAGGTGGTTTTGGCGCTGTTCCTGTTTTCCACAGCCCAGGCTTTTGATGCTACCTCCAAAACCAATGTGGCACTGTATTGGGGCCAGAACTCTGCCGGCACTCAGGAAAGGCTTTCCACTTATTGTGAGAGTGATGCTGCTGACCTTTTCCTGCTCTCGTTCATGACCACGTTCTCTGACGCAGACACTCTTCCGACCTTGAATTTTGCCAATGCCTGCAGCAGCCAATTTTCTGACGGACTTCTGCAATGCGATACCATTGCCGAGGACATCAAGACCTGTCAAAGTCTTGGCAAAAAGGTGTTACTTTCGCTCGGAGGAGCCAGCGGTAGCTACGGCTTCAGCTCCGATTCTGTTGCCGAGGAGTTTGCCGGCACTCTTTGGAACATGTTTGGAGGAGGAGACGCTGACGAGCGTCCATTTGGCGACGCAGTTATAGATGGTTTTGACTTTGATATTGAAAACAATGACTCCACCGGTTACGCTGCTCTCGCAACAAAACTGAGAGAATACTATAGGCAGGACTCTTCCAAAGACTACTACATATCTGCTGCTCCTCAATGTGTCTACCCTGATGCCTCCACGGGTGATATGCTTGCCAATGCCGACGTTGACTTTGCTTTTATCCAATTCTACAACAACTATTGCAACGTCGACAAGCAGTTCAACTGGGACACCTGGGCCAACTTCGCTGCCAACACGTCTCCTAACAAGAACATCAAGTTGTACCTGGGACTGCCTGCCTCCAGCACGGCCGCTTCTACCGGTTATGTGGACGTTGACACGGTGAAAAGTGCGCTCGAGAGCATTGATAACACAAACCTCGGAGGAATTATGCTTTGGGACGCCTCGCAGGCTTTCAGCAACGAGGTTGACGGTGGAAACTACGCCGAGGCAATGAAGAGCGTGTTGACTGACAGCCAGGGTGCCAGCTCTACTTCCTCCGCCACCTCCGTGAGTTCTAGCACCTCGGAGAGCTTTTCCAGCACGTCAGAAAGCGCTTCGTCTGCGTCGTCCGTCACCTCCACTTCTGCTGAAAAGAAAACTTCCACCCTTAGCTCTTCGAGTATCTTCAGCTCCACAAGTGCTTCCAGCTCTTCAAGCATCTCCAGCACTTTGGGTATTCCAACCTCTACAAGTGTTTCCAGCTCCTCCAATTCCGTGTCGACCAATACGCCGGCCACTTCCGAGGCAAGTTCTGCCTCTCAGAGCTCCGTTTCTTCGAGCTTTGCTCCTTCTTCCTCCGAAAATGGGGAGAGCTCGTCCTTTGTCACCGCCACCCCCACTGGAACACCGCAACCCACCCCACCTTCAACCACACTCCTGACCAGAACTACAGGCAGCACGAGCTCTTCTTCTACCACTTCCACCCCAAGTGCAGCATACACTGACTGTTCGTCGCTAAGCGGATTGGAAAAGGCCAAGTGTCTAAATACCAACTTTGCCAGCGGCCTGTTCAACGGATCACCTGACTCGTGCTCCACCGAGGGAGAAATTGCCTGCTCGTCAGACGGCTCGTTCGCAATTTGCAACTTTGGCAAGTGGGTCAAGATGAAGTGTGCTGCAGGCACCACCTGCTACGCATACGTTCAGAATTCGGACGTTGACGTGGGATGCAACTACGAGGCTCAGAAAAACTCGTTCACGAAACGAGACGGCTTCATGGACATTTTTAAAAGAAGCTCAAGCCACAGTCATCATGCACACCGGGCATAATGTGATGTATCACAGTCGAATATATATAAATAGGACAAAATACAGGATTTTGCGTTATGACTTCTATAACCGTCAAACCCAGGCCCGTGGGGCTGCGGAGGGTCCGTAAACCAAATAGGCCAAAACTGGGGCGCGTCAGGAGAAACAGGAGGAAACAGCCGCGTATCGACACCGATCTACTCTTGCAAGAGCTTGCCCTGCTCTCCAAAAAGCAGGACCCTCCACGTAAGCGACGGTATCCTCAAACGCTGGCCATATCATTTCTGAGCGGGTACTCCCTAGCCGTTGCTGCCAAATTGTACAATCTGATAAGAAAATAATTTGAAAATTACGCAAGTTAGTTCGGGAATATACCGTGTTCGGGATTCGTCCGCTTTGCATCCACTTTACTCACCTCTTTCTTCCTGTTTTTGGAACCATGGAAGACCATCTTGACAAACAGAAGCCTGCAAGGCGCATGTACTCCTTCCTGCTGTGGAACAAGTCCGTGCCCCCGCTGCCGTCTGACGAAGAGCGGTCCCAGTTCCCGTTCAGAAACACCAATTTTTTCAGCAACCTCTTATTTTCGTGGGTCCTCCCGATACTCAGAGTCGGCTACAGAAGAACGCTCGAGCCCCAGGACCTCTTTGCCATCCGCCGCGGGTCGAATCTCGACGTTGATGTGCGTGCCAAGACTTTTCTCACTAAATTCACCGCCCGCAAGCGCAAGGCTGAACAAAAGTATCTCAAGAAAAAAGGCATCCCTGACACCCCAGATGCACGCAGAGCGCTCATCACAGACCCTGACTTTTCGTACTCGTCGCTGTTAGTACTCGGGTCGCTTTTTGAAACCTTTAAGTGGGAGTACACCCTCAGCGTGCTGTATAAAGTATGCGGAGACGTAGCAATGGGCCTCAACCCGCTGCTGCTGCGTGCGATGATCGCCTACGTCCACCAAAAGGCGTCCGGTGCCCCTGTCAACAACAGCGGGTACGGCTACTCGCTCGGGATCTCAGGGCTCGTGCTGTGCACGGGCCTCTGTATGGCGCACTATTTCCACGACTCGGCGTTCGTGGGGTGCGAGGTCAAGGCTCTGCTGACAAAAGTGCTTCTCGACAAGTCGTTCCGACTTGACAGACGCTCGCGCACTCAGTTCACTCCGTCAGCAATCACCTCGCTGCTCGGCACAGACCTGTCCCGGATCGACCTGGCGGCCAGTTTTTTTGCTTACCTAATCACGTTCCCGATCGGCGTGGCCATCACGCTGGTGCTGCTGTCCGTTTACATGGGAGGGCCCGCCATCGGTGGCGTCGGGTTTCTGATTCTGGCCGCATGCGGCATCGTGTACAGTACGCGTCCCCTCATGCGGCTGCGGCGCGGCATCAACGTGCACACCGACGCCCGTGTCAAGGCTGTCAAAGAGGTACTCAACAGCATGAAGATCATAAAGTACTACTCGTGGGAGCCGGCGTATTTGAAGCTGGTGTCGGCAATTAGAAGCAGGGAGATGTCGTACATGTTGCGAATCCAGTTTCTGCGGAACCTTGTCACTGCTATGGCCATTTCTCTGCCGAGTGTGTCGTCGATGATTGGATTTTTGTCTATGTACGGCTACAATGGGGGCAGTTTACGGAACGCTGCTAATGTTTTTTCATCTCTGGCACTGTTTAACATTCTGGTTGGCCACATTGCGCTGATGCCACTGGCTTTGAGCTCCACTGCGGATGCCTACGTTGCGTGCAAGCGGGTGCAGGCGTACCTGCTTTCCGCGGAGGAAGTGCCCGACAAAAATTATATTTGCGTGGAGAAAGCCGCTGAGGCGGTGAGAGTGGTCGATGCGTCCTTCTCGTGGGACGAGTGTCATGTGCCGGATGCGTGTGGCAAGGAGGCAGCCCCGGCGGAAAAGCAAGCGGTGTCGCTGCGGCCTTCTCTGGGTCCGCTCACGTTTTCGCTCGCACACGGCGAATTTGTCGTGGTTACCGGCCCCATTGGCTCAGGCAAGTCGTCGCTGCTGTGCGCGCTGAGCGGGCTGATGCCGCGGTTGACGGGCTCTATTACTGTTGCCGGGCAGCTTCTGCTATGTGCCCAGCCTTGGATCCAGAACGCTACCGTGCGTAACAACATCATATTCGGCTGTGAGCCAAACAAGCAGCTCTACGCGGAAATTGTGCGGAGCTGCGGGCTAGAGAGCGACTTCGAGATGTTGCCTGCTGGTGATCTCACGGAGATCGGTGAGCGCGGCGTGAACCTGTCGGGCGGGCAGAAGGCGCGCATCAACCTTGCGCGCGCTGTGTATTCTGTGCTGAGCAGGAACTTCAACATTTTGCTGCTGGACGACGTGCTGAGTGCGGTGGACGCTAAAGTGGGGCGCCACATCATGGACGAGTGTATTCTCGGGTTGCTCCGCAGCCGCACACGAGTGCTCGCCACGCACCAGCTGTCGCTAATCCAGGCCGCCGACCGAATCATGTTTATGAATCCGGACGGCTCTGTCGACGTAGACACACCGGAGCGGCTGCTGGCAAAGAACGAGCACTTTTCCAAGCTGATGGAGTTCCAGCAGGAGGGCACCAAGCAGGAAAAGCCAGAGTCGCCCGATATTGCGGCTGAGGACGAGGAGGCGGAGGAGCTCAAGCTGGTGCAGAAACAAACGACGCAGCTCGAGTACGAAAGAGACCGGGGCCGTCTGATCGAGCAGGAGCATCGCGAAAAAGATGCCATCCCCATGCACATCGTGCTATCATATTTCCGGTCTGGCTGCGGCCGGCTGGGCATCGCCGGTATGTTCCCGATGATCCTCGCCGGCATGGCGTGCTCTACGTTCTGCATGCTGTTCCAGAACGTGTGGCTATCGTTCTGGTCGACGCAGAAATTCCCCGGCCGCTCCGACGGCTTTTACATCGGGCTGTACGTGATGTTCGCGCTGCTGTACATGGTGAGCACCGCGTGGCAGTTCTGCAGCGTCGTGTACGTGACGAACCACGCGTCTGAGCGTCTCAACATCCGCGCTCTTGAGCGCGTGCTGCGTGCGCCAATGTCCTTCTTCGACACGACGCCGATGGGCCGCATTCTTAATCGGTTCACTAAGGACACCGACGTGCTGGACAACGAGATCTCGGAACAGTTCCGCCTCATCCTTTTCGGCTTCTCCAACATGGTGGGCATCTATATCATGTGCATCATCTACATGCCGTACTTTGCGGTGTGCGTGCCGTTCATCTTCTTGGCGGTGTCGATGCTGTTTTCTTTCTACCAGGCCTCTGCGCGCGAGGTGAAGCGAATTGAGGGGGTGCAACGGTCGATCGTCTATGCCAACTTCGACGAGGTGCTACAGGGCAACGAGACTATCAAGTTGTACAACCTGACGGGCAAGTTTGTGGACAAGAACATCACGCTGATTAATAGAATGAATGAGTCGTACTTCTTGGCCAACTCGTTGCAACGGTGGCTGGCCGTGGCGTTGCACGGGTGTGCGGCCGGTATGAACTTGCTCATCTCGATGCTTTGCGTGGGGCGCGCATTCAAAATCAGCGCCGCCAGCTCGGGACTTATTATTTCGTACCTCGTCAGCGTCAGCATGCAGCTAATCACCACATCGCGGTCGATGGGCCAGTTGGAGCAAAATCTCAGCAGCGTCGAGCGGATCGGCGAGTACGCCATTGACCTGCCGCAGGAAGCCCCTGCAGAAAGCTCGGACCCGGCGAAAAAACCTCCCCCACATTGGCCCGAGCACGGCCAAATCAAGTTCTCCCACGTAAGCCTGCGGTACCGTCCAAACCTGCCGCTCGTGCTCCAGGACCTCAACCTCGAGATTGCAGCAGCAGAGAAAATCGGCATTTGCGGCCGCACAGGCGCGGGAAAGTCCACAATCATGACGGCACTTTACCGGCTGAGTGAGCCCGATGGAACGATTGAGATCGACGGCGTCAATATCCTCGACATCGGCCTGCACGAGCTGCGCTCGCGGCTGTCGATTATCCCGCAGGACCCGGTGCTCTTCCGCGGCACGATCCGCTTGAACCTGGACCCCTTCTCGCAGCTGTCTGACGACCTGCTGTACGACGCGCTTGTGAAATCGGGCTGCATTTTGGCCGAAGAGTTGCCCGAAGTAAAGCAGCAGACAGGACCAGACCTGCACAAGTTCCACCTGAACAGCGTGGTGGACGACAATGGCGCCAACTTCTCGCTCGGCCAACGCCAGATGCTCGCGCTCACGAGGGCCATTGTCCGGGACTGTAAAGTGCTGATTCTAGACGAGGCCACATCCAGCGTCGACTACGAGACCGACGCCCGCGTGCAAGCGACGATTGTCCGTGAGTTTTCGCACTGCACGATTCTGTGCATTGCGCACCGGCTCAAGACGATCATAAACTACGACAAGATCCTTGTCATGGACAAGGGCCGCGTGGCAGAGTTTGGCACACCGATGGAGTTGTACCACGCGCACGGAATATTCCGCTCCATGTGCGACAAGAGCAGGATCGACGGCGCCGAGATCGAGCAGGCGCAGGCTGCCAAACCCGAATAACTGGTCCACATTTCTATGTATAGTCTATAAGTCATATCCGAAGATAGTGCTTGCATCTCTCGTAAACGTAGAAGCTGCACGCGAACATGGGCACTATTTTGAGGAACCCGATCCCGAGCCCCACGTAAAAGCCTTTGAATCCACGCTCCGCATAAATCATCACTATTGTGTGGCCGATGGAGAAGAACTGGCCTCCCAGGTTCGCCACGCCACCAACCTGCATTCGTCTCCGGATCACCTCAAATGGGTAAGCTGCCGCCTGCGCCAGCATTCCAGCGCCACCGCCCGCGAGCAGCTGGGCCCAAATCTTGAGCGGCTTGCGCGTGTCGAACGACGACTCCGACCTGACTTTCGTGGTCTCCAGAGTCGCGTCGTCGTCGATAACCGTATACGGCGCGATATGGGGCAGGCGGAACAGATCATGGATCATGTCGTGCGAGTAAAAGCTGACCCCCGCGTACGGAACCATACCTATGATGGTTGGCACAAATCCTCTATAGAAGTTTGTCATGGCCTGGAAAACGTGCACATTGCGATCCACGATGCGGTGGAGCAAGCGCAAAAGTGGGGGTTTGTTTGCCATGTAACCCCCAGTGGTGAAGCTGTAGCGCGGGTGCTCGTAGTAAATGGTCTTGAGGATGTGCCATATCTTTCCTCGCCCGTGCTGGATCCTGCTGTGGGACGTCTCAAACGCCAATCTCACACGAACAAGGTCTAGCGGGTACGTGAACGCCACGCTGAGCACGCCCGCAAACGATCCCGCCAAAAGCCGTCTTCCAGCCGTCTCATATTCGTCCCGCGGAATGAGAAACGTGCGGATCTGCTCGTAACAAACAAACTTGATTGCTGCGTAGGGGAAAATCCGCAGCAGCGTGGCCGAGTGGCCCTGGTATAGGCCCATAAACCCATCGTTGTGGTAGATTAGCTGGATAGCCTTGAACATGCCCCGGAACGACCCTGCGAGATGGCGATAGTGCGGGTTGTTTGTTTGGAATAGGATCTTCACCCTGTCCAGGGGAGCTATGAGCGTCTTGGCAGAGATTCCTGCCACTCCCCCGGCAATCCCACTTCGTACCACGTACTCGAGCGAGTGCTTGTCTATTTTGTCGGTCATGGCAAGGTTTATGCTTTTTCAGATAATTTTTTTTTATTTTCTTAGACTTTTTTTTTCAGTCACTACAGATCACTCAAACTCCCCAATATTTTACCTTTCTTGTCATTTTTTTCCTTCCTACCGAATATTCCCTATTTATCTAACATCTCCTTCATCAGGTTGGCAAAATCCTCGTCGTTCACCTCGCACAGCCACGAAGTAACAGACATCAACTGGCGCAGTTTGGAGTTTTCCACCTGCTCGAACCGCGAGTCCAGTGCTTCAGCCGCACCCGGCTCGACTCCGCTTTTCTTATCGCTGATTTTGGTGAGATACCACTGGTTTTCCTGGCTGAGCGCGTCGAGATCGCAGTTGTTCACGTTGAGCAGGATCGATTTGTTCACTAGATCGGCCACCTTGCCTCGCACCTTCAGGTCCAGTAGGCTCTTCAGCTTGACCGGAACGCCCTCCATGTCTGGCTGGCGGAGCCGTTTGCCGAAACACAGCAGCGCCATGGTCAACTCCAGCTCCTGCACAAAATCTTTGTTCTGCAGGATTTTCAGTGTCGACAACTTGCTGGAGATAAAGTGCAACACGCGGTCCAGAAACTGCTTTTCGTCCAAGTATTTCTCGGGAGGCCCGGCAAACTGCGTCCGGATGATCTCCACCAGGTTCAAATGCAGCAGCTTGAAGTAGATAAACTGGTTCTTCTCGAACAGACTGGGGAAATTCTTGTTGATGAGCACCACCGCCTCTTCTATCTGTCCGTTCAGAATGTGCAGCTTGATCTCGTTTCTGGACTTGACGGACGAGAGCCCGAAACTGAGCCGTTTATAGAATGCCAGGTCGTGGCCTGGGTCTTCGTCGTAGTGGCCGATCAGCTCTGTGTACGAGTCGTAGATGTTCTTCTGGATCTCGCTTGCAGAAAAAAACGCCTCCACGTCAAAATCGTCGTCCGGGCCCAGTTCGGGCGTCTCAACGGGATACAAAGAGACGTCCTTTTCCAATGCGTCTGAAATGTAGTCAAACCCGAGTTCTTTGGCCAGGTCGCGCGCCGCGTGGATGTACCCCTCGTATATCAGGTAGTTGAGCACCAGATGGTCCACCTTGGACATCTGCTCCAAATCCTGCTGCGTGGCTATCATGTCCTTGATGTCGTCGCCATGGCAAACATTGAATACAGGCAGGTCTTTTTTTATCAGTTTCAAATACGTCTCGTGCCTGCTCATGATAATTATTTGAAATGCAGCTAATTATTTATTTTTCCTATTTGTTTTTTGGCTTCCAGCTGCCAGAAAATAAATGCTCCACAAACGCCAGCCTGTCTGAGCTGCTCTTTGAGCCCATGTGCCCCACGTTCGGACTGAAGCTCGTGATCGGTAACACCATTACGTCCCCCATGATCTTTGGCTTGTCCATGTTGGTCAGCGACCTCCAGTTGATCAGCTGGTCCTCAGAATGCAGTGGCTCGTTGTTCTTGCCAATTTCCGTCTTTTTCAGCTTGTATTTGCCGTGTCTGCGCCAGAACAACGACCCCACGCCGTACCCGTCGCCCAGCTTGCCGTCGCTCGCCACATTGTTCAGATAGTCAAACAGAGTGTCCGTAAATATCCCTGGCCCCGTCCACTGCATGATGTCTGCGCCCGAGTCCTTGCCTTCCACTCTCTTCAAAACGCCCATGTGCTGTTTGCGGAACGTCTCCTCCACGATCCGGATGATCAGCTCGCGCAGCATCGGGTGTCCCGGCTTCGCCTGGACCGTCCACTGGCAGAACTGCAGTCTGCGCGAGAACCACTCGTGCCAGTCCGGCCTGTCCGGGTCGGCCTCAATGCCGATCACCAGCCCCACAGGCGTGGTCCTTGCTTCTGGATCTATCAGCGAAAGATCGGCCTTATTGTCGGCAGCGTGGATCAGGTCGCGGTCAAACGTGGCCCAGTCCTTGATCGGCTTCAAACACACCGTGTCCATGTCCGAGTAGGTGCCTCCGCGCGCGTAGACCACCAAATACCGGAAAAAATCTGCCTTCATGATATTTTTTGGAAGCAGCTGGTACGCTCTGACAACCTCTGGCACGTTCGCGTACAGACTCGCCACAAAGTCCTCAATCACAGAGTCCGGAATCAGGTGGTACACGTAATCTGGATTTTTCTCGACCCACGTTTTTTGAAACCGTCCGTATTGCTTCGGGAAGTCGTCGTCTTCGAGATCGACCTTCCATGTCTGCCAGATCTGGTTCGGCACCGGTTTTTCAGGGTAATAGGGGAAGTAGAAAGTGAGTTTCTCACGTAGGGTGGCCGACTCTGCCGGAAGCCGGTTTAGGTGGCGCAAATGCGCTCCAAAAGTATGTAGATTCGAGCTTAGCTCGGCCTCGATCTTCGCGTCCACTTGGGCCAAATCGCGCGTTCCAGGGCTCCACGTCCAAACGTTCTGGACTACCCAGTACAACAGCACCACAAGAACAGCCACCAGCCGGCGATTCGTCGCAATGTAGAGTCGCGCGCGCTTCAGCACCGGGACATTGGTTATTGACATGAAATTCAAAAAATACACCATTCTTCACCGTTACATAATCTATTTATTTATCGAATTTCCACGTTCCTTCCAATTCGTCGTACTTGCGCTTCGAGTTGGCGTTTCTATCATTTGCTGGAGCAGGAGCCATCATCGAGCTTCCTATCCCGCTCACACGCATTGTTTCTCTCTTGAGACGCCGGATATTACGCTCTCTTTCGATCTCCCGCTTCTCGATCTCCCACGGTGTAAGGGTTTCCACCCGAGGGCTAAAGTCTGCTCCGTACTTCTTGCTGTCGAAACGCATGCCCTGCAGCTCAAGCGACACCACGCCAGGCGAGCCGTTGCCCGTGTCCGGTGCAGGCGGCTGGTATACCTTGTTGAGCAGCGGCAAACTCTCGTTGTTGAACAGGATCTGCTGCGGATTCTCCAGGAACTCCTTCTTAAGCTTGAAAATGGCGTCGTGCAGCGAGATCGCAATGGCATTCTGGAACTCCCGGCGAAGCCCCATATCCGCCACCACGGTGCGCGCAAACTCCTCGGGCGTGATGGCGCTGTTTAAGATATCCCACTCGATCTTGTCTTCGTAGAGCGTGTTGTCGAGGCTGATCGAAATGTCCAGAATCGCATGAAGCTCCTTTTCCTGCGACAGCTGCGGCATCGGCACGGTCGCGACCGCGCGATACGACTCCAGCTGGTCGCGAATCTGGCCTGCGATCGTGGCCTCGCTGTATTTCGGCAGATCCAGCTCCTGACACATAATAGTCGCAAAGAGCTCGGGAGTGATGAGCGACTCGTTCAAGTTCCACATAAACATGTCGTTCACGCGCGTCCCGCTCGTCTCGATGTTCAATTTAATGGGCACCAATTGCTCAGGAACGGAGCAGTTGGCCAGGTTCTCCGCCTCGCTAAACACTGTCTTGTACTTCTCTCTAGGAGCGTCTTTGCCCTGTAAAAACGCCATGCTCATGCCTGGACCACTCATGTTCGACCGCGAAACCAAAGCCCCGTCCTCGTCGTAGTCCTGGTCCTGGTCGTCCTCGAGCTCCATGTCGAAGTCCTCGGCGTAGTTGACACGGGTCGACGCGGCTCTCTTAGAGCCTCTGGCGGGCAGCGAAGCAATGAAGAGCGGGTTCGGCGAGTTTTTCAGCCGCGCAACCAGCGACGTCGACAGTGCCTGGGGATAAATAGGCCTTTCCATGGATTAAAGAAATAAAAATAAAGTAGGAAAATACACTACAAATAATGGCGAATTAGCACAGGTAGAGCTGGATCATAAAAATGGCGTGAAAACAGCAGTAGATGTTTCATCAGGCACTCCACACCCAACTGAGGCCATTCCAACGCGCCACGAACCCAACAACAGGCCTCTGCTACCGTGCTGTGAGCCCCGGTGTTGTGTCCGGGTAACCCGAATTTGTCGTGCACGCGTGCCGAAGTAAATTTTTTTATTTCATCGAAAAAGCTTCCTACCTAATCATCATGTCTTTCTCCGACTTCTCCAAGATCGAGACCGTTGCCGAGCTCAACAAGTTCCTGGCCGACAAGTCCTACATTGAAGGGTAAGTAAATTTCCACTGATGAACTACATTCTTTGGTCCATGTTTATGAGGCGGCCTCAAGACCCGCCGCATGAGTGACAAACAAGATCCGTCTACGGGCGGGCGACTGAGGGAAATCTTACAAATACTAACAACGCAGCACTTCCGCCACCCAAGCCGACGTTGCTGCCTACAAGGCCTTCCAATCTGCTTACCCAAATTTCAGCAGATGGTTCAACCACATTGCCTCGTTCACTGAGGACTTCGACTCCTTGCCAGCAGCCAAGGCTCCTGCTGCAGAGGAGGAGGACGACGACGTCGACCTCTTTGGTTCCGACGACGAGGAAGTCGATGAGGAGGCCGAGAAGCTGAAGCAACAGAGACTCGCCGAGTACGCTGCCAAGAAGGCTGCCAAGGGCCCTAAGCCAGCCTCCAAGTCGATTGTCACCATCGACGTCAAGCCATGGGACGACGAGACCGACCTCGACGCCCTGCTGGCCTCCGTCAAGAGCATCGAGAAGGAAGGTCTGACCTGGGGTGGATTCCAATGGGTTCCTGTTGGATTCGGTATCAAAAAGCTCCAGATCAACTGTGTTGTTGAGGACGAGAAGGTCTCCATCGACGAGCTCCAGGCCCAGATCGAGGAGTTCGACGACTATGTCCAGTCTACTGACATTGCTGCTATGCAAAAACTCTAAGTAGTATTAATAGGTAGAAAATCGTCCCGAAGTACTAGCACGGTAAAAAGTCGATCCCCGACCCCAGCCACTCTTTTGTCTGCAAAATCTCCTCCACCTTGCACCCCGTCTCGTACACCTCGTCGATCAGCTGCATCGCCGTCTTGATCGTACCCATGTTGACGATCTTGTACAGGGTCTGCGCAAACTGCCGCAGCCGGCGCCGCGAGCTCTCTTTTTTGCAGTGCAGCGCAATGTTGAATACCGGCCACACCATCTGCGTCACGATCGGCGACTGCGTGTTGAGCGTTTCGTATGTGTGGATGAATTCCATCGTCAGGCCCTCGATCACGTCCTGCGTGTCCGGGCCCGGGTCGCAAATCTCGAGCAGCTTGATCAGCGCCGAGATCGACCAGCACTGCGCCGACTTCAGCCGCTCCTCGTACGCAAACGAGTCCGCCAGCTCCAGCGGCACGTAGTCGCGGTAGTTTACGAGCCGCTGCTTGAGCTCGCCGTGCACCGCAGCCACCTCGTCGCTCGAGATCGTGCGGCTGTGCATGCGGTGGCGCAGGTGGCAGATTTCAGCAAACACCTGGAAGATCTCGCCAGGACACTCGTTCATGCGCGCCGTGGAGACTGCGTCGTGTCTCGTGCCATACCACTCGGGGCTGCAGAAGGGCACGCGGCAGTCCGGCGACACCAGCGCCGAGATGGTGTCAAACCACGACAGGATGCAGATCAGCGTCTGCGACTGGTCGATGCGGCTCAGCGCAGACTTGAACTGCTGGTCCCGTGCGATCGTGCTGAACAGCTTGAGGAAAATTCGCGACAGAGCAGACCGCCCGCTCTCCAAAATCGCAAACAGCAGGTGCACATACAGCAGCAGCAGGATTACGAAGAAGTTGCCCTGCTTGCGCTCCGTGCTCTCGCTTTTCAGGTTCGTCACGATGCTATCAACGTTCAGCGGAGTGCTCGCGCCGTCCTCGTCGCTCAGCTGCGGCCGCGACGAGTCCTTGTTCCGCACGTACTTGATCAGATACTCCATAGTGTTGTTGATGTGCAGGATGCCCTTCTTGTAGAACTCGTTCTTGCCGTTGTTCACATACAGATGGATTGAGCTCAGAGACATAAAGCACGACTTGGCCAGCTCGATGCTGCCAAACCGCAGCATCAACTCCGGCCACGGAGCTGACGGCTGCGCGTCCAGCAGAAATATCGTCTTGTCGAAGAAATGCTTGAGGATGTAGTTGTCCTCAGACGGGTTGGAGGTCAGCTCGCTGTCCAGCGAGAACGGGTACGCGCCGCTGTCGCTGCCAAACTGCGGCGAGTTGATCTGCTGTAACAGCTGGTCCTGCTGCTGTTCCAGCTGCTGGAGATGGTACTTTTGCTGCTGGTGTGCCTGCTCGGAGCTGAACAGACTCAGGTCGTCGGCCGTCGACAGGAGATAATCCAGCCCGTTGTACACGACGTCGTCGAAAAAGACGTTGGGCGCAAACGGCCATGACTGATTTTCTTGCTTCGGCTGCAGTGCCGACTCCACCGACTGCGCTGTCTCCGGCTCGGAACTTGACGACTTTTTCACTTCTGGCTTTGGTTTGCCATTGTTTATTCGTGGCCGTCCCCGGAACCCGTACTTGGGCTGGCCCTTGGCGTCTGTGCCGATTTTGGTTTTCTGGTTCCGACTATCATCCACGTCGAAAACCAGCCGCAGCCCGTACCCGGCACACTTGCGGCCCGACTTGACGCAATTGAGACAGCTGGGCTTTGTCTCGTCACACTTGCGGCGCCGCTGCTTGCACGTAAAACAGCCCGTTCTCGACCTCGTTATCTTGCCCATAAACGAAAATGGAAAAAAAATACAGGAAAATAGCGGGTGCAGGGTCTAAAAAGCACCGAAGCCAAACCAGACATTTTTATCTACTTTGCAATCACGGGCGCACCTGTGCGGTTGCTGTTCACAAGACTAATTCATCTGGGCTATCAACGGATGCCCAGCACGTACGCAATTACTCCATGTGATTTATTTGCACTTTGATTTATTTGCAATTCATTTTCCACATATTTTAGGTCTTTTTTTTTTTTTCATCTCAACGGCTGTGCTATGACCATCTTCGTAGGCTGCAACAGAGAGCTGCAAATCAGCGACTACAGCCCTGCACACAGGCTTGTTGCGTATGGTGCGAGGAATGCAATCGCCTTGTGGCGGCCTGGCGAGATGCACCGCGGCGTGCTGTCCACGGCAAAGGCCCATACGGCGCACGTCGTCGCTGTCAAATGGGTGCCAGAATCGCCATTTCTGGTGTCTGCAGCCGAGGATCACAGCGTCAAGGTTTGGAGGCTGAGCAGCGAGACTACAGCGCTCGACGTGGTGCACGATTTGCCGGCCCACAACGCCAGTGTCACTGCTCTTACCGTGACCAAGGAATATCTTGTCACCGGCGGTGCGGACGGAAAGATCAAGGTCTGGACATTTGCAGACGGGCCTTCTGTGCGGCTGGTGGCTGAACAGAGTGTGACGTCTGGATTTTTCCCGCTCTCGCTCGCGCTCGTTGCCGTGGAGCCAGGAAAGCACGTTCTTTTCGCCGGAGGGTCTAAGCCGCAGTTCCATGTGTTTTCTCTTGCTGCAAATGGCCCGTTGCAACACTGTGCCACACTTTCCGGCCATGAGGACTGGATCAAGACCATCGCCGTCAAAAAGCAGGGTCCCGGCGAATTTCTTGTTGCTTCTGGCTCTCAGGACAGATACATCCGGCTGTGGAAGCTGTGTTTGAACGACGCCATCTCCAAGGTCGACACTTCGAACCAGCTCGGACTGCTGATGAACAAGCAGCATTTTTTTGACATTGACGACACAACGAGTTGCGCCATCAACTTTGAGGCCATCATCATGGGCCACGACGACTGGATTTCGAGCCTTGTCTGGCATCCGTCGGAAACTGTGCTACTGTCCTCGTCTGCCGATACGTCGATCATGATCTGGGAGCCCGACGAAAGCAGCGGTGTCTGGGTGTCATCGATGCGTCTCGGAGAGATGAGCATCAAGGGTGCGTCCACGGCAACGGGGGCATCTGGAGGCTTTTGGAGCGCGCTCTGGCTATTTGAAAATGAGACGGAAATTATTCTTGCAAACGGCAAAACCGGCTCTTTCAGATGCTGGGCCCGAAAAGAAGGCTCAGATGACCAATACGAGCAGCAGCCGTGTTTGACAGGCCCGATGAAAGAGGTCACAGACGTGTGTTGGTCTCCTTCTGGGGAATATCTTCTTACTACGTCGCTCGACCAAACCACGCGACTCTACGCCAAATGGTCAGAAACCGGCACCTGGCATGAGTTTGCAAGACCGCAGATCCATGGCTACGACATGATTTGCGTCAAACCGATATCAAACTCCCGGTTCGTCTCTGGCGGCGACGAAAAAATCATGAGGTCGTTCGATGAGCCTAAAGCCGTCGCAGACATGCTTCAAAGACTCTGTGGCATCACTTCAGATGACGTCGACGCCATGCCGCCCAGCGCGTCACTGCCGGTGCTTGGTCTGTCCAATAAAGCAGAAACAGAGACAAAAAATGAGGAGCCAACCTCCGACGACGAAACGGCAGATAACGGAGCCCAGACAGCCAACTTGTCAGCCAAACTGCTACTGCAGTTGGAAACACCGCCTCTGGAAGACATTCTCCAACGGCACACGCTGTGGCCGGAGATCGAGAAGCTATACGGCCACGGTTTCGAGATCACCACTTTGGACGTGTCTCCGGACGGAAAACTGATAGCGTCGGCGTGCCGATCGAACGTGCCGTCCCACGCAGTTATCAGACTGTTCAGAGTAGACTCTTGGCTCCAGATAACGCCGCCGTTGGCCGGCCACGATCTCACCATCACCAGACTCCGTTTCTCGCCAGATGGTGGCTACCTGGTGAGCGTGTCACGTGACAGAAAATTCACCCTGTGGAGACGAAGCGGCGAGTTTGGGTACGAACTGGTGGAAAAGCGCGAGAAGGCGCATTCCCGGATCATCTGGGACGTGTGCTGGCTGCCGTTTGAGGGCGAGGCGGCTTACTTTGCCACAGGATCGCGAGATAAATCGGTCAGGCTGTGGCGAGTGACGCCCTCTGGAGAGGTCGAGATGATGGGTAGCGTGAAACTCGCGGCAGCCGTGACGGCGTTGGACTGCTACAGCCGCATAATTGATGGGTCGGCTCTGGTGGCCGTGGGGCTCGAAAAGGGCCAGATCTCGACGTACACGGTGGATATGCAAGGTAATTTCGAACTGGTGCAACAGCTGGAGGAAAAACACGTACCGGACGACAAGGTCGCGCGGCTGAACTGGTGTCCAAAGCCCGAGAATTCGGACAAGCTGCTGCTGGCGGCGGGAAGCGGCGACTGCTCTGTGCGGATTTACACTGTTGCGACGCGTCGATCGACGGCAGGCATCTAAGACGTATTCATCCGACTACTATTGGCTACATATGTCTAAGCAACCTTCAGAGCACCTCTATTATAATTTATTACATCGATCATATGAATTATTTACAAGCTTCGACCAAGTAGGTGACCAGGTCATTTCTGTCCTTTGCCTTCTTCAAACCACCAAATGCCATCTTGGTTCCAGGGATGTACTTCTTTGGGTTTTCCAGGTAGTCGGACATGGTCTGTTCGTTCCATTCGACACCCTTTCTTTTGTTGGCGTCGGTGTATGAGTAACCTTCGGCTTGTCCAGATTTTCTGCCGAAGACACCGTGAAGATTTGGACCAACCTTGTGTGGTCCACCCTCCTCAACAGTGTGACACTGCAAACATCTGGTCTTGAACAGAGTGGCACCCTTCTTAGCAGAACCTTTTTCGTATGGAGCTGGCATTTTCAATATATGTTATAAATAATGGATGGGTGGAAAAATTGGGAATTACTTATTTATATATGCTTGTATGCTGGTCCCGTTCGGGAGTATTTGAGTTACAATGTTTTTTTTTTCTCACCCTTGACAATTTGCACGGATATCATTGGTGGATTATATTTTCGTGCCCCTAGAGGGCTGACTGCTTGATTCAAGACTTCTTGGGGCCGTGTAGCCATGTCCGTATGCCCTGCTGTCCACTGAGCGCAAGTTCGAATCTGCTGACACTGACTTCTACCGGTTACTGATCCCTGCTCTTCCGCGGTGGTGTAAGGCTGTGCACCCCCAGTTTATTCCTCGGCTCCCTGGATTCTACGAGCTTCCAGGTAATTTTTTTCTTTTTTTCCAAAAGCGATCTCAAACGGCGAGAAAATTTCAATGACAACTTTTGGGTGTCGCGGTGCACGGGTGTCGGGAATTGCGCTGATGGCAAAAAGAAAGGCCAGTGTACCAAAATAAAAAGTGGAAAAATAGTCACATTTGTAATTTTACCATGTTGTTTGCGAAACCCAGGGTATGGATCCGGCCACTTCTGCCGCGTCCTTTTACGCCTTTCGCACTGAAACGTTCAGCTGTTAGATTTTCCTCCAACTCCGTCGCGTCTCTCGCGTCCCAGGAACAGATAGCCAATCGTGAACTTTCCAATCCGGCAGTGCAAGCATCTTTCTACAAAGCGCTGATCAACGCCAACTACCCTCATATTGTTGTTTCACGGTATGAGACTCCTGGTATTGCCACGTCTCCAGAGTGTTCCCAGCTGTATATTGACGCCTTATACAAGATGGGAGACTACCAGAAGGCCGAAGCCGTGGCTCGTTCTTTGGGCCTGAGTGTCAATGCAGGCGCGTCTCCCGGTGGCTACGGGGCTGGCTTCGGGCAGTCTGGCTACGGTACGAGAACGGATCCGATCCATGTCATTGTGACCGAGTCGCCTTTAATTACCATCTCCAAATGGATCAAGTGGCTTATTCCTGTTGGTTTGACATCTTACGGTGCGTATATGCTGTTTAATTATTTGGTTGAGAATGGCTCGATCATCAAGGGCTCGAGTGTCGAGGACAAGAGCGTGGAGGTCAGCGAGTCGACCGTGAAGTTTTCCGATGTGTGTGGTGTTGACGAGGCCAGAGCCGAGCTCGAGGAAGTCGTTGAGTTTCTGAAGGATCCTTCTAAGTTTACCGGACTCGGTGGACAGCTTCCAAAGGGTGTTTTGCTGACCGGCCCCCCTGGTACCGGTAAGACGCTGCTTGCGCGGGCCACTGCCGGCGAGGCTGGTGTGCCGTTCTTTTTCATGTCGGGATCCGAGTTCGACGAGCTGTATGTTGGTGTGGGTGCCAAGAGAGTCAGGGAACTGTTCAGCAAAGCTCGTGCTAGAGCCCCAGCTATTGTTTTCATCGATGAGCTCGACGCCATCGGAGGAAAGCGGAAGAGCAGAGACCAGGCCTACGCCAAGCAGACGTTGAACCAGCTGCTCGTTGAGCTGGATGGATTTTCTCAGACCGAGGGAATCATCATCATTGGAGCCACCAATTTCCCAGACTCCCTGGATAAGGCTTTGACTAGACCGGGAAGATTTGACAAGGTGGTGAACGTTGACCTGCCGGACGTCAGAGGCCGTCTGGCCATCCTTAAACACCATCTGAAGAACATTGCAGTCTCCAAGGAGGTCGATCCATCTGTGATCGCTAGAACAACGACAGGAATGTCTGGTGCTGCGCTCAAGAATCTCGTGAACCAGGCTGCTTTGTACGCTTCACATCAGAATGCGTTGAGCGTCAACATGTCCCATCTCGAGTGGGCCAAGGATAAGGTGTTGATGGGCGGAGAAAGAAAAACCATGGTTATGACCGAGGAAACCAGAAGAAACACCGCGTACCACGAGGCTGGCCATGCCATAGCGGCTATGTTCACCGACGGTGCTACGCCTTTGTATAAGGCAACGATCTTGCCACGAGGCCGTGCTCTTGGTGTCACTTTCCAGCTTCCTGAGATGGACAAACACGATATCACGAAAAATGAGTGCTGTGCTCGGCTGGATGTCTGCATGGGAGGCAAGATTGCTGAAGAGATGCTGTATGGCCCAAATAACGTCACAAGTGGTTGTTCTTCAGACCTCTCGTCGGCTACAAGCACAGCCAGAGCCATGGTGACGTCGTACGGCATGTCAGACAAAATTGGGCCTGTCAAGCTCTCTGACCAATGGGAGTCGTGGTCTCCAAAGCTCAGAGACATGGCTGATCAGGAAACACGCAAATTGCTGCTGGAGTCTGAGGAGCGGACTCGGAAACTGCTCCACGAACGTCGTGTCGAGCTGAAGCGGCTGGCTGAAGGGCTTCTGGAGTACGAGACTTTGACCAGAGACGAGATGGAAAAGGTTGTGAGGGGCGAGGCGATCAACAAGGCCAAGGTGGCCACCAACAAGGTGATCAAGTCGCCGTCTTCGCGTCAGGAGTTTGATATCGCGCCAGACGACCAGCCAATAGGAGTGTCTGCAAAGGCATAAATAGACTCTATCTGCATAAATTATATGATTAATGAGACCGATGCGAGCTGTGCAAGCACGGAAAAATATGTAGCTAGCGATTTATAAAACGAGATCGGGCACCGGCTCGGGCAGCAGGTTGGGAACCGAAGTGTTGGTGTGCAAGAACTGGTCGGAGGACTGTTCTGGAGGTTCCTGCTGCTCCTGAGGCTGCTCCTTGGGCTGCTCCTCCTCCTTAATTTCCACTTGCTCGTAATCCAGAACCTCGTTGAAAAGTGTTCCCAGGACTGCCCTGTTGAGCTTCACTCTGCTGATAATGGACGTCTCCAGACCGACCGTCTTGTCGAGCAGCATCAGTTTGGCAACAAAATTGCACAGCTTGCGCTCGCAGTCGTCCATCTGTGTGGTCTCGAAATTCACGTCTTCGTGTTCTGTGCGGTCCAGCTCGACCTGCTTTTCAGAAGCAACCTGTGCCTCCAAAATCAGAAACAGCTGGAGCAAGCATTCCTGGCTGCTAGAAAGAGGCTCGACAGACATTTCTGTGTCGAAAAAGTGCTCGAGGACGTCTTTGTGTGGACCAACATAGTACTTGAGCAGGTTCAGCGTGGTGAACACGTCCAGATACAGGTTGCAGACGGCGTACCAAATATCGATGTTTTGTGCACGTGACGCAACCAGGTCCAGCAAAGCACGTTTTACCGGTGCCAACGGCGACAGGTGGCGGTGCAGTTCGTCGAGCACCTCAGCGTCGGGATCGACCTTGAGCTTGTTGGTCAGCGTCTCGAGGTTTTCCGCCACTAGGAAAAGCAGACACGTGAAATACTCTGATGCCTTGTTGGACGCGACCAGCTCGTCCAGCTCGTCAGACAATGGCAGCGACGCTGTGCAAGAGCAGATGTCGTCGATCAGCGGCATGAGTTGAGTCAAAAGTCGCGATTTGGTGGCTGAGCCACGTAGCAGCATCATTTTGCACAGCGTGCTACCAACCTGCAACCGGTCGGCGTCCTTGATCGCTAGAGTGAGCTCCTCGGCGAGTTCCTGCGCCACCTCGTCAACTTTCAGCGAGACCTGCACCATGTCAATGTTGAGGTGCTCGAAGAGTTGCGCGAATTGGAAATTAATCGAGTTGAAGTACTCCGGAGACTCTGGAGCGTAAGAGCTCAGCTGGTCCTCTCTAAACGTTTTCAGCAGCTGTGCCGTAATTTTAGTCTCCGTTTCTGTCTGGTCCAGTGTCTCGCAGACCCTATGTTTGACCAATTGGGTGAACAGACCCAGAAACACTGAGAGATGCGTTTTCTTGCACACGTCGAATAGCAAGTCCAGCTGTGCAACAAGCTTGCCCAGATACAGCATTCTGTCGTTGGTCTGGTCGTCCTGCTTTTTTGCGAACAGCTGCTGGTGGAATTCGTTCGCGTCCGCCTCGCAATAGATGGTTGCTGCTGCGGAAATCAGACCAAGCACGAAAAACGCCTGTGCGTGAGACAGCTCTATGTGGTGCTGGATTTTGGCAATTTCCGCGTTGGCAGAGAAGTCGTACAAGATATAGCCACACAGTGTCTCGAGCGCGCCGTCGGCGTGGTACCGTGGCAGAGCAAACAGGTTCTGACAAACGCGAACGAGTTTGGCTGGCCGAGAGTTGTAAGACCGCATCTTGATAGCTTTGGTGGCCACATCCGAGTTGTAATACATTTCTGCCTCGACAAGCATCTGCGACATCCCGTGGAACTTGAGCAGGTCTTTGACGCTGAGCTCAAGGGAGCCTGCCACCTTCTCAACAGTAGCATTGTTGGACTCCATAAACTCGGCCAGCGACTGCGCCTCAACTGTGGCGATGAACTTGGCCAGGTCCTTGACCAGTCGCGTCGCGGTCCGGCCCTTTTGGAAGATGAGGTCCTCGTCATCGACAAAAATCAAACTAGCAACCTTGACAACCTCCTCTGTATCCAAGAAGCCCATCCTGGAGATCTCCGTCAAAACCTGCACACAGTTGCTGCGGACCCGTGCATCTGTCTCGTAAAAGGCCATCTCAATGAGTTTTTCTTTAAAGTGGCTGGTGAACTGCCGCAGAGCGGCCACCATCGACTGCGTTTGGTACAGTCTGAGCACCACGCGCAGCACCTCGTGCCGCACCGCCACGTCCTGGTCCGTCATCAGCCACCCCAGATACCGAATGTATATGCTCTCTAAGAAATACTCGGGGTACAGGTCGATCCAGTAGCTCAAGTGTCTCACGCACTCCTGGCGGATCTGCGCATCCGTGTCTCTGTATCTGTGAGCAAATGTGGTGTTGAATATGTCTTGGAGAAACGTCTCCAGATAGGTCTTGTGCTCGCTGTATAGTTGGCAATTCTGCTCGATCTGCGCAGCACGGTCTTTGGCAGCGGCAAGCTTAGCACCTGAACGGGCTTTTTTCAGCAAATTGTCGATGTTGCGTTGTTCGTTCGTCAGCTGGCGTTGTGCGCGGTTCACAGCCGTCGAGGTTTGCGCCACAAGCGAGCACAGCGTCGTTTCCATCTGCAGACACAAAAGCGTGGAAGCATACCGCAGAGGTCGCGCGTTCGAGGTGGTGAGGGCTCCCAGCCACGTGACCAGCAGCTCCACCAGCTCGTCGTCCTCATACAAAGTGCCCTTTTCGCTCGCTGCCACCAAAACCTGGTCCACAAACTCCAAACACCTCTTTTTAAAGTCTTTCCAGTTGGCGTTCTTGGAGTTGCCAGCAAGACCCAAAGGATACTCGTGGGAGCCCTGTTTTTCAAACATCGCCTGAATCTCTGCTACCGTTTCCTTGGACGAGTCTGCGTTTGCCACGTCATGCTTCGCCACAAGCGTCACGCACCCGCACGCTCTCAAAACAAAGTTCAGCATATCCTTGACTGCGTCGTACTTATCCTCCTCGAACTGGTCGAGCCACGAGGCGGCCAGCTCGGCTACGGCGACCTCTGCGTGGCTCAGCGTCTCAAAAATGGGATTTTCCTGGAAATTCTCGAGCTGGTCGATGTTATTTGGCACGGTTTTGCGTCTCTTGGGGCCGCGTGAAGTCTTGTTTGGTTTACGCGTAGCACGCTTGTTTGGCTGGTACTCGTTCTCCTTCTCGCTTGCCCCACTCGACTCGCTGTCAGACAGGTCGACTGAGTAGTTCAGCGACCGGTCGGGATGGGCCTGAAGCCGGGTGGATCTTCTTGTAGACATGACGCGAAAATAAAAAAATGGAATTGGGGCAATAAATATAAATAAACACCAAACACCACTCACTATTTAGCCAGCGACTCGCCGTAGAGCAAAGATCTAAAAAAAGGACACATCTCAAGCTGATGGGTATTGGGAGCATGTAAGGTGGGCTAAGGATATCCCTGTGCTTACTGGCTGCGCCCACGCTCTCCCAAGATGCGCTCTTTGATCGACCGTTGCTGCGTTTCCGTCGCAAGATTCTGGTTCTCTGCCGGCTCCGAGGAGCCAGAAATCGTGTTGTACGTCTGTTCGCGGTAAAACTCCTTCACGTCGTCCGGAGTCAATTTAATGGTGGTGGGCTCTCTGCGCAACATGATATAAAATGGCTTTTAGTTTTTTTTTCTTTACTTTTATTTATGCTTTGTTCAAGACTGGTTTCGGTGTTTACGCTGCTGGCCCTTGGGGCGGCATTTTCATTTTCCAAGCCGGCAATTCGTTCAAAGCCGCTGTTCCATGAGGATGGTGTGCTCGATTTGGACACCCTGAACCAGGAGCTGGACCATTGCAAAGTGGTTCGGGAGCTGAACCAGCACTTGGAGCAAGAGGAGGAGGGTCTTAACTACGCAGAGTACGTTTTCTCGAAACTGTTCCCATTTGGACCTGCGGGTAATGCTCTACTGGCAACGACCTACATCTCGGGGCCTCCGAACTTCATTCTCGCCCTTATCCCGGCCAACATCGACGTCTCGTCCTTGTCTCTTCTGGTCAGCTTTGCCATCGGAGGACTTCTCGGAGACGTGTTTCTGCACCTTCTGCCACAAACGTTTCTGGGCGAGCCATTGGAACACAAGGCGTCATTTGTTCTGGTTGACGGAAAACGCAACTGTGTGCTTGGGTTCTGCATTTTCGTTGGTTTTCTGTTTTTCTTTGTGATTGACAAAAGTTTGCGCATTCTCGAGCACACTCGCGAGGGGTCGGCGCACTCGCACTCGCATACCCTTGCAGAGCCTGTGGAGAAACCAAAGTCGAAAAAAAAGAAGGGGAAAAAGAACATAGAAACCAAAGCACAGCCTGTGGTGGCGAACCCGAACGCCAGTGTCAAGACGTCTGCGTATCTCAACCTGATTTCAGACTTCACGCACAACATCACCGACGGTCTTGCAATTGCGGCCTCGTTCTACATCTCCAAGACTGTGGGCTGCACTACGACTCTGGCTGTGTTTTTCCACGAAATCCCACATGAAGTGGGGGACTTTGCGCTTTTGATCCAGGGCGGGTTCACCAAGTGGCAGGCCATGAGCTCACAGTTTGTGACCGCAATTGGCGCTTATATGGGCACATTGATCGGCATAGGCATCCAGACGATGTCGGGCGAGGCCAGCAAGCTGGCAGCGCTCAATTCGTCCGGTCTCTTTGGCACTACTGTTCAGATTGGGGACCTCACTTTGCCCTTCACTGCAGGCGGATTCCTGTACATTGGTTTCAGCGTGGTGCCGGAGCTGCTGGAACTGGGCCAGGGAACTACAAGACTACAAGAATTGCGCAAGTTTGTGAGCCAGATCTTCTTCATCTTTGTGGGCATCGGCTTCATGTTTTTGATTGCGTGGAACGAATAGATGTTAGGACAATATATATAAAATTTTTCTCAAGTGGGTATATCTGCAATTTAAGGAGCCCGATCTTTTTTCCCACTGTGCACATCGGTACTAATAATTACTATCTCTGTTCTCCCAGACCGCAAATGACTGTGTATAAATACAGATTCGAATGGTATGTGCGTGAAGAGACACCGGATCAGCGAGTTTTTCAGTCGGATCGCAGCTTTTTCCCTAATGTTGATTCTCTCTGATAACAGCTGATCAAATCAAGATATCGACTTCTAACCATCTACAGGCTGTCCAGCGACGCCAAACAGGTGTACGTCACTGGATCGTTCGACGGTTGGTCCAAAACGTGCCAGCTGGACAAAACAGGCGTGGGTTTTGCCAAGGTTGTTGAGTTGCCCTTTGAAAAGATCGTCTTCAAGTTTGTTGTGGACAACCAATGGTACACTTCTGACAATGACAAGAAGGAGTACGACGAGTGCGGGAATCTCAACAACGTGCTGTATCCGGACGATTTAATTAGATACGACAACGAGGATGGCGCCAGCGAGTTCACGGCCATCTCGTACCCAGACGCAGACGGCGACGACGCTGGCCGTGTGGCGCACGCGCAGCGCGAGGTCCCTGACGAGGAGGACCTGGGCAGCTCCACGCAGGTCACACTGAAAGACGAGTATCCGATGTCCGAGTCCAGCGGACACGGGATTTTCGCGCGCCTGCGCTCGTTCTTCAAATAGTGGTGTGTCGACATGTTGGTTGCTTTATTTAGGCTTTGCTTTTGTGCCTAATGGCACTCATTGGTTTGCCCATTTGGCGAACTCGGCTCTTTTTTGTTTCAATGCCAGGTATCCCGGTCGGTTGATCAGTTCCTCAAACAACGCCACTCCTTGCACCTCCAGCTCTTCAGTGGCCTTTTCCATATAAATGTACTTGAGCGGCTCCTGTTTGTATCCCCTCACCTCCTTGCCTGTGACGATGTCGTGCTTGGGGCTTGGACGCGGAACCCCGGCCAAACTGCCCACCAGAACCAACACGCACGCCAAACAGGCTTCCAGCTGGACGTCCAACGGCAGAGCGTCGCCCAGCTGGTGGAATTGGTACGAAGAGTACGCGGAATTGGCAAACAAAATGGCCGCTCCAACGTAACAGACGGAAGAAAACATTTTAAAAAAAAGTGGTGAAAAATAATTAATTTCATCATGTTGGCTTCCAGAACACTGTCCAAACAATTTACCCGCACCTATGCCACCAAGGCGCTGAAAATTGGTACGTAATGCTTTAATATTGCCCGCTAACATTGCAGGCCTGATTCCTGGAGACGGAATCGGCAGAGAGGTCATTCCTGCTGGAAAACAGGTGCTGGAGGCTCTTCCTTCAGACCTCGGTCTCAAGTTCGAGTTCACCGAGCTCAAAGCCGGATTCGAGCTGTTCAAACAGACAGGAACTGCGCTTCCTGACGAAACCGTCGAGGTTCTGCAAAAATCGTGCGACGGCGCTCTTTTCGGAGCAGTCTCGTCTCCAACAACCAAAGTCGAGGGCTACTCGTCGCCGATCGTGGCTTTACGCAAGAAGCTCGGTCTGTACGCCAACGTGAGACCTGTGAAGAGCGTCGAAGGCATTGGCCGCCCTGTCGACATGGTCATCGTGAGAGAAAACACCGAAGACCTCTACATCAAGGAGGAAAAATTATACGAGAAAGACGGCCAGAAGGTGGCCGAGGCCATCAAGAGGATCACCGAGCGGGCCACCACCAAGATCGGTGCCATTGCGTTGGAGATCGCCTTGCAAAGACAGGCTATCAGAGAGCTTGGCGGCGCCAGTTTGCACTCGCAGCCGACGCTGACGGTGACTCACAAGAGTAACGTTCTGTCTGTGTCTGACGGACTTTTCAGAGAAACCGTGAGAAAATTGTACGACAGCAACCCGGCCAAGTATGCTGGCGTCCAGTACAAGGAGCAGATCGTCGACTCGATGGTGTACCGGATGTTCAGAGAGCCCGAGATTTTCGACGTTGTTGTGGCTCCAAATCTGTACGGAGACATTTTATCCGATGGAGCTGCTGCTCTCGTGGGGTCTCTGGGACTAGTTCCTTCGGCCAACGTCGGCGACAACTTTGCCATCGGCGAGCCCTGCCACGGCTCGGCCCCAGACATCGAGGGTAAGGGCATTGCCAACCCAATAGCCACGATACGGTCCACCGCGCTGATGCTCGAGTTCATGGGCCACCCGGAGGCGGCTTCCAAAATCTACGCTGCCGTCGATGCCAACCTCAAGGAGGACGTCGTCAAGACGCCAGACCTGGGCGGAAAGAGCTCTACCCAGGAGGTGGTTGCCGACGTGATCAGAAGATTGTAGCTAAATTAATACACTGCTAATCTCTTTCAAAAGCCACCGCGAAAAACCCGATTCCGCCGTCTTCCTGCGGCACCGTGCGGATACAGCCGTCCGCACACCGCTGCGGGTCGTCCAGGGCGCTGAACTCCTCCACAAGTCCGCGCCGCGGCCACGCCGGTATCACGTCTTTCCTGCTACACATTCGCCAACCTTGCGCCCGCACCGTGCTGTCCAGCAGCAGGTCCACAACCACCTGCTCGTTCTCCTGCGCGTGCACCGAGCACGTCGAGTAGACGATTTTCTTTGCGTTGGGGAAACGCATCGCGTGCTTCATGATGGCTACCTGGAACCCAGCCAATTTTTTCAGCCGCTCCTGGGTGTGCTCCTGGGTGTCGTTTTCCTCGAATCCGCGGCCAAAAATGCCGCTTCCCGAGCACGACGGGTCTACAAGCAGTGCTGTCACGTCCGAATATTTGCTGGGCTCGGTCTGGGTAAAGTCGCCCTGTTGTATTCGGACACACCCTAATGCTCCCGCCTTTTCGCACATCTTGTGCAGTGTCTTGGCTCTTTCCGGGTTTTTCTCGAAAGCAATGATCGACTCCGGCGAGTTACCCAGAATAGCGGCCAGATGTGTAGTCTTGTTGCCTGGAGCAGCACACGCGTCGATTATCTTATCCTTGTCTGGTCTGGGAGCCAGGATAAATGCGGGGAAGCAGGACGCCCGATCCTGGATGATTACGTCACCAGACTGATAGATGGGCAGGGAAACAAGCGCCTCGCGCGGATGAACACCAAATAGGTCTGGCACGTACTTGTCGTGGTAGATGGTACCCTTTTGTATGTCGGCGACGCAATCGACGCGTCGGAGATGTGCCAGGGCAGCGAGGACGGCGTTTGTTGTCGTGCGTACGAGGTTCGCACGGAACCATCGCACAGGCGTGTCGTCGTCCTCGACGAGGTCCTCCAGCGTCCGCACGCCGTGCTTCAACTTGAGCTTTGTGAGCTCGGCATGCAATCTGGTCTTGTTGCGGATCACGGCGTCTTTAAGTGGGTGGTGTTTGCTGTGGATTCGGCCGCCTTTCGACAAAAGCAGGTCGTGGACAAGCAGCAGCGCCAGCGGCTGTGTCAGCTTGCTTTTTTTCTCGAGCTCCAGCAACCTGGATTTGCGGATGATCTGGGCCAGAAACGGCCGGTACTTGAGCGTTGACAGCACGAGTGCGTACACGTGTTTGGGATCGGACTGAATTTTGCCGTCGCGTGCCGCACCAAAAACGCGGTTCTGCAGCGACCCGCTCTTGGGGTCGTCCAAAAACCGTGAGGCCTCGTAGTAGAGCTTCATATGAAGATGAAATATTTTTTTTATTTTTTCTCTGGCGGTGTAGTATGGCGAGATTTAATACACAAAACATTATTTTCTATATTATAATCCCATGGAGACAGCTTTCAACGGAGACCGCAAACGCCCTCTTGACAGCATCAAACCGGAGGACCAGGATGTTCCCGCGAATCTGGTGATTGTGCCGGAGCGCGAGCCGCAATTGGCGTACGTGCCTCTGAAAACAGGCCTTTGCTACGACGTGCGCATGCGGTACCACGCCAAGATATTTACGTCGTACTTCGAGTACATCGACCCGCATCCGGAGGACCCGCGCCGGATCTACAGAATATACAAGATCCTGGCCGAGAACGGGCTCATTACCGACCCGACGCTGTCGGGACGCGACCAAATTGGAGATCTCATGGTTAAGATTCCTGTGCGTGAGGCTAGCGCGGAGGAGATCTTGCTCGTGCACACACCGGAGCATCTACGGTTTATAGAGAGCACGCAGCAAATGACCAAGGAGGAGCTTATGGAACACACAGACAAAGGTGACTCTGTCTATTTCAACAATGACTCGCTGCTGAGTGCCAAGCTCTCTTGCGGAGGAGCTATTGAGGCGTGCAAGGCTGTGGTGGAGGGCCGTGTTAAAAACGCCCTGGCAGTGGTGCGGCCACCAGGCCACCATGCGGAGCCCGACGCGCCCGGCGGGTTCTGTTTGTTTTCGAACGTTGCTGTCGCCGCTAAGTCCATTCTTGCAAGCTACCCAGAGTCGGTCCGCCGGATCGTGATAGTCGACTGGGACGTGCACCATGGTAACGGCACGCAGAAGGCGTTTTTCGACGACCCCCGCGTGCTGTACATCTCGCTCCACAGGTACGAGCACGGCAAGTACTATCCGGGCACCAAGGCTGGCGGGGCAGACCAGGTGGGTTCTGGCGCGGGCGAAGGCTTCAACGTCAACATCCCGTGGCCCGTGGGCGGCGTCGGCGACGCAGACTACATGTACGCGTTCAACAGGGTGATCATGCCTGTGTGCCACGAGTTTGCGCCGGATCTCGTGATTATATCGTCGGGATTTGACGCTGCCGACGGCGACATCATCGGCGGGTGTCACGTGTCACCAGCCGGGTACGGCCACATGACCCACGCACTCAAGAGTCTCGCCAAGGGTAATTTGTGCGTCGTTTTGGAAGGAGGCTATAATCTGGACGCGATCGCCAGCAGCGCCCTGCGCGTGGCCAAGGTGCTGCTGGGCGAGCCGCCCGAGGAGCTCAAGTCGGTGCAGCTGAAAACAGAAACGATCGAGGTGATCGACGACGTGATCAAGATCCAATCGCAGTACTGGAAGACCCTCAAGCCGGGCTACGACGGCCAGGATTTCTCGAAGCCCAACATCATGGGAGACTACGACGGGCTCGTGGAAAAGCTGGGTGCGGTGTCGTTCGAGGAAATGGCCGGCAAGGGCCTCAAAGTCAGCGATGCGATCCGCGCGTACCAGAAAGAAGAGCTTTTTGAAAAACGACATTTCGTGCCGCTTCCTATTCTTACGGAGAAACTACCACATTCGTCCTCGCTCAGAGACCTGGTGCTGTGCTCGCCCGATGTCTACGAGACAGACAAGCTTGTGATTGTTGTGCATGACTCGGCGCGCGTGTGGGCCCGCAGAGACCCGGTAACGGGCACGCTGGACTCGGCTTCGGCGGTCGTGGTGGATCAGTCTCTGCGGTTCTTGGACTGGGCGCTGGAGCAACAGTACGGCGTTGTGGACATCAACGTGCCGCTGTCCATCTCTGGTAGCGAGGACGCGCAATATAACAACATCAGCTCCGCGCAGGACGTGCTGCTGTATCTCTGGGACCACTACATCCAGTACTTCAAGGTGAGCAAGATCGCGTTTGTTGGTATTGGCGATGCATACAACGGCGTGGTACATCTATGCGGCCACCGTGACGTGCGCGGTCTGGTGAAGTGCTCGGTGAACTATCTGGACCGTGCTACTGCATTGCGCGCGATCGTCTCGTCGATCGACGAGTCGGTGGTCGACTGGTTCTACCAGAACTCGCTTGTGTTCACGGCGGCGAAACACCCATGCTGGGGCGACGTGGAGAAAAACGGGAGCAGCAAGCGGCCGCGCAAGAAGTACGGCCGTGTCTTGCGCGCCGACGTGGAAGGTGTGGACAATATCATTGAGGAGAGGTTAGAAGAAGGCTGCGACTTCATACAGGACTCGTTGGAGGACTACGATAGCGATAGCGAGTGAAAGTGGATATGCCGTTTGTGTTCTATAATGCACTGGGAAACTTCTCGTAGAAGCGTCTTTCGAGCGCCTCGACGTCGTCGTCGCTGAAGCTGTTGCGGGCGGGCGGCAGCGGCTTCTGCGGCGTCGACTTGTTGGAGCTCAGATGCTCTGGTTTCTTTGGCCGAGGAGGCGGTTTCTTCGAGCTTGTCTTTGCTCTGTTCCGCAACGGGGTTGACGGGGTTGACGAGCCGACGCTGTTGACGCGACTCAGCACCGCGTCCTGGTAGCTCAGCTTCTCGCCCGCATCTCTGTAGGACGACGACGCAGACAGCGGCGAGTAAGGGGACGTGGCTATCGAGCTTGGCGTGGCAAACGGCGGCGGCGAGGTGTTTGTCGTTCTCGACGGCGTGATCACCTTGATCGGGATCTTGTTGACCTTGGGCTTCGCCGGCGGCGGCATGTTGCTATTGTCGGTGTATTTGCCGTACCCGTGTGCCGTTTTCGCCGGAGGTGGCGACGGCTTGCGGTTCAGGAGCATGTGCACTCTACGTTGGATCGAGTTTGACCGCTTTGGTGGCCGGTGCGCAGGCACGCTTGGCTTTTCTGCGCGCGGCGTGGTCTGCTCGTCCTCGATGAACGTTTCCGACGCTGAGGAGCTCGAGTTCGAATGCGCGCGGTGGATCGTCGTGAACTCCTGCAGCGAGTCTGTGCTGCGGTTCGAACCGGACGCGTTTCTGCTCTTTATGGAAGAGTAGGATGGGTTTCTGCTCGATTCGCGCGATCTGCCGCCGGTCAAAAGGTCCTTGATCGATGAAATGCTCGACCGCTTGTGGTGGCCGGTGTTGGATGTCTTCAGGCTCGCTAAGCGCGACTTGAAGCTGTCGCCTGTTCTCTGAGGAGTGGCGCTCTTGATGAAGTCGACAGAGCTGTTGATATTGTTGTGGTGGTTTGGAGACAGCTCCACCACCTCCTCTCTAGTCATGCCGTCGATGAGGTCAGCGTGCGACACGGGGCCAGACGCTGCTTTGTGTAGACTCGCGGCAGACATGCTGAGCGGCCGCGACTTGGACGAGGACCTTCTGGTGACTTCGGGACGCGCAAACGACTGCGCAAGATCCGACGTGGATTTGTTATTGGATGCCGTCACAAACTTGGTTTTGTCGAGCCTTGCAAACGGGTCCTGCGCAGTCAAGTTGTGCGCCATGATTTTCTCAGAGTAGGACTTCTGCAACACATGCTCCCTGGAAGAGTTGCTGGCCATATCTGTTTTCACCGAAGGACCAACCAGCTCTTCTGTCGTGGCAGGCCGACGCGGCATGGGCGGCGGTTGCACAGCATGGAGGTTTCTGGTCTGGTCCGTGGTCTTGGCGATGTTCGGGTACGGAACACCGCGCATCTTGCAAACTTCCTCCAACAGCTGGAAAACGGTCGGTCTCTTCTTCGGGTCTACCATCAGACATCTCGCAATGACGTTCTTCAATCTTGTGCTGTACGGGGGAGAGGGAGGGAACGAGTACAGGCCGTGAAGAATAGCATACTCGCCGCCCCCACCGTTGCCGTTGCCGTTGATGGCATTCTGCTCGAAAGGTGTTGTGTAGTAGCAGAGCTTATATAAAAACACGCCCAACGCCCAGATATCCGACTTCTCGTCGATCGGCTGTCCTTTGTACAGGTCTATCATTTCCGGACACCGGTACTGGGGTGTAGTGTGTTTCATTATGTCGTTCTGGAGAATCTCGAACTCCTCAACGTTGCGGGGCGGTCTCAATGGTGGCGACGCGGACCCGAAATCGCACAACTTGTAGTGTCTGTCGCTGGAGAGCAGCACGTTTTCGATCTTGATGTCCTTGTGGATTAGCGGGGGATTCAGAGCGTGCATGTGCGCCACACCCTCCGTGATCTCACCCATGATCTGCAGAATCTCCGGCTCCTTCAGCTTGTTCACCAGCCGCGTGTTCATGTAATCGATCAAGCCGTTTCCAGAACAATACTCCATCAGCAGGAACACCTCGTATCCGACCCCATTGGCCATCCGCGAAGCGTGCGAGTCAATGTACGACACAATGCAGCTCTTCCCCTGGAGACGTCTCATGGCGTCGACCTCCTGGCGAAGCACGTTCAGCGTTGGCTTGTCGGGCACCGCCACTCTTTTCAGACATGCTATTTTCTGATTTCGCCAGGCAGGACTGATACGGCAAGTGTACACGTGCGCAAAACCTCCCTGGGACAAGTACTTCTCAATGACAACTTTGTGCGAGCCCACAGTCAACACGGTGCCCGGTTCATATACCAAGGGCGGGGCTCCAGCGGTCATGGCTATTCGAGGCCGAAATCACACTTGAAAAATATACAAAAAGGAAAGCTGTGGGCGTCTTGCTACTGCCGCCTGGTATTCGGGCCTCGGTTAGTTTGATTCAGTGGTTCACAAGCGGCAATTCCCTCTAGTGTGCTTGCAGCCTCAACCACCTTTAATGTACAGCTGGTTTTATTTTTTAACATTTAAAAACAACTCAGAAAAAGTCGTGCGCGCACACACACCTTTTCCTCAGTACGGCCTGAATCTCTTGGAGTCCTTCTTGTGCTTCTTTTTCCTGTGTTTTCTGTCCGACTCGGGCTTTGGCTCCTGCTGCTTCGTCTCAACGGGCTGTGGCGCGCTGCTGAAGAACGCAGCGCTCGTATCCGCCAGAAGGCACGGTGTTTTCCACAGCTTCACCAAATTGTCCTCGCCGGCAGTGTACACCATATTATCCAGCACCAGCGCGTCACGGACCACCTCCTCGCCATGTGCATCGGGGAAATATACGGGTGACTCGCCCGAAAAGTCAAAGTTCTCCACAGCAGGGTCGAAACGGTGCATCTTCAGCTCGTGCTTCGAATTCGACCCGCAGAAAACATAGCCCGGAGCCTGCAGATCCACCACGTACTCGCACCCCCACTTTTCGCGAACGTCGCCAAACTGTTTTGGCTGTGGCTCGATGTGCTCCTCGGTGCGGTGGTCGTTCAGCTCGTGCACCGCAAACGTCTCCATGTGCGACAGAGTGTATATTCTGTTTGGCGAGAGAAAGTTTGCGGAATGGATCGACGTGAAGTTGATCACCTGCAGCAAAGCGTCGTCCTCCTCGGGCACCGAAAGATCGTAAATATTCACGTAGCCGTCTGTCGACCCGCTCAAAAGCAGCTGTCTGCTGGACGGGTGGAACCGCGCCTCGGTGATGTCGTCGTTGTGCGAATCAATAAACGTCCTCAACGGCTGCGTTGGCTTGCGCAGGTCCCAGAGAATCAGCTCCGAGTCGGACCCACTGAGCTCTGTTCCTGCTACCAACAAGTTGTAGCTGGTGTCGAGGGATAGAAACGGCAATTGGCGGGCGTTGGAAAGCATGAGTGTCTCGCGGTTCGTTCTCGCGTCCCAGACCTTCACGGTACCGTCGTTTGAGCAGCTCGCAAAGGTGTACGAGTCCAGGGCCCTGATTTTATTGATGGAGCGTGAATGTGCACTGAGGGTGCTGGTACTTTGAAGGGTTTTGGATAGAACGTGGATCTTACCACTGGATGCTGCAACCGCAACATTATCGGCCACAGCAGCCAAACCCAGCGCCCAATCGTTGCAATTGAAACTGGAAACGAAAGCTGCCTTCATGGAAAACAGGTGAAAAAATTCGCAGCACAGCCGGGTTATAAGCTCTAGCCAGACATACCATAACTTGGGTATCTGCCACCATTTGGCAACCGAAAAACGACGACAATGGTGAGAAAAATTCCAGCTCTCACATAGTGCTTTTCAGGTGCGCCGTATCCCATCTATGCCCTGAATGCCTCCCGTTTTTCAATTGCCTCACCGTAGAATTATTTTTTTTTTTATTTTCTTAACTCATGTCTGGCAAAATGCAGCCCTCCCAGGAGGAGATGGAGCTGGAAACCCGCAAGTTCAAGAGCACGGCAACACCCGAGCTCCAGGAAAACTTGTATGTGCACGAAGTGTACAACGACATCGCGCAACACTTCTCGCAGACCAGGTACAAGCCATGGCCTATGGTGGCCCAGTTTTTGGGATCCATCCGCGACTACTCGCTTGGTGTGGACGTGGGATGTGGTAACGGCAAGTACCTGACTGTGAACCCGAGACTGTACATTGTGGGGTCAGATTACTCGACTGGATTGCTCGACCAGGCTGTGCAGCTTCACCAAAGAGAATTGAACGATTTGGTGGTAGCAGATGGTATGATGCTGCCCCACGAGACCAAAAGATTTGATTTTGCCGTGTCGATTGCGGTGGTGCACCATTTCAGTACGCAAGAGCGGCGCGTCGCGGCGATCCGGGAAATTCTACGGGTGGTGCGCTGCAGCGGCCGTGTCCTGGTATACTGCTGGGCTTTGGAGCAGGAGAAGTCTCGCCGCGGGTACAGAGAAGGGATGGAGCAGGATATATTGGTGCCGTGGGTGACAAAAGATGGAACAACTCGAATGAGATATTATCATTTATATAAGAAAGGCGAACTGGAGGAGGATTGTGTGGCCGCTGGAGGAAAAATTGTGCAGAGCGGATATGAGAAAGACAACTGGTGGGTAATCGTTGAGCGGATATAGATGGGGTAAAATGACTATATGACTATATTGACACGTTGGGGCTGTTTGCGTAAGTCATTGCCGTGCGACGTTCGTGTTTGCCTTTCTTCATGAGCTGTTTCAGAGCCACCCCGTCGAGCGGGTCGAGCAGCTCGAACGAGCACAGCAGCTCTTCGGAAACAGACATGACGGCCCCCCAGTTGTCGAACTCGCCGCAGTAGTTCGGGGCAGAGAACACGGTCACCAGTGACCGGTCATTGAAGAACTCGTATCCGTCCTCGACCACCATGTGTGCACGCACTACAAGGTCGAATTGGAACTTGTTGAGGAACTTGTTGATGGCCACCTTGTTGAAACAGTAGGAAACTCCTCGCTCGTTGTCCTCCCATTCGTTCGGAGTATCTGCTGGGTCCGACCAGAGCAGATCGTTCAGCAGACCAAAGTCCGGCACGTCTGTTGGTCGTTTGATCATTCTTATTTCGTCCATGGAATTCAGCACCGGCGACAGCCCGCCGTGCACACAGAAGATCTTGGAGGCCACTATTGCTGCGATCGGCAGCGTGTTGAAAGTGTCGATAAAGATTTTCCATGTCTTAAGGTTTGCTCTTCGCTTGCATTCGTCGTAGAACCCGTAGGCCCTTGTTATCTGCGCACACTCGTGGTTTCCTCGTAGCAGGAAGAAATTCTCTGGGTACTTGATCTTGTAGCACAGGAGCAGCAAGATGGTCTCCAGCGACTGTTTGCCCCGGTCCACGTAGTCTCCCAGGAACAGATAGTTGCTTGCTGGCGGAAACCCGCACTTGGTGAAGATGCGGATCAGATCGCTGTACTGGCCGTGCACGTCGCCAACAATCTTGACGGGCGCGCTGAGCTCCAGCAGCGTGGGCTGGCTCAGAAATATTTCTCTTGCCGTGGAGCATATCATCTGGATTTCCGAGTTTTTAAGGCATATCGCCTTGGTTCTCTTGCCCGAGTAGCCTGCGTCCAGCAGCCGCTGGATCAGGTCTTCGATGTCCAGCACGCCTTGCTCCTGCGTCGATGCTGCCTCCGGAGCCCTGTACGACCCCGACTTGAACGAGCTCGCCATTGGCGATACCTGCGGATTTGGAATATCGATCGATTGTGGTTGATTGGGCACGTTCGAGGCGAGCGACGAGGACGAGTTCACACGCAGTATCGGCGACTTTGGCGGCACAGACAGCATGCTGGGCGGAATGTCGATGTTCAGGTTCTCCATCTCGTCTGTGAGCTCTGTGAGGCTCTTGGACGAGTCCCGTCTGTTTATTATGGGGGACGACGAAACTGTCTTGAAGCTGGCCGTCTCGCTCGCCGACCGCCGCGACCGAATTGAGCGGGCGCTCCTCGCGGACGTTGATGTGTCTGTCCTGGAAAACTGCGGATTTTTGGGCTTGGACGGCTCGTTACCCATTTTAGTTGTGATAAACTTTTTGTAAAAAAACTTGAGGGGCAAGGAAAGAAAGAATAAGTCGCCTGGATTATTTTATTGAGCTGGCTACGAAACGAACGGTAAAAACCAACTATTTGCACCCAGCCATATTAACACTTGCCCTATTCTACAACGATACTTCCGTAGACCACCTCTTCTAGTCTGTCCTTGCGCTGTCGCTACAAGTCACCGTCCTTAGCCTTGTGTGAGACTCTTGTGCCAGAGCCCCAAGTTGTCACAATTAATTCTCCAGCTCTGCCTGCCTCTTTTAGCTTTCAGGCTGTGCAGAAAATTTTATCCATGCTTTCTCGTGTGCGACCTTGCGCCCCTACTGTCAAGCAGTCGGCAGCTGCGCTCGCCAGAATTGACCCCGTGTACTACGCAGACCACGTGCGGTACCACGCCGGGCTGGAACCCGCGAGCGAGCAGGCACACGACCTGCGCGAGCTGTACACCGTCTTCGGCAAGTTGACTCACCAGGCAGCTCTTCCACGACAAACCAAGGTTCGCTACTATAACGAGCTGATTCGGACGTTTGCGCGATTGGATTTCGGTGTCTACGCCTGCACACAGCCGCATCTGGCCCAAATCAACGGCAAGCTTGAGCCGAGCACTCTCAAAGAGGTCTTGCTGGCCAATCCGGGCCGCAGATGGTCCAGCTACGAGATCTTTGAGCAACACCGCACCTCGGACCCCGAACTGAAGCACATAGTGCTGGAGCGGCTTGTTAATGGCGAAAAGGCTGACACAGAGCCCGAAGATATCCAAATCTCCTTTTTCAAAGCATACAACATCCTCAAGCTAGAGGCCGATAGTTTCGCCGATCTGGGCGAAGAGTCCCAGAAACGGCTGGTCACCGACTTCTTTGCTCTCGAACTGGATTCTTATATTGCTTCCCTGCCCCTGGACGTGGGTGTCAGAAAACAAGTGCTGGAGCTGCCAAACCTCACGCCCAAACAGCGACTGAGTTTGCTGACGCTCGATCTGCCGAATTCGGTGCTTATCGAGAATCTCGTGCCGATTGCCGGCGCGGGAAAGCTCCAAACATCCGAAAACGAGAAACTCATGCACCAAAAGCTCGGCTCTCTGCCGCTTCTGGACCCTGAAAAATGTGCCACCAAATTAATCAGTCTTCTCGAGCCTCTACCTCAGGCCGCCGCTGCCATTGCAAAGGCGCGCGGGTTTTTCCTGAACAAATCGCAGCCAGTGGCCACCGCCCCGCCGGCCGCCAGTCTGGACGAGATCAAGTTCCTCATCGGCGCACACGAGACCGTGCGCACGGGAGCTGCGCCTGTTTTTGTCGAGACGGCCAGTCCCCAGATGGCGTGCGCAAAAATTCTGCTGCACGCGTGGACCGGCAGCCAGGACGAGGCGTTGGATGAGTACAACGCCGCAATGGCCAGGTGGGGCGCAGAAACTCACGCCAGCAGCCGGCTGGTGTACTGTCTCGTCCTTGCTGCGCTGCTACAAAGTGACGTGCAACTGGCGCAATACATCCGCAAAAGAGCGGTCGACGCGGGCCTTGTGACCAAGGACGTGGATAGACGCGTCTCCGACACGATGAAAGCCTACGGCGACCTCGTCGAGGAGAAGAAAGATGTGCGCCAGGGCCTCCGCGACCAAGTGTTATCCACCCTCGTGCATTTGGCAGAAACTGTGGAGACGTGATGGTCACGTGACTCTTCATAAGCGTACGGAAAAAAAGCTCTGGAGGACGAAAAGTTGGTGAAAAATCTCGATCCCAGCATGTCCAGCAATATCACTTGGCACCACAACCTCACGACAGAGGAACGCAACAAACTGACTGGCCAGAAGGGTGCCACCGTGTGGCTGACCGGGCTGAGTGCGTCTGGAAAGAGCACGATTGCATGCGGTCTGGAAAGACTGTTGCTGACCAAGGGAATCAATGCTTACAGACTGGACGGCGACAACGTCCGGTTCGGCCTCAACAAGGACCTGGGCTTCAGCGAGAAGGACCGTGCGGAGAACATCCGTCGTATTTCCGAGGTTTCGAAGCTCTTTGCCGACTCATCTGCCATTGCTATCACGTCTTTTATTTCTCCTTACAAAGGTGACAGAGCACAGGCCAGAAAACTGCACGAAGAGGCCGGACTTCCGTTTGTCGAGGTGTTTGTCGATGTGCCGCTGGAGGTGGCCGAAAAGAGAGACCCCAAGGGCCTGTACAAGAAGGCCAGGGAAGGGCTTATCAAGAACTTTACTGGTATCGACGACCCGTACGAGGCTCCCGAAAAACCAGAAATCCACCTGGACACCAGCAACACCGGCATTGAGGAGTGCATCGCGGCCATTGCCGAGTACCTTGCGTCGCACGGAATTGTTCCTAACTAGATTCTAATGTCATGCATGTAGTTATCAGTTGTATGTTTCCGCAAAGTCGTCCCAGAGCTCGTCCACGTGCTGCCACGACTTGTAGCCGTACTCCCAGATGTTCAGGTCGTGGCCTGCGAGCGCCTGAAACGTCTCGATCGGGTTCTGTGTCCACAGCGTGTCTGGAACGTCCAGACTGGCGAGATCCAGGCCGGGAGACGAGACGTCCGGCAGCTGCGGCCGGTAGCTGGCAAGCAGGTTCTGCACCTTGGTGTGCTTGACGGTGGCGTCCTTGTTGCCCTCGCTGGCCATTTTCGCGACGATCGCGAGCGACGAGTCCAGGAACCGCGAACATTCGTCGGTGTTGAACTGCAGCACGTCACCGCAGATGAAGAACGTCAGGCACGCGCTGTAGATGTAGTCGAGGTCCATGACGCCAAAGGTCGCGAGCATGCCCTCGTTGGCGCACGAGTTGGCGATGTAGACGGTCATCTGCGCGGCGTTGAGACAGATTGTGAGCAGCTCGCACAGGTCGGTGCTGATTTTGAAATCGGGGTCTGTCTTCTTCATCTCGACCAAACTGTACAGAAACGGGATCGTGGTGAGATGGATGCAGAAACAGCGGTTCAGATGAAGCGAGCACACCAGGCGCTTGTGTTTGAGGTCGTCGGACGTGACAATGTACTGCAACTGCAGCTCACGAGGCAGCGTCTCGTTCCACCGAACCAGTTGCTGGATAATGCCTCCCAAAGTTTCCGTCCAGTCGGACGTCTTGCCGAGTCGGTATATTGCGCGGAATATGTCCTCCGAGATGGCGCTGAGCTTGATGTAGGTTGCGAACTGCGCGGCAGCCGTTGTGTTGGGCACATCCTTGCACAGCATCTGTGGCAGCGGGCACGAGATGTCTTTGGACTGCAGGAGCGACGGCTCGCCCATTTTCGCCGCGAGGGTCTTGTTCAGCCCGTACGAGACCCAGAAGACGCGCGCGCGGATGTCTGCCTCCTGTTGCATGTGTGCCGGCTCGTTCTTGTTGAGCCCGATGTGGCTGGCTAGTTGGATCGCCATATTCGAGTAGAGCATGCAGTCGTCGTCGCGGCCCAGCGAGCGGAAAAACAGGCTTGCAAGCGTCAGCGTCGCCACTGCAACGTAGTTTTCGGGCTCGTTTTTCATCTGCGTGCAGGGCAGCACCAGCGTGAGGGCGCTGGAGAGCAAATATCCGGTAATTGGGTCGGAGCTGCGGGTATACTTTGTGCCGAGGGCCATGACAACAAAGCAGAGCGCACGGAACTGGGTCGAAGAGTGGTCTTCCAGATTGCTGAACCGCCTGGACGGGTCGTATGTCTGCGACAGTCGCGCTTTCAGTAGATCGACGTCGTACGGGAAATAAATATCGTTGAGGAAGAAGTGCGGCCGGTCGACAAGAAACATGGCCTCCTGGAAGGTGAGGGACTCAAGATAGTCCAGCACGCGTGCCCTGTCGGGCTTCGGGAGCCGGGCGGGCACGACGTCGGGATCCAGCGGATGGATCTTTATTTTGTCCAAACTCTCTAGTCTTGTTCTGAATGAGGAAATAGGGCCGATGGTATCTGGGGCCGGAGCCGGCACCGTTTCGCGAGCAGAGCGGGCCGCCGCAAGCTCCTGTTGCAGCCGCTCAATCGTACTGAGCATCTGCTGGTACTTGGAGTGGAGCACAGAGATTCGCTTTTCGTACGGCGAGTACACACACCTAATCTTGAGCTTGAGGCAGCGGTCGCACGGGTCTGAGCCCGAGCACCGGTTCTTGCGACGTTTACACGAGTCGCAGCTGCCGTGTTAGAGCCTGTTGTGGCCATACTTACGCCTTTTTGTTTCTGTTCGACACCGAGAGCTGGGTCTCCGACATGGAATAATTCCCTGGGCTCATGCTAAAAAAGATAACTTGATGTTTTTGTTATGTAAGCTGGAGGCATTTTTTTTATTTAGCTTCTTTTGTCATGCGATGGCATAGAATCCGGATCTCCATCCGGACGCAACTAATAGCGCTGGTGCTGTTTGTGGCGCTGTTCTCGCTGTTTGTGCTTGCCGTCGTGTCCGGGCTGTACTTCACGTCGGTGTTTACGTCGGCTAGAGTCGAGAAACTGCAGGTTGTGGCAGAGCTCAAGGCTGCCCAAATAAAACAGAGTTTTATCTACTACTACTACCAGATCTACTTTCTGAGCACGCGAGATACGCTCGAGGACGCGTTGAGTTACCGCAAGGCCGGAAACACGTCGGACTCGATCACTGCAGAAGCCATCAATACGATCGAACAAACACTCGACTCCTCGGCGTCGCTGAACGCCGCGCGGCTCTACGACATTGAACTGTCGCTCATTGCGAATGTGTCCAACAGCGAGGCGTCCGCGAAAATTGCCGCTGGCCCCCTCGAAAGCCTCTACATTTTGGGCCACAACGACTCTTCGGAAGTGACCGACCAACTGGCCAAACAGCAGGGCTACGTTGCCGGGCCCATCTACTACAACACAACGTACTTCATGTCGCTGACGCTGCCCGTGTACACGAACTCGTCGGTGCTGCTCTCAACGCCCAACTTGAGCGGCTACATCTCTGTCATAATCAACGTCGACTCGGTCAAGGACGTCACCGACGTCGCGTCGACCGACGACTACGCGGGCATCTACTGTCTCAAACCGCTCAACACCACCGGCAGCGCGACCCTCACCGACACGTATGCGTACGTTTTTGGGCCTACCGACGACGAGTACAACATCTCGTCCTATCCGCCCGCCGAGGCCGTCTTCGTCCAGAACAAGGACATCGGCCATTACACAGACATGCGGAACCCGTTTGGAGAGCGGGTTTCAGTTGGGTATTCCAAGGTGGACTTCACGTACGCCGACTGGATGATCACCGTGGAGCAGAGCCGAGGCAAGTTCATGGGCCCGACGGTCAAGCTGACGAAGCTGATAGTGGGTGTGTGCATCGGGATTGCCGCGTTCATGTGTTTTGTGACCTTTCCGCTTGCGCATTACGGTGTGCGGCCAATTCTGAAGCTGCAGAAGGCCACCGAGCAGGTCACGGAGGGCCGCGGGCTGCGCACTCAGAGACGACGACACAAGAAAAACGGAGCCATTTTCAATTTCGACCGCAGAGACAGCAGCCGGCGCGCAAACAAAGAGAGCATGGACGATACACCGCCGCCACCGGGGCCGCAAGGCAACCAGTCCGCCTACCGCAGCAAATTCCATTCGCTCGGCAGCCTGCAACGGCTGACGATCCCAAAAGACGTCGACAAGACAGATCACGTGAAGACGGAGTCGAGCGACACAAGCGATGAAAAGCTGTTTGCGCGCGAGTTAGACGACGAGCGGCGCCACACGCGCGACGAGTCGCAGTTCGACAGCGTAGGCCGCACCGTCGCAAGCCCGCACTCGCGCGAGAGCTTCCCCGACTGGGTTGCTGAGCGGCGTGTGCCGACGCCTGCGATCGTGCAGGGCAAAGGTCTCTTCTATGACGAGCTGAGCGAGCTGACAGAGGCGTTCAACGCAATGACCGAGGAGCTGGACCTGCAGTACGCGCATCTGGAGGACCGTGTGCGGGCGCGGACCAAGGAGCTGGAGGTGGCCAAGATCCAGGCGGACGCGGCCCGGCAGCAGGCGGAGGCGGCAAACGAGGCCAAGACAGTGTTCATTGCCAACATCTCGCACGAGCTTCGCACGCCGCTCAACGGCATTCTGGGCATGACCTCGGTGGCCATGGCGGAGACCGACGTCGACCGCATCCACTCGTCGCTGGAGCTGATCTTCCGCAGCGGCGAGCTGCTGCTGCACCTCCTTACACAGCTTCTAACGTTCAGCAAGAATCAGCTGCAGCGGTCGAAGCTGCAGAAGCGCACGTTCCAGATCTCGGAGCTTGCGTCGCAGACAGAGTCGATTTTCGGCAAGACCGCAATCGACCAGAAGGTGAGGCTCGAGCTGGTGTTGAAGCCTGCTCTGTTGCGGAACATGGTGCTGTTTGCCGACTCCAATCGGCTCATGCAGGTGATCATGAATCTCGTGAGCAACTCGCTCAAGTTCACGCCCGAGAACGGCGTAGTGACGGTTTCGATGCGCATTCTGGGCGAGTACGACGCGCAACGGTCCCGCGAGGCCAACTACGAGAGCGTCTTCATCAAGAACAACATGACGTACTCCTCTGCGGCGGCCGCAAGTTCAGACGCCGCCAGTATCGACACCATGGCCTCGGGCAGCTACAGAAGCGTGCTTGCGGCGTCGTACAACCACGGCAACGAGTTGCGCGCCAGTGTCGATTCGCTCACCTCCGGACTCGACGACGACGGGTACCTGGACAGCCAAAAGGAGAAAAAAATGTACTGCAAGTTCAGCAGGCCAATCAAATGGGTGTTTGAGCTGACCATCACCGATACTGGGCCGGGCATCGACGAGTCATTGCAGGAGAAGATTTTTGAGGCCTTCGTGCAAGGTGACCAGACTCTGTCGCGGTCGTACGGTGGCACAGGCCTGGGACTATCGATTTGCAAGCAGTTTGCCAAAATGATGCACGGAACACTGACGCTGCGGTCTAAGGTGGGCCACGGCTCGTCGTTCACGTTCACAGTTCCGCTTCCGCAGGTTGGCGAGTGTGCGTATGAGGAGCCGAAGCTGAAGCGGGTCAGTTTTGCGAACGAGTCGACGCCGGTGCCGGAGATGCCGACGGTCGAGTCCGCGTACATGGGCAAGCCGGACCTAATCACGAGAGCGTCTACGGGCACGGCGTTGTCGAACAGAAAGTCGTCCAACAGCTCAAACCTGTCTGGCGGCGACTCGTCGTCGAGCAGCACGTTTCCGCTCAAGGTGCTAATTGCAGAGGACAATCTTGTAAACCAAGAGGTGATCAAGCGGATGCTCAAGCTGGAGGGCATCACCGACGTGACCATGGCATGCGACGGGACCGAGGCGAGCGAGCTCATGACAGAGGCCATCGACAACAACGAGACGTACGACCTGGTGTTTATGGACGTGCAGATGCCCAACATGGACGGTCTTTCCGCGACGAAATACTTCCGCGAGGAGCTCAGGTACACGGGCCCGATCGTCGCACTGACGGCGTTTGCCGACCAGAGCAACAAGGACGACTGTCTGAAGGCAGGCATGTCAGGCTTTTTGTCCAAACCGATAGGGAGAGGCGTGCTACGGCGCATTCTGCAAGACTTTTGTCCTGCGCTGTCTCCGAGTCTCGGCGCTGCCGAGCACGAAAAATCATAGAGTTTAACGCTGTTATTCCTCGTCCGAACTACTTAGTTCCACCATTGTAGGGGCCTCGTGCTTGCCGTAGATCCTCTGTCTGCGTAGTGTTTCCTCCTTCGTTCTTTTCAGCGATTTTTCTGTTTTCGCCGTGCTCAGCAGCTGTGCTACGCGTTCAGACCGCACGGCCGCATCTTCCCGCTCTTGGCGCCTCTCGAAGATGCGCTGTGTCGGGTTGAACCCGATGCGCACCATCGTTTGCGGGTCGAATGCGACCTTGGTGGCCTTTTGCCTGCTCTCGCGCGACTCCGGGGTCTCGAGACTCGTGTCTTTGAGTGTGTCGCCATCGGCAAGCGCAGCGAGCTTCTGACGCAGCCGTTTTTCGTTTTTCACGCGTGCGAGACGCGACTTTGCGCTCTGCAGATCGTTGATCAGTCTTGGGTTCGAGTAAGAGTCGTCGAAAAACGCCCTCGACACGTCCGGGTTTGAGAAGTAGAGCCGGCCGACATCTTGCTTCGGGACCGACGCGTCGGCGACGAGCAGCCCGTCCAGCTGCTCGCGGCCGTTTTTGCGCTTGGTGGACATGTACATCGCCTGCTTCACGCCGTCTTCTGTAGGGGTGAACATTTTGGCGTTGCCCGTGAGTTCGAGCCGTTTAGACGCGGTGCGGTTGTAACTGAGCTCGGTGTGATAGTCGCAGTGCTGCGTTTTGGAGAGGTCGATGGGCGTGTGGCACAGAGAGCCGTCTTTCCTGACCGAGCTGCAGAGGCCAAAGTCACGTGCGTGGCCGATCTCGAGGATCGCGTCGTAGTCCTCCTTGAGCGAGAGCGCAAAGCCGGTGCGCTCGCGCTGCACCCAGATCTGCGGGTTGAGCACCGCCACGACGTCTCCGAGCCTCAGTTTGTAGTATTTCTTGAACGCTTTCGAGAAAAGCGTGAGAGTGAGCTGCTGTTTCAAATTGGACAGCTGAACCGACATGTATTTCGTCCTATCGTTGGCCGTTTGTTTGGCTTCCGACTTCGCAGCCACCACGCCGACAACGGCAAAGTTAGCGTACTGCGGCGGGTCGAAGTTTGGCGCGTGGATCTTGGCCAGCGCGTGGTGCACACGCAACGGCTCGATATTTTTCAACAGCCTCTCAAGTGTGTCCTGTGAGTAGTACCGTTTCGAGAGCCTGTGCTTTGAGTATGTGTCGACGTCGTCGACGGTGTCGTTGATCTTCTGGCGCAGCAGCTCCTCGTCGAACGAGAGCACGCGCAAGTCGCGGATCTGCTCTTGGACCTTGCGTCGTTTTTCCGTCTCGTGTGACAATTGTTGGTTAAAAGTCTCGAGTCGCTGTGCGAAGGTGTCCGTTTGAGGCCTCGAAGCACTGATCCTGGTGAGGATCTTCTTCTCTGCCGCGCGGTGGCCGCGGAAATAGGGTGTTTGGCCCGACTCGCGCGGATCCTCCTCGTCGGACTCGACCGCGCTCTGGGCCTTTTTCTGCTCCTTCAGCGTGCGGATCTGGTGCAGCTGGTCCAAGATCTTGTCCTCGAGGTCGGAAAGGTCTGAGTTAGAGTATTTGAGGGCATCTGGCGAGGCCTACGCGTCCACTTACCGTCGTGAGCCATATAGTTTGGGAGAAACACCTGCCACCAAGTCAAGCCATTTATTTATTTTATTTTATTCTTTTTATTTTATTTTTTAGCATGGAGACCACTAGCGACAACGAGCTGAATGCCGCACAGGCGCAGTCGTCGGCTGGTGTTGCGGAGTCTGGCGACGTGGAGATTGTGTGCACGTTTTACCAGCTCGACCCGGGCGCGGTTTCGCAGCCGGATCTGGTCAACAAGTTGCTGGCCAAGATGAACGAGTTCCAAGAATTGAGCGCCTCGAAACAGGTTCTGGAGCTCGATTTTGAGCAATTCCGCCATACTGCCAGCAGGAAGATTGAGCAGCTTGTTGACGACAGCCAGAAGAAGGCCCACGAGGCCGAGGAGCTGCACAAACAGGTGGACGTGCTTAAACAAGAAAAGACACAGGTCGTCGAGACAAGCCGGGAGACGGCGCAAAAAATCGGGGAGCTGGAGTCGAAGGTGGCGCAGGAGGCCGAGTCCAAGCGGACGGCGTACCAATTGCTCGACAAAAAGCAGCAGGAGGTGATAGATTTGGGACAGGAGATAGGACGGCTGTCGGAGCTCAACAAGACGCTACGAGAGAACGTGTTCAGTTTGGAGAGCGCAAAGGAAAGTGCCGTCTCGGAGTCGCTCAAGGCCAAGTTCGAGACGACGCGTTTGGAGCAGGAACTGCAGCTGACCAAGCAGACGTCGTCGTGGTTCGAGACAGAGCTAAACCGCAAAGCTGACGAGTTGGCGCGACTGCGCGAGGAGAGCCGGTCGCAGACAACGGCCTTGCAGAGCGAGCTGGAAACTGTGAAGCAGGAGTACGCGGTGGCGAAAAGTTCTGTGCAGACTCTGAGCGACTCGTTGCAGGAGATCAGCGTCAAGCACAACAAGACGCTGGTGGAGGTAAAAAACCTCCGCGACAAGCTGGCGGTGAAGCAGCAGGAGTTTGCCGAGGAGATGGCCAGCAAGGACCGTTTGAACCAGCTGTTGGAGAAATCTGCCAACGACCGCAAGCAGCGGATCGAGGAGCTGGAGAAGATGTATGCAGAGCTGAGCGAGCGGGTGGCTTCGGAAGAGGCCGATTACAAGCATCAATTTGAGACGTTGCAGGAGCAGCTGACAGCAAAGGAGACGGAGCTGCGCGAGATAGAGACTACCATGGCCAATCAGTCGGACTATGACACAACCAACGTTCTGGGCGACCTTGGCCGGGGCAACAGCGTTGTTCTGACGCCGTCGTCGCAGAAAGTGCTGAAGAGCATGGGCGACGCGTACTCTGTGACAGAGCTTGTTTCGGAGAGCAACCGACTGCGCAAGGAGCTGAACAAGGAGAAGCGGCTGCGTGCGCGGGTCGAGTCCGAGCTCGGGGCGATCTTCAAGGAGCTGGAGGCGCGGATGCCGCTGCTGCAGTCGTACAAGGACAAGTGCGAGGAGTACGAGGCGCGGCAGACGCAGCTGAGCGCGATTCTGGACTCGATGAAGAAGGAGAACAGCGTTGTTTCGGGCCAGTACGACGCTCTGCGCAAGAAACAGGAGGAGACGCTGGTGCAGGTGCGCGAGCTGACGCAGTACAACACCGATTTGAAGCGGCAGGTGGCGGTGCTGCTGGCGCAGATAACGTTGCGAGACTCTGGCGAGGAGCCGCTGAGCAGGGCCGAAAAGCAGCAGCTGGGTGACCTGGTGGAGCGTCCCGAGGAAACAGAGACGGCGGGCGTGATCACAGAACGGCTCTCAACGTTCAGAAACATTCCGGAGCTGCTGGAGAAGAACAGACAGCTGTTGGCGGTTTCTAGACGGCTGGGCAACGAGCTGGAGCGCGGCGAGAGCCACGCAGACGAGGCCGAGAACGAAGCCCTTGAGAAAGCCACCCAGGCGATCCAGAAACTGCAGCAGCAGCTCCAGCAGACGGAAACGCGGCTGGAGGCCGTGAGCAACAGCAGAGACATGTTGCAGAAGCTGGTCGAGGACCGTGAGACAGAGAAAAGTCCGGCGGCGGACGTGGGGCGGTTGCAGACGTTGGCCGAGGAGCAGCAGAAACAGATGGAGTCGCTGAAAAAGGACTACGGCGTGACGATCGAGAATCTCAACGTGCAGGTGCGCGAGCTGACGGGCGAGAAGCTACAGTTGTCGCTGGATCTGTCGCGCGCGCGGTCGTCGTGCGAGCTGCTTGCCGAGCAGAACAGATCGGCCGCGTATTTGCACGAGCTGGCCAAGTCTGAGGCGGCAGAGCTGAAGAAGAGCGCGGGACTGATGCAGCAGAACTTGACACGGCTGGAAACCCGTGTCCAGCAATTGACGGAGGAGCTACTGGCGTCCAAGAGCTCTCAGAGCGGGCTGGAGGCGCGCGTGAAGGCGCTCATGTCGGAAAAGAGTCTGTGGCAGAGCATGGAGTCGCGGCTGCGCGCAGACATTAACGGGCTGGTTGACGAAAAGACGCGGCTGACGACGACGATCGCCAAGATGCAGGCGCTGGATAACGAGCGCACGGCGTCGTACGAGTCGGCGACGGCCCGTCTGGGCGAGAATCTGGCTGCGGTGGAGAAAGAGCTGCAGAGCACGCGCGCTAAGCTGGAGAGCACTAACGAAGAAATCAAACGGATTCTGCACTCGAAGAACTCGGACGCGCAGATGTACCAGAAACGGATCGACGCGCTTTCGGGCGAGCTGGCGTCGTTGCGTGAGAGTCTGGCGTCCAAGAGCAGCAACGTGGAGCAACTGAGCGAGCAACTGGCCACGGTGAATAGAAAGTACCAGGAGATCTCGGACCGCAGGAACTCGGCAATGACGGCGATCAACGCGTCTGGAGATACGGCCGAGGACGTGGTGGCACTGAAGCGCGAGCTGACGCAGACGCTTGAGGATCTGGAGCTGGCGAATGCCAACGCGGAGCAGTACAAGGAGGTTGCAAATGCGGCGGAGCGGGAGCTGGCGGCGCTGAACGAGACGTACGACAAGTTCCGCCAGGCGTCCGAGGAGCGCGAGCTGGCGCGGACGGCGGACTACGAGAAGCTGCAGGGCGAGCTGGCGCAGGCGCTGGAGCAGCGGGACGGGCTGGAGAAGCGTGTTCTGGAGCTGGACGCTGCCAACAGAGAGTTGCAGGCCAAAGTTGGGGAGCTGGGCGCGACGATTGATTCCTTCGACGGCGTGAAGAAGGCGTACGAGTCGCAGTTCGCCAAGTTGCGTGACGAGATGGGCAATGTTCAGGCTGTGTTGCGCGAAAAGCAGCAGGAGGTGGCGGGCAAGAGCGACGAGTGGCAGCACCTTGTTGTCGAGCGCGAGAAGGCGCAGGGGCTGGTTGACGAGCTGAAACAGCGCGTCCAAGGCCTTGAGGCGCAGCTAGCGAGCGCGCGAGCAGACGTGTCTGCCGCGGAGGAGCGGCTGGAGCAGGAGAAGCAGGAGCTGGTGTTAGAGCTGCGGGCAAAGGAGGCGCGCGTGACAGAGCTGGACGTGCAGAACCGGACGCTGATCAACCAGCTGGAGAGCCGCGTGAGCGTTGGTGACGTGGGCGAGGACGGCGACATGAAGAGTCTGATCACGTACTTGCACAGAGAAAAGGACTCTTTGGCCCAGCAGCTGGAGTACGCCCGCGTGGAGGAGAAGCGGCTGCGGCAGGCTGCCTCTCTGGCGCAGAGCGAGGCGGCGGAGGCTCGAGCAGAGCTTGCGCGGGTGCAAGAGGAGAGCGCGTCGAGCACGAAGTACGCCGAGGTTCTGGCGGAAATGCAGGCCACGAGCCACGAGCTGGAGCTGTTCAAGGACAACAACCGACAGTTGCGCGAGGAGAACTCGCGGCTAGCTGCCCGTTTGGAGCAACTAGAACAGCGCGCGGCAGCTGCGGAGCAGAAGTGCGGTCCGCTGGAGCAGCAGGTGGCGCAGCTACAGAGTGAGCTGGAGATCCGCGAGTCGCAGCAGCAGCTGGTGGTTTCGCAGATGGAGTACTGGAAAAAGCGGGTGGAAGAGAAGGGAGAGGAGAGTGGCAGCATGGCAGAGGTGGCCGGTTTGCAGAGCGAGCTGGAGGCGGCGCGCAAGAACGAGCGGCAGCTGCAGGAGCGGTACGACAAGCTGCGAGCTGAGGCTCAAGACAAGCTGAATAAGAGCCGTGTGGCGCGGCAGCAGCTGAACACAGAGAAGGACGCGCTGGCGGCAAGAATTCGGGAGCTGGAACAGCAGGTGCAGCAGGTGCAGCCGGACTCCTCGACGGCCGAGCTGGAGCAGAAGTTGCGCGACGCGGTGGCGGCCAGCTCGCGCATCAAGGTCGATTACGACATCCAAGTGAACCGGCTGGAGGCCGAGATCAGCCGGTTAAAGGCCGAGATCAAGCAGAGCCAGCCCGTGGATGAGGCGGCGATCCGTCGGCAGATCAAGGCGGAATGCGACGCAGAGCTGGAGGCCCACAAGAAACGGATCCGTGCTCCCGTGCAGGCCAAGATCAACGAGGTGATCGAGCAGCGGTGGAAGGCGCGCAAGGAGGAGCTGGAGAAGGAGTTTGCGCAGAAACAGGGTGCCACGGACGAGTTGCTGAAGCGGTTCGAGCAGGAGAAGGAGCAACTGAAGAAGGACACAACAGCGGCGATCCGCAAGGAGACCGAGTTCAAGGAGAATATTCTGAAAAAGCAGCTGGCGTCGTTGCGCGAGAAGGTCAAGGCGCTCGAGGCCAAGCGGCCCGCCGAGGACGACCGTGCCGACGAAAAGCGCGCAAAAACTGATAATTAGTGTAATATTAATTCCTATTTGGCGAGATGTATTGCAGGTTGGTGGACTCGACGGGGCGGAAGAGCACCTTGGATCCTGCTGCCTGGACGATCAGGCCGTCCACGCAGATTCGGCGCAGGTCGGCGTCCTGCTCGTCTATTTCCAGCTCTACCGTGTGCGCCTTGAGGTAGCCGACGCGCGGGTCCTGGACGTGCTTGCCCGCATCGTATGCCTGGCCCAGGATCTCCATCACGGCGGCCGGGGCCTGGTGGTGGAAGTACACCACGTGGAGCGCGTTTTCGGCCGGGTCAGAAGCGGGCGAGATCTCGAATGTTGCTTCAAACCGCGGCACGGCAGCCACGACGAAATAGCTGAGTGCGGCGTGGTCCTCCACCGCTAGCCCGTCTGTGCGAAACGAGCCGTGGAACACGGGATTTTTCTCGAGAATGTGCTGCGCGGCAACTTTGAACCGCTCGTTGCCCAGCTTACGCAACTCGGGCGAGTCCGAGTCGGCCACCAGACACGCGTGCAGCCCCCATGATCCAACTACAAGGAACCGCAGACTCAACACGGGCTGCGCGTGCCCTTGCGCGAGCAGCTGCGACCCGGGCTCAAAGACGGCCTCGTACAGCCGCAGCGGGTGCGCGGTGCCCCCTGTGAGCGCCTGGACGGCCTCTAGCGGCGTCGACAGCCCGACAGAGTGCGCAAACGCGTTGCCCGTGCCCATTGGCACCGTCAGCAGCGTCACCGTGGCTGTGCTGGCGACGGAGTTGACGAGCTCCGTGATGGTGGTGTCGCCCGAAATTAGGATGAGCAGCGTCGGCGCGGCACCAATGCTGGCGGCGACTTGGCGGGAAGTTTCTGGCGATGTGGTAGCAATGTAGCGGTGCGAAAGGTTCCAGCTGTCCAGAAGCGGCAACAACAGCTGTTTGTAGACGTCTTTCGTGGAGACTCTGTTGCCCGACTTGACGGAGTCGAGAACCACGACGTTGGCGGCCTGGAGTAGCGGCGGGACAGGGGCCTTCTCGCTGCCTTGCGGCATCCAGAGATACTCTGACGGCGTTTCTGTAACGAGGACGGGACCTGTTCCGGTGACGATGAGAGACATGGAGTTGGCACAGCCATGGGCGGGACTGGAAAATATAGCGGTGGCGGCGACGGAGTTTGCGTGGTGTGGCTGGTGGGGGTGAGCCAGTAATCACAGCCCCAGGCAGCGGCCCCTGGCGAGCTATCATGCAGTCCCACCAAACCCCGAATGGCCCATCAACTGCCCAAGCAATCGCCGCACCTGCTGCGGCTCTTTCGCTCCTCCCACATCCAACCCTGCTTGCCCAGTCCCAATTGGACCAATCACGGGCCCGCCTTACCTAATCCGAGCCAGTAGTGCACGATCCAGTAAAAAAAAAATGTCAACCAAAAAAGAACAAAATAACCGTTTACTCTTTTACGATGGAGTCTCTAGCTCGCAAGTCCAAGGCTATCTGCCCGTTCATGAAACACCAATCTGCGTCTGCGCTCAGACAGATGGCGCAATCGTCATCGCTGGCCGCCAAGGCCCAGGGCTGTCCCGTTGTGGGTCCTGCTCTGGAGGCCAGACGGTCGTACAGCACTCCTTCCAAGCCGGTCGGTGCGCAGGCCACGGACGCGCTGTCGCCCAAGGCGGTTGCCTCCGATGCCGCCAAGCCGGTGTTTTTGCACGGCTCGTCCAACGAGACCAATTTCGACTACGAGGCGGTGTTTGAGGAACAAGTCAACGAGAAACGGCGCGACAAATCGTACCGCTTTTTCAACAACATCAACCGGCTGGCTAGGGAGTTCCCGAAGGCTCACTTGGCCAAGGAAGACGACAAGGTGACTGTTTGGTGCTCGAACGACTATTTGGGGATGGGCAAGAACCAGGAGGTTCTGGACACCATGAACAGGACGATGCTCAAGTACGGCACAGGAGCCGGTGGAACCCGTAACATTGCGGGCCATAACCGGCACGCGATTGCGCTGGAGGCCGAGCTGGCCGCCCTGCACAAAAAGGAGGGCGCGTTGGTGTTCTCGTCGTGCTTCGTGGCCAACGACGCTGTTCTGTCGCTGCTGGGCCAGAAGATGAAGGACCTTGTGATTTTCTCGGACGAGCTCAATCACGCGTCGATGATTGTGGGCATCCGCAACTCCAGGGCGCGCAAGCACATTTTCCAGCACAACAACCTGGAGCAATTGGAGTCTCTGCTGGCGCAGTACCCGAAATCGACCCCGAAGCTTATTGCGTTCGAGAGTGTGTACTCGATGTGCGGCTCTGTCGCTCCGATTGAGAAGATCTGCGACCTGGCCGACAAGTACGGTGCTCTGACGTTCTTGGACGAGGTCCACGCCGTTGGAATGTACGGTCCGCACGGAGCAGGTGTTGCTGAGCATCTGGACTTCGAGGCGCATTTGGAGGCCGGTATTGCGTCGCCAGCCTTCAAGACCGTCTCGGACCGCGTCGACATGATCACCGGAACGCTGGGCAAGTCATTTGGTACCGTTGGCGGCTACATTGCTGCGTCGGCCAAGATGATCGACTGGATCAGGTCTTTTGCTCCAGGCTTCATCTTCACCACCACTTTGCCTCCGGCACTGATGGCCGGCACCACCGCGTCCATCAGAATCGTGAGACAGAACTTGATGGACAGAATCAACCAGCAGAAGAACGTCAGATACGTCAAGAAGCAGTTTGAGCAGCTGGGCATTCCGGTCATCCCGAACCCGTCCCACATCGTTCCGCTGCTGGTTGGCAACGCCGGCCAGGCCAAACAGGCGTCCGACATCCTGCTGGACCAGCACAAGATCTACGTTCAAGCCATCAACTTCCCGACCGTTGCCCGCGGCGAGGAGCGGCTCAGAATCACTCCGTCGCCTCATCACTCAAAGGACATTTCCGACGCGCTGATTGAGGCTGTCGACGACGTCTGGACCAGGATCGGCCTCAAGCGCGTCCCCGACTGGGAGCGCGAGGGCGGTTTGTGCGGTGTCGGCTCGCCCGTGCCACGCGCAGACAACCTATGGACTGACGAGCAGCTGGCCCTGACCAACACCGACCTCAACAGAAACGTGGTCGACCCGGTCATCAACCAGCTCGCCACGTCGTCCGGCGTCGCTGTGTAAGCTGCTTTCTCGCGGCCTGTGTTCTTTGTCTGTCTACGGTGTGTACATAAAAAAAGATATATTCGGCAGCTTCGCCGATACATATTACAAACTACTCCTCGTAATCGGGCAACTCCTCGTACGGCGTGTTGAACTGCGCTGGCGGATATGGCGGGTTGTACACGGCCTCCATCTCGTCCCAGGACTTTCTCAGGTACCGTTCCATCTCCTGGCATTTTTTCGCAAACGCGAGCTGGTCAAACGTCTTGCCCGAGTCGAACTCCTTCATCAGCTGGTCCTTGTAGTACCCGATGTGTCTCTGAAGGTTGTTGAGACGGAACTCGCACCAGTCGCGGTAGAATTCGTTGTACAGCGCGCGCGGCAACACAGACGGCTTGGTGCTGGTGAGCAGGTTGTTGTCGAGGTGTTCTGGGCCGGCCAGGCAGAATCCGCCCACAATGGTGATTCTGTTGGAGTTGGTGACGGGCTTTGTGGCGACGTGGCGCAGCACCATGCCCTGGATCAGCGTGGCCCAGCCCACCTTGGGATCTGGCACACGCACCATCTGGTTGTCGCCGGTGATGATTCCCGTTTCGCCGCCGATAGCCGAGTCGCCAAAGTCCAGCATGATGACCAGCGCAAACGCAGACGAGTCGTAATGCAGCCCGAGCGTCGAAGGCACCTCGTTGCCGCCCGCCTTGGTTTGCGCCTCGTACGTCTTCAGCTGCTCCTCTCTGGAGACCTCGAATTGTGCCGCGTCCTCTGGCTTGAGGCTGGCCAGCGACACGTTGAGATGGCCGTACTCGGCGTTGTACACGGGCTCAACTTTTGTTCTGGTGAAGCCTTCGAGGATTTTGCACAGCTCTGGCGACGTGAACAGCGCGTTGGAGAATGGTGCCTTTTTGGAGCAGTGCCCGCCGATGTGGAAGTCCAGTCTGTTGGCGCCCTTGGACAAGTTGGGGACTCGGGCGTAGTCGCGCAGAACTTCTGGCTGGAGAGCCTCCCACAGTAGCATGTCCACGGCCTCCTGGGTGATCAGTGGGAACGGAAACGCGGCCGCAAAGTCGGTGACCGGCTTGACTCTGGTTTTGTTGATGTTCAGGTCGCCGAGGGTGAACTGCTGCGTTGTTTTGTAGTACTCTGGCTTGAAAACAAAGTGCTTGGCCGGGTCAAACTTGAGGTTTGGGTCGAAAGTCGGCTTGGCCTCCAGTCTCTCGCGCAACGCAGCAACCTCGAGGTCAAGCGTCTCCTGCGGAATGTCGTAGTCGTGGTTGCCGGACAAGTAGTTGACGGCGTGGCCGAGCTCTTTCTGGGGCGTGGGATATGGGGATTGGATGGTGACGGTCATGGGAGTATTTTGAGCACAACGGCAACAGTCACGAATATTTATAGTGCTCCGAAAATACAAGAGAGATAAGCAGATCGCCAATTCCCTATTTGGAAAACGAGATAAAAATGCAGCTCGCGTTTGATTTGATTTTTAAATTTAGCTTACCTAATCTGTGCAGCGGCCATCGGCTATCCTGTTCAGCTGATCAAACAGCCAGGCGCTGGAAAACGTGGTCAGACCGATCGCCTTGCTGCGGATCGCCATGTTACGGTCGTCGGTCACCAGGATGTGGTAGCGGAACACGCTCGCCTCGAGCCTGTCCAGTAGTCGCGCGCCGCCGTTGATTGCTGCGCCCTCGCCCTGTAGAACGCTCTTGCTGCTGTCGTCGCTCAGCTTGACGGCCTTGATGATTATGTCGTCTGTGTGGTTGCGCCAGTTCTGGTTCTGCTCGAATTCCAGCGTCTCGTTCAGCGACGAGGCCACTGTGCCGTCTGCCCTGATGGGAGTGATCTGCTGGTCTGCATACAGCTGCCGCACGATGATCACTGCTCTGGTGGCCGAGTCGGCAACGGAGTTGTCTGCTGATCGTCTAAGCGAGCGCAGTTCCTGGAAAACCGTCAGCGGGATCGCCAGACGGAACAGCTCCGACCGAACGCACTTGTACACCTTGCCGCAGTGCTTGAGCCACGTATTGGTGTCCAGCGAGATCATTGTCACCTGCGTGTCCATCTTCTCGCCCAAGTTGCCCGCCACGGCGACGGCCGCCGGCGCGTACGGAGCCGTGTGCCTTTCCGAAGCGTCCTCGCCCGAGGAGTCCTCGTAGTCTTCGTCCAGCTCGTCCGCGCCCATAAAAGAGCCGTATTCCGACGTGGAGCCGGAAACAGAGGCCAGGTCCTGTTTCTGGATATATTCCGACATGAACCCGGGCGAGTTGAAGTCCCAGCTCGGCAGTGACGACACCGGCAGCTCCACAACCTCCTCGCCCGGTTGCACGCAGATCTTGGCGTTCAACGGCTCCGCCAGAATCTTGAGGCGCGGGTCCTGGCAGAAACAGCCCACGCTCGTGTTGCTCTGCTCGTACCGCGACACGTCCGGGTTCACTCTGTATTTGAAAACAGAGCCGGCAAGAACGAGGCCAAATTCTGGGAAACTGGACGCGATGAACGACGCGAGAGAGTACACGCGCAAAAAGCGGCGCGCGTCCTGCTGCGCGTCGTATCTAATGCCGGCCGTTGGAATGTCAAAAATGTCGCCAACGACACCGGTCTCGGCGACCGACTGATAGTCGCCCTTGAGAGCGACCTGGTCGAACCACACAGACCCCCAACACTTCCACGCCTCCCAGAGCGTTTCGTTTTCTGAAAAATAGTCCAAAACCTTCTGCCAACGGCCTTCCTGCAAGTCTGCAGCATGGTCAGGAATTTCTTTCCGCACGGCAGCCGACGTGGCCACCAGAAAAGCCACGTCGTTCAGGTACGGAACAAGCTGCATCCAGGGGATGTAGCGGGCCACAAAGTACGTGAACAGCGGCCGCGAGGCCGGATATTTGCGCGTGGCCTTGCCAACAGCAACGAGGAAGTAGAGCCATACGATCACGTGCGGCGTGGACGACGGAAGCGGGCCCATGACGTACTTTTTCAGCATCTTCATGCTGAGCTCGATCACGCCCTTGTTGACAAAGTCCAGCAGCGTGAACCAGGACGATTCGTCCTGCTCGTCGGCGGTGGAGTTGTATATGGCCTCGGAGTCGAGCGTCTTGCCGAGGTCCTCAGTCTGGTCCGTCTTGGACTTTCTGCGCTTGTCTTTCTTGTCCTTGCGCTGCTTGAGAGCCTCGGGAAGCTCGAATAGCTTGGCAAACGGGTTGCGGCAGTCGCCAAACCCGATCAGGTGGTTTATGTTGCATAATGCAAAGTTGGCTCCCTTCTGGAACCAGAAATTAAGCTTTTCGGTCGAAAGAGCCGACCTCAGGTCGCCTCTGAGTTGGAAGTAGTCAATGCTAGAGCTGTCAAGCCCAAAATGCGAGGAGTAGTGCGAAACAAGGTTGGTCATCTCCAGGTTCGTGCTGTAGTTGGGCATCAGCAGAATCTTGTGGATCTTCACGAAATCGATCATGGCCATCTCCACAGACGTCAGAATGCTGCGCTGCGCGCACACGTTGTCCACAATCAGCCACAGATACTGCAAAGTCGGCACGAACGGGTCGCGGCACGTGACGCTCTTGCCGATGTCCACAAGAGCTTCCAAGTTGTCGTTCTCCACGGTGCACATATGGTAGTATATTTTGCCGTGGCCGTACTGCGTGCGCATCGCCAGCTGGTACCAGTACACAGAAGAGATCTTCCAGTCCATGTAGCGCGCCGGATACAGCGCAATGGCCATCCGCGACAGGTCGCCGAGTTTCTCGGCCCACCAGCCTTCGACGCCGAGCTGCGAGTCTGTGAGACAGCTGATGATGTTGAAGGCGTACACGATGAAACACCCGCACACCTCGTGGTCGACAAAAATCGCCGCCACGTTCTTGAGCACCTCGAGAAACAAAACCACGCCGTACACCCACATTCGGCGCAGAATCCGGTAGTTGGTCACCAGCGGCTTGCCGGCCCGCGCAGACGTGGGCGAAAGCGCGTACAGCAGGAAGTCGTAGTAGTGGTCCAGAAGCTGGACGATGTTCTTGTACACGTGCCACAGCTGCGGCGTGATTTCGGTGCTGGCGTCATTCTCGATCAGGCGCTCGTTCACCTCGGCACAGCCTTGCTGGGTCTCCACCTCGAGCCGCAGAATCGCCTTGTAGGTTTCCTGGAGGTTGGCCGCCAGGATGTGCTCCTCTTCCGTGATGGCACGGTGCGGCTGCAGCTGCAACGCCACGGGCGGCTGCGACAGCACTGTGTCCGTGCTAGGTCTGCGGTTCTGCAAAGCCTTCTCCGGCAACGATTCCGGCGAGTTCGAGTGTGCATTGCTCTCCTTCGTGGCCGGAACCTCGTTCAGCTCGCTGGAGTTCTCGACACTCACGTCCGGCTCGATCAGCTTGCCGATCGCCTTGCTTCTGGGAGACCCCGGCACGTCAACCGTCACGACGGTGGGGGTCGGGGTCTTGGTGCCTTTTGCCCGCGACTGGGGCTTCGTGGTAGCCGTGGAATACGCTCCGCGCTTGGTGGAGATGCCCTGGTTGAGGTAGCTCTGGGAATTATGGCGTTTTTGCTGTACGGACGGTTTCGTGGCCGTCATACTGGCGGGGCGGGTCCGTCCCGGTTGCGGGCTGTACTGGAGCACGTGTCTGAGCCCAGGATGTTCGGTAGTGTCTTTCTGCGGAGTCATAGGGAACCACGCGACAGATAACCGGCAGGGGCACTAAATTAAATTGCTGATATATTGTCCGGTGATGAAACAAAATATAACGCAAATTACCTAATCGATGGCCTTGATTATTTATTTTATTGATTTAAAATATTCTATTTTTCCAGCACAGACTCAAACAACGACAGCGTCTGCTCGGTGAGCTGCTCGCCCGCGTCGAGGTCGATTGCGAACACGGAGATCGTGGCCTCGCAATTGCCGTTGTTGATGATGGTGAACTCGTCTGGCAGCTCGCAGTCGCCGGCAGCACAGTTCTGCACCGCGGAGGTGGCCAGCGTCGTCTGCTTCATGTTTTCTGCCGTGTGGTCGTACTCCACCTTGTACGCGAGACTCTTAGAGCCGGTGAACCGCGTGTGTCTGAACGTGAGCTCTCTGCACGAGGCGTTGATGTCGGAGCCGGCGGCAGGGAAGTTGACGTTCAGCGCGTACGACTCTGGCAGCAGACGGTCCCCGTCGCCGTGGCCTTTGGCCAGAGCCTCGAGCACCTGGATCGCGTACTTGGAGTAAATGTTAGGGGCGTGGTCCGGGTCCTCGTCGAGGTTGTCCTTGAAGAATGAATTGTTGGAGTTTGCTCCCGAGAACGCAATCGCCGGATAGCCTCTTTCTGTGGCATAGTATGTGGCGCCGATGGTTCCCGAAATAACGTAGTCTCTTTCTCCGAGGTTGTTTCCTTCGTTGGGACCGCCAACAACAACGTCGACCGTCATGTTGTTGAAGTATTTAGGAACCACATAGTCCAGGCCGAACGCGACGCACGCGGCCGGCGACCCGTCGAAATACCACACGTTCGAGTCGTCCTCCTCGTGACCCCACGCTGGCGATCCGGCTGGCGGATACTCGAAGACTGCTGCGGCAGTGAGGGTCGAGGTTGTCGGAGTGATGAATCTGCCTCCGTTGCCCGAGTACTGTCTAGCAGGAGCCACCATGACAACGTTGTGACCGGAAGCTTTGAGATCTCTGTAGAAGGCTCTGATGTTGGTAGCGGCCCATCCATCGTCATTGGTGAGAAGGATGTTTTGAGCGGAAGCTGCAACCAAGGATGTTGCAAGGACGAAGAGAGAAGTGAATTGCATTTGTGACCGAGGCAATTACGAGATCTCGAGAGTTTATAAAGCGATTCCGGGCCCTGCAGAAGATGGTTTGCCCCCGACTCAGAGCTGCGAGCTGTTTACCCGAAATTGCATAAACGTGGTGAAGTCCTTGGTACCAGGATTTTTTTTTCCTAGTGCGCTCGTTTGGGAAGTGATGGCATTAGCTCCCAGGCACGTGCGTCGTAGCCGCGCGGAGGAGAACATTTTTTTCCTCGTCTTCCAAGCCAATTGGCCGCCACTCTAGCGAAAGGCGCCGGGGCGCTAAAGGTTGGGGCATTTGACGCTGTGTTCTACTCGCAAGATCCACAGGCTACCCTGCCGCCGAGATTTAAAAAATTGACTTGTGTGAATGCACTCAGTCATTGAGGTACAGAGAGCTCCTTCTGCGTCTAATTAATCTTTTTGATGAGCCCATGTGTTGCGCAACTTCCTATTGCGTCGAAGTCTTTAACGAATCAGGTGCTGTTGCCCATAACGACACCAAATTAATCCACATTCCCTCCTGGTAGAACAGAGGCGCCGCAGCGCCGCAAACATATCTCGCTTTGTTTTCGCCCCCTATGCCCGCCGTAATTGCGTTGCAACAAATGGTTTATAACCAACAAATTCCCCCCCCCCCCCCCCCCACGCACTGTTCGAGCACAGTTATCAATGAAACTCACTTCTCTACTCGCCATCGCAACCTCCCTGGTTGCTAGCTCTGCAAAGAACATTCTCCTGACCAACGACGACGGTTGGGCTGCTACTAATATCAGAGCTTTCTACAGAGACCTCAAGGCCGCTGGTCATGATGTCGTCATGGTGGCACCTGCCGTGCAGATGTCCGGCAACGGTGGGAAGTTCCAGCTTGCAGCCTCTAACACACTCGAGACGGACGCTGAGTTTGGCTATCCACCAGCGGGCTCTCCTTCGTGGGGCCACGAGGAGGACGATCTGAACGTGTGGTACTACAACGGCACCCCTGCAGCTTGCGTGGCGGTGGCCCTGGACTACATTCTTCCCACCTATTTCAACAACATGACCGTCGACGTTGTTGTGGGCGGTCCCAACGAAGGAAACAACCTCGGAGAAAGAGACTTTGTTATTTCGGGAACCATCGGCGCCGCCTACTACGCCACTGAGCGCGGGTACTCTGCCATTGCACTCTCCGGAGCAAACTCCAACAATTCATTCTTCAAGGACAACCTCAACGACGATCCAAACCAGTCTGCCAACATCTACTCCAGGAAGTCTGTCGAGCTACTCAATTCATTGTTTGAGAAGCAGGGTGACAACCAAAGACTGCTTCCTCTTTCCACCGGACTGAACGTCAATTTTGCAAAAGCCGGTTCCGACGTTGGCTCTGACTGTTTGGACCCAGTTTTCTATCACTCCAGACAAACAGGCCCGGGCTTTTCCGTCTACGGTGCCCGAGTCAACGAGGAGACCAATCTTGTGGAGGAACTTTATTTGTATGACAATGCGCTTGCCGTGTGTTCTGCTGGTGACTGCTCTCTGCCTGCTGAGTTTGAAGTCGTCAAGAGCTGTGCTTCTGCCATCACTGTGTTCTCGTTGGACCCAGACTCGAAGAAAAACGTAACAGACGACGTGATCGCCAAGTTCGACTTTATTCGGAGCTGAAACTATATAAGATAATCGAATAGAATGACTGAGATAGCCGCCTCACTGGTTCATTGCTCTGGTAAGGTACTCGCCAAAAAGCACGCCGATTCTGTCGACTCCCACGTTTCTCATTCTGTTTAGCCCCACGTAGGCTCTTCTGAAACGTTGCAGCTGTGCTATCGAAACTGCGTGCGTGGGCATCTCTACCACGCACTCTCCGCCTTCAACATTCACCCGCACTACTCCCCCTATTCCGTTCATCTCCTGGTACTGGATCACTTCTTGGACCACCCGCGCAGTCACCCGGTCTAGTTCCTGAAGAAAATTGATTTCTATCGCTGGTTTCGTCACCGTGGACTGGTTAGGCCGAGGACCTTTTCTCAGCACGATTGCAGCCCATATGTCGTCAAACGGTAGCTCTGGGTCGTCATAGCCAATAGGGATCAGCGGAGAATCCCATTTGTTCTGTCCATCTGGCTCCTCGTACCGCAGCACCAGCTCTTGCATCACCTTCTCGTCCCATCTGTCTCTCGCTTCTCTATTTCTGTTCCACTCTAGACACTTCTCTAAGGGCGTGATAACCTGGATCACACAGTGCGGTGTGCTCAACGCTTTGCTTTCGCAGTGTAGTTGGTATCTGAAACCTTTAATGTAAGCCATTGAGTCCAGAATAACTATGGTGGACTTCGAGATGTCTCTCTTAACCGCAGAGATCTGGGCCGACCGCGCAGCCTTCTCTTTGGTGGAGTCGGTGTATGCGTCACGCTGAATTCCTAGATTCTGGTCGTTGTGCAGAACCACCTTATAATTTGCCCCCGGTTCTCCTTTTTGCAGACTAGCAATCTTTTCCTCCAGCTGATTTTTCAGCTTGAGTGCCCATGTAGTCTTGCCGCACGAAGGGTAGCCTGCAAACACAATCAGAGGCATGATTATTTTTTTTTGATATTTTTTTGATATTTTTTTGATATTTTTTGGGTTTTTTTCAAAACACTTTGTACATTACATGTCTGCCATTTCCAGGGCGGTCAGAGAGGTCCAGAAGTTCTATGAGCAGGTCTCGGGCAGGAAAATCGAGAAGATCCCTGATTTTAAGCCTCGTGTCCGATTTCCGGATTATAATGTCCCCCTGACAGACTTTCAGGGCCACCAGGTAACGGCACTCAAAAGAATGAGGAGGCTGGCCCCCGAAATTGATCTCGTGATCGAACTGCGAGATTCGCGTGCTCCGATAACAACCACGAATTTTCTCCTCGACCGAATATTCAAGGGAAAGCAAAAGATCGTTCTCTACACGAAAGCCGAGCAATCCTTAATTAATCAAAAGATCATCAAGAAATGGAATGTCAGAAACGAAAGTTGGAGTTTCTTTGACAAGAATAGATACGACCACACAGCCAAAGCTGCCAAAATGATATTTGAGAAGTACGACTCGATGTACCCACCGCCGCCTCTAGGAATGAAAGTTATAGTTGCAGGCATGCCGAATGTGGGGAAGTCGACTTTGGTGAACAAACTGCGCCGCAGACTTGCCATTGATCAAGGAAAGAAAAAGGACGTGGCCAAAGTCGAGCGTGGGGGAGGAACCACGCGCGTTACGTCTGAGATGATCAAAATCTCAGAAGACCCGTTGATCTACGTCTACGACACCCCGGGAGTGCTGATGCCCACAGTGGCAAACTCCAAGGCTATGCTGACACATGCGCTTTTGCGGACTGTCGACAATACGACCGTGGACCCGATCATTGCGGCAGATTATCTCCTGTATATATGGAATCTGCTGAGTCCCGACGGCCATTTTTACCGATCCTTCACAAAATCCCCCACAAACGATATCCAGTATCTTCTTGAATGTGTGGCGCGGAAAAAGATGTACACCAAGAACAAGGTCGGCAAGACGCGTCCGAGTGTGTCGCCAAATGGATATGACCTCAAAGCAGCAGCATTGGCTCTTCAGGAGCAGCTCAGGCTCGAGCAGACAAATCGGCTGGCTTTTGATCTTGATATGCTGCGGGACCTAAGTCAAAGAGAGATTGGCGAGATAATAGAAGCGGAGAGAATAAGAGTTGGAGAGATGGAGATGGAATATTTGGACTAAATTTTTTTTTGGCATCCGTGCACCAGGTTACTCCAACGAATAAGAATTTGCCCTTGTAAATAACAACAACAAATAAAGTCTATTTCAAATAAATCCTGCCCTTCACGTTGGTCGTACTTCAACAAGGTAGTTGCTGTGAAAATGGAGACGATTCTGGATTTCAGTAAGGAATTGGACATCAAGCTGCTTGATTCCGTCGTGGATGCGTTCTACAATGGATCGGGTGAAACACAGAAACAGGCACAAGAAGTTCTCACCAAATTTCAGAACCATCCGGACGCTTGGACTCGCGCAGATCAGATTCTTCAGTACTCGTCTGATCCCCAGGCCAAATATATTGCGTTATCGATACTGGATAATTTGATCAAAACCAAATGGAAAGCCCTTCCTGAGGAGCAACGTCTGGGGATCCGTAACTTTATTGCCAGCATGATCATTGTGATGTGCGACGACGACGCGCAGTTTGTTTCCCAGAAAGCTCTGATTCAGAAGAGCGATTTGACGCTGGTCCAGATCATCAAGCAAGACTGGCCTGCCAACTGGCCCAACTTCATTCCGGAGATCGTGCAGTCGAGCCGTGCTGGATTCAACGTGTGCGAGAACAACATGGTGATCCTCAAATTGCTGTCGGAGGAGATCTTTGACTTCTCAGCTGAGCAAATGACCCAGGCGAAAGCCAAGTCTCTCAAAACGAGAATGTGCGACGAGTTTTCAGAAATTTTCAAATTGTGCTTCGAAGTCCTCGACAAAGCCTCTAAACCTTCGTTGATAGTAGCCACGCTGAAGTCTCTGCTCAGATACATTCCATGGATTCCACTGGGATACATTTTCGAGACCGATCTGCTCAACTTGCTCTCTACCAAGTTCTTGCCCGTCGAGGAGTTCAGATCCATCACTCTCAAATGCTTAACCGAAGTGTCTCAGCTCATTGCTCACCAATACGACGATAAATTCGTGACTATGTTTGCTCTCACAACGGAAAATCTGCTCAAGATCATTCCTATCGACATAGATCTTAAAAACACATACAAGTACGCAAATTCCGCCGATCAGGAGTTTTTGCAAGATTTGGCAATGTATCTGGTCACGTTTCTTTCGAATCACTTAGAACCACTGGAACAGAATACCAACCTTAGGGAGTTGTTGCTCGCTGCCCATCAATACCTTGTTGGACTCTCGCGGATCGAGGAAAGAGAATTGTTCAAAACCTGTCTTGATTACTGGTCTAAGCTTGTCTCTGGCCTTTATCAAGAGATTCAAACACTCCCGTTACAAGACGCATCACCTTTGATGCAGTTACAGTATAATACTAGAGGTGGTGCTTTGAATCCAGAAATACTCAGGAATTACAATCTCAGAAAGAATATTTATAGTGACATTCTGTCAAAGTTGAGAGTCGTCATGATTGAGAACATGGTTAGACCTGAAGAAGTCTTGGTTGTGGAAAATGATGAGGGAGAAATCGTGAGAGAGTTCGTCAAAGAAAGTGACACGATTCAACTGTACAAGTCGATGAGGGAGGTCCTAGTGTACTTGACACATCTGGATATAAATGATACCGAGGCAATCATGTCTGCAAAGCTTGCAAGTCAGATTGATGGTTCAGAATGGTCGTGGCATAACATCAATACCTTGTGTTGGGCCATTGGATCTATTTCAGGGTCAATGGACGAAGAACGCGAAAAGCGATTCCTGGTCACCGTTATCAAGGATTTGCTTTCACTGACCGAAATGAAGAGAGGCAAAGATAACAAAGCTGTTGTCGCTTCTAATATCATGTACATCGTTGGTCAGTACCCAAGATTCTTGAAAGCACATTGGAAGTTCCTGAAGACTGTTGTCAACAAGCTCTTTGAGTTTATGCATGAAACTCACGAGGGTGTCCAGGATATGGCTTGTGATACGTTTATCAAGATCACCCAAAAGTGTAAGAGGCACTTTGTCGTTCAACAGCAGGGAGAGACGGGGCCATTTATTGACGAGATCATTCGTAACATTCAAGAAACCACATCTGATCTTCAGCCTCAGCAAGTGCATACTTTCTACGAAGCTTGTGCTACCATAATTTCCGCTCAGAACTCTACACAAATCAGAAACAAGTTGCTCTCCGATCTTATGCATCTACCAAATGTCGCCTGGAGGGCTGTTGTCCAACAAGCTGGTGATGATCCACAGCTCCTTTCAAATTCAGATATTGTGAAAATTATCGCTAATATCATCAAAACAAATGTTGCAGTTTGCACGCCATTGGGCCCTGGTTTCTACACTCAACTGGGTCTTATCTATGTTGACATGTTGTCTCTTTACAATGCCGTCAGCGGGCTGATCTCTGACGCCGTTGCGAATGACGGTTTGATCGCCACCAAAACGCCAAAGGTGAGAGGTTGGAGAACCATCAAAAAGGAGATTTTGATTCTGATCGAGACATACATCTCCAAAGCTGACAATCCAGAGGAGATCGTTCGTGATCTGGTTCCAAACCTGCTGTCTGCGGTTTTGCAAGATTACAAGACCAACGTTCCAGATGCCAGAGATGCAGAGGTTCTGAACTGTTTGTCCACGCTTGTCGAAAAGGTCGGAGAGCTCATTCCTGATGAGATTGTTCTTATTCTCGCCAACGTTTTCGAGGTCACTTTGAATATGATCAACAAGGACTTCACGGAGTATCCTGAACACAGAGTTGAATTTTACAAGCTGCTTCGTGAGATTGATCTCAAAGGTTTCAACGCCTTGGTTCAATTCCCACCTGAGTCCTTCCAGTCCTTTATTGACGCTATATTGTGGGCCTTCAAGCACAACAACAGAGATGTCGAAAATACCGGTCTGACTCTCTGTGTCGAGCTGTTGAAGAATATAGAGGATTTGGGATCTAACGCTTTTGCTATTGGATTTTACAAAAATTTCTATTTCCCTATTCTCAGCGATATCTTCTATGTCCTGACGGACTCGGATCACAAGGCGGGCTTCAGACTGCAGTCCCAACTGCTGGCTAAGCTTCTTGAACTGGTGTTGGAAAACAAGATCACAGAACCAATTTATCAGAAGGATGCTGCTCCAGAAGGTACTCCCAACTCCCTCTACCTCAAGGAGTACATTGCCAACATGCTTATAAGCGTTTTCCCTCAACTGAACCAGGAGCAGGTCAACAACTTCTTGCAGGCTCTTTTCTCCTCATACAACCAACAAAACAAGTTCAGAGGAACACTTAGAGACTTCCTGGTGCAAATCAAGGAGTTCGGTGGAGACCCAACCGATTACTTGTTTGCCGACGACAGAGAGCAAGAGCTGTTGGAGAAGAACAGGCAAGAAAAAGAAAAAGCCCGTCTTGTCGGCGGTTTGTTGAAACCTTCGGAGATGGACGAGTAGTGATGACGTAATCAAATTTGGCATAGAACTCTACATTAATATTAAAATATTGAATATTGTACTTAATTTCATGGAAAATGGGTTGGATCTGGCTATTCAGTTAATTGATATTTTTGGGAGGCACAGCTGTAAGAAGCGTTTACAGGTTAGTGGTGAAGAATATGACTCGGAGTTTTTCAGTAAAGGCCCAATTGTAATTTTTGAGGATGCAAAAACGGGTATTATGGAGATACTTGTTTCCAAGAAAACAATAATCAGTATATTCAAGGATTGCAAGCAAGTTCTTGATACAGAGAAGTATATTGATGACTGGCAATTATATTACGCATCAATTGGTGTTTTGATTACGACTCCAGAGGACCATCGTGCCATTTTACTCAATGAAAGCGCACTCAACAAAATCATATTGACTGATCCTTTCGCACCTGGTTATCATTACAACTGTCTGAGCACGCTTTTAAGCTGTGATTTGGCAAAAACCAATAAGTCAGCAAACCTATGGTTTTATTTCAGAAAGTCGTCGGTTGCTAAACTCGAGACGCTTGATTGCTCGTCTCTGAACGAAATGGTTGACTTAATCCTCCTCTCTGTTACCTCTCATCCACGTAATTACTATGCGTGTTCATTCCTGCGTGTTCTTCTGGCGAGTTGCCGATGCAGAGGCCTTCTGCGGATATTGTATGAAAGGATATGGGACTACTGTAAGACGCATTTTGGCGATTTTTCGATGTGGTTGGCTTTGCTTGAGATTCTAACTGGAAAGAGCGATTATTTTATTTGGGAGCTCAAGAGGTTAGGCGGTGAATTGAGAGGTTCACCAGAATACTTCGAAGAACAAGAGCTGTTGCGAATATATGAAGAAATTGGACTCTGGGGTGAGCAGATGAGTACTGCAAGCTACTCTTTATACTACGTGAAGCTGCAGCTTGGGCTTTATTTGGGCTTGGATGTTTGCTCCCTGTATAAGCAGGAGTACGAGGAATTTGAACGGGAGGGAGACTACTTGATTGACGTCAGGTCGAGACAGCTTGTGAGCAAGAATAAACCTGTTCCACTGGATAACGATGCGCTTTTGAAACAAAAATTCGAAGGAATGCTCATTAGAAAACAATTGTACATAAGATATGGGGCCGCTCGCAACTCGAGAAAATCTTATATAGTCCATTAAAGCGGGTAGTCTATCTAGGACTTCTTGTAAGCTGGAATCTCAAACTCGGGGTTGAACTGCTGGCCCGGAAGGAACGGCGCAATTTCAAATATATGTTTCCGCAAATCTTCTGGGTTGTGCGCTTTGAGGTCTTTATTCAGCACCTTGTCTTTATAGATCACATACTCCAAGTTTTCGTTGCCCTTGCGAGCGGTCTCGGCAACAGGCATCTGTTTGAACAGCTTTGGATGAAAATCCACGCCCTCTTCTTCACGTTTTTTCTGCTGGACTCTCTGTTCCTCCTCAATCTTGAATTTCTCATCTGTAGCGGTGTGATGGTCGCGCTGCGCAAGAGCATCAGTCACCTTCTTCCACAACCTGCGGCTTTCGTAAGCCCCTTGCTCAGAAATATCTCTCACCTTTGGCTTCAAAGGTGTGCTGTGCTGGCAATCGAAAAAGACCGATTTCTTGCCGGTCTTGGTATCTTTGATATACATCTCTTCCGACCACTTTCCACTCAATTCGTACAGCACCTCACCTGTCTTGGAATTCTTGATCTGACCCTCAATCACATTGTAGGAACCGGAAATGAACCCTTTGGTTTTGAATTCGATGTCCGCAATTAAATTGTTTCTAGGACATTGCAATAACAAGTGGTCTCCAAGCTCGAACTTCAAAGTTCCAAATAGAATACCTCTGGCATACATGTTTGGCTGTGTCATTGTATAGATCTCGCAATCGCCGGTTTCTTCGTCAACGATGTCCAAAAAGGAAAGCTTCGTCACACCCTCCATGATTGCTGCGGTGGAGTTGCCTAAAAACCTGGACTTCGGAACAACTATTCCATCCACTCTGATGTTATGATCTGGAATAATGTAGAAATAGGAGGATTTTGGGGGATGGTGAGATGTTTGCTCAGCAACGTAGTATGCCTGAGACCCATTAGGAAGGTCCCAGTAACACGTAAAGTACTCTCCCAGAATCGGGTTCAATGGCTTCTTAACCGCTTTCGGAGCAATGTGCCAGCAAGACATGTACCACTTCACCACAGTGACAAACCGCTCAACCGGGTCGGTCGCCGAATGAGCAGCCAAAAGTATGTCCGGCTGTTGCAATTGGTTGGTAATCCGCTCCAACATGCTTTTCCTCTCCAGAATAAAGGTAGGAAGCGTGATTCGAGACAAGTCCGATCCTGGCCGCAATTGCGAGATAATTCCCATTAAAATGGACTGACCCTGATCATCCACTTCATCGATATCCTCAATGTCATCGGAAACGTTTTTCTCCTGATGCTTTTCCTTGTCTGAACCCGTTTTGCCTGGCTATTAGTCTTCAAATGTCATGTGGCCCAAACCTGGCCCACCGGTACTTACCAAGAAGCTTGGAGGCGAAAGAAGGCATCTTGACTCAATTGGCTTGATACAAAAAAAAAGGGGTCTAACCTCAAACTTATTCCTGGCTTAAATAAATTCCGCGAAGGCTTTACCCTCCAAAAATATATACCCAAGCCATCTTTGACAGACGCAACTACGACACAGTTTCATGTTGCAGATAATTCGATTTTCTACATGTATATTTACTTAAGCTGTGGCGGGCTCCTCAAGAGGCTTAGCGGCGCTGCTGGCACTGCTGCCCGCGCTGAGTGTTGCACTGACCTTTGTCTCCTCTCCGCTCTTCAGCTTCTTGGTGCTAGCCCCATTCTTGTCGCCTTTCCGTTTCTTGCTCTCTTTCTTGACTGGTCGCTGTTCATCCTCTGAGTACACATCGTCCGGCAGGTCGTATAACTTGACATGCCTGATGCTCAGGGAGTACACGTCTTTGTCGAAATTGACCCAGTTTCTGCAAATCGAGTCAAAGTCCGAGCACGGAACTTGGATATCCATTTTTTTGTCGCGGCCCTTCAAATCCAGCTCCAGACCAATGTACAGCTTCAAAAGATGCACCAGGTGCTTGCCCTCTTTCTTCACTTCCTCCTCCAGCTTCACCATATCCGTGTCATCATCGATATCCACTTTTTTCAGGTGTTCCTTTGCGTATTTTTCCCCGTCCAGAGATCCATAGAGCTCCCGAATTTTGAACACCTGCTCTTCAGTGTCGCAGATGTAGGACGCCGAGAATGGCTTCACAAAAGGGTGTGCCAGCACAATTCCGTTGACAGCCTCCAGTTTCTGCACCAAAAGACGGAGCTTGGACTCCACCATACCACTCCACTTCAAATGGGCCTCGTAGGAGTCTCTGGTGGCAGTGATCACAGTTAGATAGAACTTGTACGCAAAGAAGAAGTCATGTTTCGCAAAAAGATCCTTCCATGTTCGCTTGCCAAATTGAATATCATTCATTATCTCCAAACCACGTTGCATCTCCTTGAGAATTATTTTCTGTGTAGAAGCGGTGATGTTGTGTGTAGCACACATGGAAGGATACGCAGGGGTGATGACCGGCATTCTATGCAATCTATCTTGTCCATACAGTTTAGGGTTCCAGATTCTGACCGGTAACGGACCGTCCTCAATCGGCTTCAAAAGCACGGGCTGTGGCCACTTCCACTGCAGGTAGATCTGGAAAAACTTAGACACAATGACTGCTCCCACGGCGTTAGGGTACAACTGGCAAATACGAGCAACCAGCATCGCCCAGGCCACTCCTCCCGGAAATCCAAACATGTTTGCGTAGATGGCCCTTCGTTGGGCCCAAAGCTTGATCGTTCGTAGGGCGTGACGGAAAACCATTTTCTGAGGAACAAGCTGGAGTATTTGATCCGTCACTCTGGTACCGTTCAGTGCTCTTAGATCTCTATCGTCAATGTTTCTAAGCAGGTTGTTATCCTCCAATGTGAGGTCGAGCGAGACTTGTGGAATATCCAAACGGCCACAGATCAGATCGATATCGACACCGTCAAACACGGTTTTGATAATGGGCATGAAAGCATCGGGGACTGGCTGGATCTTGTTCAACTCTGGGCGTTTTCTTAGCAGTTCCTCGAAAACAGTAAAGAAGTCATCTCTCGTAACATGTTTGGGAACAACCACAAGAGTGTCGATATCTGAGCCGGGTCCATAAACACCCAGTCTGTACGAGCCAAATGTAAAGATTTTTCCTCCCGCGTCACGAGCCATTCCCTCACTCATGTTCTTGCGGCGCGAAACCGTGTAGACAAACTCCTCTGTGAGCTTTTGCAGCGTGGCCAACACTTCTCGCCTTTTCTGAGTCTCGCTCTCGCTTTCGAACGAGTTTTGGTTTCTGAGTTCCTCGATCATCGCGTCGTTCAGTTCATTTTCCTTGGCAGTTGGTCCCGCAGTGGATATTGGCGCTGTCACACCATACTGCTTGGTTGTTGTGCTCATATTACGCTTTCCTGTCGACTTTGTTGCCTCGCGAACAAAAAAAAATAATATATTAAATCTAAAATGCCTAATTATTATTAATTTCTAGTACAAGATTTTCGTTTAATTCGGGATGCGGCAGGCTTGACAGCTCTAGTGGAAACCTTGAGGATTTTTCAGGTCCTGGTTGAATAACAAGAAGGCCCTCGCTGGTTCCAACTCTAACCAGCTCATCCAGAGCTTCCACACACGTTATAGCTCCATGGCCCAGATAAGACTGATGCACCATTTTTGGTTCACCCTGTAGCCCAATGATGAATATGTTACCCATGAGATCTCCGACAACCAAATTCTGCCTGAATACCGCGAAATCGGTGACCATGACGTTCTTCAGGATCTGTATAGCTGATACTTTGCGCTCGTTGCGGTCGATTTTGAACAGATACAACCCTGAAAATGCGTCCCCCACTACCAGGTCGCCATTTTCGAGCTTTTTCCACTCTGAAAAGTACAGAACCGGGATATTTGAGTTGCATTCCTCGTTTTGGAACCAGAAGCTAGGACCGCCGTAAATTCTCGTCCACACCAGCGAATGCGGCCCAATAAGTAACAGGCTGTAGTCCTCTACCTGTATGATGCTGTCAAACAGCTTGTTCACCACGGCATGGCCTTCCTGTTTCCACTCGTCGTCCACAAATCTCATAAGTAACAGTCCGGACTGATCCTCTTCATCGTTGACAAGTACGATAAAACATTTGCTCAGTTTCGTCTGCAAGACATATCGCTCGTCGTTGCTGATTTTGCTTTTTTCTTCAAACTGACACAGGAGATCAGGCACAGGCAAAACCTTACGCACTACTATTCCGGCGTCAAACCAGTGCTCACCTATCTTCTCGCCAGCTTTGTAAACCTCCAAACGATCAGTTCTTTTGATCTCTTCGACCTCCAAGTCGACTTCGTGCTCTTCGACCACCAAGACCACGAAATCATCGGTTTCCACTATTTCCTTCACCAACCCTGTCAAATTCTTCCAGTCATCAAGAACCACCTTTGAAGATAGATAAGTTCCCTGCGCATAGTACTTCCCGTTCATGGCAGTTACCGGAAGATTGTCTGCCTGTCTAACTTGCTTCAACAGTTGTGTATTTCTATCAACCTCAATTAAGAGCCCAAAATGGTTGCAACCTATCACACGATTGCCTCTGTAAACCATCTTATGAAGCAAGTCTACCTGCTGTTTCCTTTCTATGTTCCATTTGTTGACCTCTAATCCGATGGGCCGAGAGTTTCCGGCCCGTAATCTTTCTGCTATAGAAAGGTCCAAGTTATTTTCGGCAGCTTCAAGCGATTCCGAGTCCAACTCTATTTCCATCTGATAGATATCGCCCTGCTCACTGCTGAACCAGTAATATCGTCCATCAAAGCACCACGACAAAAGCTTGGCCATTTTCCCGTCAGCTCCAGAGAAAAGCTCCTTGGTAGCATACTGTCTGGTGGTCGTAGCCACCGATGAAGAAATACTGCGAACAGCGGGGGCTGGAAAAAGGTAATGCATGTCTTCGCAAATCACAAGTAGCGCTCCAAGTGACAGCGGTATGGCCAAGCTCGGGACAGAGTTCATCTGCGGTAATCGCTTTATCAGGCTGATTTCTTGGCCTATTCCGTAATAGTTCACGGAATACTTCAAATTGGCATTTCTGACCACTATTGCAAACACAGTCCCCTCTTTGTCTGCCGTTAGAAGTCGGGTCTTCAGAAAAACGGCGCTGTGCACAACTCCGTGCCCAATGTAGAGTACTTGCGGTTTTTCAAATATCCGGTTCACCTGTAGTTTGGCAGCGTCTGGCCTTTTCTTCACCTGGCTAGGAGGCTCATTTTGCAATGCCAGCCGGAACAACTCGGTTTTCGACGGATGAAGCTCCAACACAGCCATATATCCCTCATTGGAGTATATGAGAATGTATCTGCCCAGGTCATCAACACGAATAAATGGATGGACTTCAATGGTGTTTGCAACCGATTCAATGTGAAATTGCTGCAGCAGAATAAATCCGTCGTTCCATGCAATTACGACTAGTTGGTTGTTCTGTGTTAAGACCAGCAGCCAGTCATGTTGAAGGCCTGGAGGTCTTATATGGTTCATGGCCATGATTCTGTCTTGCAATTCAAGCACATCCAGCTGCTTGTAACTGTGATCCAGTAGCTCGATGCTGTACGGATGAGCTACTACGAGTGTATCATTTTGATAAAAATCCACAACAAGACACTCCACAATGGCTCCATCGTGGAGTTTCCTCACATTAAAGCTCATAAATAAATTAAATAAACTGGTTTTTTAATATATTACATCTGTCATTTATTTCAGAACGTGAACACAGAGCTATACAGTTTGACAGCCTCTGGGTTAATGCTGTGCAGCGCTTCAGGATCCAGCATCTCAACATCTGGAAAAGAGAAGTGGTCGATAACCGTTGGCTGTGGCAGCGGCAGGAATGGTGTCTCAGGAGAGCTTGGGGTCTCTACCTCTGGGAATGTGAACTTCTCGATGATCTCCAAAGATGAAGGCTTTGGAGGGACGTTAGGAGCGAATGGCTGCGCCTCGGCTAGTCCGAAGGTAAACTTTGGCTTCTGTACCTCTTCAGGAACCGCCTCAGGCTTGGAAACAACAGCTGGCTCGACAGGCGTGTGTTGAGGTGACTCTTCAAAATTGGCTTCATATTGCTCCACTGGCTCGGCACCTTGGGAAGCAGTAATAGCTGGCAGTGCAATGGATGGTGCATTGGCTGCGCGTTTGTTCTCTTTAGGCCTCTGGGGTTGCACAGGTGGCACAGGTTTCACTGCCTCCAGTTTAGGCTCGGACTTCTGTTCTGGCACATCGTCTTCAGAATCGATCTCTATAACCTCTTGCTCTTCCTTAAGCACCTTATTTTCCTTTGGAAGTAGTTTCTGTTCAGCAGTAGACGAATTGGGCTTGGACTTTGCGCCTAGAGTTTCTTGCTCGTCCAGAACCTTGACATCTTCATCCAGCGCCTCTGAGTTTTCTATTATGCTCAACACTTTGTTGGCAGTTCTGCTTCTTACTTCCCTCTTCTCCACACGTGGTTTAA